CCAATTGATACAGAAAGAGTTCTCTCCAAATTGAATATTTCTCTTCGAACACCTACACCACCAGGTTGCCGACCAAGCAGCAGATCTAGTCAATTTTCACCTAAAACACCTAGAACTATGGTTCAGCTTCAGAAGCAAGCTTCAATGCTTAAAGATCTCCTAAAACAGCGATCAAACAGCCCTCCAAGCCCGTCAAAATTGATACTAGATCAAATTATCAAAGGGCATTCGATAGCACTACATAACACTGCGCTACTAGCTCAAGAAAACGCCAATTTACGCGCAGCGAACGAGAAGAAACGACAGAAGCGCAGTCGATCCGCTAGACAGATACCATGTGAACAGGGTTTGACTGTTGAAGAAGGCCTACAGCTACTTACACAGCTGGATTTGCCAGTGGAACCACCTGTGGTTGAATCACACACCCAGGTTAAACTGCCTGTTCAGCCGAATCAGCCAGCGCCTAGGGCTCAGCCTAGGTGTAGTGGGTGTCGAGAGGTTGGACATCGAATTAATGTATGTAAAAATCGTATTTATAACTGAATTTATTGGTGTTGGGTTAAAATATTTGAATTTTAAAAATTCTAGTGGGGTAGAGTGTACGGCGAGACCGGGTGTACGGCGAGACCGGGAACTACGTTATCTCTAACTATCTTATTATCTAACTATCTAATAGCTAGACTATACTATTAAGCTTTGATAATTATATATTCCTCTAACTAGATATATCTCCTCCTTCTCTACCCTTTATCTATATTAGATCTAACCAAAGAAAAGCCTATTTCCTCTATAATATAGTAGAGTATACTAAGTAGATTAAGTAGTAGTTGTAAACTAATTATAGGAGGAAAAGTAAGATCTACTAAGATATAGCCTACTAGGCCCTAATTTAGAATAACTTCTATTAGGTTATCTAAATTATAGATAATATACTAAAGATTATATATAAATAGTATAATAAGGTTCTTAAGTATACTTACTTTATCTATTAAAATAGCTACCAAGGTATATTAACTATAGCTAAGTATCTAAAAACTACAAGCTACTAAAACTCTATAAGGCAAAGAGAGAAGATTACTAGTTTCCTTAGAAGTAAGGTATGTTTTAATAGAGATAATATATAAAGATAATATTTTAGGTATAAAAAAAAGCTCTAATTGAGATAGTGTTTTATGTACAAAAAAGAAGCTTAATTATTAGGAAATTTAACTCCTAAGAAATTAACTAACTATTCTATTAATTTGATTTAATTAGGAAGATAAGATATCTACTACTCCTACTTCTTTCTTGCAGCTAGGCTAGGAGGAAGAAATCTTATAATTTCTTACTATTAATTAGCTTTTCTATCTTATTAAGTATCTAACTTTTTATAGTCTGATTTATAAGGCTTGCTCTTCACTATTATCTCTAATAATCCTATCTGTAAATATAATTTATTAGTGACTATAAGATCTAGTTATAGACCGCTAGAGCTCTATTCTTTATCTCCCACTACCCAATTTAAAAATTGTAATTATATTTGATTGCTGGACTTCTCTATTTTTATAAGTATTTATGGCTATAACTGGCTATTTTATTAATATAGATTAGATCTATCAGAAGGTGCTTCTTGGTTTTAAACCACTCTCTGGGTTATATACTAGTCTAAATCTTAGTAATATTCTTCTTAAAATATTTAAAGAATATAAGATTATAGATTAAACATTTAGAATTATAATAGATAATATATTGAATAATAAGATAATATTTATCTTATTATTTATTTTAATATATTAATTTTTAATATATTAACTTAAATATATATATCTTAATAATAATATTTATAGAATATTACTAATAATATTTTAAATAATTAGACTATGATTAATATACTTTAGTAAGCCTTATCTAATAATATTAATATTATCCAGATATCTTATCTTACCTATATTATTTAGCTTAGTCTTAACTAGCTTCTAGATTACCTAAAGGCAGCCCCTCTAAATAAGACTACCTAGACTAAGTAGACTAAGAAGCAAACACTTATTACTGAGGATAATATAAAGTACCAGAGATATAAGATTTCTATTACCTTAAATAAGATATACTACCTTATAATCTATATTTATATAAGCCCCTAATACCATAATATATTTATTTATCTTTAAAAGAAGGAACTAAAGGTTATCCTGATATAAGATATACGGACTTGGTAGAACTTAACCTTCCTAATACTTTGTTAAGCAAAGTAGCTGTATGCTTTCTTCCTACTATTTTATCTAGAATATAATTATAAAGAAATACTTTTAACTTCAGATAAATAGCGCTAAATTAACTATCTACTCTATCTTACTAAGCCTTTCTTTAAATATATAACTAAGCTTTTAAAGACATAGGATATAACTATATATCTCATTCTTAAGCTTTATATTATACTTTTTGTGTATCTTAAAAAGTCTATAGAGTAGCTTAAGCAGAAGTAGGCTCTATAGAAAAGATATATACTTTAATATCTTAAAGCTAGCCGACTAAAGCTTAATAAGTATTATATATAGATAGATAGTATTCTAGGGTATATATTTACAATTAGTATAATACTAGCTTCTGACAACCGGTTCTAATTTTTCCAATTAGATAACTAGGATATATCCTGGTAGCTTAAGTACCGGAGTATATTCTAGATAGCTCTTAGTCCTTACTAAAAGTATCTTTCTAATACTTTAAGTATAGGAAGCTTACTACCTTTACTAAAGCTAAGTTTAAAGCTTAATAAGATACTAAATAGAAAAAAATCATAGATAAAGCTAGCTAGAGATAAAGTAGTATAATATCTTAATAGTGGTATATTTAAACTAAATAAAGAACCTATCTATCTACCTACTATCTACCTACCTACTACTACCACTACTACTACCACTACCACTATGTTACGGGCTGGCTGTCAAGCAACGTGAGTATGCTCTGTCCGTCGAGTTACTTACCGCAAGCCGTTATCCTGCAACTGTACCGTCGCCGTCGCTGGGCCTTACACGGGCTCGAGTCTTTAGGGATCCTTGCACGGTAATGCTTGAACAGGGAATCCGCTAGCAAGTCAGTCACGAGTGAGGTTATCACGAGTGAGCTCCCAAGCTAGTTGAGGTTCGTCTTCAAGGGTTCGATTGTGATCAAGTAAACTGTCAATCTGATTCGTACTGTAGGTCTCAATAACAATAGAGTAATAATCGCGAAGAACTAAATACATGATGGGTAAAGAGTGTCCTTATATATCCAGTCCTTCCTATTATCCTGTCCTCTGACAGGACAGGTCCGTTCCTGTATCAGGTCAGGTCCGTTCCGTTGAACGGACAGGATCTATTGTTGGAATAGATCCGTGGTCACGTGTCATGGGGCCGGAAGTGGCCTCTCATGCACCGTCCTTCCCGTATAGCCAGTATATGTTGCGATGGTAAGCAATAGGCCATATCTGGCTCCCGTTGGTGCCTCAGGCACCATCGTAGCCCTGCGCCCCTCTGGGCCGTGCGTCCGTTATGGCTGGTCGTCCGTACTTGGCTTCGACCGCCAACTGATTGGGTCATAGTTGTTCCTGGGAGGTCCCTCGTGGTGGGTCCGTAACAAATACTTATATAATCAGATAGTTAAAATAAAAATATGGCTTAGGATCAACCATATCAATAAACTTAATTTCCTTAAAGCATATCCTCTTACCCGAATTAAGATATTTAAATCGGAGACTATTAAAAATAGCTTTGTAGCTACTGGTTTAATACCTTTTTATCCCGATTAGGTTCTATCAAAGATTAATATTTATCTTTATATACCAATACCTCCACCAAGCCAGGATAGTGATTTAAGCCAGAACTTTATACCAAAAACCCCGTTTACCGAAAAACAACTGTGTTAGCAAGCTTCATCAATTAAAGCTTTACTTCATACAGGATCTCGAAGTCCCCCTAGCCCATCAGATCGTGCGATGAACCAACTTGTTAAAGGCTGTCAACTCGCGTTACAAGGCGCTGCAATCGTAAGAAAGGAAAACAGCGAATTACGCGCCGCCAACAAGAAACAAAAGCAAAAACGAACTCGATCAACTAGACAGATAGCCCACAAAGGGGATCTCTCAGTTCAAGAGGTTCGTGAGCTACGTTCAGAGCCATTCGAGGTCCAAGTAGCACGAATCAATAGCTATCGTGAGCAGGTTTCAGAGGGTTTACAGCCACGTACGCGGGGCCAGCGAGGATGTGGAATATGCAGGCAGCAAGGACATAGAAGAGAAACATGCCCAGACAGAGAAAATAGCTAGTTTGATTAATTTAAAAGCGCGTTGGTTGAGAAAAATATATTCAAATTAATAAATTAAGTTGGGTGGCCAGCTCGCTTACATGTCCAGCTCGCTTACCGAATACGTTACTTTAGACAATATAATAGGATAGTTAAGAACACACTCCTATACCTATAGTTACTATAAGGGTACCTTTAGACTTCTCCAAAACCCACCCGACCCAAGACCCAACCCGACCCAACCCACCATTGGGTTGGGTTTGGGTCCAAATCTTAGACCCAGGCCTTGGTTTTGGGTTTTTCCCTTGGACCCGACCCAACCCATGGGTACCCATTTGGGTCACAAACAGAGTAAACATGCCCAGACTTTGCTGCTGCATAAATTATGCATTTTGGCGTTGTATTTTTGGGTATTTCCCTTACGGCCTTTAGGCTTTTGGATACTAGGGTCTTAACTAATTCAATCCACTCTTAACTTAATCCACTTCATCTACTCTGTTGCTGTCTAATTCTTTCTTCTATTTTGTCCATTCTGTCTGTTCCATCCTACCATCCTGTCTATCTTCCTGTTCTATCCCGTTTGCCTTCTAAAGCACATAAACAAAGATAGGCTTTTATGTACAAAATGTAGTCTAATGAAGTCTATAGAAATGTAGTCTAATGAAGTCTATAGAAGGGCTAGCCACCTCCCACTGAAAGCCACACTAATAGGCTTTTGTGTACAAAACTTACCTCTGTAGCATCTAAATGCTATTATCGCCACTATCGCCGTTGCTGTCACCACTACCATCGCCGTCACTATCGTCATTATCATCATCATCATCATCATCGTTATCATTGCCATCGCCATCGCCATCACTGTTACCACCATCATTACTACCATGCTCATACTCACCCTTAATCTCATGCTGAAACCCAGACCAGTAAACACCCTCTTTGATAAACACAGGGGTAACATCTAGGCCAAGCTGGGTCCCCTGAAAGAAGGAGTTAGCCCTAAATACAGCACGTTCAGCTGCAACTAGCTTTTCAAAGCCAGCAACATATAGCTGCTAAGCGTGTTTCCGCCACATCTGTATTAAATCCTAAGCAGGCGCATCATTATCTCCAAACAAGACATCAAGCTCTTCTCGTATATCTACCTTGTCCTAGCGTATCTGCCCAACTAGTATATCTGAAATCGCACCTAGACGCCTAAGGCATATAGTTACTGGGAAAATATGATCTATATACCCTCCAAAAGTGCTGTTAGGTAACCCTGAAGGGGTCTTGGTGCCAGAGTAAAAACAACGGTGACAGTGAGATAGATTATCCCATATTCCTGATTCAGCAATATCTAGTATCTAGTGGTCTTTGCTAATGCTTACAAACCAAAGTAGGATATTAAGACAATGTGAGATAGCAGGACTAGTAGAACTAGGTGGTAGGCTAGGTAGACTAAGGTATATATCTCTAATAGTATATTTCTGCTTAGACCAGGTATAGCTAGAGTGGTCCTTATTATCTTTAGTCTATATCATAGGCTTAATCTGCTATATATAGCTATTCTTAGTATACCCTTAGAGACATAGGTAGTTATACTATTCTCTAATATCCTAATATATATCTAGAAATATCTCTATATAATTATTATTATCCTCTATAGATAGTGTAAGACTATCTTGTAAAACATTCTGCCTATACCTAGTATATATAAAATCAGTAATATTTATATTAATATAACAAAAAAATATTAATTCCCTAGGATAAATACTCTTGGTATAGTAAGAAAAAGAGATCAATCACTAAGGATGGTCTGGCCGGAAGAACATATAGAATATATAGTAAGCAGGATCTTACTGGATAAGCTGTTGGACTAGGCTAAACCATATATTCCGGGCCTAGCTAATATAGGGCTTCCCAGGATAAGTATAATAATGCTAATTATATATATCAAACTCATGTAGGATTATAGGTAGGATACCACCAGGATACTGGCTGTTAAAGTCTTTAGTTAGCCAACTAAAGAGCCCAAGGACTATTATACTGTTATCCTTCTTTATCTACTGGTCTATATACATAGCCTTAGGGGGATAGGGCCTGGCCAAAGCACTATTTATATAGCTTTATAAAGGTAAAGGATGATATCTAGGTTGGTTTAGAAACCTTTGGTCTTAGTGATAGGGCTATAGCCTTAAAACACCAGCCAGACTGAAGATTTCCAACACTATCTTTGAACCAAGAAGGGTGCTGCTATCTCACAGAGTCCTACAAGTCTAACTTCTTGTAAAGATAGAGAAGACAGGTATGAATTTAAGTAATAGCAAAACAATGGTAGATATCTAGCTGGTTGTAGAGCGTATGTGTGTGTTTGGAGCATAGGCGGAAGGTGTGGGATTTATTAGGACGGCTGGTTTCTCGGCCAACTTTCCGGAGGGCCTGTTTCTTTAGTGTGTCTGTGGGAAGTCCTTTTTTCTGGTGTACCAATATCAAACGCTGGAGAGTAGCTTTTGTAAGAGGATAGCCATATATAGCCATAGGTGGTGTTGCGCTATATTTAGCTTATTTTCATAGGCTAGGTTGAAAACCATCACCATCACCATCACCATCACCACTATTATCATCATTAGACTTATCATTATCCTTGTCATTATCCTTGTCATTATCCTTAACATTGTCCTTAGCCTAGCTGCCAGAGTGGCCTTCTTCTTCTTCTTCTTAGTAGCTATCAGGCCTTTGTCGCTTCTTAGGATTAGATGGCTGGGTAACAGATGCCTCAGAGACTAAGCCTAGTAAAGATTAGCACCATATCTGCTACCTTAAAACTATGCTTATAGATAAGGATATATACTTATACTTAGATATATAAACCTATCTATATCAATTCCTAGCTTTAAGTCTTATAAGACACTATGATCTAAGGGTGTAGTATCTTGGCTTAAGAACGTATTAGTTAGATCTACTTATATGATTTGGCTTTCCTACCAAATTCCATATCTATAGATAGACCTCCGTATCATATCGTGAGAGAAAGTGCCAGATTAGGGTGGCACCTGGTGGTTAGGTGAATCAGGAAGATATCGGTGATAAGTCAGGTAGTATTTAGTACTTTCCAATACAATAAGAACTAATACTTGAAGAACTTGGAACCCCGGCTCACTGGGGTCCGATTAAGTACTGGATACCCCGCAGTTCGTTGCCTAAGGTGCTCCTGTGATTACAGTCAACCTGACAAGTACTGTGACAGATATAAATAAGAACTTTTTTTAGTTAAAGATTTTAATTCATGATAATATAGTTTCTAGTAATTTCATAAAATATTATATAAGAGTTAATAATAAAAAAAGGAATTTAAAATATTTTATATATAAAGATAGAGAGATTTAAGATTTTTTTAATTCTTAGGATAGATAAAGATATTTATTACAGTTAGTAATTTTATATAAATTAAAAACTAATAAGATTAATCTTAATATAAATGTAATGAACATGTCAGATTAGGGTGACACCTGTGGGCTAGGCGAGAATTACTAAGGGGAGAGCACGAGGGGGTGGTTCACTTAGATACAGCGACTAACACTTGAGGAGTGTAAGTCGGGCCCTACAGGAATCCCCCTCTATGTGTGGCCGGACTTGGTGCCGAATCCCGTAGACAATACGGCAATAGATCTGCATGATCCTCAATATAGTGTTTCCTTTGTCTTCCTTGACAAAACTAATAAGAATTAAATCCAGACAAACTTAAAAGATAGTTTATAATAATCTATAATTAGATAATAAAAAAAGATTAGACTTGAAGTTTAATTTTTTAAAATATTCAATAATTAAACTATAAAATAACTTTTATTAAAGATAACAATAGTATAATAAATATTCTTATAAAGATTATTATAAAGATTTTCTATAAGATTTTCTATAAGATTTAGATTATATAAAATTGTTAAAACTGATGGATTTGAGAGCTACGCCGTAAGCGATGCCTCTATTATATTAGTCATGGATGGGCACGATGACCAGTCACAACAGCTTCCATGCAGTAGTATCATCGCCGAACAACCGGACAACTTCCCTCGGCCAGGTATCGTCGACTCACACATAGTTACCTTGCGGGATCTTACCTCCTGGTGCCATGAAATAGCACAATCGATTTTTCGAACCTTATCAAAGGCTCTTGAGCTCCCACCGGAAGTCGCCCTGGAGACCTTGCACAATCCCACCGCCTCGTACGACATTACTCGCCTCTTGCGATATGAGGAAAACACGTTACCCGATACACTTCTCGTGCCCCAAGCTGCCCACACCGACCTGGGTTCCCTGACATTCTTGTTCACGGAAAGTTCGGATTACCCAGACGCGTGCGCGAGACACCAGTGAGTGGAAATAAGTCATACCCAAGGATAACTGCGTGATAGTCAATCTGGGCGATGCAATGAGCATGTGGACGGAAGGGGCTTTGCAGAGTGTTCTCCACCGGGTGGCATCCATGCCGGGGCAGGAAATTCATGAGCGCTACAGCTTTGCTCTACTGATGAGACCGACTAATACGGCTCCTATGTGCTCTTTGCTCCATGAGGCGGTGCCAAATGGACAGCTTTGTTGCGAAGAGTGGATCAGTGCCAAGTTGAAGGCCTTGGGGGGGGGGGAGAAAGGCGGTGATTCCGTTCGTTCTGAGTGTCGTGACGCGGAAATCAGGATTGGTCGACTTGCAACGGTGTGAATGGACGATCGCACTTCTTTTGAACTAGAGATAGGAGGTAAGGAACCGTTTGTAGTCCTCTTTTAATAACTGGGTTCCTGCCATTTTACTCACCTAGCATAAAACCCAGAATCAACCTATAGCCTATCCCTATTGCTGCCAGTTGCCTATATCCAACTATATCAATAGCAGCTAGCATTCTCTTCCAAGTGACCTTCTAAGTAGCCATCCAGGGAACCCTGTAGGTGCTTACATACATAGAGGGTTAGGTCACCACCTGGGCAGTCACCTACAGATACTACTGACTGAGTTCTCAAGTATGTAAACATGGCTGCCTAAGAGGATATGAACATGGCTCATCTGTAGTTATACATTATGAGCGCTAACAGGTTAACCCGATTTTTCTGGGATGATTTGAACTTTTCAATCAATACTATATAGATCAGGATGACCATTATTTAGCACGTTGTCTCCATAGTTTTCTAGCTCTGTATGCTAATTCAAACCGCCCAGGAGCAATAAATGCCATTGAAGGAATGCGTTGCTTAGTAGGCCATGTAGATCAAGGCCAGCTGATCAACTTCATCGCCATCCTGCCCCATGAATCCCACAACGGCAAATCCATCATCAGCACTAAAAGTGGAGCAGTCGCTGGTGGAAGTTCCGGCCTCAAGTGTGTTACCCGCACTAGTAGTGGCCTTGATATAAAAGTTCCGAGTTTCATCATTATAAGTGCCAGTGCAAAGCTCTGTCTGGATCCAATACTCATCCGATGCAAGGGTGAGGGAGGTAGATGTACCACCACTACCACCATGGATGAACGTGGTGCCATCTTTCAGTTCAATAGCGACGGAATCCAATCGGTCCCCACCAGCAAATGTAAGAACGGAAGCCGCAGAAGAAGAGGTGATGTTTGGTAGATCACTAAACCAATCGCCATGGGGTCCTCCAGAGAATTGACTCTGTCGGAGAGAGGAGGATAACGACCATGAAAAGTCCACCAGGACGGGGTTGTGATCAGAAAGAACATCGCCAAGATAGTCGGAGTCAGTGTTGAGGAATTCCTCGCCATCGTATTTGAAGCTTGTAGCATCAAAGGTCACAATACTCGATCCACGGTATAGAACCTTGTCAACTGTCTCACAAGTCTCAGTTGTGGACGGGTTGTCGCATACGTCTGCATCCTCTCCCGCAGTGGGATACACACCATCCTTCACCAGCTGAACCCAGACATCGCTCAGGCTGTTTTGGGACTTGAAGACACGGATACCGGTGTCCGCTGAGCGAGTATAGCGGCTGTTAGTATCGCCCATGATGAGAACAGCATTTCCGATGGACCAGGTGTCGATGTAATCAGCGACTTGCTGGAGGTTGTCATTTCGGGCATCCTCATCACCGTCCTCAGTTCTTTTAAAGGAATTAGCATAATGACCTCGGGAATTATTAAGGATCGGGGTGTAAAGGTTTCCTGACTGACTCACCCAGCATCAGCGTGAAGATTGTAGACGTCAATATAAACACCGGTGGAGGGATTCCAACGCATGAATGTAAACCCCTTAGGGGTGAGGCAATCATATTCTGACGCGTCAGAACATTCATCCCACTTTGTACGAGTGAAATCCACCCAGTCGTAATTAGAAATGGTATTCAGGCCACTTCCGATTCCCGCTCCACCGGAGGTTGAGGTACGATAGGTGTGGTTATCGGTATCATATATATAGGCATGGTAGTTGAAATCCTACATATTTATAGGTCAAGTTCAATTGCTGTTTCAACCTTGGAAGTTCAAGTTCTGAAAGACTTCAAATGTTTTCTCTCAAATTCTTACTGACCTCTTGCATATTAATGATATCATAACCATATTCAGAGAAATAAGTACCGATCTCCTCAGCATTCTCAGTTTTGGAGCCATTCACATCATTGGACTGGAGCCATGATGGAAGACCTGCCACGTTGAAAGTCAAGGCAGTAAGACTTCCACTGGTACTAGTAGTTGTCGCGTAGGCAGAGCCTAGCAAAATGGCTCCAATGATCAAAGGAGTATTAATCATTTTGCTTTGGTATTTAAACCTATGGCAATGGACAATGCCTTGATCAATGATTATTTCAAGGTTGTTTTCCCCCTATAGCAAAGACTCGGAGAGGAGTTTCGGTCTTTAAATAAGTGAACATTGCTTCCTTCTCACAAGGCTTAAGACACATTCAAGTTCTTGGCCTTTGACATGCGATAATGTCTATAATGTCTATAATATCCATAATTTTTCAAATATTGATTATTTTAGATCAATTAGATAGTCATCGGGCCGATTTACTGCCGAGTCCACTTAAATTAGGCATTAGCGTATACACCATTCTGGACACTATGGACGCCATGCATAATACGCGCACTTGAACTCGGCATTGAGCCGGCAATTAAATGAAAGAACCCTAAACGTGGGATTAATCCGATATCATGATTGGAGAACTAAATAATACATTGATTTTTTCTTCATCAGAACCAAGATATTCTAGAAATTCCTGAATATCTAGAGAGGCATTTATCAAGCTCCACGTGCTAAGACTTGATCATGCCAACGTTACTCTTCAATATGCAGAAGTCCAAGCGACTTGGCATCCGGTTTGACGACACTTAAATGGGCCAAATCTCCGTCTCCGCTCTGATGCCAAGATTAATTCGCATCTGAAGATGTCTGCATTCTTGTTTCACATTGGTTCAATGGTTACTTGAGTCTAAACGAGACCTCCGAGACGGTATATCGGAGCCAATAGCCGGCGGTCCCCGCCGGCTATGTTCAAATCTGGATATCTGAAAGTAGAAGAAATATCCTCTTGTCATGAACCAATCAATAATACCTTGGTAGTCAAACTTGAATATGAAGAAAAGATGTTCCACCAATAAAGATCAGAGAGTTTGGGAAAGTATATTCAAGTTGACATTTTGACTGGAAAGATAGCTATATGTAGCCAGCGACATGATCATATATACCTAGGTACAGTTGTTGAATACAAAGAAATACTAGTAGTAACATTCTGAATCGTATTTGACAATTTCCGATCTAGGAGCTGGGCTGCCTAGTAAACCGGCACTGGGACACCATCAAACTCATATATCCATGTGTCTATAGAAGCCTGATCATACTCGCATTCAAGAGTCTTTCCATCATTCCTCCAGTAAGGTCGGAGCGGCCATGCACAAATCTCCATAATATCACCGGCATTTTTACCTGCTCCCACTGTTCCATTGAGTTTGATTGGTTCAATGTCATTTTCAACCCAGTCAATAATTGTTTGGAGACCTGTCTGCGGCCATGGACCATTGGGCTGCTCGTCGTTCCAATCGCAATGGGCAGCGCCGGGTACAAGGTAAAGGCGATACCAGTCTTTGATTGCACTGGTGCTCTCATCGTCATCCAGGTCAGGATACATGGTCTTACGGACAGACTCCCAGTATCGAACTGATGAGGCAGTAGGCACACTACTATCAGATTCACCATGGAAGTGGATAAGCTTCCCCCCGCTGGCCTGAAAGGGGGTGAGGTCTGGCCAGTTGACCTGTAACGTATCTTGATATCGTTGCATACCCTCTATCATCCAGTACTTGAGTGTATCATACGTGACATTGTCAAGAGTTGGAAGATTCTCAATATTGATGTTCTGGAGTAGTTGGGCCACATATTGCCCGCCAAGTCCAACGATAGAGATATCCCACGAATCAGTTTCAGAGTTATATGTGGTTTGAGCATCATGGAAGTCAGCTGTTGGCTGATAGGAAATGTATACACGACGTCCCTTGGAATCGTGTAGGCCGTTGATAATTTCGTTTGCCACTTGAACTCCTTTTTTCGTGATATTACCCTTCTGAATAGGGGTGATGCCTGATGCGGCGCATTCATAGCTTTCCCCAATCAAAGTCTCAAGATCGAATTTCAATTTGCAAAGGTCTGTTCGAGCCACAACTCCATCCGTTCTGCCGTCCAGTTTATCACAATAGTTGATGGTCGCATTGATGATTGTTGCCATTTCGCAGAGAGGAGGATTGTACCCGATTGTTTTTTCGACCACATTCGAGAAAAGATGTTGAACTTGCTGGAATGAATAGCGGAAAGCTGGAGCACCAACTGAAGCACCATCCCAAAGGTCCCCATAACGTTGAAGCTGGCTGAATGCCTCGCGACCACCCTCTGAGCAAGCTTGGAAGTATGAGTACAACTTGTCCTTCTCAGACATCCCATAAAACAGACGAGTAAACGCCCTGCCAAGTACACCAAGCTCGTAATGTGCTTGATAGCCAAATAAACTGACAATATCGAGATTGACCGTTCCATTGTCAAGAAGTACAACTTCATCAAATGAGGCTGAAAAACTTCCAAAGCCACCATCAGTTCCACCATTTACTGCGCCGTATTGAGCGCCACCAGCAATTGTCGCAGTACCGGAGTAAATATCAAGGGCACCACCACCTTGCGAGACATATCGATTTTGGAACTCAGCTGGAGCCGGTAAGAAATAGTTAACCAGAACTTGATCTTCCTTTCCATTGTGGCTATAGCTAAATGTCACATTGCAGAAGCTCACAATAGTGTCAGGGAAGAATGGTGAGCCTGTGTCATTGTAGTCGAGGATGGAAGCAGCAGTTACACTGCTGCTTTGTATTGTCACTCCAAGGAGAGCATCAACTGGCAGTGAATTCTTAACATGCGCAGTACTACACACGTCTGATAATGACTCTGCAGCATGAACCACAGTGACAAACCCAGCGGCCAAGACAGCTGCTAAGCAGGAGGTGTGCATGTTTGAGCTTCGCAGGTTGTAGTAGGCGCAGGTTGTAGTAGGATGATATTGTCCAGGTGAGTCTTAATTTCATGAAACTTGGTTGCTGAAAAAAACTATTCAAACTTGAACTTCTGGATACTATTTATACTTGAATCAAGCAGTCCGTTCAGAGCTCATACTACTCACTCTTTTTTACTCAATCATCCTGCTGTAAAGAGACGGTTAAACGTTCACGAGTTAAGTTTCACTAGTACATATATCTTAGCATAAACATTTGAAGAGACGGCTTAGTGGCTTCAGGAAGGATTGTGGGGTGTGGTGATGATGTATACATATGTGATGTCTATTCCAAGTTGAACACTGAATTCTGGATCTACTGCAAAGCTTTGACCATCGGTGGTACCTACTACTAGTAGGTATACCTCCAAGGTTATCTCCGAGATCTGCTTTCTCATTCAATATTAGATATTCAAGTTTCCATTTCAATCCCTATTTATTCTTATTCAAGAAGATCGAGAACAAGAGTAATCGCTCATTATATACATTCTAGCTCATTTGTGAAGTTCAACCACGCACCATAATAGAAAATAGCGAAATACTAGCCGCAAAGGTTGCTCGTCTATCTAATAATCCTGAAGCCTCCCCACAAGGGGGATCCACTTCAGTTCGGCACTAAGGCGTGATTCTCCGAGGTGAGTCAGGATTGAAGATTATCCTTGGAAGGCGGCGTAAGGAATCTTGCTTTCATGACAGTTGATCAATACATTGCATATGCAGCATAGTGGGGTCCCCGAAATTTGCATATGCACCTGACGTAAACTGGCTTATGTGGAGTAAATTCACTCGGGGTTGCCGGTCGTGGTAATATCACTATTTGTGATTATTTCTTTTTGATACCAAAACAATGAGTTCAAATTTTGGAAGCAATCTGTCCAAGTCTCATTTTCTATATCATTTTCTACGTAAACAGTATTTGCTATTCCATATTTCTACGTCAGAGATTTTCGCATGTCTATATCCCTCGCGGCATCTTGATAGGGTAGAAACATTCCACAATATTTCTCACTTGTTTTTTCTTCCAAAAAGCAAGGACAATTCACATTCAATACGGTAAGCTCACTCTACAAAGTCGAGCTCTAGACCTAAATAAACTTTCGAATAACTTTAACGATTTGAAGGTCTAGTTATGATAAGCTATCTTAGATAGCTTTGGGCCTTTGTCTTCTGGGCAATTGTTACTATTAGCTTAGCTAATACACTCCTAAATTCTATCTATATGAAAATGTATCCATTATTAAATTCAAGTTATTTATATGACTGACGTTTAAATGTGACTAGTATAAATAGTGTGAATAAATATTTGAATCCATAGTATGTTTGGAGTATAAGTCACTGGGTACAGGGGCTTATAAAAGCCACGCGGCCAGAAACCATTTTCCCATAATGAATTTGGACCACCTAGATCACTGCCATTTTATTATTATAATGTAAAACCTTCAATAATTTATACCTGATTACCACCTGTGCAGCCTGATTCATAGAGTGCGGAAAATTCAATTCCAGCCATAATGAAAATCGGCCACTGCCAGTGATTACCCAATGAGGTATTTTGGTTGTCCTATTACCCCTGGTCAATCCTAAGTATTATATATAGCTTGAAGGCTAACATAAGAGCCTGAGATAGCTGAACGAAGAGGGAGTGATATATATACTCCATCCAGTTTTCTTTCCCCCCCCTCAGGCTGCTACTATGTAGTAGACATATGGCCGTTATAGACCCCTGTACCTTGGGGGAAACGTAGGTATATTCTATGCACATGTGTTACTTTCAATTAGGATACCTGTGAAGGTGTACTTCGCCTAGGTGTAGTCTATCCTCTAAACCATCTAAGGTTGGAAAGCGACTTTGTCCGATTAGAATAGCTCCCCACTTATGGATCCTTAGTCGTATACATCTGGATTTTGCTGTTTTAATAATGATGCCCACGGTTTCTTTGACCGTTTTACTTAGCTAGTGCAGTAATTTCAAAGTAATGCGGGTGATTAATTTGGGACTAAGCGAGGAGGTAATGCAGGTCGCTTAGCATGATCACTTAAATTATTCATTTAAAACGAGGGGCTGGCACCGAACTAATCAAGTGACTGGTCAGCATAAGGCTCATATAGCTTACCACATCCTAGGTAATATGCTCAGGTGTACTCCGTACAGTCAAACTCCCGAGGCCCATAGTACACCCCACAATTTGTGGGGTGAAACCCAGTCCCACAAATCTTAATCTTCCCCATGGGGAAAAAGGGACCAAAGCCGCAAAAAGACTGGTCCAGAAAGTAACCAAACTTCATTTCTCATATATAGCTTCATTTAAGCTGTTTCTTTATAAAATGCCACTTTATCACCCAGTGCTCACAAGAAAAGTGACCAAAAATCATTTGATTAAGGGCCTTGATTTCAGCTTCTTCTTCTCTGTATAGATCCGAGTAATCGGAAACTCCAGCTTGGTTGAGTACTAAACTAATATCGGCTTCGGACAAAAGGCTTGATATCACCACATTTTATTAAAGAAGGGGAAAATATTTATCCTAATTAAGCGCTCCAACCTGAACCCTCAACCTCCGCCACAAGTTCTAACCAAGACTGGGATCTAGATACGAACCTTGGCAGGCCCCATGAATGCCTTTGGAGTTAATTGCCGATGGAGGAGATGAGATGCGATCAGCCTGAGGGTCATGAGAATGCTCAATTGACTAATGTCCACGGGTTGAAACGAGGACTGGGTACAACAATCATGATGTGCCTGAATATAAATAAGGAGACCGAATCCCCTCGAGTAAATTCTATTTAGAAGTCTGAGCCTCAGACTCAGGATATCCTCAAACATTGAAAGCTCCTTCTCCATCCTTTTGTATCAAGCATGTTCTCCTCGGCTTGGGCATTGTGCGTTGCAGCTTCGGCAGTCATCGTGCATGCTGCCACTCTGGATGATGTCTGTACCTCTGCCTATGTGAAAGCCGCCCTGCCTCTGGATATTCTCACTGGAATCACTATTGATTCGAGCTCTGTGGTAGTTAGTGCCACAAAAAATTATTATTCTGCGTCTGGAGACTTTTTTCCCGCTGCCACTTTCGATTATTGTGCCGTCCAACTCGCCTATTCACACAATGGCATGGATGATGACCAAGTTCTATTGATGTTCTGGCTTCCAGCCCCAGACAAATTCGAGAACCGCTACCTCTCGACTGGTGGTGGTGGCATGGCTATCAACAGTGGCAATAGCTCCCTGCCTGGAGGTGTCATGTACGGAGCGGTGTCAGGAGCCACAGATGGTGGATTTGGAAGCTGGGATCTCGACGAAGATGATGCTTTCCTGTTGTCCAATGGAACTGTCAATTATGAAGCTTTGTATATGTTTGGATATAAGGCTCACCACGAGATGTCTGTTATTGGAAAGCAATTTACTCGAAACTTCTTCGGCATGGCAGATAGTGAGAAGCTTTATGCTTACTACCAGGCCTGCTCAGAGGGTGGCCGTGAGGGATGGAGCCAAATCCAGCGATATGATGATTGGGATGGTGCTGTTGTTGGTGCTCCTGCATTCCGATATGCGTTCCAACAAGTTCAGCATCTATGGTCAGATATGGCAATGAAGAACCTTGATTACTACCCACCTCCCTGTGAGTTGGAGAAAATTCTCAATCTGACGATTGCCGCCTGTGATCCACTGGATGGCTTGACCGATGGTGTGGTGTCCAGGACGGATCTTTGCAAGTTACACTACGATCTCGACAAAGCGATCGGGGAGTCCTACTACTGCGCTGCCGAAACCAGCTCCGGTGGTTACAAAAAGAGACAAAGTTCTTCCACACCTGCTCAGAGTGGAAAGATTACAGCCAAAGGTGTGGAACTTGCGGAAGCAATTATAAACGGTATGAAAGATAGCAAAGGGCAACAAGTCTATCTTTCTTACCAGCCATCCTCAACTTGGTCTGATGCTTCTACTTCCTACAACTCGACTACCGACTCCTGGGAGATGAGTGTTAGTGGAATTGGTGGAGACTGGGTTGACCGTTATCTGGATTTAATTGATAGCGAGTCTCTGTCCCTGGATGGTGTCACTGAAGATACTCTGAAGTCATGGATCTATGAGGGCTGGCAGCTATACGACTCTGTCCTCCAAACAACGTGGCCGGATTTGTCTGTCTACCATGGCGCAGGAGGAAAGATTCTTCATGTCCATGGAGAGTCTGACTACAGTGTCCCTACCGCGTCATCGGTGCGTTACTGGGAGTCTGTCCGCAGCGTAATGTATCCCGGCTTGTCCTACACTGCTGGTGCTGCTGAGCTCAATGAGTGGTACCGTCTATATCTGATTCCTGGTGCTGGTCACTGTTCACCAAGTACCGATCAGACAAATGGTCCGTTCCCTCAAACTACACTTCAAGTGCTTATTGAATGGGTTGAGAAGGACAAGGCACCAACAACTTTGCCTGCTACCGTTCTACAGGGCTCGGAGGAGGGCAAAGAGTGGGAGCTATGCGCCTGGCCACTTCGTCCTCTGTGGACAAACAAAGGCACCAAATTTGAATGTGTTTATGACCAAGCTTCTATTGACACATGGCATTGGGATTTGAATGCATGGGATATGCCTGTGTATTAAATGGAGCTTTCTCTGGGAAATCTACTGATGATTGATGCTTGTATCAATTGATCCTCTAGCTACCATAATTATTGTTCTTCAGATTTTAGTCTAATCTATCTTGGAGATTTATGAATTCTGTTCCAGAGACGACCAGTAGCATTTATTATCAAATTCCAGAACTTAAACACCATACAAACCTTGGAAGCTATTGGTCAGTCAAGAGTATCACTACCTAGGTAGTATCTCAGAGGCTACTGAGGAGACTTTCAGTACTGGATGTTAAAATAGATTTTGTTTACGTTATTTTTTAATCTAACCCGTAGATAACTTGATTGACAGACATCTTTCTTCATGATTGAGGAAATTTGGAATACAGTCTACCCAGAATGAGTATAAACAATTTCATCGGCTCATCGCCAGCAGTTGACTTAGGGCGGAACATGAATAAGTTCCGATCATTTTAATCAAGTTCCAAAATCGGTATTCAATGCCGAGTTTCCCATATATAACATGTGGGGAATCGGGGATAATGCGTGGGGAATCTCCACCCGGACATTTTTGAATCATTTTATCATGATCTTTACATATATTCTGACTTTCAAATATTGTCCAAGCGGCCGCCGGCGTGGGGATCTCCACAAACTTGGTATTATAGCTGTTGGGGATGAAAATGGCGAATAATATCATGCCAGTGGACCAGTTCCAACCCTTTGAAGCAGGATTGGGTTCTACCACGGACATGATGCACAGAAATATTCATGTATTCTTGAATTCCGTGGAGGGAAACGATTTGATCCCTGCCAGTGCTAGCGATGTAGTGTGGGAATGGAAGCAATCGCATGAGAGGATTCGAAATATAAGTACTGCAGTGTCACATATTTTCCCATAAAAGGTCGTCAAGGTCGGGTTTCATCTATGTCTTCGGCCATTCAAATGTTGTATCTGCATCATTCTCACCATGATTCAAGCTATTTTGTTCGGATTTCTGGGGCTAACGTCTTTGGCGCTCGCTGACCCTCCATATTATGCTAATTTGACTTGGGAACCAGCCCGTACACTTTCCAACTGGTCGAATCTTACTGTAGAGACCCAGACAGGAACATTTATTGGCATGCTCAATGATACCTATCCTAATGTCCGACAATTCTTGCGTGTTCCGTTCGCTCAGGTGAGGCTCAGCATCCTAGGAGTCATAGTATTAGGGATTATTGAGGGACTGATTTACATCCCTAGCCTCCTCTTGGGGATCTCAGATGGCTTCCTCCACACAGCTTGCCACCATCTTCGAGAAAGATTGATTCGACTCGATATGGCCCCGGTAAGTGAATCAAACCACACCTTCAGTTGGATTATCAGATGGATATACTAATAATTGACCCAGCTTGCCCACAGTATGTTGCCACAGACGATGGTATGTGGTCTGAGTATGAACCAACAAGCCTACTCCTTAACATTGGAGAGAAAGACAACCAAGGAGCAGTTGCTTGGTCTTCTGCTGAGGACTGCCTTTCTCTGGCCGTTTGGACTCCTTCATACGCTAGTAAGACATCAAAGCTGCCTGTGGCTCTATTTGTCACTGGTGGTGGTGGGGTGAGTGGTGGAATTGAGATTCCATCCCAGTTACCGTCTAACTGGGTATCACGTTCTCAAGAACACATCGTGGTCACGATAAACTACCGATTGAATATTTTTGGAAGTGAGTTTGAATATTTATGATGAATCTAGAAATTCTCGGACTAATAGTATGCTCTAGACCCTAAATCTAAAGCCTTGGACGAGACTTCCCTGAGTCTTCTGGATGTACGAGCTGCAGTCGAATGGGTCTCACAAAATATCAAGGCGTTTGGAGGCGATACAGAGAATATCATGGTCAGTGCAAGATGAAAACTATTTTGATTTAAATATCTGATATTTGAATTCTTCAGCTCTGGGGACAATCTCAAGGCGCTGCCCTGACCCATTTATACACTTTGGCCTTCCCCCATGACCCCCTTGTCGCAAAATTTGGCGTCATCTCTCAACCACCCTCCGTGACGATCAATCTAACAGAGACGACTGATGTTTATCAAGATTTCCATATCGTCGCCAAGGGACTCGGATGCAATTATGGAGATGATTATGATGCCGAACTAGAATGCATGCGTCAAGTATCCTGGGTCCAGATCGAAGAATACATCAATCGCTATGACGGTAGTCCTTCGATTGCTTTTACCAACTACATTCGTTCGTTCTATCCAATTTCTCCCTTCAAGATATGGACGCACGGTGTTGGCTAACTTTAACCCAGCGGACGAGAAATACATTTTCTCAAACGAGACCGAGCGCTACCTGAGCGGCCAGGTTGCAAGGGGACCAGCAATCCGATCCGATGCATCAAGAGAGATGGCCGCGACAAATGAAACAGAAGTCAATGAGTTTGAGGGTGAATGGGTTTGTACCGCCTATGATGACAGCATCTTACGGGCCAACCTAGGTCTCACAACTTATCGATACGAATGGGCGGGCAATTTCTCCGATATTAGCCCTGTCTACTATCTTGGAGCGTTCCACTGGTCAGATCTCTTGATGATTTTCGGAACTTATATGACGGAGAAAGGTGAGATCACCGACCTTGAGGTTGCCACGTCAGAAACCATGCAAGATCATCTTCTGGCTTTTCTGAAGGACCCGTGGACAGTGAGTTCCACCGTTGGCTGGCCAGCGTTTAACGCATCGGCGCCACATGGAGGTCTTATCCTTGAATTTGGAAACCAAACCACGGTCAAGAATATCACTGGTGATTTTCTTGAGGCGGGTTGTTGGAATTCGTCCATACCATTCCGAATCTATGAGCCCAGGAATAAAGCACGCACGTGGGTAGCTTAGAACATGTTGCTTAGAGGTTTGCTTTGTCTGAGTCTTGACTTCTAAGGTTTTTTGCGAATAGGACGGTTAGTTCAGGGAGCAGTAATGTTCATTTAACATGTGCCTCGAATAATAAATGCGAATCAATTTATAACGAAAGAGCAAATTCATTTACCCGACTTGTCCTAACAAACTAGGTAGGACTTCCTTCATGTTTTCATAAACCAAAAAGGTGACCCAAGTACTTGGCAGTACACGCAAGAGATTGGGCCCCATGCCTTTATAGAATCCCACAAGCCCTTCGTGGCGCCAAACCTGCTTCATGGCATCTGTGGCACCACTATACAACAAGTGTGCCTCATAGGTCTGTAAACGAGACCTGATAACCTGGTACGGGTATGTGGCACAACCAGCAAAGAGCTTGGAAAGGCCAGATAGAGCCAGAAAATCTATATTGCCCAATTGTCGCGCCTTTGTATTATTCTGCACGTCTCCAGACCCATCCTGTACGGGCCTAGAGCGCCATTTTTTCAAGTGCTCATATGCCATGAATTGGAGAGCACCGTGGCTGACTCCGAATAAGGCGGGAACAAGACCACGATAGAATCCCGGAATACCCTCTGTACAGTAAATCTGCTTTGCGCCTGATACAAAGGAAGGATATGCCCCTGGGGCCTGGGAACCAGTAGCAAGCATTCGGGTCTTGATGACCCAAATCGGATTCGTTAGGATTGAGGTGAGAGCACCTAAAAAAGAGTCATAGGTTAGTCAAGAAGACTGATTTGGGTATTAGAAGTAAGATATACCTGCAGTGCCAGAAGCCAGAAAATAATCGGAGGCAGTGAGCCCTCGTGGGCCTCCTTTATATGAGCCGAGGGCATTCTTAAAACTGCCATAGAAAAGGAAATACAAGGCCCAGCTTGTAGAGTTCCCGACGAGGTTCGGAGCTAATCCGCGGTAAAAAGCAACCAAGCCCCCCTCATTTCGAGCAATATGGTTCATTATTCGTAGAGAGCTACCGAAATGCGATGTAGATGTGCGATCAACTTTAGCAAAGAGGTTTGATCAGCATATGTTCAAAGATAAGAGTTGAGATCTCGTACCTTGGAGTCTGGTCTTCACTAGATCAAGTGGATGCAGGCAGAGTGTTGTGACAACCCCTGCAGTGAACCCTGCTATGGTCTCCACAAAGGATGACGACAAGCCATCTTGGCCCTTCATGAACTCAAGACAATTTTGGCCGAGTTAAAGTCTAGGTAAGAAGCTTTGCATAAGACTTCAATTAGGTCGAGGGAATAGCTAGATGAGTGTATAGCGAAAGAGAAATTATATTGATTTTCTGCCGCAGGCGGAGAGAGCGGAGTTCGGGGGAGAACAGGTTAAAGGGAGAAGCCATTACATAGGGATTCATATATAACAAGATAGAGCTAGATAGCAGGAATTTTGAACCATCAAGAATTTTGTGATCTTAAAAATACAGGGATATAGATCCTGGTTGGAAGTTTTCATGATAAAAAAGCCGTCCATGACAGGGAACCCGGAGAACCGGGAAGTGGATAGAAGAACCTGAAGTCGTTCTCCGTTTCAGGAGATCAGTCCCAGAATCCACATGAATTCATACTCGAATCAAGAGTTACGTGTTTAAGCCAAGGGGGAGAACAGCCTGAATCCGGGATTAGATGATACTTCGCGCGTGGAAGGTATGGGGGAGTAATCGAAGGGTTTTTTTTTTGTTCGAAACGTACTTGAAGAGAGAAGGCTTGGGCTCGCTATAAGAGTAACCTGTTTTGTTTCCATCAGCAAGTAGTCTTCATAAAAATTTTGATAGTAGACCGTACCAAGGTAGATAATGAGAGGGAGGTAGCCGCTGGGGTGCCTCTGATTAGTTCTGGTGTAAGTTGCTAGAGTCCATAGGATGAGGCTCACTAGTGAATGGCGACGCGGGAGATGTCAATGACCTTGGAAACGCGTTCCTAAATGATAGAAAATACTCGTCAGTAATCTTGAAATAGGAAATATACAGGGTGAATGGCAGATTTGAGGTGATTCTTGATAATTTTAGTCGCTACTAACCTTGGTCTCTTCGGAGAACTGAACCATGATGGCGGGAATTAAAGGAAGATAAAAGAGACTAGTAAGAACCCAAAAAATAGGTTCAAGGAGAAATGTAGAAAAGTGATCCCTAAAAGGAAGTTTCAAGATGGATGGTGGTTGGAAGAAGAACGATGGGAGTTGCGGGAGAGAGATGCTCCAGGTTCCAAACTTTTCGGCGCGGAAAACCGATATGCAAGCTCGAGGGATTCTTTCTTCTGCTTAACCCACCACCAATTTACACTACCATCACCACCTTGGTCGCGCACATCTTTCCTCAACCCCTTTGGATTTTCCTTCTTTCTTTATTTCCAACCTTTACTGATTTCTACTCTAACTGGTCGGCGTCATGTCTGGCGCAAGGCATTGGTAAGACCTCCCTCCAGATGTCCGTGCTGAATTTCCCAGAGCTAACCAAGTACAGGGAACAAGACAAGGAGGCGACTGTTTATATCGGAAACTTAGATGAACGTGCATCGGATAGCCTAGTATGGGAGCTCATGCTCCAGGCTGGTCGTATCGTCAACGTCCATCTGCCTAAAGATCGTGTCACGCAATCGCATCAAGGCTACGGCTTCGTGGAATTCATTAGTGAGGAGGATGCAGAATACGCTTCAAGGGTCATGAACGGGATTCGTCTTTTTGGAAAACCTATTCGCGTGAACAAGGCCTCGGCCGACAAACAAAAGTCCGTGGAGATTGGTGCAGAGCTCTTCGTTGGCAATCTCGATCCCATGGTCGCCGAGCAAGTTCTCTACGATACATTCAGTCGCTTTGGCAATCTCATCAGCCTTCCTAAGGTCAGAACCATCCTTGCATTTTGAATGTAATTGGTGATTGTAGGAAAATTACTAACAGCTGCATAGATCGCTCGCGACGATAACAATTTGTCCAAGGGCTATGGATTTGTCTCATTCGCCGATTTCGAGTCTTCCGATGCGGCAATCACCAATATGAACGGACAGTATTTGATGAACAAGCAAGTCTCGGTACAATATGCCTACAAAAAGGATGGTAAAGGAGAGCGACATGGTGACGAAGCAGAACGAATGTTGGCGGCACAAGCACGGAAGCACAATGTTCGGCCGCCAACTCAACAGCCATCTACCCCGATTTCTGGAGCTGGCACAGGTCCCAATGTGACTCCTGCAATCCCCAATGGAGATGGTTCTCGTCCAGTGAGCACCGCTCCCCAGACATCAGAAATGGCCATTGGTCGAGGCATGCCTCCCGTTGGTTACCCCAACGCTCCTCCGCAGCCCCGAGCTGCCCCCAGTGCTCCATCCCTCACCACCCCACCGCCTGGATTGCCTGCTCGCCCACCTCCATCTCAGGCTGGGTACGGAGGGCCCCATTCCTTTGTTCCTCCTGGATTCGGTGGTGCCGGCCAGCAGCAAGCATACCCCCCACAAGGCGTACCGCCGCCCGGCTTTGCTCCGCCTGGGTTTGGGCCACCAAGCGGCGCTCCAGGCGCTCCGCCTCCACTACCACCAGGTTTCCAGCCACCTGGATATGGAGGAGGTCGATGAGTATAATTTCAATCTATTCAATATGGGACATGTTGCCCCTTCAATTGCTCTTCAAATTTAATTCCTCCATCCTGTTGTATAATTGGGTAACGATAACTAAGTGGGCCAAGAAAAAGCTTTTATTTTCATGGGATACCCTATTTACATCTGGCTTATGGCAATCTAGCTATGTCCACAAGCTACCAGTTTATACTAAAAATGAAAGGCATGTGCCCTTAACTAATGAAGAACCAACTCTCGCATCCATGTCTGTCTATGTAAATGACTCGGCAAACATGACTTAGTACTACTGGGAGAATATCTCAATGAATCACTTGCATGGGATTCTGGATACAATCGAGTGCTAGAGGGAAGATAAGAACATATGGAAATACGGCTTATGGGACATGGGAAAGATAAGCAAACCACCGGCTCAATGAGAAAGAAGAAAATTGAATGAATGAATGAATGCACTTCATCTTTGAAGCGAGAGAAAGCGAGAAATCATGAAAACGAGACGAATTTCGGATCCCTCGGACGACCATCCGGACCAATATTATTTCGAGCGAATCGCTGTTCGGTGTAGATTCGTCGAGCCTCATCAAAATTGACTTTGCGATTTCTCATAATCTTCCGTATTTCCTCCTTCGCCCTTTGATCAAGACCAGCTCTGGAATCCCCCTCGGCGATATTAGCGCTGATGTCGAACTGCGACGAACTCAGGCCGGCTTCGAGATCGCTTGTGAAGCTCGAGGGGAGGCGATGGTAGAGTTGATCAGGGGCCGGCAATAAAGGAATCCATCGAGATCGAGTGAGATAAAGACCTGAATGATTTTATCGGGAATTAGTTGGTGGATTCGGACGTGCGAGGGAGAAGGTGTTAGAATTGTGTTGAACTTACTGGTGCCTGAAATGATGACGAAGAACAAGAGCGCATAGAAAAGAGTGTAGGTCATGATGGGCAATGTAGCAGTTTGATGAGCCCAGTATGATCAAAATAAAGGCAAGCGCCCCTAAGAAGGGTAATAAAGGGGGGTGAAATTAATCTCCGCGGTATCTTTGAGATCCGAAGATCCCTAAAGGATCAAGAGCGACTCGCGTTCCGCAATCAGAGTAACATGCATTCGTCATCGGATGTGTGTAGCCTGATATATAAGGCATAAAGCGGACACACGCATTACATAACTAGTTAGTTAATTAACGCTTCCCAAAAGTTTCCTGAATTATCAGGCGTCGAGTCCATTCCCAAAGCAGCGAGCTTAAGCGAGGCTCAATCGGGAAATTATGAATCTCTTCACACAACGCGCAGTGATCCGACCTCTAATCATCCCCATATCAGTTCATCACAATGGCCGCTGAACGCACAAACGTCTCCAACGAGCTGGTCTGGCAACTGACCCGTAAGGCTTCAACTTCGATTTCTACTTCTTGATCTAGAGGCTGATGTGTTAATACAGGCAGCCAGAATGCTTACCTGGTTCGCCGCAACACCGGTGGTGGTTCCCAGTTCTCCCGGGACCCCCTGAACCTGCAGAACAAGCACTCCCTCAAGGTACGTTCTCTTTTTTTTTTTGAAATTCAATTTGGTCTGTTGAGGGTGGAATTGTATGACTAACCCCTCTTTCTATAGTACGCCGGTTTCGCTAACAACAAGGTATCATTTACCACGAATCTTTAAAATGTTGACCACGACGAATTCTAATATTTTACAACAATAGGCCATCGGTGTCCAGGCCGCTGAGAACGGCGGTGTCACCGTTATCGCCAAGAAGGCCTCCACCCCCCAGCAGCCCGGTCAGACCGAGATTGTTGTCAACTACGGCCCCAAGACCTCCACCCGCAAGTAAGGAACCATAACTCTGCAAATCCCCAGTATCTTCGATAACAGAGTCTAATCGCAATTGATAAACAGGATCTACAAGGGTGTTGCTACTCTCGCCGCTAAGAACGGTTACCGTGCCGATGTCCGCGAGGAGGCCGTTGCCCGTGTCAGCGCTATCCGCCAGTCCCAGCAGGCCAAGAAGGATACCCCCGCCAAGAAGGCTCGTGGTGTCAAGGCCCAGGCTGTTGAGGCTTCCGAGTAAATATATGCCTGAAAAGGATGATGTTGCTATGGGGATGAATAATGGGTAGAGTGAGGGCCACCGTGGAAAACAAAAGTTGATTGGCATCCCAGAGATGTTAAATGTTCTGGAATACTATGCCATCAATGGTGGATATATTGGCGGGACCATTCCTGTAAACTATCTAGACAGTAATGTCTCCCGGAAAAAGAGCACCGCTCGATTGGAGCTTTCCCTTTGAGGGAGAGAGACTACAAATCCAAATCCAATGAATGAATCAAGCACATGAAAATATTTCAAGTTGAAGCATATACATGTAAGAGGCATCCGGTCCCGTAAGAGGCATCCGGTCCCGAGGTCTCCGAGATTCTTTACACCACCCGAGTTACATCCTAGCTATGGAGTACTAGGTGTGATGATGACGATTATAAGGTAAAACGCGGAAAAGATCTCAGCCTTGGGAGTGTCATTTATGGAGTAGATATCGTGAATTAAATCCGATATCTGTTAAACCAACCGAGTCGGGCCGAATTGGAGGATGGGGACTATTCATCATTTGAGCCTCGGGTCTGGACCAATGGAGATAAGGGAGAAATCATCGGAGAGAGAGGGGGTATGATGTTATATTTTGAGCGGGCACTGATGGCGTCTGGAATAAGGATTATGATGCAGTTGGTCCCGCCTTTTCCCGAGGTACCGATGATGAAACCCGGGGAGAGAAGCAGGATTCACGGGGAAGACGAGAATCATGCGGGAATTGAACGGAATTGGATCCATCTGGGATCCATTGACACGGGGAACCTTGGGAATGTTGCCTGGTGAGTTTCTTTATTACCGATGGACCTAGGTACATCATGATACTCTATTAGGTATCTATAGGCTATTCTATAGGCAGTCAACTGAGGTATTTCTGCTGTCAAACGCTGACAAACCCAGTCTAAGCCGACTTGAGATGCCGGTATACAGTGAGTGGGTCTCTTATTCAACGACAAGTTTACAAAAAATGCTTCAATATATGCACTGATTTACATCTATTATGCAATATATATGTCTGATTTAAACATAAGATTGATAATATTACATGTCATTTTTCTAATTGTTAGATATCTCTTCAATTTAAGTGGTTGATTAGTATAGATAGATAAGATACTCAATAGGACCCTTAAGAACCTTCAAATTGTTGAGACTATACTCAGATGTAGTACATATTTCATACCGAAGTCCATTTACAGAAAATAGTTATAAAAAAAATTGATAAAAATTAATGTCTAGACATACAAAAGATTCACTAATCTAGCATTTAAATAAGAATAACTCTTTATTATATAGTGTATATTATGTTACAATGTAGTAAAAGCTCCGGAAAGGTCCCAAGATCGGTCCCACCAGCTACCTAAGTGCCTGTGCTCAATTCCGGGGTTTCTTGCTCTACAAAGTTGCCCCTCCGTCCGGTGTACCCCCCACTGTTATAAACCCGGTACCTTCCCCTCTCCCCTCCCCAACATTCTTCCTCATCTCATTCATCCTCAACCCTCATTCATCATGGTTAAAGCTGGTATGTTCATATCATTCACAATCCTATTTATCATCAAACTAATACAATTATATAGCTGTTCTCGGCGCCTCTGGCGGTATTGGCCAGGTACGTTCACGCTGCGGTGATCTATCGAAGCTCTCCTAACCACCCACTCCCATTACTATTTATCTCGGCACCGAGACTAATCAATTCTATCAATATATAGCCCCTCTCCCTCCTGCTTAAGGCTTCCCCTCTCATTGACGAGCTCGCCCTCTACGATGTTGTCAACACTCCCGGTGTTGCCGCTGACCTGTCTCACATCTCCTCCACTGCCGTAGGTCTCTCTATTCAAACATTTCAATAACTATACAGGGAATCAGGATATTAATTAGCCCGACAGAAAATCACCGGCTACCTCCCCAAGGATGATGGCCTGAAGAACGCTCTGACCGGTGCCGACATCGTCGTCATCCCTGCTGGCATTCCCCGTTAGTATCACACGTTTTCCCCCTCTCTTTATAACGCGACCGGGTCACTAAACACGATAATAGGCAAGCCTGGCATGACCCGTGATGACCTCTTCAAGATTAACGCCGGTATTGTCCGTGACCTGGCCACCGGTATTGCCGCGCACAGCCCTAAGGCTTTCGTTCTGGTCATCTCCAACCCCGTTAACTCTACTGTCCCCATTGCCGCCGAGGTCCTCAAGGCCGCCGGTGTCTTTGACCCTAAGCGCCTGTTCGGTGTTACCACCCTGGACGTTGTCCGTGCCGAGACTTTCACCCAGGAGTACTCTGGCAAGAAGGTCCCCTCTGACGCCACTGTCCCTGTTATCGGTGGTCACTCTGGCCCCACCATTGTTCCTCTGTTCAGCAAGGTTTCTCCCAGCTTCGAGATCCCCGCTGACAAGTATGAGGCTTTGGTTAACCGTATGTGATAATCCTTACCTCGAAGTGCTAGCTGTTGCTGGTCGTTGTTTGTCCCATTCACTGACCATTCCAATAGGTGTTCAATTCGGTGGTGATGAGGTTGTGAAGGCCAAGGATGGTGCTGGTTCTGCTACTCTGTCTATGGCTTATGCTGGTTTCCGGTTTGTCGCCCCCTTCTTACCATTGGAAAGGAACGAAGTGCATGTTACTAATGAAGAGTAGATTTGCCGAGGCTGTCATTAAGGCTTTCAAGGGCGAGAAGGGAATTGTTGAGCCTACATTCGTTTACCTACCTGGTGTTACCGGTGGTGATGCTATTGTCAAGGCCACTGGTGTCGAGTTCTTCTCCACCCCCGTGGAGCTGGGCGTAAGTTCTTGACCCTCTTAAAGTGACCCTACAAGACATACATACTAACGTGGAATGCCATAGCCTAACGGTGCCGAGAAGGCTATCAACATGTTGGATGGTATCACTGCCCGTGAGCAGGAGCTCCTAAACGAGTGTATCAAGGGCCTCCAGGGCAACATTGAGACAGGTGTTCAGTTCATCAAGAACCCCGCTACCAAGTAATAAACCCCTCTCCCTTATTCCCCTCCCCTCATCATGGTATCAAATTGATGCCAAGAATACGAAACCCCAACAGTTGAACTGGCTTCAACAATAGCAGAACCTCGCTAATTTCGATTCTCCCGGAAAGATAGGCTTTAAGCGTGAGCATATGAGATTACGAAAACACAAGCATGGAAATCAATTCCCGTATGGTTAGGAGATATCATGAATGCAAACGATGATCAACATCTTTAATAATCAACTCGTTCCTTTTCTTTATTTTGAAAGTAGTTATAATAATTAGATTGAAGAATGCGATTCTTTCTCTGACCAACTGTGAGTAGCTTATCCAAGCCCAGTCCAGCTGGGGAAAAGGCTGTCACAGATAGAAAATGAACTAGGACACAACATCGTAGCTGTCTCATTGGGATAATACACGGATGAATATCCTCTCACGGCCGAACCTGCACTGTTTTGATTTGAAACGTCGCTCCAGGAAGATCTGACGTCTCCGCCTGGACAGTGGTATTGATACCCAGATTCGCAAGCGCACCCCGAATAATCCCACAAGGGAACCATAAGTACTAGAAGGGAAGAAAGATCAGTCATGTTCGATGCCTTGGATTTCAGTTGGAAAGAGCCTCATACAGCCTGTGCCATTGATATGGCCTCACCGCGCACAGCCATACTCATTCGGGCAAATGGCCGGAAAGCACTATCTGTCAATACGTAGACACCCTAAGCCAGCCAGATATTAGTATTGGTATCCCAATCACTCCAAGTAATGGCGTCATCCTATCCCATGAGAAAACATACTCGGTGATTCGTTTTCAAATTATCGACTTGTTTCCTAAACAAAACCGTCCATAAATCCTTACAAAGGAACTTGATAACATCCAGATTATCCGTAAAACGAGGACGATCACGCGAGAATCTATCAAAAATCGGTATTAGCGAATGAACTTCTACACCATGCTGGTATAATCGATTCGAATCACCTTTCCGCAAGACCCTGCCCAACCCTGTATCCTAGCGATTCAAGACGGAAGTATGTACTTTCACGGATCTCTTCATCTTCCAAGTTCTTCTCATTTGTGGAAAATTCTTTGGCTAGACGTTCAGCCATTGGGACTAACTCGATAAGGAGGAAGTCGAAGCAGGAGGAGCTTAGGGCGCGCGCATTTGGATCGGAGATGGTCAGGGAGGCTGACGCATCGAATGACATGTTGAGGATATTCCGGGGAGAGGTATTGTGTATGGTCGGAGTATTAAATAAGTTCCAAGACGTGAAGAGGTGTGGCTTTGGAGGTTGGAGGGGGTTTAAGGATGTTGGCGGAGTGTTTTGGATTATCTCGTTATCTAAGTCCCCTGGGAGTTCCAACTTCCAAAGTTGACCCACTGCCGAGCTCCTCCGCCACATGACTCTCCCACTACAGGAGCTATATCATCATGCATAGGTGCATATACTCTACGGAGTATACGAGTAGTATTATGAAATTGATACGACTGATATATGAACGATAATTAGGAATACATAATACGTGAAATATTACTAACTTTAAGTCATTAACAGATCATTCCATCAATTCCTCGATTGTTCCTGTTTTGTTCAGGATATCAAAGGATGTAACTAAAATCAATAAATAGAAATATTTCAAGACATGTTGAGAAGAATCTGCGCAATTGCCTTGCGTTATTCATAAAGCCCTTGAGAAAATACCCAGATTCACGCCTGTAACACCGTGGCATGATGCGTACGAAACATGATAAAATAAAAGTAAGCTAGAACGGATAAGATGTAGAAGTGAAGGCCGCCAAGAGAGAATTGTGAAGCATTTGACCCATTTAAAGTGAAGGGGGATAAGGTCGTCCATTTAAAGGACTGCTGGCAGGCGGCTGATGAAGATCTTGTGATGAAGGCCCTCGGCCGAAGTTTAGTATTGGCCGTTTTAATGGAGGACCCGGGGATTCATTAATATCATCTTCATCATCACTAGCAGTTAGGTCGATAACCGGCGCGGGACGTTTCTTGCTGGACATTCGAACGGCGGAGGACGGGGTTGATGTTTCTCTGGACTGAGCCGGTGTCCGTTCCAAGAGAATATTCGAAGTTATGGGCTCTTGCTTCACTGTGCCGAGACTGGGTTCACTGATCTCAATGAGATCGTCATCGTCCGTAGTTGGTGTTGTTCCAGCCAGCTTCGCCGCATTGGAATTATCTGGTTGAGACCAGTCTCCATTCGGCTCTACCACGACCTGATCCACGTCTGATTCAGTGGACTTGAGAATTTCATCCACATATCTATTCAAGTCAGTCCAGATTTACAATTATACGGCACGGAAGAAAAAAAAATCAGGGGCGAGATCTTACTGGTCCACTTGTAGAGACTCAAAGCTGGTTGCCTTGGCGCATACAGGACAGGTCCATGTTGGAGCTTGTTTTTGTAGTTGGAGAAAAGATGATGCATCAAAGCATTGGTTATGCGTGCAGACCACAGAGCGACAGGGAACTTGGATGCGGAGGGTGGATAGAGGGCACTTGAGAGACATGATACTCGATGTTGCCACGATGTCGGAATCTTCTGCCCGATTTTTCACTATACTAGTAGTCAGAAACCAGATCTAGATGGACCAATCCCAAAGACATCACTTACTTTCTCGCAGTACCTGCTCCTTGGAGATAAGCTTGCGAGATTTCAACTGGGCAACGAGTTCTTCCACAGGATGTTGTTTAACCATGTTGGCTAAGACAAAGAATTTCTATTTAAAGTGTCAGTAAAAAAAGAAAAATCTCCGAGGAACTTGATCGATCAAGTAGGGCAAAAGAGAGAGTATGTGGATGTGAGAGTGAGTTAAGAAAAGCTTGCCTTTTGGGTCAATGCATATGTCATGACAATGTTATTCGGGTAGTTCACTTTTCTGCGCAGATAGTTCGAGACATCTGCAGGTTGTGTGGTACCTGGCTTATTTTTCAAACCCCGAAGATTGGCTTTGACTTCATCCAAGTTGGCTTTCAACTCCACTTGGTGGGGGAATGCAATGTCAGATTTGGTGAACTGTTTAAGCCCAGAATCGGCAGTACAGTAAACCATCACTCGGAGGTTGGGGTCTTTCTCCAACTCGGCGACGTGTGTCTGAGAGAGGAACACCTTCAGCTCTACACTATCCCGGGTCTGTTCCCGAACTGATGAATGTGAGATACTGATAGTTTGCAAGAGAGAGGCGAGAGGATCTTACTTTTGCATTCCACAACTGGGGTAAGAGGAGCGAGAATAGTGAAGAAGGGACTGTCTTTGAAGATGATAGCACCTGTGACAAATTGTCAGTTATTTCCAGTTTCTAAGCTTGAGACTCGAATGGATGAAGTGAATCAAACCAGAAGTATGTGGATGTGGTGACATAGAGTTCCCTAGTGTAGATCGTGGCTGAGAGGGGGTCTGTTGTGCAGCGGGTGCGTGCTGATACGGGGGGGCTTGGGTTCGCCTGGAAGACTGTCGATCCAGGTATATGCGTCTGTAGAATACGCCGGCGGAGGGCGTCGAACCGGACATTGTTGCCATTTGAGAGACAAAGACGCTCTAGATCTGAAAGATGGGTATATAGGTTAGCCATTGCTATAGAATCTCCCTGGACGACGAGAGAACCGTTCGGAGTGAGGACATCCAAGTGCGCGCAAGATAAGGTTGAGGGGAACGGGCAACGGAGAAGGGATGGGGGAAAGACAAACAATCGATAATGCGCACTTGCAAAGCCGCCTTCAAACCGGAAACTGGAAGACCCTCATTGCGCAAGAGATCTTTTAGCTGTGGGATAGTCAAAGTCTTGATGATAGTCACCAGACGCGGAAGTTCAGAGGACTCGCCGGACGCCATCACGTCTGAAAGAGAAAGGCCTCAGGTGTAATGTACCAGGCCAGATCCTAGGGATTTGCAGACATGCATGTCAATCGAGTCCCGCTGCAGAACTGCAACAAGCTCGAAAATTTTAAGAAAAAAAAGGGCAGAAGTGAAGATCGATCGAGTTTCTCTCTTGTCGCAACTTGTGGTTCACGGATTCCGGGATGATGACATAAGACCGGCGATAAAGAGAGAAAAAAAAGTTGCAAACACAATGCGATTAGCGGCTTTTTCCTTATCGTCCCTTTCAAGTTTCACCCTCTTTGACTTTATTTTCATTCTCCTCTTTACTCATTCCCACTTCAATTCTACAATTTTTCATATTTACTATGGCTAGAAGTATTCGTGCCAGTGTTGGTAAGCGCAACCGTGCCAATTTGCGCAAGGTCTTCTTTGGCCCCGTGGTGGACGCCCGCACCGAGCGACTGGCCGCCAAACTCCAAGAAATCGCATCGCAACCTCGACCCCAGGTTGAGAAGTCCGAGATGGAGTTGGAGGAAGATAAAAATGGTATGTGCGATCCATATGATATGAAGATGTCTTCATTCCTACCTAGGTACCGTCAACGTCTTACTGACTTAATCACAGCCAACCAAAGTTCAGATGCGAAGGATGAGAGTAGGTCCATGGAGTTTTATTATTTTATGAGAGAAATATGAGCATGGCTAACCGATTCCTTGCGTTCTCTACAGAGATGGATGTCGATACCAAGGTTTCAACTTCAAAGACCCGATCTAAGTCCCGGGTGCAGAAGAACAAGAAGCCCCGCAACTCGATTGCTTTCAAGCCTCACCCTGCTAAGGGTAAGGGCATCTCCAAGAGGAAGTGAATATGAACTTTGATTACAACAAGGGAACATATAGGAGAGATACTATATCCCGACACAAGCAGAGGGAAAACGGCGTTGGGAGTCATTCAAAGACATCATATTTTTCTTGCTCCTTATATCATTTTCAGGACTGATTTCTCCTTGATTATATCTTAATGTACTTCGTGTCCTCGAGTGTTCGATTTTCCTATTCTATGTAGTACTGCATATATATGCAACTTGAACATAAGATCATCTTTATCACATATAGACCAAAGAGGTAGAGACGGGGTGGCAACTTGAAGATGCAAACCATGCTTTTTGGCAATTTTCGAGCCATCTCCCAACATATCCATGGATTGTAGCCCACTCTATATTTCATTGAATTATACTAGAGACATGTGATTTAAATACCCACATGTGCATTGAATATTTCATGTTCATAACTATATGAAGAATATAATATATCATGGTATATAAGCCAACTGACCAACTGGTATGATATGAAGGCGGTGTGATCGCCAAGTATCGGCATCATTGTAAACACTTGAACATCGTGAGGACCCAAAACCTCCACGCTCTTAAATGTTCCAATTTATCTTCTCTTTCATGAGGACTCGGAGTGTGTCATGATCACACCGCTAATTAGGTGGGCAATTCTGCTCGCCAATGTTCTAATTTTGGTGGGAATCCTCACTTTCTCTACCGGGTTCTTCCCCTATAAACCACTCCTTCCTGGTCTAGCCACATTTGAAGAAGCAGATTCAGATGTGACTCCGATCTTTGACAAGGTCATTTTTATGGTGGTGGATGCGTTGCGGAGGTATAGTCATTATCACACTCTTAAGTCCCGAGCGGATCGCTAAAAAGGGGGTTCATAGTGATTTTGTTTACTCGAATGAATCGGGATTCTTATTTACTCAAAGGTTGGCCTTGTGATATTTTAAATAAAGTGAGAACATTAAATGCTGACTTTGTTCTAGCTTGATTCGAGCTGGAGCTGGATTGCCATTCACAGCTCATGCCAGTTCTCCAACAGTCACCATGCCTCGATTGAAGGCGATAACCACTGGTTCTGTGCCCTCGTTCTTGGATGTGATTCTAAACATCGCAGAGTCAGATACCAGCTCGACTCTTGCCTACCAGGATACGTGGCTTGCACAACTCAAGGCTCGGGATGATCGACTCGTCATGTATGGAGATGATACGTGGCTTAAACTGTTTCCAGGAATGTTTGATCGAGCAGATGGAACGACCAGCTTTTTTGTTTCTGTCAGTGAAGAGTGACAAATTCCCCTACTTTGGACCTCTGAGCTAATGGATCTTGCCTAAAAGGATTTTACTGAGGTAGATCACAATGTCACTCGGCATGTATCCACTGAGCTGGCAGCGGATGACTGGTCTGCTTTCATTATGCATTACCTTGGTCTTGATCACATCGGCCACAAAGCAGGTCCAAGGAGGTAAGTTTCAACTGTCCATGGATTTTTCCTCTATTAGACAATGTCTGACCCCATCTAGCCCTTTTATGCCATCAAAACACCAAGAGATGGATGCCGTAGTAAAAGAAGTGTATACAGCAATGCAACAAGAGCCTCATCTTCAATCCACATTATTCGTCCTATGTGGAGATCATGGAATGAATGATGCTGGAAACCACGGCGGTTCATCAGCAGGCGAAACTTCCCCTGCATTGTTGTTCATCTCACCCAAATTTGAGACTCTGGGACTCGAGTTAGAAAGTCACACTGAACCATTTGATGAGTTCCAATATTATCGGACTGTTGAACAGGCAGATATCACTCCGACACTGGCTGGATTGCTCGGTCTGCCTATTCCGCTGAACAGTCTGGGAGTATTTATTCCTGAGTTTTTGGATCTGTGGGATTCTGGTATGCTATCTCGATCTCGGACGGGAAAAGGTTACCGGTTCAATTATGCTAACTAATTGGATGCTAGAGTCTCAAAAACTTAGTGTTCTATATCGGAATGCCCGACAATTACTGAATACACTTCAAGCCACTTTTCCTGGCGTCCCGTTTGACCACGAGACCGACTTGAGTTGTCTGGCATCTACAGATTCTGAAATTCAAGACGCGCAGTGTACATGGTCACAAATTCATCGAGTATTAGGTGAAGACGCAACAGATGATACATTTCAAACTGCACGGCCCATTCTAGAGCGATTTTCGCAAATCACTCAGAATGTGATGAGCAGTACCGCCAGTAACTACAACACTTTCAGACTATGGCTAGGCCTTTCCATCACTGGAGTCGCAATGCTCCTTGTTTTGCCCATTGTCTACAAGGATTGTGCCAGATCGACATACGCAGGCGGATTCCTAGCATTTCTGGTACTGGGATATGGGGGTATTATGTTCGCAAGCAGTTATGTTGAAGAAGAGCAGCAATTCTGGTACTGGATTTGTTCAGGTTGGCTGTTCTATCTGCACGCAAAATCAACCTCTTTGAAAAGAAATTCTCATCTCAAAGCCAGAGTTTGCGGCCTCAACTGGGCCCAGATATCCACAGTTGGTCTTCTCGTTTGCCAGCGAGTGCTTCGACGATGGAATCAAACTGGCCAAAAATTTACAGCAGAGCCAGACATCTCTCGCACTTTCTTGCCAGGCCATCTTCCCATTCTGTGGACTCTGATAATTCTCACGTATGCAGATGCTGGTCGGGGTCTTCTTATGAGCCTGCCGTCTTCAATTTTGCCTCAGCTAGGTGCATTGATTCTACCGGCCCTCGCCTTTATGTTCAAATTGAACTTTGTGGCGAATGATTCTCCGGAGCTATTGACTGACTCATTTCTGTGGCGTATTGTGGAGGCATGTCCAAATGCGCTGTCATTGGTGTTCCAGGCAAGAATCGTATTTGCGGGCATTGCATGCTTTATGCTTCTGGAAATCCTCTCGCCGAATCGCCCAGAGAAAACAAAAGGTAGAATTTCACGTCACTTCTCTTCTTGGAAATCTCGGCTGATCTTAATCTAGCATCGAACAAACTCTTCCATGAGGGGCTTAATATGTTTCTGATCACTCAGTCGAGAGCTACAAACCTCCCAATGTTCCTTGTGTTTCGTCTCCAAGCCCTGATGCTGACCACAATGAATTTGAACGGTATTGAGGTGACACTAACGACGCTTGTCATGCAATACATGACATTTTTCGCCTTTGGCGGTTCGAATTCAATCTCTTCATTGGATTTGTCGAGCGCGTACAACGGAGTTGGCAGCTATAGTGTGATCATGGTAGGCGTGTTGATGATTGTGAGCAACTGGGCTGGCCCTATTTGGTGGGTTTCAGAGAGCCAGCTGCTGCGGCCATATCGAACTGTAGAACATCATAGCTCTGCCGCGTTGCTAACCTTCCACGTTGCCGCATCATTGGTATCTGTGATGGCGGCTTGTACAGTATTGAGAGCCCACCTGTTCATTTGGACTGTCTTCTCACCCAAATACTTGTACTCCATGGCATGGGCGATTGTGAATCATCTTATAATCAATCTTGCTGGAGGGATCGGCTTATCCGCTCTTCAGAAGCGATCTATTGGATGAATGCCATGCCATATAGAACTTCCAAATTTGTGCACTATGACCTTCTTCCTGCTTTATGCACCTGCACCTTCTTGCAGACTTGTAACCGTATTTAATCAAACGCCTAGAAAGTTTAGAACAGACCACTGAAAAGGTCATCGATGGCGTCTTTCTTCTTCTTCTTGGTCTTCTTTGCGGGTTTCGCGCTAGATGCTTTCTTCGAAGATTTCTCTTTCTTGGAGGATTCACGTATTTTAGTCGAACCAGGCTGTTCATCCTCTTCACTCCGAGTGATACGCTCACCCCGATCTTCAGATGGAACAGAAACAGGGATTTTCTTTTGTTTCAACTTAGGCACTGCTGCCATTTTGCGATCGGCTCCACTAGCCTTGGCCAGACGTGCCAGTGCCGCCAAAAGGGCTATGCCCAATGTGGAGAACTGGTTCTCAGCGACCACAGTAGAAAATGCCCTGCAATAGTTAGTACGCGTCTTCGCTCTATCATTTGATCCGGAGAGTCTGATGTAAGCTCAGGCCGAACATACTGGTAGCATCGAGGAATTAGATGTGCCGCCAAGTGCTGCTGGTAACGTTCTGCAGCTGCGGAATCAAGCGACTCTAGCTGGGAGGTAATGCGCTTCAGCATTGATAGCCATTTCCACCATTTCGTTCTCTTGTGCTGATTTTTGTTGCGATGATATATCAAATGGAGTATTGAGTGAACGGCTGATATCTCCTGAGTGTCCATAATTCCGGGATGTGAGATGTTTAAATGTTGTCAAGAGGGAGAATTCAACCTTGGAATCGCGGGTCCCACATCTGCCAAGTAATCACTCACCAGTTGACTCCCGATGTCTGTCCCCTACTGCTGTCACCACTCGCACGAAATACAAATTTTACTACTAGTAGTATATTCAAGTTTCATACAGATGCCTCTGGTTTCTACTCAAAGGCACTGGCATGATATACCAGGGAGCTGTATAATAGTATTTCGTTAATAGTGAACATACAGCAGTAGTACTAATCGTCCAAAGTTGGAGGTGGTACTAGGCACACCTGGGCATGTGCATATAGCATGCAACTTGAACTCAAAGAAAGTAGGTTTGAATATATGTACCCGTAGACATCATATTAAAATTGCTACTACATATTTCCAAACTTACAGCTCGAACCTCCAGGAGAAGTAGAAATGTTCCGAGTCACGCTTCAAACTTGGACATTGAATCTGATACATAGGTATCGCCCAAGTCCATCGCGCATGGGAGACTACAGCTCAACAGATGAGGTAAAAGTCAGAGATTAATATGGGTAAAGTAAAAAAGACACTAAAAGATCTCAAATAGCTTGCATAGGTCTAAACTCCTTGTAATTCCAAGGAATAGGCTCAAGCAAGAGAAACTTGAATCGATGTACTCAGCTCAGGCAAAGTCAGAGTGAAGAGATTACAAGGAATGAAAAATAAAGATGAAACCGAACGCTGATACCCTGAGCAGTCCTCGCGAGAGGATGGATTTGATTTGAATTTCAATCCTTTTTTTGGGGGTTTAATTTTTTTTTTTTGTTTTCCTAAGCCCCCAACTACGCCTTCAGCCGTTGGAGAATGGGCGAATCTCCAGACGGAAATCCTAATAGAAGTAGTCAGTTAAAGCCCTGATATTTGATAATATAAAGATCAAACCATACCTCGGTGCTTCCCGTGTTCAGGCTCATCAGGGCATTGAAGCCCTGACGAGTGTCGTGGTATCGCACACGATATATGTGCGTGCTATCCGCAACCCCGACCAGTTGAATATCTCCTGCGGCACCCGCACAGTCAAGCGCCAATCGCAGCCATATTTCTCGAAGGGCTTCGTCGGCGACCAGCTTCGGGCTGCAGCGCATGTCGACCAGAAGGTCCGCGCTCCAACCGAACATACCGGTATCCAAATGAGACTGAGCGTGGAAGTCTTCAACGCCTACAGGTTGAATGAGCCAATTCGGGTACCGTGTCTTCATTTGAGCAATTGTCCGCCGCGCATGTCGGCCATCTGAGATATAAACCCAGAAATGACCGTGCATGCTTACCTCCTCGAGGTAAGGACCCCACACACTTGGACCAGCCTAGTAGATAAGTCAGTGGTTATTCTCTTACTGAACGTAGGAAATGTGACACCAACTACTTACGTTTGTGTGAAAAAAGTTCGCGATCTCAAAAAGTGAACTATGTGTGGAAACATTGGACACGAAGAATCGGCGATCGTAAAACCTAGCAGGTCGATTAAGAGTTCGCGGAGCGTAGTTGTACGGGGCAGCAAATGCATGGATTGAATGATGAGCTCCAGGAATCGAAACAGTTCCAGCAGACTCGGTGTTTCGACCTTGCTCCTGGGTCGACACGAATGATTCACTAAATAAATCAGTTAGTGAGGTCAGATTCCACAATGATTTTCCGAAGGTGGGATTCTTACGCTCGCGTCATGTCGATATCCATGAGAGATGCATCATGGTATCTTTCCTGGGCTGGATTCTCGAGTCTCACTGATCCATATGACTCGAGTTGAGTCTGGCGCGAATTCACAATATGGTGGGATCCACCAGAAGAAGAAATATCCATTGGCTCGGACATGATGACCTAGTTGAGACTGAAATTTTTCAATTTGTTGATGCTTTTGAGCACTAACACATAGAAGATGAAATTAAGGGGAAAGGGAGGGAATGGAAGAGGAGAATTAAGAATTGAAGGATATTTGTAAGATTCAAAGGGGAAGAAAACCAAGACAGGACAGGACGGGCTGGTGTTTTGTTTTGAAGATGCTGTGAAGCTGGATCAAGAAGAAGGTAGTCGAGGAATAGGAATGGCAATAAAAGGGTGGGGGTAAAAGAAAAACAAAGGAAGAAAAAGGAGGGAGATAGCTTGAATACAGAATGGAGAGATTGTGGCCTGAAACGATGCGATTGCAGCGGTGGTCGTCGTGTTGTTTTAGGAAATACTAAATTAAATGGCGGCAGTTCTCTGAGAGGGAGAGATTGCGGCCTAGAATAATGCAATTGCAGGGTAGTTTTTATATTATTCCCTGAGGGAGGTGCCCCTTGAGGGAATGGCCGTTGGATTATAGTGGCCTATATCAAGATACTTGACAGCGGTGCCTTTTAAGGACATGTGAATTGGGCAACCGCCATGCCTCTTGGGAGCACAGATCCCTGTAGTATGTATATATTAGCTTTTGGCAGTTTTTTACAGGATATGGTGTCACCGTAGTATGTGAAGAGCTTTATGACGGCAGCCATCTTCAGGTTATCCTTGAACCTGTGGTGATGGAGAGATGCTGTTACAAATCCGCTGCCCGTGTTGGCGTGTTGGTGTGTGATTCTGTGACCGGAAACGCAAACACGTCTTATGAGCTTCCAGTTTGTTGAGTCATATCTGAAGACCCATCAACATAGTCAGGGGATCAGTTAGGATAATCAACGGTCATAGTCCTCTTGGTGACTCACGAGTTGACCCTTGTGGGAGACTGGTTGATTTTGATAGAGAGGGCATATTTCTTCATTGCAACACCTGCAATATTGGTCAAAATTTGCAACGGTGTAATTGGATGTCCACAGAAGATTCAAAGATGAACAAAGTCAATAGTTCTTTGGTGGACATATTACAACAAAGATAGATATAAAAGTTAGTAAAAATAATCTCCCAATGTGGTAATTGGGCCAAGTTTCACAGATAGTAACATAATTTGCACCTCATTTCCTTCATTGGGTAAAATGCTGGTGCATAGGAGATGAGGATAGTGGATGGTCAAGATATGTCGTTAAACTAGAGTCGAGTGGACTTGGGAAGTTGAGTTAGGGTTATATAGTTCGGCTTAACAATCTTCCCTTCCGACTCACCGCCATCCTCTTTTAGCAAGTGCCAAGAATACCTTCCAGTGTTGTGGCCTTGAGAAGAAGGCACTAAGGCGCCAAGCATGTCATCAGCTATCGCCCTATCGGTCATATCGTCACCTTACTCCAGACCCGGGCTTCCCCAGGCACAACACAAAATGCCCTCCATGGCGCCAGCTCTTCCTGAGCCACATGTCTTGAATCAGGTAAAGACTTAAAGGCGCATTCTTTCTGTTATTAGAAACATAAAAGATCATTTCTGACCTGTCCATGCTTATCCAGATCATCATCTCGCCCTCCGATACCGATTACCTTGATCAACTGATCCCCTCCATAAGAGAATACAGTATCGGCAATCGGACCCCGCAATTGCTTCAATCGCTCTCACGCTTTGCAAGTGACAAAGAGGCAGAAATTGAGAGCATTTGCAATACCAACCACCAGGAATTTGTCTCATCCGTTAATTCATTGCTTCGGATTCGGGAAGGAACTGTGTCCTTGACGGCGGAGATCCTGGACCTCAACCAATCGATTCAGACAAGCACAGAACGTCTGGCGGAACAAAAGAAGGCTCTCGTGGAGTCCAGAGGCCATCGACAGAATATTGATGAGACCTCGCGCGCTATTCAAGATTGCCTGGAAGTGCTCCGCCTAGCCAACCAAGTTCATGACCTTCTGGCCAAGAAGAACCACTATGCAGCTCTCCGAGCGCTTGAGGAGTTGCAAAATGTTCATTTGAAAGGGGTGACTCAGTACAAGATTGCGATCATGATTCAACGCTCGGTACCGGCTACCCAGCGCGCCATCGCTGAAGCGGTCATGTCCGATTTGAATACCTGGCTGTATCGAATCCGTGAGATGTCGCAGTATCTGGGCGAGATTGCACTATTCCACACCGATCAGCGCAAGTCAAGGCTGAAACAAAGGGCAGAGAGTATCCCATATCTGGAACATTTCAACCTGAACTCCGCGATCGAGCTCGTAGCCGATGAAGATGAAGAGTATGATTTACTAGAAAATGAGGACCTACAAGTGGAATTTACCCCGCTCTTTGAGTGTCTGCACATTCACCAATCTTTGGGGCAAATTGAAAAGTTCCGTATCGAATATGCCAACACTCGTCGACGCCAAAAAGATCTCTTGACCCCACCCTCGATTACCCTCATAGACGAGGATGGAGCAAGTCTCCACAACCTTCTAGAGGAAATGGCTGGGTTTGCGATCGTTGAAAGAGCCACCATGAAAAGAGTTCCAGACCTGAGGTCGTCTGTAGATGTATGTCATCCCTCCTCTCTCTTCCCTCTGGCTTTTCCTTGTTCTTCTCCTCATCTGTGACCCTGCGGACCCGACCTTGTTGCTAAGGTAGTATGAGCTGACGCGAATTTGATTAGATTGATGAGCTTTGGGACTCTATGTGCCAAGCTGCGGTCGGCGTAATATCGAAAGCCCTTCACGAGGTAGATAACGCAGAGAATATCTTGAAGATCAAGAATCTGATTGCGCTGTTCATGCAGACAATGAATGTGAGTAATGGGTTATTCTTACATTTTGAATCACAGCTGGGGCAATCTCGTGGTCTGTAACTAATCATGCACTAATACAGACGTGGAATTTCCCGGTCCTTGTATTCGAAGAGTTTCTCCTCAAACTTTTTGAGAAGTATTCTGAACTCTTAAAGAAAAGATTTAGCGATGATTTCCAGGAGGTAAACTTGTTTTCCACCGGATTGAAGCTTCAGTATTATAAACTAACATCATTAGATTGTATCAACGGATGACTACATGCCTATGCCGATTCAGACATTGGAAGAATATGATAAGGTGCTTAACGTGAGCTGGTATAATCCAGGAAAATCTCATGAGGAACTAGTGTATGTTCACAAGGCCGCTCCCTTGTCCTTGACCTACTTGTGACTGACCAAAGAAATAGTTTCCCTTGTATCCTGCCCTTCTCAAGGATGTACCCACTGTGCTGCATTGACATTCGAAACTTCTTAAATCAATTTTACTTCTTCGCAAATGACGATTTCTCCCAACCAGGTGTTATTGACGATACACTCAAGGAGGTAGGTGGCATTGACAGGCTACAATACATCATTGTTCGATATTAACATCGGAAACAGGCACTGGATGATCTTCTTTCACGCAAGGTTTGCGACACATTGGTTGAACGTCTTTCCTCACAATATCTGGGCCAAATTGTTCAAATTCTTATCAATCTAGAGCACTTTGAAGCCGCTTGTCATGAGCTTGAAATGCTTCTTGCAGTTGCAAGGTCTCAGAACTCCACGGGCACGTCCATTGCCCTGAGAGCAACCGAGAAATTCCGCAGCAATAAGAAATCCGCTGAGAAACGTATTTTCGAGGTTGTGAACTCAAAAATTGATGACCTTATCGACTCAGCAGAATACGAATGGATGTCGACAACTCCCCCGACCGAAACAAGCAACTACATGCAGACCTTGACACGTTTCCTTTCCAATATCATGAACTCTACACTCCTGGGCCTGCCCACCGAAATCAAGGAGCTCATTTATTTTGACGCTCTTAGTCATGCAGCTAATATGATTCTGGTACGTTAATCATCTGTTCTTCTCTTGTCAACTATCTATATTACTTAAGCTGACACAATATCACAGGCTCAACCACTGGCCCCGGAGGTCAAAACCATCAATCCCAATGGAGTAGCAGCATTAGCGAACGACGTAGAATATTTGGCTCAATTCGTGGATAGTCTGAATGTTCCAATCCTGCGTGAAAACCTCGACGAGCTTCAGCAGACGGTGCAATTGATGCAGTCAGACAATGCAGATGAGTTCTATGATATCTCAACCCGAAACAAGAAATATGGCCGTGTGGATGCCATGCAGGGCCCAGTTCTTCTTGAAAAGTATGCTTGCTTGATCTTACCATTGGAGAAGACATTTACTGACCTGAATTAGACTTACCCGTAATGTGCAAGCTCCAAGCAAAGTTGACAAGTTCGCGACGCTTTCCGCACGTTTCAAGAAGACATGAGTGAATTCTTCAGTTCTAGGTCTTGGGGGTTCTTGGTCCATAGCATTGCATGGAGTTTTCCACAAGAGTTTACACGCCTCTTCCACAAATTTAACGGCCTCTAGGGTACTGAACCCAAATATTAATGTCTTACCAAGATTCCTCTCATGAATTATAGATAGCCTACGTAAATGCTGTTTGCCTTTATTTATTAAATATGGTAGCCTGCCGACACAGAGATGATGAGGTCTGACTACATCTTTGTCGAGTAAGACCAAGTAGTAAAGGAGACTTACTATCTCATGTTACAGGTGCAGCTTTGCATCTCCTCTCAATTGTATCTACACATTCTGAACTTAGCAAGGAAACGCTTCATATAGTCTTTTTACATGATCCCACCTCCATTTTCTCGGTGTAAGTCTTGCATAGAGCATATGGTAGATAGAATACGGAAGTCAGGCACTATGAAAGATTCGGACCCATGAAGGAGATACAAAGCAGGTCAAAAACAAAACAAAAAAGAAATAAACCCTTATACCCAGGCTTCGCCAGAAAACGCGTACGGACAGACCCTTGAAACAAGATAATAAAGAAAAGAAACATTTCTCCTCGCAGGAGTTCAACTCACTAACCCTTATTAGCTGGATCAAAAGACAATAGAAGGATAGTAGTGATTCATACCTGCTGAGGAGGGAGATGCGGGTAAGCATACATGCCCTCAAACATCTGGGGCTGGGGTTGACCGTATGGAGCGGTGGGGTCTGATTGAACTGGGCCCGGGTACATTGGAGGCTGTGGACGGTATTCCTGTTCCTGTGGCATACCATGCTGTCCGAGGGCTGCATAATCAGCAGGTCCCATGTGAGGCTGAACACCATGCTGAGATGGTGGCAATTGGGCCGCCGAAGGACCCGGGGCACCAGCCTGACTGGATCGCTTAGCGTGAGAGGCCGCTTCCTCTCTCGGGACAATGTCAATTAGGAAATCGAACATGTCAGACTTTGAAAGGGCAGCGGCAATATCCGAGCGCTGCAATGTGCGACGCTTGTTGTCTTCGGCGTGAATCCACGCGCGCATGGTCAACTCCGTGATGAAGATGTCACAGCCCTTGGCAAACAAGATCGGAGCCTCTGCGGAAATCATCTTTACTTCCGGATCAGCTTTCATTACCTTCTTGATACGAGCAAGCGGCAGCTGGTGGATCTTGTAATCGTGGTTTTCGCCTTCCAAATGATTGATGACATGTTGCCAGTAGGTCGTCAGGATATCACGGGCGGTTCCTTGCAAGCCTTGATTCACCTAGTAGGCGGCGTAAGTGACAGTACAAGTTAAGCGGCCTGATCAGAACGTACATTGGCCCAGGTTCCAGTGTATAGCTCGGCGAGGGGGGGCATAGCCTTGGGCTGAAAGCTAATAGATTTCAGGGCTGGTCAGCAATGATTTCCGGACGGTATCCCGCAGTTTCATTTCGAAGTGTAGCGGAGTCTGATTCTGTAGTGTGGAGCATACCTGTGCACTGGCGCCTATTAAAAGAGACCAAAAAGAAAGTGTTAGCCGTGTATCACACGATAGGATAGATTGCGATCATGACATCGGCGCGCTGGACGGAACCAATGCGCGGGAGTACGGTGATGCCCAAAAATAGACGGATGCAATAAAGCGCGCTTACCGTAGTGGCCACCATGCCTTGTGTCATAAACTGGAGGCTCATGCTGTTGTTGGCCCTGCTGTCTACCCTGTTGCTGGCCGGGACCTTGAGGAGCTGGATCCATCACGTTTCGCGTTTCGCGCCCGACGACTATGGGGCGAATAAAGCTGGTGGGTATCGGACCGGAAGTCGCAAGAAGAAACTCAGTTAATCGAAAATTTACTGAGAGGATAGCCCTTGAGTGGAGGGCAATTAATTATCCTATCGGTATCGGTGGTGTTGGAAGGAAGCGCGTCGCCAAGCATAAGCTGTCTGACGCTTTCGGGTCTCCCAACCCCCGCTTCTTTCACGGGAAGCACCTAACTACTAGGGGGGTCAGTTGCTCTATAGACAAACTTGATAGTAGAACATGGTAGTAAATATGAAATTTTTATTTCAAGACTATCAGATTGGATTTACATATTTCAAAGTTGTGGTTTCTAAGAAATCAAAGGAGCAGAAGCTCCAATTGATCAAGTACAATTAGTATGTAGCCCCGGACTTGACGATACCAAGTTGAACACTCGATACATTGGATTCATATAGAGCCGGGCTGTATTTTATATATATTACTGTACTGTCACGTATCAAAAATTTTACGGCTATGTCATGTGATCTCCACCCGGACATAGAGTTCCTCCGACCCGAGGACTCAATAACAGGAAAAAAAAAAACCTATAAAACCCATTCTTCCTCACTTAAACTTTTCAATTCCCACCCTGCATCCACTTTGGTAGGGATGGTTGAGTCAACTCATGTGAAGGTCAACGTCCAACCTCAAGAAGAGGTGGACTTGTCTGATGACCAAATTCAAAAGCTTCTGCTAGAAGCAGAGAGCCGCCTTCGTGGCGAGGATGTTCAACTGCAGGAAGTCGATTCATCCTTCCAGTATGTTTGATCCAATGCTTATGTCTCATCTGGCAAGGAACTAACAACAGTAGCATCCCCAAGCTGTCTTCCGGGCACGCTCTCGAGGCATACGTTCGCGAGAATGATGATATTGCCGTCGTCGATTCCGCCCAGCTGATCGACCAAAAGCAGAAGGAGTTGTCCAACTCATTGCACACCACTCATCAGCCAAAGAAAACAGCTAAAGTGAGTTTCTACCCCTTTGTTGCCCTCCTTTGCCATTTCTTGTTTGCTATGAGGAAAATTATCCCACGCATAAGCACTCGATACAGCGTCCGCAGTCCGTCTTGGCCTGTGCTGTACCAATGAGAGTTTCTTTTTTCATAGTTACTCTGAGCAAACCTACAAAAATCAACTTTTGTTCTTCATCAAGCTATCATTGAGACACTGTCGACTAACAGTCCATCTCTTACAGGAAAAGATCACAGCTGGCCCACAATGGTTCGACCTCCCAAAGACAGAGATGACCACGGAGCTTAAGAGAGATCTTCAGCTCCTGCGAATGCGTTCTGTCCTAGACGCAAAGCGACATTACAAGAAGGACAACGGGAAGTTCAAGCCACCTGAGTTCTCTCAAGTCGGTACCATAATTGAAGGCGCAACCGAGTTCTTCAGTGGTCGTATTGTCAAGAAGGATCGCAAGAAGACCTTCGTCGCGGAGGCGATGGCCTTGGAGAAGGAGAACAGACGCTTCGAGTCCAAGTACCGTGACATCCAGACCAAGAAGACGAGTGGAAAGAAGGCATTCTACAATGACCTCAAGGCCAAACGAAACCGCACAAAGAAGTGATGACGAAGTCAGCATCCAAGTGCAAATGATATATTCAATTACTATCATCACTGCCGGGTGGATTTATATTTCTTCGATCTCACGCTGCTTTCAGCTATCCTCGTGGTCGCTGTGGACTATGTACGACTGAAAACCTTGACAAGGGTTTGTGTCACCAGTTGCTACCATCCGGGTTAGCTGCCAGGTCTTCGGTTGGGATTGAAAAGGGTAGTTCCTTACCTGCATATCCAAAGCCGCTGTGCGACCAGCCTCCAAGACCTCTTCGTGTCCTGCCTTGCCCTCTTCTAGAATTGCGTTGAGCTCACTGGCATCTTTGCCTTGGAGCAATTCCTCATCGCCCCGGGGCACTGGAGTCAACACTGCATTGTTGGTGACCAAGCTGAATGCAAGCACCCGAAGGCCACAGTGCCTTGCCACCACGATCTCTGGCACGGTGGACATTCCCACCACGTCGGCTCCCATCATACGAAGCATTCGGCTTTCAGCTCTTGTTTCGTACCTTTACCAGAACCAGTTAGTAACTCAGACTGAAGGGAATAGTGTTTTGTACTTACGTGGGACCTCCCACGAAGGCATACACTCCTTCGTGCAGTTTTCTTGTTTTCTGCGAAGGAATAATCTCCTTCCATGTTTGGTGAACATGACGACGCAGATCAAGGTCGTATGCATCTGACAGAGGTGGAAAACGAGTACCGAACTCCTCGATATTCGGACCTCTCAAAGGATGTACTCCTGCGAGACCGGCCAAGAAGATGTGCTGAATAGTAGTTAGCAAATATGAATAAAAACTTTGCAACCTAAAAGATTTTCCACTTGCATCATTTAGAAGCATGATATCGCCCACGTCGTAATCCGGGTTCAAGCCTCCAGCCGCATTGGTCACTGGTATCTCGTTAGCTTGATCTGAGTGTTCTCACCTGGGCATGACTCTTTCTGTCCTGGCATATCCGTTTAAACTTACACACAACCGTATTCACACCAAGTAGTTTGAACACACGAATTGGAAAGGTCACTTGGTCCATAGAATTTCCCTCGTAGAAGCTAGCCTACATTAGTCTGTAAACTTACATGGCTGCTGAAAAGAACTTACTGAGCGCGGCCAACCATAAAAACTGCAGGGATCTTCTGACCCAGAAGTCCAAAGACCAACTTGCCCGCATGTCCAGCGACTTCGGTTGGGTGTTAGCCTTTAAGTTTCTCATTCACCTGCCGGGCATAATCTTACCTGTAGGACGGGGGAAATGAGGAATCGATGCATAGTCGTATTCCACACGAGGACCTGCCTGAACGGTGTCTGCTAGTCCACTTAGTCCAGAACCGCAGACGACTGCAACCTGTGGCTTTTGTAGCCCATCGGGAAGTTGGCTAGCCAGGAATGCTACCGCTTGCTGGGTTTGTTCCAGGATAGAGAGAGTAGTTTGATTCATGTTGCAAGTGACTGGGATCCAAGGTGAGTGTAGAGAGAAGAGGGTGCATGATGCATCAAGTTGAAGTGGAGTGGATCTCGAGAATCTTCTGATACTGCGGAGTTGTGTGTGGTTTCATTGGTCGAAGGGAGAAGTCTCGACATTTTCATACATTTTATCCTGTATGTGATACCTGGTGTGTTTGTAACAATCTTGGGATTAAATATCTAATTTCAAGTTGTTAGATTTTTACTAGTAATGGTTTATTCTTTATTCTATAAAGTCTTTATACTATAATCCACCCTAGATGCCCAGGTGGTTGCTAGTGTATGCCAGTGTATGTGATGCCCCAAAGTGAGGGGAAATACAGTGACACTCCGACATTAGAAAACATACATGATTCACAAAAAGAGTCCGATTATAAAGATCTGAACGATCTAGATACTAAATCTATAAAGAATCCATATATATATATATATATAGATTCCAACCCTGGGTCTTTAATTACTGGATCAACCAAATTGACTGAACCAGTTGACAGTCCATGATCGAAAGGCGGTGAAACCGCATCATCAACTGCAACAGAAAAATCCCAACCGCGCAAGAGATCATCAATTAGAATCAATTGACACAATGTTCGCACACAAGACTCGCTCCTTGCTGGGAGCTGGACGAAGCTTCCGAGTATGTCTTCTTCTCACAAATTTTAGGGACTCGTATGCTGACCGAGTGGTGGAAAACTCCAGGTTTCTGTGCCCATCCGTTCTCTATCAACTCCGACTCAACCTATTGCTGCGAGCACAACCTCAGAGACAGTACCTCAATCGACCCCGACTCCCGTGACTCCCGTTGCCGAATCTGCGTAAGACCCCAGATATACATACATTTCGTATTTAGTGGAACACAAATTGATATCGGATTGAATTTAGATCGACACCAGAGACGCCCAAGACCCCCAAGACCCCCAAGACCCCCAAGACCCCGGAGCAGCCTCTCGAATCCCGCGTGAAAGAATGGTCAGTACACTACTCACCGTGACGAACTACACAACTCCGGCATCCCCAGAAATACGCCATACAAAAGCCCAAGCAAAGTACTAACAGATACTAGGTCCGAACGACTAGGCGCTCTGGGTAGTGAAACCCGACTTCCACGAAGCGTGCAAGCGATTTACATGCGCCCCCTCCGAAGAAAGGCCGAATACGGACTTCCAGTCTGCGATCTCCAGCTTCGATCCTACAGCGTTGAGAACGTGGAATTCTTCGCCGATTTCGCCGTCCGCGCCGCCTACTACCTCAACCTCCCCGTCTCCGGACCAGTTCCTCTCCCACGTATCGTGGAACGTTGGACCGTGCCCCGAAGTAACTTCGTTCACAAGAAGAGTCAAGAGAATTTCGAGCGAATCACCCTCCGCCGACTGGTGCAGATTAAGGATGGAAACCCCAAGGCCGTACAGGCTTGGCTTGCTTTCCTCTCGTAAGCACGCATTCTACGGAGTGGGTATGAAGGCTAATGTTTGGGAACACGACAGTCTTGGTATGAATGAGAACTCTGTTAATCTTCAGATCATTATACTAATTTTAATATTTTCACAGATGTTGGCAAGTCCATGGATGAGTCTGTTGCGGAGATCGAGAAGTCCTTGGCTCCTAAGCTTGGACAATTCGGACAGCGCAAGGACAACTCTCCCGACCAAAGCATTTTCGATACCCTGGACAGTGACCGGTTTGCTGAGCGTAAAAACCTCTAGTGGACTTTGATCTGATAGGTGCTTGAGCTTTGCATTTGGGGAATCATTTTGGCGTCTTTCTAGCTTTACCTTTGTTTATCCTGGCTCTCTGGGCCTATGTATTGTATATCTATGTATTATCTTCGATATTGAGGCGGAAGAATCTAAAACAAAATATCTTGAATACTTATTCCAAGAACAATGAGTATATGGTTCCGCAGAAAATGGACCTAGTCTGTGATGAACTGACAGAATCTCTTCCCAATCGAAGACTTCCTTATATCACTGGCAGAGACCCCCACAAGAATATTAGAGGGGAGAGTATTATTTTTTAGCATATAAATCAAAAATAGCACCACAACCACCTGGACATTGATCAGTCCACGTTCATGGTCCTAAATCATCACGTGATAAATGATGTTTTGTACTGCGGAAGAACAAGAATCCCTCCCTAACTTGTAAAGGAATATCACCTTGAGTGTATACTCATTTCAAGATGAGTACCATGCTCCGTCATCATGCCAGTAAAGCTGGTCGGTCACTTGGTGGACAAGTATCCCAGATCCGTAGCCAACCCTCCCAATGGCATCGCATGAGTTCATCAAGCTCAACCTCCACTCCGGCACCGGTCATCTTTTCAGGAATTCAACCAACAGGCGTTCCACACCTTGGAAATTATCTAGGCGCGCTGCACCAGTGGGTGAAATTACAGAATGAGGCGACTCCAGAAACAAAATTACTCTTTTCCATCGTGGATCTGCACGCGTTGACGGTCCCGCAGGAGGCTGCTCAATTGAGGAAATGGAGGAAGGAGGCATTTGCGACTTTGCTTGCGGTGGGATTGGATCCTAAGAGATCGACGATTTTTTATCAGTCTGATGTAAGAAATTCAGGTTATATCAAGGTTGTGAGCTGGACTGATCGATTACTTAGGTGCCAACTCATGCCGAGTTGATGTGGATTTTAAGCACTGTAGCGTCTATGGGATACCTTTCAAGAATGACTCAGTGGAAGGTAAGATTGAGATTTTTTTCATATAAATCCGTCCGTTTTTGGGATTATCTACTAGTCAATTTGCTAATTGAGTCACAGAGTAAGCTACAATTACCAGAAGATACTACTCTAGAGGATTCAGAGGCTCGGGCTCAATTACGTCTTGGACTTTTCTCATACCCCGTGCTCCAAGCCGCCGATATTCTTGTCCACAGGTAACTATTCCTCATAATTTATCAACTTACACATACTCACCATCACTAGGGCCACTCGTGTCCCCGTCGGCGAAGACCAAAGACAGCATCTTGAATTCTCAAGATATACAGCAAACAGCTTCAACCATATTTATGGGGATATCTTCCCCATCCCAGAGGCTTTAATCTGTAAGAATTCCTCATTTTAAGAAGTTACACCTCGCACTAACCAAACTCAGCACCTGCAAAGCGAGTAATGTCTCTAAAAGAGCCCACATCCAAGATGTCAAAATCGCACGCCGATGAACGGTCCCGAATTATCTTAACCGATTCACCCGAACAGATCCACAAAAAGGTGAAGGTAGCTTTGACCGACTCCGAGCCCACAATCACCTATGATCCGGCTCGCCGACCGGGCGTTTCCAATCTCATTGAAATCCTCAGCCATGTTGAAGGAGTCACATGTGAAGAAATCGCCACAGAGTACCAATCCGCGAGTCTGCGCACCTTAAAGGAGCATGTAGCAGATCGTATCGCGAATCATCTTAGTGAAATTCGCGAGCGATATACTGAGATCATGGATGACCGGACCGGACTCCTTGATAGTGTTGCTCAGCAAGGAGCGGAAGCAGCACAAGCTAATGCTCGTCGAACGATGACCAAGGTTCGAAAAGCGATGGGCTTGTAAGATAATTGTAAGAGAGACGCGCTGTTCATTGTACATCACCATAAAGCCATCCTAATGTGGCAGATACTGTGGCGGATTCCAAGGTTGTCACTGCCGATCTTTGTATATTAAATATTCCCGAAATAGAGTCCGAGTCCCATGAAGTACCAGTACAAGGCACGATGCGGGGTCCTATCATGATATTCTACTAGTACCAGACTTGAAATAACAAGATCATGTACTTAGTAAAAGGATTTTATTAGATTCTACGGCCGGATGAGAGTTTTCTTTCGAATTTTGACGAGGCTCTTTCCAAGGCTCAGTGAGTAGGGATTTCTGCGCATAATGGATGTAAAGAAAGAACTGACCTCAAGTCGAATTCTTTCAAATGTTGAAACACCAGTTGTAACTCCATATAACATAGATATCTTTAGATACGTATGTAATATGAGTGATGATGGGATAAAAGAAAGATACTAGCAAGAGCTTAGGCTGTCTTAAGTTAGATGAAACAGCCTGTAAAATAACTCTTGGAGGTGCCCAGGTGGCTTCTGTATACTAGTAATGCTTCTAACAGGCTTGGGAGGTTTTTCTTTCCCAAGGAAAGCCTCGGATCTTTCAAGTTTCAAGTTACTCCAATTTATAGATAGTCATATATTCTTTTATAGTTTAGTATCCAAGATCTGGCTATCCTGCGTTCTTTGAATACTCAGATGTCTCTCTCGGTATCTCACACATCAATGAAATAGCCCAAAGAACAGGCAAAGGGTGGTATGATACAGACTATTGAGAAAAGAGCAACCCAGCAACATTTGAAACAAAAAATGACACAAGTCAAGCCTTTCAAGCACTTGAGCTTCAGATAACTATTTTAAGCCTAAAAAATGGAGCGAAAGCTGCATGTGTAGGTAATGAAAGATATAAAAGCCTCAGAATCCTCCAGACGTCAGGGGGCTTCCAAGGTTCAAGTTCAAGCTCAAGTCGCAGAACAATCCACAAAGTACAAAATACACCAGGTCACGGTACATATACCACGCAATATATAGACTTGAAGCGCGACATTATGGATCAACATGGCAATTTGAAGAAAGACAAGGGGAATCCCCTCTTAAAATCGCCACAGGAAGAGCACTGGCAAGAGCATCATGATAGTAGTATCTCATGGAAAATCAACAGCCAACTTAAAGGACTTAGACATTTGTGGCAGCGACATATATTTGACCGCGACCATCCAATACAACCTGCACCAATCAACTGGGATTTACTCATATTCTCGCGTCAGCAAGAGCGAGAGCTTATCTCGAAACAAATCGACTTATACCTTTTCAAATTTAGAATGTGCTGGGACAAATTGGACTATCCGATGGGAGAGGCAAAGAAGCACAGGGAAGAGATCACTCAATCCCTTTTTCAAATGCAGGAAGCACGAAACAAGTCTACACAAGGGCTTGATGACAAGCAAGACATGGACGATTACAAGTCTTCCAGCTTATATGTAAGCCTGGTGCGGACACAGCAAGAGTTTCAAGAGTCTATCTCGAAGTCAATTGACCTTCAAATTTGGAGTCTTGAAGGGTGGCAGGATACCTTGAACTGGAACCATGATTTCCATAACAACTGGACGGAAGAGGCGAATAAGCAAAAGGAAGCGATGATTCGAATCACTACTGAGTTGCAGGAAGCACGAAATGAATGCATCCAAGGGCTTGAGTATCTTCTAGTACAATATGTTGGGATACAAAAATAGACATTGACACAATCACTCCGAGTGCCTTATATCTGTTGACTGTATCGATGCTATTATGCTGTCGATGCTATTATGCTATTTTTGTATTTCAAATATACTGCGCTTTGTCACTCTTCTTTCATTACACACTCAAATGTTGATCAGGGTCCTACATAAGTTGAAACATGGAACTAGACGAATGAGCCTTCAAATGTTAATTTGTTCGCTGTTACCTAGGTATATTCTAAAGTTTTATTATATATGGCCTAAAATATTTCCTTATCCATTAGTACCAAATTTAAACTCAGTAATAACATAATATAACATTTGGACTACGTGAAATACATGTAGTTATTATCAAGGAATTATTATATAGCACACTGCAGGGTCTTTACGAAGAATTCCCTACATGTCCCACACTGACAAGGCTGTTTCCCCCATAGGAAAATTCACGAGGCAATAGATAATCAATCCAGGACAGGATTCACTTAAAGTTGGCATTTCTTTCAGGTCGGGTTACAAGTTACAACTCACAACCACGCTTTCTTGCCTGACGCTAGCTTCATGGAGAAGAATCACGAGAAGGGGTATAATAACAAGGATTATATCCCACCGGTGCAATCATGATTCATGACCGGCCTCGCGAATTCAGCCCCCCTGTACGGAGTACCTACAGTGTCTGCCCAGGTGACATGCAAATATTTGAAATTTGGCCGTATTACGATATCGGAAGACTTCAAGGGTTATGTACTTTACAAAACACACTTGAAATGCCGAGTGATTCAACTACATTCAAATGTTTTTCATATATCCTGCCTGATTAGAGATACCTATTTTAAAATGTACCCTAGGTACCTAAGTAGTGTAAGAGCCTCCTAATGAGCACGGACCTACACCCCCTCTCGCCCCGATAGCTCAGCCTCAAATTGCTGCTGGCCTCCAGGGCTATGTTCTGCACATGAGAGTATGATCAATGCACTACATAAAAGGCGGAAAAGCCGGCCCTCCTCTTGGTTGCCTTGTTTTGTTTCGTTCTCTTATAAAGACTTGGAGCAGGAAAATCTTCAAGTTGGAAACTACCAGCTTTATCATTACTGATCCTCTTCTGGCACACATGTCTTATTCGCTACGCTAAGATTGCTTCTTCGTGCAACTTGACATTTACATAATCACTGATGGATCCTCTTTCAATCGCTTCAGGCGTCATCGCAGTGCTGCAAGCTGCCAGTACCACGTCTCAAGGACTCCAAAAGCTCTGGGAACTGCGACGGGCCCTCGAGGACTTCCTTATATTGACCAACGAGGTATGGTCATCTAATATAGAAAACATCTCAGCGACGAGACTTTCCACTATTTTGTGACTTCCCTTATCCAGTTTGATACTAACTACCAAAGGTCTCGGAGCTCCGAGTCGTCCTCTGCGTCCTCGAAACCTCTCTGAAGTCGCTCTCGGCGGATACCCAAGACCAAACTGTGCAAGAAATCCTGCATAGCCTAACGAAAAGTTGGGACGATGCTGTCAAGGTGCTGTCTGATATCGACAGCCTCGTGCGGGACAAGCTGCACAAGAACCATAATACTTGGGACCAAGAACGACAAAATGAGCAGCCATATGAACCGTTTGCCTCTTCCTCCGCATCTCCGATCTCTTCTTTGTCGAGACCAAAGCTGTCGAAAAGGGGGTGGTTATTCCATCGATCCAAAATTTTAAAGCTGCAGCGGCGACTGCGAGACATTATCAATGTGCTCAACATCTGCACCGCCGCACTAGCGAACTTGCAATCGACAAGCGCAAAAGGGAAAAGCGAGAGAAATCAGGTTTTTATCACAAACCACGTTATCCAAAATATTTCGACCACCGTCCCTTCCGCTCGCGATATCGCCCAGCGTAATGATGCTTCAGATCCTCGCTCGATCTCTGATCAACTCAGTCTAGTGATCGAAAAGGCAGGTCGAGAGATACAGCAGGAGGAACCATTATCCTCATCGTCGTCGTCTCCTCTTACACTACAGTCTTCGCAGGAGTCTGAACGCCTAAATTTTAAAGACGAAAATGCACCCAGCAACGACTCAAGTCTATTCTGCATCACGACAAGCCTAGCCATTGAAAAGTGCGAGCCATTCTGCTCTTGCCAATGCCACATCCGTACCAGCATCCAGTCACCGTCCTGGGCCCGCTCAATTCTCGGCTCATTTGTCCTGCACACGAATTCAAATATTCTCGTGGATCGCCGGCCATGCAATTACCGACGGTGCAAACGGAACGGCGAGGCCAGCACGCGCTTTACTTTCTATGCGCCATCGTGGCTGCTACGGCGAGCGGTATCAGTGACGGCCTCAAAGGGGGCGGGTCTCGACCCAGCGTCGTTTTCAATGTTCTTAAAAGTTCCGCATGTTTTGCCAGCAAATGCGGAGATCTTAAAGGCGATTGAGTACGCCGATACGGAGAAGATCAAAGCTATGTTGCTGAACAGGATGATATCGCCGCATGATATTGATGAATCTGGACTGTCGTTGCTCTCGGTGCGTCAAGAATTTCGAAAGCTGATTGACGGTATGCTAACTTTGTATTAGCACCCTATAGGCAGAAGCTGGGATCACCATGCCGCCAGCTTGTTCATCCAAGCCGGAGCCGACCGGTTCTATCGGGATAGATACGGCTTGTAAATTCTCCCCCTAAACATTTATCTCATTCAGCCTTTTCGTAATCGAAAGAAACTAAATTACCTCATTATACAGCCCAGCAATCTACCGCGGCCTCTGTGCCTTTCTCCAAAGGCAGCGGCTAGCTTCCACATTACCAGAGGAGCTGCATGACCTACGCATTCTCTTCGCAGATGAAGATTCACTAGAACAATTCGAATTCACGCCCCTCCACCGTGCGGTTCTTGGTCTTTCGCCATTTGGCGTATCCACGGCACTCGCGATTAACCCACTCGACGTCGACACGTCCGACACATGCGGCCGCGTGCCGATTATGTGGGCGGCGTGGCTCGGAGACGTTGTATCTATCGAGGCCTTGATCACCGCAGGTGCCGATGTAGATAAGCCGGACGGTCTGGGTCGAACGGCGCTGCTTGAAGCTGTTTGGGCCGGCGAAATCGAGTGTGTCAGATTACTACTTCGCGCGGGGGCTTCTGCCTCAACGGCAACGAAGGAGGGCGATGCACCAATTCATATCGCAAGTTATGCGGACACGTGTGGTGTGGAGATGATCTCTTTGCTACTCGAATATGGCGCGGATGTTAGTATGAGAGATGCGGCGGGTCAAACGCCACTGCATCGGGTCGGTGCTGGTGGCAGCGGTACAGGTGGAGTGGGAACTGACAAGAAGGCTGAGATCCTCGTGCAACATGGCGCTAACGTGAATGCCAGAGACCTGAGCGGTAAAAGTCCTTTGCATAGTGCGTTGGTTTCGGCAAACACGTCGGTTGCACGCGGGCTGCTTGCCAGAGGCGCGGAGATTGATGATAGCACGCGAGACTCCAACGCGTGCAGTACGCTGCAAATAATCTGTTGGTACTTTTGCGTCGAGGTTGGTGAAATGCTGATCGAAGCGGCAAAGGAGGCATTGATGGTGGAAGTTGACCTTGCGGTTGAACATGAAGGTCATGATTTGGAGCACTGCTTTCGTAGTTGCAGAGCGTATACTGGCCGAGTTTTGCATCTCGAAGAAGAGGAATCAGTATTTATGAGGTTGATTGACGCTATTACGGAAAGTCAAGCGTAGTTTAGTACTGACTTGCTGGCGTCCCACGTTATTACGCTCCGTTGAATTTCAGCAGATTCTTTACGCCCATATTCAGGGCTAGATATTGTCTGTTCTTCATTCAAGTCGTAAAGACTCAATGATGATAAAATATCCATGCATGCGTACTAGTATTTTCTTTCCATGTAAAATACTCCCCTTTCAGCTCAACTGTGTACATACAAAGCTATCGAATTGTGATACTTATTCTTTGATAATAACCTGGAAACTTCAACGAATATCTAGTTTTATCAAACGATTGGAAGTTCAATAGATGGATGCTTCCAAGGTTAGACCTACTTAGTGAGCAAAAGCCGACATAGGTAGTATCTTTACTGTGTTAAAGATAGTATATGTCCAGGTGGTGTACTTAAATGCGTTCTTTGGCAAGCAGAAGCCTCAAGTATTCAACTTGAAGTTTCAAGTTACTCCATCCAATTTAGATAGTCATATATTCTTTTGTAGATATACTATCCAAAATTTGACTACCCTGCATTCTTTGAATATTTCTCTGAGTGTCTCATATATCAATAAACATTTGAAACATTTGAAATATCCCAAAGAACAGCACTTGAGAGCAAAGGGGACCTGATACGGACGGGAAAAGAGAATTGACAAAGAAAAACTTCAAGTTGAAGAACCCAACACCATTTGAAACAATTTGAAAAAAATGGCACAACATTGAAGTCAAAGCCTTCAAAGCCTTCAAGCTCAAACATATGGATGTTTAAGGCTAGAACATTTTGAAGATGGAGTGAGAGGGGGTAAGAAAAACGTATAAGTACCTTGGAATCCTCCCGATGTCCAGATATCCAGATACCAGATACCAGGACTTCAAGTTCAAGTTCAAGTTCAAGTTGCAGAAACATTCAAAATCCACACAGTAACATACATATATACACAGTATGGATAATTCCCGCATACATAGACGAGCTACGGAAAACGTGGGATTCCAACGTAAAGAGGATGCAGGAACAGCAAGAGGTTATCTCGATGGAAATCGTCCAAAAAACTTTTAACATTGGATGATAGCTAGTACCAGGAAAAGTCGGCTGGTGGTTTGACCATTTTGAACAGTCCGACGGCAGAGGCGAAGAAACACAAGGAAAAGCTCACTCAAATCATCTCTCAACTGCGGGAAGAACGAAACTTGAACAAGTCCACACAACCTGAAGAACCGTAGCTTGATGACAAGAAAGATGACTCCAACTACCATATATTTCTGGTACGGCAACAGCATAAGTTTGAAAAGATTTTCGAAAAGGAAATCGACAAACAAATTCGCGAACTTGAAGCCCGGCAGTATGCATGTCGTTTGGACTATGGCAAGTATACGGAAGAGGCGAAGAAGCACAATGAAGCGATGAATCGAATCATTATTCAATTGCTGGAAGACCGAAAGAAGTGCATCCAAGTGTTTGAGGATCTTCTAGTACAATACGTTGGAATACAAAAATAAACTTACATCTGTTGTATCGATGCTACTACCTAGGTAGTATTGTGATGTTCCAATGTTGATCAGGGTCCAACATAGATGGAACTCGAATAAGCCTCAATTGGTTCACCGTTATATCTGTTATATCTGTTATATCTGTTATATCTGTTATATCTGTTATATCTGTTATATCTGTTATATCTGTTATATCTGTTATTGAGTTTTAGGGGTATCACTTTCAAGTTGGCCCCATATTGTGGATTTTAAATGCGTATCGTATTCCTGTTGCATTCAAGTTCAAGTTCTAAATTTATAACCTTGGAATTTACAGTTAGTCTGATATCATTCAAATGTTATTCTCAAGTACTGATATCCTTTTAAATGTTCTAGTAGTCAACCAGTTGACTAGTACTCTATGAGATGTATAATATGCTCTTGATGCACATGTGCATGCATTATTGCCCCAGCCCCACCTATTAGTGAGATCAATAATACTAGCAGTACATATGGTAAGTCAAATATTACGAGTACTCCGTACTAGACATCTGGATATTCCTTGGTTCATGGAAGTTATATATAGAAACATGGATACCTAGTACTAGTTAGTGGAGAGTATTCAATGTTGAAGACATCTATAGTATATACTACATAGGTACTATACGATAAGTAGGGTTGAGTCCCTATTTAGTACATATGTGTATGAATTTATTTCAACTTGAACTTGGACTTGAACTTGAAGTAAATAGAATAAAATAATTAATTAGATCAATACTAGTCCAGATGTCTCCTCTTTCTTAATTGTGCGAATCTGCCCAGTGGTACGTACACTAGTAAAAGTGGATCATCATCTATCCGCGTCATCAAGACTCCCCAACTTTCCAACCACGTACGTTGCATACGTACTCTCCCGCCTCATGGCGCCTCCGTTCCGTTTTTCTTTCAATTCAAGTTTTCAATTACCGAGTGTTTCACATATTGAATGAGGATTTACAATGAAAATGGAAATGATATACAACACTCCATATATCATTCCGAATCACTCTCGGTACCCTGTTCCTGATCTCCCCCCATGTCAACCGCCCAGTCTAACCAAAAGTGGTGACGCGCTTTCACTGTGGGTCATTCGTCAGCGCCTTACCCGTAGGCGTATGGATTCCAAGAATCATTTGAATGGTGTCCACCGCAGGCAGAGAGATCCACTAACCTGACCCACTATTGTGCAATTCTATGGGGGCAATGGGCCCCGGCTCAGTCGGAAAACTGAAAATGGAACTGAAAATCATGGGAAAGATGCAATAAAAAGAAGAGAAAAAAAAATAAGTCTCCAATCTGGGGACGATGCCATCAGGATTTTAATGGCACAGCCGCATCCACCAGACCCTGGACCACTTATTATAACTCCATTCGCGTCGTCGTGGGAAATTCTTTTTCCCACCTAATTCCTCTTTTTCTTTCCTCCCTCCAATACCTACTACATATTCTCTCCGTACCCTTTTTCCTTGGAACGGTGATCTACATCGTGGATAGTAACCCCTGAAAAACGACCTGACAGCTATAAACTCAATTCACGGAATTCATCAGGGTAAAAAAAGAAAGAAGGAAAGGATATTGCCGATCGCCAATTCGACATTCTGGGGAAGAAACACCAGAAGTTCCCCGAAATCTATAGAGTCGCCTCAAGAAACGAAATTACGAACAAAATGAAGAGTTCACTCTTGTCACTGGCCACATTGGTTCTTCCTGCTCTGGGTGAATTGACTCTACGCAAGAGAGATGTGCCAGCCGTTGTTGGATTCGATATTAAGCGGAAAGATATTCCCAATCCTATTGCGCGAGATCAAGCTCGACGGAAGCGGGCGGATACTGTCAGCGTAACCTTGCAGAATGAGGTATGTGGACGAAGAATGGATGCATCATGACATGATCTTTCATCAGAAATAAAAATATGTGTGAAACATTTGAGAATAAAACTGACCTCAATCATATAGGAATACATCTATTTGTGTAATGTCACTCTCGGTTCCCCTGGACAAACCTTGTACCTGGTCCTCGACACTGGTAGTAGTGATCTCTGGGTGAATACCCCCAACTCTACCTTTTGCGAGGAGAATTCGAGTGCTTGTAACTATTACGGTACATACAATGCTTCCAAATCATCGACATACGCCTACGTCAACTCCGACTTTAACATTAGCTACGCCGATGGATCCGGTGCGTCTGGTTACTACGCTACGGAGACCCTCACTATTGGTGGTACCGAAATCACAGATCTCCAATTCGGTATTGGTTATGAATCCTCATCAGAGGGTGAGTACTTGAATCACATTGTGAAAAAAAAATCATATGAACATTCGAATCTAACTTTTACAAAAGAGGGTGTTTTGGGTATTGGATACATCACAAATGAAGCTCTAGTTAGCACCGAGGACACCACATACGCCAACTTACCCAAAACAATGGTCAACAAGGGATTAATCAAGTCCAACGCCTACAGTCTCTGGTTAAACGATCTCGACTCGAACGAAGGCTCCATTCTATTCGGAGGTGTCAACACCGAAAAGTACCACGGTTCTCTCTCAACCCTACCAATCGATAAGACTGGAAATGAATACAGCGCATTCTACATCACCCTGACCGGAGTATCCGTGACCAACTCCTCCGGAACCACAAACTACTCCTCCAGCGCATTCCCAGCCGCAGCTTTACTTGACTCCGGTAGTTCACTGACCTACCTTCCGAATGGAGTTGTCGAAGATATCTACGATGTACTAGGCGTCAGTTACGACGAACAACTCGGCTACGGATTTATCGCCTGCAGCGCCGCTAAGAAAGATGTCAATATTTCCTACACCTTCTCATCACCCGTGATCAATGTCGGTATCGCCGAACTTGTCCTGGATATCGGTAACGACGAATACTTCAGCAACGGCGAACAAGCATGTGCATTTGGAATTGCGCCCGCTGGTGAAAGTTCGCCCGTTCTTGGAGATACCTTCTTGCGCAGTGCATACGTGGTGTACGATCTTGCGAATAACGAGATCTCTTTGGCCAATACCAAGTTCGGTTCGACGGGTTCGAACATTGAGGAGATTGGATCTGGATCGGACTCTGTCCCTGATTCTACTTCGGTTGCTAATGCCGTTACGACAGTTGTTGCTGGAGGTGGTTCGGGTAACATTGGTGTTCCTACTGGTGAGGTTACCATTGTTGGTAGCAAGAATCCCGCTCCTCCAGGACCTACTCACATGCCCAGGAATATGGCATTGGGTTTGGCAGGAGCTGCACTCCTTATCCTGTAGATGATAGTGTTGAATTTGGATTTTTAGATTTTGCATGTTTCGCGGTGCATTGGAGTCGGGAATACCTGGATACATTCGTTTTTGTCTTTTTTCTGTTGATAAACAACTTTATGTGATATGATTCAATATATACAACCAATTACAAACTGAATATTCAGTGATCAATGAAACCGAGTTCAAATAGGTACTTTAAAACTGGAGTAGAAGAAGTCAACTGGCACTAGAACTGTGGACCGCCTTGGCTACGCCTTGGCATAATTGTTAAACTTGTACTTTAATTCTACTTTACCTCCCGTCTACTATCAACATTGAAGACAATTATGCCACGATTACCAACCTCCTTACTCATTAATGCATACCGAGAGAATCCACTCCTTCCATCGCTTCTTCGGGAATGCCGCTCACTAGTATCAGCTCGGAACGAGTTGCGATGGCTTCGAGAGCGCGCACAGCGTGATAGCCCGGAATGGCGAACGCGCCTAAGAGCAATGTGTCGGCAACGTTCTAAGGGGGGTTCCACTGCAATATATCCTTGGAGATCAACCATTTGGTGAACTTGAGATCCTCTGTGAGCGGGGAGTATTAATTCCAAGGTTTGATTCTCCCTCTTTATCTTGACTTAATTTGTAACCAGATACTAACCGTAACTAGATCGGATACTGAATCGTTTACCAACGAAGCAGCCAAGATAATTCATGAAATGGCAAAGAGCAAAAATGAACCTTCAAGAACGAGTGATCTCCGAGTTCTAGACCTATGCACAGGGACAGGCTGCATCGCACTTCTATTACACCAACTCGTATCACCAAACTTCAAGCATTTAAAAATTATCGGCGTGGATATAAGTCCCCTAGCCTTGAACCTCGCACAAAGGAATCTCGCCTATAACCTTGAGCAAGGGTACTTAGCTGAATCCGCTGGTACGCAAGTTCAATTCCAACGCGCGGATGTCCTGTCCCAGGGGTCCTCCGAGTCCATACCAACGGTAGAAGGGATTTTACCAAAGCTTTATGAACTTGATCTACCCAAGTCTAACGAAACTGGATCTGAAATCGAAACCGAAGTCAGACTGGATTTACTAATCTCCAATCCACCCTACATCTCCAACAAGGACTTCTGGAACGGAACCACATCAAGAAGTGTACGTCGATTCGAGCCACAACTAGCACTCGTACCACCACCACAACCTGCACTACCAGATGAATGTAACGCCGAGGATATATTCTATCATCATATTCTTCGACTCTCACTGAAATCCTTGGCAAGGGTTACTGTGTTAGAGTGCGGGGATATCATGCAAGCGCGTCAGGTTGTCAAGATGCACGATAGCATGACTCAAGCTCTAGCTCAATCGGGCAGGGAATTCAAGTTTGATGTAAGGATATGGCCGGAAACTGAGCGGGAGTGTGCTGAGAATGGGTTTCATTTGTATGATGGGGCGCGGTGTGTTATTATTCGGCGAATGTAATATGATTTATGTATGATAATGGGGCGCTACTGTGGTTACACTGCATAGTAGCCATATGCACATGTGTACGCTGCCCAGGTGTACGATATTGATTGATACTTTCGGAATTCCCAGCATGAACGATTCAAGTTTTGCCTGCTATTTACGTGCTACTAGCACTGAATATTTCCAACGCCTTCAGCTACATAGTTTGATTTGGGTCATGAGAATGCTGAAAGTTGAACACCTTCCCTAAAAAGTCCAGATCATTATCCATCATGAATTCCCCAAGATCTAAATTCGACCACATCGGGTACTCCGTATTATGTGGTGAGATGAGATGTGGAACACTCATCGGAGCCTGTAGAGAAGGATTATTTGGGGTGGTTCGTTCATCGACTAGTTTCTTATTAGTACTATTATAAAGACCCCAATGAAAGACAGAGATTGAAACTTACTAGTGCCTCTGAGGATCATGGAAAGCTGTGTCAAGTACTCATAACATCGCTCGATGACACGATTACCCGAATCAAGATGGCGCAATGCATCTGCAGCGAGATCAAGATACGGTCGTGAACTCTCGACAAAGCGCCATTGATCTGGATTATGTTGACTTTCTTTTGAAGAGACCAAAAGAGCACCGAATATGGCGAGACCAGCATTAAATGCTGATGAATGGTCAGAAAGTGGTGATTCGGGTTAAATGTGGTATGCACTTACTGTAATATAAAGTGTAGTTCCAGGCACCAAGAAGACCTCGATGCCAACCACCCGACGAAGTGATGGTGTGAACAGTAGATATGATAGATCTAGCAGACTCGATGCAATTCTGCACGCCTGTAAATCCCATCTGCTGAGCAAGTTTATTCTCCTGCGATGCTGAATCCTCGGCATGGTACGCATCCAAGAACCCCTCCAGAAACTTGCGGTGGAGAAGGATACGAAGATTGTGATACCTCACCGATAATACAATCCCAAATCGATGCCGGATAGTTGATTCTGGATCCAGTTGCGCTAGATCTTCAGCGAGTAAGGGGTCATGCCAGAGCTTCATCCCTAGAGATGGCACGATTGAATGTCGCCACTCTGCAAGTTGGCGCTCGCCCTCGAGGATTTGAGGTACAGCACTTGCTGTTGTGAGTGGGTGCTCGAATGCCAGATTTTGACAATAGCAATTGTCGAGGACATTGAACATGACAACGTATAATTTTCTGTGAATTGTTAGTGGAAACCAAGCTGCGTTTAAGGTTTAAGTCGGGACTAACATAGCAGCAGTAAAGAACCATCCATCTAATTGGGGATATGCATCAGACTTTGGTGTGCTCGCCAGAACTTGCATGTCTTTCACGGGCATCTCCAGTTTCACGTAGGATTCCGGAATAGTGCATGGCCGACCGAATGTCATGCTCAGTGTTCTAAAAAACCGATGAGAAATTGCATATAGATGGCCAGGTAGCATGAGAAAATCTTACCGATCAAGTAGAATGCACCCAAACCAAGTTCGTTTGCGAATTTCACTCTCCACGGGCGGGAACCGCCGATTAGCCTCCGGCGAGTGTAGACCAAGCTGAAAGGCGGCAGAGATAGCCAGACCATGCGTAGTCCACGCCTGGACCGACTTCTGAGTTCCTTGTAGATATTGACCCTGAACTAACAGGTATTGCACTGTTATACCAATATTAGCATTGCCCTCATTCAATATTAGGCTCGACGTACCCATCTCAAGGCTGGCGTGTCGCTTGGAATCCCTATCACAGAGCCCATTCGCGCGCTGGAAATAGACATCCGATTCCTGGATTCGTGCACCAGCAGGGAGATCACCCTCAGTATGGAGACTAGTGGCAATAGCCAGAACAATGTTAAGCAAGCCAAGCCATGTGCGACGGACTCGTTTGAAATTATCTTCTTTCATTCGAAAATACGTCTCACAAAAGGATGCCTCATGAATGAATGGTAGGAGTTGACCAGTTTTCCCAAAATAGGCGCGGATCAGACTCCAGGTGCGTTCTTCTGGTGGTAGAGCGAACATATTGACCTCGGCTTTATTAGATGTCAGAGGTCCTTGGGATTCACCCGGCGAGGGACGAGATCGTGAGACATTCAACATGCCGCCACCAATCTGGGCTGGCGAGGATAGTGATGGACCACAGCTTCCATGTGGATTCCCTCGTGCAATAGCTCGAGAGATGTGTCGCATGAATGCGATGTTAGAGGAGGGACCTTGAATTAATTAGTCAAGTCCATTCATGTCATAAAATTCATATATTCAGTCTCATACCGAAGAATCCGCAATCTTCTTCATCTGTAAAGTTAATGGCTCCCATCCCATCAATGGAATTCTCTGAGGCATCGATTTCGATTTCTCCAAACTTGGCTCTCCCCTGATGAACTGGCGCGTGTGCACGCACTGGAAGCTCCGATTTAGTTGGAGGAGGTGCATCAATTTCCTGTTCACCATGACTAATAACTGATGGTGAACCATTGATGACTGGGCCGTTGACGACTGTTTGAGGAGAATGATTTTCCTGATTATGTTCCAGTCTACGAATAGAAGCCTCAATATCTTGGATTCGATGTTCCAGACGAGCCAAATAACTAGGGAAAATGTTAGAACTCGGACATCATCACATATAGAGTATAGATGTTGAAACCTTTTCTCCACAGTCAGATTGTATGATGTTCCCACATCTTGGTACACGCATTCACACCCGAGCTCTTTGCATTGAGTACATGGGCGACCCCCATCACACTACATCAAATCAGCTCAAGCTCGGCAAGTGAATCGGTATATACATACTCGGGATTTCCGATGACGACAAGAATGGCAAGCTAAGACTGCACGTCTGCGTTTAGGAGGGTGACCCGACTGTGACATGGCGCATTTGAACGGGGAGGAGGGAAAAGCGGGGAGATAGAGCGAGCATAATGTTGTTTCTCCACTTCAAGTTTTTTTAGTGCTAGCGGTGAGTGACTTTGTTACCCTCTCCAATTTCTTCCATAATCAACCCTCCGTTCGTCCATAATATTATCATTCTATATGACTTTCATCATGATATTCCTGATATTTCCATGGTTCTCATCATAGTTCTTAATCTATGGTAGAGATCTCCACAATTTCCACAATTTGTCTCAGTGGCTGCGCTAAATGGAAATCCGGAGTAAAGCCATCCAGTTCCTGCAGTCCCGAACTCCCCGTATCTGAGCCGATCTCCCCGACACTTATTCAAGGAACACTATGTACATGCATGTCATCGAGCATAATGTCATTGTCATTTAAGCCATGGCTTTGGCACTTCCAATCCGATCCTAGTCACTGACGCCACGATCTGCATATACTTCACATAAACATCATGGTGCGTGATAATACTATCTTCCAGATGCCCGGGAGGTTGGAAGAAAAGGAAGCCCTTAAGGATGAAAGACAACATGAAATCAACTAACTATATCCAGGGCTCGAATCATGTTCATATTGGAATTGTTGGTGCCGGTATTGGTGGGCTGGCTGCTGCCATCGCCATGAGCCAAGCAGGTGTCCAAGTTACTGTGTTAGAAGCAGCCGAAGAACTGGGTGAAGTATGCCCCACTATACTACTTACCTTCCAAGCAACGATGAAAAAAAACCATGAATAACTAATATATATCTCAGATTGGAGCTGGAATTCAAATGACCCCAAATGTCTCTGTCCTTCTTCAACGATGGGGCGTGGACAAGATCATCGGCGAGAACCTAGTGCAATTTGAGGAATTAAACATGCGACGAAAGGATGGTACACCAGTCGGATTTACCGACATCGGCACCATCGAACGCGATCTTCAGCGACCCTGGTGGGTAGTTCACAGAGCCCATCTTCACGAAGGTCTAGCCAAGATCGCAGCACAATCCGGCGCAACGATTAAGATCGCCTCACGGGTTGTGGAGATCGATTATCAAGGTAGTCAGGTATCAGTTCAGACTCAAAAGGGAGACTCATATATCTTTGATCTTTGTGTTGGTGCCGATGGAGTAAACAGTATCATTCGCCGAACACTGTTCCCAGATGTCAATCCAGAACCTCCAACAACCAACTGTGCTTACCGAGCCATTGTACCATATGACCAAATTCGCGAGGATCCTATTGCTAAGGAGCTGATTGAGAAGTTGACGATGGAGGTTTGGATGGCTCCTAACTCTTATATCATCACCTATCCAATCTCAGCGGGTAACATGTTCAACCTGGTCCTCTCTCATCACCGTCCCGAGAAACTGCGTGCTACTCAAGACGATGTACCCATTGAGGAAATGCGCGAGGAGTATAAGGATTATGATCCCCGAATTAAGCGAATTGTAGATATGATTCCTGAAGTCGTAAGTCTATCTGCCCTACTAGTCATGTCGAATGAACACTCACGATGAACAGTCTCGCTGGCCGCTGATGGTAACTGGACCCTTGAAGTCATGGTCGTCGCCACAGAAGAACGTCGTCCTAATGGGTGACGCAGCTCATTCAATGGTGAACCACATGGCACAAGGCGCAGCGACATCAATGGAAGACGGCGCATTCCTCGCCAAGTGCATTGAAGCAGTGGTCCAAGGCAAGATCAACATAAGCGAGGCTATTGAAATTTACGAAACTGAGCGTATGCCGAAGGCGTATGCCAAACAACAAGTCTCATTTATCAATGGTGCGATCTGGCAATTGCCTGATGGACCATTGCAGGAGGAACGTGATGCGGCGATGGCTCCTCAGCTGGAAGGAAAGTATTTCATTCGCAGCAGTAACCTGTATGGCGATCCTCAGACCGTACTGGATGTTTACGGGTATGATGTCCAGGCTCATGCTGAAGATGCTGTGCGACAATACTGCAATCAGGGGAGAGAGTCGGCTCATCCTGTGACTGGTGTTACTCCTGGAATTCAGCGAAAGTATATGGGTTGGTTTCTACCGGAAGGTAGACAGGCTGGGAAGCTATAACTCGAAGCTACTATCGAAGCTACCAATGCTACATGTGTATATGAGAGTAATTGGTATTAGAATATAAGGACCGTTTGTTCAAAGTCATGAACGTGCATTCTGATCTGCATGATAAAAATATGGTAGTATGTGTATGTACAAGAAGTGGGAGCCCAAGTGGCTCCATTTTTATCGAAGGCATTAAAAACGAGTATGAAATGTACAGCAAAAAAATTAATGTAGTGGAAGAATCAAGGTCAAACCTGATGAACAGGCTTCCTATGCTGAAAATGAGAATGCAAGGAGAGCCTCAAGCTCCTTCTAAGAATGCAGTGATGAAAAGCGCGATTCGAGTAGACCCAAGCCCAGCTTCGCTGCTGAACGTAAAACAGCCAGTTCTAGGCCTTGGAGAACCTGCTCGCACCTCAAAGGTTTTTCTTCGTATCGGCAGAGTAACTGCGGTCATCCTCACCCTCCACGGTCTTGAGGATAGCCTCCATCTCCTTAGCCTGGCGCTTCCATTCCTTGTCACCCATCTTGGTCTCGCGGCGGAAAAGCTCCTCGTTAGGCTTGCGGTAGCTGCCACCAAGACGGTCCCAGAGGGTGGTGAATTGACCGTAGTTGTAGTTGAAGTACAAGTGGTGCATGGTGTGGCAGGCGGCTCCGTTCACAACCGGGCTGTTAGCCACATACTCTCCATCGTGGATGAAGACGGTCCAGAGGTTGATGAAGCCGAACAAGAAGACGTAGGCGACTTTCTGCAGAGGGAAAATGAAAGGAAACACGTGGTAGGGCACACTCTGAGACCAGCCATCCAAGGGGTGGAAAGCGTGCGAAGCGAAGGGACTCGGCATGATCCACTTGTGGTGAGGCTTGTGAAGGGTCTTGTAAACGCTCGGGTGGTGCAGACCACGGTGAATCCAGTAGATGAAGAAATCGGTGAAGAAGATGAAGAATGGGATTTGCAAGACGCTATAGTATGGGAAGGGTTCTTCGGCGACTGTATCGTAGAGCTTGGCGTAGCCTCGGACTTCCATGGTGAAGAAGGGCGCGGTCAAGAGGGCCATTGGGGGCATGGATTCCATGGCTTGTCTAATCTCCATGGAGATCTGGTTTCGCAGGAACTTGGGATGGTTGTAGGTGGTTTTGTCCCAAACGAAGATGTAGGAGAGGGTCGCCACAATGAAATAGACGAGAAGACCGAAGATCCTATAGGGTGTTAGTGCCTGTGGTACGGAGTAAATGAGAACGGTTTTCTCTGAGGGGCAAGACATTGCACGTACCAAGTGATCAAGAAGAAGCTGGTGAATTGGCGATAGATGTTGTTCCGTGGCCAGGCGCTAAGGTACGCATATTTGGAGGGCTCCAAGGTCATGAGCTGAGTGGCAGGCTCATAGATAAAGGGTTCAGCGGCGCCAAACAAGGCGAGTGAACTGTTGGCGGCATTGACAAAGCCCGGGAAAGACACGGAGGAGGAAAGGGAGGTCGGAAGAAGGGTGGAATACATGCGATCACCAATGAAGGTATCCCATATTTCCAGAATGATATCCATGATGAATTCGATCTGGAGGAGTAAGAGGAATAGGGGAGAAGGTAATTGGTGAAGAAAGAATTTACATTAAAGGGGAGGGTCCGTGGCAAATGAATAAATTCTGCCCGCATCACACCAGCGCGGAACCATATCTGCCGCCTTAATCAGCGATCAGGCCATCTTATCAGTATCCATGGATATAGTTAACCAGATAAATATATTTAGAAAGAAATATGAGAATAAAGATATGAATTTATTTTAGATTAATACTTTATATATATTAATGTAATATAAAAGTGAATCAAAAGGGTGTTATCATCTGTTGTTGACATTGTTACTATGTTATGTTATACAGTGCTGATTTTACCCCTTTTTGTGCAGAAGTGGCGCCCCCAAATCACATGATCTGTACCTTGCACATAATTCAGGCAATAAGGCAATAAGGCATAAATTCATAATATTCAGGCATCAACAAACTCCACTTTCCACGTAATTTCACCTTGAGATCTGGACCTTGTGTCATCACTCTGCAAACGGGAGTTCACTGTATCAAGAGCCTCATGAAGATAATTTGAAAAAAAAAATACATATAAAGAGAGTTGCTTAGAAATTGTTAAATATACTTATTTTCTTAATATCTTTTCATCCTACTTTCTTAACATAATTAATCAATAATATCTAAATCTTATCATCAAATACTTCCATACTCATCCTCCTCCACCTTGCGCTTCTCGCTTATTAGCCCATCGCTTCTGGCGCTAACGGCAGTAGCCGCCCCAATTCTGCCCGCCCCAAACTCAACCCAGCCTCTTCACTCCCCTCTACAGCTCGCTGACTCCAACTCCACCACTCTCTTCTATCAGCTCCATCTACCTTCTCGTGGTTCCGCTTCGGTACCAGTCTATTTTCTTGGTTGTCTATCGTAGCTGTGGCTCGCTGCCTGGTGTCGCACCACCAAGCAGCATTGCCCCGGTGATCGGCTTTGAGACCCTGTCCATTGCGGCGATCGTGATCGCAAGTCTTGTCAATAAGCTCGACCTTCCTCTACGCGTTCCTCTTTCTCATATCTTGTGGGAATAACAAATCCTTTTCGGCGCCTCATTAATCATCATGTACAGCGCTCATCGCGGCATGGTGCCTGCTCCCAACTCCCGTCTGACGGAGTTGTTGGACCAGCTCCGTCAGGAATTTGAGACTCAGTCTCGCAGCACCGGTGAATTTGAGCATCAGTGTACGTGTCCCTTCCATTGACAATCATCAATCCCTTTATATTCTTTCCGACCTATGGATCTACTCGATTCTTCCCCCTGCCCCCTTTTGAAATGCGCAATGTCGACCCCTATCAATTAAAGTCAACAGTCTATTCATGACTGTGACTTAAGGTTCAACAAAATGCGCTGAAAGTTTTCTAACGGATAGATGTAGTTACCGGCCAGCTCCAGGAGATGGAGATGATCCGTCAAAAGGTGTATCAACTGGAGCAGACCCAGGTGAAGATGAAGCAGGAGTATGTCAATTGTTCTATTTTAATGCTTCTTGATGGATTTAAACATTGAACTACGCTCACACCTGTAATTCTACAGCTACGAAGCCGAAATTCGCATGCTGCGACACGAACTCGAGTCGCGCGGAGTGCAGACCGTTTCCCACATTGCGCCCGCAACACACACAGCTCCTCAAGGCCAGCCGCCGCAGGTCGGCCATGGCCCACGCGACTTATTCAGTGGCATTATGGCCAACCAAGGAGGTAGTGGTCCCGGTCTTGCCCCTCCCCCTCCCCAGGATCAGCAGCCTCCCGGGCATGCCCTTCAACAGCCTGCCTCGGCCGCCCAGCCTGGCCAGCCCCCGCAGAGCTCTTTTGGAGGATATCCACCTGGCGCTGCTGTGACCGGTATGTGAGAATTAGAATAGAAATTTATTCTATGTCGCTAACCTGATTTATTTGCAATTCCAGGTTATGGTGGTCCCCCCCCTCCTCCCACTGCATCTCCAGGTCCTGGTAAACGTGGTCGCGCGCCTCCTGGTCCGGCCACTCCCCAACAGACTCAGATGACTTACCCAACAGACCCTCGTGCTTCTCCTCAGATCCGTCCCACACCTCCTGGTACCCAAGCGGCACCCATTGTTCGCCAGGATCGTCCTGGAAATATGCTTGCGAACTGGAACCCTGAGGATCTGCCTCCGTCGCAGAAGCGTGAGGGACCCGATTGGTATGCGGTATTCAACCCAGAGGTCCAGCGTGTTCTGGATGTTGAGTTGGTGCACCACCTCAGCCATGACAGTGTGGTTTGCTGTGTTCGCTTCAGCCGTGATGGCAAGTATCTGGCCACTGGTTGCAACCGCTCTGCGCAGATCTTCGATGTGACCACTGGACAGAACGTGGCCACTCTGCAAGATGAGAATGTTGACAAGGATGGTGATCTTTACATCCGCAGTGTTTGTTTCAGTCCTGATGGAAAGTACCTGGCCACCGGTGCTGAAGACAAGCAGATCCGAGTAAGTCCCACCCTACTAGAGTGTGGTGGAGATAACCTTGGAAGTAGAGAAATAAGCTAACAAAATTCAGGTTTGGGATATTGCCTCGCGCAGCATCAAGCACATCTTCTCTGGTCACGAGCAGGATATCTATTCGCTGGATTTTGCCGGTAATGGTCGTTACATTGCCTCTGGTAGTGGTGACAAGACTGTGCGTCTTTGGGATATTCTCGATGGCAAGCTTGTCTACACTCTCAGCATTGAGGATGGAGTCACCACTGTGGCTATGTCTCCTGATGGACACTATGTGGCAGCTGGTTCGCTTGACAAGAGTGTTCGCGTGTGGGATACTACCACTGGATACTTGGTGGAGCGACTTGAGAATCCTGATGGTCACAAAGACAGTGTGTACTCGGTTGCCTTCGCGCCCAATGGTCGCGACCTGGTTAGCGGTAGTCTGGACAAGACTATCAAGTTGTGGGAACTTACTGTTCCGCGGGGCATGCACCCCCACAGCGGCGTCAAGGGCGGCAAGTGTGTTCGGACGTTTGAGGGACACAAGGTTGGTGATCTTTTATTTTTTCTTTTCTTTGTTTCCGATGAACTCAATTGTTTCAAAACCTTGTCAATCTTTCTTTTCTAACCTTGTTTTGTTTTTTGTTTTTTTTAGGACTTTGTTCTTAGCGTCTGCCTGACTCCTGATGGTCAGTGGGTCATGAGTGGTTCTAAGGATCGTGGCGTTCAGTTCTGGGATCCTGTCACCGGAAATGCTCAGATGATGTTGCAAGGACACAAGAACTCCGGTGAGTCGAATCCAGCTATCCCTATCCCTATTGTATGTGTCAATTCTAATCTATTCTCCGCGGATATAGTGATTTCTGTTGCCCCAGCCCCAACTGGAAACCTCTTTGCAACTGGTAGTGGAGACATGCGTGCTCGAATTTGGAGGTAAGTGATTATTAATTTTGATCCTTCTATCCAGAGGTCTATGTCCTCAGTTCTGACCCTTTTATTCTTTAGATACTCCAACTACAATGGACGGTAAAAGGGGCGAATGACTTGGCGCAAGCATGACATATCCTTTTCTTTTTTTTTTCTGTTGATTTTTTATGCTTCTTTTTTCCTTTTTCCCCTTTATCCCTTTTCTTTTTTTTTTTAACTATGGAGAATTGTTCTGGGATCCATTTACAAGCCGGGTCGGGCTCTTCAAATTTGCTGGTGTCTCAATGTCTCTAACCCCCTTTTTTTGCGTATTGAATAATGCAGTTCAAAATGCAAATATCCATGTAAAACATTTCCAGGTGACACAAGAAAAATAATAAAAAATAAAATAAAATAAAACCAGAACTGTGGAAGAACTGGGGAGAACTGGGGACCCAGCAAAACTTCCCCTCCCCCTGGTCCAAATGACCACAGAGCCTCTAGTTCTCTTGGTGGCACTGATGGGTGTGACAAGTCGGACCTGTCGAATTGTGATGAATTTAGTAAAAGGTCGATCATTCCGTACATCGTAATAAGACCCGAAAATCACTAATAATAAAGAAGTTAGTGGATCCCAGGTACGAGAGAGAGAGCAAAGAGAGAGGACCGTGTGTCAAACACCCCCAGACTTAAAGAAGTATGAGAATCTGACTGGTTCACTAGGATTTTGATTTTGATTTCCCTCCCCCTTTTTTTCATAATCCCTGCAGGACTGCAGGAACCAAAGAGACCTCAAGTAAAACAAGAAACCAAAAAAAGGGAGTTAGATGCACGACGTGCATAGTTATCCGGAGTAAGTACTCCGTAAGGTAAAAAAAAAATGGTTCGTATAATTGGGGGGGGGGTCACGAACACGAAGATCGTCGACGATCGAGCTGAAACCGATCGGGAGGGAACCTTGGAATTTCCAAGGCCATGGGCGGCTAGTCAGGATATTCGCTGGATGAATGATCGGACGCTATTGGCGACTATCGGACGGGCGCATCCGGATTCCCCAATGAACGAGGGCTGACTCGTCGACTGCAGATCCTTGGTCCACTTTGAAAGCCCGAAGGCCCGGCCCGCCCTCGAGGTGATGCATTGATTTGTTTTTTGATCAGCATGGTAAACATGGTGTGATATTGGAAATCAGTGTAAAGAGTATAGGAGTTGAAGAATTATGGGTTGTTGTTGTAGTGTGGTGGTAGAGAGAAGTATAGAGAATAGAGAGAAAGAAGAAGGGAGGTTGGGTAATGAGTAGAACAACACTTGTCGCCAGTCGCGGCTGTTCACATATTAAACAACTCATGAAATTTTTTGTTAGTTTATCGGGGCCAAAAGTCCCAAAAGTCTAATATAATCGGAATTACTCATTTCTTTTTCATCGATGCGTCCATCTGCAGTTTTCAGGTCGCCTTCTCCATTATGCACGTTGGGGCCTCATTCTTCTTACCCAACTATCTATTACGGGGAACGTCATACATGGTCTCCACTGTCAATCATACATCGCAGCACATGCAAGCAACACTTATATAGATCCAAAAACCCATTCTTTGTGGAATCAGAACCCAACATACTCGACCAGGAGAAAGAAAGAAAAAAACAATTCTTGGTGATATCTGGACACTATACACCAGAATCAAAAAGAAAACAATTATCACAATGGAGACTGCAGAGCCAGTCTCATCCTATGACTTTCCTGGTCATGTTGGATCATTCCCTCGTCGTATGGAATCATCTCTATACCCATACTACTCGCACTCATCAACTCCCTCATACTCTCTACCCTATCATACTCCACCCACAACCACTCCATACCACTATGGAGGGCCTCTGAGTCAACCTTCACACCCATATGGTCATTACATGGTAGCCAGTCAGCCACCACTTACATCACCAGTACGACTAAACCAACCACCACTACACTCTCTACCAGAGATCCGACCCGCAAAGAACGCCATCAACCAGGTACTCAAGAGCGTCGATACGCGCGAGACCTCCCTGAAGAAGCCATCAGGCTCGAGTATCGAGTTCTCAACCGAAGTCGATGTCCTCATGAAAGCTATTCAGGCGAAACCAGAAACCGGAACTGTGATCTCACCGATTCATCAGTCCCTGCCTCCATTGCAGCATCTCGCTGCACCAGGGGGGGTATCCCACATTTCATCATCCCATGTCTCCACCGCGGTGTATGATTGGTACAGAGCAGTTATCTCGATCCGGGAAGCGAAGAAAGTATACATGTACACTACCGAATTGCGGAAAGAGCTTCGCACAAAAGACTCATTTGGATATTCATACGCGGGCTCATACGGGAGATAAGCCATTTGTGAGTTTACATCAAGTGGGGTATCATTGGACCCAGCTAATATACTATAGATCTGCAAAGAACCCTCGTGCGGACAACGATTCTCACAACTTGGTAACCTAAAGGTAACTACACCCTCCAGTCATCACAGATAAGTCCAGTCTAACAGACCCTAGACCCATGAACGTCGTCACACAGGCGAGAAACCCTACTCCTGTGATATCTGCCATAAGACCTTCGCACAACGGGGCAACGTGCGGGCGCATAAGACAACCCATTTGCAGAATAAGCCGTTTACGTGTTTACTGGATGACTGTGGCAAGAAATTCACTCAACTTGGGAATCTCAAGGTAAGCTACAGATACAGATGCACACATCCAAATCAATCTAACAGAATACAGTCTCACCAGAATAAATTCCACGCTTCAACAATCCGCTCCTTGACACTCCGTTTCTCGCAGCCACACGATCACGGCGCTGTGAACGCTCAAGATCGAGAACTGTGGGAATACTTCGCAAGTCTCTACAAGAACAGTAACAAGGGCATCAAGGGACGCGGGAAAGATCGACGAATCTTGACTACGAAGCGCGCAGCGACTAGTGATACTTTACACCGGATGGCATCTATGGAATCAGAGGATGATCTGTCACAACAGATGCAGAGAAGGGGAAGTTACGATCAGCTTTCTATGTATACTGGTGCATCTAGTGATGGGGATGAATCGGGGTCGTACTACATGGATCGACGGGGTCAACATTAACCAGCTGCCCAGCAGGTTTACTTTGTATCTGTTGAGTATTTTGTTTTTTTTTATGTATTCGGGATTTGATGGTCATTTGTTTCTATGGTTCCAGGATTCTTTTCTGGATTATACCCCGGTTTTCTGTTTTATCTCTTTAGGGCATTGATTTGTATGTTCTATGTTGTATATGATTTTATGAGTTTATCTGTACTTTATTCCATATACAAAATCCATCTTTCAAGCTTCTACTTTAATTCACATATTTCTTTTTTCAATCATATTTCCTTTTTTTCCCAGGAACCATTCTCCTCCCCCTTAGAGGTACAGCATCGATTGAATATTAGTGTTTGCCTTGACAGCTGCCTAACCACGCTTCTAGACACGAGGTGGACCATTGGGCCGAACGATGAATGCAACGATTCAGGGGTACGTGCACATCAACTACCTTGGTACTAGGTACCATTCACCCGATAAAGACATTAGATTGAATTGAAAGGTCAGTGGTGGGTAATTTGGATTGACATATTGCTTTTTTCGGCTTTTTATCGATGTACGCCTACAGTGTACAGGGTACAGAGTACAGAGTGGTGGGCCTGATCCGAGTCGATCTGTTCCATTTATTTTTATCTTTATTCTTATCTTTATTACTTTTATTAATGCATTTTAGTGATTCGGAATTCTGAATTCTGTTAGGATCTGCTCAGATCACCTCAGACTTGCAATAGTGTACTTAGTACATCCCCATGTGGGAGATGATGATCTGCCGTACAGATACACAAACATCCTTGAGTAGATCATGTCAATGTAAACTCCGTGGAGAAACAAAAGAAAGAAGAAAAAGAGAGAGAGAGAGAGAAAGAAAAGTGGATTAAAAAAAAGAAAGAGGATAAGACTCCAAACCAAGACTCCACCTATCCTCTTCTCTACGGAGTACTTTCCCTCCTGTCATACTCCTATGAGTCCCATCACACTATTGCTCATCTGCATCGGCAATCTTCACATCCTCTTCCCCACTAGTATCAGCCTGCATAGGTGGAGCCTCGGTGCCCACTGGAGTGGCGTGAGCTAATGCATCAGTGATGAACGCCTCTTCCACGGCAACCTTGCGTCGGAACACTCGGAGCCATCGGCGACCCCATTGGCGAATGATAGCATCCTCGGGCAGATCACCACTTCCATCACCACGCTCCATTAGTTCATCGTTACTTCCCGCCGCCACCGAAACAATGGAATCTTCAATGAACTGGAAAAGTGCTTGCATCTCAGCCCGCTCTCGAGCTAGTGTCTCATCTAGTACACTCAGCTGAGGTTCGTATAGACCGGGCTGTGTCCGGGCCGCGACGATCTGTCGCATTCGATTGGTGACCTTGCCGACAGTGGCGGAGATCATTTCGTAGATATGCGACTTAGATAGCACGGTGCCAGCTGCAATGGATTCGGAGAGAGCCCATTCTAGAACGGAAAGGGGGCTGATGATAGTGTAGTTGAGCAGTTTGTCAATGATATCGATCGCGATACCGGATTGATCGGCCCAGTACTCCATAACCGACCCGATAATCTGGCAACGAGCTCGTTGCGAGACAGGTCCAATAGCTAACAATCGGTCCTTGTTTCGCTCAATGCACGATAAGACGTGTGACAGAGATTTGGACCCCACGAAGCAGATGGAGGTCACTAAGGCGTCCGTTGAGGGGATCTTGGGGTCTTCCACTCCCATGCTCTGCGCCTGTTCCTCAATTGAGGCAATCACGGCCTGAATCTCCTCGTCGCCTGCCTTCTTTCTGATGAGCTGCATAAGCTCTTGTCCTTCCTTAGCATATGGCGTTGCTGTTTTCTCAATTAGTGACTGTTCAATGAGACAAAATACACACAATTCTCAAACTCACCCTCAGACAAATACTTGAACTCAGGCGTGTCCTTTTCTTTCCCTTCAGTGATCAAGGGAATATATGGCTCTGGCAGAGTACCCTTAATGCGCTGTGCGAAGCTGAGTCGAATTTCCTTATCCAAAGCCCCATTGATAAAGGCCAACTTGGCGTGAATGGCAGGGAGGTCAAGATCCTCAACCCTGGTTTACATTAGTATGTGCTGTCTCTTCTTCCTCCAAAGGATTTTGAGTACTTACCACTCGCTCCACTTCCACGTGAATCCAAAGTTGCTCAGATGGTGCGCGAACCAATCCAAGAATCGGTTACTCAACTCCAGATCCATCGTCTCCAAGTTGTTATACAAGAATCGGATGGCACGACCCAGGCTAGGCGCGATGGCAGCTGGCGCAATCTTGCAGCATTCCGTCAGGAGAGCATGGTAGTAAACAAGCTTGTGCTCGGGTGTGGGAAGCTGGTACAATTGCGAGAACACCGCATCCACAGCAACATCCTCTGGCTTCCAAGACTGACCCTCGCCAGCGAGATCACGCATACGGTCGAAGGGAGTCGCGCGCTTGACGAAGGTGTACGGGGTGAAGTAACAGTCAACGTCAATCAGATACTTGGCTCCGGCAACGCGGTTAAAGTCAATAAGGTTGATGGTATCCACCAAGGCGTCTCGCAGAAGCAAAGATGTGATATCAGATGGCGGGGGCACGGTGTCGATTTCTTGGTTGGCGTAGACAGAGATGTAGACCTCAGGGAAAAGAGGACGGGGACCATTGGGCACAGGGTTAGGAACATTGACTTGTGGGAAAGTAACCTTGTTCACAGGCTCGAAAAGCGATTGACCTGGTTCCTGATCATCCTTTTCGATTTCCTGGACACCCTTCCAGGGACGCGGGAGACATTTCAGCTCCCAGCCCCGGTTAGCCTCGCCCTGTAGCTGGGTTTGAAGCAGGCTGATAACACTCGGTCCAGCCGCTTCCTTGTTCTCGTCGGGACTAAATGTATTTACTAAATCGACCAGCGCATGTGGAGTAGATGCAATAATGTCCGTTTTCTCGAGGAGGGCCTGAGCCTGCGACTCAAAGCCAGTGGCAGGAGAGGTCATCACATAAGGAATGGTGAAAAGGATGATCTTGACGAGCTCCAGACCAAGCAACTATATCCAAAATGCAAGTTAGCACCTAAACGACTCCAGTAGAGAGACATGAAGGACTTACGTCTTCTGAGGATGCAGTTTGAAGGTCAACCGCACGGGCGAACAGCTCCTCAAGCAGAGGGAAGATACCCTCACCCTCAAACAGAGGCTGTAGACCACCGAGAAAGCGAAGAAGAAGCTTCACTTCCCGCCAGGATCCCAAGTCAATGTACTTCTGTAGTGCTTCGCCAGCTTTCTTCAGCAGGTCCGCGCCAAGCTCCGCCTTAAGGTTGTAGGCGACGAGGGTTGTCGCGGCCACGAAGGGAATTTTCATCGGTTGCTCGATTACACTGCATGGAAAGCTCAATGTTAGCAAGCAGTTTTGCAATTCGCGCCAAGACCGCGTCAATGGTTTTTATACGTACAGATCCAGAGAGATATCGACATAGGTGTCGCGCAGCTCTTGGTCATCGTAATTTTCCGCGACAGACTTCGCAATGCTCATGATATCATCCTCGACTCTTCGGGCAGCCTAATTGATCCGTATAGTATCAGTATCGGGGTTCAGACACGAGTTTCGCAAGTAAAAGTAAGAAGAAGCGACGGGACGACGGAACTGAAGGGCGACGATGAGATCATACCGATTCTGCAATGGTCAATAGCTGTCGGCGCACCTGCACGAATAGTGGCTCTTCATATCTGCGTCTCTGAGGGCGGCGATCGAAGTCCTCATCATCTAGTGTTTCGTCAGTTGCGATCGCAGGATAGCTTCTGTTGCTTGTTGCTCACCTCTGTAGCGACGTTTGCGTCCACCTCCACCTCCACCTCCTCGGTGTCCATTGTTCCGGCGCTCGTAATCAGCCATGATGCGCAAAGTCTGGGGGACAGTGGGAGATCAAGGACAAGAAATAATGGGGATAATGTTCGGAAGATCGAAGCTCCAAGGTCAATTCAAATGGCAGCTCCGGAGTGGGGAAAATCCGATCCGAGCAACAATCAAATACCGCCTCACTTCAAATGCCCCTATGGTGCATATAAGTGAATCACATAAATATTTTCAATGTTAGTAGGAGAAATTATTATGACAAGGGAGAAAGTCTTGGGTTTTCAATCTATCTGAATGCGCATATCAATTGATATGATGGCCAGAGTATACTGCGACTATCTCGCCATGTACAACCAGTTGAGCTTGGAACAATAGCAGGAAGATAGTATGCTACAGGATGATCCCAGTACCTAATATGAGTATATACATGGATAATGCTGTCAAGTTCCAATGATAGGATATCAGACGTAAAGTTACAGAATTCTCCTACTAATAATAGTACTCAACTATGCCTGGGGGTAATCAATGCTTGGTCTGACACTTATATCAAAAAATGCTATAACAAAAGAATGCCTTCTTCTTACATGACCAAATCCGAATAACGGCCCTACGATTCAACCATAGCATACCTCTATAGGTTGCATAGATGCATAGAGCCAGGGAATTGCTCGCTTCGAAACTGGAACGTGAAACTCATGGCCAGGAGTCAAGAGGGAAAGGAACCTTGATGGAACCCACACATAGCCTCGGGGCAGAACCGGGCAATATCATTTGCAAAAGGGGGAAACATAGATCAAAAGAGACAAAAAAAAGCAAAAGGTTCCGAGGGAAATAAAAAGGGGAATGGGGAGGGAAGAGGAAAGAGAAAAGAAACAAAAGAAACAAAATCCAGAGTTTCTAGCGCTGCAAAGTCGAAGGAGAAGGAGTTGGTAATTCCGGCCACGCAGGTGCTTCCAGTCGGGTTAATCGAACGAAGAAAAGAAGAAAAAAAAGAACAAGAAAAAGCCTTCCCATAGACCATAATAAAATGGCTATCGAATTGTCCCAGGGCTATTTGGACCTGCTGTGTCCTGGATTTCCCTTTCCTTCCCCGACCGAATGAAGTCATGCAATCTTCAATCCCGGAAGGCAGACTTTGCATAGAAAGGGTATCACTTTTTCCTCCCAAGTGTCACAGACACCTCAAAAAATAAGAAAGAACTCCAGGCCATGACTCCCCCCCAACGGTTGACCGGCAATCATCAGCCTCCCATGTCCCAAACCAACCACCCCAGTCTCGCCTCACCAAAAAAACAAAAACAAAAATGAATCAAATCCAGTTTCCCGCTCAGCCATGAAAAAAGGATGTCCACTTTTTGCCATCATTGTCCTCCTCAAGATCCCATCTCCAGATGTTGCAGTCCGGTCATTGTCTTTGCTGGTTTAATAAAAGGTATGAAAACTCAGCAAACACCGTGCTCTCCATTTCAGAGCGCTACTCGAAACATGATGGTACTCGGTCGATAGGTCCTCGAGAATCTTTCCCGCGTCTTGTGCGATAAATTGCACTCTGAACAGATATGACTCTCACCGAGGCGTGAATTAGTCTGCTCAATCGAGGTGGGCCATCATCTCCTCCTTGGAAAGAGGCTTCAAGTTGTTGATGTCGAGGCCGCGTGCTTCCAGAGCCGGACGGGCGTGAGGGGGAACAAGTTGGTTGTTGAGTGTGGGTGCGATCGAGAGTTCTGATTAAGGTCAGAAAAAGCAATGAAAAAAAAAAAGGAAACAAAAGAAGAAAAGAAAATGAGAATCCTCGTTGGATTAAGATGAGAAACTTACCATGCCGCGAAAAGTCGAAGAGGCTGGGAAGGTCCTTGTCGGGGTTGTTGTGATGACGAGAATCCGGGAATTTGGTGGCTGGATCCCGCAACTCATCGAAGAAGGGGTGGCACATCGCCTCGATCGCTGACAGTCGCTGTGTAGGCGTGTACTCCAGAAGAGCAGAAATCAAGTCGATGGCCTCCGGGGGTGCCTTCCGGAATACCTAAAAGTGGGTTAGCACACCTAAGTAGATGAATACAGTGGATCTGGAATTCTTACCTTGTTGAAGGGATGCGGCTTGATCTGAGGGAACTTGTGTTCCATGTAATTGGGATTCATTGTACGAATCTGTTCACGGGTTGGAGTACCAAGAACCTTGATGATTTCCACCAGCTGGTCAATTCCCGATTCACCAGGGAAGAGGGGTTGTCCCAGCATCAGTTCCGCCATCACACAACCAGTCGACCATACATCTAAAACAATAGAATATTAGTTACGAATTTCAGGGAAATATGTTTTAAAACATGTTAATGGTCGCAGGATTGGGCACGCACCGATCTTGGTTGTGTAGTTGGTGGCACCGAAGATCAACTCCGGAGCTCGGTAGTAACGAGAGCAGATGTAGGAGACGTTAGGTTCATTCTCGATCAGAATCTTGGCGGAACCAAAATCGCACAACTTCAGGATACCGGTATTAGGGTCGAGAAGAAGGTTCTGAGGTTTGATGTCACGATGGCAGATTCCTTGTGAGTGGATGTAGGCCAGCGACCGGAAGAGCTGGTAGATGTAAAGCTTCACCTCGAGCATCGGCATTGTTGTCTTGAGTTTGTTGAAGTAGCGTGAGGCCCGGTAAACGGTTTCTGGGACATATTCCAGCACCAGGTTGAGGTACACTTCATCTTTCTACACAGGGACGGGGGAAAATGGGTCAGCGGAGGGGGAAGTTCAGAGCGGGCGATCTGCACACATACCCTGTCGCCGTTGGAATAGTAGAAGGCCTTCAGTTCAACGATATTAGGATGGCGGACAATCCGCATAATCTGAAGCTCTCGGTTCTACATAGGATTAGTATCAGGGTGTTCCCGGGTAAATCCGTTAGTGATCGGTCTCCTTACCTTGAATCGCTTGTCCTGAAGTACTCTCTTGATGGCCGCATCCTCACCGCTAGGGGACATTTTGGTTTGAAAGACGACACCGAAAGAGCCATTGCCAACGATTTTGCACTGTGTGTAGGATATTTCCTTGTGCTCGCCGGTCAGGCCATCTTGGACCTTTTCGCGGACAACCTCTACAGTGGGGGAAGAAAGAGACGTCAGTTTGAGGGGAAAGAGAGAGGGAGGAAATGAAGGCCATTGACTACTTACCACCCATGCGCAAGGTTGGGAATAACCCAGGTCGATTCTGTGACATGACGAGAGATGGGGGGGGGAGTGCTATGGAGGAAGAGGAAAGGAACCCGTTTTGGGCGTGGTAATCGGTGGAGTCAAGCTGGGAGGGGAGGGGAGGGGTGGGCGGAAGGTCCGAACGGGGCGAGGATGAGAAGAATAGTTGACTGGGTCAAAATGCCAAGAAACCGAAAGAGAAGAGTGTAAGTAAGAGGGGGGGGAACAGTGTAGGGGAAAAGGGAAAAATAAAAAAAAGTCAAGGGTAAAAAAAGATGATAAGTGAATTTTCTTAAGTGGATTTACAAGAGAATTAAAAAAGAGTAAAAAAGAGTAAAAAATAAAAAATAAAAAAAATAAAACCTCAATAAAAAAGAGATTGAAGAGGAATTGACGAGAAATGTTTCTGGAGCCAATAATGTCAAAATGAGCAAAATCCCAAGGGTTAAGATTGAGGGGGGGAAAGAGTAGTTGAGGTACAGGGTAATATGAGGGTAATCTCGTGGTAAATTTGAGTAAATTTGGTAAATTTAGGGAAAGTGTGGTAATGTTTGGTATATGTTACCCAGAGTATTTCAAGGTTATGAGAATCTCCATTAGTTCTAAGGTTGGACTACGTGGCTATAATAAACTAAAGAGACTAAAGAAACTAATAAACTAGAATAAGATAAATTCGATGCAAATCAATCAGCTAATTAATTAATAGGAAAGAGAGAACTCCCAATACTTATAGAGTGGGGAACTTGAATCCCGAGAGGAAAAAGATTCCTCGCGTATAGAGTATTTGTACCAAGTAGAGGTACCTACGAAGTGAAAGTGTCTATATTATCCCGAGGCCATGGATATCATAATTAGTACTCAGGCACCTTGGACCTCACGACATTCCTATATACTATTTATAAATTGAATATATATAAATGTCGGCGTTAATCAAAAGGTAAAAACTGATGATGGATAGGGTGATCTCAATTGTTATTGAAATTTCCATACCATACAGAACGACGGAATAACCATTACAATTTTGGAAGAATCTTACCACCAATATGATCTCATCGATAACCTTGGAACATAGGGAGCTTTTGAGGTACCCGTAGTATATAGTGACCAGATGCCCACCTGGACACCTGGCAGGTGTACATAATATCATCTTGTTTATTAAAAACTTCATTAAACTTATTAAAACTATTAAAACTACTAAAACTATTAACACTATTAACACTATTACTCTATTAAAAATAGATTCCTTAAAACTACATACTCTAGACTAGACTAAATAGATCTCTATAAGTTCCCGAGGTCACGTTGAACGGAGACACTGATGTTCCGCGAGTCCCGTGTCGGCTGACCAGCCGTGATTTTCTCAGGAATCATCATGATTGGTTCATCCTACAGGACCTCGTGACTAACATGTCATTGAGTCCAGCTGACGATGATTTTAGAGGCGAAAGAGGCGAAACCCGTCAAAGAGCTTGGGCCAGCAATGGGTCTGTGGAGCTGGGAGGGATATATAGCAGTCTTGGGATCATGTTCTCGATCGGTCTACGGAGGTATATGGTGAACATTTGAACTATCTGCATACGGAGAATAGAATAGACTAACCCAAATACGGAGTACAGTGACCTCCCCTAGGTACGGAGTACTTTGTAATGGAATTGAATTGAATTCAAGTCTCCTGAATCCATACCCTCTAGGGCTAGGGTATACATCGCTAGGTACCATACTGATCAAAGCTTGATGCCATGCGAGTACGGCACGACGGGTCCCGGCAGCTCAACACCGAACTGTCGATCCCCGACTTATTTTACCCATCCCAGTTGTGCAAGGATCACCTTGGCATGTGAGGTTCAGGACCGATGCACCGGCTCCGAGTGAATTGGGATTCCAGCCGATGAGAAAAGCACATACCGTACGGTCATTCATGATTGAATTCGAACCCGAGACTACGATCCCGAACATTGAACTATAAAAAAATAAATGCTCCATATATACATCATGTACATGTACTAGTACCTAAAAAGGGGGCAGAAAAGCTAGGGGAGCTCGGGAATCTATACCATCATTGATCGAACGGGCTGCAGAACCCGAAAGACGGGGCTAGAAGTCTCCCATTGCTTTTTTTTTCTTAATGTTTTATTTTTTTTTTCTCGATGGAATTAAAACTTCCCCCCTTTTGACAGGAATGGACCCATATGCACATATGCATATGAACGTGAATGTGAAATGTCTCGGTTCCTGACACCTGCCCCTGATACAATTCCCACTACCAATAAGGTCATCTCACAAAAGATCGGTGCTCGATACACCAGCGCAAAGATCCACCAATAAGGAATGAATCTAGTCCAGGCCCAACGTAGCCGCCGTTGAGGACCAACCATTCCCTCGATGCAGACCTTGCAGATGGTAATGCACCAGGCTGAAATGGTCAAAGGTTGAGAACTTTACCGAGTTTGTATCACCGGGAGATTCGTTTGGCGCGAGATACGTGAGATACGTGTATTACGGGTACAGATCAACTTGAGAACTTGAGAACTTGACAACTGGAACTGGAACTGGAACTGGAACTGGAACATCCTGGCATTTATATACCAACTTGGACATGGCAACACTTACATTCAGGATTATAACTAGTAAATCCTAGACATGTATTAACGGTTCCTAGTTCCTACTTAGTTCCTGAATTTGCTAGAGTTTCTAGTCTCTAGTATCATGAACTATAGACTAACTTAACTAGGTACTCCGTATATGATAAAATACACCCCACTTAAGTGCTCTCAAAGCGCAAACACCTGACCTTGAAAAGAGGAGAAGATCGACATCACCAGATCAAATCCATCTATATCAACTTGCCACAGTTGGGCTTGTCAGGCGACGCCGCTGTCATCTCGGAAGTGACGTAAATAAACTGGTGGCACGGCCCATGGGAAATCACGGAAAAGAGAGCACTTGGACATCTGGATGCTGACTGATTGTTCCAGGTTATTCTCTTTCCTAATCTCCCGTTGAATGGTTCGCAGTGGACCTTTAATTTCACACCATCTAACCCTATCATTTCCCACATACCGTTCCTGATCATCTTCGGTACTTAAAATTTGCCATGTCCCTGATCTTGGCCTGCAGATGGAACCCGTGGAAAGGGGTGGGAATGTACACGAAGAAGCAAGGGCAGGAATTTCTGTCAGACACGTGGAGTCATCAATGTCATTCAAATGTTGAGAGAGATATCTTCTTAATCAAAAATGTCAATGTCAAAAAATGTCTTCAAATTTACTCACAGAATAAGTCACAGTGAAGAATGCACATATGCAAAATACAAAGTATGCACAAATCAGAAACTCGACTCGGCTTATTGGTCTACTGCTCAGGTGGGAAGAGGATCCAACTATTAACATTTGAACCATGATTGGTGAAGCATTATGATTTCAAGATCATTTGCGGGAAAAATGGATCTACCCTACGCTTCTTTCCATGACGATCCGAACTTATACAGATTTTTTTTCCAAGTTCCCCTAATTACTAAGTAGGTACGAGCATCGAACATCTCTAACTTGAAGGATCAATGTCATTCTCCCCACATTAAGCATGACCACACCTGCAAATAATCGGAATAAACGGAGTCATTAATCAGGGACTAGGAATCCTGACAATGCAGAACATCCGAAGTGGAAAGAAGCCCGTTCTCATAGTCTGGAGTGCTGGAGAGGGAAAAAATAATCCCATGACCAACTAATTGTAACTCCGAACCAGACCAACTTTGGAAATAGGTCCAAATGTTCAACTTGAAATATCTTTTAACCCCGCTATGAATCAATTACTAGTACTCTAGTATATATGATCACTCTTAGGTTTCTGACATACATAATAATAATAAAATCCCTCTGAATCCCTTCATTACTATACTATTGGACCAGCCTCCGAGGGGGGACTCGGGCCCCCAAAAGTGTAAATGTTGAGAGGTCCAAAGGTCTATCCCCGCAGATGGTCTTTGTCTCCATTGTATGCAAGTCGACTAACCCGGAACCGTTATGAGATGATGTCAGTGTATCACTTTTAGGAGTAGAGATGAATAGAGATGAGTTTAATGTAGTTTAATGTAGTTTATACCGGTTCCGAGGTCCAGTTCAAGTTCTTTTTTCTACTACTTTCTATATAAAAGATGTATATAATATTAAATTTTACTATCATGATGATAGTCGAACATTCAATCTGATCACGGGATTACATAGATCATATTCAACATTACAAAAAGTACCAATACGAGTGGATCCAAACGAAAAGTCCAAGTCCAAAAAGTCCAAAAAGCAGGGAAATGATGGATACGTATTTCGCCGAGACATGAGTGGGGGGGGAAGTTGAACGGTTTGCTCTCGTGCATACGCTTCTCCAGTCCAGTGGAGCCCACTTTCTCGGTTGCCTTTTACTAGCACAAGCACTTGAGTGTTCAAGTGTTTAAGGTCATCAAGTTCAAGTTTTCAAGGCTCAAAAATGGTTCAAATGTTTCTTACCTGAAATAACCTTGGTATTCAACCTTGGAATTCCCATGTCAATCGGGCCGGGATATGGTTCACGTGCACATGTGTGATACTAAGCTTATGTGAAACGTAGCGAAGAGCATAACATATTCAAATGTTGATTCTAGGACTCGATTCATAATTGAATGGATCATATGGAGCATTGTAGTCTGGACTGCGAGTGAACTGACATCTGCATTAAAGTGACACATCACCTGGGCACTACTAGGTTCAATTCAGTGAGATCGGAACCCCGATTTCGGCCATCAGCATTATGCTAATAGCCGATACCTACATGTATAACCTCGTCATCACAGTCCCGATGTCCAATCTCCTTTCCTACAATCATTTTGTACATAATACAAGAGCTTAACAACACTGTTTTACATTGGTCCGTCTATAATGCGACATAACCTGGACTCTCCGGGCCCTGCACCTCCCACACAGCTACCATCCCGACCATCCGGGCCATGGGAAATTTCAAAACAAGACATGAGATCACGGACCAAAAGAAGAAAAGGAGAAAATAACATAGCCGGAAGATGCGGGCATCAGATATGGTGGAGAACGTCATCGGAAAAGGGGCAACGGAGTGTGAATCTATACAATGGGGAGAAAGAAAAACAAAAATAGAAAAAAAAGATGGAACTCTCCATGGCGCCAAAAACAACTACCGCCTGTACCAGCAACCCATATTCAACACGAGATACTGATGCGAGTAGTGATAAATGCCATGTGAATCCAGTCATGGGAGAGGGGGGACTACTAAAACAGGGAGGATGAAGGGTGATTGATTAACTTGAGGAACGTGATGAATACACAGAACACTCAAGAGGTGAAGAGAAGAGGAGCTTAGAAGGGAGGGGGAACCATGCTGGCGGGATCAGCATTCTCCTGCGCCTCCATCAGCTCCTCACCGGCGATCTCGAGAGAGACGGCGAGGCCGACCTTGGCGGTTTGCTGGGAAAACGTTAGTATCAATAGACTGACAAGGGGAAGGAAGGGAAAAAACATACCTTAGCCTGGTCAATCTCACCGGCAAAGGTAAGGGAGATGGGCATGGCGATGCGCTTCTCAAGAAGACAGCTAACCTTACCAGCGCTGTCAACCTGAGCACGGAAGGAGGAAGCACGGAAGTCGTACTTCACACCAACGGCAGTGGTTCCATCACGGCTAGGGCCACCCATCATCATAGCAGCAGGGTTAGGAGCGAACTGGAGGTTCATGTCAACACCAGCCTCCACACGCTCGGACAGCTTGCGCCAGTAAGTAGCGGCAAAGGTACCCTGGGCCTGCAGCTGAGCGGTACCAATCCAGTCGTCACCCTTGTACTTCGCACAGTAAGACAGAGCAGTCTCGGGGCGAGCGTTCATAGCCTGGCGCTGCCAGATGGCCTCGAAACCAAGAGCCAGTCCAGGTGTGACGGACTGGAGGTAGCTTCCAACAAAGATACCAGTCAGACCGCCGTCGAGGGCAGAGGGGTTGAAGGCCTTGATGGATGCGGAGAAATCGGCGCCAGTGTAGTCGTTATCGATCTGGAGCAGGCCTTGAGAGCCACCAGCCATGATCTGAGCATTGGTCTTGGTGACCAGAGCCGGGTTCCAGCGGTAGTTGTAGACCGCGGCGAGGGTGCCGTCGCTTCCGAGGTTACCTTGCATGAAGACCTATCAAACAAACATTGTAGTTAGCATTGGATCTGAGGATCGCGTATTGCAATTTTTTATTCAAGTTTTGAAAGATGATGATCTTACCTTGGGACTTCCGTACATGGTGGAGAAGTTGTAAGGAGGCATGTTACCGGATGAGCCCATGGAGAAAGCGTGGGACACACGGAACAGAGGGGACATGCCAAAGACCTTGGTCAAGTCGGCGCGGAGACCGGAGAACATGAAGTTGGAAAGCATAACCTCCTTCTGGACCTCACGGGCAAGGTTGTCGACAGTACCCGGGTTGGGCAGGTTGAGCAACGCCCTCCGGTCGGAGAACGAGTTGTATGCATCCTTAATCGCCGCAGCAGCGGGATTTTCCGTCAGGAAGGAGACTGATGATGTGAGATCGGCCATTTTTAAAAGGGATGTAAAGGTATTAACGGTGTCGTCACGCGAGGCCGGTCAATGGGGATTTTTTTGTCTTCGTCAAGGGCAATGAGGAAAAGATGAAATCAGCCCGAGATAGATCTGAGACGAGCGAACGACACAGATCAGATGGAGGAGATGGTAAGGGCTGTATTAAGGAGTTTTGGCAATGATCCACAGGGGAATCGGAGGTTGGATTGAAATGGACGGAGCTGAAGTCTTGACCGTGAAAAATGCCAGTTCCGTCCCGCGTCTTTGGTTGCTGTGGTCCGCCCTGGATTATGTCAGCCCCCCGAGCGGATTTACCTCGAGATTCATATTGTAGGTCGAGGCTGTTTCTTACAATTGGAATAATTTTGGTTTGTAGGAGAAGATGGATTGAAAGACTTGAGCTACTTTTCTCTATTTACATATATCATTGAAGTTGAGTGATGGGCAGGTGACAGGGTTGCCGATATAGGGAAAACATTATACGGAGTAGAGCGAAGAGGTTCCACCCGATATCTACTCTTCTTCCCCGAGCAATACCGCAGTCTCCTCGAGCTCTCTGGTTATACCTCTCCAACTTGTTCTGTAAAGGGGTGAGGTCTGTGTTTATTCTCAAGACAAAGCTCTCTTGGCTATTCTTTTGGCTATTCTTTTGTCTTTTCCACAGATCACACACTATCCTAGATCGGTGCCCAGGTCAATCTTGGCGTCATTGATATCCCCGCAAACATGGATACTCTACTGTAAGTCAGTTGAATATGGATGGAGACTCTTGCCGAAGAGAATTTTTCTACTGTTCTAAGATCATGAGGTCAAGGAATCGCGCTTGTCCATACTGGAGAGGCGCGCACTAGAAGATCTCCATGGAATCACAGACTGACGTCAACCAGCACTGCAGAGATCGTGGCCAGCTCGCCTCAATTCCGGCGTAAATCCTCAATCTTCGTGGACGCCATCCATGATTTGCCTGAAAAAGCCGATCTGGCCCCGGCTCAGCTCTACAGCACAGAGTCCGGTCGGCTTTTCCATTCGGGCCGGATCGTCATTATCACCGTGGGGTTGCCCGCAAGAGGCAAAACGTATGTTTCTAACCAAGAATATTGTTTATATTAATATACTGATTTTATTTTGTAAAAGTCATATTTCGGTTGCTTTGGCTCGATACCTCCGATGGTATGTCTCTATACTCCATTGATTTGTGTCTAGAACGTGCTGACAGATGACAGGCTCGGGGTAAAAACCAGAATCTTCCACTTGGGTGATTATCGACGAGCTACTATTCCAACTGGCGAGGATATGCCCGATGATTATTTCTATGTTAATGGTAAGACTCATGCAACAACGCGTATATATATGATATAATGCTCACTACATCTAGCAACCGCTTCATCTGTACTTCTCCGCCAAAAGATCGTTCGGAAATGTCGAGAAGATATCTACCATTTCCTGAACCATGAAAATGGTCAGATTGCGATTTATGATGCCGTGAATCCCCTAGCCTCTGGTCGGCGGTCTCTCGCAAAGGAGTTTGGTAAACATGACATTGAGGTAATTAAGCCTTCTTCAACCACTTAGCTCAAGCACTGACTCTATATTAGACTCTGTTCATTGAATCTTGGTGTGATGATGAAAGAATCATCGAAGCGAATGTTCGCAGTGTTAAGATCTCATCTCCAGATGTGAGTATGAGGCTCCAAATCACTCTGAATCAATCTAACCCATTGCAGTATGTTTCCTGGAAGCCAGAGGATGCAGTCAAGCACTACCTCAATCGAATTTCCGCTCGAATCCCGCAGTTCCAGACCATGGAAGAAAAGGATTTGAATTACATTAAGGTTTTCAAGCCTCAAGTTCCGTGAGAGTAGTTGACCTGCTCACCTTCCGCTAGATGATCAACGCAGGGGAGCGATTGATAGTCAATAACCGAAGCTTTGGCTACCTTTCTAACCGTATCGTCTTCTACCTCCTGAATCTTCACATCAAATCTAGACGAACATACTTTGCACGAGTAAGTAGTTCAAGGTTCCCTAAGTGAATTCACAGGCTAATGATCAATAGGCCGGTGTCTCCTTGGATGCGGCTTCCTACAAAGCCGATGCATCTCTTTCCGAGCAAGGCGAAGATTACGCCCAAAAGATGACTGAATGCCTGATGGCTCATCGAGAGGCCGAGAAAGAGATGATGGTCGCACGGGGAGATATCAACTACGAACCGCGGCCTCTGAAGGTCTGGACATCGACCAGACGTCGAACTGTAGAGACTGCGAAGTATCTCCACGAAAAGGGGTACACCGTACGCCAGCGCTCTCAAATGAGTCAACTCAACCCAGGAGTTTGTGAAAAGATGTCGGAGAGACGCATTCGAGCTGAATTCCCAGATGAGGTTGCCAAGCACGAATTAGACCCTTACCACCACCGCTATCCGCGTGCCGAGGTAGGTACTCTGATGGATTACAGAAAAAGATTGAATACTAATTCTGTATAGTCTTACCATGATCTGGCTGTGCGCCTGGAGCCGATTATTCTCGAATTGGAGCGAGAACAGAACGATCTGCTCATCATTGCCCACGAAAGTGTTCTGAGGGTCTTATATGGGTATCTCATGGCTTGCAATGCCGCGGATATTCCTTTCTTGGAATTCCCCCGCGACGAAATCATCGAGGTACTGTATTGCCATCTGAGATTCAAATTTATGTGCGACTAACATATCATTCAGATTATTCCGGAGAGCTACCAAAACGAGGCCCAGCGAATCCACATCCCCAACCTTCCAGAAGAAATCATTCCTGCTTCACCCGAAGACCTGAAGATCCCGGTTCCTCCAAGCGGATTTGTTTCTCCTATCCAGGGATTGGGCAGTCCTGCAGATGGTCTGGCAACGCCTCAGAGTGGACTCCGTACTCCTCGTGAACCTGAGAGAATCTCCCAGCAGCACGTTGAAGATGTTGTCTAGGTGATACGACTTTTCATGGAATTCACTCAATTAGATTGCTGCCGGCTCCTTTTATTCGTAGTTGATACAAGGGTTTCGTGACTATTTTTGTTTCATTTCGGTTGTTATGCATGCTATTTATTCGCTAACCTTCATGTCTACAAATTCAATATTATATCATAGTATTAGCCTATACAATTTATTTTTCTTTTGAAGCGCAAAGTCTCAATTGGAATAGAGAACATCCTTGATCTGCTACTAAGACCATCAAGTCGATATAAAATAAGCTCGGTATTCTTGTACTACCTATGTCAGTAAATCGGTAAATGTAAATTCAAGCCATCATCAATTATTTAATTTGCCAAGATAAAGAAAACTTGCAGCATTTAAACAATAAAAGAAAGATATAGGATACAGTACACAGTACACAATGTAGAGTGGGACATGACTCCGTCCATAAGCAAACCGCTTCCCCACCAAACCTTAGGAAGTTGACACAGCTTTCCCGTTCCCCCTCAAGCTCTGAGCTACGAGCCTCTCTCCTCCTCCAAACTCAAAGTACTCTTCAAAATGACTTCCAGGATTGATAAAACCATCGCTAGACAGCGCGAAAAGTGAGATTTTGACAAACCCCTCCTGAAGCGAGACAACCCGCCAGACAACCCACCATACTAACATCCCACTTCTAGGATCGCGGCCGGTGCCTTCTACGAAGCCCACCAACAGTTACGAGTAATCGCAGCCCGATACATCAAAGCGTCTAACTGGGATGCCGCAGCTGAACTTTTGGCTGGTGGTGCGACTGCTCTGCTGAGGGCTGGAAGTCAGCAGGGTGCATCAGCGAGTGGTGGAGATTTGGCGATTATGTTGGTTGTCGAGGTGTACAACAAGGCTGAGTGGGAGATTGCGGGAGGAAATAATGATTCCGAGGGTTGGTCTCGAAAGAGTGAGTTTCTATGATATTTCTGGATGGCAGAATACATCGAAGATTAATGCTAATGCGGGTTGACAGAGCGTCTGATTGAACTTTTGCGCGAATTTCCCTCCGAAGAACCTACGAGAAAGCGGTATATCCAGGAGATTATCGGATGGAGTGCTAGAAATGGACCGCTGGAGCGAGGAGATCCAGACCTGCACCATGCTGCGGGTTCCGTCTACGCAGAGAGTTCGTTCTTATCCCCGATCCAATACTCATACACATCTAACCTTACACTTCTTAGATAATGAACCATACGAGGCCGAGAAACATTTAATTTTGGGTACTTCGGAATCTGCAGAGACACTGGCAAAACTTGAATATGAGTGGTACACCCACGACGATCCTCACACTGCAGCTCTGTATGCTTCGCGCGCTATCTTCCCATACCTCACGACCGGCAACATCCGCAGTGCAAACAAGGCTTTGCTCATCTTCACCTCTCGCTTATCCACATCGAATCCCTCTCTCGCCGTGCAAGATGTCAGCAGTGCCAACTCTGATATGCGTGTGTACCCTGCCCTGCCTCTCCTCAATTTCCTCGGCATGTTGCTTCTTGCTATTCAGCGCGGAAGTGCCGATCTTTACCGACAGCTTACCGCACACTATGCGGCACAGATTCGCGATGTGGGTATCTGGGATGACACACTTGCTCAGATCGGTGAGCAGTACTTTGGAATCAAGATTCCTCGCCAGGGTAACCCCCTGCTTGATATGATGGGTAGTATGTTTTTCGGCGGTGGTCAAGGACAAGGTAACTCCGGGGGCCAATCTCGTCCTTCAAAGAGGGGTGAGGCACCATCACATATGGAGCTGGATTAATGGTCGACTGGGTAGTTATGTATTCTGTTTCTTCTGGTGATAGGAATAGTCGGGACAACAAAGCGACAAGAGAGATAGGGAAATTCACAAGATATGCAACATATTTAGACAATTTCCTGTTTAGATCAAAGACCTAGTATCAGATTCAAACATCCAGTTATCATCATCCAAGGAATCGGTTTTCTTGCGCAAGTTCTGGTGAACAATATTCAACACTTCTTGAGGTTATTAGTACGACCTTACCAAGAAGGGCTGCATAGTAACATACCATCAGGCTCACTAACAGACTGTCTGTTTCGGTGCCGAATCATCATCTCAACCAGTGCAGCATCAAACTCTACCTCATGTTAGTATGACCATGTCCACAATCCCAAACAAGGAATCACATACTCTCTTTGTCCTGTTCATTGCCCAATGGATCAAACGGCAAATCCCGCATTTCCTCACCCTCAAGCTCATCAAGTTCCTCTCCATTTCCTAACAAGGAGCTTCGGGGTAAGGTGGGGATATCAAGTTTGTACCCTCCATTCTTATCGCGCACCACAATATCCTTATTCTCTGCCAGTCTGCTATTCCGAGACATAGAGGAATCAGACGAAGAATGCTTCAATCTATTCGAGGGACGAGTAGAGAGCCCATTGGTCCCTTGTACACTTGGGGCTGGGGTAGGACGGCGGCTGATATTCTGTTGGAAGAGGTTTCGGCGAACTGATGTTGAACCCATTGTTGATTATCGGCGCGTGGTGATAGTGACGCGACTGCGGAATTCTGTTGCTGTTGTGGATGTGATCGATATCGAGGATGAGAACTAGTAAACTATGCTGCTGGTAAAGATAGTAAAAATGAATGAATCAGATTCAAAAGATCGCAGGGAGAAGAGAGTATTTGAAGAAAGAATTCAGGAAGATTAAGAAGATGAGATTAAGATGCGGTAGGCGCCATGTTGAGCCCAAGAGGAGTCATACATGATCGATATAGGCGCCAATTACTACCGTAGGCATCTGAAATTTTATTTCAATTAGATAATTAATGTGAATATTTGAATAAGATTATTTCATCTAATAAATCACTCATAAATACTTCATTTGTATATCAAATAAGGTGAAATAATTGTCTTAATAAGACTTCGAACTCGTGCACAGGCCATCTGATAAGCTCCTTATCGTGCACGCGTTCCTTTCATCTTTCGCGTCTTCCACTTTCAACTCATAAACTACCCTTTATCATCATTCACAATGGTTCAAGCAGAATCCTCCTCAAGTGCTGCACGCAATAGTGCTAAAGCTTCCACTGCAGGGGCTCCTGCAGGCTATGAACTCCCCTGGTAAGAACTCTCCCATGTCGCTGAGTTTTCTGCCAAGCTGACTTGCCATTGCGGGACAGGGTTGAGAAGTATCGACCGGTCTTCCTAGATGATGTCGTCGGTAATACAGAGACCATTGAACGATTGAAGATTATTGCGAAAGATGGAAATATGCCTCACGTTATTATTTCGGGCATGCCGGGTATTGGAAAGACAACCTCTGTTCTGTGTCTTGCTCGGCAGCTGCTGGGAGATTCATATAAGGAGGCAGTTCTGGAGCTGAATGCTAGTGATGAGCGAGGTTGGTGGTGTCTTGTTTCATACCAAGTTGCATAGAAACAATGCTGATAGATCCAGGTATTGATGTGGTGCGTAACCGGATCAAGGGTTTTGCGCAGAAGAAGGTCACTTTGCCTGCAGGTCGTCATAAGCTTGTGATTCTGGATGAGGCCGATAGGTAAGGCTGGACTTGACTGTCTGGGGAAATGTTTTGCTGATTTGGTCTTTTTAGTATGACACCTGGCGCTCAGCAGGCCCTCCGACGTACAATGGAGATTTACTCAACTACTACTCGATTCGCCTTTGCCTGCAACCAGTCCAACAAGATCATTGAACCCCTCCAATCTCGATGCGCCATTCTCCGATATGCACGATTGACCGACTCTCAGGTTGTGAAACGATTGATGCAGATCTGCGAGGCTGAAAAAGTTGAGCACTCTGAGGATGGTATTGCCGCTCTGGTATTCAGTGCCGAGGGTGACATGCGTCAGGCTATCAACAATTTGCAGAGTACCTGGTCCGGATTCGGGTTTGTGAGCGGAGACAATGTATTCCGTGTTGTGGATAGTCCTCATCCTGTCAAGGTTCAGGCTATGATCAAGGCTTGCTGGGAAGGAAAGGTTGATATTGCTTTGGAGGGATTGAATGAACTATGGTAGGTCACTCCGCCTCAGCATTATATATACACAACTGACCTTAATCTAGGACACTGGGCTATTCCTCCCACGACATTATCAGCACCATGTTCCGAGTTACCAAGACGATCCCAACTCTCTCTGAGCATTCCAAGCTGGAGTTCATTCGTGAGATTGGATTCACCCATATGCGTATTCTCGACGGTGTTCAGTCTCTGCTGCAATTGAGCGGCTGTGTTTCGAAGCTCTGCAAGATCAACATGAAGCCTGAGCTTTTCGTGCCACCCAAGGCTTGATGCAGACCAACGAGAAAAGAAAATAATACCCTCAGCATATTTCATGGCGTTTTCAATGGAACTTCTTAGCTCTAGGCCTACAAATAGGTTTATTCGCTTTGCGACATTCAGGTTCTTCTCTAGTTTTGTAAAGTTCAAGTCCTACTAGTCAAATATGTACTAGTTTACTGCACATGTGGGGATCATCGGAGTCACGCTGTACTCATCTTACTACATACATAGTAGTTCCTACTAGATGTTCGCAACACATAATGTTGCAACTCCAAGTCCCACTCCAGGGCTGACAAGAGCACTTTGACTTCTCTGCCATAATCTGGAGATTTATAGTACTACAATCTATCAATCACTAGCCCATAGTAATAACGTCCTAGTTTTTCTGGCACTCTACAGTGCCCAGGTGCTATCTTAATGCCTATATCTTGCAAGAAGGGCCCCGGCATGCTGATAATCGAACAGTCACAGTGTTTCATGTTGCCCAGGTATAGATATCGAAAACATGCCCTCATTGTCATTGTACGTATACTTGGAGGCTAAGTTAACGACATCTGGACACGATACTGCCATAGATGACCTAGAAAAGAAACTTCAAAACCTGTCTAGACAGGGAGTCGGTTCCTCCCTGGCAACTCTATGAAGAATACAGCATATAGCTGTAAAGGAAGGGTTGTCGATCGAAATATGGAATACATCAGGGATCTTGTTCATGTATTGCTTATCATTGAAGATTGGACCGAGGTAAATCCTATAGATCGGGTAGCAGCATAACCGAGTAAGACGAAGTTAGTATGAACATACTACATACTATGTAGTGTAGAAAAGAGTATAAGTAAATTTATAGTATCCTCTTGAACTCCACTTAAGCCGTTCGCGGTAGTCCACAACTGGGACCACATACAACTGGGACCACAAGAGCTTGCTCTCAAGGCGGGGACTTATTGTGGGTCGCGGACCCTCTGCACGGTTGAACCTCTTCTTCTCTATCAAGCTTGATGGCGCAACCCAGCCATCCTAGTCATGGATTCCACAGAGTCCAGTGCGAGTACTCCTGGTGCAATTCGCACACGCAGTAAAACTCCCGGGAATATTGCAAAACGAGCTTGCGACCAATGCAAGTTCCGCAAGATCAAGGTGCGCATTTCGCATTTCGCATTTCGCATTCCTGGACCCCTCCGCTCCGAGTCCGCCACATGAAGAAAAAAAAAGCGGGCGCTAACCCAGCAATAGTGTAGCTTGTCACAACCTTGCAAGGCATGTCAATCTATGGGATTTAATTGCACATTTCTTCAACCGCAAAAGAAACGTGGCCCAACTGGACAGTGAGTTTCATTTTGCATATACACGGGCACGGGAAGGATTCTGATCATGTTTCAAGTCGTGTGTCGCAAATTCGACAGCAACAAACTCATATCGTGACAAATCCATCAGAGAGCTCTAACCAGAATCAAATTGGCAAAGATACATTTCAATATCATGTCCCGACTTCTTCAGTTGAAGCCCAACCGGTGTCGATACCGGGTACATCTTGGACGCCGGCTCCCGAGATCCCGATACCGGTAAATGGAGCCGGTCTAGCTGCACCAATTCCATCATCAGTGGTAGATGCCTGGGGTTCAGAAAATCCATCATTGGATTCTCATGCTGGAGTGGCTTGGAATGACCGACAAGATGTAGAATACTGGCTCCCCGATAACATAGGGGCACAAGTATCTGTCTTTGAATTTCCAGGAAGTAATATCTACCTCAAGCCATCATTACCATCTATCATTCAGCCAGTGCCCGATGTCTCGGCTATGAACATGCATCCGCAGGATCATTCAAACATGTCTTACTCGCCAGCCGTCGGATCCGTAGGCTCAGTGCCTTCTGAAAATCAGGAGGTGGAAGACTTTTGGCCAGCGGCGATCAATGAAGCTAACATGATTCCCTGGGTGGATGTCTACTTTGACCGATTACACCCGACAGTTCCAGTATTGAGCCGGTCGTTATTATTTACGCGCATGATGTCTCATGAGCATCGTAAAAACCCTCAATTTGGAGCAATGACGTTATCACTATGTGCCTTTTCACTAACCCAGCCGATTGAAATCAATGAGCGGCCCACTGCATCACGCGCGACTCAAGCACGTTTAATGATGCACGAAGCGACGAAGATGCGAAGCTGCTCTGATTTTGGAGAAAACCCGACGATCGAGGCCGTGCTGACTAGTTTCTTTCTGTTTGCTTGTCTTTTTGGAAGTAATCAACATAATGCTGCCTGGCTGCGGCTGCGAGAAGCTTTAGATCTTGCATCTACTTTGGGGTTGAATGACCCGATTTCATATCGTGACCTCTCTGGAGAGGAGAAGGGCCAGCGATTAAGGACATACTTGGTACTATCGATTACGGAAAGGTAAGCTGATCATTGAGTATCTTACGAGACTGCTGAGCCTAACATTATCACAGAGCATATGCCCTCCAAAGGCTACACCCAGTGACATTCTCGGGTAAGCCCGGATTCAGTATGCGCTCAGTGCATGAATTCCTCCACAACGCAACCCACAGTCTTGTCTCCGACATAATTGTGCACAACGAAAAAGATGCCGAAGGAATGATGGGACTTGCCAGGATGATGGAACTTTTCGATACGATTGACGAAGATTTCATCCATTGCTGGAATCGCCGATGCAGCATCGACAATGGTTTCTGCGAGAAGTTCACCGAAGCCAAGGCATTATCCATGCATGACAGCCTTCAAAGAGTCAGTCAAGCCGAGCGGTATAAAGGATATGACTGGTTTGAGCGAGCCAAAGGAGACTCAAACGATGGCAACGCTCTCTTAGCGATAGGCCTACGGGAGACACAGGCAGCGGATGTTTTCATTACTCAGAAATGGATACACAATCGTGTTTGGCTGTTATCTCTTTACCACGGTCTTCTCAGAACTCAATCTGAAAGACCTGAAATGACCTTTGGATATGCTGTGACAGTTGCGGAATCAGCTCTCCAGACCTGTCGATCATTACGACTCAGTTCAATGGAAGCGCATGGAATAGGCTTTGTACGTGACCCCCGAAGACATCTGGATGAAACGAGCTATGCTAACGATATGATAGACCGAGAAATTATACGATATTGCAATCGGCGCAATAAACATCCTTTGTAACATCAGTCCACCCTTTGGAAATGGAATGGCACCCTTGGGGACCTATCCAGATTCAATACCCACCTCCACACCTCAAACCTTGGCCGAAGACTTTCTGTTATTGATGAGTAGCTTCCGAGGTGGAAATCATCCATTCTTGGAAAAGCTCCAGGCTCATTTGCGTGTACTACATATCCCTACGAGCAAAGTCACTGGCTGGGCTCAACAATAACCTGTATAAGTGAACATTCAATGTTGAACTTGAAGCAGTTACATGTACTATTTTCTTCTCTGTTCTTGTGTAAATAGCAGACTTGAACAAACATATGGTGTCTCTATCTGCCTTGTACTTTATTGATAATTGAATGAACTTCAACTTACTAGCAACATTGAATATTTACTCTATCTCAGCGTTAACAAGTCACTCTATAATGTACTTGATCTATCGATCTGATTGGTTCAGAAGAGGACGATGCAAACACTGCAAACCACACACGTGATACCGATATCGGCACTCATTTATCCCATTTTGGTCATCTTCAACCCAGTCAGAGCATCAATGCCCCAAAATAATGAGGGAAAACAAGGAATATAGAGACACTCAAGGTCCTGCATTGTACTCAATTTCCTACTACTGGTCCAGAATCGAATATCTCTATTGGTTACTGTATGTGGTATCAAGCTGAGCATAGTTAAATCACCCCGCCATCAAGTAATGATCAGTGATCCATGTCAAGCCTTGGAGTCCTTAGGATAATGCTAGTATTACTGCCATTGGCATCTCTAAATCTTAATTGACTTATCTAGCATACGTCCTTTCTCTAGTATTTAGTAATTGATTTACAAATCGTATACTATGTACTAGGTATCTGCCCAAGTGATGCATGCATATACCCCGCCATTGCCGCCGAAATTGAACAGCAATGATCATCCAAAGTGCTCACAGATCCGGATTGAATGTGCTTTAACCTGCATACAAGTAGGAACAATTCTAATAATAGTAATATTAATCTGTAAAGAAAACAACTGGCGTATTCGTCATACTTCTCCCCTCTATGACTCTTAAGGTTGATCCACTCCGATCCACTATATTTTTTTTCCTCCCGCTTCAAGTTCCCAGTACTCATACTCATTCATCACTACACTCAAAATGCCTTCCAGACAAGAAGTCTCCTACTTTGGAGCTGGACCAGCTCCCCTCCCCACCTCTGTCGTGGAAGAAGGCGCCAAAGCCTTCGTGAACTACAACGACACCGGACTCGGACTCGGAGAGATCTCCCACCGATCAGCAGCCGCGAACAAGATCCTCGACGATGCCAAAGCGAACCTTACCACTCTTCTCGATATCCCCGATAACTATGAGATTCTCTTCATGCAAGCTGGTGGAAGCGGTGGATTTAGTGCCGTTGTGCAGAACCTCGTTCCCGTCTGGATTGAGCGTCGTCGTCGTCGTGCCGAGGCTGAGATCCTGAAGGCTAACCCCAATGCTGAGAAGGCTCAGGTTGATGAGTTGGTTTTCTCCAGATTACAGAAGGAGGTTGAGGAGGAATTGAAGTTGGATTACCTCGTTACTGGATCTTGGTCTCTCAAGGCTTCGCAGGAGGCTGCTCGTCTGGTGGGATCCAAGTACGTTAATGTTGCTTTGGATGCGCGCAAGGCTAATAATGGGAAATTCGGTGTCATCCCCGCCGAGGAGACCTGGTCTTTGACCCCAACTAAGAAGGAAGGTGGCAAGGGATCCGCATTTGTTTACTTCTGTGACAATGAGACTGTGGATGGAGTTGAGTTCCAGAGCTTCCCTAAGTCATTGGAGGCTCAGGGCCAAGATGAGGAGGATGAGCGTTTGGTTGTTGCCGATATGAGCTCCAACTTTATCAGCCGCAAGGTTGATGTTAGCAAATATGCTGTGATCTTCGTGAGCACCGCCAGTACTGATTAGTATACATTCATACTAATAATTTTCTAGGGCGGCGCGCAAAAGAATATCGGTGTCACTGGTATCACCCTCGCCATTGTTCGCAAGGATCTCCTCCCTCCTCACACTTCTACTCCTCCTCCTGCTCTGCTCCACCGTCTTAACATTGGTGGTCTGCCCGGCACACTAGTCCTCGATTACGCTACCATCGCCAAGAACAACTCTCTCTACAACACCCTGCCCATTTTCAACCTCTGGATCGCCGGCCAAGTCATGGCTGACCTGGTCAACGAATTCGGTGCTCAGAAGGTTAGCGGACAAGAAGAGGTCGCCAACAAAAAGGCCCAGCTCATCTACGGAGCTCTGGACAAGTACCCACAGGTGTACCAGGTTGTCCCCGACAAGAGCATCCGCAGTCGCATGAACATCTGTTTCCGTGTCCACGGTGGCGACGATGCCAAGGAGAAGGAGTTCATCGCTGGTGCCGAGAAGCGTCTGTTGCAGGGTCTCAAGGGTCACCGTAGCGTCGGTGGTATGCGTGCCAGCAACTACAACGCCGTTCCTCTGGGGAACGTGCAGAAGCTTGTCAAATACCTCGAGGATTACGCGACAGGCAACTAGATATAATCTGGTGACTGATGTGAAATGAGCTTAACCTTTATACCAAAAAATTGATTGGACCAAGCGTCCTGGAAGCTATTAGCTATTCAACATAACTCCCGGTATATGCTATATATGCCTCGAAGAGAATTCACAGAAATAATGATACAGATGATTAAACATTCAAAGCTTCCAAACACCCCAGTCCTTTAGATCCAGTTCCTTAATAACACCTTGAACCGGACCTTGAAGTTCCTGTCCTTGAGCCCAGACCTTCGGACCTGCCATATAGCTAATGAATCCCTCAGGACCCGATACTAAGATCAGTTTAGTATTGCGAGAGTCTTCACTGGTACTGGAATGGAGTTGAACCGCGTCAGCAAGATCACTCTTCCCAATAAACCGATTCTCCTCATCTAAATAGTAATCCACCTTGACTTGTCCAGGATACTGAGACTTGAGCGCCTCCAACTCCTTCACAATAAGCGAAGTAGTCTTCTCCTGAGTATCAGATGGGAGAGTAACCTGCGTAGGACTCTTAGATCCAAACCAGGAGAACCAAGATGTACGCTGGGTAACAATCTTCGGCGTATCACTCTCTCCACCGAGAGAATCCTCCTTTAAGCGATTCGCCCATAAAATATGGATCTTGGACCTTGGGCGTGCATCGGAATCTTTGCTTTGCTGATCTTCACGACTAAGAAGCGAGTATCCAGCCTGTAACGCCGGCGCAATACCAGTTCCACCAGCAACGAAAACAATCTCCCTCGTCTTCTCCGGAATCACACACTCAATCTGGGGGCCACGCATCTCGATATCCGCACCGATCGCCAAATTATGCAGATACCTCGAAACCTCTCCAAAAGGATCTTTCCGAATAAAGAAGCGCAAGTAACCATCATTTTCCTCGTCGACACTCAACGAAGTGGCCGCGGTGGTTGGGAGGGGTGTATAATCTCGACCGATTTGTAATTGGGGTTGCTTGAACATAACACTCCATACACCGATGCGCCATGCATCTTCGTAGACGTCGTAGTTACTTCCGCTGGGGTATCGGGGACGGAGTGTGAATAGACTGCTTGTTGTTGAGACGGGTTCCCTGGATACCAGGCTGTATTTCGTGAAGGTTTCTTGGTTTAGGGTTGAAGAACTCGGACTTGAAGAGCGAATGTAGGCGCCTGCTCCTGCTGCTGCTGCTGTTACGAAGAGGATTCCTAGCCAGCGCTTGGTCGTGGAGGGAGTCGGTGAGGATGAGGGTGGTGATGGCGTGGGTTTAGCGGTTGAGGTGGTTGTAGAGACATAGCGACGAAATAGATTTCGACTGCCGCAGCAGCGAAAAGAGAGTGTTGAGTTCATCGAGGAATCATAGAGAACTTATAAGTGCACGAGGGTATAAGGGTATATAGTGAACTTGAAGTTTGAGGAAAAAGCGCGGGGAGAAGGAAATCCGATTGGGCGATCGTTTCCCCCATTCTAATGCAATCTCCGTTGTTATTACTTAGTATCCACCAGTCCCTTTCCAATTTCTCTCCTTCAATTCTTAAGAGAGATGGAGATCTCTGTTCTATTTGACTCATTTGAATAGAGTATCTACTATCGAATATCGACCCTGGCGAACCCTTGAACCCTTGAACCCCAACCGGTTCGCACGACCCACTTCAGCAGCAACCTCAACCCAACTATAACAAAGACAAGGAGAATGTCGACGTTCACCGACAGAAATGGTGGTCTCGCCGCTCCTCGAGACTCACTAGAACTCGCCTCTCTAGCATCCTCCTCTCCTGCATCAGTCGACAGATCCTCGCGATCATCCTCTCCCGACGGAATCTCCTCTTCGCGCAAGCTCTCCCTCGAAGACGAGGACCCTCTTACCGGTCCCGCAGGAGACGTATACCTAGAAGCAGGGCGACAGCGAGGATATTCGATATCTTCGGCCTTCGATTTCGGAGGGAACCTTTTCCCTCTCTCTCAGACACAGGGTGGATATGCGCCCTTAGGGACACCGTCACTGGATCGCGCAGGACCAGATGGATCACTCGAGCGAAATAAGACATTAACGTACCTGAATGGACTATCGTTGATTGTGGGGTTGATTATTGGATCTGGTATCTTCTCATCGCCGAGTCAAGTCAATGCGAACGCTGGATCTCCCGGTGCATCGCTTATTGTTTGGGCTGTCGCGGGTTTACTAGCTTGGACGGGTGCGGCTAGTTATGCGGAGCTGGGAGGTGCGATTCCACTCAATGGAGGCGCACAAGTCTACCTGTCTAAGATCTTTGGAGAGTTGATGGGATTTCTGTTTACATGGTGTGCGGTTCTCGTTTTGAAGCCTGGGTCTGCAGCTATCATTGCGATTATTTTTGGCGAATACGTTGTGCGCGCATTTGTTGGTGCGGATGTGGTTATGGTCAACCCTTGGATTAACAAGGGCGTTGCACTCGGAGCTCTCTTAGTGGTTACTTTGTTCAATTGCATCTCTACGAAGATTGCGACTCGAATCGGTGATCTACTTATGTTCTTCAAGTTCATTGCGCTACTTTTTGTCACGATCACTGGAATTGTCGTGGCTATCACGGGATTCTCAGCTAAGGGAAGTGCCAACGAAGAATGGAAAACCCATGGATGGTTTGAGGGTACCAATACCGAGATATCTGATTTTGCTGTGGCGCTCTACGCTGGTCTATGGGCTTTTGATGGCTGGGACAATGTAAGTGCATACTTTTCTACACTGAATTAAATGCGGCGACTGACAAAATCAAGACCAACTACGTGACTGGCGAGTTCAAGAATCCCAAACGTGATCTACCGCGAGTCATCCATACCGCCATGCCACTGGTGATACTTTCATACCTCATGGCCAACGTAGCCTACTTCCTCGTTCTTCCGCACGACACCATCGAGGCAAGCAACACCGTAGCCGTGCAATTCGGCAGCAAAGTCTTCGGCTCAGTCGGCGGTCTCGTTCTCGCGCTGGTTGTATCAGCCAGTTGTTTCGGCGCACTCAACGCAACCACATTCACCAGTGGACGACTTGTCTACGCAGCCGGTAAAGAGGGATACCTCCCGTCATTGTTCGGTCGCCTTGGCTTTGGAGCTGTATCTTCGAATCCACCTCCTGGGGGTCGTCTACGCAGTCGATCCTGGGCCCGTCGATCTATTTCCCGTGTGCTAGGTGATAATGCCCGACTGGGATTTACTCCTATCAACGCGATGGCATTCAACGCCGTCTTGACAGCCATCTATGTCGTCGTGGGTGAATTCGGCACACTGGTTACATTCTACGGTGTTGCCGGATACACCTTCTACTTCCTGACGGTACTGGGTCTAATCGTTCTTCGAATCCGTGAACCGCATTTAGAACGTCCATACCGTACATGGATCACAACACCCATCATCTTCTGCTGTGTCAGTTTATTCCTTCTTAGTCGTGCAGTTATTGCTGAACCCCTCCAAACATTGATCGTGGTGGGATTCATTATTACTGGTATCCCGGTCTACTACTGGAGGATCTACCAACGCGATGGACATATTGGGATCTCTTGGAAGTTTTGGACATGGCGTCGGTAACCAGATATGATCCTTGGTTCGGCTCTTATGATCTTAATACCCATGCATATAACAGTATGGTGACAGGGATTGCATATTGTGTTCTCTGTATTCTAGCCCGAATGGCGTATGATTGATGATGCGGTTCTGGGTTTATACTTCTTGTCTGTTTTATTAATCTGTTATCCTTGAAAGACCAGGACTAGCCCTGGAGGAGCTCTGGAGTTCCAGGTGGCGGTCCAGATGCATGTGTTTTGATAATAATACATAGAACTAATCTTCAATGACAAGTGTCAGTTTAGCAACCTTCTGTTTCACTTTTGATTACTCTAGAGGTACAATGAGAATGAAGAAAGTGCGGTGATACACCCTGGCCCGTTGTCTCCTTGATTTCTTGTTTGATCTCTCACTCATGATCCCATTATTTGATCTCTTTCTCCATCTGCTGCTTCATCTGTCCTGTTTCTTCTCTTACTTTGTCTCCCAGGACATGTGATCCAATTTCATGGGTGCCGATATAAAAAGGAAGCTCAGGCTTCAGGCTTCTCCCCTTCCGCCTTCTCACATCCTCTAACTTCGTTTCTCCTACAACCCACCCATCTTCCACCAGAGCATAACACATCTTGAATTTCGAGAAGTACCAGTAATTCTCATCCATTTACTTAAGTCTTTGACTAATACTTTAGCAGGATTTCAGAACTCGTTGCTCCCGGCAATGCAGCTAGAGTGGCGAGGGGAGCTACGGGATGAGCTTCAGGATATGACGGAAGTTACACAGGGAAGAATCACGGCCGTTCCGACAAGCGGGAACCTTTCGATAATGATAGAAATGAGCCAACAGGCAGAGAGAGTCTCAGCATGAGGCTAGAGACCACACCTAGGCTCGGACTCAGGCGCATGTGCAGGTTTAGGTGGGAGGTACCCATGAAGATCTTCAGCAGCCGGTCTAGACTTCCTGCCTGGATCTAAAGCCCAGTGGTGGTATACGGAGGATTTTATGATCGGAGAAGCTGCTGAAAATTGCCAACAGAGATCCTAATTGTACATCCCTTTCCAAGGCGACTTCTTCAGGTCTTTCCAACAGCAATGAGCATGTACCTCTATGCTGTGCTGTTAACTATTAACTTTTTTGGTGAACACAGCACATAATAAAATGTCAGTTCATAGGCATAGCGCTGAAGCTGAGAAAGCCGAAGCTGCTCGCAAGAAGGCAGAGCATGATGCCATGCTCACTGTTGAAGAAGCGTCCCAGCCCTTCAAGAGCAAGGGCACTGGAGCTAAGACCGCCCAGAATAAGTCTCACGGCCTTGACCTTTCCCAGCTGGATGCCGATCCCTTCAGCAAGAAACCCCGGGCCCATCTGCTCTGAACACCTCCGGCATCGATAACGCGACTCCTGAATCATATCAATTAACATATCAGGTACACAGAATTTAATGAGTTTCCATTTTATTACTAGTTCCTGTCACTCAGTTGCAGTGGAGAGCAAAATGATTCGGACTTGAGATAGTTCACAGTAGAATGGCCACACGATGAAGACTGGTATGTCGCCGTAGATACCGGGTCGATGTGAAAGAGAATCGAGTTCCTATGCCACAATCTTGGAAGACACTAGCAAACCACTTATTAAGTAACTTGCATGTCTGAACTTGATACTAATTATCAGTCAAATCCTGTGGAACTTGAAGAGAATGCAGCATTTGAAGTTGCGGGGATACTCCATAGGTGCTCTGTGTGGTCCTGGAGTGGCTGATCTAGATCTTGAAGCCATGGCAGCTTTAAGAAGAGTACATGATTGATTCATACTAGTGAGATACCAACGGTTGAACCAGATAGACTTATTTAGCTCATATCACTAGGTCAAGACGGTAAACAAATCTCTCAAATTAAACCTAGTACCATGGAAGATCAATTCTGTCCAAGTAAAAGTGCACTTCTGAGAATATTTGTAGATATTTCTATTTTTGGCTTTCTTAAGTTGCATGAACATCTCCTCACTAGTTCATAGACTAGACCTCGGCATAAAATTCCCATTCTCCAAAAACACCGCAGCCACACTCCAAAATCCAGTAAATTGTAAAGGACAGAGCTCAGATCCAGAGCTCATGGTCGATAAGAGGGACAAGAAACTTGGCGTGTGATGGGGCCATAACAGAAAATCAATAAAATGCTAGTGACTAGCCGCAGCATCACAGTTTCTTCACCAAGCGTGCCTTCAGGGCTGACAGGAATTGGCCATGGTCAAGAAGATCACCGCAGTCGCCATGGCTGTCTTCAGCGTGGGAAAAGAGACTGGATAAGTGATCGAAGTATCGTTGGCAGGTACGACAGATCCAGTTGCCGTCTCGATCACAGAATTTGTGATAACCATGGACTTCGTAAGTAATTCTTCTAATGCGATCTCTTGATCCACAAGATCCGAGTTCCAGATGGGCAAGCCAATGGGGAAAGCGTCGGAAATCTCGATTGCAGACTTTGCACTTCCAGTCTCGTGGGCCATGGGATCCTTCATGCTGAGATTATGTTCATGTTAGGAGGATATTAGAGATTTGAATGGAGAGGTTAGGGTGAACTTACAAGATCACGGCCAGATTCGGAAGTAAACCATTCACCGCAGGTCTGACAACTCCAATGTTTGTCATTCTTATGCTCTTTCAATTCATGTTCCGTTTTGAAGAAATCATCACAGAGATCACAGCAAAAATGGGCTTCTTCTTCATGGATTTCAAGATCCTCTTCTGTGTCAAAGTCTTGTGCTGGATCACAGAGCCAGCAGATATTGTGAAGACCGGAGTTAAGTTGGTGATTTTCGAGAGATTTCTCTGAGATAAAGACTCTCTCACAAGGCTCACACCAGGAGTGAGCATTTGTTGTGGCACAGTGAATACGGGCATTGTCGTAGTTTCCAAGCCATATGCCACAGATACGACACCAGTAGCGGCCGTCGTGAAGCTGAATGTAGCCTCCAAAGTAATATCTGGAGTCCGACTCCATGACGAAGTGAGGATGTTTGATGCTTGTGAGGTAAGAAGATGGAAGGAGTGGTGAGAACGGGGAGGGTGGTAACACTAAAAAGCCGAATGGACCAGGAGAATGAAGATGAGATAGAACTTCCTGAAGAGATAAAAGAGAGGAGGGAAGAAGAAGTTGAAGCTGAAGGTCAAGGTAAAGATAGAGGTGGAGGAAGAATCAAAGAAGGAAAGAACGTGTTGTTTGCTTCACTTAAATATCACAACACGACTCTCGCTGCTCTTACTTATGGATATTAGAGCAGTTGAAATATTTATGATTAGTGATATTGGCTATATTAAATTCGATTATAGCTACGAAGATTTTGATATGCTTAACTTGGTAGACTTATACCAAGATCTATGAAGCATTACTATTAACTAGACAGAATCATAGATTCAGACATATAGTAAACAAGTAATTAATATTGAATTATCCTAACTTCACATTTATAGATATTAGCGAGGAATTATATTCACTCACAAATATTAGCAAGTGGAGAGTAGAGAGTAGTGACTATTTACATGTTGAATATTATAGGAGTGCGGGATATACATACTCCTACTAGATCATGCAGCATACTACTACCTAGGTAGTAATCCCTGTCACCTTCAAGTTACTCAACATGAGCCCAACAATGATATCACGACCTACCCAGGTTCCAACATTTGAAGGCTTTCATGATCATCCAAATCAATATATGAACCTTGAACAAGGCAATATACCTGCAACTACCTAGGTTGTGTTGCCCGTGCCCCAAAGCGCAACATTGAAAGAGCAAGGAAATGCCCACCATCATTACTATTATGACCACTAACCAGTTTCAGACCTAGACTTCAAATCTCCCATATTTTCTAGAATTCTAGAATTCTAGAAAGACATTCCCTTCAAGTTCTAGAATGACTCAGTTATGACCAAGATCCGATTACCACCTCGTATAGAAGAACTCGTGTCGAAACTACAGAATACTTCCCGGTTGTGTGACGCGGACACCGTATTAGGGATAAAGTCCAATTCAGCTGGAGTTCTATTCAATCTTCTGTCCTACTTGGATATCACTTGTTACACTCTGTCCGATCCAATCATCTATACCAATTCCCAATACATTATTGGACCGGAAGAGAATGAAAAGAGAAAAAAAATTTCATTTTCATTTGTCTTTCTGGGGATCAACAGAGCTGTGGATACAGAATACCAAGAAACTCCCCTGTCAAGCCACGTTATGCATGTATCAGCCTCCAGGAAGAAAGTCTTAGCACCATTCATGCATGAAAGCGAGACCGGGAAGATATCCAACGAGAAGAAGCGAAAGAACAAAAGAACAAGGTCTCCAAGGTCTCCCACATGGCAGAATGAGACTATTCATAGAATTTGCCGAGTTCCCGGCCCCCAATACATAGGGCGGGCGGTTAGCATGTCGCCAGGATGAATCATGGCTGAATTCCAGGCGGACTATTTGTTAAGGTCTGAACCAGTGAGAAAAAAAAAGAATTAAAAATAAACTTGAAAATAAAAAAAGGGGCAGAAGATGAATGAACATTTGGATGAACATTTGAATGTACCTGATATACCCATGTCATCCCATTGCATCTAAGCTGCAGGGGCACAACGTGGGTTTCTTATTTTTATTTTTAGGAATTACTACATTATTGTAGATATTATTGTTATTCTTAGCCAAGTGCTATTCATCATTTCTGACTATATTTCTATTTGAGTCCAAGCTTTGAAGATCAAGTAGATCAAGTAGATCATTTATAATGATCTCCTCCAATCATCATGATGATTCTAGTATATCTGTGATCACCCGTTAAGTCCAGCCATGTTTCAAGTTGCAACCCGAAGAGGTTTCATCAGCTGAAATAAATTAAAAAAATATGATAAAATACAATAGAAAATACTAGAAAATAACATTTTGAATAAAAGAACAAAATAACTAATCATGAATCATCAGCGCATAGCCTCCGATCGACTAAGATGTAAATGGGGGATAAATACTAGTCATCTTTCTCAGCTCAATGTCCCATCGGGCGTTCCATTACAAATTTAGTCTTGACTAATTCATATTTTAATATTCTACTACTACCTAGTACGAGGTAGGTAGTAGTACTAGTTTCTATTCTCTTGTTTTCGATTATTTTAATTCTACTAGTATTGTCTGAACTCGCTAGATCCTTCTCGGGTCTATCTGAATCATCCGATACAAGGTATCTCGTGGAAGACCTGAGTCAGACCTGCATTTCTTTCTAGTTCATCTAGAACATTTCTAGAATAGGTTCGAATTAGAAACTGTGATACATTGTCTGGCCTGAATATTTTCTTGATTTTTTATTTTTTATTTTTTTTATTGATTCATACCAGGTACACACAGCCCTGGAGATGGGGGAAAATCATATAAGAACGCTTAGATCCTGAGCTTGGATTCAGATCAGCAACTCAATTCAAACATCATCTTCACACTTAAAAGCTTTACAAGCTTTGAGCTTTGAACTTCATACTTGAACTCTATCAGCTTCATCAACTCTATACTCTATACTCTTGCTCCAAGCATCTACTCTTGTTCATCAAGATCCTCAAGATCCTCAAACATCAACTCTTTACCTCTCTCAACCTCTTCACTTCATCTACACTCTCACAATGGGTCGTGGTGGATACAACGGACCTGTCAGCAAGGCAGATGACACTACATCTTCTACACCAGCCTCTACTAGCTAATGTACCTCCTACCTTCAGGTTATGCTCCGCGAGCATGACATCGACTTCGCAACCTTGAGGAACTAGGATACTCAACTCATACCAAACCTCCTCAACTGCACATATGCATCATCTCACGGCCTCGGACATTTCGGACTCATCTCACGAACAATTTTACGTTGATTGGCACAAGAGGCAACATGGATGGAGTTCAGGGAAAGGAATCTTGTATACATAATCTTATAGAATAGAGGGGACCTGGCGTTTTATAGACGGAGTTTGGACTTTCTATCAACATCATGATGTGTATGATACGGAATTTAGGATAGACTTAATTACTATGCACTTCAAATACTGATTACTACCTATTACCTACTACCAGTACTAGTACCAAAGAATTAAGTCTTATCGATCTTAATCTAACTCAATAAATACTATACATGATGAGTCGAACTTGGGAATCGATATGTGCATCTATAAGTGCCAAGCACAACAATAGTCAAGAATGTGAGTCATCGAGCAGGGATACAATTCGATGGAACTACTAATCATGACGGTACATCATGACCAGCGTGAAAAGGGATGAGAAAATGAAATTATTTACATGCAGAGAGAGAATGGGAGGGAACATCTTCCAGGACAAGCTGGATATGTGTTGTCCTCTCAACAAAAGAAGAAACGGAGAATAGACAATGACAAAGTATCATGTCACCATGCTCGCTCATCATGGACAAATGAAGTGAAAAGAAAATAAAAGTGGTAGGTCAAAGTGGGAGAAAGGAAGGGTATTATACAATCGAGAATGTGAGGGTGGGAGAAAATTTTGGATGCAAAAGTATGAGGGTGAGAAAAGAAAAAAAGGGTAGTGGAAAAAAAGTGAAAAGGAAAAAAAAGAAGAATCCAAGATGAGAAGGAAAGATTCCGAGACGGCATCAAGAAGAATCTATCAAACATTAGATTATTGGGGTCAATCCGACAACTCAATCGGATGACTGGCTGAACCATCAGTTGGTTCTTGTGGAGTATCATGTTGTTCTGAAACAACAATAGAAGGGGGTGCGGAGGGGTGAGATTCCTGAGTAGGACTCGATAATATGTGATCTTCAGCACTGATTGGGTCTGTCTGGGTGGGTGATACAGGTTCTGGTACAGTTGGAAGAGTGCCATCAGCACTCTCTTTACTGTCAGACATAGGTCCGTTGCGTCGTCGCATGCGACGGTTTCGTCGTTCTTCATCCGCACTCTCTCTTCGTCGTCGTTGACGTTCCCCGCTTGCATCGGAATTGCTTCGCAGGCCCATGAGCATGCTGGCTGCGCGATCTGCAACGTCTTCGCCTTCGGAGATCTGGGCCTCTTTACCCTCATCATCGGGGGGAGGGCTTAATAGGCCATTTTCACCAACATTGGCGTCCCCATTGGGGGCCTGATCGGCATCATCGCCTTCGTCTCCACCGGACGTATCAGGTGGCTTTGTACCAGATGCCACTCTGACTTGATGGCGTTCCTTAAGACGGGCACGCCGACGGCGATCACGCTGATCTTTGGCTTGAGGTGCAGCTGCACGCAACTTCTCAAGTAGCGAATCCATTGCACCACTTGATGCGGGCGAACTCGGTACTTCGGACACCGGGTTGCCGTTGGCAAGGTTAACATTGATTCGCTTACGAGCAAGGGACGCCTCGGTGCGTTTCCGAGACTCTTCCAAGCCAATGTTCTTCTCGCGCGATTTCTATAGATGTGATTAGCAAAAGGTACCTCTTGAGGAACATAGTTAATTAGAACACTCACCTTCCATTCAAGTAAGAAGGAAGCCAATTTCGCGAAGAAGTCTCGGCGAGCATTTTCATCGGTATTGTCTTCACCATAGAAGACCATGATATCGTCATATGTCTTGACCATTTCATCCAGGTAAAGCTGCAGCTGTTCGGCCTTGCGACGAGCATCCTTCATGCTGCGCTGGACAACCTGACTGACTCGATCCTGGGGATGGAACTTCTTCGGATCACTCAAGTTACCAGCGTCCAAGCTGGCTTGGATGTTCTTGATGTTACTGACATACTTCTTGGAATCAGTACACAGTTGATCCACGTTGATTTTCTGGAGGCCGACAACTCCGCTAATTTCCTCAGAGAAACTCTCCCATTCAGGGTATTGGTTTCGCACAATACGCTCAACCAGATCGGCAAAAGTGGTCTCGTTCTTGTCGTCCTTGACCATTCCCAGGCGAGCAAGAGAGCTTAGTTTGAAACCCTGGGCTTGCTTGTTGGCATCGTTCATGAAATTTCCAATATCCAAAATGAGACCAAGAACGTTCATCAACGCCACGGAATCTCGCAGAGACTCGCTGACAACAACAACCTCTTGCAACTTGGTCGAGATCTCCTCATACTCTTGCTCAAAGGAGCGAGTCAAGGCAAGGGCACGCATTCTGGCCTTCCAGTAATGGTTTAGCTCGAAGGAAGTGGCCAGGTAGATCTGATCCTCACGAGTGAGCTCGATAGGATCCTGTTCACGCTCGGAACTGGTAGCCCCTGGAACAGTCCAGTCACGGCTGTACGGCGCCATCAGTTTAGCAACATTTTCAGGAATAGTGCACATCTCGTCTCTTTGCAGGAAATCCATAACGACAGGGTTCTCCAAAAACTCTTTGTCACAGTGAATAATCATGCGAACCACATCATCAGGAGGGTATTGAGAGTACTTGGCGAGGGCAATTTGGAAGTTCTTGGATAAGTCGTTCGAGATGATCTGCTTCTTGTCTTTGCGTTGCTTAGCTGCTGTACTGGCACCAAAGATCTTGGTCTCCTTTGCCATGAACAACCGCTCAACTTCGTCAAGAACTCCTCGTTTGGCGAGATCAGTATACTTCTCTTCTTTTTCCTCTGCAGTTGGAGCATGACCAGCCCAGACAGTCACTTGAGGAGTATCCACCTTGTCCCAGTGCAAAGCCTTGAGTTTCTTCTTAGGACGGATAAATGGCATGTGAGTGGTAGCTGGACCAGCATCGCCAGCCATGTATTTGGGTCGCCAGCCAGAACCCATGGCAGCGCTGGGCGGAGGAGGTGGTGGCGGTGCAAAGCCACCAGCACCTGGCGGCGGCGGCGGCGGTGGAGCACCACTCCTGGCTCCTCCCGGGGGAGGCGGAGGGGGGAGGTCCACCAACCTTGGCTCCTCCTGGGGGAGGCGGAGGGGGAGGAATCCCAGATTTGGAGCCACCAGGTGGTGGGGGTGGTGGGGGAATCCCCCTTTGCACCGCCTGGAGGAGGTGGAGGAGGCGGTACCAAAGCTTTGTTGCCTCCTGGGGGTGGGGGTGGAGGAAAAGGAACCCCAGATGTAGCGCCAACAGAGGGAGGAGGAGGGGGAGGAGGCAGTGGAAGACCAGCAACTCCTGCCTTCGCACCACCTGGCGGAGGTGGAGGCGGAGGCGGTACCATAAGCTTTGGCTGGTTCTCGGCTTTGGGAGCTTCCGTCGGAGTGATATCGCCAGTAGCATCTGGAGCAATGGCTTCGGCAGACTCGCCAGCGGTACCGGTTGACTCTGAACCATCGTCGTACTTGGGCACCTTCAGAGCCAATTCGCCCAATAAGCCAGTTGCTTGAGCAGGGTTCATACGAGGACGCTGGAAATCCATCATACTACGAGGCTGGTAGTGCGCAGCCCCCTCTTCGCCCTCCTCCACTATAGTTGGCACGGTATTACCGTTGAGATCCATTTCAGGAACATGGCTTCGCTTGCGATAAGCAGAGCCCAGAGAGCTAGAGTCCAGGGTGCGGCGAGTCTGCTCGGCAAATTCTTCGCTAGCATCTCCTGTATCGTCCATCTGCTCACGAAGCTCGCGCAGACGATCGGACGGGCCATGCTGACCCCAAACCTTCCCTTCCAGCTTGAATTGGGTTTTGGTTCTCTCCAGCTGGCGCTCAAGTCGTTCCATGAGACGTTCCCGGTCCATGATGCCAGGCATCTGCGCTATCTGTGATGGATCAGCTTCACCAGCCTGAGCAATCTTGCGAGCATTCGAAGCAGCAATATCCTGAGCATCCCGAAGCATGAGATATAGTTCTCGGGTCTCAAGTTCATTTCGCTGCAACTCCTGAGCACGCAATCGCTGAACCTCTCCGACTTCAGCCTTCATGGATTCATTTTGGCGTGTTTGGAGCTCAATAATGCCGGCTTGCTCTTCAATCTGCTTCTGCAGCTTCTTGACCAATCCATCAGCACCAAGCTCAACTTGAGCTTTCATCTCATCGCGCTCAGCAATGGCCGCCTCGGCGATTTGGCGAGCCTCGAGGGACTCATCATACACTCGTCTTGCTTCAGCATCTGTATGGAGTCGGTCCAAAAGGCTTTGTACGGTGAAATTCAAACCTTGTCGTAGATCAAGGTCCGGAAGCCTCCGATCCATGGCAACATAGCTCATCATAGCATCTACAAGCTGGAACATGCGCAATCCCTCCTCGCCAGAGTTCTCGCGGATTAACAGCATATGCTGCATCGCAGACAAGAAGTAGTCATGGGTTCGAGTACCATTGATCTTGGTTGCGATTGCATCTGCAATTTGGAGAGGATCACTCATGTCCTTAACTTCGCCTTCAACGCTATCCTTCGTGCTACTGCCCTCCCGCTGCAGTAAGTCCTCATAGTCGATAGCCTCATTCTCCCGGAAACGCTCAATCTGCTTGTCAATTGCCTCATATTGGAACCCTTCCATCTTCGTCAGAAGACGTTTAACACCACATGAGATGAATTGGGCTCGAATATGGCATCTCAACTGCAGATCGGTCTCGGCGCCATCTACCAGCATGTTGATGAGCATCATGGTGGACACAGCATACTCCATCAGAAGATTCTCCATGCCAATTCCACCACTGCGGTATTCTTCGCTAGCACCAACCAAGCTGCCCATCTTGCCACGGCCATCGATAGTGACTTCCACGATTCGCATCCAGGCATCGAAACGACCTGTTTCGTTGTGATCATGTTTAACCTTATCCATGGCCTGGAGGACCTTTTGATGACCCTCTCCATCGGCCCAGTGGGATAGGAAAGTAAGAACTTCGCTGACAAGCTTTCGAGTATTGAGGCGGGGAGATGATAAGGAGCTGACAAGCGCAACAAGAACACCCTGGTGTTCGAGAGCATCGTCTGCACCATATTTGTTGTTCATGAGACCCTTCAAACATTTGGCGATATCATATTCCTTGTCGAGATCCTTGTCGCCAGTGGGGGGAGCGGGGACAGGGCCAGATGCTTTCCGTCGATTAATCTTTTGTAGCACATTTGTCAAGGCGACTTGACCTTGGGCTTCAACAAAAGCTTTAACCCAGCTGTCCAGTCGTTAGTATAGAAAATGAAAAGGGAGGGGTAGATTTAATCCTACCTGATCGGCTGTGTTCGCAAACTGACGCTCAAACTTGCGAGTTGTTTGGAAGTAATTGTATCATCCATCACCTTCTTCACATACCACTCCGGACTCCCTTCTTCATCTGCGCGCTCCAACAGACCCGATAATCCATCATGACCGTGAGTTTGACGAGCATTCTGCCGCCTCTTCTGCTCTCCTTGTAATTCCGTCAGTCGATCTTGGTGCACCAATGTCCACTTTTTCGAAGCTGGATACGACATCATCTGTCGCTTGGCCTGCTCGGGGAGATTTTGCCAACCACGCTTATGCATCAACTCCAGAAACAGTTGGTCCACAACGCGGTCATCTCTTGGTCGAGTAAGATATTGATCAGCTGGGCGGGGTACGGCTGCGGGAACAGGTTGCGAGGCTTGCCAGGCGGATTGCGCATTTGATAAACGACCAGCGCTTCCGCTAGGTACCATCATACTGCGGTCGTTCGAATATGATGAAGTCGTAGGTGTACGGCCGGAGCTATCAGAGGCAGAGAAATAGTTGGATCCGCGAGTATTCGACGAATGGGATGAGTATAAGCTGGCTTGGTCGAGAGAAGTGCGAGAATTGGAGGAAGAATCAATAGAGGAGTTATGGCTCAGTCCGGCGTTGGCAGCAGAACTACTTCCTGGACGTCCCCACTGCTGGTATCTGGCACCACGGTCGCCGGACGAACTACTCGTCATGGTCATATTCGTAGCATGCGGGGGTGGACGAGGACCGGAGGGATGCGCCGAAGAGCCGTTGGGTGCGGAGGTCGAGGCCCATACAGGATATTGATGGTAGTCGCCGCCGGCCTTGCCAATATTGTTGGGGGAGGGTTCATGGCGTGATTCGGGTCGAGACATGGTATCAACGGGAATGGATATTCTGGTATCAGAAGAGAGACTTTCGAACGGGAGAGAAGTGATGACACCAGCCGTGGGCGCAATACTGCCGGGGTCAAGATCATGCGTCAAGTCGAAGGACTGGACCGAAGAGCGTTTCGAATGGCGGGATGAACGCGAACCCGCGGCGCTTCCTGGCGGGGCCAGACTGTCGTAGGAACCCGCGTATCCATCATGGCGATCATCCGTTGGCTTGTCTTTGTACAGTTTCCTCCCAAAAAAGGACTTTCCAGCCGAGGTTTGCCTGGACTTGTCGGCATTCGCGGGCATGTTTGTGAAAGTGTGAAGTGGCAGAGCGCAGCATCAAGGGCGCCCCTCCAACACTGTTTAGAGATTCGCTTTGTTGCCTTGATCAGATCGAAGATCGTTGGTTTTTATGAGGGCGGATCGCCTAGGATCTAGTACAAAGCGAGAACATGTACTGCGACGACCGGTGGTTTCTGTACTTTTTTTTTTCTAAGACCCTCTCTTCCGTGTTTGTTAGTATATCCCGTATGTCTTGATTGTTATGACGATCCGCAGCGGGATAGGGGATATTGTTTTGCTTGACACCTAAATATCACAGCTTGGAGAGGGTTTAGGATCTCTCACCATATGAATCAAAGGGGGAGAGGGGAAAGCCGAAGAGATATGCAGCGAGTCCAGGGTCGATCAAAGCACGGGCTTTACTATCGCTTCAATTTAGGGGAGTATTATTCTTAGTTAGGGGCATGTCACACGCGCTTAGTCATCGCCTTACTGGTCTGGAGCACGTGATATCAGGTGATGCTAGAATACGGAGTATACGAAGTACATCTTTGATCTCTTTGAGTAAATGATATTTTAAATTATTCATCTCTTTCTATTAGATTTCTATTAATCCCATCTTTATTCTCTCAATGGTCTCGAAAATGGTGGTTGAATTAAAGAATCCTTTGTATCGTGGGGTTTCTGCATTAGGATGATCTACTCGGCCCCTTTATACAAAACCACCCAACATCTCCGCTCTTATCCCCGGAGCACACGAACTGCCTAATATATATAATTCATCACAACCTCGGGAGTTGAAAAGCCCCCAAATTTTAAAGCTCCTAGGAGCGCGAACTACCACAATGGGATCCTCCTCTCATATTGCGAAGGTTAGTTACCCCCGGCACATTGCCATTTCTTCCATCTATGGTGGGATGGCAGTGTCGTCGTCAGCTCCATTCCCAGATTCAGGCCACCACAGACCACAAATCAATAACTGACCATACCCCTTTTATATAGACGATCTTCATACCCGCATCTATTGCATTATCGATTTATCTCCTATTCTCTTTCCTGATCATCCCATTCTTCCGCCGGTATCATCAACGCTACTCTCAATACCTCCCGCTACATACCATCTCCGCGCACACGCGCTCGCTTCGAGATCGCATTGCTGATACCGTGATGCGTCTGTGTCTTCCATCCTCATGGCGACGAGATGAACACATCGATGATCACGCAAATATCGACATTGACGATGATGAGGGAGAGCTCATGCTTGGGATGAATATGAGTGCGGCGCGACGGGAGGCCTTGGACAGGAGGCGGAGCAATGCTGCGGATGCTCAAAGTCGACTGAGCCGGGATTTGGAGGAAGGATTCATGGATGATAGTGATGAGGAGGATGAAGGCCACGGCGGTGCGAGGAATCGACATTAGCTGTTGAGTTCGGAAATCAGACCCGTCGGTTTCGGGCGTACAGTCATGGGTGGCGTTCTCTTTCGTTTAGTTGAGCGGTTCGGGCATTTGACACTCAATAGAGATGCGATCTCGGAATTATTGTACTTCTCCTGTTCCCTGATTGAACATGCTACCTAGATGGTCTAGTTTGTAGATGAGGTACTGGACGTTGACTGAAAAGGGATGGAAAGCATTCCTAGGCGGTACAACAAGCCATGTCTTCCATACTGTAAGGAATAAGTCTAGACTCCCACTATCGACATTTCATAACCCTGAAAATATTTAGCTTGTCAAGGGTTCCACTCGGCCTCCATACCTGTCTGTTCTAATTGTCAATCTGGCGAGATCGACACTTCAATTGTTACGGCGCCCCACCCGATGGTGATCAATGGGGTCATGAAGGATACAAATCAAGGTTTATGAAGTTCAGGGGGATAAAAATAGTTAAAAAGATATCATTTCATTGGTATCGTAAATATACGGTTTCAGCATGCTTCGACTGCTGAATGCTAAAGAAATATAAACAATTGAAAAGAAAAGAAACAATTCATGTCAAATCAGCGACTTCCTTTTGTTCCCATGCAAGCTCAAATGAGACTTTTACTTGCGCTGACCGTAGGCCTTGGTAGCGTAGTCACCCTTGTGGACAATCAGGTCCTCGGGGCGGTAGTCCTCACGACCGGAGAAGTAGCTGTCCAGAATGGCCTTGGTACCGTTGGCGTAACGGATCTGGGCATCGATGGAGGTACCGGACATGTGGGGAACCATGGCGTTACCACCACCCCAGGGGTGCTCGGCGGTGCGCAGAGGGTGGTCCTTGGGGGCAGGCTGGGGGAACCAGACATCACCACCGTAACCACGGAGGTGACCAGACTTGAGGGCCTCAGCGACATCCTCCTTAACAACGATAGCACCACGGGCGGTGTTAACGAGCCAAGCACCAGGCTTCATCTTGGAGATCAACTCCTTGTTGAAAAGACCGCGGGTCTTCTCGTGCAGGGGGCAGTTAATGGTGACAACATCACACTGAGCGAGCATCTCCTCGAGGTCCTCGACGCGACGGCAGCCAATCTCCTTCTCGGCCTCAGGGCTCAGAGGCTGGTAGTCGTAGTAGAGAAGCTCCTTGCAGTCAAAGGGCTTGAGACGACGGAGCACACGCTCACCAATACGGCCAACAGCGACGGTACCGACAACCTTGCCCTCCAGATCGAACTCGTTCTTGGCGACGGCAGCGACGTCCCACTCGCCGTTGCGGACCTGATCGTGAGCAGGGACAAAGTTGCGAACCAGAAGCAGAATGGTCATGACGACGTGCTCAGCAACGGAGACGACGTTGGAGCCAGTGACCTCGGCGACAGTGATACCACCGTTGGTCTTGTTGGCGGCGTTAAGGTCAACATGGTCGGAACCAATACCAGCAGTGACAGCGAGCTTAAGGTTCTTGGCCTTGGCCAGACGCTCGGCAGTAAGGTAACCGGGGTGGAAGCTGTGACATTGTTAGTGAAACGGTCTGAAAAGTGTAGACTTAATGTAAGGGGTTACGAACGGGGTAGTGATGATGACCTCAGCGTCAACCAGCTCCTTGTCAAAAGTGGAGTCCTCGCCCTCCTTGTCGGAGGTGGTCACGAGAGTGTGACCAGCGTCCTCGAGCCACTTGCGGATACCGAGCTCATTCTCGGTGGTACCCAGCAGACGAGGCTGCTGCTTGGAGTGCTCACCACCCTGGTATCAATTAGTATTGCATTCTTGACTGGTTGTATAGAATGTGGAAAATGCACTTACGTCGTACAGAACAAGAAGAACCTTACCCTGGAGAGAGGCAGATGCGGTTAGCGTACGTGAATTGATAAAAGCACCAGCCGGTCTAGCAAAGGTATTGGTGGCAAGGTTTGGCTTAAAAGCCGCCGAGAGAAATTGAGAGGTAGGCCGTCGCAATTGACGGGAAAGGGAACGAATAAATACCATTGTGAAATATGAGAGTAATGAAGATTTGAGAGGGGAATTGAAGTTTGGTTCTGTAAAAAAAGAAATCAGCGAATGCCTTTTTTTATATATCTATTGCGGTGATTAAATCGATGAAGTCGGAAGGGTTGGAGAAACCACCGGGCGGCTAATGAGAGGAGCGGGCGAGTGGGGGCATGCAGGCCTGCTCTTGACACTTGGACCGTGATGATACAGTTCCAAAAGGGGGAAATCCGAGTATCCGATCCACTTACTTGATGTTAAATGCTAAGTATAGCTTTTGAAGGGAAAGGTGGGATGAGAAGCTTGGAAGTGATGAAGATAATAGAGAAGAAGAGCTATTTACTTGGGCTCGGTCCTGTATTATATAGACTCAGACTCCTCCCCCTCTCCAATGGGGCCCCTCTTTCCCATACATTGCACAACTCATCAGAGAAAAAGTGGGAAGTCAACGGAAACCCAAAACCTGCCCTCGCTGCAAGCGGGACCGCGCACGGGAGAGTGGCCGGTCGGATGGGGAATGCAGCCACTCATGAAGTGGAAACCTCTCCGCACGAGGGACACAAGGAGAGGGGGAGGAGACTCTGTGGTTCGTATGGCATTGTGTAAACTTTTTGATCCTCGTATGCAACAGTAGTTCGTGCATTAGTGTGATACTCTTTCGGAGTACTTACTGGGTAGTACATGCCTTATTTTTGGATATCATCAATTATCCATCGCCGTTGATCTATGCTTTAGGTGAGGAGCGTGCGGGGAACCCGGTTTACTTGCGGGATGAGAGGAGAAAGCCTTAGAATAGATTAGGAGTTCATCAAAACACATCTCATTTTTTCATAATTCTACAAGTTCAATTTTCTTCATTAGGAGATACATCTTGACAGCCTCAAGAGCTTATGCTCCCAAGGTACTGCACATATGTGCTATCTTCGAGACCTTCGAGACCAATAGTGATGGATGCACTGACTATATGGAGGCGGACACTAACCTATAATAGGTTAGCTCTCCGCACTCATGAGGGGGGACGATTACATAATGAGGGGGAAGCTCTCCCGTTAAAGAATCAGACCATAATAAGACGCAAAGTCCGATTCACTAGCAAAGGGGACCTTGGGCTCACTGGAGTACAGTTGCGTGGAGCATAAACTGCCATTGGGTCCAAATCTCCCAAACATCAGTCCCAAACAAACCAGGTTCCAAGCCGAAAGACTGCCGGTTCCCGAATCATGTCCGTGGGATTGCCGAATTTCGGCCCTTCCATTTCTCCAATTGACACAGACCCGCTCCTCAACAGTACGATCCCCTGCTCCCGTGAGGAGTGTCTTGTTGGAGATTTTTACCCTCACGGGTCCACCATTGCTAGCAATCGGAGGCTGTGTTTCGGGATGCATATCCGGATTGAGAGAATTTGGAGTTGCTCAATGAAGATCCTCCATCTCGTCCCAAAAGGAATCGGTCGCCAGGAATGCCACCGTTGGTCTCGCACCTGAAACAATTGAACCTGGTCGGCTTCATAGAAGCCAAATCTTCGTTGCGACAGAAGATGAAGCATCGATCGATAATTCAACACAAAGCGCCTGGGGGTCTTGGAAATCCCCAGCGTCTTCATGTTTGGGACTTCATCTGTTATCGCAGAGATCAGGCAAACTGCAAGCTGAAGTATTGCCAAACTGACTTCAAGTTGATTTTGAGACACCATAAATACGAACTTCGGGAGAAAGGCAATTCCGTCTGATCGAGATCATTTTACAGCATGCGAAACCCCTTATGCTGGACCTTCAGCTTCATCAATGAAACTCTATGCGAAGTCTGCTAATCTGTGATATTTATCTAGTATGTGCAGCTTCCCCGCAGCCATCATAGCCCTGACCGTCGAATCATGAACCTGCGCAAACTTGAAATATGCAATTGTGAACGGAGAAGACTTTGTCTTTAATGAAACTTCTTGAGATCAAAACTGCATCAAAATGACTTCAGGTTTATGTTCAACATTCTTGACCTGACACCTGATACTCAAGTTATTAAGTTATTTCGGACCTTGAACTCCCTATGCTTTTGATTCCCGATATCGCCAAGCCCCACCAAATAGCCCTCCCTGACACGTTCCCACCGCAATATTGGCATTGTGGGTATTTTCCAGGTTATTTAGTCAGTGGTTTTGCCATTGCTTGGCTGGCTACTACAGCTTGAAAATATTTACAAGCGACAACATTTGAATCTTGAGAATCCATTCTATATCCAGAGGCATTATGCAGAGCGACATGCTCCTGGAATCTTTTCTGTGGCTCGGGGTTGAGCATTATGCTTCACATTTTCAGATATCCAACTTGAAATCTCCTTTGAGTTTTGCTACAACCAACATACCTACTTGTGTAGGCTTATAATTCCTACTTCCAATGAAATGGGTGTTAATAGTAATCCCGATATAGAACCTCCACAACATTCAAATCACGTGGAGATTGTTCATCTGCTTATCTCCGCCTCCGCTCGGAGATAACCGTTTTGGGAATTCTTAATCGCGTCTTTTCAATTAACCATTGTTTTCCTTCCTCGATTCTCCTTCATCCAAGCTTCACATGCTCAATCTGCTCTTTGGTGATAGAAACTGTCTTCATGACAATGCAACCTTATCAAAGAGTGCTTGCGCAGTCCTTCGCGCGTAACTGCAATGTGCGCTCCCTGAACCGGAATGTGAACCATCCCCGGCTATTATCGAGCACTTCACCCCGCGCAAATAGGCGTCGAGTGCTTTTAGACATTCCACCTCCATTTCCGGTCACAAAAACCTGCCCTACATCATGCGATTGTCCAACACCTGCGATGCCAGAAGGCCTGCCGATCGATCATGAACAAGCATTGAATGGGACAATGGCTGCATATGCGCAGCAGCTTGTAGTCTGCACTGGACAACGAGACTGGACGAGCCGCATTGAGAATGACGGAGAGAACCAGGGCTGGGGCAACCTTGTTCGAGGTCTCAAGAGTCTGCTTGGTCGCGGTGGCCCATACCTGGATGTATGTGACCAATTCCCATGTTATTATCTCGATTCTTGCTGACCAGGTACTTCCATATAGCCCTTCAATAACATTCTTGTTACAGCTTCATCTCTTGATCCCACCTCAAAAGACTCCCAAGCAGCCTCCGGTTTCTTGTTTCCAAGCTTCAAGTACATCCCGACCATCCCAATTCAAGCTCTCTCATCACCGGAGCCGACAAACTTGACCACCTTTGTTCGCGCTTTCCTCCTACCCGAAAAACTCCACGACATGCACTCCTCTCTGCCGGAGTCCAAACAAACAGAAATGACCCAACTTCCAAGTCTCGCGTCACATTTCCCCGACACCATCGACATCAAACATTCACCCATCATCCTGATCTGTGGACATGGTGGTCGTGACATGCGCTGTGGAGTAATGGCGCCGGCACTTGAAACAAAATTTCAAAGTGTTCTAGAAGCGCATGGATTCTCATTAACAGGCACCGATTGTACAACAATTGACGACCCCAAGCATGCCCATATTGGGCTGATCAGTCATGTTGGTGGTCACAAGTACGCAGGGAACATTATTGTGTACATCCCACCAGAGATGAAGATGGGTTCCGAGGAGCATCCCCTGGCCGGTAAGGGAATATGGTATGGCCGCGTTGAGCCAATGCATGTGCAGGGCATTGTGGAGGAGACCATCCTTGGGGGCAATGTAGTCACGGATCATTTCCGGGGTGGAATTGATCGCAATGGGGATATCTTGCGCATGTAGAAGATGCGGCAAGATAACATGTAAAATATTGTAATATAGTATGTGTATATAGATGATTATACGAAACCATAGATTTAAAACAAGAAAATTTATTGTGATCTGTTTTCTCCAGCTATGATCCAATGTGTTGATCGACTTCTATGTAATTTGCGCTAGTCCCGATCGGGTCTAAAGCTGTGCGGGCTCCGGGGAAGTTTTGAAGATGCGAGACCTCCGACATTATCTTTAATCAAGTGGCGGTGCAACGCCTGGTTTTAACTAATAAATGAATATCGCATTATGAGATAGATATTCATAATTATGCAAACTCTTTCCCGTGTTCGATTGGGCGCTCTAGCGCCTATGGCGCGGAGGTGCGTTCGCCCTGGTCTCCAGCCATTCGCTATCCCCTCGACTCTCATGACTCGCCTTGCCTCGACCTCCAACTCCCGAAAGCTTGACCTCCCAGCCTTAGATAAGAAATGGCAGGCAAAATGGAAATCAGACGCAAAGTCAGCACAGTGCGCTACTCAAGAAACCACCGAATCGAAACCGAAGTCCTATATCCTTTCCATGTTCCCATACCCCTCAGGGACATTGCACATGGGCCATCTCCGAGTATATACGATCTCAGATGTTCTGTCACGATTCTACAAGATGCGCGGACATGATGTTCTCCATCCTATGGGGTGGGATGCCTTTGGGCTACCAGCGGAAAACGCAGCGATTGAACGAGGTGTGGACCCGGCGACATGGACGGAGCAGAATATGGCAAAGATGAAGGCTCAATTAACGAGTATATCTGCCTCTTTTGATTGGGATAGAGTATGTTTGAGGCGGAATCCAATTGACATGCCCGCATAATTATAGCTGTACACTAACTCGAATTGCTTTTTAGGAACTTGCGACCTGTTCACCCGAGTTCTACGAACACACACAACGGATATTCTTAATGCTATATGAAAAGGGATTGGCATATCAGGCAGAAGCTTTGGTCAACTATGACCCCGTCGATAAGACTGTGCTCGCCAATGAGCAGGTTGATGCCAATGGCTTCTCCTGGCGGTCTGGAGCGAAGGTCGAGAAATTGAATCTCAAGCAATGGTTCTTCCGAATCACGGACTTTAAGGAAATGCTTCTGAAAGACCTCGACTCGCTCACTGGAGGCTGGCCGGATCGCGTGCTATCTATGCAGCGGAATTGGCTTGGAAAGTCTAATGGCGCAAAAATTAGATTTCCAGTTGCTGTTGATGGCACCGGTGTACACGTTGACGTGTTTACTACACGACCTGATACTCTGTATGGCGTTGAATATGTGGCTCTATCGCTTGATCACCCGATTGTCCTGAATGCGGCGAGTAAAGATGCCTCACTCCGCGAGTTTCTCGACACAGCATCGTCTCTCCCGCCTGATTCTAAGGCTGGATACCGTCTCAATGGTGTTGCAGCCATTCATCCCCTACTTAAAGTTGACAAAGAGAGCCCCCTTCTTGAAAGAAGTCTTCCAGTATTTGTGGCTCCGTACGTTCTCAGTGACTATGGCGAGGGCGCAGTCATGGGCGTGCCAGGCCATGATACCAGAGACATGGCGTTCTTCAAGGAAAATGCGAACCCGGAGTCAATTCCAATTGTGATCGAGTCAAAGCCATCAAATGCGAATGATTCCCAGGTTGTTGTCAACGTTGTCCCAGCCCAAGATGCGAAGGCTTTTACCCAGGAGGGATTTCTTACTTCACAATGCGGGAAGTACCGAGGTCTGCATTCCAAGGAGGCTTCGCAGCAGATTGTCGCAGATCTCAACAAGGAGGGACAGGCCAAATTCGTCGAAAGCTGGCGACTGCGGGACTGGTTGATCAGCCGACAGCGATACTGGGGTACACCTATTCCTATCATCCACTGTACGGAATGTGGTCCCGTTCCCGTGCCAAAGGAAGATCTGCCCGTGAAGCTACCCAAGATTGAAGGTGGCTGGTTGAAGGGGAAGAAGGGAAATCCCCTCGAGTCATCTAACGAATGGCTTCACACGGATTGTCCTAGCTGTGGAGGCCCAGCGAAGCGTGACACTGATACCATGGATACATTTGTGGATTCTTCTTGGTACTTCCTCCGTTTCCTGGATGCGGCAAACAAAGAAGCTCCATTCTCCCCTGCCGTCGCGCGACCGGTAGATGTTTACATTGGAGGTGTGGAGCATGCCATCCTGCATCTGCTCTACGCTCGATTCATTTACAAGTTCCTTGCGCAGTCAGAACTATTCCCAGCTAGCTCCGACAAGGACGCTATCGCTGAGCCTTTCAAGATGCTTCTTTCCCAAGGAATGGTCCATGGCAAGACTTTCACAGAACCATCTACAGGCAGATTCTTGCTCCCAGATGAAGTGGATCTCACCAAACCTGACAAGCCCCTCATCAAGGGCACTCAGATCATCCCCAATATATCATTCGAGAAAATGTCAAAGAGTAAGCACAACGGAGCCGATCCTACGGTCTGTACATCCAAGTGCGGTGCAGATGCAGCCCGCGCACATATCCTCTTCTCAGCTCCTGTGAGCGAAGTCCTCGAGTGGGACGAGACCAAGATTGTCGGAGTTGAGCGATGGTTCGGTCGACTCTGGAAGCTCGTCATTGACGCACAGCAAACCATGACCGAGGCATCTTTCAGTATCCCGGCAGCTGAGCTGACAAGCTCTACTGGACACGCGATGTCTCTGCCTTCATCACTGCAGGACCTGAGTGACTCCGACGCGGACGCAGTTCTAGCGACACATAACACCATTTCCTCCGTCACTACCTGCATCGAGAGTAACCCCTACGGCTTGAACACCGTCATCTCTGATTTAACAAAGTTGACAAACGCTCTATCCTCATCGCCTCCTTCCTCCCCTCTCGCTCTATACCTGTCTATCTCTTCTCTCCTCCGCCTCCTCGCACCAATCGCACCCGCATTAGCCTCTGAATCTTGGGAGGTTCTACACGAGTCGGTTCTGAAGAACTCCGACGCTTCAGCTTCACTGTCCCCTATTTTCTCCTGTCCATGGCCCACTACTCTTTTGACTCCTGAACAAGCCGAAGCTCTTTCAACACGTGGTGGTCAAACAGTAGCTGTTCAAATTAACGGAAAACTACGATGTGCTGTGACCATCCCTCGTTATGCTAATCCCGACGCTTCGTCCGCAAATGGCAAGTCTGCAGCTCCTAGTAAGGAAGAGCAAGATTGGATTATCAACGAAGTGCTTAAGACCACTGAAGGGAACTCGTGGCTGCGTGAAAAGAATGATTGGGAGAAGAAACGACGAGTGATTGTTATCAAAGGAGGCAAACTCGTCAACGTTGTGTTCTGATCTAGGCATGACTCTAATTTGATCTTCTCCGTTCAACTCTGTATTTTAGTCTACATAGAATTGTACATTATTGACTTATCCACTCATATTAAAATTCCTATTTCAAAGATATTACTATATGGTCTTGACATAGTAAAGGGATCATCAAAAACTTGACTGAATAAGCCTAAGAGTATCACCGCCTGCACAGGGCTCAACTTGAATTTAGTATATTCAAATGATTTCATAACTTGCCAGGCTGAATATCATGGTTAGAGGTACACACTGGCATATATGGTAGGATAATAGTCACGACTCACGGCAAGAGCGCCTAGAAATCCAGGCCCAGGTCTGCTCTTGCCTAAAAAGGATAACATCATCTCTGTTATAGAGATAAATCAGGGGAATTGATAGTCACAAGAATCCTTACGTGGCCTAGGTAGGCATCGCACTTCGGTGTGAGAAACCATCTAAGTCACGGTCGACTCATCCATCCACATTGCACTTGGTGGATCCATTGGGTAACTAGGATTCTCTTTTTTGCACTTTTTATTTGATGTCAATTTCTTTTTACTTTGTCGGTAGATATTCCAATCTATTCTCATCACTCTCATCATTCTCATCTCTTTTCTATATTTTTATCTATTTGATTTGATTTGTTATAAAATCTTCAAAATTTGAAGCTTCTCTCACATCACGATGACGAAAGAATCTACAAGTCCTGGGTTCAATCCTAGTCCTTGTCGTTCCTTTTTTTCTTTTTCTCACTGAGACTCTCTCTTATCTCGATACCTTGTATATGAACCTTGGAACCACTTATGTCAAATTTCTATGAGTCTGGGCTAGTTCAAGTTCAAGGTTATACACCTGGGCATATTTGAAAAGGAAACAAAAGTCTTCCAATCTACCCTGATTATGTCTTAAGAATTATACAGACTACTAATATTGCATCAGGACAAACGATAAAAGACTTAATAACAAATTGAACCTAGCACTAATACTGGCACTGACTGGAAAGCAAAAGGCTCAATCCTGCAAAAACCCAGAGGGTTATAAAGATACACGATTATAAGGACCTTAGAGACATCTGGGGTGTTGACAAGTAAAACTAATCCTCTCCCATCATAACACGTCTCTGTCTCTTATTCTCCTCAAGCAAAAAAAGTTGAAACTGATAATCATCATCCGCCGGACTAGTACCCGGGCGCCGAAGATGAGAGAAGTCCGTGATATAACCACGTTCACATACCAAATTGAGTCGTCGAATCTCTTCCTCATTCGTTCTATTCTTCCGAAGTTCAGCGCAGATATATGTCCTCTGGTTGTCGAGTAGGGTGAAGAAGTTGTGGATTGCAGGATCGTCCCAGCCTTGGTCTTGCAGCTTGTTGTAGACCTCTCTTTGACGACCCGATATATTGGAAAGATACTCTGCGACTTCCTCGGTGGTAGGGTGTGTAGGCTTCGCACGATCGGTTGCTTCGCGGCCTTCGGAGTCAAGGAACTCTTGAGAGATGAATTTGAGGTTTTTGCCGCTATCGTCCAGGACCCAGATTCCTTCCTCACTTTCTTGACTTTTGGTGTCCGCCATGATGATTTCGAAGATTTGAATGAAGCTGGAGAATCAGTCTGCGTGGTTTGGAAGGGAAGTGTATGTCAATAAAGTATTGTTACTGGTGAAATAGGCAGCAGCGGTGAGGTTGCACGAGAGAGAGAGAGAGAGAGAGTTTAGGGAAGAAATAACAACATGGCATCCATGGTTTATACCTCTTTTGTGTTACTACCTAGTGGGGCTACCTAATACCATGATTTTTGATCCACTTTTCTTAATAACCAACCTTGGACCCCTAAAAGTGTAAACTACACCTGGTCATTGTATAGAAGTTCTGTGTTTGCAACATCCTTTGTAGTTCTTCCCCTTGGACAAAACCAGTGTGTCTATTCAGAGGCGTCTAGCACTTGAGATTCACTTGAATAAACACACTAAGTTATTTCCAGTAATTGTGAATATATTCCTACTAGTAACTTGAATACTTGAGTATCCTCCAGGATCGTAAATTCAATCGAATATATACCTTTTTACTCTCAACTATGAACAAACTCCAATACGACTGATATCTGACCAGCTGCACCAGTGTCCAGTACGAGTGCACTACACATTTTTATATTAGAGACCACTTCATATTATTTCAAGTTACAATAACCTTGGAATCCATACTTACAGAGTGCTGGCGTGCGCATCGCCCCCACTGGAGATTTCCGTGCTCATCACAGAAGTTGCAACGCTGGGTAGATCCCGCTGAGCAATACTATAAAGAACCAAATTGTCAATACAAGTACCTAAAGATTAAATAAAGCCCTTAAATACACAGGTATATACCAAGGTCTTTAATTTGTCTGATTGAACAGTCCACTTACACCTTGATAGATTCTCTCTTGTGATTCCTTGTCGAATTCAACCTGAGACTTGGGGATATCAAGGATCTCAAGGGCTGCAGGATCCTCCTGGCCTATGCGTTTGAGGGCTCTTCCACATTTTGCTTTCAAATCTTAGCCATCAGTCAAATCAAGGTCCCCATCAGTTTCTTACCTTGTGGCCCCAGCTCATCTTGAGGAAGAGCCACCACCACAAGCGCCTGAAAGGTGAGGAGGTAAAGAGTGGTTGGAAGGAACCTCATGATGATGTTGAATTCAAATGTTTATTGAAATGACTTATCAATTTCAATATCACTGGCTAGGGCTCTGATTCTGGCCCTTGCGAGCCTTTTATGTTTCAAGGTTCTTAGTATATCGTAGTATATCGTAGTATATCGTAAAGTCCACGGGTAGGGACACGCCAAGTGACAACTTGACGTCATGTCCAATGTTTCAATCTTGGCAGTTGGTAGTCTCAGGCTGAGATTACTATGTACTTTTCACCTCAGTTCTGGGCATGTGGTACAAGGTGTCATCTAATGCTTAGATGTACTTGATGGATGTCACTCTACACAGTCGCTTCGATTGAAGCAATCATAGCTCGAACATCTTTGCGGAAGGCTAGCTATCCCTTGCTTAATTCTCTAGAGATCTTCATTGGCAATATGGCGATGCTTAATCAACTAACCAGGTACATACCCTCAGGGCTGTCAAATATCTCACTGTATCACCGCACGTCAATATCCCAACCTTGGAAGGTCGCACCCTCAATTATGTCGCATGGTGAAACCCCGGACGGAGGGTCACGACAATAAAGCTAGACTGGCGTCTACTTAAGGCAAAGGCCAAGACTACCACTTGAACAGTAGTTACAGTCAACTTGAAGAGTAATAGAATTGGGGTGATTGATATTGCATTCGAGAGAAGAATTGAGCTCATATGGCTTCAAGTTCCCGATAATATGGCCAGCCGGCAAAAATATTTTTTGAAAAAAAAAAAAAGAGCCTGATAATAATCTCTACCAGTAGTAGTATCACCTCAAGCTGGCAGTGGCATCCGATAACATTTGAAAGTGATACTACTAGTATCCGATCCATGATATACATCCATCACTGCCAGTGGCATCATGATTGGCGTCCGACTCGGACCATTTTATTCATCCAATACTCCTCAAGTGCTAGTACGCGTGTGAGATTTTACTCTTAAGTAGCTCTGGGACTTTGACAATTCAAATGTTATCAATTATCAAGATATCCACAGGAATGTGAACATCAATTCTAATGCTAAATGTTCTGCGCTTGGCTACCATTATACAATAGCAACGTGCACATGTGACATCAACGAAGCAGGTCATTTTGAGCTTCGCGATCAATTATCAACAAAAAAGGGACCCGCCTGCCTCCACGACCCAAAAACAGAATCCATGGCTAGATACAAATTCAAAGAGAGAATGCATTTATGACCTCCTTAATGCAAATCAACTAGAGAAACTGGAGCCCCTTGATGCCGCAGGACTGGAGACATAGGGAGAGAACGAGATCAAGGCATGATAAGACTCCGTCAGAGGCCACAGAAGCTGTGCAAAGGCCACCGCTCCAGTGACGAGCAGCAGATAATACGCAATTGTCCAGGCGATGCTCAACTGACCATTGCCAGCAGAAGCACGGAAATCGCTTTTGCCACGAGTGATAGGCGGACTAATAGGCTGACCGGCTTCAACACGGCCCCAGAAACGGGGCAGACCAGACCAGTTACAGAAGCTGTGGATCAGGATAACAGCCAGCAAGGAGCCGGTGCGCAGGTAGACAAAGGTGGCGTACCAGCCAAAAATGGTTGTGTAGCCAAATTGAACGATCGAGCGCAGTAATGCAGCCCATGCGGGGGTGTCTGGGTGGGTAAGTCTGAACTCGTAGAAATGATGAACATGGGCAATGCCAAAGTACAGCGGCGAGATGAACACAATGTGACCCGGGGAAAACTGTGCAAGGAGATGAAGAGGGATGAGTCCAGAACGGAACATGATTTCCTCAGTGATAGGTCCCTGGTACATATTAGTGTATGGAATCTACATATCAAAGTCGTTCCTGTCCCGATATCGGAAAGGGCAATAGAAAAACAAAAGGGATGTTAAGCTTACAGCAATATAGTTTCTCCAGCCAATCCAGCCTCGTAGACTTTCGGAGTATTTACTAGGTTGGAACCAAGATCGCCATTCACCCTCGACGATTCCACGCTCATAAAGTGGTCCAATGAACAAAACAGCTGTCAGGAGCAGACTTCGGGCAACATCAGCCACACTGATAGGCCACCAGCCCATTAAGGTGACAGCGGCGGCAACAGAGGAGTTCCCTTGGTTGACAATCAACCAAAGAACGAGTAGCGAAGCCAGCATGCAAGAGCCCGAGACGATGCGGATGCGCGCACGAATCACGGACGGGGCATCACGGCTGAGGCTGGGCGTGGGTCGCGTTGTAGGCGACAGATAGAGTGGCACCACATAAAGTAAAGTAAGGACGACCTGAGGGTACAGAGTTAGGAAAATCTACATGATATGTGGTATAGAATGCATTTACCGAGAGTAGGCGGACTGTGTTTACCGACAGGGTCGGCTCATCTGGATGATATTAGCTGACCTGTCCAAACCTTGTCAAAAACCTAGAACTCACCCTGATGTTTAGTGTAGAGGCTCTTGATAGCAGCCACAACACTTACGGGAGCCATTTCGATGAAATGGGAAGCCAGCGAGGTAAGAGATATCAAAGGGAAGCAGAAATCAAGAGATTGCGTGGCCTTCCATATTTTCAAGGCAACTGCTCTTTGTTGACATATGACAAGACATGACAGTACCTGTGTGGTGAATAATAGGTAAAAGTGGGGATAGGGGCCAGAATATGGTAATGAATGGTAATATTACAGACCATCAAATACTGGGACAGGAACAGGTGACCTCTTACTACAGTTGATATCAACTGCCTAGAACAATATATACTACTCCTCACACTTCAATATTTTTTTTTCACCAGGACTACGGAGCAGGGAGACCAATAATTATAAATGCAAGATTTCAAATCCTGATCCCTGTCAATCCCGTTAGCACATGGACCAAGCATTCACACGAGGTCCCCTGAATTGTGAGGCATCATATGCACAATACCTGCAGCTTCCCCCTAGCAGCACATCCTCATTTCCTTGAGTCAATGTGAGGAGATCGTGGTCGTAGAAAAAATCCTCCGAATTCAACATTAACAAGTGGGATATTGCCATCACAACCACCATCAAGGAGGAAATATTATCATGGTTGTCATGGTGCTAATTAAATCTGCGAGGATAACCCCTAATGTTTCAATCTTGAAATGGGTCAGCCCACACGATGTCGTGGAGGCTACTAAGAATAGTGACAACTCATCGACTCCACCAGGGCTGGACTGGACTGAATCCAGATGTCGTATTCGGCCTGGGGCTACGGAATCCCCGCTGGGAGGGACTGGCCCGTATTGTCCCTTTTTCACAACATATGTGTAGTCCCATGGCTTCTATGATGCAGGATGGAGTATTTTGCATGAGGAACACCGGAATAATCGGAACTGCAAGAACTGCAAGAACTGCAGAATTGCAGAATTGCATAGAGCATTCAATTCCCAATCGGCTATACGGAGTCTAGAAGGGGTAGATCGATCAAACCGTATAGAGTCTAGTCTTGGTCTGTGCGTGCATAAAAGTAGGCAAAGTGATAGGCACAGAGTGACTCCCATATTGGAAGTGGGCGCTTCACCGCTGGGCAACCAAATTCTTCTCCCCCTTGATCTTCCTGAATGTCTCATCTTCGTCTGTTGTGGTGTTTTTTCGGTCCTTGTGTACCTGTCGTTCTTTTCAAACTTGTTTAATGACACTGTTCATGCTCTCAACGCTCTTTTAATGTACTGAAACGATTTTTCCCCTCACGACTAGCGGGTTATCCATTCTTTTGACATCTGTGCTATTACGCCAATTACGCTCATTGATTCTTGTTCATCAAGACCAACACTCTTTACGTGCTGACACATTAGAAAAAGGGTCATTTGAATCTCGCAAAAGTCCAACAAGTCCAACATTCCTTATCGCCAGTTACCCGTTCTAGGAAATTCATCAACAATCTGGGGTTTCCACGTCATCTGCCTTTCACACCTTCGATCGGAATCCTCATTTGATCTTCTGTAACCGCCGCCAATCTTTTTCGAATGATGCTTAGATTTTGAAATTTTGAAATTTTGTTTGAGTCTTTATTTCGATATGTCTTCGCACAGGCCGTCTACGTCACCTGCTACTCGGAGACGAAGAGCGCTTGAAGAGCGCAGCTCCGCCCATACCAATGAGAGATCTCCGACGCGTTCGCTGAGGAGAGTCCGCACCCAAGAGGATGTAGATGATATTTACACCGCGACGCCATTTCCAACAAAGCCAGAACAGATCTTGCTCCCTATTCCTGGTAAAGGACAACAGCAGTACATCTCAGACACTGGGTTCAGTTACTCCAACCCAGGTCCTTCCACTTCAACCTGGTCCTCACCTACATTCACTCACGCGACAGGCAGTAGTCCCCGACAACACTCAATCGGTGAATGGGATGCCTCAACTGTGGATGCAGGCAATTCACCGCCAGCCATGTGGGATGAAGACCCAACTTCTAGCAAGTCATCACTACCAGAGATCATTGCCAAGCCAGAGGATATCCTGTCAGATGAATCAGAGGCTGAGTTCTCAGATGATGATCTGATTGTTTTGCCGACCGCCACACCAACGATCAAGGCTGTTGTGTCGGAACCACCCACGTCACCCAAGTCGCAGCACGCTGATGATGAATCAGCGATGGGATATTCCAGCCCCAATATTGAACAGATTGGTGCGCCATCTAGCCCTAACTTTGTTACTCTGGATAATTCCAGTGCTAGCTTCTTACCACGCGGTCGCACAATCAATCTGGACACTGATCCCCGTTCAAACTCATTGTCCTCGTACCAGTCTGGGGGTACGGTGGTCAGGCACCCTGGTGCGGCACCATGGTTCTTTACTGCCTCCTCAGAGCAATTGAATGGGTCGCGCTCGCCATCCTTTCGCTCGAGTCCACCTGTTCAATCCATAGCGTCTTTCCGTACTTCATCCCGTCAAGCTTCGGCAAGCCGATCCCGATCGGCAACTTCGTCCTCGCGCAGTCTCCGCTCCGTATCCGACATGGTGTCTGATATCCAGGCTGCGATTGACAGTGGTGTGCCTATTCAGTACCCTCGCATTCGTGCTCCATCATCTAGCTCTCGTGCTGAGACCTTTGTTTCTTCTGATCGAGACTTTACCCCCGGTCCGGCTTCAGGCCGTTGGAACCCGCACTTATCCCGAGTCTCATCTGTGTGGTCTGGGGAGGAGTATCCCGATCCAACCACATCTGAAGAAGAGGTTTCCAGCGAAGGCTCTGAGGCTGTTAATTATTCGTCGGTCGGTCTCGACCCAGAGAACAGCAAGTCGACAGTCTGGCTCGTCGGCGATACGGAGGCAGACGAGCACTTGGATAGTTTGACCAACCTGCCAAGCCGCAATGGGTTCACCTATAGTCTCTCCTCGAGCTCCAAGCGTAGCAACAGCCAGCGCAGCAACAGTATGCGCAGTCTCAAGCGCCCTGGCACTGGCACCAGCGGTATTCTGCAGATTCTTCCAACATGGGCCAAGATCTACTACCGCGCAGACACCCTTGGTTTCCATCCAACCTTGTCTATGATGGAGCCCATTCGCCAGCCCAGTACTCGCCCGGGAACCAGTAACTCTAGTGTCTTCAATCTGATGCCTCATCCGCTCAATGTCCCTCGACCTCGTTCTCCAGACCCGCCTCGCGCGCCCGAACGTGTTCAGTTTGCCCAGCGACGTATTGACAGCGATCCTCGAGACCCGCGTGCTCACTGGGTTCCGTCTCCAGAGCCAGACGATTCCGAATTGGTCGGACCTGGTCGTTCCCGACTCCGACACAGTTGGTCACCACATCTGTACAGAGACCGCTGCACGATTCCGCGCTCTGGTAGCGGATGGACGTCTCCTTCTTTCGATTCGACGACCGAGCCCGTCTTTGGTCGCAGAAACATCCAGGTCTACTCGTTCTGTTTGGGATTTATCTTCCCTCTCGCCTGGATTATTGCATCGTTTCTCCCTCTGCCATACAAGCCCAAGGAGGATGAAATGATTGAGTCGGACGACGAGGTCGAGATGGCTCTTGAGACCCAGCTGCTCACTCTTCAACAACGTCGTTACAACAATGCTCGCTGGTGGCGAAATCTCAATCGCTGGATGATCTCGCTGGGTGTAGTGATCATTGTTATTATTGTGAGTCCACTCCAGTCTTATCATAGTCGTATCATCTAACAGGTTCTAGATCACTCTCGCTGCTATCGGAACAACCAGTGGTTTCTAATCCCAGATTAGATGCTACTTCAACCTGTTCTCTCTCGAGCTACCATTCATTCAACCGCACACGCTCTCACGACTAGTCCTCTGGCCGACGATATTTCGTTAAAATTTTACCCAACTCATTCTTATTTCCCCCTCATATTCATTCTGGTGTTACATCCCTTCCCCATGACGGGGCCTGATCATTTCCTTTGAAGCTATGACTCCCCCAGCCCGGTTTCTTTCCTTGATATCCTGTGATTTGCCCTCTGTTTCACCCACTTTTGAAGCAATGGTTTTGTTTATTCTATTCTTCGCTGAACATTTACCTTTATCTGACGACATGATACGACTGTATGCTACATAATATTCCCCTTCGGTGCTGTGACTATCTTTACCCTGTCTTCATATAGCATTTTTATGTAGCGAGAGCTGCCCACTTCAATCATTATTGTTATTTTATGCTTTACATTACTCCTTCATTGCTCTTATTCTTTAAATAGACTCATGGTACGCTAGCGTGAAACCCATTTCATGCATACTACTAATTTCTCCATAATTTCTCATTTTCATATATGTAATGAGTGCTGCATCTATAATGCGATTTTTTTGAAAGATCGTAGTATTATCGCATGCATCCCTTCCGGGGTTATGACTTCAAATGTTCAAGTTTGAAGTAAGCCTGGTGATGACAATATTTCCAGGTCCAACCTTGGAAACGACCTTGGAACTTAACATTGAATTACAACTTGAAGTTTCGTAGCGTCATGATCACATGTGCAGCTAAGTTAATGATCGGGCTTCCAAAATAGGCCTAGTATCTTATGAAGTATAGCATCTTCCAAGGTTCCATTCAAGCTCCTTTCCCTCAAGTTTTCCTTCTTCTCTTCCTCTTCCTCTTTCGCTCACTCCCGAGATCCAAGAAAGACATCGTGAATCATGACAGTTACAGCAACTATGCCTGAACAAGTGCACATCTTTTCGGAGTTCGAGGATCCGGAGCGGATCCAGTACATCAACGAGATCGCTGCCAGACAGCCTGGGATCTTTAAAACCGTCAGACGTGCGAGCCTCTTTCCACTATGGTTCGCAGAGAAGGAGCTTCTTCGCAAAATTGCCACCGATGCCGATAACAGCCATCTCCAGCGGTTGACCACACGCCAGCTGCAGACCCCCTTACTGGGCTTGGGATATGATCCAGTCGCGGCAAGTAAGTGCTCAAAAGCTATCTAATAGTTTGGCCATTCAAGTTCCTCTAATATTCTTTCTACATAATTGGAAAGGGGAAAATCGCAGCATATTCCGGGGAAATCAAGTGGGACCCAGCTCTAGTGGACAATGTTTTGAAACGTGATCAGCGACAGTGTGTCTTGACCAAGTACAGGCAATTTGGTATCGAAGCAGCCCACATTGTGCCCTCCAAACTACACCGATATACGCAAGGTTTTCTTTGGCTCGTGTTATCGGAATACTGGCCCTTGAAGTCAAAAGCTTGGTCAGAGGCAATTCTACGAAAGGGATGGGGGGACAACTGCTTCAATACTGAGCGACTCACTAACATGCTCACGCTTAATCAAATGATCCATTGGCATTGGGAGAATTGCCATTGCGCATTTTATCCTATTCGGGTCGCCGATGACAAGAAGAGTATGGATCTTTCATTTCACTGGCTACCCTCTGCAAAGGGGATGAAAGCGAGTGATTGGGTTCATCTTGACCGAAACCCTTTTGGAGATACAAGACCTCTTGAGGCTTGGGGAACAAATGTCGCGGCATTCAACGTAGAGACAAGGCAATTAATATCCTCTGGGGATATCTTTACAATCACCACACCAGACCCAGAAAAGCTCCCATTGCCATCAATAGAGCTGCTTGAAATGATGTGGCATTTGAAACGTATCGCTTCGATGCGAGGACAGGATGATGAAGAGGAAGAAAAGAATGAAGAGGATGAAGATGATGATGAAGAGGACGAAGAGGACGAAACAGATGAATAGGAGTCAAACAATTTCTTTTTGGTGGAGCCAACATCTGCTTGAATCTTTCTACTATCTACTCCTGGATAGTCTACCCGTAAATAACATCAATTTCAGTAGCTCATTGACCTGACTCGCTTTAGTTTCTATGATGGCATTGAACTTGCAAGATCATCCGTCTCTACCACATGCCATGCAAATAAACTGGCATCTCAATGACCACTTGGGCCCTTCTTCTAGTCCCATAACTAGGTCAAGGTTAAATTGCCAGTTTACTTAAGGATTTGGATCTTGAATATGGTTTCATGTCAAATTACGAGCAGACCATTGATTCAATCATAATCCATAGCGATATTATCCGTCTAGAAATGGATGTTCCCTCATCTGATGCCCTGACGCTGAGATGGGTCTATGAGGGGAAAATATCAGTCCCTATGTTTACCATTCCCGCCTGAACACTCACTCATATCCTTAGGCTCGTCACGCCTTGTAGGTGATCCACGTCGGCTCTGTGCCAGTGGTGCCTTAGCTACACTCCAGTTTGTAAATAATGATGTACGACAGATGATATGAACAGCCATGTAAACAAAATGTGTAATATTCTAAATTAAGGAAACTTTTCTACCCCGAAAGACGTGAATAACTTCAAGGGAATTCATCTGGTAAGACAATATCATGGAAGAAACATAAGAATCGGGCCTCCATCTCTAGTTAAATCATGTATCCACCTTCCAATAATCTAACACCACTCAAACAAGAATCAATCAGTAGACAGTCTACAGCTTACGTCCAATCTTCTGCTCAACAGCAATCTTCAACTCCTCTCCAGTAGGCATGGTAACCACACTACCACGGCGACGTCGGGACTCAATCTCCGACTTGATCTCCTGAACAGCCTCGTCGAAGTCACGCTCGGGATCGTTGGGAAGACCGAGTGTCGGGGACGAACGGTCTCCTGGCTAACGGTGCGCATGACATGAGGACGGTTGCGGCGCTTCAGATTGGTGACCAGGTAGCCCTTGACGGGGGGGGGGAGGAGAACAAAACGAGAGAGCCGATGGTGCCGATGATACCGTAGAAGTAAACGCGAGACCAGACGGCCATAGACTCGCTGAAGCTTAGTAGGATGAACGGCATAACGGTGAAGCCGAGGGTTAGTTGAGTAGCGGCCCAACTAGCGATATTGTAGTAACGCTTGTAGGGCGTAGGCTTAGAACCGTCTGGAGTCAGGAAGAATGGACGGACGTAACGACGGAAATCTAAAGGATAATTAGTTAACAGATATTAGTTGTAACAGTGGGATTCCAAACATACTCTTTGCGACAGTCTGAATAAATGAGCCTAGGACAAATGTCATGTAGTAACCTGGGTAGAAGCCATGCCAGAGAGCACTGGTGGCAAAAGTAGCCATACTAGCACGGAAACCAGGCTTCTTGCCCTTAGGAGTGACGCGCAGGTAGACATAGTTGCGCAGCCAGTGGTTAGTGTTCTTGTTCCAGCTTCCAAGGTAGGCGTGCGAGTTCTGGGCAGTCTCCAGTCCCCAGGGGTCCACGTTCTCCAGGCGGTTCCAGAATACCTTGCCGGACTTGGGATCAAACCCGTTGTAACCCATACCAGACAAAATGCAGGCACCTTCAGTCAGAGACCAGACGCCATAGTACTTCAGGCGCGCGGTGAATCCGAGAAGGTAAACTGTGATCATGCGGCGTAGGAAACCGTACTTGAGGAATTCGTCCGATAGAACAAATTCCGTAGTGAAGATCCCACCAAGGAACACGAATCCACCAATCCACAACAGTCCGACCAAGGCCTTCTTGAACGCCGGGGTGCCGCTACGGGGAATCTTACGCTTCTTGCGAGTCAGCGGCACCTTAGCAGGGTCAGTGCCTGGGGGAACGTCGAAAAGGGTGGTATCGAGCCAACGGCGGTAGTCCACATAGTCGAAGGCGGGACCGGCGAACAACGATGGGAAGAACAAGACGTAGCCCGTGTAGTTGAGGACACTGGGAAATTGGGTAATGGCCGCATACTTCTGTGCGTCGGAGAGCTGTTCTTGTGGCAGACGACCATCATGAATGTTCCAGCAGAAGGCGCAAAGCTTCATAACGAGGACCATCTGAGCTCCTGTAATGTCGACCACTTGCCCATCATCGGCGATCTGGCGGTAGATGTGGCTGATCGACATGTGCGACATGAGGAAGATGAAACCGATCCATGGCATCAGGGAGCCATCAATGTAGTACGCAATGGCATAGGTTCCCACCGCGCTGTACATCAATGTGCGCAGACCATCCCAAAGACCAAAAAGACCAATAATATAGAAGAGCGAAACACCAATGATGAAGGCATTCTTCTTCCAAGGTTGAGCATCGGGGATACGCTTGAGTAACGCGGCCAGTGGGTAGGAGAGTAGGAAGGAGCCGATCAACTTGACTGAAATTTAGGTTAGAAGCTAGCTCTTCATTTTGTCAAAGAAAGATATCACGTACGCTCATCCACTGACGCGCCTGTGAGTTGCGCAGGGATCTCGAACACTGTGGGGAGAAAATTAGCGTAAGATCTGTAGGATCTGGGGTGTAGCTCTATAGCTTTGTATTTAGAGGAAAACACCCACAGCTATCGATATAGGGTAACATGGTGTCGACCCGATAATCAAAAGACAAGCCCTTATTCTTTTCTTGCTTTAAAAGAAAGAGCTCATGGGTGCTCGAGGGAGAAAAGGAGGGAGAGTTATAAAGGGAAGGTCAAGAGATCAACATAGAAAAATGTCATGTGGGAAAAGCGGCCACGCCCAACATTCAACAACTTCATCCTTCTCCACTTCCCCCCACGGTTACTACACCACCCGACGTGATCCCACTCTCCATTCTAAGCTTGGACGCTTCATTCCCTTGAATCTTCTACTTTCTTTCGTTGTTCCCCGCGCTTAGGCGCATTCTCACCTCACCATGGACGTCGTCGCGGCCGTCTCGGGCTACATCTCCAAGATGGTGACGGCCGGCGAATCGGCTTCAGGGTCTTCGTCCGCCAAGATGAAGATCCTACTCCTCGATAGTGAGACAGTGGGTATAATACAACTGAAACTAGCTTGTTCAAGAGTGGGCACTAACTCTTTGTGATATAGGTCCCCATCGTTTCGACTGCGATCACTCAATCCGCCCTCCTTAATCACGAAGTGTACCTGATTGATCGTCTGGATAATGCTGCGCGCGAGAAGATGCGACATCTGCGATGTCTTGTCTTTGTGCGCCCATCCCCGAACTCCATCCAACTTCTAGTCGATGAGCTCCGGGAGCCCAAATATGGCGAATACTATATCCACCTAAGCAACATCATCCGCAAGTCATCCCTCGAGCGCCTGGCCGAGGCCGATAGCCATGAGGTCGTTCACTCTGTCCAAGAGCAGTTTGCAGATTTCTTGGTGATAAATCCGGACCTATGTTCTTTCGGGTTGGGATTCCCCTTGGATCGCATTTGGAGTCAATCGCCTGATCTGTGGAATGCGGATTCGTTGCAGAGAACCACAGAGGGGGTATTGGCGTTGCTGCTATCTTTGAAAAAGAATCCATTGATTCGATACGAAAAGAACAGCCTATTAGCCCGTAAATTGGCCACCGAGGTTCGCTATCATCTTACGCAGGAGGAGCAGTTGTTTAATTTCCGCCGGACGGACACACCACCAATTCTGCTCGTTCTAGATCGTCGCGATGATCCCATTACTCCGCTACTCACACAGTGGACATACCAAGCGATGGTTCATGAGTTACTTGGCATAAATAATGGACGAGTGGATCTGCAGGATGTTCCGGAGATTCGACCGGAGCTCAAGGAGATCGTGCTAGCCCAGGATCAAGATCCGTTCTTCAAGAAGAACATGTATCAGAACTTTGGTGACTTGGGCCAGAATATCAAGGAATATGTGGAACAATACCAGACGAAAACACAGACCACTATGAATATTGAATCCATTGCCGATATGAAGCGGTTCGTGGAAGATTATCCAGAGTTCCGCAAGCTCTCAAGCAACGTGAGCAAGCATGTCACCTTGGTGGGCGAATTGAGTCGGCGCGTGGGTGAGGACAGTTTGCTAGACGTGAGTGAACTTGAACAAAGTCTGGCCTGTAATGACAATCACGCCAACGACCTTAAGGTATGTTTCATAGCACCTACTTAGCATTTGATTCGAACCCTTCTAACTCGTATTATTTCAGTCTTTGCAACGTCTCATCCAATTGGAGAATGTCCAAGCTGAGAGCAAACTACGTCTCGTAGCTCTTTATGCCCTTCGCTACGAGAAACAGCCGAATAATGCCTTACCCATCTTACTTGACCTACTTGTCACAGCCGGCAATGTCCCCTCTAACAAAGTTAACATCATCCCCAAGCTTCTCGCATACCACCACTCCCTACAGGCCCCACCAGTGGCTGGCGGATTTTCCGACCTGTTCGAATCCTCTTCACTTTTCTCCGGTGCTCGTGACCGCTTCAAAGGACTGAAGGGCGTCGAGAACGTCTATACACAGCACTCACCCCGACTGGAGGTAACACTCCAGAACTTGATTAAGGGACGACTTAAGGAGATGCAATACCCATTCCTAGAGGGTAGTGGGCATACTCGCGATAAGCCACAGGATATTATTATCTTTATGGTTGGCGGTGCCACATATGAAGAGGCCAAGATGGTCGCGCAGGTGAATGCCAGCTCTCCTGGTGTGCGCGTTGTCCTAGGTGGAACATGTATTCACAATAGTACTACATTCCTGGAAGAGGTCGACGATGCTGTCAACAGTTGGCCCGAACCAAGTGCTTCGACAGCTGCTGGACGGCTGCGACGAGAGGTCGGGCGATAAGCGTTTGGATCGCATGATACCGTTGAATATTTACTGCACAATAAATCGAACAATAGTTCTTACCATTTATTCCATCGATCATATATACGTATATTGCTATATTACTATAAATGGTAGCTATAACTTTTCAATATTAACAGTGCACTCGGTACATACCGTGAACAGTGTGGGTCCCGCACCCCATAATGCGGAGACCAAGATTTGACCTTCTTTTCCCTTCAATACTCTGCACCATACACCATGGACCAGTACTCCCCTCCAAAGGGAGGGCCTACTTCTCCAGCTGCCTCTCGAGAACCAAGATTACACCTTCCATCAACTACAGATCCACCAGGTCCCCAGAATCCCCCAAGGCCGCTGGTATGGCTGGTAAGTCGTACCTCTAACCCCACTTGACTCATAGTCGATGCGCAAGTCGTTCCAATACTAACATAGCGCTATGAAATTTCCAGATCTTCGGTGCAACAGGGCACATGGGCCGCTCACTTGTCAAAATCGCACTATCCCGCAATGACCTCGTCTCGGCCGTCGGACGAACCTACGAGAACAGTCCAGAGGCGATGAAAGAACTCGAAGACGAACACGAAAACTGCCTCGGACTCCTCTGCGACGTACGCGCCCGCGAAACCGTGAAACGAGTAATCGAACAAACGATCGCGCGATTCGGGCGCATCGACGTGATCGCCAATTGTTCCGGGTACGGTGTAATCGGCGCGTGCGAAGACCAAGACGAGTTCGATATCCGGAATCAATTCGAGACGAATTTCACCGGCACATTAAACATGATCCAGTTATCACTTCCACATTTCCGAGAAAGACGCGCAGGTCGATACCTTATATTTAGCTCCACATCCGGCGCGCTCGGTGTACCGGGGTTAGGACCGTACTGTGCGTCAAAGTACGCAGTTGAAGGATTAATGGAGAGTATGCTCTACGAGGTGGATAGCTTCAATATTAAAGGGACGTTAGTTGAGCCGGGTCATATGCGTCGCGATGATATTGGGGATCTGGTATCACCCTCGTTTATGGCTGCGAACCCATCTGAACATAACCTTTCCTCGCCTTTACCCCTGTACGGTCATTTCTTGGTGAAGCCTCCGAGTGAACCGTATAATACGTCTACATCTCCAGCTGCTCACGCTAGACGGATGCTTATGTGGCTTGGTGATAAGCAGCCTGCTTCGGCTGTGAAAGCAGCTCATCTTGTTTGGGAACTTGGACATTGCTCTTATCCTCCTTTGAGATTGATTCTCGGTACATATGCTGTTGAGAGTATTCGAGATCGTCTGAAGTGCATTATTGAGGAGATTGAGGATTGGAAACATCTTAGTTTTCCGTTGGGAGAGGTGCAACCTGCTGGTCGTGAGAGATCAGTTACGCAGACAGAAGGCAATGACGGCAATACATGATGACCATAGTCTGGATATTGTGCAACAAGTCTGTCTATAAATTCCACCGTGGCCCGCCAGAGCCTTTTGCATGAATTCTCAACATTCATATCGCCGTCCAAGCAAAGAAAGGCGTCTCGATGGCACTGCTTCTTTGCCAGAAAGCCTGCAACTCTTACAAGGACTCGAGAGCTCCAGGCATTCGATATCTATAGAAGAGTCGCAATCATGTGCTAGCTACCAGCTTGCGATAAACAGTGGTGACCAGTGGTTCTCCATGGGCCATCTATGAACCATATCATATAACATTTGAATAATGAATGCACGATTTTACACTTTTAAATATTTACTACTACATTAATCATACTACATGTACATTGTATTGTATTCATTACATAGCAGCTATTCCTGGAGCCCTGGAGGATTTCATGATAATGTAGGCACTTTACATGCCAGTTATAAAGGAATAGTATCCCAAGTGAACCTTGGATGATATAACTTGAACAGAACCTTGGAAGAGATAAGCGAATTTCTCATGAATAAAAAAGCCACCAGGTAGCAGCAAAGTAAAATAAAATAAGAATGGAAAGGGGGGAAAAAGAAAGGTAAGGACTGGGATTGAACCCAGGACCTGTTGATTCTTCCGTCATCGTGATGTGAGAGAAGCTTCAAATTTTGAAGATTTTATAAGAAATCAACTAAAATCGATGAAAATATAAAAGAAGTATCAGGATGACGAGCGTAGGTTAGAGCATCTAGTGAAGAATTAAAATATAAAAAGATAACATAAAAAAAGTGCAAAAAAGAGAATCCTACCCAAGACCCTCACCACCATTACTTAAAACCATGGTGAGTTTCTTGGATAGACTTAGATGGTTTCTCACACCGAAGTGCGATAGCCAACTAGGCCACCGGAAGGATTCTCATTGCTACAACTTCCTGATTTATCCCTATAACAGAGATGATGTTATCCTTTTTAGGCATTTCCAGGCAGCCTATACTAACTAGTATGTACCTCTAATGTACACCTAGTTGAATATTAATGTCTCAAGGACTTGAGAAAAAGAAAATATACAAGGGCTTCTGTTCATCTTTCTTCCATTGATAATAAAAAAAATAAAATAAAAAGTGGTTAGATGCTTGATATCAAGTTGTTACAACAGGAGATATCAACTTGAAGGATAGCAAAAAGATGGACTCGCGGGGAATCGAACCCCGGACCACTCCCATGCTAAGGGAGTATTATACCACTAAACCACAAGCCCATTTGATGACGTAAGAGTAAATACATTGACATATCAAATGTTACTAACAAATATTGAAAACTTAAGGTTGGAAGCTATATACAACTACATAACAACCTTGGAAGGCATACTACTACCTGCCTAGGTAGATACTAGAGAAGATACTAGAGATAGTAATCAGGTACCTAGTTGTATTCCAATGTTAGATAGAGTACACAAGCTACAGGCGATTAAGAGATATTGATAAACGTAAACATGTCGGGACATGGATCTATGTATATATCATCATGGAGACAGAGAAGATAGAAACAAAAAGGGAAATCATAACACGATTTGTCCAGCATCAAATCAATCCATTAGCATGAATGACACAGGTCTCCTTCGCATGCCAGATACGGCGTCTTCCAACCACATCAGCACCAAAGGTATCTTGAATAAAATCATCATGAGGAGCATCATTTTCTCCCTTTTCATGGGAATCAAATGACCGCAAAATACGTGCTTCCTCAACACTAGCACCGACCTCATATTCTCCACGACAGAGGACCGTTAGGCCAATAGAAGCCTGTGTGGATCCGCCACTAGGTAGAATGGGAAGTGCTTGTTGAAGCATACCAGTCCATGCGAGACGACGCGTGAGATCCAACGCAATATTATTCGGCTGGTGTCGCAAGCTAGGCTGTAGACGGAGGAGTGGGTGGATAGGACGTGAAGAGCGGTTGCGGATCGTCACAGACAGTGTGAGAAGGTCGTCAGCCTTTGCTTGGAAGCGGGAGCGGCCAGTTTGAGTAACTGCGGAGGAATCGGTGGATGGCGAAGAAAGGGAGAATGTAATTTCGACGTCCTCAAGGCGAATGGATTCAACCATGCGAGCATTAAGACGAAGATTTCGGAGGTCAATTGTACCTTCACGGCCGGTAGATTCTTCTTTCCAGCCTCCTAGCATTCTTTTTAGGAGCTCCTCTCGGAACCAGAACGCTTCCCGAGAAGCTGCCTCCGCTTCAAAGGAGAGTTTATTGGCGCTAACGACGAATTGACGTCGAGTACCTGTGTTGACGACGGGGATAGATGCATGAGGGTTGTCGAGGTAGACCCGGGGAAGGACAAGGACAAATCGAGAGACTTGACCAGGCTGCAGATGTCCATCGACGGAGTATTGGCCATTATGCTCATCCTTTGACAAAGCAGAATGCTCACCCACTCGCAACCACACAGATACAGGGCTTGGCCATGCGTTTCGCAGGTCGAGTAAGACAACGCAGTGGTCTGGGCCATAAGATCCATTTCCAAGGCGGGTGAGAACTTGCGAAAAAGGATCATGATCTGTGGCTGCCAATGGCAGGTCTGACTTTTGGACAGCGTCCGAGGGTGACTCAATATGGTTTCGCCAGGCAAAATCACCACTGAATGGCAAAATATCACAGCGGGCAACTTCCACGCTTGCATTCACTGTGACAGTCAAGGGTACAAACAGCTGCCGGGTGTAGAAGATATCAGGCAGTTCGCCCTGTTTGGTTCCAAGACAAGAGTAGTCTATTTGAACGGTGGTATCTTGTAAACCAGGCTTGCCTAGCACATCAATTGTGAAAGTGGCCTTCTGACCTGCAGGAATCGAGGAGTCCTCCGCATCAGGGCCGTCGCGACGCCAGCATAGGGCCGGTTGAGTTGTGAGCTTCAGTTCAAGCTCGTAAATCTCTACCGGCAAAAGATCTTTGTTTCTAAGAGCTGACTGAAGCTGCCTTGTCGTTGAGTCTTGGAATGTGAATAGAACAAAGTCCACGGGGCAAGCAGAAGTATTTTGGAGCGTTATGGTGAACGATTTGATCTCTCCTTCCAGTACCATCATCGCTGACTGTGAAAGTGACATCGACTCGATCAAAAGTGACGGTTGCTTACCAATAACCTTCACCTGGCATGTCTCCGTCTCGGGGCCCTTCTTGACTGAAGTTTTCCCATCCTTGGAAGTTTCCGAAGACCATGAGACCGGTCGCTCTGAAAGGGGCTTCTTCGAGGCCAACCCTGTTCGTTTGAACTTAACCTCAGGTTCAGGTTTCCAAAAAGTCTTGAATATAGGAAATCTTCGCATGCGACAATGTCGTACTTTAACAATACATCCAGTGATGGTAAGACTGCCTTCCTCGCGAGCAGTGCCAAGGACAACAATGTCCTGAAGCGAAAATGGGGGAAGGATGATATTTTCCGCTACGCCTTCAAACGACACACCCTTACTTTCAAGCTGCAAGTGTTCAATCTCGACCTCGAACTCGTAAGGATTTTGAAGTGTGACTCGAAATGAGGCAGCTTCATCAGTCACAGTAAGCACCTCTAGGGCCTTGCTACTAGGCTTCGCGAAGGGGTTGTATAAGAATGGATCCTTTTTGGATTTGTCCGACGGAGTGGTAACAGCTTGCAGCTCTGACTTAAGTCGTCGAACAGGTCTTCTAGGATCAGGCAGGGCTAAAAGCTGGACATCACGTATGAGGAAGTCATCCCAGTACTCAGCTGTCATGTCGGATACACCTAGTCTGTTTGCGGCGCCAACTGTACGCTTAATGTTATTCAAGAGACGAACTTGCTCATCTCGCGGAAGATACGGCGGCAACTGGTTGGATTCTCCCAGCATCAAGTCGCCTCGGATAGTTTGTAAAAGTTCAACTGTGAAACGAAGGACACCTTCAAAATCAGGCAGGGCTTCACAGCAGTTGATGCACGCTTTCAGAACGTCGATCTTGAGATTGAGATCACCGTATCTGTCCAAAACAACATGTCGGAATGATCGCTCCGCAATGCCAGTAACTGATTCGTAATCTGGACACTCATCTGAGCCTCCGTGTGCAGATGACCGGCTCTGTCGCTTCTCCCACTCGTAGAATGCAGAGGGCTGGACGCCATATATTTCACCAATGGTAGCAAGAAGGAGACGGACGCTCTTTTCCATATTGCCTGGGCCAATATCGAGGGCATTCACATCAAAAGCAGTATCGCTTAGAGATGCCAATCCAGCAGCAGGGTGAATTCCTACCTCTGCAGCACCAATCTTCCGTGCCTGGACCAGACTTGGTACCATAACAGTAAGAAGCTCACGCATTATGAAAGCTTTCTTCCGAGGCAGATCAAGCGTATTTAGAACAGATATTACACCCACAACAATGGGCACTGCATCGGTGGCAGGCAGGTCAGCACCCGGAGCGAGTGGCAAAGCGCGATACAGGAAATTTGCAATCTCTGACTTGCGAAGCAGTACTGTTCCACGTGGGAGCTCTGGTTTGAGTAAGGGAATGAGAGGTTCGTTCATGACAATATGTTTCAGTGCATTATCGTCCAAGGAGCCATCCCGAACACGGGCTGATACCATGAGCCTTGATAATCGAATGACGGTTTCAGAGAACACCAATTGCGGTAGAGGCTCATCGGTGATGTTGGCGGCCCGGGTGTATAGGTGCAAGATATTGTTTGAAAGGTCAGGTAACAGGTTTGCGAGATTTTGAAGAGAGATGATCCGGTTACCAGCGGTAAGACTAGCTGTCGAATCCCTGTGCGACTTGGAAGACTTATCGGCTGTGGGATAAAGGACCGAAGGAATTGTAAAATCCATACCAGCCCACCCAAGCATTAGAAGACACAGCAGGATTGACTCCAATGCTTTACCATGCCAGATATAATCGCTCCCCGCGCGAGCATTGCTTACTGCTTCGATTAGCTCCTTTAGCGCATCATGCCATCTTCCCGCCTGCAGGAAAAGAGTTCCAATGACGACACCAGCTCTTCCTTTGATACGGTTTTTCGTTCTGTCGGTTGCGCTCACGCCGCTAATTGACATTCGCTCGCGGCTATGCTCCTTAGCTGATGCCACTGACGGACTCTTGCTACCGGAACGGGCACGCGTGAGATGGATCGAGCGAGTGATCTCATCGAAAGTTGTGGCAGTTTCAGAATTCGGAGTTTGAGCACCGGGGTCCGACGGCGTGTCAGGTATACCATTGGGATTTGCGGATATCTGGGAAGGAAGTGTCATCCGATGTAACAAACGATCGACCGGCCGAGGTCGAAGTTCCGGATTTCGAGATGGACCCCATGAGGATGTTTTTGGTGACTCAATAGTTGGAATAGCTTGAATCGTTTTTGCGAACTCGTCCAGTTCCGATAGCAAGACTGACGTGATGTCACACAGGACCGTTTTCATTGTGGTTGCTTTTGAGGCCTCGGGACGAGGAACCCAGAGCACATTGTCCGGACCATTAGTGAGTTTCTCCAATCCATCATAATCAAACACCAGAAGCTGGTTCACCAATGCTCGCGGACTCCTCTCCCTCACTGTGCCGAGCTCTTCCAATAGCTGATCGAGTCCTTCTGGAGTTGGATATTGCTTGTTCGCACCGGAACTTGGAGAAAGCTCGGTACCGTCCGCGATTGCGATAATCACGAGAGGCTCCCTGTATATCTCGAATGGGAATAGTTCGAGGTGCGACGTAGGAGGAACGGAGAAGGACAAATCGTAAAGTATCATTCCTGTTGGAAATGCAAGCGGCGAAAACATGTCTTTACAAAATCATTGTCAGCGGATTTTTATTCCATATAGTCCTTAAGTTCAGTGGGGTTCACTGCGTACTTCGGTTTGGTCGAGCATCGGGACTAATGTCCCCTAGCCGAACGACATTCTCAGCTTGGAGTCTGGCTGCGAAGCTCAGAAATCGAGATCGCTTGATTTTGCCGATTGGGAGTAGTAGCGCTCTCAGCCGCACAGGCGCAATTGGGGACAATGGGTCGACCCCCATGCTGTCATTTAAGTGAGGCCGGAGTATTGGCCGCGGGATAGCTTAAAGCTGCACCCAGAGAGTCTGACTCGAGACCTCGCTGATGCAAGGCGAGCAGCAGCAGGGGAAGAAACGTTGTATGAGCTAGAAGATCAAAGACTGCTGCTAAAAATCAACCAACGCTCAAATCATGAAGGTCAACTGCCCACCTCCGCATGGTGCTCCTGAAGCCGCGATGGAAACATTGCTGACATAATACGCTGATCTAATCGTCTGATAAGGGCCAGGTGGCCGATAAGAGTGTTTGCACTGTTTGAATTAGAACAGATGTACAGAGTACATCACCTTCCAATTGCTGTACAGCCTGAATAGTGGACATGTAGGTAGTAATATGGATATTCTATAGTTGATAAATGCTAATTTTGTGGAGAATTCCTTAAGTATGTATTACTTCAAGTTGTATCTGGTAGACTACTGTGTTTATTTCCTTAATTCTCATCATTTTATCTAGTCTATGAGTTCAAGGACAGGCTATCAATGTACTACCAGAAGGAGACCTTTCCTCTGGCTTCAATAAGGAGGGCTTTAGCATAGTCCATCAAAAAGCGCTTTTCCATACCTTGACTGATATCATCTGCATCCCAATCATCCATATACATACTCCCTGGCTTTATGCCCCACCTAGAAGGTGGGTCTGATATCCCGAGGCTACATTACTCCGCCAACGTGGATAAGCAACAATACATACTTGAAGTATGTACTAACCTTAGAACCTTCAAAGACTCTGAGGTCTTTGAAGCGAGAAGAAATATCATATAAATTATCTGGACCATGATAGTACTAGTGCATATACTAACTTTCAAGATTCATGATTAGCATTGAACTCTAAGCACAAATGAAAGGCGGTGTAAAGGGCGGTGAAGTATAATGCCTTGATTAGGCTTTATCCGCCTCATGGCTACCGCGGCATGTTCAACAACTCATTGCTTTTATTTGTTCCTCAACATACATACTCTGTCGTTTCCTTTTGATCTGGGTCTTTTCGCTATCTTCTGGACTCTCAATATCAAAGGACGACTTATTCTTATCAATATCGCCTTTTCACTGCAGCGTTTAGCGCCTTGTTTACCTATCTTACATCTTACAAAAGATGATCTAGGCTGTCACTTTGATATTTATTTCTGGAGTCACGGTTGATTTTCGATACACAAAGAATACGCCTTGCATTTTAACACACCAGAATGGCTTTGAATGTTGATTTCAATGCCCTGAAGGCCCGGACCATGGGGTCTGGTGCCGATGAAGAGGCAGTAACAGTGGATACTCGGGGCTTAATCTCCAAAGTTCTAGCACGATATTCGGGGAAATGGTAAGTATATATGACTATGATCCTTCCTTTTTTTCAAACATTCTGATTCTCAATATCTACTACTAGGACTGTTCTTCGAGAGATGATCCAGAATGCTGCGGATGCCTCCGCGACGAAAGTGACGATCAAATTTGAGACACTCCCCTCTACTACAGTCCCATCGCCATCATCAACAGACCCAACAGAGCAGATCAAGCATACAATCACAAACCATACCCTTCGACGTCTATTGATATCAAATAATGGACTTCCTTTTAGCGAAAAAGACTGGGCCCGATTGAAGCGTATTGCAGACGGAAACCCAGATGAAACAAAGATTGGTGCATTTGGAGTCGGTTTCTACAGTGTTTTTGATGACTGTGAAGAGCCATTTGTCTCTTCAGGTAGCCAAGCTATGGCTTTTTACTGGAAGGGAAATTCACTGTTCACTCGGCGTCTGGATGTGGGTGAAACATCGAACCAAGAGACAACTTTCGTGCTGGACTACAGAAATGATTCTTCTCCTATTCCATCTTTGCTTCAGCTATGTCAGTTCTTGTCAAGCAGCTTGACTTTTGTTGCATTACAGGAGATAGAGTTGTTGTTGGATGACTGGAGTCTGCTGCGCTTATCAAAGAAGACTGCGCCTGGGGTTAGCGTACCCATTCCTAAGGACATTGAAACCAAAACTGCAGAAGGCCTTATGAAGATTACTGGGATTACCCAAGAAATTGCTCAAGTTGATGCTGCATGGATGCGAATTGTGGAGTGGAATCCAAATGCCAGCTTGATCAGTTTCGACAACCTACGGGACACAACAAGTTCTCTGCGCAGTTTTTTCTCCAAATTTACTGGTCAAAGTGCATCTGAGAAAGCAGCTCAATCTCAAAAAGCACATAGACAGGTCGAAGAATCCGGTAATATGACCGCTCTCTTGAAGGCAACAGTATTCTTGCACATCAACACTGCATCGATCCAACCTTCTATCGGCACTAGCTTGAGCAAAGAGCTTGAGAGAGCCACTCGAAAGCCCCCACCTAAGAGAGCTACAATCGCAATCCTGACTCCATCCTATGAAGCTAACGTCGCTACTGGGGCATCTGCATCACAGTCGGAAATTCTCGCATCCATCTTACCTTCAAAGGGAGGTCGGGTCTTTATTGGATTCCCTACAGCTCAGACTACAGGTCTGAACGCTCATATTTCTGCGCCATCTGTCATTCCTACAGTTGAGCGTGAGAGTATCGATCTTAACACTCGCTACATCAGTAAATGGAATCTTGAAATGCTTCGAGCTGTTGGAATAGTCTGTCGGATCGCATGGTCTGCTGAGATGAGTACTATCAAGTCCAAAATTGCAGCCAAGATTGGACCAGAACGCTATTCAAAGATTCGCAAAGAGGACATCAAGGATGTTCTTCCCGAGGCAATTCATACTGCAAACCAATTTGTCTTCCGCGAGTCGACGCCATCCTCGATCCTCGGCCAAACCATCGAGGATGCATTCTGGATGTGCAACAGGAATGCCTCTATCGAAATTCTTTCTACGTGTGGTGTTATTCCTAGTCACCAGACACGCATCGCCCCCAAAGACCTTAGCTTTATGGATTCGATACCTTCTCTACCTGACGACTTTGTGACCTATGCGAAAGAATTTGTTCAAAGACTGACGGAATTTGGTCTGGTGACAGAGATTACGGTCTCTGACATCAAACGAGAACTAGAGGCCAGTACACTCCGAGCTAATCAGGTTGTCGAGTTCTTGACCTGGATGGGCCGAAAAACCGTGACTGGGCAGCTTGATAAGCTGTCGGTTCAGAGTCTTCTTCGAGTCGCTGTGGCTAATGATGAAGATCGAGATGGAAAACCTACACGGCTGATCGTCTTTGCCGATATCACCAGCTTCTTGAATCCCCAGCGCATTCCGGCAGATCTGCCGATACCACCATCAGTCATACCTTTTCGGTTCACTAAAAGCATGGGGAAGCAGGACCTCGAGGCATTAGGATGGGTTGAATTAAATACTGTTCCTTGGCTCCGTTGGCTTGTGACGAATGCCGGAGATCGCAACTTGCTATCCGCGGATGAGGATATCACACAAAGTGCTTCTTTCTCCGGACAGGTTCTTCCTGTTCTATCTAAACAGTGGGAAACCCTTAGTCAACCGGGCAAGCAGACCGTTGTCAGTATCCTTCAGCCCAAGACTGTGATTCCAACGAAGCTTGGAATGAAGGAGCCCACTCAAACTTACTTTGCTTCTGTGCGGCTGTTTGATGATTTGCCTGTGGTACACGGCTTGAATGGCGTCAAAGAAAAGTTTCTGGTATCACTCGGGGTTCGCAAGACTGTTGAACTGGGAGTCATCTTCGATCGCCTGATAAATGCCCCAAGCTCAGGGGATACTAAAGGAGCCTCTCGAAAATGGAACCATGTGGATCTCATTCGATATCTCACTTCGGTTTCGGGAGGATATTCCTCCAAACGATATCAAACGACTCAAGGATACGAGTATCTGTACTGCCGAGGTGACCGAAGGAGCAAGAACTGCGCCTGGTACTCTCTACAAAATCTGCGAGTTGTATGAACCGAAAGACCCGCTTCGTGCTTTGGGTCTACCTGTGATCGAATGGCCAGGCATCTACAACAATGCAAGCAATGAAGGGAAATTCCTCTCCATGATGGGCCTAAAGGGACAGCCCTCGGGAGCTGAACTCGTTCGGCTCATGATTACCAGTGATGCAGAGAAGAACAGCGCCCGCAAGACCAAGGCCTTGTCTTATTTCCTTAATGAGTATCATACCAATGGTTACGCTGCATTCGACATCAATGCAGTCACGGTGCCATTTCTCCCAGTGGAGAACTCGGAAAATCTGGCATCGCCAAAGAAGTGCTTTACGGATGAAGGGGCTTCATTATTTGGTTTTTCTATTCTTCAGAAGCAGCTCCATCCACATGCATCTAAACTAGGCGTCAAGCCTCATCCACCAGTATCTGACTGCCTTGAGATTCTTATTCGTCAACCACCGGCTACTCCAAGAGAGGCTAGAGTTATTTTCAAATATTTGGGTGGCCGAGCCTCTGATCTGAGCCCGCGGGATATTGAACGCGTTGGATCATCCCCGATCATTCCTATTGCCACAAGAAGCCAATCGGAAAAGACTCCTCAGGTCCGTTTCGTGGCGCCTCGTGTTTGCTATCTGGGCGAGGGAGAAGACTACAAAGATATTTTCGATTTTGTAGACTTTGGGCAAGAGGCCAACTTCTTCCTTCTGGCCGTCGGTTCCAGGAGAGAACCAACAAAGGTCGAGATCGCACGAATGCTTGTGAAAGAACCAGCCCGGATCTCAGCCGCATTCCAAAGCTCCGAAAAGTATCTAATGCTTCTGAGAACTCTTGCCGAAAATCTCTCTTTACTTAAGAAAGACAAAGATCTATTCAATGAAATGAGATGGGCAAAATTCTTGCTGGCAAGCCGTGACATTCCACCCCAATCTGCTGGCAAATCCGAGAAGGTGAAGTCGATTGAAAAGGATATCTTAGGCCCAGAGGAGGACCTGGATATTCGCGAGTGGAGTCTTTCCAGCGCTAAAGATATAGTCGTTGTGGATGACTTCCAGAGCTTCAACCTGTTCAAAGAGCATATCCTTGCTGCACCGCAAGAGGAGGCACTGGAAAACTTCTACGTTGCCCTTGGCGCCCTTCCACTCAGCCAATTGGTCGAAGAACAAGCGCGGTTTGGAGGCATTGCAGCTGATCAATCGGCAGCTGTTAAGCTACGCAAGGTCGTTCTCGAGCGAGCACGGCTATTCCTACACGATCAACCTGCAGATGCAATTCAACGTGGGGCCCGATGGTTAGAGCATGACTTCACCGTTCAGGTGGTCACTTCCATCTCGCTCACAAGATCACTCAAAGGCAGACGTGTATCCCACACCCAAAAACGGAATGCGATCATGGCTCGTCTGTCCAATAGCTGGGGCCTGTGCATTTGTCCGGGCAAATATGACTTGTATGAAATTAGTCAATCTCTGGTGCACTTGATCTTGAAGCGACCAAAACTTCATTCAACTCTAACTTTGGAAATGTTGCTGAAGACAGATCTACTTGAACTTCGTGCTCGAGGCTACAATGTGGAACGCATCCTAAGACAGAAGGCTCAGGAAGCTCGAATGGCAGAGGATCAGAGGCAGAGACAGTTGGAGGAAGACCGAAAGTTTTTGCAAGAGAAAGAGGCTGCTTGGGCTGCTCAGCAGCAGGCCCAGCAGGAAATGGTACAAGCACAGGCACAGACCCAGCAAACACAACGATCGAGAGACGAGGGCTCTGAGGGTCAATCAAAGGCCACCATGCCGGGCTTTTTCCCCGAGTCGCCAAACAGCAAGCCAACTGCCGAAGAGACTCAGCTTGCGCACCCCGATCCTGTAGTACCAGACAGGACTTCCCGTGGTGGATTATTTGCTAATCTCAGCAAACGATTTGGTCTGGACAATCGTTCTGGGTCAACTCCCAATCCAGAGCAGTCACGTTCCTTGCTTCCAGAGTCCCCAGGCGGTACTCAGCCGCCTCCACCTTATTCAAGCAACGACCCTCAAAACCCTCAAAACATTCGCCCGGAGCAACCTGTCTCTGTCAATTCTCCACATCGCTTGAACCAAGAACTTCTGTCTGCCGTGCAGGCTTGCCGTCCTCATGGATCATCAAATGTTTTCAGTCGCCCGGAGACAAACCAGATCTCAGCAAGTCAATCCTACTGTGATGAGCGACCTGGTCACGATCTAGAATTTGTTGCCACGCTGCCTAGTGGTGTGAATGTGCTATTCGTGAAAACAATCACCGAGCGATCTGCTTTCTTGGCGAACAACCAAACTGCTATCAACATGTTCGCGTCAATTCTTCTGGACTGTGGCGGTATCTTCTCGATGCGTGCAGACAGTCTAAGTATTTTCTATGATCCTGGCGGCAAGACGATTGCATTTAACCGAGCGGGTAGCATCTTCTGCAACTACTTCTACTTCCAGAGCTTACATGAGAAAGCTCTGCTTCAAAGTTCTAACCCAGATCGCACCGATGCCATTGTCTACTGGTGGGTCATCTTATGTCATGAACTGGCACACAATCTTGTGGCCGATCACAGCTCTGCACATAGCTACTACACTGAGGGATTTGTGGCTCAATATTTCCCCAAGGTGGCTACTAAGCTTGCCTCTCTTCAACATACCCCAAGAGCGGCATGATCGGTCAAACAAGGAACTTCACTCCACTTTTTTGTCTCAGTTCAACTTTTCTCTGTTGAAACATTGTACCTGATACCCAATTCTGTACTTAGATCTAGATCATGTAGTTTTGGCCATACAATAACCGTTGTGGCTACAATGACTATCCGTTCCGGCGGTACCCGTTTTTTGCCTGAACCAGCCCTGAACCATCCCAACCTTAATTTTTCTCCTCGGCAACATTTTGAACCTCACCTCCGAAAAACAATACATTTTTAATCCCGACCATATTCATTTCACTCGTGTTCGTATTCAATTTTATATGGTCATTCTTCCGCGGGAAACTGGCCTAGTGTGCCGATCCTGATAAGTCTGACCATAACGCCACTTTGACCGCGACATGGAATCTTAGCGGGATACAACCTGCATAAGAACAGAAAAAAAGCTGCTGGGATCAGTATCGCCCTTGGCGTATCATAGGCCTGGGGTGCTATCATTATAGCAATCACTTGCTAGCCCTGGTCATTGACGATTTTCAAATTTGACTATATCAATTGCTACCCCGCCACGACTCTTATCTATTACATTCATCTCACCATGGCGCCACTACTAGGTAGTTGGGACGAATCAACCACCTCAAATACTCAAAATGACTCTTCCAAGGCCGTTTTGTATGTTGATGCATATGATTCCTTCTCGTACAATGTTGTCGCAATGCTTGAAGAGACTCTGGGAGTGAAAGTCACTGTGATGACCATAGACTCTGACTGGCCTGATGGAAATATGCATGAATTCTTGCGCCATTATGAGGCTGTCGTTCTCGGACCTGGTCCAGGAAACCCCAATTTACCAAAAGATGTTGGTATCATGAAAGATATCTGGAATCTCCATGACGCCGAACTACTTCCCGTCTTTGGTATCTGTCTGGGATTCCAGAGTCTCTGCCTGCGTCATGGTGTTTCAGTTGAACGACTTCCATTCCCACTTCACGGACGAATTTATGAGTTTTCAACAACGTCCAAGGATTTGTTTGCTGGGATTCCTTCAGTGGAAGTGACGCTGTATCATTCTCTTTATGCGAACCCAAGTAGTTCAACTTGCCCTGCGACTTCATCCATGGACGACTTGGAATTTTTAGCCTGGCTATCAATTGGTGAAAATGACAGTGAGACCGCCCCGATTCCCATGGCTGTTCGTCATCGACAAAAGCCTTTCTGGGGTGTACAGTTTCACCCGGAGTCTTGCAAGTCAGAAAAAGAGGCTTGCAAACAACTCCTTCGTAACTGGTGGAAGATGGCACTGGCCTTCAACAAGTCCGTTGCACGGGAAACATATGGCTCCCTACCTGAAACGATAATCACAACTCAAGATGAGACAAGTCCATTCCCAGATGTCGCTTATGAACTTTTGAGATGGAGCTCTTCGACATCGAATACCTCAGCGCATCGGTTAATCGAGCAAGGAGACCTGACTGCAGAGGCTATTAGCGAGATTTTCAACAAGCCAGGCGCTCCAACAGTTATTTTCCAATCCGATGACCGATATGGTGTCATCTCAATTCCTAGCCCGGGTTCCTGGCGGCTAGAATACAGCGTGGAGTTACAAGAATTAACCACGTTCCAATTGGGGGAGTCTCAAGTACTCAAGAGGAGTCTTACCGTGATTCAACTCTGGGATGCCCTTCGATATCTGATGGATATGAAGAAGGTTGATTCTGGCAACCCTCAAAGTCCTTTCTGGGGCGGTTTTCTGGGTTACTTTTCCTATGAATTAGGTCTTGCCTGTCTTCCTCATCCCAGGGATTCATCACAATCAAATGGATCTCAGAGAGATTCCAACCACAACACATCAACGGATCCGTCAGTTCAGGATCCTCCAGACGTCAGTTTGTTGTGGTGTGAACGAAGTATTGTTATTGACAAGCAGACTGGCACGGTTGTCGCACAGTCTACTTGTAAGTCAGATGACCAACCGGGCAAGTGGCTCGACGATGCACTGCGACTACTCAAGCATCATTCTAAACACGCTACAATCATTGAAAAGTCCGATCTCGAATTCTTAGATTCCACTCTCCGTCATGGCGTGATCTCATTCCCCAAAGAAACGGATTATAAAAACCGAATTGAGGCCTGTAAAGCCGAACTGGAGGCTGGCGAGTCATATGAATTATGCCTCACAACCGAGACTTCAATCACCTTGCCAACCCCAGAGACAGAACACGATCGCGTTGTGTTTCCGTGGAAATTACACAAACGACTGAAGAAGTACAATCCTGCTCGATTCAGCGGGTTCGCCGATCTAGGCCATGTCAAAATTGTCAGCAGCAGTCCAGAATGCTTTTTGAACTGGGACCGTGACTCTACACTTGAGATGAAGCCTATGAAAGGCACTGTCCGAAAGACACCTGATATGACATTGAGTAAGGCCAAAGAAATCCTAGCCTCAACGAAGGAAATGGCCGAGAATCTCATGATAGCCGATCTCATCCGACATGATTTATACGGTATCTGTGGATCTGGTGGAGTCCATGTTGAGAAGTTACTCGAGGTTGAGGACTATGGTCGAGTCTACTCCATGATTACACATGTGAAGGGTAAGATTCGACCAGATCAACCTGGATACTCAGTTCGACACATCCCTCAATTGAACACGCCTAATATGGCTGTTCATGGCCTTACAACACTGCAAAAATGTCTGCCTCCCGGGTCCATGACCGGTGCACCCAAGGAACGCTCATGCATGCACCTGAAAGAAATCGAAGGACGCAAGCGTGGAATCTATTCCGGTGTTATGGGTTACCTCGACCTCGGCGGTGGTGGCAGCTTTGCAGTGCTGATTCGCATGGCCTTCACTTGTAGCTCATCTGATACCGACTCTCAACAGGTCTGGCGGATTGGAGCTGGAGGAGCCATTACCACTTTGAGTACAGCTGAAGGTGAATGGCAGGAAATGCTCACCAAGCTGGGTACTGTGGGGAACATTTTTGGTCCATTCGATAGTGAGAGCTGTTGACCTTCTTTTTGATAAAATTCTCTTGTTCATATTCATCAGATCGCGGAACACTGATGTGTTTTCAACATCCGCATCTTGTACCTACATCATGTATTTGAAGTTAAACTTCATTCAATTCAACATAGAGCGCTGGGCGTTATTTATTCTGCTTAATTTGATTTTTTCAATAAAATTCTCTGACTTTAATATGTATCTAAAGAATGGAATTTGTTCTCTTGCATACTCGATTACTCCATAATGATTAACTCCATCATAGACATGCAAACAAGCTAAACATGAGCTCTCCGCCTATCTAATCTCCACCCCGACTTTGGAGCTCATAGTGAATTCCTTTCACCTTCCGTATTACCATTCCCCCTATAAGGCCTTTTATTTCAAGAGACTATCTTCCTAAAATATTTCTCTGGGCCATACAGTGTTCAATATGGCTGGCCAAGATGCCTCAATGGAGGAAATCCTCTGGCGATCTCCCCCGCACGTCCAGATGATGGGGGGGTTTTCTACACTCAAATAACAGTATGTCCACACAGTTGAAGCTCCAGAGAAGTCAGCACCGACTTAATTAACCTGCTCAGTCCTTTTCTACTTCGCCGAGTCCCCTTTCTTCGACCCAACCTCAAACAACGCCTCCTTGGCCATCCAAGCCAACTACAACGAAGCCTTCCGCCATTTCGTCGAAACGCGCGAAGCTTTCGAAGCCCGCTTAAAGACCATGTCTGGTCTAGAATTCATTGTCTCATATGACCCCTTACAAGCGGCAGCGCAGTCAGATACGCGCTTCGCTCACGAGCCGTCGAATATCTGGGTGATCCGAAAGCAGAACCGACGAAAGCGCTCTGGCATGGACGATGAAGTGTCCGTGATCTCTACGTACTTCGTTGTAGGAGATTGTATCTATATGGCACCGTCTGTGGCCAGCGTAATTGGCAACAGAATTGTATGTCTTGGTCTACCATACGCTTCTCTTTTTCACACTAATGGTTTCTTTTCTCGTTTAGCTCTCCGCTGTTACCTCGCTATCACGACTTATGAAAACCGCATCCACCCTCCCAACTTTTACACCATCCTACGGACATACATATCTACCACCCATGGCCCGCGCAACCGAGTCCGGCGCACAAGCATCACAGCAAAGCAAAGAGAATACACCCATGCCCGATGCCGCAGCCCCCTCCACAGATGCCCAAACAAGCAAAGCCGGACTCGGTATCTCGACAAACTCGAGCTCCAGCTACCGGGATACCCGAAGTCTCGCAGAATCATTCACCCTTTTCGCTCAATATGGCGAGGAATTCATGGATGAGACGCCACTAGTAGGTGAACCAGGCTCATTCATCATGTCCCGACTAGGTGGTGAAAGTGATCGCACAGCCAAGAATACCGTGTCAAAAGCCTCCGTGAATGTATCAGGCAGTACACCAGCCCCGCCTGGACGAGTCTCAACTCCGCAGGTTCGGGTTGATACGCCAGGAAAGGCATCTGATCAGGGGAATTCACCTCCTAGCTCGGGGGAGAATAAGGGAAAGCGGAAAAAGGGTCGGGTTGTGAGTTGATTTGCTTATTATGATACCCTCTTTGTACGACATCGGAATCTCTTAATAGGATTTTAAAATATTCGATGCGATTGAGTTCATTATCGTACAATAACTCATAGTCTATTCATCGTGTAGTAGTGTCAGCTCGGGGCTTTCTCATTCTATCCGGCTTATACTTGGAGTACATTCAAATGAGTCATTTCACCTTAATGATAGTAATAAGTAAATGTAATTGCGGGGCTTGCAGATCATACATTAACAGTAAAAAACCATGGAAATCAATTAATAGACACGATGTAAATCCTTGGAATGGACAAATGTAGCCAACGGAAAGCCCAACGTGCATCTCTATCTTATCGTGGTGGAACCAGCTTCCATTCATTATTCTCGCCACTTCCTCTATTCCTCTCTCTATAAATACCTGAATCCGGATAGAATCTACATTAGCCTTCTCTACATTCTCTTTGAATACAATCATCATGACACAAAACAAGCAGGCCGTGATCTGTGTCTTGTGAGTCAACCCCACCATATCCTCCCCGCCATCCCCTCACTATATCATATGCGCTTGCGCAACCATACCAAGAACACAGCCCTGGAGGATGTACAGGAAAGTAAACTAACATCATATAGCTGCGGTGCCACAGCAGGCAAAGACCCAATCCACTTCGAGGCGGCCCGAACCCTCGCGCAAGAATTCCACAAACACAATGTTCAACTCGTATACGGCGGCGGTACAACAGGACTGATGGGCGAGATCGCCCGGACACTCGTTAGTCTCTCAGGACCTCAATCTGTACACGGTGTTATCCCTCGTGCGCTCGTGAAAGTCTCCACAAAGAGTAATGGAAACGGGAGTGCCGACGCAACGCCTACAGAGGGTGGGAAAGCCGCTGAGCGTGTAGTCTCGGAGTCCTTAGACGAGGAGGGAATCCCGGAATCAGAGTACGGCATGACAACTATTGTGCCGGATATGCATACTCGCAAGCGATTGATGGCGACTAAGGTCCTTGAAGGTGGTCCTGGATCTGGGTTTGTGTCGTTGGCTGGTGGATTTGGAACTATTGAGGAGGTTATGGAGATGACTACTTGGAATCAGTTGGGCATTCATAAGGTTGGAGTTGTGTTGTTGAATATTAATGGGTACTGGGATGGAGTTTTGGCTTGGGTGCAAAATGCTGTGTCTGAGGGCTTCATCAGTGCTGAGAATGGACGCATTCTTGCTGAAGCGAAGGATCCAAAGGAGGTTTGGGGGAAGCTTTTGGAGTACCAGGTTAGCAGCGAGCGGATGCAGCTGAACTGGGGTGAAGAGTGATTCGATTTCTTTTATTTTCGGGAATTTTCCTTTCGTTAATGTTCAAGTCGAGTTTCGCATTGGGAGCGATATACACTTGGAGCCAAGGGCTTGGAGTTGACAATACTCGGGCTTATTACTTTCGGGATATCAAGATACACCCATAGATCATCATGGAAATGAATGTTGTGGGGTTCAAGAGATACTCAATATGAGATAATTGCATAGAAGGCAGCGTTAGAATTCATGTCTATGCGCATCATTAAAAACAAGGAAAAATTATGAATCAACCTCCATGGACTCGCCCTCTCCGGCACCAGCCGATTCAGACTGCTCCAGCACCTCCAACAGAGGAACGGTCTCTTGGCCCTCGTAAAGATTGAAGGTCTCAATCCGGGCCTTGGAGCCCTCGGGAGCCAATCCAACCACACCAACTGAGGTGTTATCCACCGTAAGCTCCTTATCCTGAGACAGAGTTTCCTTGAGAGCACGCAGACCGTGTGTAATCAACTCATCGCGGGTGCAGTCTTGAAACTTATCCAAATTTCGCTCCAGGTATGTACGTGCCATCTGTGAGCGAGCACCAATAGCACATGCAGCCATCTCGTGGGTCAGACCAGAGGGCTGGAACTCAAACAAGTGCGGACCGGCCTCATCAACACCGGCAACCAGTAGGCCGACACCGTAAGGGCGCTTTCCGTAATGCTGCGTGTTGGTTTGGGCACGGTCGCCGATCTGAGAAACGATACGATCCAGAGGGATTGGGCGACCGTAGGTCATCTTGGAACCGAGCGATTGCTGCTTCATGAAGTTGGAGAGGACGCGGGCGTCTGATGCCAGGCCGGCGATGGCAATGGCCATGTGCGAGTCGATCTCGATGATCTTCTTCTGATAAGAGGAGAGTTCTTCGGCATTTCGCTACATCGTTGATGTTAGTTCCGTTGTTTCAAGCTTGCGACCTCGAGTTGGGATAGCGAACCTTCAGGCCGACCAGCACGGCATGTGTCTTGTTCACCAATCCCACTACCACTGATCCTTGCTTCACTGCTTCTTGTGCGTATTCCACCTGGAATATCCGACCTTGCGGGGAGCTTTGGTAATTAAGTTAGGGTCTGATGGATTGCAAATCGCAGTTGATTGGGAGGGGAGGGATCCTAGGGACCATCTTACAAGGTGACAGCGTCATTGTCGTAGTTGTTTCTGAACATGGTGGAAGAAGAGGAGATGAATTATGGGAAAGATCAAAACAAGTAAATCAACCTTGGTGTAATGAAACAAGAAAGATATCAAATGACAAAGGGTCTTAACGGGAGCAGATGGGGAAGCTGAAGCAGGCAGTTAAGGTGACGCGGTGTGAGAGCTCTTGTGGCCTGAGGTGTCAACATCCAGTGACCTTCAGGCGCCAACGTCACTCGCATTCCTACAGCTTCCTCCGCCCCCTCGAACCCTATGGCGCTGCCAGTCCACACCAACTGAGTTATTCGTGTTCTAATCCTTGTGCGCACCATAATCCCTTGTATCTCGCATTTATCTCGTCTCGAACCAGCAGCCACTTCGACTCCGACTCCGCAACAATGGCGGCTGGTATCAAGACCATCATCGCACTCTCATTCGTACGTTGAAATCCGCTCAAAAGCCTGTAGATACTATTGGAAATATTATACTAATTTGATTAGGTTCTTGCGATCGGGTTCCTCCTCGTTATCCTCTCCTCCGCTCTCTGGCACAAGTACTGGCCGCTACTGGTTGTTGGCATCTATGTGATTGCGCCGCTTCCCAATTGGATCTGTTCACGATGTGCAAACCCAGATGATTTCATGGACAGCTCGTCCAATGCGGCGATGGACTTTGGTCGCTTCATGACTGGATTTTTGGTCCTGACGGGTATTGGTATGTGCTCTCGATTCGAATACAGTTGCAGCTATTGCGCATTATCTGTACAACCCAAGACAACCCGTTCCTCTTTATTCTCAATTTATGGCGTTACGGTGTTAAAGAAAACACTCATCTACTCGCAACCTATATACTAACCATGAGTTTCTAGCACTCCCTATCGTTCTTGCACACAGCGGAGAAATCCAAATCCCCGCCATGATCATGTCGATTTTCGGTGGTCTGTTGATCTACGGAACTATTATTAGCTTCTCGATGTTCTTCCAAGAACAGGAAGAATTTTGACTGCCTGAGTGATGAGGCATGGGTGTGAAGGGTCTCGAGACAAGTTTCGGACTGCAGAGGTTTCACAAACATCCAAATTGCTTCTATGATGATTTTCTTTGCGACTTCTTTGGATTCCACGCTTGCACGATATTTGAATGATGCTGGGGAGCGGTCCCAGTTGATGCCATTGCTTGATGGCTCTAGCATTTCATTTGCTTTGATACTTTTGGTGTATTATACCACAATGGATATATAGATTTCCAATAAGAGGAACCTCTAAGCTATATCTGATTATCTAAATATTGTTCTAAGAATGTAGTGCTGTATGTACTCCGTACAGTGTAGAATAGAGTCGCCTTAATTGCACACGTGACCGCGACTCCATCTTTGACGCGTTCCCCACATTGTACGCTATTGATGTCAAGGCTCATCGGACATCGAAAAGCAAAAAAAAACACAATAAAATGGAACTGTGAAACAGGCTGTGAAGCCTACTTCTCACCATTCATGAAAATGAATATCTGGTCGGGATCGATTTCCCTCGATTCCAACCGCAAGTTAGAAGGTAAGCCTCCCGACGCGTTCTCGTTTGCAACCGCGCTGACGTCCTACCAGGGATCCGCCTAGTTGATCCGACCTCTCACTGGCAATGCGACATATCCAAAGATGCCAAATTTGGTCTTCGTAGCTTCGTCAATCCCGCATTAATCCCCCTCCACGCGCGAGTGGGCCCCAATCTCGAGTTACACACAACCAACCCTACGACATCGCAATGGCTTCAGGCCAAATTGACTGGGGCGTTATGGCTGAATGATCAGGAATCAGAACTCCACCAATCACTTCAGTCTCCGACTGGTCTGCTGATCAGCATCGATGGGACTTCATCTAAAAGGACTGGTCCAGGCACATCCGACCTTTTAGTCTATGGCGTGTTATCCTCGTGTACTCGTCCACCCACTCCACCACACTCGTCGCCAGAGGCTCACGACAATGCGAATACCTCAACAGCAAGACCATATGAACTGCGGATATACGCAGCGCCTCTTTCAGCGGGGCTTCTCACACAAGCACAAGCTTTCCCGTCTCCTCAATCAAGCTCTGACGGAGAGCGCTTGTCCACACCCGCCGAGTTCCTCCCAGATATCAGCTCCCCAAGCCCTAAACGGAAGCGAGTCGCGACACTATTTGAAGTTGCTGCACAGCATCATCGCCGTGTAAGGCAACGAGGTGGCGAGGCTGTATCACAATTAATGGCCCCTGCCCGACCTCTATCTTCGTCACAGAATCTCCAAACACTCAGAGTGAAACGCGAACCAGAAGACGATAGTCCACTTCTCCCAACCCTTGATCGACTGGTTTCCCATAGGGCTCGCTCTGCATCCATTGGAACAAGCCTACACCGTCCTGGCAGTACACGCAGTGCACGCGCAACCCCGGCTTTAAACGCAGATCCTCAAAAGCGCGCTACAACACCAAACCTATTCTTGAGTTCTACTTCCCGGCGCAGCTCGCAGGTACTACCACAATCCCTAGCCCCGACAACAAGTGAAGAAAAGACGTCTACCCCTGCATGTCCACCTAAGAGCTCCGAATCCATCATCGCGGAGAATAAAAACCTAATCACACGCACTATTCTCACATGTATGCGTCTTTATGGATTCCATCGCTCGAATGCACGATCGTCATCAGGGAAATTTGCATCTGGGGCAGCGGGCCCAGAACCTGAATCGGTATCAACTGAAGGGCTACGCGCAGAGACTCCCGCTCCAGGTGCGCAGGCTGATGATGATGAGTTTAAGGCAATGTACCATGCCACATACAAAGCCGCAGCTTTTGCGCTGCGCAAGTACTTGAAGGAGTCCATGGCGGGTGCTGGCACCACGCCCATTCTATTGGAGAAAGAGAAGGCCATGACTTGTATTGATGAATTACTTCGACTTTTTTGCGAGGATCATTGAGGGGACTCTATCTAATTTATGACTTATGATCTGATGATGCATTTGTTGGTTCGGGCGTTTAGGTCAATGGTGCATATGCATGTCTAGTTTAGAATCTATTTGAGCAACTTCATATTCACTGTCGCATTCGTAGTCACTCCGAGGTTTCAGACCTGGTGTTTCTATTATAATATGGTTAAGCTCCCTTGAAATGTAGATATTGCGAACCTGTAGACCTATAGGTTTACTCCGTACCAGGTCCCTAGACAGAATTAAGGATGAAGCTGTGGGTATCCAAGCATTCTACGGCTTAGTTCAATGTATATCACAGTAAGGGGGACAGATCGCCATAAAGTATAGCCAATTCCATCATGCTAGCTAAAGCTCCAGCCAAACGGCCAGAGATGCGAAGAAACACCAGAAAGGATCATAAGATGGGCGCGTAAAGTACAGTCAAGCCAAACCGGTATACCAGGGTGTGTGATGGTAATCACAGAGCAAGATTGTAGGTGTAGTCATCCTCGATATTCTGCGACACCCACAAGACAACAGAGCTATAAATTCATTAGCATATACGAAAAAAAGGGAATCAAGGAAAAGTTAACGAACCTCAGCATAACCAATCCATTAGCCACAACATTCGCAATACCAAAGTAAAGCGTCTGGAAAGGATAATCCTTAATAAGATACTTGAGCACCATAACAGTCTAATAATTGTTAGTCACCACAATCACAACTTGATCCCAGTATTCCCCAACATCTGAAGATGAGAATACATACCACACTCCCTGCAAGACCACCCGCCAAGAGCGCGAATCCCAAAAAGAGCACAAAGCGCGCCTTCCATGCAACCCCGCTCCCACTATAACTAAAGCTATCGGCCTGCAGTCTGGACTTCTCAATCGAGTTGATGACCAGCATTCCGAGTGCAGAGCAGATACCCGGAATCCAATCCACGAACTTGATGTGTACGTCTGAGCCATTGCGGGGGCTATGCGAGAAGGACGCTACATCAATAAGGAAGAAGAATCCGGCAGCGAACTGTAAATCCCCATTAGTATCAGTCTTACTCATAAATATAATGCCTTTGTCTGTGCTGGTATTGAACCCCGAATGCGATTAGGCTGACGCGGGCGGCGAGGACTTACCAGTGCGCCGGAGATATAGACACCTGCGTTACGGACGGCGGCGTTGTTGAGCCACTCGGGCTTGGAGAAGCGGAATAGTCTGTTGCTTGAAACGTCCATTTTGAGACGCGAATGTTGATGTGGATGGGAGCTCAGCCTGAGGGTGAAGCTGTCCGGGTCCAATGACGACGTGTCGGAGAAATATCGGGCCGCTTACTCGGGGAATGTACTACGATCCTGCATACTATGAAGGTCATTTATTTCGAATAAGTCAGAGGTTAATACCTAGGATCATTGATTGATTGATAGCATGATTCTAGATTATTCTCTAGGCACCGGCGGTCAGTTCGATCTTGGGGCTTCAAGTTTCAGTGCTCTTGCTGTATATTCAGGTTATACATAGTGGGTTACATATACCTAATGATGTAACTTGAACCGGGCGGATGATCTTGATGGGTGTATACTTACTACATAGTAGGCAACACCTGAATTTGAAGTTTGAACCTGACATCCGAGTCTGGATTATCCGAGGCAACGAAGTTCTAGAATTTATGTATTTCTGATAACTTTAAATGAAAGCCTGAAGTGCATAATTCGTCTTATCTCATAAATGATGTACGCGGCTTCCCAGGCAACCAAAATAAGCTTGGAGAGCCTCTTCTAGAGTCCCGTTCTGGAATCTCTTCCTATGTACATGTGAGATCAAATCAATTTTGTCTGCCTGATAATGACGCGTCGAACAAAAACGCCAAGCTCGAAAATCATATCTCGTGTGCACACCAGGTTGCTGTGTGGGTGCCAACACAGGCTTGACCCGGTGGTCTTCTATAGAGTGATCCGTTGTTCTAGCGGTACGCCGGAGCGGGAAGTTCTCAACACCTCTTGGAGGTATTGCGGTGCAATGAATTGTGGTAAGCAGTTGCCTGCTCTCATGTATGCAAGTGCAACATTACTGCCTATTCGTTCATGCAGAGTCAACAACGTGCGAGCGCAGCTTATCCATGATAGTATCCACTGCTTCCATATCACCGGCGTCAACATTCTCGGTTGAATAACCTTCAGGCAGATGCTTGATCAATTCATTGAGGGAGGGCTGGTAGTTGCGCACGGCCGAGGAGATGGCATACACAGCCTTCTTGCGAGTTGCCGGGTTCGAGTCTGTGGTAGCAACCTTGACAAGCTTGGGGATCGCATTAAGAACGATGAGCTATACAGATAAGAAATTAGTTTGTTTTTCTTCAAGGTGGGGTAATTTTTTTTTTCTTAGTATAGCACTTACCTTATCCTGAGCCTTCTCATTGTTCTGCACAGCAGTTCCGATACACCATGCGGCATAGCGGCGCATATCCGCTTCCTCATGCGCCAGCAACTGAACCAGTGGAGTCCACAGACCCATTGGTTCGAGGTTATTGGCGTTGTCAATGCCCTCAATGAGTTGTTCAAAGTTGTCGAACGCAATTAATTTGTTCTCGAGGTCTGATTCGTCGGAGTGCAGAACTTCCATGGCAGCCTTCATCAGATCCGCATCGGAGGGTCCTCCCATAAGCGCATTGATCATATCAGGCGTCAGGTTGCGCGAGACTTGTTCCGTAGTAGGAGGGGCAGTGAGGGAGCCATCTTCGTTTTGTTGTTGAGAGTTCTGGACACTCCATTTGAGGAGCTTGTTCATTTGAGGATCCATGTTGTTTGTTTTTTTATGACTTTGCGACTTGCGAATGTAGCTGTAATGGTATGGTCAAAGGCAGATCTCAGATATTAAATGTTGCCCAAGAATAACTACTTTATCGTTTGAAGATAATTATCTAATCGAACCCACTGGATTATTCTAGCATAAATCATGTGACCATATCATGTGACTTGCCACACCGTCTCTTAGATTTCCTTGTTCCTTGGTTAATTAGCACTCACAATGGCGCCAATTGGCTTCAACCAGGCTCCAATGGGCTCCAATGGCTTATTACCTGGTTGGTTCAAAGTGGCGGTAACCAGCTTGCGTACCCCGTAAGGCCCCAAAGGACACATTGCATAGTTGGGGGCCATAAAGCCTTTCAATGTAGTTTAGTATCCATTCTTGTGATTCTATTGACACTCTCAATACAACTAGTAGTACCTACCCGAGTACGAGTACTTTTAAAGCTCGTTTAATGATGTAAATGTACCCCTGAAGTACCGTTATCGGGTCAATTCACCAGTTCTATACTTAGAAATGACCTACTCCCATCTTCCCCGCCACGGGCGTCAAGGACATATCTCCGAATGTAGACGCCTAGGAATTGGGTATCGATAACCCCATCAACCATAGTTTAGAATATCTCAGTCAGATTCAATTCCTCATAGGCATCCTCATTTTAGTGTAATTTGAGAGGTGGAATCCGGAATAATTAGGAATCTCCCCCTAAAAGGGTCTGGAGGCTCTCTCAAGTGCCCCACGATGTCCAAAAAGGAAACAATTAATATCATAAGAATTAGTGGAATAATCCATAGATATCATAATGATCATATTTCTGCCTAGCTATGTAGTAATTTGTTTATTTTGAAATATAAAAAAAAGAGATATGGAGGAAGTAAGAGTCGATCACTTGGGGGGGCTTAGTCGAGACCAATTGTTGCGCACACACCGTCCCAGTCCCAACCATCACAAACCCTCCCCTCCTCTCCACTTCCCTCCCTCCTTCTCCTTCCTCCCTTTCCACCTCTCTCTCTCTCTTCTCTTCCCCCCCCCCCATATAACTTCTTCCCCCAATCTTCCATTTCGTTTCTTTTTTAGTCTATCTTCATTTCAGCCATCACAATGGAGGGTTAGTATTTCCCCCTTATTTTCTTTTATCTTGTTGTGGCCACATCACCCGCTTGACTCTTAACCCCTCAAACTGTCATGAGGGAGAGCTGGGCACCTTGCTGCCTGGACCTCACCACCTGAGATATCACACCTCATTCTCATCAACTATGATTGCTAATACATTCATCTATAGAGGAAGTTGCTGCTCTCGTTATCGACAATGGGTATGTGATGAATTGCTTGCTCGTCGGGGGAGCTGGGGGCTGTGTTTTGGGGCGTCAACGGCCCCGGTCGCGGTTCATTCCATCATCCCCCCCTATTCGCTCACCCCGACAATTTGAGTCTCAATCGCAGACTCAACCTCCCTCCAGCGCCCCCATCGAGCAGCAATTATACAATTCTACATTCTCTGAGAATGATTTACTGATGATTTATCTAGTTCGGGTATGTGTAAGGCCGGTTTTGCCGGTGATGACGCCCCCCGAGCTGTCTTCCGTAAGTACAACCCCACAAGAACGAGGAGTCTTTCCTCTCCCCCTCCTCCTTGCGAGCCATCCCGCCAACCCTTGCGTCCGGTGGTATTCGCCGATGTCTCCTCAACCTTGAAATTCCAAAAATAGCATAGGAATCATGAGATTGGAAATGTCGAGAAAATTCAATTTTCCTTTTTACTGACCATGTGATTAGCTTCCATTGTCGGCCGTCCCCGTCACCATGGGTAAATATTCCTTACTTTCTCCAAGTATTGTCTCAACAATCGTTGAGCCAACTCTGCCAAAGAAGATGAATACTAACTCCTCTCAGTATCATGATCGGTATGGGTCAGAAGGACTCCTACGTTGGTGATGAGGCACAGTCCAAGCGTGGTATTCTTACCCTGCGCTACCCCATCGAGCACGGTGTTGTCACCAACTGGGACGACATGGAGAAGATTTGGCACCACACTTTCTACAACGAGCTCCGTGTTGCTCCCGAGGAGCACCCCATCCTCTTGACTGAGGCTCCTATCAACCCCAAGTCCAACCGTGAGAAGATGACCCAGATCGTTTTCGAGACCTTCAACGCCCCCGCTTTCTACGTCTCCATCCAGGCTGTTCTGTCCCTGTATGCCTCCGGTCGTACCACTGGTATCGTTCTCGACTCCGGTGACGGTGTCACCCACGTTGTCCCCATCTACGAGGGTTTCTCTCTCCCCCACGCCATCTCCCGTATCGACATGGCTGGTCGTGACTTGACCGACTACCTGATGAAGATCCTGGCCGAGCGTGGTTACACTTTCTCCACCACCGCCGAGCGTGAAATTGTCCGTGACATCAAGGAGAAGCTTTGCTACGTCGCCCTTGACTTTGAGCAGGAGATCCAGACCGCTTCCCAGAGCTCCAGCCTGGAGAAGTCCTATGAGCTTCCCGATGGACAGGTCATCACCATTGGCAACGAGCGTTTCCGTGCTCCCGAGGCTCTGTTCCAGCCTAACGTTCTGGGTCTTGAGAGCGGTGGTATCCACGTTACCACCTTCAACTCCATCATGAAGTGTGATGTTGATGTCCGTAAGGATCTGTACGGTAACATTGTCATGGTATGTCATCCTTTTTCTATTCCCACTACTTGATTGACCCCTCACTAACTATTTTAACTAGTCTGGTGGTACCACCATGTACCCCGGTATCTCCGACCGTATGCAGAAGGAGATCACTGCTCTTGCTCCTTCTTCCATGAAGGTCAAGATCATTGCTCCTCCCGAGCGCAAGTACTCCGTCTGGATCGGTGGTTCCATTCTTGCTTCCCTGTCCACCTTCCAGCAGATGTGGATCTCCAAGCAGGAGTACGACGAGTCCGGTCCCTCCATTGTTCACCGCAAGTGCTTCTAAGCTATTTGATTACATTGATCGTTTTCGCTCGTACTTTCCTGGTGTATTAAAAGGCCGGATGGAGGCACTGGTGGATCGCAAGCGTTGTTGGACTCGCATTACCAAGCGGATAGCCTGAAAATGGAAATCTCGATTTTAGTGGAATAGAGTCGGTTGTTCTTTTTTTTCTCACCTTACTCACCTTACTCCCCCCTTCAGGTGCTCTTTTTTTCTCCTGTGCTTTACCTCATCCTGTCTCCTATCTCTTGTCACTATTTTTTTTTTTCGAACTGTGCTTTGTCGTGAGCCTCCGCCCCTCCGAATGCTCTTATTTCTTTACAAAAACGCCCGGCGCGTTATTGGCGCCTCGGTCGGTGTAGCTGAGGATGTGTGTACATGGAGTTGGCACCGGACGCGTTAGCCTTTTCTGTTATGTTCTAGCCTTATGAGTTGTATCTCCGACCAAATTGTCTTGAGCTATGATCCTGAGTACTTGTAGTTGCTACCTAATGGCATTCTATTAAGGGAGCTCCAACTGTAAAATGTAAATGCACATGTGTATGGATGCTGTTCACTGGGTGCTTTATAGAGTACCTCCTACTAGGTACTATATAGTACCTAGTATCTATAGTAATTGTAGAGACCAGCCAAGATTCTACTAAGAATCTACCTGGGTAGCTATTGATGCAAGTCACAACGTACTGAGTCGAAGCCATAAAGCTCAAACAACTTGATGCTAGTCGTAATAACTTGAAATTGAATTATTCACAAATTGACTCCTAATTCTATCCATCATAGTACACATGTGCATAAAATAGCTCAAATCTTTCTCCGATAAGCCAATCTTCCATGAAAGGTGAAGTTACCAGCGCCAGCTCTAGCCCTAATCCCAGTAATACTCAAGTGTTGCAGATGCTTAAGCAGTAACATCAATATTAAAAACCCCAACCCACTCACAAGACTCAGGATATCCCTCACTAGTTGTGCATTGTCAATCATCTCCAGAAACAGTATTCTGACCCGCCTCAGTACCATCAGCCCTGGAAACTCGTAGAACGAAGTCCTCGATATCATAGATTCCGTCAGGGAAGTTGACTTGGTATGCTGGGTTGGAGCAGTTGAATAGGAGTGTTCCTGCTTCGCCGTTTGCCCTATTCAGTATTAGCATCTATATTCATATTCATATTCATATTTACATTCAACTTGAGGTTGAGGTTGAAGAGTTTCCAAGGTTGTTTATAAGATCAGGTGGTGGTGATGGTGTTAGGGACATACCAGACAACATCACAATCCGTAGCAACATTTGTGTTTGGATCATTCAATGTAAAGCCGACATTGTATTGAGTTGGTAGACTCTCACTGTATAGAGCTCCGAAGAAGTTACTCAGTTCCAGTGGTTGGATGGCACGCTTGAAGCGGCCATGGCGCTGGTAGCAGCTAGGAGGGTGATGAAAGTGGATTCCATTATGATCAACGGTATTGGATTGAGATTGTGATACTCAAGTTGTAAAAGGTGGATTATTGTTATGAGACTAGACGGTATTAGCAGTTCTTTTATACATCGATTTGATATACCAGTTCTGAGTCCTCAGATGCTGTTCGTAATTGAGAGTAACCGTTCGGCGTGTAGATCGCATGACTTAAACACGAAGTTACATCAATTCTCTGCAACGAAGCTCATACTTCACAAATCAAATGCTCTATCTGGAGAATAAGTAGGGTTCATGTGGATCGCTGGACGCCTTTGCCGGCGGCCTCACTACTTACCGTGGTTCTTACGATCAAAAGGAAGATTTAGAGTGGTTAGGCCCCCAGCCCTATACTGGATTACACAGCCCCGGATTCTACTAGTAAGGTTCCGAGTAGTATTTTTAGATATAAGGGATTCATTCAGGCACTGAGTAGTATTGAATTACTCAGATATTCTGGGGTCGGGATCCATGGATTAGTTGGTCATGCACTTAGAGATGCTATACTAGTACGTACTTGAGCGCATTGTGCATCAAGCTCTGGAGTTCGAGTCGTCCCAAGGTTTTCTTTGTAATGGGTAGTGATCTCCAGCTCAAGCGCACCTGTGGCAGTAGAACACCTGGGCATATACTCAAGTGCTAACACATGCTATTTTGATGATCATGCATGTGTATACTAGTAGTAGATAGTAGTGCTATGAGACTATAAAAAGACGGATCATTTTCAACGAAATTCATTGCTGGATAATTCGGGAGTATATATCATGTCATCCATCATACAGGATCAGCATCAGTCATTTAGGACTCATCCATTTTGTTCACCTTTCAAAGGTAGAGAAAAACAAAGAAAAAAAACAAGAAGATATGCAAAGAGAAAAATTGGGGGAAATCAAGTTAGACACCTTATTTCAGGTGAACTCATGCCCAGGACTCCAAACCGCTAAGAACGCAGCCCTCCTCACCCTCAGCACGGGCACGGAGAGTACCAATGGTGTAAACATCCTCGCCCTTAGCCTCAAAGGTCTGGCGAATAGCATCCGCAGAAGCAGGGTCCACGGCAATGATCATACCAACACCACAGTTGAAAGCGCGAGCCATCTCAGCAGCGGAAACGTTACCAGCACGCTGGAGCCAAGAGAAGACAGATGGCTGGGCCCAAGTGCGGACGTCAATGTCAGCGGTCAGGGTAGCGGGCAGCATGCGAGGAACGTTCTCAACCAGACCGCCACCGGTGATGTGGGCAAGACCCTTAATGGCGGTGGGGTGAGCGGCAAGAGCACTCAGAATAGACTTGACGTAGATACGAGTAGGAGTAAGAAGGGCACGACCCAGGGAAACTTCACCCTCCAGGCCGGGCATGGTGAAGGGAGCGGGGTCGGAATAGCTCAGACCAGCACGCTCAACGATCTTACGGACAAGAGAGTATCCGTTAGAGTGAGGACCGGAGGAACCCAGAGCAATGAGGACATCGCCGGGACGCATGGCATCAGTGTAAGGGAGGATCTGGCGGGCGTACTCGCCGCTGGTGTTGATAGCACCAACGGCAGCACCAACGGCATCGTAAGTCTCATCGACGAAGAGACCAGGCATCTCAGCAGTCTCACCACCGATCAGGGCACAGCCGGCTTGCACACAACCGTCAGCAACACCAGTGACGAAAGCAGCGGCAGTAGGAACGTCCAGGTGACCACAGGAGTAGCAGTCGAGGAAGAAGAGGGGCTCAGCACCCTGGACAACCAGGTCGTTCACGTTCATGGCGACCAGATCAATACCAACGGTGTCGTGGATACCGACAGTGTGGGCAATCTTAAGCTTGGTACCAACACCATCGATGGCACCGATAAGAGTAGGGGCGTGGGGGTGGTATTCGGGGTTGGCAGCGGCCAGAGAGAAGAGACCTCCGAAACCACCGATGACGGCATCAGTACCGGGACGCTTGGTGCGACCAACGGAAGCCTTGATGCGGTTCACGAGCTCGTTACCGGCATCGATAGAGACACCAGCGGCGGCGTAGGTAAGGGAGGTGTCGGCGGCAGTCTGGCGGAAAGCACGGTGGGCAATGTCCTTGCGGTAGAACATGCCATCGAAGTGGATAGTAGAGATACCCTCGTAGCTCTTCTTAACAGCCTCCTCAAGAGTGGCAGCAGTGGCGGTAGAAGCAATGACACGACCGCCGGAAGTCTGCAGCTGGTTGCCAGACAGAGTGGTACCAGCGTGGAAGATAATGGTGCCCTCAGCTGTAGCGTCCAGGGTGATGGGGGTGCCCTTAGCGTAGGAACCGGGGTAGCCACCGGCGACACCAATGACAGTGGTAGAGTAGTTGGGCTCGACCTTGACGGAGACACCATCCAGCCAGTGCTCGGTACAGGCGACCATGATCTGGGCAAGATCGGTGTCCTTGCTCAGCAGAGGCAGCAGAGTCTGGGTCTCGGGATCACCACCACGGACATTGTATTCAAGAACCTTGGGGCCGTTCTTGGTCATCATCAAGCCGGTGAACAGGATACCAACGAAGGGGAATCCGTCCTTACGCATGCCATCAATTGAGGGCTGGATGATGGTTCGGTCAATCTCCTCGCGCACTTCCTTAGGAGCAATGCGGGTGGGGGCGTAGCAGCCCATACCACCAGTGTTGGGACCCTGGTCACCATCGAAGATGCGCTTGTGGTCTTGCGCAGGGGGCAGAGAGCGAATGGTGTAGCCATCACTGAATGTGAGAATGCTCAATTCGTCTCCCTCGAGGCACTCCTCGATCACTACCTCATCACCAGCATCGCCGAACTGGTGGTCCAGCATCATCTCCCGAAGGGCCTTGTGAGCTTCCTCCTTGGTGGTGGGGAGAACAACACCCTTACCACCAGCCAATCCTGAGGCCTTGATAACAACGTCGTGGGATACGGAGTCGAGGTAACGGCAAGCGGACTCGTAGTCGGAGAAGTTGCCAAACTCGGCAGTGGGGATGTTGTGGCGCTTCATGAAGTCCTTGGAGAAGGTCTTGGAGCCCTCCATGCGGGCAGCAGCCTTGGAAGGACCGAAGCATCGGATACCAACTATCAAAGGAGAGGAACTTTTTAGTATAACTGTGAAAGACCAGGCCAAAACTGGATAGGATGGGAAAAGTAGAGCTTACCGGCCTGGAAGTATCCTTGAATGCCGTCGACGAGGGGAGCCTCAGGACCCGGGACAACCAAGTTCACATCATTCTTCTGAGCAAAAGCAACCAATGCAGGGTAATCATCACCCTTGACATCAGCGTTGGCGATCTTGCTGGAGCCAGTAGCGGTACCACCGTTTCCGGGGGCGACATAGACGATGTCGACGAGGGGAGATTGGCTCAGCTTCCAGGCGAAAGCATGCTCACGGCCACCATTGCCGACAATGAGGATACGCAATTGTTCTGAGGCCATTTTGATAGCAGTGTCTTTACTGACTATGGGTTGGAAGTTAGCAGTTAACAATCTGTGGGAGTCACCGCGGGGTATATGAATGCCCCTCCATGAATGGAGAGAGAAAGATATTTTGGGATCGAGTATAGGGTACCAATTGAAGAAGAATAAAAAGAAGAAGACAATCAATATGAAACTCACCTCTATTAAAGCTCAGAAAACCACTGCGGGGGAAATGGATAGGGCATAGAAAGTGTGACTCGATATGCCCCAGTGCAGTCTTTTTTTTTCTGCCTTGTTTCTCCGCTGCGATAAACTCTGTAAGCCGCATCCGACTACGGAGCATCAATTTACGTATAGGTACTAGTGTGCATAACATTTAAAAGAGGAAAAGAAAGGATATCATGATAAACTAAATAGTCATCATTCATATATATACGATTGTAATGTTATCTCAAGTTCCAATGTTTCTAGTTGAGTAATACTTATTCTTCAATGGCTTGACCAACCAAATTTAGTATAGCTCTATGAAGAAAACAGCATTATTGTGGTATATAAGAACATATGAACATTGAATAACAACTTAAATGCCCTATCAGAGTAATAGAATTAGGTATTGTAATAAGATGCGTTCTTTATTCCCCATGTTATACCTTATAATTCAAGTTTTCATCGTGATGCTTAACATTTAAACTAGTTAACTTGTGCTGATAGACACCATACTTATCAGGCACCCAGAAAAAAGACAAAAACAGAAAGCGGTAACGGGTTTGACGACGCGCCAAAACTCGATTTATGCTCGATTCTGCCAGTTTTGTCTTCTGATTATCGTCAATCTCCGACGATTTCTTTTCGTCTTTGTTTCTACCTGTTTTTCTTTATAATCGTCACTTTTCTCCCTGCCTGAATGCTGCGCACATCGCTCCGAGCGGTCGCAGACCCTCTCCGAAGCCATATCTGTCTCTCCTGTATAGCTCGCCGACAAATCGCGCCGGTTCCCCTGCGACAATTTCACCGTATACCTGCGCTGCGCAGTGAAGCAATCGAGAGCAAGCCGGAATTGCCCAATGTCATTGGAAATAATGGATCGGATATCCCAGTACCTAAGACAGAGGAGGCAAGCAAGGTATGATTATATGATTAATCTTCAATTGGCGCATAGCAGGGCATTAGAAGGCTAACAGTTGATCTCTTCAGGATGTCTCGCAGGAGCAGCAATCGGATGGCGATAACACAAACGTCGAAGGAGGCTCCCCTCAGTCAGAAACCCGAAGAGCCGATGGGCGGGAAAGATCTAAAGGAAAAGCACGAGCAAGAGAAAGGCAGCGCAGATCGAAGAAAACGAAAAACGCCGAGGAGGCTAAACAACAGGAAGGACTTCAAGAATTCAAGCCCGCCAATGAATCCGAAGGAGTCAAAGAAGATCAGTCGAACGCTTTCGGCAGCGGCATCAAGAACTCCCCCGGCGCCCGGCTGCTGAATGATTTATTTAACAAGCAACCCACATCCACATCCACATCCACATCCACATCCACATTCACACCCACAGCCCAAGCCCCAAAGGAGAGAGCCAGCAAGTCTTCCATCTCACATCTGAGTTCATTCATCAAGGTGAAGGAAACCGGTAAAATAGATTTGCAGAATGACAAATTAGAAGGTAAGCCTGAGTCCTGCCTGTCAAGTGGAATAACCCTAACATCATACAGCACTGGATGTTCCACAACCGCCTGTGCCAGGGCTAGCATTTGGACTTGACAGAGTCCTTTTCAAGTAAGATCCATACCGATCCTCCCAAACTGGATCGTTAATTAACATTTCCAGCCCCGGTGTCTACCAATTACGTGACCCTCGGTCTCGCGTCTACAACTTCGACCCCTACCTCGGAAACATCATGCCAGTCACCGAATTCGATTTCGATACCTTGAAGGAATACATCACCTCATCCAGAGACGAGACCCTCCGCGAAACCGCCATCAAGCACGGAAAGAAATACGCCGGGTCTTCCTCTAGTATGACTACTGTTCTCTCTCAATTCCACTACCTCCTCTCCGCCTGGCGTGGCGTGGACACCCGCATGATCTCCCAAGGATTCCCAGACAAGTTACGCACATTTACCCGTCTGCTCCGTGCACCAGCTGCGATGTTCCTACACTACCAGGATGGTACATACGCGATTGACGCAGACAAGGAATTCGATTCCGCGAACATCCTCATGAACCTTGGTAAATCCATGGAGAAGATGCTCACGATGCCCAAGGAAGAATACGAACGATACCGTCGTTCGCACGAGAACAAGATCACCGCAGAGGAAGAAAACGCCGTTCCAGAATCCTACCATTTCTCCACTCTGGGCGACTTCATCATGCGTTCCCAACTAGACGCCCATGATCCCCGTCTCCCCGGAACAGGAATGTTCGATCTAAAGACCCGAGCCGTAGTCTCGATCCGAATGGATGCCCAGAACTTCGAGCACGGTCTAGGCTACGAGATTAAGGATCGATGCGGTGAATTTGAGTCCTACGAGCGCGAATACTTCGATATGATCCGTGCCGCGTTCCTCAAATACTCATTGCAAGTTCGTGTGGGACGTATGGATGGAATTTTCGTCGCATTCCACAATATCGAACGAATCTTCGGATTCCAATACATCAGTTTACCTGAAATGGATCAAAGTCTTCACGGTACATCCGATACCACACTCGGTGATACGGAGTTCCAACTGAGTATCAAACTCTGGAACGAGATCCTCGATAAAGTCACTGCTCGATTCCCTGAACAATCTCTTCGTTTACACTTTGAGACTCGTGATGCCGTTACTCCATTCATGTATATCTTCGCTGAACCGGTATCCAAGTCTCAGATCCAGACTATTCAATCAAAGAATAAGGATAAGATCGAAGCATACCAGCAACGACTTCTGAACCTTACCCCGAAAGAAGGAGATGCTGATCTGGATGCTCCTATGACTGATGAAGCCGAGTCTCCAGTTACAGCTCCGGAAGAAACTGCGGAAATAGAGCCAGTCGAGCGTTCACTTTTCGCTATGGCGTTATCTGTGAAGAACTTCGTTAATGGGAAAGAGGTTGCTAGACCGGAGAATCTTACCGCGAGCGATGAGTGGACTATTGAGTACGAGCTTAATGAAGTCTCGGCGAAGCAGGGTGCTACTCTGTACAAGATGTGCCAGACGAGACGACAGAAGGCGTTGGATGTTCGTGGTGAGGACGAGGTGGATGTTGCGCAGAATGTTTACATTCGCCGTTTGAGAAACATTAGTAAACTTGGTCGCAAGCACCGTGAGCAAGAGAATGAGTTGGACAATGAGGCTGGGGTCGTGACATATGGTGAGAAGTGATCACGATCATGATCATCTCTGACTGAAAAAGAGAGTGTGTGTGAGTGAGTGTGGTTTCCCCTGGGACTCTTATCTACATCATCTACCTACCTGGATAGTGTGTAGTTTGATCTCCCTTTGTATATTAATAGAAGCATCCTGTGGGATTTGTATCTTATGGCTGGGTTTGGTTTTATCCAGGTTATCTATTTGGCGTCAATGCATTCAAATTGGTGTTGATTATACCTCTCACTAGATCTTTACTAAATTGAGCCCTGGAGTACTAGTATAGCCCTAGACTAGTATATCTCTTCAAGTTCGAAGACCTTTACCTCTAACACACATGTACACTGCCATCTACTAGTAAACTTGAATCTAGAGCTGTGCGCTATCAAATGGAGTTACATTCATGATCTCACTAATATTTTCTATATATATTAACGATTACCCATGCCAGTGGACCGAAAGCGTTAAGACAACCACCAAAACATTGAACGCAAGCAAACGCAAGGCATGAGAATTCAGTTCTGATCACATTCGGTTCATCATCACCAACAGTAATAGACACAGGAGTAAACAGAGTGATAACGCCGCAAATGCCAACGCCTATAATTTCAAATTAACCCAATCCATCCACCGACCAAACCGAATATGAGGGACGCCAGTTATTGGGATTCTTTTCAGGAGATGAGACGCTTGTAACAAAGATCAGGATGGGATGTTTGGCAAATGCCGGATGTTGGATGGGGGTAACGCCTGGAATGAACAGTTTCAAAACAAGAGATTTTATCTCAGGGTATCAGTGCCATTTATCGGCATCGTAAGGTGGGGAATAATGGGGAAAAGATTCACAAGGGTTGAGGTGGAATCCTATATATGAATCTTGAGAGGTAGAAGAGAATGGGAGGGGAGAAAACGAAGGGATAGACGTCCCAAAACTGTACACATAATATATGTACATCCCACATATCAGAACTATTTAAAGCTCTTGCAAGTCCAGCTTGGGTGGTGACCAGTCCAGCTGTGGGGGGGTTGTCATTTGAGACACATACGGGGCGTATCGACTCGACTCGACGGCGATCCTTCAAGGCACTGCCTGTGAGGAAACCTCTCAAAGCCGACGAGGCCATGCCGTAGCTGCTGCGCGCGCTACCAGCATTTGTCGAGGCAGTGCTCGAACTGCGTGCGCTGCGAACACTGCTCGCTTTAGTAACTGCAGGCGGTAGTGCAGGAACAGGTGCAGCTAAGCGAGCGGATGGGGTGGATGAACCATACTCAGATGGAAGGATCTGAGATCCACGTGCATGGGCGGTATGAGGCCGGAGATCAGGTTCACTCCTCATGCGATTTGCTTTCGCAGACAATTTTTTGGAAGACAGCTTCTTGATGATGGTTTTGGGCTTGGAGGGAGGCACCGCGGGTGGCTCCATAGGAAGCCGAATTGGTACAACAGGTTCCTCGGGAGGAGAGGAGGCGTGCACTTCATCTGCGGAAACGGCCACTTCGAACTTGAGATTATCCAACATAGTGCCCAAGCTGGCTGCAGTTGCAGGTCGCCCATCACTGGCACCGTCCTCGACATCAGAGTCCAAGATTCCGTGGGAGAGGTTGTAGTTACGAAGCAGATATCTCTGCAAACGACCAATTTCCGCATCCCATTTATGCTGCAAGGATTGTAGAACCAAGTCGACATTGGGGCTTGCGAATGGCGTCGAGTCCAAGGATGACGATGGTGAATGAGATGGCGTTACCTTGGCCGAGCGGTGATGGTGACTGTTCGATCCGCTTGAGCGAACACCCATTGCCGCATGTAGAGATCGACGAATCGAGTTTGCGGTGGAGCTTTGAACCTGACTGGCGTCCCAACGAACATTGTCAACCTCTCGGCGTACTCTGTCAAGTGACAGAGCCCGGTCTCTGTCCATGGGGAGAGGTGTAGCAATGTGCGGTTGCACTGAAGACCGTTCACCAAGACAGTGAAAGATTGAAGATTGATATCGTTGTTCTCACAGTGCACCTCACGCAGGGACTCATTATCTTCCAAGACGGATGCCAATGTATTCGCGCCTTGCAGTCCCAACTTTTGGTGTTCGATCCGGAGCACTTTGAGAGATTTGTTCTTTTTCAAGCCTGTCAACGCCAGGTTGAGCCCGATACCAAAACGTGCAACATCGAGGTGTGCGTTCTCGCCACTTATGTCCAAGGCTTCGAGCGTACTGTTCTGTTCAAACATGTGCTGCAATGCTTTACAAGTTTCCGGACCCGCATCATAGGGGAGCGATGCCTTAGAGATATCCAAATACCGGATCGTGGTGTTCTTCCGGAGTGCATCTACAAGCTGTCGGAAGTGCTCTTCCTTCTTGAAGTCAATCATCTGCATAGAGACATGAGTCGGGGTCAGGTTCTTCGCAATTGCTTCAAAGAGGTGAGAGCAGCCATTGTCCAGTCGGTTCTCATTAACATGCAAATGAAGACTGCGCGGAGCATCTGGTCCGATAGACATGGAATGCATAAACATGGCAACATCCTCTCCGCTGAGACCACACTGATCCAGTCGAAGCATGCGGAGATTCCGTGAGCAATCACTTGCGAGATAGGTTGCAATCGAATCAACGGTCTCCCGATTGACAGCTGTGCGGCTGAGAATCAATTCCTCGAGTTGCCAGTTAAATAGCATTTCAGCCGTGATGAGCGGGTCCGAGCCAGATGTGCGAGAGATGCGCGAGAGGTTGATCTTTCGGATCTGGCCAAAGTATCCAATGTACTGTTGCAGCACGTCCGGATTCAAGCGACCTTGAACTCCTGAAATGTTGATTACCTCGAGAGTAGATTCCTGCGCGACCAGAGTGGATAATAAGAGATCCAGGTCGTGTACTGACAGTCCACAATCCCCAACCTCCAATGCACGCAGATGACTTTGGCTCTGTGAAGCGGCATCAACAAGATAGTCTAGATCAGATTCTCCAAGCTTGATACCGTTCAAAACCACCCAATCCACATTAGTCATTTCACGTCGGCAGACAGGGAAAATAGCCTCGGGGATTCCACATCCTGGGTCCCGACTACCCTTGTCCAAAGTTGGTGTTCGAGTCAGGCAGTAAGAGAAATCCAGTCGGCGGAGCCACGTACTCTTGAGTGCCAATGCGCGCACCTCCTGTGACAGAACAGTCAGATTGCCCTGGCCGGTAATCTGCACGAAACACCCAGCCCTATCAAGATGAACATCGGGATCCACGCCGTGCATATCGCGAATTCCCTGGATTGCATCCAGGTTGATATTACGAAATGAGATCGACCGGAATGATTCATTGTATCGAAGGGCGCGCATCACAGCAATCAACTCCAAGGCACTATACCGTGAAGTTTTGGTCGATGCGGGTCGGAGAAGACGGAAACACGGTGCATCTTCACAATCCAAGTCAATGGTATAGCGGATGTTGGAAGTATCGACATCGTAACTGGCCGAGTATGCCACCAGCGTTCTATCAAAGCAGCCGTAATCCTCATCCAAAAGAGCAAGAGGGAAGTTGTCGGAATTATGTAACTCGGGTGGCACGACGAAGTCATACGGTTGTCGAGTCCACAACGGGCGCAGGAACTCGGTATGTTGCCGGATCCAGCAAGCAATCTCGACCGAGTGAACCGAAGCCAAGAAAACGTTGAATGACTTTCGCAGGGGTACCCTAGATGTATCAAGTAAGCGAAAGGGAGCTTATGAAGACGACGCATATACAAGGGCAAAGTGAGAGCGGAATTATGACTAATTTGAACGCAAGAGATATCATACCGAAATGTTAGATGTAGACTATCATCTCCATATTCCATCGATAAGCCAGTCAAGTTCATTAATCCGAACGAAGTGGTAGTTTCGAGATCAGAAAGAGAGACCACCGAGGGTCGATTAGCCGCCTTCTGCATTGGGATCAAATGAACCTTGTGCAGACCAATTGCCAGGTAACAACCCGTTGGGGAAAGCTTGGTCAGATCATCAGAGGACGAACGTGTTGGCGACTTGCTCGACGCAATCTGTATGACGCGGAACATTCGGAATGAAGTCGGATCGTAATCTCGTTCGTGCTCCAACATCCTGGTTACATACTCCACTGCTCCACGGTCGAACGGTAGCGGGTCGTTCGACCGTGATAACTGCGCCGCCTGACGAATACCCACCATCCAGAGATTCAGTTCTTGAGGATCGGGTGTTTGCATCTGGATCAAAGATGCTTTATGCGTGCGCTCATCCAGATAAGCTACTTCAACTGAGGGGGATAACCGTGCATCCTCCAACATATAAACTGCAATGATGCTATTCAGTGGGATTCCAGTCGGGACCTCGGTCGAGACCATCATTTGCATATCCTGCAAGGAGCTGATCGAGGCCACAGACTGACGGTGCGACGCCGGAGCACGGGCGTTGAAAGAGGGCGGAATTGAAGGGAAGGCCTCCGTAGCCTTGCTTTGATTCTTGAAACGGACAAGATGCGTATCCGTGAGGACGAGGTATTGACTTTTCCGCTTCCACATGCCACCGGTGATCTGGATGTCACCATAATGGAGGATTGACGAAGACCAGATCCCATTCCGCGGATTAAAGACGCTTTGGTCGTCGCCCAGCGAACCAACCGAAGCGCTGAGTGGATCGTCATCCTCTAGCGAGTGTAATGATTTCAAGGACCCAAACACCGAGGCCCGTTTCTTTTGGAGTGACTTTCGACGTGGTTTGGGGATTTCAAGTGTTGGGGTGGCAGCGGAGGTCATTGCTGCAGACCACGCCGCCGTGTCCGAACCTGCCGTACCAGGGCGACGTAGGACATTTGAGCCGCTTATTTTTCTAGTTGGACTCTGGGCCCGACTAAAGAAGCCGGAATTGCGGCGAGCTTTCTTCTCCTTCGTTAAGACACCATCGGATGGTGTGCGAGAATGGGAGGGACGAATTAACGGGGACGAGGTACTGGAGGATGGGCTAAACACGCTAAGACTTTTTCTTCGTTCCTTCTTGGTGAGGAAATCCGCCATGACGAGAGGGTAAAGAAGTGTTGTGAGAAAAGTTGATAAATCGAATCCGAATCCCAGAGGGGAGTGGAAAAAAAAGCGAAAGAAAAAAAAATCAATACAGAGAGACCGGTTATGAATGGCGCGAAGGTGGAGAGAAATGAGACTTTCTCATCGACGACCCTTCGTCCTTCTCACTATTAACACGCCATTAGTACTGAAAAGAAGAGGGTGAACAAGCAACAGAGAATGGAATCTCGACATTGGCGGGTAACGAAACTTGGTCAAAGCGGGGAAAGGGAGCATACGTACAACTTCAGGGCGCCATGGGAAGCAATTGGCGAGGGAATGAAAAGCAGCGAAAGCTGTATTAACAGAGAGAAGCAATAAAGCTCTTTTCTCACAGATGTCAACAATGTGGCGAGATTAGGAAATGAGATGGTTGCACCGGGGAAAGGTCGCCGGAAGGGGGGATTCCGGAACAGTTAATCCCCACACCAAAACGGACAATCTTAGTTGTATGGAGTAAGAAGATTTTGATTGAGAGAGAGAGAGATAGAAATGAGGTCAGAATTGTCGATCGAAAAATAAAATAAAATAAAGAGAGAGAGGGGGAATATGTGGGGGGAGGAGTGATCGAAAGCAGAAACAGTTCAGATGCGAGGAATGAGGGAAAAGACGAATGCAGTGATGCCAACTACCAGTAATAGAGAATGATGGCGAAATGTTTCAGTGAGATTCAGATATTTTTATAATAGAACTCGTAGAATTATAATTTATGATTCTCTTCTTTATTTCTATTTCTATTCCCATTCCCATTCTACCTTAATCCTCATCTTCTACTCCAGTACCGAGTATGGTCTTTGTCTACTCTTACTCTCCAGGGTACTTTGATCTACATATGAACTATTAATTCAGGATTTTGGTTTCTGCATTTCTCAAGATTCTTTCCCAGGGGATCGAATGGTCTCCGCCTCCCGGCCACGTAAGAGGCGTACTCCACTTGACCAGGGTAGATGCATCAGGAACTCCCGAGCCAAAATGGAGTACAGCATACTCGATACAGCTCATAACCCAGTTCAGGGGGTCATCTCCGAGAAAATGAGTAGTTTGTTCGTACGTAGATCTCATTTTCAGATAAATTGATCCAAGTCGATCCCACGATGGTCTGAACTTCCTACTCCGTAGTGAACGGGACTCGACGGATCCTTGGGCTCCACCATCTCCACGATCGACCACTCGCGCGCTCCACGCGCCATAATACTCCAGGGGTAAAATCGACGTCGGGGGTAATCCTAGACAAAAGAAATGCAATTCAATGGAGATCACATTAAGATCGACAACGCCACGGTGAAGCTTGAACACTCGGAAGCGGAGATACTGGAGAGAGTTGTACGGAGTAAATCCACTCAATCTCCATATCTGCGTCATTAGACTCCGTGTTCTTTCTCTCCACAAAAAGAGGGATGGAGAAAAGAAAAGAAAAAAAGGAAATGACAATCTGCTGTCACTCAGACTCCATTAGGGTATTCAAGTGGAGATTGATGTTATTGGCAAGGAATATACGAGAAGGCAGCGGGTGATCAACCGCAAGGCCCCAATGATGCAATTCTTTGCTTTACTCCGTACATCGTAGTAAGCTTTTTATGGACGCGTCCCTGATGCACGCTCGGCCTCTCTTCGTTCCGCTCGTTTGATCTGTCGAACCAGATCAATATACTCGGCCACTCTCCGCTCGGCCCAGATACATCCGCCAAGAGTCATGGCTGCAATCTGCAGGAAGACCTTGAATTGCGGTGTGAGACCACGATACACCCGTGATGTCGGTGAGATCCATTCTGAGAATCCTTCGATCGGGCGATGAAAGAGTCGAGAACGGAGATAATCCCGGGAGAATGGAGAAGGACGACGACGTGGTTGAGTAGCTTGTGATGGTGGAGTTGGAGTAGGTGCGGAGAAGATAAAAGGATGAGGAAGAATGAGAATCATATGGGCGAGTATAGAAACAGATCCAAACTAAAATTCTAGTCAGTTTTGAGTTTTCCAAGAGTATATGACAGTGCAGGGACTATGCAGAGACTATGCAGGAGTAGATCTGAAGTTTCAAGATTTGGAAAAGGTTAAACACATACACGGAATACACCGGTCATGAAGCCTTGGGCAGCTATTGATGTAATTTCCGCGGGGGGGCTCAATATCAGCCCGTTGATTTGATGGAGGTGGCATAATGGCTGCAATTGAGTGATTCCCAATGAGAATAAAGCAAGGCGTTCAAGTTTGTCGAGAATACCGCTTATCGAGTCAAGCGTGGGGGAACTGGAGGGGAAAGACTATAGCTTATAGCAGCGTGGTAAGAAAGCATACACAAAACACTGAATAGCGATGAATTGAGCAATTAAATTGTACTTCGTACAAATGTCAATTCTGGAACCAGCCAATTCATGCAGTAGAGCATGCAGAAAAGAATCTAGACAATTAAATCATGTAAAGATGTAAAGATGTAAAGCAGATCCCGAGTCCCCGTCATGGGATGGATCAACGATTCTCCCGCCCGCAATAATCCCGCGATAGCGACTCAGATAACACAGAAATCAGATTACAGATCACGAAAAAGATATTTCAATCCCTTCAATTTATACATAACATACAAAAAACAAAAAATGTCTCTCTCCGCTCGTACTGCTGTTGTGTCCCGGGTGACCAACGAGACCAAGATCCAGGTTTCGCTCTCCCTGGACGGTGGTGTTCTCCCACCTTACGATCCCACCACCCACTTCGCCGCCCCAACAGACCCCCAAGAAGCCGAAGCCGCCAAGAAGGGAATTGTTCCTGAGAAGGGATCCGGCCATGCGACACAGTTTACTCCTACCCAGCAGATCACCATTACCACTGGTATTGGGTTCCTGGACCACATGCTGCATGCGCTAGCCAAGCACTCAGGATGGAGTTTGGCGGTCCGGGCCAAGGGTGATTTGTTCAGTATGTTCCCCCACAATATCCAATCTACATCTAAAGAGTGTAATACTAACTTCTTTTTAGTCGACGACCACCACACAGCCGAAGATACTTTCCTCGCCCTCGGTACTGCTTTCACCAAAGCCCTCGGCGCACGCCAATCCCTCGCCCGCTTCGGTCGTGGCGATGCACCCCTCGACGAGGCTCTTTCCTGGGCTGTCATCGATCTGTCCAGCCGTCCTTGGGCTGTGATTAACCTCGGATTTAAGCGTGAGAAGATCGGTGATCTGAGCACAGAGATGATCACCCACGGATTGCAGAGCTTTGCGCAGGCGGCGGATGTGACCCTCCATGTTGGATGTACCTATGGTGATAATGACCACCACCGTGCGGAGAGTGCGTTCAAGGCGTTGGCTGTTGCTATTCGCACAGCTTGTGCCAGGAGAGTTGCTGGTGAGGTTGGCGCGGGTGATATTGTTAGCACCAAGGGTGTACTCTAAATGGGGGTATTGGGCAAATGGTTGTAGTTGTAGATATTATGAAAAGTTCGTATAGATATGAGTTTATGGTCAATGAGATCGTTTAACGATTATACTGTGGATGATATGGTAACTACTATCTAATTTCTATTGTCGGCCAGTAGTTCACAGGACAATTCAGAGTGTAGTGCTCTATCAAGGATATCCTCATTACCCATAAACAAAATAAAGATAAACATGACTCCAAATCGCAACTCCAAAGTACATCAAAGACCAGCTCTGATGAACCCAAAACAAAACCAAACTCCAACTCCAGTCAGAATGAAGCCCTAAGTCACGCTCAATTCAACAACCTTAACCCAATTCAACAACGAACAATCAAGCCAAAGCCTTAACAGCTTTTTGCCAATACGCTTTCCTATCACTCGAAGCCTCAGTCCCAACACACTCACTAATAAACCTCTGCCACCCAGACTCAGTGCCAGCCTTCAACGCAGTTCGAATATCCGCCGAACACTGCGTAGTCAGGAACCAAGCACCAGACCCAAAATCGTATGTCTCGTTATCACGGAGGAGATCAAGAAGATCAGCAGGACTGTTCTCAACAGCGGCGAGTTTATCCTTTAGGGCTGAGATGGAGGATGCGTATTTCTTGTTAAAAGTGGGAGATTGCATGTTTCGTGCTGTTACTATATTAGCTTTGTTTCTTTATCAAGTTTAACGTAGACCCAGGTTGAATGAGTAAGCTTGACAAGTGTATAGGATGAGGTGATATATACTTCCTTGGCCGGGGGTCCCAGGGAAATGATTCTTATTATACTTGAAATCCTCGCTCTCGAACGCCATAAGCCCAATAACAGCAGCCTGTTCAGCCTTGGAGGAGACTTCGTAAGTATTGAAGGACTGAGAGATGAACTTCGCGGCTTGGGAGGCTGTGGCACATTCGCCTTCAGCTGGGGGATTTTCGCAAGTATTTGATGTGGGCGCAATTTGGAGGATCTGAGCCTCTGTGAGGGATGTTTCTTTTGCGTGTTTAAGAGATGGGAGAGGGATAGCGGTTGTTGAGAGGGTTAAAGTGAGGAGGGTGAGGGATACTGCTTTGTGCCACATCTTGATGTTCTGGTGGATGTTGGATATTGGATATGGAGTATGAGATTAAGATCAAGATAAAATGGTAGAGTCGATGGTAGATGTAGCAGAAATTATATCAGAGTTGAGTGAATGTTGTATTGTCGAAAGGATGGAGGCTGTCGTATAGAATTGTTGCAGAGTAGACATTGGCTACTTATAAGGCCAGCATTCTTAGGTAGGAATGGGAGTGAAGATACCAGCCATACTGCATATTTGAGTGAATCCAAAGATGACACCGTACTCTTAGTTTCTCTATGGGTCAAAGGGATGCGGAGAATGCCAGCCCGCAGTATGTATGCAGCGAATGATCTACCATACAAGTCATCCAACCTCCTCAAACTAAAACCAGATTTTCAGGGTCCAGTGAGGAATTAATTACCGAGACCCTTGAATCAATCAAATATAGACGGCAATTATCATTTGTGCCCAGGTGATCGAAAGCTGAAACAGAATCGACGTATCATATTGACAAAGGGTCTCGATCGGCAGGAGTGTTTCAGTACATTTAACTAAATTACTGAAAGGTACTCCGTACAGAGTATGGAACAAGTAATCATATGTAATGGCAAAGCCATGTTCATTAGCCTGACATCTCAAAATGTCCTCAGAATCGAAGTCTAGCTTGTTTACAAATTCATAAAATGGGATAAGAGCACCCAAAATGGACACCCATGCAGTCCCAACAGCGATAGATAACAGACATTAAGAACCCAAATGTGCTCCGGGTGAAAGCAGCAATCCCCGGATCCCGCCACGGGAATTGAGACACCATGCATGCGCGCCAAAAGAAACAGGATTAAAGAGAAATAAAAAGGTTGTACATGAATGCTGATGCAGAGATTGTGTCCAGGCCGTATCGATACACAACAAATACAGGAAATATCGACTCAGATCTCTAGTCGTCGCGACGACCGAGTTCATATGATGTTTCGGTGACTCCGCCGAATTCCTCATCTTCCTTAAAGCTGACCCGTCGGAGCAAGGAGGGCATCATGCTGCGCGCACGTCGAGAAGGTGATGAGGAAAGACGGGAGGGGCTAAGAATTGAGGGAACCTTGGAGTAGCGGTAGCGGTAGCGAGCTCCCAGGAGCATAACGCGGCCGTAGCTCCACCAGAGACAGATACCCACAGCACCTGCCAGGATGAATCCAAAGAAGGTGAGGAACATCCAGTGTTGGCCCATCTATTAATTATTAGCAATTGAACCAGCGATTAGGAATGATATAAACTTACCCAGAAAATCAAGCGGGCATCCTTTCCGTGCCAGCTGTTTCCGGTGTGGTGGGTGAAGAAACTCCAGGAGTACTTGTTGTATTCATCCTGCATCAAGATACGCACACGGGCACTCTCACTGGGGTTGGTCTGCATGTATTGCTTCCAGATAACCGATAAGAAAAGAGGACCAGTCGTGTACATGACCGTGATGTATGGCAAGAGCCAGCTGCGGTCATACTGCTGCAGCACCTCGATCACACGTAGGAAGAATGGATGTTGCGGGACAGAGCCCATAGCGTCGTTGGAGATACCGGTAGGCACGGTGCGGCGCACCCAAGCCGGGTAAGCGAGTAGGGGGTCGAGGCGACGGTTGCAGCCCTATAGTATGGTTAGCACTTGAATTCATTGGATCTGGAGTTTCTGAATCGCCTAAATACATACATCATCCAAGTCAATATATGTGCCACCGTAGTGCGCGAGGACAAAGTAGCGGATGGTGTCCGCACGCTGAATGGGGTACTTGTAACCATCAAAGGTATCCAAAAACCAGGGATATTCCGCAGCGATAAAGTCACGCGACTTCTCATTGGTCCACAGCTGTTATTTTTACATTAGCACATTCATTCTCTCCTGAAATAGACGGAAACCACATACAATGTACTCGTAGTCTGGGTGCAAGTCAATGCAACTTTGCTGAGCCTCCTGCCACACCTCGGGGATGGATTCGTTCTTGTAGGTTTGGTGAATGATCTTGGGGATGATTTGAGGGCGCGTTTCAATCAGACTAGAATTGGGTGAGGGCAATTCGGAACGATGAATCGCGTCGGCGGATGCATCCTCAACCAGTAGTGCGAGTAGTGTCGAGACACTACGAATCAGGAAAGAGAGGATGAGGAGGTTGACGAGAATGAAGATAAGGAGACCGCGCCGCATTGTGAATTATTATTAGGACCGTAGTCAATTCGACAAAATGGCGATAGGCGACAAGGAGAGTGCTCCAAAAAAAAACTCGGGGAGGCCGAGTAGCCGAGTTGGTGGGAGGAAAAGTTTCGTCGTTAAGCCGTGTTGAGCGTTGAACGTCGAGAGTACGCGAGAAGCAGAAGCACTGGAGAGAAGATGCTCAAGGCGCGCGCCGTTGGAAAGAAAAGGAGGGAGCGTTGCGGCTATTGGTAGATCATGAAGTGAAGTCGAGCAATGGCGCGTAGGGGAGAAGGGGAGGATGAAGATCAAGATCAAGATATTAAAATTGAAATAGGGAGAAAATACGAGGAAAGGGGATTCCCGACGATAATAAGGAGTGACGAGTGGGGAAAGGCTAATGCCAAAGGAGACAAGAGAGCGAAATGTTGAAAAAGGAAATGCTGAGGGCAAAAAGGAAGCACATCGCCGTTTGAGAGTACCAGGGGAGGGCCGTATGGAGTACCAGGTATTACCGAAGACTTGACCTGATAGAAGAAAAGGGGGGGGGCAATTGTGGCTAAGTGGGGTATTGATGATACATATATTACGCAGTACAAAGTACAGTGAGATAAAATACATGGGGGCAGTTCAAACTCACCTGTTAAACTGCGCATATGCCAAAACGGGTCAAGAATAATGATTTCATACATGGAAAATACCAGTAAATACAAAATAAAAATAACAGAATAAATACATAGAGTTAAACCCGATCTGGACCGGCTAAGACTAAATCAGACTAACCAGAACCAATCAAGTTAACATGAGTTTCCTAATTTAGATAAGCCCCGCCACGCGTTAAGCTTTACAGTACCTGGATTGGTGGAGTCGTAGTGCCGGTGGGGGCAACTGTCCATCAAATCCTTTTTTTTCTTTAACTATCTATTACGCACTCGTGGGGCGGATTCATCGTGGCTGATGATTTGTTACATCCTCGGTTGCCTATGCGATAGCAAAGGCAACGTCATCTTATAACCACTGGTAGTATTACTACTCGAGTGGATTAAGTGTTTCCCGGAGTGCATACTACTCCGTAGGCCGTAGGAACCGAAATCTTGAGAAGAGAGTCCGTACTCGTACTCTCTCGTACTCTGTGTGATACCTAGGTAGATGACGATGTATTCAAACTTGAATGTTGATTTGATTGACCAAAGTATAACTGCCAATACTCTCCACTTGAGTATACTAGGTAGTCATGCCGAGGCTTGTCAAGTACCATAGCCCAGTTGCCTCGACAGCACTGATCTTCCATATCATGATGCCAGTGTCAGTGCTCTCATGCACCGCTTCTGTCCTGTGGGTATTGCGTCAAACTACATATACATCCAGATCATGGCAATTGACGATAAGCAGTGTTCGGCCGGTGGTTATAATATAATCGCCGGCGGACTCGGGAGCCGTTAGAATACCGATTCCGCCCTCAACAAACCCTGTTTAGAATCCAACTTCAAGTTCTTGATACTGGTATATGCAAGATTTTATATATAGAACAGGCCGCAGTATTTTTAAATCTTCCGCACAAATTTCCGCAGTATATAGGTAATATGGAAATATATCTGCATCATCAATGATCAGAGATTGCAACTCACATAAAAATTGCCGGTTGCGGGGACGGAGCTTCCAGATGTAGCGCACGGAGCAAGGAGACTCAAAAAAAAAAAAAACAACCGAAAATTGAGGTAAAAAAAGAAAACCCGCTAAACCAGCCTAAGCCCGTACTCGTATCACTTATCTCTATTAAGTGAAAATATTTTATTATCGATTGATTGTTTTAATAAATTGAAAATTGAAAAAATGAAAATGAACAGACTCCACGCTATCCAAATCTCCCGAAACCTAACCTCAGCATGGCGTGGCTTGGTCACATTTTTACTGGTGAAGTCGCATCACCCGACCCATAATTACCCACAGCCCCTCCACAGCCCCCAATGCCCCAAATAATCGTGAACTGGAACTGGTAAGCCTTCCGAGGAGAAGATGAAAATTACGAAAACTAAAATCCCACTAAAATCCCAGGCAACATCGATACAGATCGTCCGAGTCCATGGTTCCAAGATTTGTTGACGTTGAACGTGGCTCTGGTGTATACAGGTCACCTGACCTGATATCCCGCTGACATAAGCGCGTATAAAATCTCTAAAACTCGGAGTACTCTAGCCCACTCACCCAGTGGAGGCTGATTCAACCCTTCCACTCCACTTGGTTTCAGTACGGGCCATCGGGATTCCGATCTCCGATTCTCGTTAAATGAGAGTACGCACGTGCGCGATATCTATTGCGAGCAGTGTGGATTCAAATGTTATGAGTGACAATTGAGCAGTTTTCTCCAGTTGACCAGCAATCCAAATTAGGAAGGACGTGAGTGGTCAAACGCGGACCCTGCACCAACACTATCAGTGCTGATCAAAGATCGGCCACACAAATTTCTCTTTTTGTTTAGTACGTCGGCAATTACTTGGGTCTTATGGTAGCGTACAGGGTAAGGGGTCCTAAGTTACGTACATGTTGACATGCACAGCGTACAGCTGTAACAGTCCTTCTTTGTTTGAGATGTGTTTCAGACTTGAATGGACTTCCAAAAAGGTTGGACTAGAGTATTACATACGCCGTCATCCGTACAGTTTGTTATTTATAAAGAACCGCAGAACTAGCCCTTTTAGTCTCAATCCTCTGAGCTGGCATGGGGTCCAAACCCTCCATGGCTCTCAGTCAAGCATTGATCAGCACAAACGGGGCAAGGGGCGATCCCGAGGCTGTATTACTGGGGGGCCATGCGACACATCATCAGAGGCAATTTGATGTGCGAAAGTCAATTTAGCATGATATAATTGCCGTGACCAGCAAGGAGAACTTATCTCCGATTATTGGACTAGTTGCATAACACCAGTTGACACCATTCATTGATGACCCACCACCAGATCTGAAGAGTTTCTTTTCTTTTTCAAGCTCTTGATTTTTTTGTCAGTTTCACTGATGATATTGAGTAAACATATCGGGTATCTATCGCTATGTAACGCTATGAAATGATGCAAGCTCCTCTATCCACGATGCGAATTTGAGCTGTCTTGGTTGTATGGCGTGGTCGATCCCAGCAATAACACGGTCAATGATGCCAATGCTCAGTGCTCAGTGCTCGGGACTCAGGGCTGATGATGGTCAGACTACCCAGTAAAAAGTGGACTGACCGATCTCGTGAGCTGGAAAGAACTGCAGGTCCAGCCCTTGCTCATTCCAATATCCCGTTCTGAGCATGCCCAGGGTAAGCTCAATGATTCCAACTAATAACCATTTTCATTCGGCCATCACAATGGATTGTCATCTGATCGACAAGGTTCTCCTTTTCCAACACATGTAAAGATCAACAACCCATACCAAACCATACCAGGACCACACAAATACTCAGCGTACCTCCCGTGCAGCTGCCGCCGCAAACTCACGGTTCACATTCGTTGCATTCGTCGGACGATCCGCAGGTTGCTCAAAGAGTCGTCGCCACCACATGGGCGGATCCAGAGGCCGGTGGCCACCGTGCAGCGTCGGGTAGACATCATTAAAGAAGTACCACAAATGACCAACCACGATACCACAGATCTCATCCTTGGGTAAGATGCGATGCACAATCACACTAAAGGCCATGAGAACCCAAGGTAGGTACGGAGCGGTAAAGACCAAAAGGCCGAAAAGGCTGAGACGAGTCTCTGGATTCCGGCGAGCCCAGATGTAGACCAGACTTGAGGAAAGAGCTGTACCGAGAAAGGGCATCGAGAGGAATGGTGAGATGATTAGAAGTGAAGACATGGCGTAGAAGATTAACCAGGCGAAATACGCTGGTGAGCGGCCGGATGATTCCTCCAGTAGACGGGAGTATCGTTGTAAGAAGAATATGTGAAAGAGGAGGTCAAGATTAAGTGGACCGAAGTATAAGAATGTTGTTATGAGCCTCCAATATTGTGATTTAACGTAGACGGCGCGGAAACTGTAGAATAGTTGGAATGGCGTGACGATGTGACACTGCACTAGTACCGAGGTCGCCACCGTGGCCACTGTCCACCATCGAGTAACTGGAGGCATTTCATAGAACCACTGTTCTAAAGGGAACTGGGCCATTTGACCATTATTCTCCCATAGCGCAGCCATGATGAGGAAATCTCGTGGGACAGGGTAAATGTCAAAAGCGTGGATTGTTTTGGTTTCACTGGAGTAAGTATATTGAAGTTGATGTGCCTGATAGAGTGAGGAGTGATCCGTTATCAGCTCCTTATCAGTCACATGACTGACGCGCGCGCGTGGAAAAAGAAGGAGGCTGGGGAACTTCCGATCTAGGACCAATTAGTTCATATTGAACTTTTTCCCCTCTTCAACTTCTCTCTTCCAGGCTTCTTAGGAATAATTGATCCTAATTTACACTCCATTGATTAGTCAATTTCCACTTTTTTTTGTATCTGTGCTCATCCCAGTTACACACTTTCGTCAGTTATCTACTACTGCAAGGGATATCTCCGTTTCCCTCGACGACGCGCCCTGCAGAAAACCCAATTGCTTCTCATCGCCCCCGCTACAAACAATTAATGCCTTTGCGCTTTCGCTTCAAACATTACAATGCCACCAACAAAAGTTCGCAAAACAGTCGCACCTACGAGCCCCGCTCAATCCCGGAAACAAGTAGCAGCACCCGTGGCCTCATCAAGCACAGCGCGCAAGCCCACAAAAGCCACAAAACCACCGAAGAAGTCTCCCAAGAAGCCCGCAGGCAAGCGTCTATCAAATGTACAACGTAAGTCCCACACATGGATTCCATTCAACCCATCATGATCCAAACTAACGAGTAACAGCCGGTGATCCAACACCCCAAGGTCGGCGTCGTCGCTACAAGCCCGGCACTGTCGCATTAAAAGAAATCCGACGCTACCAACGCTCCTATGACCTTCTTATCGCGAAGCTTCCATTCGCACGACTAGTTCGCGAAGTCGCATTAGATCTACTCCCCGCGGAACGAGGCGCCGAGCTTCGATGGCAATCACAGGCTATCCAAGCGTTACAAGAAGCGGCGGAGGCATTCATGGTGCATTTATTCGAGGATACGAATCTTTGCGCGCTGCATGCGAAGCGAGTTACTATTATGCAAAAGGATATTCAACTTGCGCGTCGGATTCGGGGTGCTTGGGCTGGATTGGGCTAAGCTTTTGCTAGTCCCTTTTCTTCTTGCCTGGAACTGGTTCTGCTGGTTTCGAGGGCTCCTTTGATCTTATCTTTAATTGGTGCGGGGTATCTCGAATTTTGAACCTCGGATTCGGGTTTCCAGATCTGTTGGCGTTTTTGGGGCATGGTGTTGATCATGGTGTTATGTGTTCTTTTTTCCTCTTTTTGTTCTCGTCTGAGTGGCCTTGCTCAGTTATGCTAGCCATGCTATCTGTTGAGCTGGGTCACTATGAACGTGATGTTAAGAGTCGATTATACCAGGGGTATTTGTATGTTTGTACATTAGCATGGATGCTGGGTGTTCGTGTTTTATTTGCTTATTGGTACTATGCCATGAAGCTAGAGATTCTCTTGGTTACAATGATCAGTCACTAATCTATTCCAAGATCTTGACTCAAGCTTACTATATCGATAATTATAAGTCTTCGGTCTTCCGTTTGTATGTCACTAAATTTTTATGTTCTGTTTATTAAACATTGATATAAAAGATAATCCAGTTCGCCACGCTCAAACAACCCATCAAGAACGCCTTCTCCATGTATCCATGGAATGGTATCATAAATCACCTATCGAACAGGTGTAAAATAGACAAATAGAATAGAAACTCGTCAACAGTGACTCAGGCATCTAGCACTAAGCGAATGTAGCAATATCAAGACAAGACTAAGCTGGCCGCTTCAAACCTTGTGGAAGACCCATGATAAGCCGTTGACCTTCCTCACGAACTCCGCGGGCTTCATCACCTTTACCCTGTCGCTCAAGGGTATCCGCTAGCATCTCATCAGTAACACTAGCCCACAGGCGATCATTCGCTCTCTTCGCCATGGCACGACCAGCCCGAGCACTCTTTTCAGCTTGTTCACCGACGACACCACGAAAGTATCTCCAGCTCATGAAAGTGAGTGTCATACAGGTAATCTGACTATTACTGATAGCAGTTGCAGATTGCAGGGCCTGCTGGAGGTATTGTTTCGTTTGGATTGTCGAGTCGGTGTGGACGGTAGCACAAACCAAGTGATAGGCTGCTTGAATGTACTTATTCGGGCTGTTTGAACAGAAAAGATCCAGATTGGCCAGGATATTGGCGAGGGATGGGTGCGCTGGATGCGCGGGATCACGAATTATGAGGACAGTATTGAGCGCGGCGAGAATACATGTGTCACGACAGGGATCATTGCGTGCAGTCTTGCTGGATGATGGCGAGAGCAACAATAATGGTGACTGGTAGATGGAAAGAGCCATGTCTAGGTCCCCGGTAGCTTGGGCAATGGTACCGGCGGCATATTCCATCAGACAAGCTATGGGCTTTGAAGTTTCAGCGCCGATCTCCTGGACAACCTGGCGTAGATCCTTTAGTGACTGAGTAGCCATTTCCCAGTCGGTTCGAGAACAAGCTAGGAAAACACGCTGTAGGAGGAAGTTGCAGTAGAGTGAACGACGCCATTCGATACGGCGTGTTGCATTTACCATGCATTCGGGGATTTCCTGTGGTGTCTTGAATGACCCTGCAATAAGTTAGAATGGTGTTGAACAGAACGAGCAAAGTTGTGGAACACAGTCATACCTTGGATCATTCGCAGCCCTTCATCCAGATACTTCTCTGCTTTTCGACCATCATAAGAATTCTTCGCACTCAGGGTGATCGAGCTTAGGAAATATGAGAGGGCATAGAGATCATGCTGAGGAAGCCAATTAAAGCTCAAGAGCAATGTCCCATTCTGAACTTGCAGAATGTCTCCTGTGTCAATGGATGATGGACCCGCGGACTTGCCATTCAGCGGGATAGAAAATGACCCATCCGGACTCCAATTGCCATCATTGAGAGTTTCATCTACCAGCGCCTGCATGACCTTCAGTTTCTGAGAAGATTGGTTGACATCATACTCAAGAAGACTACAGCAGATATCCATCATCTGAATCAGCGTAGAAAGTTGAGGAATGTGACGAAGCTCGTCGTTTAGCTGGTGACTCCGCGCTGTGGCCACGGCACGCTGTGCCTGCTCAATAGAATCAGAGCTTGTTCCTTGTTGCAGGTGTGCTAAGGCTTCGATGACAGCGGCCATTGCGGAAACAGCTTTGTCCCCATTGCGACTAGCCATGCTCGCGATCTTGTTAAGATGCTGAAGGGCTTGGACAGCATCTTGGTGAGACGGAGAAGACATCGACAACGATACTCGTAGAAATCGAAATGCGTATTCCCAGGCCGCATGACGGTACCTGTATACATTAGTACTAGCTTTATGGTAGGTTTTTTTCAGTTGCATTACGTTTCCACATCCTGAATCATGCCGTCAACAGCTTTAAGAGAGGCCTTGGGATTGTTTTTATGGAGCATTCGTGCCAGAAGGTGCTGCATGCTGTATTTCAAATCCAGCATACGGTTCTAAAGAATAGTCAGTAAAATGTATTGTATTTCGAATTGTAATACTTACTCTCTCACAAAGGTCAATACCCTTGCTCAGAGCCGTCTCTGCTTCAATGTCGTTCTCTGTTTCCTCAAACAATGTGCGCGCGTACCGAAGTCTGACAAGGGCTTCTTTACGAGGTTGCAATCGCCAGTTCTACTGTCCATTAGTTGATTACTACGTAATTTGTGAAGTTATAATAAAGCTCACCTTCAAAACAGCCTCCAGACACCCAAGTCCTGTTGCGACAAGCTTGTAGTAACCCTCGACATCCGCATGGTTGGATAGTAGCGCCGTCTGGGTTCCCATAAGATGAGCAGCATTGAGATACTCATCTGCCAGTGATAATAGCAGAACCTGGTAATCCACGGGAGGCTTATTAGGTTTGGTTTGCCGGTCAAAAACTGGCTGTGTGATTGGCTTCTTCGGTTGAGGCTTCTTTGCACTCGGCTGTTTTTGAACCCTATTTTGAAAATCTGGAGAACTTATTGGAATCATGACTTGCGGAACGACAGCTGCGGACGACGAGGGCGTAGATTTGGGAGGAACGGGCTTAGGATGATCTGGCGTTTTTGGTATTGATGAAGGCTTGGGAGCAGGGGCAGACTGCGCTTTCTTCTCCGACTTGACTTTGGCAGGTGGTTGAGGCCGAGGCTGAGACTTAGCCTGGGGCCGCGGTTCAATTTTAACAGGTTGCGGTGGTTGAGCTTGAAAGCTAGATTTCTCTTGAACAGGCTCCGAGCTGATCTTGGGACTTCTCGGTGGGGCGGACGGAGCAGGCGCTAGTTGAGGGAGAGATGGAGAAGATGTAGATGGTAGGGAGATTGGAGGTAATTCGGTAGAAGAAGGGGTCGAGAGTGCACTTGGATCAACATACTGCGATGACGGAGTATACCGAGATCGTGGCGCTGTAGGAAGAGGTGGCTCAACAAATAGATTGGCAGGATTGACAAACTGAAGCTGCGGCTCTGCTGGCGGGAGGGATGGAGGAGGTTGCTGCAGATGCACCGGTTGTACAGTTTGTACGGGCTGCACAGGCTGAACGGGCTGGACTTGTTGAACGGGCTGGACCTGCTGGACCTGCTGAACTTGCTGAACTTGCTGGACTTGCTGGACCGGCTGTATTGGCTGCGGTGGCTGCGGTGGCTGTCGCTGCAAAGGTGGAGATGGCTGTATAGGAACCGGCCGCGATAAATTCTGCTGTGACTGGGATATCTGAATAGGAGACTGTGGAGGCCTCGGACGAGGAGATTGCTGATGTTGGGCGTGTGAAATTATTGGAGATTGATGCTGGGGTTGGATAAGAGGTTGCTGCGGCCGTGGACGAGGGGACTGCTGCTGTGGTCGAGGAAGCAACGGCGACTGTTGTTGTGGCCTTGGACGAGGAGATTGCTGTTGGTGAGATTGGATCGGCGGCTGCGGTTGCGGCGGGAGCTGCTGTTGAGGAAGGATGTGCGGGGATTGCTGCAACTGCGGCGGTTGGATAGGCTGTTGCATATGATGTTGATTCTGCTGAAGATACTGGTGGTATGCAGAAGGATAGGGCATCATTCCTGGCGCGTAGGGTGGTGGCTTGCCATAGCCATTGTATGGCGACGGCGAAGGGGCCGCGACATTGTTGTACAGCAACTGCTGCTGGGGGACGTGCCCGGGCTGATACTGTGGATGGGGTATGTACTGTGGGTATTGACCAGAATTGGGCGGTGGGAAGCTCATCGCCCCGATTTACGCTGTCACCAAGTGAAGCTGACCGTTATATTCAACACGCTTGGATGAAAGGTGACGCTTTTCCGCGTGTCGGGGCGGAGAAACTCACGGCGGTCAGCTGATAAGCGTTGCGATACCGCAATTTGGTCTGATCCATTAGAAGTGATACGTAGATCTGACCCACCTTAACAAGTTTCTGTACGGGCTAACTAATATACAAAGACAGCAATTCTAGGAACTCCAATTATTTCAAGTTTGAAAAGTGTTGATATTTGAACGCTATGAAAATATAAATGTATGAAATACATGACAGTCAAACGAGGTTTGATCTTATTGTCCTCGAGATCATCAAGGTACTTTACAGCATGCGAATCGATGAGTACAATGAGTCTAACGGTCGTTCATCGATGACTGGCGAGACAACCTCATCGCCTATGGTAGGTGAAAATGCCATGGGTGGATGTTCTCGAACCGTCCAAGGACAAAGCTCATTGCAATTCTCCACGCTAACTGTCGGCTCCGCTGGATGAATTCGTTGTGCGGCCCAGGTGGCATCAGGACCAGGCCCGTCACCCCCAAGACATCGTTCAGTATTAAATAAATATGTCACTTTGCCAGAGGGATGTGTACTCGACGGCTGTTTTCGAGAACATTTGAGTGTGGTATTACAAGCAGCGCAGACTGAGATCCGTTGGCAGGAACTACAAGCGGATTCAAAGAGGCGACAGATAGTTGTTTGGTGAACGCTTGATAGCCAAAGGTCGACAGAACGATGCGCACAGCCAAACCGAGGAGTCATATATTCCTCCTTCCCAACTTGACCGGACTCGGTGGTGAGTTGATACTCCGTGCGCATGACCAACTGGTCTTCTTCATTAAGCTCAGGAAACAAAGAAATTTTCAACTCTGTGGGACCATATTGCTCGGTGCATGTGTGCCAGCAGTAGCTATCTGAGACCAAACTACCGAATTCGGTCTTGAGGGCGTTGAGTGTAATCTTCCGCACTCGCAGCTGATCCATTAGATCGCGCTTATCGCGGAATGTAATCTTCTTGCAGGGACAAAGATCCACAATGCCTGCTAATTCACCCACATTGCAGGTACGGGTTTCTGACTTGCGTCTGAGCTCGCGAGAGGAGAAGGCGGAGCGTGGATGTAACTTGAGGCATCTAGAGCATGCACGCCATCGAGGGTTTTCCAGCAAGTTGATAAACTGCCAGCGAGGTGTGACAAAGTTGTGTCCATTGCGATAATGATGGAAAAGTGGTGCAAAGTCGCGAGTAAATCGCAATGATTTCGAAGTCAAGATTTCCCCGAAGATGCAATACATGCGCTTGCAGGACAAGGCCAATGCAGCCTCCGGGATCAACGTTAAATGGGAAGTAATCTCCAGCAGCAGCTCAGTTGGTAGTTCCATCAAGTAGCAGCGAGTCGAATCTTCTTTTAGCTGCTTTCGTGACCTGGTTGCAGGCCATGTTCTCATTTTCATGATCATCTTGAATTTGTCTGTTGCGCGTAGAAAGCGATGTGGTATACTAGACGGGGACAAAGTCAAAGCCATGGAGAGTTGCACGTCAAGGGGTTTTTGGTGCGCCTGGGACGTTTTCCCGGTCTTTCTATGACTTGAAGGCATGAGCGGTTCGTATAGATGGTTATGTGGATGGATATCGGGTCGATGAAGTATGCTGAAATATCATGTTGGAGCAAAGACGACATGCATCGCGTGATGGAGTAATAGCAGTACTTTCCAAAGAAAATCCCAAAATTCAGAACAAAAATAGGTGGATCTGTTGACCTTGAAGTGCTTTTCAACTGATCAAGTTGCACGAAAACGGACCATGGGATTGGGTCATAGAAAGTTGCGGGCCATGCTATCAGCATTACATACTTCTAGTATAGGGCTGTCGGAACGGGGATGATCACCGTTGTCTTGTCTGATGATCCCGATGCAGCCTCCACCCCTTTTATTCCGTTGTATTATGCTTTATCTATTTTCTCCGATTTGCTTTGATCTTACTACAAACCCGGAGAAATATTGACAATCTTATAATCGAGGGGGGTTCACCTCTATGAGATTACCACTGAATGCTGTTTAGGGCTGCCGCATGCGGAAACCAGATTGCCGCATTAAGCATCATGGCATCATCACTTGTATTTTTAGTAGGAATGTTCTCCAATATTCGCATGGAAGGATTTGTACGCATTCGCTCATATCTAGGGTGATCTTTTAATTTTCTTTTTTTCCCTTATCTTGTTTCAAGTTTTATGACCTTGTCAACTGACAAGACCTTGACCTCCTCCATCAATCCCATGACTCTCTATGCATTAGTGCCTAATTAATGAGATCTAAACCCAATATGGATATGCATGGCTGACTCACCATGCATAAGTCACGTGTATTTATGCATATCTACAATTTAGAATGCCAAGACTTTCAGCCGAGGTCAAAGTTTTAAGGTTCTTCAGGTTGGCGTACACAATCCCATAGAAAAAAAAAAAGGAGAAAGTTCTTGTTTCAGTCTCATAGATCGCTTGGTTTTGATACTAGTACCGATTTAGTTTGGTTATATTTGCATTATATTTGCATCTGGTCTGAACTTGCATCAGCGTTGGCTCCTTCCCTTTATCTATCATATTCCTGTTATCAGCATTGCAATGGCCTTGTCATGGGTTCGTCCGAGCGGTCGGATCTCCTTCTACCATGCCAAGGACAATAATCTCCTCTTGACAAAGGTCGATGAATCAGGTGCAAAGGAACAGACGTCACTTGTGAATATTTGTCGTGCCGCTACTCCAGACACCTGTCATCTCAACCCGTTACTTTTCAACGGGCACCTGCAAACATTCTGGACCGCAACGAAATCTGGTGATAATGTTCCGGTTTACTATAAGCGGAAAATTTTCCAGGCGGACAGTGCCATGTTCACGGGACAATATGCTGTCGACTTTGCAGTGAAGCCCTATGACATGCCACCCGAGGGGGAGTTGACAGACCAGGCAAGAAAGTATACCCAACCAGCTGGTCTGCCAGATCGTACATCTCTCTTTTCACAGGAGGAACTTGCAAGTCTCCCGTCGGACGACTCGAAGCCTATGCTTGTGGTTTTGCATGGTCTGAGCGGTGGTTCGCATGAATTGTACCTGCGGCATGTTCTGGCTCCCCTCATTGCGGATGGTACCTGGGAGGCTTGTGTGGTGAACTCGCGGGGCTGTGCACAGAGTAAGATTAGTACGGGTGTGCTTTATAATGCTCGAGCCACGTGGGATACTCGTCAGACCGTGAAATGGCTTCGAGAGACATTCCCTAATCGCCCGCTTTTTGCTATCGGATTCTCCCTTGGAGCTAATATTCTTGCTAACGTAAGTACCATATATTATGTACGGGTTATATTATCAGAGGCTAAACACAAATAGTATCTCGGAGAGGAAGGTGATACTTGTCAAATCAAGGGAGCTGTTCTCTGCGCGAGTCCCTGGAACTTGGATGTCAGTCACTTCACTCTGAACCAGACCTGGGTTGGCCGGGAAATTTATAGCAAGACTCTGGGAACAAACATGAAGGCTCTCTTCGAAAGGTAAGTTATGCACATATGTGACACACTCGGGGAATTGTTGGCTAATTATAAACACATCAGGCATGTGGATGAAATCTCAAAGAACCCCCGAGTTGATATTGAAGCAGTGAGAAAGATCACTTACCTACACGAATTCGATCGGTAAGGTGTATTTCATCCTCTTCATGCTCATTTCTAATGTCTTCCTATACAGCGCTATTCAATGCCCCACATGGGGCTATCCGACTGAGGGTGCATACTATCGTGATGCCTCTTCCTCTGATGTGATGTTGGGAATCCGTATTCCGTTCCTCTGTGTCCAGGCTGAGGATGATCCTGTAAGTGACATTCCACTCATCGAAGTCATAATACTAATTAGCGATAGATTGCTTCACGCGAGGCGTTGCCATTCCAGGAAATGACACAAACACCATATGGAGTCATGGTGACTACCTCCTGGGGTGGCCATCTAGGCTGGTATGAGGTGGGCGGTGGTCGCTGGTTTGCGAAGCCAGTAAGTATATTCATTTTAAACGAACTGAACCTTGGAAATACTGACTTCAACCAGGTGAACAACTGGTTGAACATAATGGCAAAGGAAATTGATACCCAGATCCCCGGCGTGGTCGAGAACCCTGACAAGCTACCAGGTCAAATTGCCCATCACTCTGACCAGGGTAAAGATGCAGACTTGGCTCCAAAGCCTGACTTCACTCCCACTCGTCGCAAGCTGAACATGAACCTACCACAGTAAAAAGAAATTACACACTGGCAGCCTGAGGTCCTCATCTACCTCTACACATTTCGGCATATATACAAACCATTAATAGAGATAATACTTGTCCATAGAATGCATTTACCAATTTCGGAGATATCACTGCATGAATTCATCAATTTTAGGATAACCTTCAATGTGATCAACGCTATTCACAATATTTCAAACCTGGATGTAACAATGACCCCGTAAAACGCCGTGCCCTGTCTAGGTACATAATAATGGTAAAGACAACATTTTCCTTAAGCAAAAGAAACACTTTTCCGCTTTGGCTTTGCTGACTTTGAGCCGCCACTTGTAGGAGCCGAGTCCTCGCTCGACTTTCCAGCACCACCCTTGCCTTTCTTGCTGTTGCGAATAGAGTCCTTAACAGCCTCCAACTTGTTCTTCTTCACCGCCATTCGAGCCTCGAGTTCCTTTTGTCTGGCCTCGCGAATCTCCTCCAATTGACGTGCCTTCATCATCTTCGACTCGATTTGGCCCTCCTTCTCGGCGTTGACAATTGCGAGAATAGTCAACATACCCTCCTATATTACAGGAAACAGAATAATTAGTCATAGATAATAAGATAAACCATGGGGGGGCAAAGTGGCGTACCTGATCATCCACAAAGGTCTTTCCCTTCTTCTTGCCCTTAGGCTTGACAACACCGACGGGGGTAATTGTGTTCAATTTGGGCAAATCCAGCTCTGCCTCGGTGTAGACTCGCTTCTTCTTCTTTTGCAGATTCTCCTTCTCAGTGCGCGCCTTCGACTTGACTTCGACAGGCGGGGGACGCTTGACATTCTTCTTGCTGGACTTGCTCACGCGAGAAGCAGATGACAGGCTTGAAGGTTTGCCACCCTTAACACCGCCCGAAGAGGAGCCCTTTGAGGAGCCCTTTGACGAGCCCTTTGACGAGCCCTTTGATGAACCCTTAGTAGGCGCCATTTTGAAAGATCGGAAGGAAGATTAGATCGACTTGAGGTCGAAATGCGCCGGAGGCAATAATGCGCTATGGGACGAAAATCGAACAATTAAGGAAATGGTTCAGGATAGATCCCGATATGATGAAGATCAGGTCGTTCGAGTTCGGTCACAAAAATGTACAAGTGAAAAATAAAACAACAACGTTGTATCATGCAACTTGCAGAAGCATTCAAATCCAAAAAATTGAAGGGAAAATTTTAGAAGGGGAAGGCGGTGAATGGACACGCGGGCCACCACTCCAACCTCGACTGTGAATCCTCCAAACCAGAGCTCACTGACAGTCCAATTCCCCCTCTCCTTAGAGATTGCATTCTTGGATTGAGTGCACACTGGGAATTCCGCCATCATGACTATCAACCCTACCTACCTCGCCCAGCGAACACGCTCTTGTACGTACCGTTCCTTCATCGATCTCCCCGAAGAGTTCCGATTGCCTACGAAGCAACTCCGACAATTCAAGCCCGGGAGGGGAAATATAGCTAACAGAACCTCATTTAGCCGTCAACTGGAACGATGCGAAGTTCCGAGTCCTCAAGTCCTACCGGGAATGGTTGCGCGCTGTCAGTATACCCCGATATATCCAGACCCGCTATGTTCTCGCACGGCCAATCGTGACCGAATATATGGTCAGCATGGTGTTGAATCAGAACAACAACTAACATTCGATATTTCATATAGTCCCCCCGAGATCCAGACCATGTACTCCTTGAACATGCCCGTATCCGCTATCCGTACCAAGATCCGTCAGGAATTCGAGAAGCACCGCTACGTTAGCCAGCTGAACGCTGTTGATGTGCTGCTCTACCAGAGCCACGCTGAGTTCCAGGTTAGTTATATCCGGCAATGAGTCAATGGGTGTATCGGGGTGTATTAAGGAAGCATTGGTCTCGGGACAAGTCTGCTTTGATACCTCCGTCGGTCTATATCAACTAATTGAACTGTGCTAACGCCTTGTAGGAAACTCTCAACTACTGGAAGCAGCTTTCCCACGTTATGAAATACTTCCGCCCAGAAGAAGACCCCGGTGCGCGACTACCGCGCAACTTTGTTTCCGGCTTCTTGGAGGGCCGCAATTGAAAAGACTGTTTTCTATTACTCACCGTTTCCTTTTTTTCTTTTTACTAAATGCGAGTCCGTACTGCGAGTCATAAGACTATGTCAACGGAGACATGACGTGTACATATTGTCTGAGTAGGTCGCCAAATCATTCCCATTTCAATTCTTGCGTTAGACAGCGTGTAAGTGTATCTGATCATGCAAGCATGACGCTTGATATGATTCCTCCTATATTTGTACCCAGGTGCTTTGGGTATTACGCGGAGGTGGGAGAATGGTCGATATGTGGAATCAGTTGGGACTGAAGGCATTTCACGCTGCAACCGAGAGCAGCATCACACACATACTGACATATAGCTCTTGGATGCATTATCATCTCCTGGAGTGCAATGGAGGTCAATTGATGTCTTTTTACATAGACAGCCACAACTCATCATTCCTCAAACGAAACTAAGCAAATAGTATGCTCTCCACCCACTCCATCCGAAGTGCTCTAACTCGTTGAGAAACCGGCGCAGCAGGTGCAAAAGCACTACATCCATGCCAACACCCAGGCCAAACATGCAACTCTGTCTGAACACCCGCCTTCCACAGCATCGATGCGTACTCCACAGACTCATCACGAAACACATCCGCCTCGCCAACATCAATCCAAGTAGAGGGCAAGTCGGACAAATCCTTCGCATGAGAGGGAACTGTATACATATTCACATGTTCCCGATTAACCCCAAAGGCATAATTGCACGCATCGATCGAATTAGATCGAGACCACGGCGGCAGATGTCCATACTGCATCATCGATACAGTAGTGTTACTATCATCAAGCCATGGACACATCAAACACTGACCCCGGATCTTATGTCCTTTGCGATCTCGAGCTAACAATGACACGCCTGCTGCTAAGTTCCCACCCGCCGATCCACCAAACACGAACAAGTAGTCTTTGCTAAAGCCGAATTCTTCGGCTCTGGCACTTATCTGTTCCAGGACTGCGTAGGTATCATCTAGCTGTGCGGGTTGCGGATGTTCAGGTGCTAGACGATACTCAGCGGAGATGACGGTGGCTCCAAATTCTTCAATCCAGCTTAGCGGTCCTCCGACTCCCATAAAGCGGTTTCCTGATACATGTCCGCCGCCATGGATATTCAAAACTCCTGGAATTCTGGATGCAGGGATTTTGTGGTTTGGCTCGTAGTTGGGTTGGGGGCGAAAAATAGTGGCCTTTAAAGGGCCGGCTGGTCCTTCGAAATCGATTTCCTCGTGTTGAATGATATGTTCTCTGCCTCGAAGAACGTCTTCTACTGCCCATGCCGCTCTCTTTCGACGGATGGCAAGTTCTTCCGGAGTATTGATTTCCGTAGAGAGAAATTGGGCATGTATTTCCGCAAGCTCGGGGTTCAGTGGTGCCGTCCTGAGGGGTGTAGATGACATTGTTACGGTGGTATGGAAGATGAGTTTCAAGAAAAGCAATTGATTTAATTCAGCCTTCAAATGTTCAGGTTTGAGAAGTCAGTGGACCATGTGGGATGAAAAGAGGAATATAGCCTTAGAGATGGGGTTAATAGATCATCATATACTACCGTGTTTCCAAGGCTGTAACTTGAAGTAAACTCTATGCACATTGATCTCGAATCATGATCTATTCAAGTTGCTGTGTATGGATATGTGATGGATCACTAACTTGAAACTAGTAAGCTGTGCGAAGCTGTGCACATGTGGAGTACTTCGGAGTACTCCGAGTCAGGCTGGATTCAAGTTTTGGCCCGAGGTGATCCTGATTCCTTCAAATGTTCCAACTTGAAGCCTGCCCAGGTGCCCAGTTGAGAGGTTCATGCCGATCACTGACATGAACACACTACTGAGAACATTTCAATCATTTTAACACATAAATTATAGAGTATTTTATATTTCAATCTTTTATTTAAGGCCAAATATGTAATCTACTATTATAGTGACCTAGACATAATACGCAGGTTGCTCTTTGAGAGATTTCAGTTGAGTTTTGGCTTGCATTAGCGCATCACCTACCTCGTGGATGTGGATCATGATACTAGTAGTGTTGATGGGCACCTGGGCAAAAGTGATATACTACATAATACACATGCATTTATCCACTAAAACCTTGGAATTTGAAGCTAACTTCAAGTTTGAGTCTGGTAGAATATTGCTTCATCGAGGTCACCTCAGGCTAGACTAAGTGACTAATTCAAGTACGTATTTGCAATTTGAAACTCGCATTTTGAGGCATTAAATAGCGCCGGCGCGTACATATCTTGTGATAGGCATACAGCTCATGCATCATCTATGCATCACCTATGCATGAACTATGATACTTAGGTACCTGAACTGATATGAGTCATAGGACATAAGATTTAGCGCCATGTCAGCCCATTTATTGAGGCACACGCGGTCCAACACTCCTCCAAAACCCACAACGCTCACCACGATCACCCTCCCATTTCGCTGCATCTGCCAATGTAAACTCATTCGTAACTCCAGGACCCTCTCGAATCCAGTATGAAAGATCCTCCGTCACCTGATCAAAGACAACATGTCCACCAGTAGTATTCAGATTCATCAGTAAAGGAGAACGAGTATTCCACATTGGCCAGGAGATACTACCATTCACACCTTTAGGAACAGTAGAATTATCATTACCACCCTTCGCATCTTCTATGGAGATAACCGGTGTATTCTCAATGATAAAGGTACCCAGTATCTTTTGCATTGCATGCATCAGACCACGGGTAGGTGTGGTCGCTCCAACAGAGAAATACGCGGTTAAGTCAGCGCCATGGTATGCAGGCGTAACAGAATACTGATATTTCCAACTCTCCTTGGTAAAATCTGAAAACGCTTCTGCGAGCAAGTATGAAGGACAGTCGAACGTTGTCTCGGCAAATATATTGAATACGGTTTGTTGCAGACCGGTGGCCATTTCGGATTGGTTTAGTGCTGTTGGACCATGGTCTCCTAGTGTGTCGTAACGGGGAGCGGTATTCTGAGGAGAAGTACTCTGGATACCATAGATCTCACTAAGCTTCAAATAGTCGGTGTCATTGAATAAGGGGAAGGCAGACTTGAGATACTTCGAGAATGCTGCGGTAGTGTTGATGTATGGGGGACTTAAGGGGACGCCGTCGTTGGCATTGTTCTGGAAGAATTAGAAAAAAAAATACTAGCATTTTCAATCATCTGTGAAGTCACTTACACCAGAAAGAATTCGCTTCCCACTTACTTTCTTCTGAAGCAACTGCTTAGAAGGCAGCTCTTGAATAAATTCACCATCGACCACAGGCTGAAAAGCCCAAGTCCCCCATTCGCCTGAAATCGAGACATTGGCACTGGCATATTGCAAAGTAATGGTATCTGCGTTCACAAGGCACTCAAAGACAGCTGACTGCGAGCTATTGCTTTCTTGATCACACCCTGCTCGCGACACAAAGTGCTGGTAATGATTCATCGGTACTTCATCGTCGTACTGATACATAGCCGGAGTGTAGGGACTGGCGGCTATTATCTACGCCAGGTCAGTACGAGTTCCAAAAGCAATAAAGTCAAGCTCACATTATTGAACAAAGTATCCTCACGACCGCCATAGGCCATTGCTTGTAACATCGCCGAGGCAGCCCCAGAAGATTCACCGCCGACTGTAACGCGCGAGGCATCACCACCGAACTTCTCGATATTCTTCTGGACCCATTCTAGAGCGAATCGCATATCAAGTAGTCCTGCATTGACTTTTCCGTATTTTTGTATGTCTTCTGATGCTAAGAAGCCAAAGGCGCCCAGTCTGTACTGGATCATGACTGTAATGAAGCCATTACTATTTGTGTTGATCCACTCACTGGGGTCATACTCGGCTCCGAAAAGACCATATCCACCGCCATCTATGATAGTTAGAAATTCCCAGTCTGGTATCATTTTTGGACTGATGAGTAGACTCACGGATCCAAAGAAGTACAGGTAGCCCTTTAGCATTAGGCGGTGCGTAAACATTCATAAACAAGCAGTCCTCATTGCCAAGAGCTGAACCAAACCCATATATTTCGGGAAGTTTCGCACCACCAGATTGTGGACAGAGTGGAGGCTGCTCGGTTGCAGAGTGAATAGAAGATCTGTTTCTTAGAGGTGCTTGCGGGGCTTGCCAGCGTAGTTTACCAACAGGAGGAGCTGCATATCGGATTCTATGAAACAGTAAGCAAGGATATCACAAACTGGAATTTCAATTAAATATGTATTTTTTTACCCTTTGAAAATGTTCAGGTCATAGGTACTGTTATAATACCCTTGATAAGTAGTATAGTTCAAATCAACTAGCGGGCTTGTTTGGACAGGTGTTGCAAAACAATTTGAAGTCAGCGTGGTGAGGGCAAGAAAAGAAATGCTAGTGATTTTATTAGTAGCTATGAAGACCATTTTATCCGTTCTCCACTGCTTTGAATTGTAATGAGGATAATGAGAACAAGTAAGAGGAAGAGTGTTCTTTCTACCACTTGCAGCATGAGGATCGGTGAGGTCGCCGATCATAGCCCCTTGTGTATAGTTCGAGTCATGCAAGATCCCAGCCTCGCTTACTTGTTACTACAGTAGTACTTTTGATTTGATAAAATATCTCGTTTCCAGGTTTATTCTGAAATTAATAAATCCTTTAAACCTTGAATGAGATTGGAGATCAGGGATTTATAAAGGATGTGTCGAGAACTGAGTACGGGAGGAGATACTCTCCAAGTATGAGGCTCAACTAGTGTTTCAAGTGTCCTAAGTCCAATTTAGTAAAGAATAGCACTTCCAAATTCATGTTATCTCGGGCACAAAATCATAGCGTAGCATAATGTCAGTCAAGTATCCAAAAAGGAAAAAATATGAAAAATTGAAAACCACGGCAGTATACAAGGCTCGCAAGGCTCGTAAACTTAGTAAAACATCACTCTGCACCTGGGCAGTCTATTCCATCGCTTCCCTCTTAAACAGCTTCAAAATAAGCTCATTCTCACACGCAGCAGCAATATCAACACTTGTTCTCTGTCTCCTATCCTCAGCCATAGGATCCAATCCCAGATCCATCAACCGCTTGAATCGTACCACTCCTGTCCGTTTTGCGCCTTTTTTTTCCATTCTCGAGCGATTAAGTTCAAAGACATCCCTGATTGCCAGTTTAGCGCCAGCGATGGCATGGAGCAGGGTCGAACCATCATTACTCTTAGTAAAGATATCGGCGCCGGACTCAACGAGGAAATCGAATGATTTGCTTTCATGAGTCGGGTCACTTTCTTCTAAGGAGCATATAGAGTTGTTTCCTGTACTCATGAGTTGGAAGAGGGGGGGTTTCTCCTTTGTTGTTGCGGGAGTTAATGTCAACGCCTGCTTGGAGGAACCTTTGAAAGAGCTCTCCTTTCCATTCGTGCTCGAATCTGGCAATGCGGTGGAGGCCTGTTTGTCCGTGCTTGTCTGGTTGGAGAGGGTTTGCTCCATGGTCTAGAAGAATTTCAACCAGTGCAAAACAATTTTCACGAAGGGCATGATGAAGAGCCGTCTCATTGGCGTTGTCGGTTATGTTTACAAGGCTCGGGTTGGCCTTCACGGTGGTCTGAAGCATGTCGAGATCAGCTTTCTCGGTATGAGGCCCAACATGATGCAAAAATGTTTTCCCCTCAATGTCCTGGGCTAGAGCGTTGGCTCCACGATTGATGAGTTCTTGAAAATAGTTCATGGAATTTGGCTTTTTGTGTGAGTAGGACTTTCGACCGAGACTCTTGGATGCAGCTAAGAGCAGCGTGCAATCATTCTCGTCACGGTACTCGAGATCCAAAGATGGTAGATTGAAGAATGGCTCAAAGACTTCATTAGCACTGAGGATTTCATGAAGAACAGTTGCAGTTACAACTGGGAAGTCTTTGGGTTCTCCAATGATTGAGCCATCGCGATCTTTTGGCTGGAATTCCTGCTTGGAGAAGGTAGCATATGGATCACATGCTCTGTCTTTTAGGAGAACCTCTAGCAATCGTTTTCTAATTGAAAAAATTGTATCCAGTGATAGTGAAGGTGTTTTGAGAGTCCCGCGTATAGCTGCGTATAGCAGTGGCAAGGCTCCATCAACGACTTTGAAGTAAGCCGATTTAATCCCGTAAAAAAGTTCCGCTGGGAGTAGTTGGCTCACAATCTCATTTCCACCATGAGATAATAAAGCTTCAAGAATTTCGACCCTCCCATGATCAAGAGCAGAGAGTACAGCCTTTTTATTGGCTTTGGCGCCATGTGAAATCAACAATCTGATCATATCCGGATCGTTGCCAGCCGATTGAAGACACCCAATGTCATTGGTACTAACTGCATTGACATCCGCACCAGCTTTGATCAGAATGATAGCAGCTTCCTTGGAGAATGGATTATTGGAATTGAGGGAAACAAAAAGAGGTGTCTGCCCCTCTATATTCCGAATATCCATATCAGCGCCCATTTGAATCAAATATGGTAACGCTTTGTTCACATGCCACCAGAGCTTTCCAGTCGCAAGATCATGCAATGCCCCTCTCGTAAATTCTACACTATGTCCTCGGTCACGATATATGCGCTCCGTGCATTTGGCATTGATGTTGACCCCAAAATTTTCAACGATCAGCTTCAAAGTCTCCATATTGGGAAGGTCTCTTTCGCAGGCAGACAGGATCAGAGGCTTATGGGTTCTCGGATTGCTCTTTTTCTCAGGGCTAGGGTCCAAGTAAACGATATCAAGCTTGGTTGCCATCTCACGAGTACACACTCTGCTGAGAAGCTCAGAAAATCCCCATCGAGCAAGCATATTCAGCGGTATGGATACCTTGTCATCAGGGTTGACCAGGAGACTTCTTTCTTTTGAGATTCTTTCGAACAAATCATAGTATCTCAAGGCCAAAGCATTTCCAAGTGGTCTTTCTTGTATGGATGCAGCGTGTATTTTTAACTGAGCTTTGTTCTTTTCATCTTCATCTTGGGGCTTACTCTTTTCAATGGTTTCTTCCATTGCTTTACGAGAATTCATCGCCAAGGATATTCTCATATCTTGATCAATGTCGTCGAGAATAGACCTGTAATCCCCAATGCACTTGTCACCCCCAATAACATAAGTCAATGTCAATGGTGTTGGCTTGGGAGGGAGACAAGAAATCGTATACCCATATTCAGGTTGCGCAGCAATTTCCCAAGCAGACCTTAGAGACATGATATCGCTCTCAAGATCAAGACCATGTTTAAAAAGGAGTTCTATAATCTCAGCCAAACGTGTTGTGTCATGCTCTGAGTTGATCATTCCAAAGGTGGGCTTGATATCATCGTGAACTCGATCAAGGAATGGACGTGTCTCATCCCTCAGCGTGAGACCTGCTGCATTGAGGCCTCTATTTCCTCTGATCACTAGTGGCATTCGGAGATCCCAACGCAAGGCTTCCTTTTCATACTCCGCACATATTGCAAGAGCCGAGTGCTTGGAAGTATCAAGAATCTTGACATCCACACCCGCCTCAATCAAGGATTTTACGGTCTCGGGTCGGCCAGAGCGGCATGCATAGTGAAGGGCAGTCCGACCATCTGCATCTTGACTGTTCATGAATTCCAAGCGACTTTCATCTTCTAAAGATGTGGCTTGAGATATTATCATGTCGACAATACCGGACTGTCGTGCTTGCGCCGCAAGATGAAGGACGGTCATCTTATCATGAGTACGTGCTCGAATATCGGCGCCAGCATTTAGAAGCTTGTGAACAAATACTTCTGAGATTGTAGCAGCAATATGCAGTGGCTGTATGCCCTCGTGATCAATAGGAGCCGAAGATTCACTGACTCTAAGGATATAATCAAGGGGTTCGTAGGTTTCCTTTGAGGAGTTGTCTCTCGAACAGGCAGTATGCAGAACAGTTCGGCCTTGGTGATTACGTTGGTTGATGTTCATGCCGATTTTTATCAACCGTTGCAGCAAGTTTTTCTTGTCTCTGGTTGGATATCGGGTTGATGTATTAGCAATAAGTGCATGGAGCGGTGTGTTACCATCATAATCCGATACCAAAGGATCAAGATCCAAGCTTTGTAGACAAGATAAGATTTCAGGATTCTCAATTGCACGGTGCCACAAAGTTTGGCCGCGGTGGTTACGTGTATCAAGCCGGGCACCCAAGCTGACAAGACGATCCAGCATTGATGAAGTATTATTTCCAGGGATTATCCGGCATGATGACAAGTGACGAAAAAGAACCGACTCGCCCTTACGGTTCTGCGCTTCTAGATCGGCCCCGGCTAAGACAAGGCTTTTGATGATGTTCTCTTCAGTGTTCTGCGACATTACATGCAGTGGAGTGTTTCCCTCTTCGTCCTTTAGATTCGGATCTGCACCTGCAGACAGAAGCGCGTCAATCATATCGCATTTGATCAGGCGACTCGGACCCATGAAGACCAGATGCAAGACTCCATGGCCTTTGGAATCGGTTGCATTTATATCGGGCTTATATTTCAAAAACTTGATAATGCTTTCGTTATCGAAGTTGCAGTCTGCAATTCGACAAAGCAAAGGAGTCTTTCCATCCTTCTTTCTGGGCTTGTTGATGTCTACTTTCCCACTCGATATGAGGAGTGATAAGGCTTCATCTTTGATCGACTTGGAGGAATGGAGGGGTGTCTCTCCTGCATCGTCCTCTGCAGTAGGATCCGCACCCGCCTCTAGCAAAGGCTTGATAAGTTCGACAGACCACTCGATGGCGTAGTGCAGAGCCGTCGAGCCGCCGGGTGCTTGTGCATTGACATCCACCCCAGCTTCAAGGAGAAGCTTCACACATTCTGCGAGATGCTTACAGTCATATCCACCACTACCAGGCCCTCTACACAGAGCATGAAGCGCTGTGCATCCCCAGCTTCCAGGCTCGGAATCGGATTTCTTCCCAAATATAGTGGATTTGAGAAAGAAAGTTCTGGATAAATAGCCGTGGTGGAGGTCTGGGTTCCCGCATCGCACGTTTGCGTCGGCGCCAGCCCTGACCAGCAGTTCGATTGTCTTGATTTCTTTCATCTTACAGGCGAGAAATAGTGCTGTGTCACCCTCCAACTTAACATTGACATCAATTCCAGGTTGTTGTAGTATTAGGTCCACAATGTTTGAGCGAGCTTTCTCGGCTGCCCAATGGAGCGCATTGTGCAGATCTTCGACATTCTGTAACAGTGGAACAAATTCGGCGACTGTCTCTAGATGACCAGCATAGCACGCATACATTAAAGGTGTTTCTCCTATGGTTTTCTTGCGCTCACGAGGATGGAAACGGCGCTCTGCGCCTTGAGATTTGTTTTCCTTTGTCTTCGGCGTCAAAGGGTCAACTCCAGCAGCGAGTAAGACTTTAACAGTCTCCACATGGTTCGATTTCGCGGCTAGGTGCAGTGGCTTGAGCCCTTCTTTTCCTTCAGTATTGGGGTCGGCTCCATGGTCAATCAATACCTGGACAACATCTGCATGGCCATTTGACGCTGCTATGGATATGGGTAGCTCACGGCAGTTCTTGTCCATGAAGTCTTCTTTGGATAAGAGGTGCTTTGCAAATTGAGGTAGACCAGTTCGAGCAGCGATTCTAATCGATGTTAATTTCTCGATCTTTGAGTTTTGGCAGGTAAAATCCAGCCAAGCCTCGTATCTGTCTGTTTCAGCAAAGAAGACATCAAGATCATCGTGGAAGTTTTGCATGTTCTCGCCCGATGTCTCTGCGCGATGGGCGTGCGTGCACCAGTTATTCGCTGCGTACTCTAGGAATGGAAACTGTAATCGAAATTCACGCTTTTTTTCCTGCTTTCCATTGTTGAATCGGCTATTGCTCTCGCCTGGGGTACGATTTGTCACCTCCTCTAACCTGTCGAGACATCCTGCTCGCAGATACAACAAACATGCAGAAGCAAGTTGTGAATTGATTGGACCAGCTTCAAGAATTGGATACTCGGAGCTGTCTGAGGATTTTGATCTTGTATACCCCTTGAGAAATTCGGTAAATGAGTGATGAATCACCGACACAGTCTCATCTGACAGGATCTCCAAAAGAGGCCCACAAGCAGCTCTGACCAGGTCTTTGGTTTCCTTCAGGGTTCGATTGCTGTCTGGGTTTCGTGTATTGATCATTTCAGCAATCTCAAGAAGTCGCAATGGACGTGTCGCATGTGTGGCAAATTGAAGAATAAGCTGTTGGAGTTCAAATGGCACATTTGATCGTCGAGAATGTTCTTGCAGTAGCTCATTATACATGGTGTTGAGATCCATTGGCAGTGCTTTCAGAACCTCTTGTACATCCGCACCAGGTTCAAGGAAGGCATCCATGGACATTTTTGCGTATAGAAACATCCCGTTTGCTCGACCGGGAATTGCTTCTTCAATAACGCTGCAGTGTTCTTTGGCGATGGAAGATCTGCGAAGCCTATACTGGACATATGCTCCAATGTCGAGGTCTACCATTCGTTCCTCCAGCCGGATTTGAGGAATAGAAATCATGGATGATCTCAAGGACGTTTCCAATCGGGCGATTGGGCGCGAGGTCATCAAAACCTTGATTTTCTTTGGACGCCAACGGCCGAGATCAACCAATCCATGGAGAAAGTCGTCATTCCCTAGGTCCATCTCATCCAAAGCATCTGTCACACAATAGACACTGGGTAGTCCGCTCAATGCCATCTTGAGGTCATCCCACAGATCCATCGGTGACAAGTCGTCAAGAGACCGTTTGTCTTTGACATATTGGTCAAGTTTTACTTGTAACGGAGGACTGTAGTCCAGAATTTGACACAGCCAGTCTCGTAACGCAACGATGGGCTTGTGATTAGCTTCAATGATCTGTCGGAAGAAGAAATAGATTACTGGAACATGCATATCATGTACTAGCTGTTTGATTATCGAAGCAGCCATGACTGACTTTCCGGAGCCGGGTATGCCTTTGATCCACAGCAACCCGTTGTCGCCAGAGTGCCATTGCTGATAGACTGGGGTCGATGTGAGCCAAGCACCAGTTCCAAGTAGGTGTGAGGCGCGATGTCTAGAATATTCGCTTCTTTCGAAGTCGTACGGAGTTGGCTGAAGCCATTTTGTGATTTCAGCGAGATCTTTTGCAGGTAGTGGGAGAATGTTATCTGAGTTGAAGTCTCGAATATCTCCTGAACGAACCACAACGGTATCACCGTCGGAGTCTGATAGAGACATGGTTCAATATTGTAATTCAAGGACATTCAGTAGATAAAGACAGGTGTTTTCAAGAAACCGAGGTGCAGACGCTTGAGTCAGGGTAGGCGCTAAGACATCACCTAAGCATACGCTAGTTAAGCCTCACGGCCCCATCTCCATACTACTTGTTCCGCCCATCCCGGTCGGTTAGAAACGTTGTGGCCTCATGAGTCGTGACAAGTCATCTGAGTCACTAGCAATTCAAAGGTGCAGACTCCAAGTTGTCATAGAATAGGCATCCTCAACTTCAAGTTGGAATGCCTAGGTACTCCAGGGCTCTGACGGGAATTATTAAGGGCACCACAACTTTTTCTTAGGGACACCACAACTTGCTTACATAACCAAACTTTTTCAGCCGAAAAACTATCACCGAGCCAGCCAATATTAAGATAGAAAGTAAACAATCATTCCATAGAAATTTCTCCTTCTACCTGCCTACCTGCCTACCTATCTACACACCTACACACCTACAAACCTGTGTGCCTGATTTTAACATGGAGACCCTACTAGACCAAAGCTTTGATACCCGTGATAGCCTAGTACAGGCTATCAAATCACAGGCCTTACAAGCTGGATTTGTTACTACAATTGGTCGATCTGATAAAGGTCGTAATATTAGACTAATCTGTGATCAGTCTAATATCTATAATGATCGGATCAATACACAAGATGGAGCTGAACGTCGAAAAACTTGCACTAGACGTGTAAATTGCGCTTTTTTTTATCTATGCATGTAAATCTACACATAAAACATCAGACGGAAAGTGGCATATTACTAAATTCAACCTTACCCATACAGAACATGAGATTGATAAAGCTAATTTAATTATTCATCCAGGTGCCCGTCAGCTTACAGAACCCCAAAAACAACAAATTTATACCTATTTTGAACAGAATATTCAACCACATTCTATTTTAACCCTAATTAAATCTGATTATCCTACAATTCTAATTCAAATTACAGATATATATAATCTTCGAACACGTTATTTGAATGAAAAACTTCAAGATCAGACTAAAATACAATAGCTTATCGGACAGTTCTATATTCAGAACTGGAAATATCAGGTAAAAGCAAGCCCTGAGGGCCATATTGAATTTCTGATGTTTGCACATCCAAAGATGATTGAATATGCTAAGAAATTTAATAGGGTAATATGTCTTGATTGCACATATAAGACTAATATTTACAATATGCCACTTTTACACTTTATTGAGATCTCATCTAATAATAATTCTTTTAGTATAGCCTTTGGTCTGATGTTGAATGAGCAACAAATATCATATGAGTGGGCCTTGGAGACCCTATTTTCTTGGCTTGATCTAGGCCATATAACACAGCATATTACAGGCCCTGTTGACCTACCTATAGACCCAGCTATTGATCTAGCAATAGGCCCTGTTGACCTGCCTACAGACCCAGCTATCAATCTAGCAACAGGCCCTATTGATCTACCTACAGACCCAGCTATCAATCTAGCAACAGACCATGTTATAGGCTATGTTATAACCCCCCCCCCCCCCCCAAGCCCCTGTTCTAGTCACTGATCGAGACCTTGCTTTACTAGCTGCAATTCGGACAAAATACCCTATACTTCCACATCTTCTTTGTCTTTGGCATATCCAGCAAGCTGTTATAGCTAAATGTAGGCCTATTATAACAAAGAAAGACTCTCATGCCCACCGAACCCTTGAAAAAACAGACGAAACCCCTGAATATCTTAAAAAACTTTGGGACGAATTCTTTGAAGATGGCAAGGCATAATTGATTCTATATCCCTGTCTGAGTATCAATCAAGATTATTCAAATTCAAAGAAAAATATAAGACTAAATACCCCTCTCTTATCTTCTATCTTGAATCAACGTGGCTGGTTTATAAAGAAAAATTTGTAAAATATTGGACTAATTCATATCTTCATCTAGGTAATTCAACTACATCTCGGACCGAGGGAGCACATGCTGTTCTAAAGAAGTATATCAAAACTTCTAAATGTGATATTTTAACCCTTTGGTCTCGAATCTCACAAGCAATCAAACCACAGATTGATAAAATCGAGATTAAATCTCTTGAAGAGCAGACGAAAAGCCTTATTTCTATCCATGGAGAGTATCTTTTTCGATACTTGGATAAGAGAATTACTAGATTTGCTATAAATTTAGTAGATAAACAAGCTGACATAGCTAAAAGATGTACGTCTCAGGCCCCGTTGAAAGTTTGTACTAAGGGTTTTATCCGAACTATAGGTCTTCCATGTGCACATCAGATGAAAGCCTGGATTGATAGCAAACAGCCTATCCCTATATCGGCAATACACCCATTCTGGAGACTAGAACTAGGTGAATCCCCTACCTGGTCTCTACAAGAGCCTAGGGCCCCTAGTCCTAGGTCTAGGTGGCCTAGGCAGGGCAACGAAATTCATAGGCCTGCATTGATATCAACAGTGACGTTGGATATTCCAAAGCCCCCAAAGAAGGCACCAAAATGTTCTATGTGTGGGGTAGTTGGCCATACTATTAGGTCTTGTAAATAATTTGTCTAATAATTATAATAATTTGTCTTATTTTAATACTATACGTTGATACTGTAATTTTTTCGGCTGAAAAAGTTTGGTTATATAAGCAAGCTGTTATTAACTAACGTGATTAACGGTCGGCCGGTCGACCCCACCAATTTTCAAAAAACCATTAATTTTTAATAACAATTAAAACAATAAAAACAACAAAATATTAACTATTAAACACGTCCAGGGCATTTAGAATAAGCATGACCTTGGATTCCACACCCAGAGCACTTAATTTGTCGACGAATAATAGGCGCAGAGGGTAAAGTTGGCTCAATCGTTGGTTCTACCTGCGCCTGTGGTAAAGATATATCTTTGCTTTTAACCTCATCCTCGACCACCACATCATCCTGACCACCTTCTAGGCCTCCAAATAGGCCTTTTTGAAGGGTAAATTTATGCTTAATAGCACGTTTTTTGACTTGTTTTTTATTGGTCGCCTCCAATTGGCTACAACGATCTTGGAGAAAAATGTGGTTGTGGACTATCTTTATAGTCATATTGTAGGGCCGTTCAATCTCTCGTTTAATCGGTGACGATATGATCGAAGACGAGGATTCTAGGCCTTTTTTGACCAAAGATTGCGATTTTGTAAATTTTGAAAGCGTCTAAAGCGTATTTTGATCGCTATCACTGCCTGACGATATTGGTTGTTGATCGAGAGGGGGAAGAGAATCTAGGCAGATATTCAATTTTTCTAGGACCCTATTAGCATTAAATGGTGCTAGTCCAGTAGCTAAAAAGCTATTTTGGATAGTAGGGCCCTTGAAAGTATTGAGTCTTGCTTCAGCTATTATCTCAAGGAAATCTTCCTTGTCAATAGAATTGACTCCATTCCGTATCAAAGTTGATACTGCACTACCATATAACCTTTTCAACACCGAAAAACAACCTACATCCAAAGGCTGTAAAAGATATAAAGCATATAGAGGTATACAGATTGCAATGATCTGGTTTTCCTCACAAAGTTGGTCAAATTCAGGGGTTAAATGACTCCTATAACCATCGAGGACTAGTAGGCAATATTTCCCAACTCTTGCACCAATATTTGGAATAAAATGATGTTTTAACCACCATAAACCAATTGTATTTATAGTCCAACCATTCTCACTTAAAGTTAAGCGAGATCCTTTTTGGTTTTGAAGGAGAAAAGGACGTAAATGTTCTGGAAACATTTTACCCTTGAAAATAAAGAGTGGAGGCAACACACTTCCAGAAGCTCGAATACATTCAATAATCGTTACCCATTCACGATTTCCAGATTGTAGAAGATGTCGTTTTCCATGGTATTCTGCTGAAGTGATGATTTTTTGTGTTGAGCTAATACCCATTGCAAAACCACTCTCATCAAAGTTGAAAATATCATCCGAAACGATACCCCACTTTTCAATTGTTTTTTGAACCAAATCAAACCATGGCGCAATGATTCGAGGATCTTCTGATAAAGCTCTCTGATAGTCATATCGTCTTGAGAATCGACTAGCAAGATTTTCACGTCGTTTGATAAATTGGGATGGCCAATTTATACCAACAGTAGAGGGTGTTGTTGAAGATATAGTTTTCCGCGCTTGAAGAAGAAGATTGGCCATATCTCGTAACATAGACTGATTGAGAGCTGCACCTCTAGAATCCATATCCAATAGCCAATTTTCTATTGATTTTTCTTCAATCTGAGAGAAAATATGACGTCCATTCCTCCTATCATTCAAAGAGTCACGACCGTTAAGCCGGGCCCGTAAAGTTGAGACCGGTACTTGAAACGATCGGGCAGCACCAAGAACAGAGGGATATTGACCATCTTTTATAGCTTTTATAGCTAATAAAAGGCGACCCTCCTGCTCTATTAGCTTTTTTTTTTGATCAGAGCGTTGGGGTGGCATGTTTATTGTGCTTAAGAAAGAGGGTTTGTTTTTTAAGTGGATTTTTGGTGGGGTTGTTCGGGTGACCGTGTTGTTCGGGTGACCGTGGACCACGTTAAGTGTTATTACATAAGCGTTTTGTGCTCCGTCTAGTAAAAAAGTGTGCTCCCCTTACCGGTACCCGTGTGATGTGCCAGGTACCTTGGAACTTGAAGTGCGGGGTCATATCTGACCTTGACATTGGAAAGTAAGTGCCCACACGTGGGCATGCAGTTCAAATGTTGCAACTTGTATTGAAATTCCGCCAGTAGAGCGAACATTTGAAGGCGTGAGCCCTGGTAGGTCTGTGCAAAGTTCATCATGATGCTAACTAGGTACCACCACTGGGAATTGCTAATACATATATATATCCTGATTTAGAGTCTACTCGACAGCAGTGAGGGTATCCTACTACCACTAGAAATGGTATTGGTAGACTCGAAGCAAATCTGTAATTGAAAAGCTACCTCAGATGAAACTCCATAATAGGATACATACTTCAGTTGAAATAAGATATAGTTCAAGTTACTCCCATGGATATACCGATATAAATTCCTGCCTAAGGCTTAAATATTACCTAAACTCAATATAGTGGATATCCGATTATTCCGAGTAACCAATAGGAATTTGTTACCAACCCCACCACCCCACCCAGATTTGTTTTCTGGTCATATAGCCAATTTTTGTGATCTTTCTAACAAGGCCGGCTGGCCCAATGGCAAGGCGCTTGACTACGAATCAAGAGATTGCAGGTTCGACCCCTGCGTCGGTCAATTCTTTTTTGCTTTTTCTATCTATTTTTGTGCGAATAGATGGTGAGATTGCTATTTGACTTGCCAAGAGCATATTCATTAAAGTTGCGTAAGTGGATGGTGAGCCTCATTATATTATAATTTTTTTGCCCACAGGGTTAAAACATTGAATTGGTACTCTCCAAAACCAGCACTTTGGAATCATCAACTAGGTTCAAACATTCAAATGTTTGAATTAATCGGAGCCTGAATCCAAAACTTGAACTAGCCATGTAAACCCATATAATATCTTCTTAGAGCTTCAAGTTCCAGCATTTGATACTATGTACCTGCGGTTAGTGTAGTATGAATGATTCAGAAAAGCATAAAATACGCCGTTTATTACTTCAAATATCCATACTGGTACAACTGCAGAGCCGTGGCGTGGAAAGGAATTCTAACTCCACATAGCTGTAGTCTACTAGTAGATGAAGACAAACTCTCTAGTTTCAATCTGATAGTCGCACATGAAGGCATATATTCTAACATAAAACGACTCTTCTACCATTCAGGCTAAGAGACACTATTCACAAAAATTTTATTAAAATTCGAGCCGGAACGCCAATAGTACCACATGACACAAATGCAAAATGCTTCGCTCAAGCCCCAATCAAGACTGCATCTTGTTGCTGTTATCCTCGTTGAACTGATCCCGGGCAACGGTGAATTTCTCAGTAACGACATCACAGAGGTCCATCAGGTCAGCGAATCCCTTGTTGAGGGCTTCGAGGGCAGTGGTTGAATCTAGAAAATAAGTCAATTAGTTCACGGTTCTAATAGAGTTACACATGTTCAGGAATGAGCACTGGCTTACCGGTAGTTTGAATACGGAGGTGCATCTTAGCATCAGAGGGGTGGGGGATAGTGTAACCACAGAACTCAACAGCAGGGCTAAAGAAATCAGTATACGATTCAATAATGGGTACCAACAAGCCCTTGACCCGTCGTATTGATACATGAATACTCACTTCTTCATGATAGCATATCGGAGCGCATTGCCCATAGTGTGACCCTCTCCCTCAAACTGGAATGAAGCAGCAGTCTCTGAGGAACCGGGAAGCTAGAAAAAAGAGTCAGACATGTGTCAATTGTCGATGAAGCCTTCGGTACATACCACCAGGATGCGGCGCTCATCCAGAACAAGCTCTTCTTGGGGCTGCTCAACGTCGACCATAGACTGATCTTGAGGATCTTGGGAGTGAACGGAGCCAGGCATTGTGATATGGAAGGTCGAATTGACGAGGGGAAATCGCGAGTGGGTGGTATTTGGTTGCGGCTGAGGCTTTGCGGACTCGTTCGTGATCGCAGAATTTGCGGAGTAAATTGAGGAGTTCCGGGAGAATGAATTTATAAAAGAAATTGTACTTGAAGTGCAGACGATTGCAGGTCAAGAAATAAATAGCAAGAGTGACGTCCTGGTCCTTTCGATTTGCATCGATTTGCGCAAGAAAAAAAAAGTGGGTTTATCGATAGAGGGGCCTACCGCTTTCTTCTTTGGGACATTTACATGTAGCCCTGGAGTCCTGGCATCATAAGTCGAGCCTTTCAGTAGTAAAATTTGGGAAATTATGATCGGTCAGTGGTCTTTATGACAATGAATGTATGCTGCCTGAATATGACAATATTCAACTATTTGATAGGCGAGCTATACAAGACATGTTCTTCACCACCGAAGTGAGGTTGTATATCACGTGATACCGTATATTTGCTTATATAATATAGTGTAAAATGACAGCTCAAGCCACCTGGGTATGTTTTGCATTAGAACTTCCAAGGTTGTAGACAATAAATCAGGCCTTTTCAGCAGTTTAACTTGAAGTTGCATGGGTTAAGCCGACACGTTGAATAGAAAGTCCAAGTCTCTTTTGTTTGTGTCAAGGATCCCGAATAGCATCACGGGTATATGCCGATGCTGCCAAGCGCGATTGAGTGGATTTGTCATTACCAGTAGATTAGCGCGGACCAAGGGATTGGCATGTTTGATGAATCGAAGCATCCAATTGTTATTATGTGGAAGGACATTATGGTGGTCTGTACTCTGTACCCATGATTCGTGAACCGACTCTCCCGAGGTCCGGAGTACTGAAGAACTTAAGTTCCTACTTCGTATTCAGCCACTGATCAATATTTTGTAATTTTATGATGTTTGCTTTTGAGTGCCATGGCAGCCTGAGACTAAACAGACCTGTCAATTTGAAGAAGATTTTATAGTAGTATTTTGGGGATTAAAATCAATCCCGAGGTCATCTATCGCATCCAACTGAGCTGAACCTGTGTGGGGCATCACGGGCAGCCTAATGTCGGATCTTGTTACGCCACTAGGACTAGTATCCTCAAATGACCCTTGAATCAAACATTTGAATTCTGAGATTGTTTAATCTGAATTTTGAGGATTAGATCGGATTTATATCAAAACAGTTCATGTATGGAGTAAACATTTGAACCTTGGAAGAGATTTAAAGTATTAACACATGACTGAACTGGTCCCGAATGAAACTAATCTGAGACGATTTGAACCCCGGGACAAGCCACTCTGCATAGTGGATTCAGCAGGATCAGAATTCTTGATTTCTTTTCTTTTTTTTTTCTATTTTTTTTTTGGCCGGTAAAAGTCTCCGTGCACTTGTGACACTGAGTTCAGGGCGAATGATCCACCCAGGGGCCATAGCTTTGTCTGGACTCTGGAACATGTGTTAGTTTGGGGCAAAAGATCAGAAAAAAAAAATTCTCTCATACCGAGTCAAAAAAAAAGATAATGATAGGAAATTTCTATTCAAAATTGAGTATCTCTGATTGAATTAGTAATGAGAGAGATATGGCCCCAACATCCATGAATCACCTGGTTCATCCTATAGGTTATGGGGATGCAGCCCCCAAAGAGACGTCACACTTGATGCACCATACTGGTTGTCGCTGTAAGCGCCATGTTTGAGCTCGAACGTGTGCCACGATGTGATCTGCCAGGATGAGGTCAGTGGGCACGGTCGCCGATCAGGGCTAGGCTTCTGGGGGCTATATGGTACTGTATTAGTCTAGTATCTGTATATTATTTTATCTTAGCCCTAGGTAGAGAGGTAGAGAGGTAGAGAAGAGTTTTGTCATATCAATAGTCTATATATTATATTCGATATCAGAATTTTTAATCAAATTTATACCTTATAGGAGATACACAAGGCAAAAATTCCATCTAAAATCAATTTAACATAAAATCTGTTTCATCCTAAACACTTCGTGTCTCAGATTCTGATACCATAGAGGAGCCCCTTCTCCACTATGAACCCAATAGCAAACTAATTAGTACTAATTAGTACATGTATTTATCTTGTACCTGGAACCCGGGGCTGGTGAATTTCTACCTTAATTACCAGTACTAAATCAGTACTAACATAGTATAAATCAAAATGCCAAAGTACCCGGTACCTCCGTACTAACATGGACTCCGTACTCCCTTAAACCTTTGAAACCCCCTGGTGCCTTTAGTTTACCCCCCTTCTGGGTCCTGAATATTACTTCTTACTTCTTCCCCCTGGGTACTTTTTTTTTTACTGTACAATTCTACGGTCCATTTCCCTCGCTTGTTGCTCTGGACCCGTTTGTCTCTTTTTGTTCCTTTTTCTTCCTGCGATCTGTCACACTGCTTGCCGCCTAACCGCCGAGCTTCCCCCCCTCCACACCATCTTCTTTCTCCTAATCCCGCCTCTTTACGCCAATTTCCTAGTAAAGAGGAACTTAGTTCGGTCAACTATTGAGTTATTCAACTTTCCTAGGTGAAGAGGCCTCAACTGTGGGACTCCAACCGCGAAAGCATCGCCTTTCTGTTTCATTAATGCGCTCCTAAAAACCCCGGGGTGCGTGGACGCCGATCGCCGTACAGGGAAACGACACGAATCACCGAAAAAAAAGAGAGCGTCAGAGTCGACAGAAAGAAGAAAAAGAAGGGAGATCAGTCTGATTCGGTTGAACAAGAGAGAATAATATTGTCAAACTGCGCTCTACACCTGTCACCATGTCGACGGCAGTTGCATCCGCGGCTGCGGCGCCCTTATCCTCGCCGCATACCACCCGTGATCCCAGCCCCAAGAACTGCCCGACCTTAATTCCTCCGCCTGCGGTGAATTCCTCTCCACCTCGGCCAACAGCTTCGCGAGATGCGCCGCAAGGAACACCCGAGAACAAGGCCCCATCGCCGTAAGTGGTGAATCCCGAATCGCAAAGCTCAAAAAAGTGGACCAAGGCTAATTATCCAATTTTTCCCCCTTGTATAGGTCTCAAGGCAGTGCCGGTCCGAAGATAACCGTGAAAAAGGAACCGGCTTCTCCTCCGCGCATGAGTCGCCCTCGTCCCCGAAAGCTGGATCTCTCGACAAGTCTTCCTACCTCCAGCGGTTTGACCGTCCGACCACCCGGAGGGCCCATGACCGCTCGCGACGTCAGTATGCAAGATGTAGGCCTAGCCTGCTTGTCGCCGGGCTTTCAAACCCATGATCCAGTGATGAGAGAACAGCTTCAGCGGAGTCTCTCCGTGCGCGATCAACAGCGATCAATAATCGAGTCGCGACTACAGAGATCTGCCAAGGATGATGGACCGGACGGTATCAGGCCATCTATGGTGGGTTTCATGGGAATGCCACCAACAGGTAGCTCAAAGCGACGCCCGCCGCCAGGTCTCTCAATCGTTCCACCTTCGGCATCGCAATTCGCAAATGAGCGAGTCATTCAATCTGCTCCATTGAACCAGAGCTTTACCGGTCGATACCAACCCCAACCATTGACCCGCCATGTTGTCAACCAGAGCCCAACTCTAGGCTCGACTTCTCACATGCATCAGATCCCGGCTCCTCAGACCAACAATCGCTTGCCTCCACTATCAGATGTATTTGGGTCCGATGCACTTGGCGCCCGGGATAGAGAACCCGTCCGTCAGACTCTATACGTGAATGCGTCGAGCAGCAATTCTTCGCAGTCCAATTTGGCCCCCATGCCATCGCCGGGACTGCCACCAAATACGTCTCAGACCCCCACTCGGCTCCGTGAATATCGGTCTGCGGAAGAAGCCGTGCAGGAATTGTCTGGCGGTCGGGAAGATCTACTTCCCCGAATCGTGCATTATGGGGGCCATCAACCTCCTACTCCACCGTCGCCTCAGACTTTGTATGCAGCTCCCAAAACGGCCCCCCTGGTGAGTGAACCAGGCCCCATGGTGCCTCCGGCCCCTACTTTCCCGCCTGCCGATATCACTGCACGCCGTCGTCCTCGCAGCGAATACGAAAATGACAACGGTAGCCCACCTTTGGGCCATGGTCCTGATTCTCATTTCCGACCAAATCCTGCAACCATGCCTGGCCCCAATGCTACTTTCCATGGTCCCTTTGGAGCAGGAAGAGATTCACCCGAGACTCAACGGAAGAAGAAAGAAGAGTTCCTCGGCCTTTGTTCCCGGGCCTGGGATCTCTTCCACTCGTGAGCACTGCATATACCATATACTGCCTGAGGCATTGAGATTTTCTAGCTCTCATTTGGTTAAACATTTCCTATGACTTGAGCTTCTGTGAAGCCGGTCAATTACAAGGATCTCCTGCTTCTCTGCAAAGCTGCATTGGTTGTATAGAGGTCCTGATGCGGGTGGTTTTGATTTTTCATTCCCCTCCAAAAAAAACAAAAAGAAAACAAATAAACACAAAGGCCAACAAATCAAGGCCTTTTCTTAAGGCTATGTTTCTCATTTGACTCTTGGCTGGTCTTCAGTGGCCTAGTCTGGGTCTTGATACCCTTCACATATATGACACTCATGTTTATACCTCTCATCTCTTATCTATGGCACGACAGTGGTGAGCCTGTGGCTCTTGGAAAATTCTGTGGATCATGCATTTTGATTTTGACTGGCGTTTTTGGGGGAGTTTTTGATTTTCTACTATATACCTCTTTTCTTTCTGGATGTCATTTTTCAATTTTCAATTTTTATTTTGTGGGATTTAGCATTTGTGAATGGGCCTTCGATGCAAGTTTTGTCTTCAGCGGACTAATGCTGGCTTCACCTAATACATATGGCTGGAATCTAATGATGTAGTGAACAGGGTATTGACCATTGAAGTAATTGATGTCAATTCTATGTATATTTCAAATAAAGAGTAGATCTTGAACTTTTGGGGTATCTAATCAAGTCGACGACGCTTGACTCCTCCGTAACTTGGAGGCTCATCATCACCCATACCAGTGCCACGGCGTTCCCAAGGCATATCCTTCCGCTCCTTAGAAGCCATCTTCTTACGGCGACGCTCCAATGCCTTGGCCCGTTCCTTAGACTTCATGCCCTCGTACTTCTTCTCCAGAACCTGTTGCTTGAGATCGGATTTCTTGAGGAAGTACGGGTTACTCTTCTTGCCCTCACGCAGCATCTGCTTCTCACGCTTCTTATGATCAGCAATGATTTCTCGCTCCCGCTTCTTGTTCTCTGCAGTCTTCATCTTGTCTGTAGCGGATCGAATCTGCTTCTTCAATTGCTCCTTGTGTTGCAAATTCTTGGTCTTCGCAAATTGCTCCTTCAGATCCTTCAACTCAGATACCCGGTAATCATCCAAGAAGGAGTATGCTTTACTTGTTCCCTCCGAGAATCGACCTGCACCACTGTGTCCCATAACAGCAGCATCGAATCGAGGATCCCGTGCCTTTGCAACGGCGGGAGGTTCCACGATGATACGTTTCCTGGTAACAGCTCGTTTGGAGGATTGCACCATAGGCGCATGCTTAGATGTACGGGCCTTTTCATTCTTGTCCTTTTTGTCCTTGGCACTAGATCCCAAACCCTCAGCTTCTCGTTTCTGTTCGCGAGCTTCTCGGATACGGGTCCGAATGTCGTCGAGTGGGGAAGCGGTGGATGTAGACTCCTCGGTAGCTTTTGAGGACTTGCGCTTCTTAGGACCCATAGATGCTTGTGCTTTGGCTAGAGCGCCGAATGAAATGTTATTGAGGGAGGCTTTGAAATCTTCTTGGTCGTCTTCCTGGTCATCGGAAAGGTCTTGGTCGTCGAGATCTTCATCTTGGGAGTCCTCGTCTTCGTCCTCATCTTCACCCTCGCCTTCGGAGCCAAAATCAGAGCCATCTTCGTCCTATAGGAGCCTTATAATTAGAAAAAAAAGTATTCAGATGAAAATCGGGATTACATACGTCTTGCGATTGGAGGTCTTCATCAGACTCGTCATCCTCGGCACCTTCGCGCTGGATAGGCTCTTCGCTGACGTCGGAGTCGTCAGAATAGATCTCCTCAGCTGTCGGTCTTGCCCGTACACGACGGTTCAGCATATCTGAGATAGCCATTTTGAGAGAATATGGCAGTATTGTGACTGATAAGGAGCAGGCGACTCTAAATCGAATCGCAAAAAAAGAATAATACTGCCGCGATAGGCGGTGAGACCGATAACGGCTGATTAGATATTTTTTTGGATCAACATCAATGTACAGACTCATCCAATCTCGTTAAATGCCTGACCGTTGGTCAATTCCTGCTTATATATCTTCATTTCGCCTCAAATCCTGCAAACGTTTGCATAGCATTAATACTCAGGTACGACTCAATTTTAGATCTTGCCCAGTGGCTTGTGACTTTGAGTTCACTATAAAATCTACCTTTTCTTCATTTCTTAAACAACACCCTCTCGCAAAGCCCTCCAAATCCTCCAAGCTGTCGTATCCAAGCAAAAGACCTCGGCGCGGGTCGAACGCCGAGGGGCATCAGGTGTACTACGATCCACTGCCCCGATATGCGAACACCGTGCAAAATCCTATCCCAATGATGGTCGAGTCTATAGAACATGTACCGGGCACGAGGATACCTGGGGTGGCACCTCGGTATAATGAATACAGATCCGTGAATACATCACCACGGACGGGACCAGTCGCGAGCGGCCATACTCCATACCGCGATAACGCGACACAGTTCAGCGCTACGTACGGCCAGCAGAGATTCGACCCATACTACAGCCCTCAAAACGCTTTCACCTCATCTTCGGCATTACACCAACCCCAATCGAGATATGAAGTGTATACCCAGGCAGCACCCCAGGCAACACACCCATCCTCAGCGCCACTTCGCGCAGTCAACCCTCCGTCTTGGAATCCATTGAGTCCACATTCAGGCAACCTACCAAACGAACTGTCCACCGTGCCTTTTGCGAATCCACAGTTTTTTATGAAAGGCACACCAGCACAGTTTCCCATGATGTCTCTTACTCCTACGCCTCCATACATGGCCGGCCAACAGACGAGTCCAATGGCAGGACTACCGTCACAACTACCTGGGCTGATTGAACCGATGCCCCAAGCTCGGAGACAACGATCACTGACCCCGCCGATGAATGTCCCAAAGGCAACAGAAGCATACATGCAACAAGCGCAGGGGCAACCACAACGATGTCCAAAACGACCATTATTGATCATTCTCGATTTAAACGGCACTTTAATTTGTCGCAAACATCGGAAATACCCACCCGTCTTCGTTGAGCGTCACGGTCTATCTTCGTTCCTTGATGAGCTGTGCCGCAATTATTCCACAATGATCTGGACTAGTTCAAAACCACAGACTCTCAATGCTGTTGCGCAGAAACTGTTTCCTCCCGGGAAGGGTAAACGCAAACTTGTCGCTTGCTGGGGCCGCGACAAATTCGGATTGACGCCAAGACAATACAATGCGAAGTTGCAGGTGTATAAGGAGCTGGAGAAAGTCTGGGCCGATCCTGAGATCCAAGCAGCACACCCTGGTAACGGGGCTGTACCGCAGAAGGCTGGTGGTGGCAAGTTTGCTAAAAAGAAGGCCAAGGCTAAAGCTACAACTAAACGTCCTCCTGCAGGTCAGCGTTGGGATCAGACAAATACTATCCTCATCGACGACAGCAAGCTCAAGGCCCTCAGTGAGCCATACAACATCTTCGAGATCCCCGAGTTCACGAACGATCCCGATATTGATGAGACGACTCTCTTTCGCAGAGTTCTCGCGAGACTGGAGGCACTCGCGCACTATGACGATGTCAGCAAAGTGTTCCACGTCTGGGAGAAGCGTCAGATGTACGAGGATTGCAAGATCTTGGATTTGGATATCAGTCCCGAGTTACCAGTACCAGGACGCATCCCAGTCCTAGCGTCTGATGCTGAGCTCGATGAATCAGAGGATGGTGGCGCAAAGCTTCCAACTGCCGCTCAACCCCAGCCTCAGGGACAGAATGGAGGCCCACGTAAAAAGGGTCAACCTGATCCTCGCACCGATGAACAGAAGAAAGCAGATAAGAAGGCCAGAAAGATAGAGAAAAGGGCGAAGAAACGGGAACAGAAGGCTCAAGCTTTGGCTTTTAACCAGGATGCGAATCAGAATCAGACTGTACCATCTACCCAAGGAGGTCCTGTTGTCCCTACTGCTGATCCCAAAGCATTGTCTGACTCCATACTTTTGGCATCCCCAATACCTGGACCTGGCCAACCCGGCTACCGAAAAGCGCGCAAAGCTCTCAGAAAGACGCAAGTCGCGGAACGAGAGCGGTTGCGGAGAGAAGCACAAGAGCTTCGAGCCGAAACTGCCCAGTTGATCAAAGAAAACCCCAATGCCAATGCCTCAGGATACAATACCCGTTCTCAAGTATCGCTCGTTTCTGAACATGGGTCCGACGCTGAAGAGGAATATGATCCTGCCGCTCTTCCTGCAATTGCACCTGTCGTACCTGTTGCTCTTCCTGTCGCTACTACAGTGGAACCCAACATGACCGCGTCCTCTCCAGCTGCTCCAGCTACAAACCCCGAGGCCTGGAGTGCTATTCCTCTTGCAATGGAACAATCCCCAGTATCTCAAATCAGTGCTCGGCAACGATCAATTTCTCCAGCTACATCTGATGGATCTGATGTATCGAGAAACTCGCTTCTAGACCGATTGGAGGAGGGACTCGGATTGAAGAAGTAGAATTACTTTATTGAGTTATTCTCTATATTGTACTTGATCATTGATATAGTGCTGAAGCTTTTGTTGGATTTCAATGTTTATTTTATGATGTTTTGATATTCAAGTAGATATTATCATAGCCTGAATAATGTCATATCCCCACTACCATGCTTTCACAATTTTACTAAAACCATATATCTGATGCTGTACATAAAGTACCTATACTTGAATCATAGTATCATCTTAACTTGACGATCATCCTACTACATACTTGTACATCTTCAAGGTTTCACACTGAAACTGAAACTTGAAGTCATAGTTCAGACCGGATGACTTGTTAGATTCTTCATACCGAATTTATACGTCTACTAGAAGTACTAGAACAAAAAAAATGGTAATGATAGAAAAACTCGATAGATTTCATTAATTCAAACTATGAAATTTACGCAAGGTATGTCCCAGATCTTCAATGGACGTGTGCCATCACAGCTACTCAAAGCCACAAAACACAAATCTAGTACTCACTGGATAAAGAAAGAAATAAATCCTCCACTCGATATAAGCACTTCTTGGCACAACCACAGCCATGAAAGGGCTAGATTGCAATTTGACATCCGTGCTGGGAACTACGAATCTACAATCTCAAAGTCAAGTAAGTAAATGGAAAGGGAAGGGAAAGGCACAGGTGTAATAAACTCATCAGACCGCACGCAGTTCTGAATCCTTTATTTCAATTTGCTAGACAGTAACTAGCAGCGACCGAGCATTTTCTTTGTAGAAAAGCCAAGTCGATCATCTCGCATCGCAACGTATCATAACCGTGAACATGAACCACATCGGCGCGTAAAATTGTGTTTGAAGAAATTTTTGCAACCACCTCGCGTCACATCAAGTCAAGACGCGAGGATTTTGGAATGAAAAAGGGGGTGTATTTGTGTATTGGGGAAGAGAGAAAAGAGAAGCGGATGGACGTCATGAATTTTGTAGGCCAGATCTCGCATTCTCTGGGGTATTTCGGTGATGGCCAAAGGGAGAAAGGGGAAGAGGAAAGGGGGTGGCGGGGTGAGCCGCTTATTTGAAGACGTGGCCGTCAACCATGGGGAGAGTCTCGCCGTTGACGGTGACGGGGGTGTCCCAGGCCCAGATGTCCTCTACGTACTTGCGGTCAGACTCGGAGGTGTGGTCGAGCTTCTGGAAGTCGTAGCTCTCCCAGTCGGGGCCGACCTCGAAGGCAGGGGCGGACTCCTGGCCACGGACAAGGAAGACACCCTTGATGACACAGGCGTAGTTGGCGCCGAAGACACCCTGGCAACCGAAGAGGTACTTGCGGGAAGCCTCAAGACGAGCGTGGAAACCACCAATCAGGTTGTTGGCCATGAAGGTGAGCTTGAGCTCCTCGTTGTACTTGTAGTCAACCTTCCAGAGGGAGTACTCCTCGGGCTTGTAGTTCTGCCAGAACCAAGGCATGGCGACCTCGCGGGTGTCGTTGTTGGAGTACTCGCGCTTCCACTCATCAATGATGAGGGTAGGCTTGCCAAGAGCCTCAAGAGGGTGCTTGGGCTTGGGGGCCTCAGCGGCGGGCTTCTCCTCAACAGCGGCAGCGGGGGCAGCAGCGGGCTTGGGCTTCTCCTCCTTCTTGGGGGCAACGTACTTGATAACCTCCTCGGCGAACTTGGGCTCGGGGAAGACAGCCTTGAAGGCGTCCTGGTTAACAATGGTGTTGTACCAGCGGGTGATAGCGGGATTCTCGCTGCGGTACTCCTTGGCAAGGACAAGAGCGAAAGCACGGGTCAGGAGAGAAGCAGCGAAGAGATCAGCAAGGGTGATACGCTCGCCAACGAGATAGGTGTTCTCAGTCAGGTGCTTCTCGAGAACGGAGAGAGTGGCAACGGCGACCTTAGCGGCCTCCTCGTTGGTCTTCTTGTTGTAGGGCTCGGCACCGAGCAGAGGGCGGTACCAGGCAGCGAGGCGGGGAAGGGCCTCGCCGTTGATGAAGGACATCCAGCGGACGATGGAAGCATAGTCCTGCTTGGTCTTGCCAAGAAGGGTGGTCTTCTCGTTCTGGGAGGTCACTGATAAAACCAAAACACGTTAGTCGAGGTTGTTGACAAATTGGATACACAGGAACCAAAGGCATAGTGACAATGTGATCAAGCCAAAAGAAAAAAAGGGGGTGTGTAAATGTTCCAAATGCCCAAGCTCAATGAGAAAAAATTTTCCCCCTAAAGCGGGGTACTCCAAAATTTTCGTTGGGCAATGTTTTTGTTCAGAGTTTGTGGTTATCAACAGTGTAGTTCTGACAGGGATAACTAATAATGCTCATCATATAAAAAGGGGGGAGGCAGAATGGTTAAGAGGCAACGTGGCAACAATTCGAGGCAAAAAAGAAATTTAAAAAAGCTGTTATTGGGAAAAAAACGTACCGTAGATGGCGATGGCAATGACCTCAGAGAGAGTGAAGCCGTTGGCACCCTCGAAAGCAGGGATCTTGCCAAGGGGCTGGACCTTGCGGTACTCAGCGCTGGAGTTAGCAGCAGCATTGGGCTGAGTCTGAACCAGCTCCAAGTCCAGGTCGTTGTGCTTGGCAGCGACCAGGATGGAGAGGGTGCGACCGTTGTCCTGTTAAAACAGAAAGAAACCAGTCAGGAAGTGTTTAAACAAGATAGCTGAAGCTTGTAAAGACATACAGGGAGACCGTAAAGCTTTCCGAAGGCCATCTTGAAAGCAATGGAGGGGAATATGAAGAGGATGAGGAGAGAAAGAAAGGAGAGAAAGGGAGAGGAGGGGCAGAACTGAAATTTTGTGCGGGAGTAGCGCGGCATCGGAGATTCGGACTAACCAGTTATCCGAGTCACATGACATCTGGAAAAACAGCAACTCCAAGTTCGAGAAATCATTAATAGAGCGAGAGTGATTGTGATAAGCTTGGGGGGTCCCTGTTCCAATTCATATCCACAATGGCTCGCCACACACCCAATGGCATTGTCCAAGCAATGCAATCATTGCGAATTAGCAATTCATTAGCATCACGTCCTAATATCCCTTCTCTTCGTTATGCCGCTCGCAAATATGCAACCGAAGTCCAACCCGAATCCGCAACCGAGACCGCGATCGAGACCGAGATCCAGATCGAGGCCGAGGCTTCAATGCAGACACAAAAAGTGAAGGCTGCCCCGGCAATCAACTTCGAGAAATTCAACATCGCTCCTGCCCGTATCATTCCCGCATCTCCCTCCTACTTCTCCGGCAGTCCGCGATTCATCGACCATGTTCTCCGTCTGGAGGCCCTAAAAGCCAAATTCGCTCACCTACCCATCGTTGATGCGGCGGAGGCACCCCGTATGGCTTGGCTCAAGCTTGCACAGTTCCGTGATTTCGTCGGCGAGCCTGTGCCTGTCAAGAAATACAAGAGTTTGCTCAAGATTCTGCAGCAAATGAACCGTATCGCGCCGGATATGGTTCCCGGGGAAGTGCGTGAGTCACTGACTGCCTTCCTGCGACCCGGTAACCCATACTCCACACAACATTCTCCGCGCGAGGTGGATGAGATGGGTCGTGCGCGAGCCAAGGGCAAGCGTAAGGAGTCGACTGCTGTGGTGCAGTTGGTGGAGGGCGAAGGCGAGGTTCTTGTGAACGGCAAGAGCTTGGTGGAGGTTTTCCAGCGTCTGCATGATCGTGAGAGCGCTCTGTGGCCTCTGCGATGTGTTGATCGTCTTGATAAGTATAATGTTTGGGCTACGGTGCACGGTGGTGGTGTGACGGGTCAGGCTGAGGCTATTACCTTGGCGATTGCGAGGGCATTGTTGCTGCATGAGCCAGGCCTGAAGTCCTCATTGCGGAAGGGTATGTTGAACATGACATCTCTACTATACGTGGCAGATTTACTAACATTACTATCCTACAGCTGGTGTCATCACTGTCGATGCCCGTCGTGTGGAGAGAAAGAAGGCGGGTCACGTCAAAGCTCGCAAGATGCCCACCTGGGTCAAGCGTTAAAGTGGTGGTGCGAGCGAAGCTGTTTTTTCTTACCCTGTATTATTTCCATCTGCCATAGTAGCTCGAGTCGGCATTTCTGTTTTATATATATCCTGTACTCAATGCATATGGAGCTTTCATCAATGATATGTATTATTAGTATGACTCAGTATAGTAGCATTAACTAGATTCTTAGCATTTCAACATTCAACTCCAGGACTTGAACTTAAAGTTAGAACTGCTGCCAGTCAGGGTATCATGGCGGCAGTCAACTGGTATCAATCTCTCAGCCTTCCACTACATACTAGCACTGGCACTGGCACTGCCCAGGTGGCAGTACTGAGTATACATAGTATGCATGTGTAGTATGAATCCGAGTCCCATACACATGCACATGTGTGCACTATCCCTGAAATGTAGACTGGAATTGCTTGCCAAAGCCTAAGATATGAACTAGGTAGCCTTCCAAGGCTGTAAACTAGCATATGCCAGTGGGTAATATAGGGCTGGTATCGCACCTGGCATGTGCACGATAAGTATCAGACCGGCCCGGGACATCCATCTGAACTAACTCGTGGACTTCAAGGTTGAACCCAGACGAAAAAATGCAGGTGTGGTTCGAAGTTAATGTTTCAACGGGAGCACATCCATGCCAGTGGATACATGCATGAGCCTAATCGGCGAACCTTGAAGCACTTGCACATGTGGGTAGTAAACATACCGTTTAATGTAACCTCCAGCCTTGATATCAGATGATTCATCATGATATATCCGTGGATGATTTCAGATCAAATGGATTATACTAGTAGTATATGTTATCATGATGGGTGCTATTCAGATGTTCACCAATACTACTAGTACGACCTATCCTACTATAGATGAAATGATGGTCGAGTCTGTTCTTGAATATTTCAAGTTTCGCAGATTTGAAGTGATACTAGCAAGATATGGACATAAGTCAAGTAACATTGAAGTGTCAAAGTCCGAGAATCATAGATCATTTTGCCCTCACATTCTATATGTAAACCCACGCCGACGAACTATCCTACAGGGAACAAGAAACAGAGAAGCACATGTCAGCACAGGCATAAACAAAGAAAACCCATTGGAACCTCGGCAGGAGACCACAAATTAAAAAAAAAGAACTTTTGAACATTGATGACAGACTGGCCAACAAGCAAGCCAAGAAATTGACTTCTAGGTATATACGACTCGTCGAGATGGCTAAGACTAGAGCAGAAATCAGAAAATTCATATCATTTCGTCACATCGCATTTTGGGTCGACTAGCGTGTAGACTTGAGCGGAGCTGAACCAGAATAGTAAGGGAGAACCTTTCAAAGAGAATCGAAGGATCGGGTAGACGGATGAGGTAGATGTCCACTGTAGTAGATAGGTATACTACTGAGTAAAGAGGTGTAAGATTCAGGTAGATACATCGGAGATTCCGTGAATACTCCGAAGATCATCAGACACTGGCAAGGATTGCTTGCGCCCTGGAAGCGATCTCAAATACTGAGTGCTAAGACCGCGGGATGAAGGGCGGCATGGCGCTAGTAGGCAATAGCCTATCCATGGCGTCATCTGTGATGTCTCCAAACTTGAAGGAGAATTCCAGCCCAATATTTTCCCACCCATTTTTTATTTCGATTTTTGAAGATGTTTTTTTTGAATGGGCTTGTGTCACAGGAGAAAATGGGTGAAAAGATAGGAGAGAAATTGGAAAGAGAATGAAAGGTATAAAGTTAGGGTTTCAAGGTCGTGGGGCTGCGGTCGCCGGCTCAGAAACCGCTTGCATATGGTGGAGTTCAGGTTTGCTTTCCATTAGATCGAGGCATTGACCCAGCACTAACCCAGTTAGTAATTTGATATTTGACCTGGTGTAGTATGCAAAGTATTTGGAATTTGAAATTGGAGGAACCTACCACAAAGGATTTCTTCTTCCCAGATCCCCATCTGGTAATCCACCAAGCCGTGCTGTTCTAACTGATCACAGAGCTTAATGAGGTCTTTCCCCATTACCTCCATGCGATCTCGAGAAAGTAGACTGGTCTGTGCAGATGTGTGGCCCGTTGTAATATAATCCTGTGTTAGATCTTTCTGTTTCTGACACACGGCCAGCCAACAGATATTAAATTCTTTCCAAAGCTCCAATCGTTCAGGATAAGAAAGATGGTCGTCACGTAGGATTCCTATGTATGACAGAAAAAAAAATCAACATTAGTGTTATTGATCCCATATGTCAGATGATGATTGCATGACGCGTGCCTGCAGATGAAAGACCAAAAAAAAAGAAAGAAAGAAAGAAAGAAAGAAAGAAAGAAAGAAAAAAAAAGAAATAACAGAAAGAAAAAGTAAATAGAAACGACCAATCAAACCAAGTGAAGCCAGAAACAAATAGTAAGCCCAAAAATCCAAATAAAAGCGGTTGTTACAGAAAAAAATAAGGGTCCAGTCCAGAGCATGATTTGGTACGACGGGTCTTTTTTTTCTTTGGGACCCCAGCCATACGACATGGTTGATCAAAGCTCTGTGACTCGCGGGGAATATAACCCGAAATAAAGAGAAAAATATCAAAACTGTAAACAAGAAAAAAATGAAATCGAAAATAACAAGTAAAAAAAAGCTAGAAAAGCTAGAAAAGCTAGAAAAAAGCTAGAAAAGGCTAGAAAATCAAGAGAGATAAACCTACCAAGATCCCGTGCATGAGTCACAAGCCACTCGGAAATTTCAAGCAGTAATCGGCTCGCTTCAACCAATCGACCTGCTCGCGTTTGGTCAAAAGTGTTGCGCAACGCTCGCTGATAGTAATCGTAAGCTTCCTCGAGGGAAGAAGGGTCCGACGCAGGAAGCCGGAGGGGATCAGAAAGGTGCTGGGACGGCTGCGGATCCAATCGACTCGAGGATGCGGTGCCGATCGGGGTGAAATCGGTCATGGTAGGGAGAAAGGGTTGCGTGGTGTTCGGGCGTGCCATGGGGCCGGGTTGATTATATGGCATTTGCGGGTTCACATAAGTTGTGAGCGCTGGGACCCCTGTCACCGTGGGCTGCTCCTCCGGGGTGAAATATTGTGGAACGAAAGACTGGTTCGACAGGGCTTCAAGCGCTGCAGGATGCCGTGTCGAGTACTGTGGAACTTGAACAACGTCAAAGGGTCCCGGTGGACCCTGCCCACCGAAGCTGTACAGCATTGCCGGCTCGTACGGGGAGAATGATGGTGGTTGATCCTGCGCCATTCGTCGTCTTGATTGAGAGATGTTTTGTTGTGCATGATGTTGTTGCTGTTGCGGCTGTTGATGTTGCTGTGGTGTAGTTTGATATTGCTGATGATAACCACCACCACCAACACCACCTTGTCCAGATGATGTCTGTCGAGGACGTGTAAACTCCGTCGGATATCCCACTTCATTGGGATGTAGCGAACCGCTGTGGAAGGAGCTACCTGTGTATCCGTAGTCGTCAGACATCTGAGCTCGGTCTGGCACCTGCGACGTCCCCGTTGGGTCTCCACGTGGATGCATGGCCGACTCAAGATGATCGGTTGCACGGCCACCGGCCGTACTATTGCCAGATCGCGCCATCAACCGCTCATGCTGCTTCATGCGTTGGTCCCCATCCATGAGGTTGTCCCACACGGACCTGCGCAGATCGAGATCGGTCCAATGCTTAGGGGACAGTGGCGGACTTGCGTAGGATGCCAGTTTGATCAATGTGTAATAAGAAGACTCGGAATGATTCGACAAAGAATCTATTCAAATGATTTTTGTTCTTTTCTTCTTTTGTTCTTTTCAAGGTTCAAGTGATGTAGTAACCTTGATAGGATACTATATGTATCAACCAGTGTTCCAAGTTCTAGAAAATGTTCAGATGCGGCTCAGTCCAATGATCAGGGTTGAGAAGATGTACATATAGTCCAGATGTCGCGACGTAGAGATAATTCTAGACTGGAATGGAACCAATATCTCAATAAAAAAAGTTGAAGGATGATCTTGATCGAAATAGAGAAGAAGGATTTGAAGGATATTTTTTTTCAATAAAAAAATAAATTCTCCTTAAAAAAGTGTAAATAAAGGCGCCAAAGAATGTCAAGTAGAATATGACGGATCTGATGGATAATATGAGTAGGGGGGAATAGAATAGAATGACTAGAACACAAGGATCCAAGGGAAGGATCCAAGGGATCAGGATAAAAGTAAAAAGATAAAAAAAAAAATATATATATATATATAGAGAGAGAGAGAGAGATAAAATAAAACAGACAAATAAAAAAAGTAATACGGAGCTGAACATACCCTGTGTCATGAAGAGAGAAGGGGCATAGTATTTGAGACTATTCTACTAAAGGGACACTAGAGTGCCGTCGATCGGTGATCTACGCCTAACTCGTTTCGGGCCTGTACGTCCCAGATGTCTGCGATCGCCCGGGAACCCGGCGCGTTGGTTCCTGGTGGGTTCCCGAAAGCTAGGGATAAAAGGAGTGAGAGAGGGGGGAATGGGGAGTAAGAGAGGAGAGGAAGAGACAAAATAAAAATTTAAAAAAAATAAAAAAGGGTATGAATGAAATAATGAAAATAAATACTAATTAAAACTGAAAATTAAAATAAATAAACATGATCTCATCTCTCAGCCGCGTTTTCTAGGTCAGGTGGGAGATACTATTCTAGGGAGTGTTATTATTATTTTATTATTATTTTTGAAATTTCATTTTTCGTTTTTATTTTATTTTATTTTCAATTTTTCAATTTCAATTTTTTTTAATTCACGTACTCCGTATTTACCCTCTGATTCTAAGGTTCTGAGCTGGGGTTGGGTTTTTTATCTTTGGATGTGTAACTATGGGGCTGATCCATGAGAGTCGTGGCGGTGCCCTAATAATCCCTTACTCGTACTATCAACTTAGAATACTCCATATTTCATATTAAACTCCATAGATCTCAATTCTAGAGATTTCAAATTCTTTACCGAGTACCATTGAAATGGTTAGCAAAAAGCAATATACACGGCAAATAAAAAGAAAGTATCAAGTTTGTACTCCGTATGTCCCAGTAGATTGGGAGTAGGAAACTACAGTTCTTAGCACTTGAGAGCAGACAGATGAAACCACAACCTCACAGGGGAATAACTCAAACAAAAAGGGGCACGGGTTCGCCAAAATATACTCAAAAGCCGGGCGGTTTGTACATTCCGTGCTTGATTGCTCGGACAGCTGCTGCTTTGCCCCCTTTTCTCACCGAGTAGACCAGTATGTGCAGAGAGCACATGTACACTGAAAACATTGAATGAATAATAGAGAAAAAAATAACATCCCTTCCATATTAACATATTAACATAAATACAAATATCAATCCGAGACATGCAAAGTCCGTCGATCTGCAGCCCCAGCCTGTCAAAATAGTGAAATGTCCACTCGGCCGTCGATCAATGTCAAAATTACGCCCCCAACCGGATCCGACGCTTTGGTTGGGATGGGGACGTGCCGAGATTTGGGTCCATGGTTTCACCATTTATGTATTCATATGTTCATTTATTGTACTTTTGTTATGAAGCACTTGAGAAAAAAGTTCGTGAACATTTGAAAAATACTAAGTAATACATATATATGCACCTTAGAAATAAATGGGAAGTGGAGCCGGTGTAATCCTGGAATGACCGGCATAACAAAGTACTGGGGGAAACTCGGAGTAGCTATATCACCTGGTCACGCCAGGTCATGTGCTATTTATTATACATAACATCTGAATACTACCTAGGTACATGGAACTACCCAGCCCTGAAAGTAATAGTGCTCCCAGGACCCAAGTAGTGGGTATAGTTTAAAGGGAACTTTAGATAAATATACGATTATCATGGTTGATCTATATACTAATATACTAAAAACGGATTAGATCTATCTTATAATCCCTACTAGTACCATCCTTCACATATCATGCAGAAGTCATAACCATATGCATCATCGGAGGGGTAGAGTCACACCAAATGATGTAATTGTATCGGGACTCGGCCTGATAGACGAAGAAGTCACCGCTCGCGACCAGGAGCCCGGTGGCCGGGCCAGCAGTTGCACCGTGGAAGGCTGAAAAGCTCCAATTCTGGATTCGAGATGACATTTTATTCTCCATTTGGGGGGGTATTTTCCGGTGAATTCTCGCCCTACCATTTTACCTAGGTACTAATCATGAGTGTACTAACCCTAAGTTGGAGGTACCTGAATACCAACCCTGGCCAAGGATGAAACAGGATTCATATCCCGATGCATACTTACCCCGAGCCATAATCAAAGCCCCCGGAGGCGTCATCGGAGTAATCATAAAAATTACATCCGTATTTAAGTAGAAACGAATTATGGTCACCTAGCCACTTAGCCACCTGGGCTGTTCAAGCTCGTGCCAACCCTGTCAGCTGACAACCTACCAAATATAGCACTGACGCCTGAAGAGAACGATGGCAAAAATAAATCAAAAAATAAATCAAAATTGAAGAGAATAACAAAAAGTGAAGGCGAAAACAGACTGAAAATAAAACCAAATCGGGGAGAACAATTACAAGACGAGTCGGTGCCACTGTCCTTCCGAGGGGTCTTGTACAGTGGCAGAATTGGGATTACAGCTGCACTTCCCGGTTGTTGTGGACCACGTTGCAGTCAGGACGGAAAGAGGTTGGTCCGAGGAGTTCGCGGAGGAGGCTGAGATCTGACTCGGGTGTATGAGAGGTGTATCAGATGGAGCACAGGACACATGGGGGGTTGATTGGTTTCAAGTGTTTCATATTCCATAGGGGAGCAAGGTTTTATCTCCCCGTCCGAGGTCCCACGACCTTTTCCTTTCCCAGGCGCATTCGGAGAGAAAACCACTAAACTACAAAAAATCACACACGTCGCTGATCATAAGAGTCATGTCATAATCGTGTACTCCTCCACGGCTTTCCAAATTGAAAGGCGGAGTACCGGAGATTGAACCAAAACAGGAAAGAAAAGGTATATGGGAGACAAGTAAGAGATCGCATGATAAGAAGTCCCGGACAGAGCCGAGAGGGAGAGGGGAAGAGAGAAGATCACCCATTATATTTGATCTGCAAGGCATGTCAGCACCCAATCTGTCCCACCTACAATTATATATTGCGAAAAAAGAATTTCCAGGTGAGGGGGAATCAAACATACTCAGAGTCATGCTCAGGTTCACATCGGTACTCTCAACCATCTCAGTGAACTCCTCAAAGCTAATCTTTCCATCACCATCCTTATCGGCTTCCATAATAGTCTTATCCACAATCTGCTGTAGCTGGATATCCTTCAAGTTATTTCCTACCATCATCTTCAGAACAATGAACAGCTCGCCGTTGGAAATGTAGCCATCGCGATCAATATCGTAGACCTTGAAAGCAAAGCGCAGCTTCTCCTCCTTGTTACCCTTGGAACTGAAAGCCGAGAGGCCGGTCACGAATTCTTGGAAATCGACATCGCCACCACCGTCCTCGTCGAAGATTGCGATCATTCTAATAGAGAGGCATTGTCAGAAAGAGGTGAGAAAAAGTATGATATGACGTATGTTTGGACGAACCTGGTGGCCAGAGGGTTGGAGGAGACCTGAGGAAGGGAAAGGAACTCGTCGCGGTCAATAGTACCGGAAGCATCCTATGCAGAAGAATTAGAGTTAGTCAAGACCACAATCATAACATGGGTGATCCAGATCGCACCTTGTCCAGCTTCATAAATCGCTTGCGTAGTCGGTCAACTTCATCCCGGTTGACTGTTTACCCCGCCCAGCTGTCAGCCCATGTTTCCTTTTGCGCTTGCATTTCATCTGGGACGTGAAATTCTCCGACCGTAGAAGGTACGTACAGTTGGAGGTGGAGACGATGTTATCGAAAAGTTGAGAGGTTCCCACCGAACCTCGTCGAGCATGAGCGCTTTGCATGGCAGCGGTGTTGGGTTGGGCAGTAGACTCCATTATTTTGGAAGTGAGATAAGGTGGGGGAGTGGAGGTAGATTAAGTGGAGAGAGAGAAATTTAAGAAGTTGAAGAAAGATGAGATAGATCAGGTGATAAGATCAACTGAATCAGGAATAAAGAAAAAAAAATAAAAATATCTGGGGAAACCAAGAGATTCATTAAGGGAAGGAGCGACGGGTTGATATGAATCTGATAATGCCCAGCCCCGCACTAACCCGAAACAGACCAGCAAGCGAGCCCCTGAGCCCGTGCGCCCGCCCAAAACAGGCCATCACCGGGTGACATTGCAACGTCAACCCAACCGCCTGCCCCAGAGCCGCCTGTTTTCTGCCGTCGATACCTCCCCCTTCCCATCCGAATTTCATCTCCAAAATACGACTACGAGAAGGCGCATGATCTCAGCTTTACATTGATCCTCATTTTACCCCCTCAAACCCCCATGGTCGTTGGCCTTTTGCCCGCCCCGACGCTATGACTCGGTACGGGGGCCTGGGCCGGACGCGCCCCAAAAAGCTCACCTCTAAGGCCTCCATCCCCATCGTTCGCGAAGAGGACATCGATGTCTTAGATGAGGACATTCAAAGCCATCAGCAAATCGAAACTGGTGTCGAAAAAGCTGAAGAATCGGTGAGTCATCAAATCCACCCCGCCCTCATCCACTTTCTCCCTAGCCACAGTTTTTAGCCTCAAAATCCTTGTATATCACGTGACATCATCGCCAAAGCGACACGAAAATTTCACCACGCTAATTCTTACGCGTGTATCATAGGAATTTCACTTGCAAGTTGCCATCAACCTCACCGCACAGGGTAAAGTCAACGACGCCCACATTCCCACCCCCGAAACCATCCTCAGCAACTTGCGCTATGACGAACTCTACCCCCCACTCTTCTCGCAGCCTGCGACATACATCCGCTCCTCGGCCACGGTCGAGGACTGCTGTGGATGTCTTTACAACATGACCGAGGAAGATGATGTCTTTCTCAAGATCCTTAATCAGAAGCGAGATGCGTCTAATCAGTGCTCGGAGGATAATTTTGAGGCCACAATGAACTTCTTCGAGGAGACGGCGCAAGCCAAGCAGCCATATGCCGCGGTTGATAGTCCACCGGTGTTGACCTTCGCAGAGATGAAGGAGGCCATGGATGCCGCCGTAGAGGAAGCTGTGAAGCGCTTTGCAAAGGAGATCTATCCCCACTGGACGTCGCGTCGAATGGCAGAGGGTAGTAACAATACCCTGGAGCCAAGCCTCAAGGTGAGTAATCGCGTGCAGTTTCCGATCCATCTGGTCAAAAAGAGCGGCATCGCTAACTGCATTTTGATATTTAGTTTGAAACTGGCCAAGACACCGACGATAGTGACCCTTACGTTTGTTTCCGACGACGTGAAGTGCGCCAGATCCGTAAAACCCGTGGCCGTGACGCCCAAAGTGCTGAAAAGCTGCGCCGACTGCGTAAAGAGCTTGAGGATGCTCGGCAGATGGTCGCATTGGTGCGTCAACGAGAAGTAGCCCGAAAGGAGATGCTCATCATGGAGCGAACACTGTTCTTGCAGCGCGCCGAGGTAAAGGAGATGAAGCGCAAGCTGAACATCAAGGACGACGACGAGGATCTGGTCAACCAAAAGGTAAGCATTGATGTTCACTTTGCTGTGGATTTGACACATACTGACTCAGCGCATCACAGCCCAAGAAGAAGGTGGAACCAACCACTGGTCAACGTCCCAATCCTCCTCAACTGCGCTTGCCGCCCAGAGCAGGCCTTCAAGGTGCAGAGGATTTGCAGCTGCTGGAGGATGTCCAAGCAGAGAAGGAGAACGAGATCTTGCGCGATATCAAAACGAATATTGCCAAGCACATCAAGTGGAACGAAGGATATGTCGATCATACCCGTGCGCCACTTTCTCCATCTCCCGAAAGGACATTCGATGCAGCTGCATTCCGCCCTGCATTCACTGCGCAGTTACCCACCCCTCCATCATCCGACTCTTCTGGCGATATGATGGACACCTCATTAGATGTCACTAGCCCCATCTTCTCTCGAGACAAACTTAAACTTGCCTCTCGGGGGATGGTGTTAGACGAGGAACCGAATAAGATGCCATCATTCCGCCGACGTGTTGGACGAGGAGGCCGGTTAATGATTGATCGTCGCAATTTCGCGGCACGCTGTAAAATCGAAATGGACCCCATCAAGACTGATCGATTCAAGTTCGACCAGGAAGATTCTGATGAGGAACCCATTTATGAATTAGAGACATTTAATGTCCAAATCATGCAGCATCGTGCCATGACCATGGCGAAAGTGCGCGAACAAGCCGCAGTAGCGGCTGCTCAAGCTCATGCGCAGGCGCAAGCTCAAGCAGCTCAGGTCCAGGCTCAACGAAGATTGCAAAGCGATCAATCTGGGAACCAGGGAGCACCTCCCGCCCCCAGTGCAGTGGCTGCGCCTTCTGAAGCCTGATCCACCCAATTCTCCTCCGTTTCGTATTGTTTCCAGCATTTGGCGGGCGTTTCGTGTTGCTGTTATTCTCCTCCATCCTTTCGTCACCACTCGACATTCTTCCACCCTTGTAGTTTTATTACCCCCTCTCACGTTTTCACGACTCCGCTGGCGGCGAAGGGATTTGATGGAGCCCTGCCTTGTGCTTTTCTGCGTTCTTCTTTTTATCCCGCACACCTTCCTCCCATCTTTCCATTATCTCACACCTCTTTTAACTCCAATATCGATGCACGATATCGATATCGACGATTGCTGCGGGTTTCATTAAGATATCCAAACCATGATCAACCGATGTCTGCATTTGTTAATGTACATATTTTTTTTCTTTTCATTCTTCAAAACCGGGGAAGCGTGCGCGGCTGAAAATGGGCGGGCTGATATTTTTTGTATGATGGACGACTCGAAGTTATGATGCCTGCATTTTCAAGGGAAAGGAGGAACGGGGGAAAAAGAGAAAAGAAACTTCGAAAAATCTAACCCAAATGTAATCATTTTTTTCGCGAGAAATGCAGTCGCCATAAAAACTTTTGTATAGAGTATCGTCGAGGATGAGATATCATGCTCATCCGAATTGTAGAGACGTGGGCCGATAGGTTCCAGTTCCAGTAAATCATACACGGGCCAACTTGCTTTGGCGGGAATCGTAATCATCGCCATTGGCAGATCGTTTCAGAGATCCATTTGAGGCCTGGGACTCGAGCATCGCTAGGAGAGCACGCAGGACCTCCTTCTCGCCGAGGCGCACTTGCAAAGCCATTTTGTGTCGACGAGCTGGACCCTCCAGGGCATCGGGAGCATTAGGCGGAAGAAGTCCAGAAAGAAGGTTGATATCTTCGGCAAGAGAAGTGGCGTATTGTGCTTGCTTAGACTGCAAGATCTTGTAAAGCAAACCAGCTTGGTTCGCATCCATAGAAGGCTTGGGAGGTCTGTTCTTTGTTTGACGCTGCTCGAACTCTTCAGGGGAGAGTGTGAGTGTAGTAAGCAAGATAACGAGCTCTGCAGGAAGGATATCTTGCAGAGTAGCATTAGCAGATGGTCTGGGAATCACATATCCATCTTCGAGGAGGTCATGTTCCTCGAGCAGTTGGAGCTATTTAACACGTTAGTATGGGTCTCCATATTTGCCTATTTCGTGCAAGTCATGCCACATGTGCATGTGGTAACATGGCGTGACCTACTCTGGGTTGAGATTCCACATCGCTGTTGGGAAGGCCGACTGACTGGCAAACATCGCCCAGAGATAACTCGATAACGTCGTACACGGCGTAGTTGTTGGTGACATAGCCGTATCGGCGGAGCAGATCGGCACGGGGGATTTCACCATAATCGTTGAAGATCTCTTCTCCTTCGTGAATTGGCTTGATGGCCTTCATGACCAAACACTCCTCCTCCTGGTAAAGACGTGCCTGAGGAACACATTTAGTAAAATGATGATGTAGTTGCCAATTTGTCCGATGCTTACATTGTTCCGATCGGCATCAGCATTGAGAAGATCAGCAAGCGGAACCATTCCCTTGGGAAGCTGCTCATCCTCCTCATCGGTCATGTAGCTCTCATCGTCATCACCAACTTCTTCCTCATCATCTTCAGCCTTTTCAATATCGAAAGCATAAGCCATGATCAAAGATCCCATAATATGGGCCATCTCCAGTAAAGCGGCAGTACCAGCATCATCATCATACGATGCGAGTCCATTGACAGGTGGGAATAGTGCCGGATTAGCCCTGACAATAGGCGCAATGGAGTCAATAATAGACTGATCGGCACCTTGCTTGCCAATCTTGTCAACAATGGCACTAGCCTGCATTTCCTTCAGCTCAGCCTCCGACCAGAACATAAGAGTATCAAAGCGGGAAGGCAAAACTCGGAAATAGGGCGCCCATCGAGACTGGGGGCCACGCAAATATTCATAAAGCATAACCAACATCAGTGATAGCCATGGGCCAAGAGACTCAACATCTTGCGGCAGCAGACCTTTCAAGTCTGAGTTTGGGACAGCGATAATCAGGGAACGGGGATGGAAAATAGCTCTTCGCCCTCGGTAATGTTGACTCGAGCAACTGCAATGATCAAATAAAGGTAGAAAGTTAGAAGATGTGTGGATTTATGGCAATCTTTTTTTTTCGGGGGCAGTTGTATTCATTCGTTGTGTGGTGTATGGTGGGGGTCTTGGGGCAAGCTTACCGACTCCTCGTCCAGCTCCAGTAGATCTTAGATCTGCCAGAAGGATCTTTGGATTGACTTTGACACCTGGATTGGACTCTAACCAATAGACAAACTCGTTGGACTGTTGCTGAAAGCTCGGAGGGTCTTGGAAGTGGGTTGAAGAAGACATTGTGAAGCAGTCTGGCTATGAGGAGGAAAGGGGAGAAAAGAAAAGCGAAAGGGAGAGAATTGTTATACAAAGAGTCAAGTATATACAAGACCTAATCCACTCTCAAGAAATCCAATGGAATGGACAAGAGGGAAGTGGCAAATAGAGCTAGAGAGGGGAAGAGGAAAGAAGAAGTAGATGAAGTTGTACTTTGTTTTCGGAGAAACGGGAGCCGCTTAAGGACCGATAACGATAAGGAAAAACCACCACCACAAGGTTGGAAAGCTTCATTGAACTCTTGATCTTTAACTTCACGAGTCAAATAAACTCTGATCTATTCAATCATGATTGCCATCGGAATGGAAGGGTCTGCCAATAAGGTGGCTATCGGGATCATGTCGTATCCCGAAGATGGCAGTGCCCCGCAGATCCTCGCAAATGTTCGACACACCTATAATTCCCCGCCTGGCGAGGGTTTTCTGCCCAAAGATGTTGCACGTCACCACCGAACATGGGTTGTCAAGATGGTCAAGGATGCTATGAAGGAAGCACGCATCCGTGTTAAGGATGTAAGCTGTATCTGCTTCACCCAAGGTCCTGGCATGGGTGCCCCGCTTCAAAGCGTGGTTATGGCGGCACGCATGATGAGTCTGCTATGGGGAAAGCCATTGGTTGGTGTGAATCACTGTGTTGGACGTAAGATTCATATTGTTTTTGCAAATGGAGTCATACAATGCCTTTCGTTGTATATTGGGTGGATAATAGAAGCTAACCCTATGATTTCGCTTTCCAGATATTGAAATGGGCCGCCTTATCACTGGAGCCGAAAACCCCGTCGTTCTTTATGTCTCTGGTGGAAACACACAGGTAATTGCATACAGCTCAAAACGATACCGTATCTTTGGCGAGACACTCGATATTGCGGTGGGAAACTGTTTGGACCGATTTGCTCGCACACTTTACATTCCAAATGACCCATTCCCTGGGTACAATATTGAGCAATTAGCCAAGAAGGGTTGCCGACTGGTAGAGCTTCCATACATCGTTAAGGGTATGGATTGTTCATTCTCTGGAATTCTGGCTGCGGTTGATGCCTTGGCTGTTTCTTTGGGATTGAACGGCGAGGAGCAGGCGAGATTAGATGATGAGAGAATCAATCAGGAACAGCAAGGGGAACAAGATCCCGATGCGAAGCCTACTCGCGCAGACTTATGCTTCTCACTTCAGGAGACTGTGTATGCCATGCTAGTGGAGATTACCGAGCGAGCCATGGCGCACGTAGGATCCAAGCAAGTCCTTATTGTTGGTGGTGTGGGTTCCAACGAGCGATTGCAAGAGATGATGGGGATTATGGCGCGGGACCGAGGCGGCTCTGTGTTCGCTACAGATGAGCGTTATTGCATTGATAACGGTGTCATGATTGCTCAGGCCGGTATGATGGCATTTAAGACAGGCTTCACGACCCCACTGAAGGAATCTACCTGCACGCAGCGATTCCGGACAGATGAAGTCTTCGTGGACTGGCGAGATTAAACGACCAATAGTTGGATCTGATGAAGATTATGTGTTACGAATTTTATTACCGGACATTCATATAGACCAAAACAGACCCTGTTCTAGCATGACCCAGTACTCAAAATGTTCTAAATCTGATAAATCTCATTGTGTATTTCAAGTCATTAAATCACTATGAGAGTAAATGTATAAGCACAGAAGAATTCAAAAATTGAAGCGCGCGCCTGCGCGGTCATGAAATAAATCGGGTCTTTAGACTAATAACAACTCCAACACGCCTTTCTGGACAGCCATGGAGCAACATCTTTAAAGTAATTCATGCAGTAGTGGTGACTCTGTTCGTTATTGAGGGTTGAAATTGGAATAGTAATCGACTGGAATGTATGAATCCAGACACGAGCTCTGGCCGTTGCGGACTGAAAACTGTATGGCCATTTGCAGCCCAGGAATGCCACCAAGGTCGGTGCATTAAAATATGTGGATTTTTGGGGTCTCGAAGAGAGGTCGAATCGAGCCATGTACCCCGAGGCTGAATTTGTAGAATAAAGGACAAGCCACACCTTGTACGTGGATTTTGTTTACTCCCCGGTGATGTCACCAGTAGGTTTGTACAAGATACTTGTGACATACTATGTTTTGGTCAGAATGATGAATTATCCAGATGCAAGGACCAAGAGTATCTTACCTTTCGTTTGTATCTGGTCGTAACACTAGTAGCAAGAACTCCGTTCTTAATGCTACTCGTCGCAAGGTGATTCAAGACCGTATGGTTGGGATAATTCAAAACGCTGCTGTCATCTTTGGTGGGTGTAGTGCTGTTGAGAATAGATTTACCCAGGAATAGAGGGAGACTAGGTGGAGTCGGGGTATCACCAATGACATTTGCAGCTTGTAAGTATGCCGGGCTATCTTCTTCTTTGTCCAGGTCGGCGAGGAATTGAGGAATAGCACTGCCAAAATCACCCAGAGGAACCTCCTCTGCGGCTTCCTCCTTCTTCGGTGGCTCGTCATCAGTTTCTTCTGATGACCGTTCCTTGGAACTATCATGAGTGGTTTGCGATGGTCGAACTCCCGATGAAACAGATGATTTGTCATTAGCATCATTCGCGCTGATTTCGATGTAGTTTACCAAGTGGTTAGTAAAATCGACAGCCGTTGGGAGATTATCTGAAGCTCGCATTTCACCATCGATAAGGAACTTCAAATGATGTGTGCCAGGTCGCAGGTTTAACGTTGCCGACATGATTTCAGGGTTACTCTCACTGTGAAAGATTAGTCACTCTGCCCTTTATAGTCTATATCCAACAAAGAATGAGCGGTCTCCATACCTTCTGTGTAACTTGAATTTCTTCTCCCAGTTGACAAACGTTCCAGTTACGTAGACCTTCTCGCCGGGACCTTTCCACTCAATTAAAGTAGGGACAGCTTTACCAACACCAAATGGCTGGAGCTCATCAACCAGCTCATCACCATCCAGGGTTGCATTGCTGTAATGGGATGCCTCCATGTGCTCATCCAGTAGTCGGTCCGCAGGCATGGATTGGATATGCGAATCCTCGGGCCCAATGATCGGTGACCCAGGAATGGTAGTCGAATCAGCAATAGGAAGCGGCATGCGTGGAGGTCGTTGCATATGAGTCGAGGCGCTATAGTAGGAGTTGTGCGGCGGACCCGAAGGTGCCACAGGATCTCGCCCCGCGGCATGGCGTGAAATTGGCACCTTTACAGGATTCGAGGGATCTGGGGAAGAAACCTCCCTTCGCTGTGGTGTCTCACTTCGCACTCCTTCAGGCCTTTCAGGTCTACTTATCGGTTTTGGTGATCCAGCGGTACTTCGACCTTGAAGCCGATGTTGGGCTGAGCCTTGGTAAGTTGCGGAGTGGCCAGCGGCAGTCTCACGGGACGCTGATGGGTCTGCGGCGGTGGCTTTGGTAGTTGGGATGGTATGTTGGGAAGTTCGGCGAACTACCTTGCGTTCTGTTGCAGCATTGGAGACATGATGGCTCGACGGCACATCGCCGACAGGGCCCTTAGAAGGGTTGTTGCCCATTGAAGGCGGGGTAGGTAGAGAGTTTGCGAACGACGGTGGGTGGGTTGAGGAGGTTGAGGAATGGAAGGATCAGGAAAGTGATTGAAAGCTCAGATGTAAAATCGGTCAAAAACGGGCCACATGATATGTGAGACCGCAGAAAGTTGACTAAATTCGGACCTCGGGGGTGAGAGTCGCGATACATAGTCTTGAAGGTTCAAGCTGATGACGGGCAATATGCCAAATTGGGATATTAGGGCTTAGGGTTTCCGGAGATAACTCGGGTTCCCCGGATTTTCCCCTTTAGCCAGACCAAAGCTGTTCTTCAGTCCCAAAGCTATCAGGATTCTGTATATATCCTATATATGATGACAAGCTTGGTCTTAAATGGCCTTTCGGTAGCCTTTGGAATATTTGCCAGCACACTATCGTACACATTTTCTTGGGTGTTTGCACTTCTTCACTTGCTGGTGACCCCCCTTGCTCTATCTTCTTCGGGGATTCCTTTGGATAGCTTCATTACCACTGGCACTTATAATCAAATTCGAGGTATGTGGGCTGAGGGGCTGTGTTATTCTCACATGAGCTAATCTGTATCAGGCGTTCTTGTATTTTGTGACGGGTGCCCTAATCACAGGCGTCACCGTGGGCCTGTTCCTATACTTCTCGGGAAATGCCTTGACAGAACTCCTTCGACTACAGTCTAGTAGTCAATCTTACTCGACGAAAGAGTCTCAACATCCCAAGGATGAACCGATAGAATGGGTTTCAAAATGGGATAACCAGCTACTATCATCAACAATCCCAGAAGAAGAAGAAAATAGCTCTGCATAATTCTTGGAATATTATACAGCCCTCAAGTGCTGGAGCCTGAGACTACTAGTAGATGGACGAATTCAAACATTTGAAGTCTCACAGTCCGGGGTTCACAGAATTATGTACGCAAAGTTTGCCCATTGACTATTTGATCCAACTTGATCCAACTGTACCTGTGAATGCGCCCAGATGTCTATGCTATGATCAAAAATGAGCAAGATTCCAGAACTTGAATTGAATGATATAGCTCTGTTTTGACATTTTGCCTATTTTGCTCGATTTCTCGGATTCATGGAAGCGGCAGTGGAGCGGCGCACCGCCCGGCTATGAACCTCGGTACTATAAATCGTGTGGTTACAACTTATAAAATCTTGGATTCTTGGATACTATCTAGTAGTAACCGAGAATCGCTTTCATTCCTCGCTCAAAATTGGTCAACTTGATCATAATGGCGGAGCTTAGTACCTTGAATCTCACACTTCAACCTATCAGGAACAAAAACCTCTCTTTCAAAGACCGTTCCACCTTCTCAGCGAAGGATAGTGTGGAGTATATCTGGAGGGGCCTTGACCTGCCGAACGAAACCCTCCACCATTTATCACTCCCAGGAGAAGGACTGGGGCTTCCATCGTCATTCAAGATTGGTCATCTAGCCCAAGCATCGATCGGGCTATCTGCATTGCTTGCAGCCCAAATCCATGCTCACCGAAACAAAATCCCCACACCCGCTGTGTCCGTCGGATTAGAACATGCAGTTATCGAGTTCAAATCTGAGCGATTGTATGTTATAGACAACAAGCCTCCCCTGTCCGCGTGGGGACCTATTGGTGGGCTTCATAAGACAGCAGATGGATACGTTCGTGTACATGACAATTTCCCAAATCATTGCAATGGAACGAAGAAGCTCTTGGGCTGTTCACCCGATGCGGATCGCGAGGAGGTTGCCGCGAAGATCTCAGAATGGCGATCGGTTGATTTGGAATCAGCTGCCTTCGATTCGAATCTGGTTATATCTGCGCTGCGCAGCTATATCCAATGGGATGTTCTCGCTCAAGCTCGCGCCGTGGCGGACTTTCCCATTCTTCTTCGAAAATTGAGTGATGGCCCTGTCGGTCTGCCCCAAGGCTTGCAGTTTCCAAATGCAGATAAATGTCTTCGGGGTCTGCGGGTTCTTGAGTTCTCTCGTGTTATTGCTGCTCCTCTATCTGGGAAGACATTGGCTGCACATGGTGCTGATGTGCTGTGGGTTACAAGTCCAACCTTACCTGATCTTCCATCCATAGACCGTGACTTTGGTCGTGGAAAACGGACCATCCAGACAAATCTGGAAACCGATCAAGGAAATGAAGTGATATCCGAGCTCCTCGAAGATGCTCATGTTTTCGTTCAAGGGTATAGACCAGGCAGTCTTGCGTCGCGTGGCCTATCTCCTGAGGATCTGGTAAAACGGTTCTCTCATCGAGGAATTATCTGTGCAAATATGTCAGCATACGGGCCAGATGGCCCCTGGAACAAGAATCGCGGCTTTGACTCTCTTGTGCAGACCTGCTCAGGTATGAATGTTTCCGAAGCCGAACATTTCGGTGCCGGGGATCCGGCACACCCCATGCCGTGTCAAGCTCTCGATCATGCTGCGGGATATTTTCTGGCGTCTGGCATTATGGCGGCATTGTATAAACAGGCCACAGAAGGAGGCTCTTGGGAAGTCAATGTGTCTCTTGGTGGTGTGATGAAGTACCTCCGCTCTCTCGGACAGTTGGAAGGAAAGTCTGGCTTCCAGACTCCAGATTACACATCTATAAGTGACGTTCCATCTGAGTATCTTGAAACCCGTCCTACTGGTTTTGGGGAGATGACTGCCGTTCGGCATTCTGCTCATATTGAAGGCGTGAAGGTTGGATGGGATATTATGCCAAAGCCTCTTGGGTCTGATAAGAAGGAATGGCTTACGAGATGAGGTAAAAGGTTACTTCGTACTAGTTTAATTAATTCAGATCAAATTGAGGTTGTTCTACAAAGATTTCAGACCGAGTATGTATTCTTCTCCATTCTGATCAGTAAACTTCCCGAAAAAAACATTCCAAGGTTCCTAAGTATCGTTTGCTAGGCACCGTTCAGATCCTAGCCTGAGGTACTTCCTATCCCTCCATCTCGATACCCAGCCCAATGATTGCTGGCTTATCTTCTTCTTTTTTAGGGAGTCCCTTTGTCAAAGGATCATTCGGGTCCATTACAACATGCTTTACAGCGGTAACCCAGGCCGACCCCCAAATGTAAGGGTTAATGCCGGTATAACTACCAACCTCACACTCACTATGAACACTTCCAGCCATCTCCCTACCATCGACGGTATAGCTCCGCAGGGGTTCATTATCGATTTCACCACGACTGTACAAGACCGCAAGCCAAGCACTCAGCGACGTTCCCGAGGGACTGCGATTTATTCTACCTGGCGTCACAACCGTAGTACTAGTACCAAAACGATCCTCTCTATCCGGCTCGATAGACTCAACAAACACAACGTTGGTGATGCCTCGAATGGAGTTATTCTTGGGATGAATAATATCAGATCGAGATTGCTGAATAGCCTTTTGGATTAACTCGCCAGCCTCCATCAATAGCTTATCGTGGTTTTCATTGTTCTTTAATCCGATCGATTCAACCTCAACAAAGGCACAGAACACGCCACCGTAAGCGATATCGACTGAGATGGTTCCAAAGTGAGGCACCTCAACCTCGTAATCTAATTCAAAGACAAAGGATGGCACCCCGTAGACTGTCACACGGTTACACACTTGTCGGTTATCCACAACCTTGTAATCAACATCTGCCATAATCCGACCAGCAATAGTCTCAAAAAGATAGATGTCGCGAGAACGTAATTGTTGGCCTCCAGGATGAGAACCATCTGCCAAAACCTTGACTGCAGAGATGATTCCCGAGACGGAGAAGGGGATGTATTCATCATATCTCGCAAAGATAAGACAGTGACCTGCTTTGGGATCAATGGGGTCGAGAAGGAATACCGCATTTTTCCCACACCAGCCACGAGGTTCGTTGAGTAAGAGTTTCACAACACGATCATGCTTATTGCGGAAGTTGAGCTGTTTCTCGTATACAGATCCGCCGGGAACCTTTTCAATACCTCCAATCACGACATCATAAGCTTCACCTTCAACGTGTGTCTCTACTATAGAGATTCCGCTGGAGCTCACATTATCCAAGTCCCCAAAACCTTTGACCCGTGATGTGGGACTAACGACAGAAACAGTGGCGTCAGAATTTTGGGATCGATCAGTTAATGGGAGAACTTTGAGGTATCCCTCTTTGCCCCCAACTTTGGGTGTTGGAGACCTGTCCTGAGTCTGGGTGGGTGGATGTTCAGGTTGGGATGAGGGACTGGGTTGATGCCAAAGTGGAGAGTGATGTGGTTTTTTTTTCGCGGAAAGGAAGTGTTGCTGTCCAAGACATAGTTCTGCAAAATATGAGTTACTACAGTCAAGATCTTCAGAAAGCACTACTAAGAGTGACAGATGGCCTGGGGCTATATAGTACTATAGAACCTGTCTAGGAATTCACGCCTCATTTGATCAATGAAAGCTGGGATATCAGCCATTATTCCATATTCAAAGAACTTGAATTCCAAACTCAGCCCAATATCTTTGAACCTCATCAATGAATAATTAGTATATTTAGCTCAGCTTTTTGCCACAGATTATCTGGTAAGAAAAAAAAGGAATCTACATTTGCAGGTCCGATTCAGGATGACTCGGAGTTCTTTGTTTTGCCGAAATGCATACCCTGTGGATGTGATTGTACACATGAGGTCTCATCTCACAAATTCTACTCTACCTAGTCAAATATCTGTCAAAAATATAATGAGCAACTTAAATTTGTATCTTTTAACTACTAGCTCTTCCCAGGTTTGAGGCTCGGAGGTAGTAGATATGAAATAGATGAAGCTGTCGTTTATGATCGAACAGCCCGAAAGCCCTGGAGGCTACCTGGGTATTGTACAGTGCTGTACTTTAAATTCTTCAGTATTTGATACTGGAAGCTCAATTTCGAGTCTCTATTCAGTCACCTCCAATTCTCTCAAAAGGTCTCCCTGAACATCCTTCAAAAATTCATTCATCTGCTCCGGGGTGTGGAAAGCCTCATTGTACACCAAACGCAACGTCAACTGATCACGGAATGTCCAAACAAAGACCACACCTTGACGCGTGAGCATTTTCACACCTACACCAGCATTCAAGATACTAAACCCACGTTCCGGAGTTCCATATTCGGGGTTCAGATATTTTTCCATGATTCCCATACTGCTAATATCCATATCACTAGGCGGCTCAGTCGGAGTGGGCAAGTTCTTAATCACATCGACCAAAGTAGATGCATACTCGCGGTGCGCCTGGACATACTATTTGCTGATACCCTTTGCATACTCCGCCTGATACACGCGGGCATTCTCATCCCAGGTTCCCGAGGCATCAACTCTAACCAGCCAGCCGCTCGTGAAGAGAGCTGCTGCGGCTGTAGGGGTCGAGTATGGTTCCGGCAGATAAGGTCGAAGTGACTGTTTAATGGTGCTGGTATAGTGCCGGCCCTGATGCTCAGGGATCGCGCGTCGGAAGTTGACGGCAGCTAGACTGGCATGAACGGCAGAGGTAATGTCAACACCACGGGATTTTGCAGCGGCCCTGGCATCGGCTGTCATGCGAGGCGATAGTTTCAGCTTCGCGGCTCGTGTGCCGGAGGGTAATGTTGAGGCATCCCCGGTATAGGGGACTCCGAGAGCACCCGCTGCCAGAGCAAAAGTGCCAACTGCCCCGTGAGCGATGGCTTTATGCTCCTCGGTTGCTGTGAGGGGCATATTGCCGGCTTCCTCGACTGACGGTGACAGCCGTACAGACTCCGATCCCCAGTCAAACGCCTCGAATGGGTCTGGCAGCTTTCCCGAGAGAAGGGTGTCGGCGTGCGAGGTCATCAGATCCACTAGCTGGCCGAGAAGGAGCATGCCACTGACTCCATCCATACGCCAGTGTGCAGTATGCAGAAGCAGCTCGCTTGACTGGGGGATATAGTACAGCTGGGCATCAGCAGCGGGTGCAATGGTGGAAATCACATCGTCGGCAGACGGGGCATCAGCCTTGACTACGAAGGTCTGCGAGGCCCATTCATTAAGAGCATCGGTCGAGCCAGGAACTTTATAGATAACGTTGGGGATTCCACGTGCGCAGCTAGACTGGGGTGCTGGAAACGAAGATGTAACCAGCTGTAGCGCATCAAAGTTGGTAGCAGATCTGGCGAATCCGACAAGGCCGTAAATATACCGCGGGGGCTGATTGTGGCTGTATAATTGACCGCCCAGTGCTCACGGCCAAGTGCGTGGCCAGGGTCACTGACCAGCTTTATGAAAACTTCATTAGGGCCAAGAGGTCGGGTGAAGCCTGAGGTGGTTGGTGTCCAGGGCATGTTGAGTGAGTGAGTGATTGCTAGGTGGATGGAGAACGGATATTCTGATGGTCATAGCGAGAGATTAAAATAAGAAACTAAGGAATAAAGATTTACTTTTCAAGGATGACTTGGCTCCAGGAACAGTGTCGAATTTAGTTCCTTGGGGCCAAAAATCACCCGATCAGTGGTGGATATGTTCGCCGTTTCAACTTTCGGTTGAGGCCTGAGTACCTCGGTAAAATCCCGCATGCGTTCAGTGAATCACATACATATCCTTAATATCGAGTGGAGTAGGATAATATGTATGATGCAATATCTCAATTGGTGACCTTGCAGGCACTACCATAGGTAACGAGCGGACCCCAACAAGACCAAGTAAAATAACTGGTAAGGGCTGAATGTGACGCAACCCCTGTGGAGCTACAAGCTAGCCACAAGCAGAAATATAATATGTCGATAACATGAGAAAGACCTTAGCCGCGAAAGAACCTTGGAATCGGTGTATCAAGTGCAAAGATGAGATACACGTATGACCAACTAGCGGGAAGTCCCGCAGCCACCGCCGCCACCAGTGCCCACTACCGCGAAGCACCAACCGGCCCACTAGGACCCGCATACCTAAACCTGCCAGGGAATCAATCAGCTCAGATCGGCATCGAGCTTACTAGATCCAGCAGAGCTCCTGTCGATCTATGCGATATGTTCTTTGGCTCCCATGGGCCCCATGGGGGCCGTTACAATACCATGCATGATGGTCATCACTCGAATTGAGCCCAGAGAAAGGTGTGAGTTGTGCATACAAGAACATCATAGTACTTCATTGTTGAATTATAAACTCCGACTTTGGCGAGAAAGAGTCAAAGGAGAACCGTTAACTACAAACAGTATTAATTTGACTTGCATGCCTACTCTGTAGATAAACCTAGCTTGATACCTGGACAGCAACTGCAGGCGTTATTGACCTTCAAGTTGAGCATAGGGTAAAAAGTATCAATCATCATTGTCAAACATCATCGGTTATATTAGTATGTAGATCTATCAATATCAAAATACTAGTTAAAACAAAAAATCACTGGAGAAAAAACCGTACAGGCAAGTCATCATGAACAACGAGCAACTTGAAACATAAACCACAGGTCGAATGCGAGCTAAGAAAGAAAAATAACTTGCAACCCTGGTCCATTAGACAGTAGAGTTCCATTCCGACACTGATCCGAGTCGTGTTACTTCGAAACTAGTAGTGGTGTTAATGTGATACACGCTCGGGGTTCCTGAGCGATGACCTTTGAGAATAGTTTCTCTATCGTCTTCGAGGGAATAAAGTGATTGCTTGCCACCTAGCAAGTCCGACGCAGTTTTCTTGGTTGCCGATAACGAGAATGAACGTCCAGTGGTATTTTTTGTCCATTGTTGCCTGAGACGGCGTCCAAGCTCCATAATATTAGGGAGGCAGACAGACATGAGAGAGACCGGGCCTTCACACTGCACCCAACAGATATAATCGATGGTAGACCAGGTTAGATCGGATTCTAAAGAGGACCCCGCCTTGAGGAGAGTAATGAGGCGACCAATAGACACAACAACCACTCTAAGGCATGAATTGCTGTCAGAAAACTCTTCCATTTCTGTAAAATACAACTCATGGTTTGTTGGAAGTACTTACGAGTGACCGCAAATAGACATGCCGGTAAGCATGAACTTCTTTGGTCTGGTCATTTGCAGTGACCAGAGTAGTGGCAAGGGGATTATCAGAATCGTCACGTCCAGGATTCCATTGGGCACAGCAGTCCCAGTGAAGAATTTCCACTGTTTGACACATGTTGAGCCAGCAACGGTTTCCCAGGAAGCACGAACTGGCGTGCACTGGAAGACAGTTGCAAACCATGACCCGATCAGCCAGCCAACACAAAGAGCTCCTACGACCCAGAGAACAGGACGGACCCAAGTGCCTCCTCGCTTGAAAACGCGATGATAGAAGCAAAGCACCGATAGTTTGGGGAAAGTAATGCATGCATCCTATATAAAGGCGGCAGCAAAGATTATCTTTGGGCCTTCGAGTTGATTGCTGATGGGTAATGTAGCTGAATGACGACCCAGACCAAGAGAAATCCAGTAAAATATGAGAGCTGACTCGGCGATAATAAAAGGCTATAAACGTTATCAAATGATATTCTAAGTCAGGAGAAGGGAAAACATCTCTTTACTCCAAATTCAGACAGAACGTACCAATGTTATGATGGCAAATGCATCATCGAAACCAAACCTGTGAGTTCGCGAGCCCCAGATGGACCAACAGCGCAAGGCAACTGAGGTCACAGCCAATATGAGCATTATGACACAACAGACGATGAGTCCCGGCTGTCGGCTGCCATCGGATGTAGTAGAAGACATATTTACATATGTATACAGCTATTCAAGTTCCTCAAATCCGGACTAAATACAGTCTCAGTATGAGCATGAATAGACGATTGAGAACCTGAACAGAAAGGGAAGGCCAATTCCAATAAATCGACGGGGGAAGGTGTTGACCAACGCAAAGACATTGCCTAGGTAGATCACTTGGAACAACTTGGTCTAAATTACCAGTGGGTATTCTGCACACATTGCCGAATACTTAATATAGAAACAATCAGAACTGCAGAAGAGACAATGGGGGCTCAATGTCTTTATTTTTGCATTGGTTCAAGATACTGCAGAATTGAAGATCACCGACTTCGGGCTTAACCTATTGTTGGGGCCAGAAAGATTAATTACATGTTGTTACAAACATTTGAACAGATTTACCTGCACAGTCGGCACCTGGAACTCCGAACAGCTACGCATCTTGGAAGTGATCGACCCCTTGTACATAAGGACCTTCACACTACATATTACTCTGCATATTTGAACACTCTACTGCGGGCTAAGCGGGCCACCTGGGCAAGTCACCGCAAGTGTGTCGAAACTCCACTTAGTTTACTTCGCACTGTGGGTCAAACGCATTGGCCAAATGCATTATACTCTATAGGACCTATACATCCTGCCGCGCCACCTATCTGATTCCCACCTGGGCAGCCGTCCCCACATGAAGATCCCGTTGAGCTATACCGCGGGTGAAATTCTACTCCTACCTGATGCTGGCAAACTGAGAGCTTCACAGTTACATGTCTATCCACAATTCAGACCCCATGCTAGCTAGTGCTGGCCTCCAAGTTCGAGAATTATGACTTGGAACGATAGTGAGCTGAAGACTCGGAGGGGCGATGACGTGGGCAGCTCCAGTCTCCAGCCTCTTAATTGCTGCTGCATTGAGTGCAGACATCCCCCTTGAGGACGCGGCAATTTTAATGTTCTGGGCATTTGCCGGGGAGATCAATCTCAAATCCATCCGAGGCTTGGACTGGGATGATGAAAGCGTACTAGTAAGTACTGCACGTACCAGGCAATGCTAATAATATAAAAATCATGATACAAGTCCTGTGCACGCAACCCTTGGAAGTGGGCACATCCAGTGGAAGAATTGGTGCTAGTGCACAAGTGAGAACACCTTAATTATTTGCACCTACACGGACATCTGGAGTATATAAATACTAGGCTTGCAAGGTTCTTGAGCTTCTTAAGCCGTGGAAAACCAGTCGGATTTCCGGGTACTTGAACTTGAAGACTGTTTTTTTTTCTTTTCAATTTTCTTTTATCTTTTATTCCCCATATCACACCTTAATTTGAGCGCTATAATGACTCGGACGTACCCGGCATCGAATCCCTCAGGCCAATGCGAACCAATCGCAATCGTGGGGATAGGTAGGAGTGTTGAATATTCACAGATCTATCTGGAAGCACTTGAGTGTACTGACCTCTTGATTAGGATGCAGATTACCAGGAAAAGCTTCATCCCATCCAAATTGTGGGAATTGCTCGTGAAGAATGAGACTGGTCATTGCAAAGTTCCCTCGGAGCGCTATAATGCAGCAGCATATTACCATCCCGATGCTGAACGGCCAGGAAGTATCAATTCCACCGGAGGATACTTCATCCAGGAGGACATCCGAGCCTTCAAAAATGGCTTCTTCGGGATCAACAACCTCGAAGCCACATCCATGGACGCTCAACAGAGGAAGCTTCTGGAAGTCACATATGAGGCGTTGGAAAATGCGGGTGTTCCGTTGGAAATGGCACAAGGCTCAAATACTGGTGTTTATATCGGCAACTTTACCAATGATTACTTGAACATGCAGTACAAAGATCCAGAGAGCTTTTCGCGATACGGTGCCACGGGATCAGGGCTGACCGTGCTGGCGAATCGTATCACTCATTGCTTCGATCTGCGGGGTCCATCTCAAGTGGTTGTTACAGCTTGTTCGTCATCCTTGTATGCGCTACATGCAGCCTGCTTGGCTCTGGATGCCCATGACTGTGAAGCGGCAGTGGTGGCTTCTGCAAACCTCATTCAATCTCCGGAACAACAGATTATGGCTGTGAAAGCAGGAATTTTATCGCCAGATTCGATGTGTCATACCTTCGATGAATTGGCCAATGGATATGGCAGAGCGGAGGGTGTATCAGCTGTGTATCTGAAGAGGTTCAGTGATGCAATCAGGGATGGAGATCCGATTCGCTCGATCATTCGAGGAACATCTGTCAACGGGTGAGTTTCTCAATCTAGCGGCGGGCTTGCAAAATTCTAATAATATCACCCAGTAATGGTCGAACTCCAGGAATTGTCCAGCCTAGCGTGGAGGGACAAAAAGCTGTCATTCGGGCAGCGTATCGTCGGGCGGGGCTGGATCTGACTGACACAGATTACGTCGAGGTAAGCTTCCCTAGATGCTTATTGTGTTACCACCATACTGACAGTAAAAGGCGCATGGAACCGGCACCAAGGTCGGAGATCCCATAGAGGTTGAGGCCATAGCCGGTGTTTTTCGTCATCGAACGGGAAGACCAACTCTCATTGGGGGCATCACGCCGAACCTTGGTCACAGTGAAGGTGCAAGTGGTATTTCGAGCCTAATCAAAGTCACTCTTGCACTCGAAAATAAGCTACTCCCTGCAACTGCTGGCGTTAAGGTCATAAACCCGAGTATCAAATTAAAGGAATGGAATGTGGATATTGTTACTGCCAATCAAGCGTGGCCGGCATGCCAGGTCCCGCGAGCTTCAATCAACTCGTTCGGCTTTGGAGGTTCAAATGGCCATGCTATTCTGGAAGCAGTACAGGCAGACCCATTGGCCAGCATCCATCGAAATTCTACCGTAGACGATGATGCAGATAAATTATATCTGTTACCTCTTTCGGCTCGATCTGAAACTTCCCTCAGACAAATGGCCAGTAACCTAGCCGGTCTCGCAGCCGACCCAGATCGACAAGTTCGAATCAATGACCTGGCTTTCACGTTAAGCTGCCGTCGCTCCAGGATGACTACACGTGGCTTTCTCATCGAATCTCAAGCGAGTCTGAACAAGGGCATCAACCTGGAGACCTTTAAGTGGAGAGAATCTGACAATGAAGGGCCATTCCCGCTGGTCTTTGTTTACACTGGACAGGGTGCACAGTGGGCTGGAATGGGCAGAGAGCTTCTAGGGCATAGTCGTGTGTTTAAAAAGACCATTACTTACCTTGACTCCTGCCTCCAAGCTCTTGATCAAGATGTCCGACCCGTCTGGACGCTGGAGGGCCTTCTGCAAGGCGATAAAAACTACAACATTAACGCCGCGGATATATCACAGCCGCTGTGCACGGCAGTGCAAGTTGCTTTGACGAACCTTCTCAAAGACTGGGGTGCACTACCAGAGATGGTGGTGGGCCATTCCTCCGGCGAGATAGGAGCGGCATATGCGACCGGCGCTATTGATGCCCGGCAAGCCATTCTTGCAGCTTATTTCCGCGGAGCTGCTGTCGCTGAAGACTCAACCGAGGGATCAATGGCTGCAGTTGGACTTGGAAAAGATCAAGCTCAGACGATAATCGAGGAGTGTGCATTGAGCGAGTCTGTTACTGTTGCATGTGCGAACTCACCTGAAAGCACTACCGTGAGTGGAGATACACTTGCAGTTGATGACTTGCTCAAAATCCTCCAAGAGAAAGACATCTGGGCTCGAAAATTGAAGACTGAAGGCAAAGCATACCACTCGCACCATATGAAGATTCTGGGGTCGAGATACGAGGCATTGCTTGAGCGCCATTGGAATGCGGGCAATGGTCACGCTCAGGAAAACGGCGACACCAAAGCAAATGGCCATATCAAAGCGAATGGCTATGCGGAAGCAAATGGCTCCGCCCATTGTAGAGAGCCATCAGTGGTGATGATTTCTACTGTGACTGGTGGGCCAGTGAAGAAAGATCAAGCTGCAGTACCAAATCACTGGCGGACAAACCTCGAATCTCTAGTACAATTTGACGAAGCTATCCAAAATATCCTGACACGTGGAAGTTACCATCTGGTTGAACTTGAACCACATTCAGCTTTACAGCTTCCTATCAAACAGAATGCCTCGAAATTGGAGAACACTCGCTATATTTACGATTCATCTCTCATACGTCATCAGGATGCTTGGTTGACCAATCTCCAGCTCGTTGGCTCGCTGTTCTTGCACGGACATGATGAGCTTCAATACCGCAAGATCTTTGATGGTCGATCTCAGACCAATGTGTTGGTTGATTTGCCCGCTTATCCCTGGGATTACGGCAATCCTACTCTATGGTCTGAGCCTCGCGCTAGTATTGAGTCCCGTAACCGCAAATATCCACGGCATGATCTTCTCGGATCCCAAATGTTTGGAGGCAGTACCGCAGGAGTGACCTGGCGAAATGTCCTGAACCTCAACGAATCAGAATGGCTTACGCATCATTGTTTGGGACCTTCGGTGGTTTTTCCCGCTGCAGCATACATTGAAATGGCAGTGGAAGCCATGTGCCAAGTCTCAGGCCTTCAACTGAAAGATTGTCCTGGCGTGGAACTTCGTGATCTCAACTTTGTCAAAGCTCTCGACATGGATGCCGAGCGGAGACCAACCGTGGAGATCTTTTCCGAGATGTCTCCCATGAAGATCTCCAACCTAGCAAATTCGGATAAATGGTGGAGATTTGTTGTCGTCTCGATCGACAGTGATTCCCAGGCGACTTCGCATATGAACGCGGCTGTGCGCATCGTAGAAACCCCAACATGGACAACTCGAAAAATCAAACTTGACAGGTCCAACATGCAGCAAGACGCGATTCGTGTTTGGTACGACAAGTTTACTCAGGAAGGACTCAATTGGGGGCCCCGGTTTGCTGTCATGGAGGAGATATTTCGAGATCGCACACGCACAGCGCAGATAGCAGCAGCCACTACCCATCTCCAGCGCGGAGAGGAGTCTGATCAGTACATTTCGCATCCGATCTCAATAGATGCAATGCTACAAACAGCCTTTGTTGCGACTACTAGCGGCAGGGTGAGTAGCCTGCGTGCTACGGTCCCTGTCGCGATGGACTCGGTTTACGTTGCCGGCCCGTCGGCCCTTGACATGGATACCAACAAGCCATGGGGCATTGATACCGAGTCGGAGAGGGTCGGCTTTGGAACGGTCAAAATCAATGCAGAGTTGTTTAGCTCGTGTGGCCAGGTCTTGATAAGAATGAGTCAGGCTCGTTGTATTGCGTACTAAGGGAACACGCACGCGGAAGACACCCAGCAACGCAATCCTGTTGTGAGAGCTGCATGGAAGCCGGATCTTTCCGCGCTAACTAACTCAGGTCTTGCCAAATATCTGAACCAATTTGTGCGAAGCCACGAGTCGAAGAGATTCACTGATGAAGACATGTTGCGCTTGGCTGGTGTTCTGGATTTGGCCTGTCACCAATGGTGTAACAGCAACATCCTCGAACTTGGCAATCGACCCGAAATCGCCGAGTATGTCTGTGAGATTTTACGTGCTAAATCTTCTTGCAGAAGGTATAACACTTATTATCGTGGAGAATTTGCAAATGGCGATCTAGTTGGTACTGAGGTTTTCTCGGAAACCGCAAACGAGCAGAACCCAGAGCGCCCAACTGGGATTCCACAAGAAAGAAAATTTGATATAGTTCTCGTTCCCTCGGTATGTTTGACCCTTCGCAAATTTGACTTGTCACTAATATGTGATAGATTGATCTCTGGACGCCGGCCCTTTCCAGTAGGCTTTCACCAGGAGCAAGGCTGATCATTATGGGGGATACACACAGCATTGATCTCACTTGGAAAAATGTCATCAAAGGGAGTGGCCATTCCTCTGTTACAGTCGCGACTCTAGAAGACCTGAGTAGCCAGAAAAAAGATGATAAACCCCCGATCATCGTGGTAAGCTCTCTTCAGATGACACTTCACCATCCGTTTCTCACAATGATGCAGTTAACTCGGAATAACGACGCGACGCCCTTGGATCTACAGCTTCAAAGCATGTTCGAAGAACATTGGGGGTCTGTCATCAATATCGTTGACTTGTCCCAGGTAAGCCTCGCTACGGTTCCGGATCGATCACTCGTCATATCTACCTTGGAACAGCAACAACCTCTCCTCAAAAGCATTGATGAGTGTGAAATGAAACAACTGAAAAGTGTTACCGAGCGTGTAGCCAAAATAGTATGGGTCGTCAATGGTGGCCTCATTGAGAGAGAAAAACCCGACTTTGCGCCAGTTCTAGGACTCTCCCGAGCGCTCATGCTCGAACAGCCCTCACTTCAGTTTGCGGTTCTAGATGTCGATGAGAAGTCAGGGCCATGTTCTGAAACCCTGGAAAATATCATCAATGTATCGAACCGCCTAATTTATGAATCAGAACCGGACTTCGAATTCGCTCAACGAGACGGCGTTCTCCATATATCTCGCTGGGAACCGGACGAGCGTCTTAACGAAACCTTCCGTCTCAAGCAGGACAAAGAAACGATTGATCTTCCTTTAGAGGTTTTCGGACGTTGCGAGCTAAGTATCAAAGACCCGGGACAGATGGACACGATCCATTTTGTGCAGAAGGACTTTTCAGCCCCTTTGCATCCAGATTATGTGGAAATCAGCGTAAAGAGTGTCGGTATGAACGCAAAGGTGAGTGAAATGATCAGAAAAAGAAACTCACTCAAGGGCCATCGTTAACACGGTATAGGATCTTTATGCTATCAGCGCCAAGGTGGACACCAAGAATGCATCATGTTCGTGTGAATGTGCTGGTGTCGTTACTGCCGTGGGCGACAACCTTTCCGAGTTTAAGATTGGTGATCGTGTGGTGTCAATGGCTCCTGGTCATTTTGCAACAGTTGAACGCTTACCACACTGGGCCGTGTCAAAATTGAATAACGAAGAGGATTTCACGGTAAGCAGTAGACCTTCACCGTCCACGCAAAGACAAGCTAACAAACAACGCCTCAGACGAGCTCCACTATCCCGATCGTTTTTTCGACTGTCATTTACGCCCTGAAATATAGAGCGAATCTGCAGCCAGGAGAGGTAAGCGCTATTGCTTTCTCATGTTTTGATATATCGGGTGGTATTGTCACTTAATGTGTCGATATCACCTTCGCCGACCACATCTGGACCTCTTCTCTTTCCCTCCTAGCACAACTTCGTCCCCAAATATAGATATGAGTTATGCTGATTCAATTAGACTGTCCTGATACATTCCGCTGCCGGGGGAGTTGGAATTGCAGCAATCCAATACGCGAAGCATCTCGGAGCCAAGGTAATATAGACGCAGATCTATCAGCATCAAGTTTGGATCGATCGACTGACTCCCTCAATAGATTTTCGCCACAGTCAGGAACGGATCGAAAAAGTCGTTTCTCGTTGAGAAACATGGTCTCAACCCAGCCCACATTTTTAGCTCGCGCAACTCATCCTTCCTTCCCGCCATTATGGAAGCCACCTCTGGCCAGGGAGTTGACGTGGTTTTGAACTCCCTCACCGGTGACCTGCTGGGCAGCAGCTTTGAAGCATGTGCCGATTTTAGCCGTTTCATAGAAATTGGAAAACGTGACATCCTTGATCATGGCATGCTAGACATGTCCACGTTCGGCCGCAACGTCTCCTTTATGGCATTTGACCTGTCCAACCTCTATCTCTCCACAAAACCCGCCCTCCGCCAACTCTGGAAATCTTTACTTAAAGAGAGTCTAAATCTAGTGCGATCCAAGACCTGTGAGCCTTGTTTCCCAATCAAGACATTTGAGGCTTCGGAAATTACCGAAGCGTTCAGGCATTTCTCCTTAGGCACGCGACTAGGGAAAGTTACTGTGTCGTTTCAGGATCCCAGCCTCAAGATAAGGGCGATTCCGAAGAAGTATGGAACTACCTTCAGTGCCCATAAGTGCTACATCATGGTCGGATGCCTGGGTGGACTAGGTCGCAGCCTTTCCAAGTGGATGATGTCTAGCGGTGCTCGACGGTTCATATTCATGGGTCGATCTGGTTCCGATAGGCCTGAAGCAAGAAACATAGTCAATGATCTACGCGCCCAAGGAGCCGATGTCACCATTATCCGCGGAGATCTCTGTCGATATGAGGATGTTGAACGAGCCATGGAAGCAGCGGAGTCTCCCATTGGTGGTGTAATCCAGGCGGCTATGGCACTCAGTGAGGCTCTTTGGAGTAAGATGACGCACAGCGCATGGAACACTACTCTCGGCCCCAAGGTTCAGGGGACTTGGAATCTTCACAATGCGTTGAGCAAAGGTCGGGATTCTCAACTCGACTTTTTTGTCATGACTTCGTCTATCTCAGGAACCGTCGGTGGGGCGACCGAGAGCAATTACTGTGCTGCCAACTCGTTCTTAGATGCCTTCGCCCGCTATCGCAACAACCTCGGACTGCCGGCCATCTCGATCGGCTATGGGATGATTTCGGAGGCGGGATATTTACACGAGCACCCTGATATCGAGGCCCTTATGAAACGGAAAGGAATTCACCCCATCAATGAAGATGAACTGATCCAGATCATGAATATGGCCATGATGAACCAAAGACCACACACATGGGACTCTCGGTATGATAATCTAGCAGGCAGCCATATTCTCACTGGAGTGGAATTCTTCGGCCTTCAGAAGCAGAGAGAACAGGGATTCGAGGGAGACAACCATATATTTGCCGATCCTCGAGGTGCATTGTTCACTGCATCATTTGAACGCCAGGTCGCGGGGACAAGCGAGAAGGAGACGCATGGCACGGCGGCGCAACTCCCTGGAAATATTGCGCGAGCGCTGCGTGATAGCCAAGATCCGGCATCTATTCTCGATGCACTTCGAGCTGTTGTGCTGAAGAAGATCTCCAATCTCATCCTTCTGCCGAAGACTCAGCTAGAAGCGGATAAACCCCTGGGTGAATTTGGTTTGGACTCTATGTTGGCTGCTGAGTTTCGAACATATATTTTCCGCACATTCGAAGTCGATGTACCCTTTGTGATATTGCTGAAAAGGAGTACAACTGTGAACCTCCTGACTGGTCTCATTGCTGAAGGCCTGCAGAAAAGTGCTTAGGCGCTATGCTACCTGCGCCAACCCGGTCGTGCCAAGAAAAATACCATCAGAATCTCACGGATGATAGTTTTTGATAAAAATATTCAATCTCTTATAAATAACTTTGGTATGCTTTTTTATCTGAGATCCACCTGGCAGTGTGGGCATCCACCTGCCCAGGTGGCGCGGGGCCTGCATCAGGACGCATTTGTCATCGTAAATAAAGCCCGAATTATAAGGCGCACATCTCATGTGGATCTGGGAACTTAAAGCCGCGTTCACCCTTACCATTTATATAGTATTGTCCGGCAAGCGGCCCAAAGGTTCATGCCCGTTGAAATTCTGCATATAGCATCTCAAGATGATTGCTACTTTCAAAAAAGTTTTAAGTCGGGTAAATTCTCGAACTTGGCTCGGCAAATTCTTTGAACCTGTTTCATCAAGATCTCCCAACCCACACCAGGCAACAGAAGAGGCAGACTTCTATTCTGCTGGAGGCTTCCATTCCGTTTCACTTGGAGATACTTTCAACTCTGGCGCATACAAAGTGATGAGGAAACTAGGCTACGGTCAATATTCTACCGTTTGGTTAGCTAGGGATTCCAAGTGAGTCTAACCTTCCACATTTGTCAAACATGCAACTTATCGAGTATTGAAGGGCCCAGAGGTATGTAGCCCTGAAAATACTAAGAGCCGATTGCTACGGTGGCTCGCACGACATCTTCGAGCGAGAAATTCTCTCTCGATTATCCAAATTTGCTGGGAAAAGCAACCATGGAGGCCGACACTACGTGTTACCCCTTCTGGATCAATTCGGACACGAAGGGCCAAATGGACAACACGTATGCTTTGTGTTCAACGTGTTGAGCCACCATTTGGATTTTCAAACCGCAAAATTCGAAGATGGGAGATTGCCTCTCAAGGCAGTGAGAACTATAGCGCGACGGCTTCTACTAGGGTTGGATTTTCTCCATAGGGAATGTGGAATCATTCATACGCGTACTGCGATTTGCCTCCTTTTCACAATAACGGCGCTAATGTTGGTCGATATATAGATCTAAAACCTACGAATATACTACTCGAGCTGGAAAATCGGCAAGAGACCATTGAGAAATATCTATCTGAAGTTCCCGAACGGGTGAATAATGAGTGTGGTGTTGCAAAGCCACTCCGAGAGGTCATCAGGACGCCGCTCATCTCCAAAATGCGTGAGCCGCACATCAGAATAGTTGACTTCGGTGTTGGTACGTACCACTCGTCCTGTCATCTTTTTGGGCGACACTTACACTGGCTGTAGCTTCATGGTCAGACAATCATCTTTCGGATGTAATTCAATCTCCAGCTTTACGAGCACCAGAAGTCACAATTGGTGCTCATTGGGATGCTAAGGTTGATATCTGGAGCCTCGGTTGCCTTGTGAGTGTTCAATATACTTACTCAAAATATAGCTAGGTTGTCTTCCAGCTCCTAATTTTCGGTAGGTTATTGAGTTTATGCAAGGGATAGTGCCTTTCTCTGGAGTGGCAGCAAAAAAACGGTTCGTGGACGGTTGATGATGATCGCCTCGCAAGGACAATCGAAATACTTGGTAATTTCCCGCCTGAGCTTCTTCGGAAAGGAAACAGAACTGCAGAGTTTCTTAATACGGATGGTATGCCTTTCTTTGAAAAAAACTAAGTGTCAATATCATGATTTCCCAAGGGCTTTACTAATTCCAGACGTCTCCTTAGGCGGCCTTCTTCGAATCTCAGATCTGAAACCGACAAGTCTTGAAAGACTCATAAATGGCACTGAGAGGCCTTCCCTCAAACCTAACGGCATTTCCGACGTTGAAACTCCCATCTTCATTGACTTCCTTCGAGGTATACTCACAATTGACCGAACACATCGAAAGTCAGCCGCAGAACTGCTGCAGCATGAGTGGCTTAGAATGTAACTAGTACTAGTACTAGTAGTGTATTATAGGTATAGATAGAAGAATTTCTCTTTAATAGGTAGTGTAGGTGCCAGTTTTTGCACTAAATGAAAGACTTTAGAATACATATTTTAACATTGAATCATGTTGGAATGCTTGAAGGATGGATATACCTGGAGGTAGAGAAGTAAATAAAACCAGAATTGATTTTCAATTGAGCTTTTGATTGGGTAAAATGGCAGAAAATACCTAGAAGCGGTCAATATCAGCCAATCCAAATTCAGAATCACTCTGACCAAAAAGCCAATCAGAGATCAGGAACAGAGCTTAATGTTCCTTGCTAGATTTCAGGTTTTCAAATAACGGTCAAGCGAGAGTTCTTGACTGTATATTGAATTTAACAGTCCTTTAAAAAAGTTCGAGGTACCCTCGTTGGGGTTTATGGATTAGTTATGAGAAATTTCACGGTTATGAGAATTTAACGGTTGTGAAATGGTTGTCGGACAGTTATCAAATACCCAATACAGGAATCCATACAGATATTAATTAATGTAGTAATAGACCAATATCGGTAATTTATATATTAATAAAATTACATACAATATTCTACATATCTATAGTACTAGAATTAAAATAAACAATTATCCTAAGATCTATATACACTTCTAAGTTCCAAGATTAATATTTAGAAGATTAACAAGATTTAGAAGGTTAGCACCTAGACATTCAGAAGATTAACATTTAGAAGGTTAGCATTTAGAAGGTTAGCAAGATCATTCAGAAAGTTAGTAAGATTTAGAAGGTTAGTATTTAAAAAGTTAGCAAGATTTAGAAGATTCAACTATGACCTTAGAAGTTAGAAAAATCAAAAAATTTCCAAGTCCAACTTTCAAAGGGAGTTAGAGAAGTAAAGAAGAATCCAACACATAGACAGATATATATATTTCAGGGGGAGACCATTGAAACATAACAGTTACAAGAATTTTGATTAGAACTAATTATCGGACAAGATTAGACAAGATCAGGCAAAGATTATTATACCTTAGGCATTAAGTTTAATTAGAACTAATTATAAGACAATATTAGGCAGAAAACTTACTTGGTAATAGGTTGTATTTTTACAACCGTCCACAACCGTTCTACAACCATTAATCACTATATCTACCTTATTATTATAATTTTAATTATATAGGCTTATAATTCATCTAGTAAGATAACTATTATATATCCAATATAATTAGATATAGTAATATCACAGTAAATATCTATTAGATCACCGTAAAAAAAAAAATCTACTGTGGTCTCACGGATATTTGAAACCCCATAAATCCTGCAAGGTTTAACAAGAATGTGAATTTCATTCTTAAGAGAGAAAGAGGGAAAGAGGGATGGATGCCCCCGGGCGGCGCCGTTGTTTCGTTTCGTTGACCCTGTAAATGGTCCTTGTTAATCTCCCGACTTTTTGCCCTTCCAAGTTTTCAAATTACTTCTCTTGTCTTTAACAACGCAAAATCCTTCTACTTGATCCAATTCTCCCACCCATCACATTCGAAGCTGTCAATTTGAGCTACCCCGACTCTCCGAGTAGCGCGGAGACCCGCCACTACCTCGGAGTGGAGACCCAGGAACCTGCAGTGAGGAGACGACCAATCGCCAATAATATGGGCGTGCCTCGTCCTTTATTCCGAGCGCGATCGCTCCTGTTCTTCCTGGCGATCATATGTCTTTTGATTTGGTCCTCGCCGCGTTGGACCCCCTTGACGAATATCTCCATAGTCAATCCTGCCCCGAATCCTATAAAATCCGCCCAAGACCTAATTGAGGCCAATCGCAAACTGTGGCCTGGATTCGAAACTACTATTAAAGATTACACGCCCCACGAATTTCCCATTATCGAACGTGAAAAAGCGCCAACGGAGCGGTTTGACCCAGAAGATGCGTCACCTCGACCAGATTTGTTACAATTGGATGCGGAGGATATTGGGTTCATGAAGAAAGCACATGCTGGATTCACGCACAAGATTCTAGATTCTCCACCAGAATTGAATTATGTCTCAGGGACGAGAGGCCTGGTCTCAACCGCAGGCGGTTCATACCTTCCGGTACTGGTCATTTCTCTTCGAATGCTTCGTCGAACAGGCTCCACCCTCCCGATGGAGGTCTTCTTGGCAAACGAATCTGAATATGAAGAATACATATGCGATACTGTATTACCCTCTCTCAATGCATCATGTGTCGTGTTATCACATATCATGGATGTATCATTAACAAAGATCGAAACATACCAACTGAAAATCTTCGCGATGATATTCTCTTCATTTGAAGAAATCCTATTTTTAGACGCTGATGCGTTTCCACTGGAGCGACCAGAGCTTCTTTTCGAAAGCAAGCCATTTTTAGGGACATATATGGTTACATGGCCCGATTTCTGGGCATCTTCTACATCTCCTCTTTTCTATGAGATTGCTGATACCTATACTCTGCCTAAGAATTTTCAACAATCAACAGAGTCAGGCGAGATCCTCATCTCAAAGAAAACTCATTCCCGGACCTTGCTACTCGCTACTTACTATAATTACTGGGGACCTACGCATTTTTATCCACTCTTATCACAGGGTGCTGCCGGCCAAGGAGACAAAGAGACCTTTATCGCAGCTGCAATCGTGATGACAGATTCATACTATCAAGTAAGCGAACCAATTTGCGCACTGGGACATCGGAAAGAAGGTGGCGGAATGGCAGGATCGGCGATGGCCCAGTTCAACCCAATCCACGACTACAACCTGACAAGAAAGGGTCTATGGCGAGTTCGTGGAGATAGTGCGCCTCCGCCAGACGTGTTCTTCATACACGCGAATTTTCCAAAGTTCAATCCGGCTACAGTATTCGAGAAACATGATGTGAACCCTGCGTTCTTAGATGATGGGACGTATACTCGTGCTTGGACTATCCCCGAAGACGTGGTGGGGCAATTCAGCAACAAGGTTGATATTGAAAAAGCCTTTTGGAGAGAGATCCTATGGACGGCCTGTGAGCTTGAAGATAAGTTCGTGTCATGGGAAGAGTTGGATGGGATATGTGCTGGTGTGAAAGATTACTGGCATATGGTCTATGAGTCTGATGGGCTACCATCTTGAAAAATGAGTGCGATATAGACAATATAGATGATTTTTTCATGTGGTCTACGAGTTATAGACCTAACGATTTCTACATTTTTTGTTCATGATTTAATCTCACCCTCTGGCTCACCAGTAGCCTGTTCCGCCAAATTTGGTCTATTGAAAGAACCGTCCATCCATCAACGCAAATACAATGCGAAAACTTCGTCGAGATTGTATAACCAGGACCATCCCCCATTGAGAAAAGACCTTCGTTTTCTGTGCTGTCTCCCCTGAGATAGGACAATTTTTGAGAGCACAGTTCCTCAAAAGTCTCGAAACCAGATCTTTGAAGCAGAGAAGGGGACTGTTGAGTATCATTGATTTATGAATTCGCTTGAAACGATTCGCGGATTTACAGACATATATACTACTCTATAATATTTTGAATGAGTGCCTGTGTCAAAGGGTCAAGATTGATCCATCTTGTTATAAGTAAGACAATCTAAGAATCAAATTCGAAGATCTGAATGACAAATTTTGCATAAGCATTCCGAGCCAGAGGAGATGATCAGCGGGACCCTTGGTGGTGTATGGAGATATTTTCCTGTTTGCCGACCAGCAGTCAATCAACCTTGGAATGCCTGGAGCAACGCTAATGAGGGCATGATAACGCCCGACCACCGGGACCCAAAACTGGCCATGAATGGCAAGGACGACTGTGGCTCTTCAGGGCAGCGGTTCTGATGTACAGAGTCGTTGAAATTGAAGTCTTGAGGCCAGGACTGGTGGCAAAGAAGTGCTTTTGTCAGTGGGGCCTGAAACATGGCGTTTTCTGGAAGCTCAACCCCCGAAGAGCGATTTTCTTTGCCAGGGAGCGATCCTTGGCACCGTTCTTTCTGCTGCCCTAGAGCTAGGCATAGGTTGTGAAGAATGGCTGTCCGTTGAAGAGCTGGGGAGACTGGGGATCCGGGCAAATTGACATCGGGAGAGGGAGAGCAGTTCTCCTAAGGATGGGAAGATGTTAACTATGAGTTTTAGGCAGGTTGAACAACAAAAAACGGCACAGGCTCACTTTGATATGTGGTCTTTTATTATGGATAGTCTCTGCGCCCCAAAGAGAATTTGGAAGATCCTTTTTTCCATATAACTGTGACCAGTGTAATGAATCAGGATAAGGGAGCGACCAGGGGTGTTTTTGGCTTAAAATTGCCTGGAAATGGACAGCTTCTTCCTCCACAGAAACGTCGTTGTGTTCTCAAAATATACTGAATGGCGAGCAGTGATGATAGACCGATGATCGTTGCCAGACCGTCGTGATAGCTGAGTGAAATCCATCTAGTGAGAATTTTGCTCTGGAAGTTTTGGTGTGATAGAGCTTGTCAAGCAAGAGGTCTGTAAATCTCTGTTATGTAGAGAGATTTGTCTTAGCTTCAAAAATCACAATGATTGCTGGTCTTGCTTTCCAGACACCCGATACTGAATGGGCAGAGTATATGCCACTTTTGAGGGATCGCCTGATCAAGGGACTCGATGATCTTCTTCTTAGTCTGCTCATAGGCGATGACTAGCGCATGACTTGTTGAGAGATGGAAGAGTGAGGAACGGTAATATAGTTTGAGATTCATGATCAACATGGATTTTCGGAAGTTTGCTATTGCGCACGATTTGGATAATGTCATCCTTCACCGGGCCAAAAGAGAGTTGTTGTAAGACATGAAGCTTGAAGCAGCAATATCAATGACTCAATTTCAAGTTCTCAAGGCAATCTATGACTTCGAGATTACCTTGCCCCAAAAGACTACCCTTTTACGAATTTACCTACTAGTATCATATAAGAATTAGCCTGTGCTCCTTAAATTCATTTCAGTATCTCAAACTGAGAATGATCCTTAACATGTAGATTTAAAGATTCAAATGTTTGCATTTATATACCATCAGGTGATATCACCTGATATCGATGCTATTTAAATATTAGCTAGTACCACATCTCTTCTTCTTCCTCTTCTTATTCAATAAATTTTAATGAGATCTCTCTCATGACACTTGAGTCCTTCATGCCATTACACCTGGTATTTATTTATATCTTTCACAAACTCTTGCCTCTTTTCCTTGATAGTTTTACACCCACTGACATTCACCAGCGTAACCACACGCTCAAAATTCAAAGGTGAATTCCTCAAACTTGAAGGTTGATTCTTTTTGTACCAAATCGAGTGAACTGTCCTAATGCCGATTGCTAAACATCCTTGTTAGTCTCTCAGAAAGCCTGACTCGGACTTGAAAGTTCCAAGCTCACCAACCTTGGAAGTTCTTTCCAACCTCCAACATCCAGGTCAGTCTTTCTCCATCAGCTTAACCTATTTAAGTCTCTTCTCGCCTTTCCAAACTTTCTTCCTTCTTCATATCTCATCACCCTTGACAGCTTGACTCCAACTGATTCACTTGCAAAAGAAACCCTTGACTTATTCAATGATGAACATTTTGAAGACGTCGCTCATTCAAGAGTTCCGGGATAATCCCTCTGGTATTCTGCATTTCGAATAGTGGAGCCGCTACTCCAGATGTGCATACCCGAAGGTATGCTATAAACAGATCCCCTGTGTTCAATCTATGATTGCAAATGGAATCTGGAATCTTTCAGGAGAAGTCGATAACGAGCACTTGACTGGCTCAAAGGATGTTCCACCACGAATAAAGATCGGACTACAGATACTGCGCGCAACCTATACACAGCCTGAATATGGAAAGCCTAGAGGTAAGATATTCTCTTAATTGTTTCTCGTGTGATGGATCACTTTCTTACGAAGAGACATATCAAGGCTCGAGGTATCACGGAGGCAATTCAGTAGAAGCTCAGCAGCGCCCAGATAGCAATCTCCAATGTGCCAATTGCCATTCGGGCAGTCTTTGTGGCACCCTGAAAACGCGAACTTTGACAATGGGTAGCAGGGTCGCGCTGCTGGGGGAAAAAGTGGTTGCAACCATGACCAAGCACATTGTCCTCAAACTACGCGACAAGACCCTTACAATCCTTGTCTGGAGAGCAATCATCGCCGAGATATACGCGGGCACGAATATTTCTTACCTCGCTACACCACAGATATAACCTAGCTGCAAGGTCATCTTCAAGACAATAGTATTATGACTATCGGACAAGCGCCAAGGATCCAGGTACGTAGTATCAGGCCACTTCCACTGGTAGCGTTGACCAGTCTCATTGCGCCATTACTATCTTTTGATCTTGCGACAGATCAAAGTTGGATTTTTCCTGCCGTTCTGTTTGGAGACAAAGGTGGAAGGTAAAAGAGATAGGAATCGCTTTCCATTGGCTACCCATGCCTTCAAAAGTTGAACTTGAAGCAGGTCAAAGCAGTACCTGGAACGTCTAAGGTAAAATGTTAATATCACGATATATCCTGACTTGGAGAGGCACTCAGGCTGGCGTCAAGGATTATTACAAGTTCTAGAAGTCGGCTACTATAAAATCACGCTTCAGCACTGGAAAGCCTTGACAATCACAGACATATCATCATTGTTCACGTCTGGGTGATCAAATTGTCATGCCCAACTGGGCAACATCTGTGGTAGAATGGCTGCCCTTTTGTGGGTGTGCCACCAAGTTATTCCCTCCCCCATCCACATTGGTGAAATAAAAGTTACTCATTACCACCAATTTACGGTCCGTATTGACATAAAATACGGTCTACATTCGCCTGTGTTCATTTTCTTCAATTTGGGGACCACTGGCGGAGTTGTTGTTTTTATGTGCGGGCGAAATAATCCTGAATCCAGCAGGAAGACTATCATGTCTCGAGCACTTGAGTTTGGAGACAGACCTGTGTTGGCATACCTGGTTCTATACGACGCTTTGCTACCAACTGAGATCAGCCTACGCCTACGTATTCACGCCTACATATTCGCACCATTTAGGGAGCAATCATTCCAAGAATACGATGTGCCTTTTTCACACTACTCGTTCTGAGCCAACAATGGTAGCACGTCCACTGTTGACTCAGAATGCAGTTCAGCACCTACAACCTCTTATGAGAGGGCATTTCACTCCTTTTCCTGATCTGGCTACGCAGCACCAAACCTTGCACTTCCCACTTCCCTTTGAATGGTTTAAATTTTCCCACGATGTTCCAGCATTGAGTTCAACAATGCTAGAGGACAAGGATGGACTTGTGCATTGCATGGTGCAGTGTAAGCCTGCCCCAATTGCGGGTTTATGCCAATTTGGTTTGATACAAAACTAACATGCCACAGCTTGTATAGAGCCAGACTCAGGAGGGGTATTATCAAAAGTGACATAAAAGGAGACAGAAGCAAAAAGATGACAGATGATCTTAACCAACATATGCGGATGCATAAATCCGACTCGGTGGAGGTCTATTATGCACGCCATGAGGTTTTTGATCCTGAGAATCAGCAGCACCCCAGATCTCAGGAACTTCTATCAGAAAGTGCACTCAAACAAATGAAGATCTCAGAATCCACCCTCCGCCAGACTCAGGAGGGGTATTATTAAAAGTGGCAGAAAAGGAGACAGAAGATGGAAAGAAACGCCAAACAGCGTGAAACCAGGAAGCAAGCAGGAAGCACCCGACGGAGGAGCAGAAAGAAATGCAAGAAAGAGAAGAAAATGAATACGCTGCAAAAAACACAGATAAGGAAGAAGCTGCGAGGACAGAGGAAGAAAAGGAAGAAAAGAATTTTCTGTTATTCCCCAATTGGATTGGCATAACCTAAACATGCCTGGAGCCTGCAGTTATCTGTTTTTTATGAAACTCTCGACGCAGGATATGGTCAAACAATTCAAAACGAAAGAGAATGCCTTTCAAAATGAACTGAAATCTATTTTAATACACAAAAATGTGGGAACTTGAGGAGTGCCTGATAAATGGCCCACCTCTACAATCAGCAGGCATCCCAGATATGGTTATAATCAACCAAAGATCCTCGTTACTTCTTGTTGTCGAGCTCAAGACCCCATGGATCTACGCCACTTCGACATTGTCTAGGTATTTAATCCTACTAACTATTTTAACAACCTTGGAAATTAGTCCACAGATTGACTCATCTTTAACTAGGACAAATTTAGGTGTCCTAAACATATACAACGAGACAATTTTCCTACGACAGCAGATTTCCAACCAGAGATGGCAGCTCGAATATTCACCGGTTATAAGTCATGCAATTCTCAGATTGGCCAAGACCTACTCCGTCCTGTGGGATCAGGATATGGTTGCGGACTCAATCTGGCAGCTCCAGCCAAAAGGTGAACTAGGAAGAACCAGTCGGAAGTTCAACCGCAATCGGCGCCTCAAATCACACATACTATGATATGTCTTGGCTCAAGATCTCGGTACATATATTTCCAGCTTCCTTGAAAGCAATTCCATGCTGGTCCGAGTCGATATTCAAGTTGTTCCAATGCACCAGCAGGACCTACGAACACTTTGGAAGAGACGATTGTCCGCCTGAGTGCTTTCTTGGAACACCTGCGCACGAAAGAAATTTTCGTCGAGGATTTGAATAACCCCATGAAAAATGGAATCCAAGACTCCACAAGTCAAATCCTCACTTATTTCTCTCAGAGGATATAGCACTACATGGCAGATTTACCAGGGCTACTCTCCTGTGCAAACTGTTACAATGGGTTTGTTGGCTACTTTTCAAAGCAAAGTATACAAGCAGATACTCATATAATACCTTGCTAGCAAGCAAGGACAGGTGGTATTGCTAAGATGCCCTCAAATTCAAGTTGCCTCACCTAACTGAGGAGGTTCAAACAGAGATCATAGAGTTCCTCTACCCAGGACATACTATGAGCTCTCCCATTTTCATCGCGCGCAATCCATGCTGCCATTTACTCGAGGATCATCTCGGCCCTTATGGAGTTCCTCAACAATGAGCACCAGTATGCATCGCGTAGCATGAGTCTCAAGGATATATCAGCTCTACTCCAAAGTGATAGTACGAGATCCAAAGTCACGAACCTACCATGAGTTCCAATTTCATATCTTTCCCGTTGAAAGATACAAGGATACACAAACTCCAAAAAACGCCGGCATAATGCTTCGGCTCGATTTGAAGTTTGATCGGCTCCCAATTCTCAAGCACCTTGCCCACTCCTTATATTATCAATCTATTATCATCACCAACCATCAGACTTGGTCCTACTCTAAGTGACTCTGATCAGTCCCTTTCCATGGACCGAGGTCAACCAAGCACGGTGGAGGACAGAGATCACTCTGGGAAGTTCCTTCATGTACCCATACGCCCCGGCCCATCGAAGTCGTGGCGGTATCTCTATCTAGTCGTTTTCTGAACATACGACGAGAAGGAATTGAAGTAAGACCGCATACCAATTTCTCGGGTTTTATTTCTCGGGCAAAGTGTGCAAAATCAAAGATGGCAGCTTTGAATTCTCACCATGCATCAAACATGACAACTTCGCAGAGGAAGCTGGAGCTCGACTACAACAAAGGGTTTCTGGTACATTACGAATCTATCATTCAAGCCCTGGAGAGAAGGAAACTTTTGATCGCCCATGCATTACTCCTGCCAATAGAAGATGGACTAGAAAAGGAGAAAGATACTTAGCACAGAATGAACGCAAAGCTCGAATTGAAAAACGCGAGTTAGTATGCGTGAACATCATCAATTGATATTTCTCATGACTTATGCCCCCCGACTAAAGTAACTACTAGTACCTATGCAATGTTGTAACATTTGAATATAGCAAGTTCCAAGCTTGACTAGTATCATAAGTACTACCTAGTAGTGAGATGGAGTTGTATGATAAAAAAACAACGAGGAAGAACTTGGAGGCTGCTGGCAATAACAGCTTTTAAGACACTGGCATTACTAGCAGCCAAACTCATTACTATCTGAAAATTGATACTGGGGAGGTTCAAGTTTGAAGGCAATAGTATGTAGAACTCTCAGATGGGGGAGAGTGTAATTCTGATATTCTAAATTTTGAGTTATAGCACATCTGCTATGATAATATTGTACAAAATCCTCTATAATAATACATAAAGTACAACCACGCAATGCAAAAAAACACCAGTACCTACTGCGTAGGTACAGATCGTAGCAAGAACTTCTCATCCAGACTACGCTTTCTGCTCAGCCACAGGCACCAATAAACCCTTAGCTTCAGCCTTCCGAACAGCCTCCGCAAACAACTCCTTACAAGGAACTCGACTGCCCAATCTCGCACAAAGTAAGAACGCACCACTCAACTTGCGATGCAAACTATAAGTCTCCTCGGGGGGCGGCGCAAGACGTTCACGAATCATAACCGGGATAAGCGCACGCACACGATCGGTGATAGTCTGATTTTGGAAATCATACAAATCCGGCGAAGACTGCATGAATGGTTCCGCGATTGTGATAACCGACGAAACATGCGCATCAGCCATAGCCTTCGACTCAAGGCCTGTGAGATATCCCAATTGCACAGAGAGATCGCGACAAGCTTCTCTATCATTCCGAGAAGCAGCGACAAGGGTCCGGGTGTATGTTGAGATAAATTCGGTAGGATATTCACGAGAAGCGCCGAAATCGAGAAGTTCCAGTTTGTTTGTGCGGGCGTTGTAGAGGAAGTTCGTCCAGTTGGGATCGGTTTGCATGTAGTGGAATTCTGTGATTTCGCGAAGACATAATCGCATGATTTGTGTGCCGATCCAGTCACGTTGCTCTTGTGTGAAGTCTTGGATCTTGGTTACGGCAACTCCTTCTAACATTTCCATTGTTAGAACTTGTTGACCTGAGGCTTCGGGCATCACTTCTGGTACCAGGAAGACAGGGTCATCGTGTAGAAGTTTGCGGAAACGCGCGCCGCATTGAGCTTCGCGGTTGTAGTCACATTCCCAGCCTAGTTCGACTCGTGCGTTGGCGATGGTCTTGTCGAGGTAGAGACCGCGAGGAAGGAGGCGGGAGGCGGTTAGGAGAATGGAGAGGTTGTTTAGGTCGGAGTCGATGGAGTCTGCTACGCCGGGGTATTGGATTTTCACGGCGACAGGCTTGCCGGTTCTTTTGAGCACTGCGGCGTGCACTTGGCCGATGGAGGCTGCGGCCATGGGAACTTCTTCGAATGAGGAGAAGAGGTCTCGCCAGTTGGGTCCGAGGTTATCGGTTAATACTTTATCGCGCTGTGAGGCGGGCATGTAATCGGCGCGATCTTGGACGCGCTGTAGCACTTGCTGAATAGGTTCGGGGAGCATGTTCGAGTCTATACAGTTATTAGTATAGGCAAATTTACCCCAGAGTGCTAGTTAATTACCTTGAATACTCAACATCTGACCCAGCTTCAAAGCAGCACCTCGCATCTTCGACAGCTTGGCTACCATGCGCTCCATGTTGCCCGCGCTGAACATGATAGAGCCGCTTTCTTGACTACCAGTAGCTCGGCGCATACTCTCACTGACTGCGCCAAAGGCCATTGATGTTGCCAATCCACCATACTGCCACAGTCGACCCAACCGAGAAGAAGGCACACGAGATTCCATCATTTGATACGGGACGGCCTTCTCAGTTGGAACCTGCTTTGGAGCTACCTCCTCAGCAACACTAGCAGCCAGCTTCTGGATCTCTTCATCCTCCTTCGGGGTGATTTCAGCTTCAGACTCTGGCGCCAATGTCGCACTCGGCACGGGCTGGGGAACAGCTCTCTGTGCCTTGATCCATTCCGGTCTCGGCTTGGGTTTCCCCGAAAGCATGCGCGAGACACGGGGACTATGGAAGAGTCCCTGCATCATCTCCTCTGGGATATCCTCCTTGCCAGGTGTATCAGCAGGGACACTCTTCCCTTCCGGGCCAGTAGCCGCGTGGAACACGTCGGCATTCAGTCCATCATTACTACCTGCCTGTACATCGCCAGCAGACTTGGGTATTTGCACACGCGGCGATGCAGATACATTCGGCGCAACCTGCTCCGAGGGTTTGTAGTAAACATCCTGCTGCTGGCTAATATTCAAATCGGTATTCTCAGCACCGGTATACTGCGCGGTCGCGGCAGGAATTTGGATCTCCGCATGAGCTTCAGGTTGCTCTGTGTGGAGGCGGGCATTGTCCGAGGTGGGGGAGGTCGTTCCTGATTGTGGTTCTGATTTCCGTGGAGCAGAGTCGGCCGATATATCGGAGGACGAGGATGACGGGTTCGGTGGCGAGTCGTCGAATCTACGCGCCAAAGCGGCAGCGGCTTGTGCGGTTAAGATCAACCCTTCAGTCTGTTCCTTGATACCCTTAGTCAGGGAGGAAGTCCGAGTATAGACATCAAGTTGATGCTGGCGAATAGCCAGATGCTTCACAGCAATTGACTTAGAAACATTGAAAAATTGGATGACGTCTAATAGACGCCTCCCAGACATGATGTGGTTTTTTTTTCAGTTAGTTATAAGTGGATTGTTGATGTGTTAATAAAATCGGGAAAGATCGGAAGTGATGTAGTAATAAGAATGAATAAACGGGTACAGTCATGTTAATTAACAAAAGATAGAGAATGAGCCGGATTACGGTCTTCTCCGTTCTCCACCTTTTCTATTATATGTGTGGGATCTGCTCATGCGACCACTTTCTTTTATTCAACACTCGACAACCTCGACAACCTCGACATTTATACACACAAGTCATATATACCCATATACTATACTATACTACACATCATGCTCGAGGACCAGCCACAAGACTTGCAATTGGAAATCTCTCAACTCGAGGCGCGTCTTCATGATTTACGCAGCCAAGTAGACGGGACCAATTATCCAGTCGAGAAGACACAGACACAGACACAATGGACAACAGGTAAGCCACTTCCAGTTCAACTACACACAATATAACCAAAACTAACAATCATTCCAGACCTTTACAATGACAAATTCCAATCGGAATCAATCCGATCCTCTCTTCACGCTCTCCTCCTTCTCTCCGACTCCGCCCTTCCATTGGGCTCATTCGCATACTCCAGCGGGCTGGAGTCCTTACCTCGCACATAATAAGCCTCAGCGCACAAACCCAGCATCATCATTCCACCGCTTTCTTAAATTATCCATTGCCTCAATCGCAAGCACATCTCTTCCCTACGTGCTAGCCGGGTACCGACACCCCGAAACCATAGAAACTCTCGATAACGATCTCGATGCCTCCACGCCATGCATTGTAGCGCAGCGCGCCAGTGTCGCCCAAGGCCGTGCCTTGATTGGAGTGTGGGAGCGTGCATTCCGAGCTAGTTTCGCCGCTCCTTCACGAATCACCGATACCGGCGCGCAGGTCGCTGCCTCATCTATCGATGATTTCTCCGATATGCTCAAATCCGATATGGGCGAGGTTGATGAATATGATATGGGACCTAAGGGTCACTTTGCCCCACTTTGGGGAGTAGTCTGTCGTGCTATGGGACTGGATCTCCAGCAGACGGCCTATATCTTTATTCTGAATCACGCTAAGGCTGTGCTTAGTGCTGCTGTGCGCGCTTCTGTTATGGGTCCTTATCAGGCGCAGAATATTCTAGCCAGTCAAAGTTTGCAGGATACTATTATGGCGAGAATTAAGCGCGAGTGGAACACCTCGGTTGAAGAGGCTGGTCAAGTCGTACCTGCATTAGATTTGTGGGTCGGTCGACATGAACTTTTATATAGTCGGATTTTCAACTCATAATCCATTACTATTATTATATATTGTACATCTTTTCATTTATCGTAATCTTCATTTATCGTAATCCTAGTAATCCTACTACTAGTAGTAGTATTTCAATACTGACATATTTCAAAGTGTAGTATTTTTTCATCTTCATGTAGTCCTACATATGACCAAAACTAATCAGAGCCAAAGCCGAGCACAACAGCGCCTTTCGAAACCCAGGGTATCCAAGGACGCAAAATCATTCGCTCAGCGCCCCAGCGTCCGAAAAATGAAAATGAATGGGGAAAAAAAGGAAACAAGAAGAACAAGAATATCCGCCATGGCGTTCATAGGTCTCGCCTAACAGTATCAAAGGAACATAGTCCTCAAGGACGCCGCATCAGTCATCAAACGCCAACCCCCAACCTAACCCTAAAGACAAACCCACCAACACCACACTATGAACCGTTCCGAAGTGACCACTGAAGAGAAAAAAAAAGGGTGATAGGGGGAAAGAGGAAAAAAAGGAGAATAAAAAAAAACTTATTGTACATGAAGAAAAAAAAAAGGGGTCACAATAAAACAAGGGGTCACCTCAGAGGGTAATGTGCATATGATCATTGCTTCCGAAGGATTTGTTGCAGTTAGGACACTTTCGAGAACGAGAGGTCAACCGCTCTTCCACACAATCCTTACAGAAGACATGGCCACAAGTCTTGATGGCAGTGTTCTTGAAGTTGCGACGGCACACTGTACACAAGGCAAGAGTCTAAGAATTGAGATTAGCAAAAAGATATCCAAATAGCACTGTGACAATATTCAATGTGACTTACCCGCAACATCTCATATTCGGAGGAGCTATTGCCGAGACTCTTGCCCTTCCAGTTCTCAAGGCTCTTCTTTGTATCGGTAAGAGATTGCTTGAGGCTGACAATCTCGGTTTCCGCCTGTCGCAAGGCAGTTGAAGTGTTCCCCAGAGTCGAATCCTTCGAAGTCGAGATCGCCTTTAATTCAGCGATCTGGGCCTTCAAACCATCCATCACAATATTACTTTCGGTCATCTGCTGTTGGGTAGATCTGTGCTTGTCTTGGATAGCCGCCAAAGCTTCCTTGGCTTCGCTGGCTTGCTTTTCCATGTTAGACAATAGTGATCGAGTGGTAGATTCTGAGTCCTTGAGTTGCGCAACGATATCGGAGGTCTTGGAGTTCTGTATTCTCAGTGTGCGAACTTCGGTTTCACGGGCTTCCTTGCTCTTCATAGCTGCAAAATACTTCTGGTCCGCCTTCGACTTCTCGGCCGTCAATCGTGTAATCTTCTCTTCCAAGGCACTGAAATCGATAACTTTCTGAGATGCGAGGGTCGAAAATTTCTTGTACGCCATTTGCATTGATGTCAACTCCGTATTCAGCATGCCATATTGACGTTCCAGCCCGGTGTACTTGGCACGGAGATCTTCAAGTGGCATGTCCGCCACACCTTCCGAGGATTTAGAGCCCTCAATTTGCAATCTCAGCCTCTCGGCCTCGGACTCCAAAGCGCTGATCCGAGCCTCTCGAGCGTCCGCGAGCTCCTGCAACTTGGATCCTGTGGTTTTTTCTTGGTCGTGAGAAGCCTTTCGCATTTGCAAATCCGCCAAAAGTTCGTCACGGGCGTTTCGAATACGGGCAAGATCAGTTTCCGCTCGGACTAGTTGGCTGTCCTTCTCCGCGATTGTGCTGCGCGCTTCGTCTTCGACCTGGGTCTTGTATGCAGTCCGTTCTGAGCGATATTTTTCAGCCTCCTCGCGAAGCTGAATGTTTGTTGCTTCAAGATGGTTGATGCGCTTTACCACATCGTCGTATTGGGAACGCAGTTGTTTGAAAAGATCGGTTTGCGCATAGTCATCGTCTGTCAACTTCGAATACTAAACAGATTTGAAAATTAGTTGCCGAACCCCAAGTCTCGCCATAAATGGGGAAAAGTACCTTGACCTTAACCTCCGTGATCTGAGTCAAAAGGCTTGCATTTTCAGTCTCCAATTTTTGCAACTGCTCTTTCTGCTTTTCAGATACAGCGGCTAGTTGGTTGTTGGTTTCTTCTAACTCGGCACTGCGTTCTCCGGAAGGTGTTCCACCATTGGCGGAGGATGACTCCTCCCGCTTTGTTTGCGCACCTTCTGAACTAGGTCTTTGATTGCCCATGATGTATCCCTTTTCAAGTTTGGCAGCAGTCACGCTCCTCGCACGGTCTAACTTCTTTTCAGCCATCATATATCGCAATGAGGCCGTCTCCAGACTTTCTTCCAGTTGTTGCTTTTCCGCAAGGGTCTTTTCCAATTCAGAAATGTGTATCTTTTCTTCTGCGAGCTTTTTGGCCAATTGGCCTTGAAGATCTGTGACATCTGGAGACACATTTGCAACCTTGGACTGGAACTGAGCAATGATTTGGCGAATGTCGTCAGACCTCGCTTTCAAGTGGGTTTCAAAGGCATCATTATCGTCAAATTGCAGCGAACTCTTGAATGCATGATCTGCCAGGGATTGTCAATCTTTGTTTTGAGGAATCATGTGGGGGTGTGGAAGTGGGGGCGATACTGACCATTGGTCAAATCATTGGAAGGTCCTAAGAGCAATTTGATTTCATCCAGGAACTGCCAGGTTGTTAGAGCTTCCGAATCATAAGATGGATAAGAAAGAGTGCACCGCAGTTGGCGAAGTTAATGTATGGGCTTACCTGACAGAACCATGAATCAATCACTCGGAGACGATCATTGTGATCTGAGGCCGTTTTCGAAATCTGGCTCACTCGCGCCTCCAAAGCCACCTTCTCGCGCTTGTATTCTTGCATCTGACGCAGGATCGCATCCTTTTGAATCCTCTGTGGAGAAGGGCCAGTCAGTATCAAAATATACAACTTGCCGCGCAAACTCTTTTGTCGCTCCAAATTATACGTTGCGCATCATCTCGAATCTGTACATACCTCCAAGTCATCTTTCCAGGGCATATCGGCGTCGGGGTGAGGCTTGCTCCCGCCATTTACAGAAGTAGCCTGTTTCTTCAATGGCGGGGCGGAGTCATTGTTATCGGCAGCGGGTCGCTTCCGGTCATCCATTTTGAGAGGACCGGATTCTGTAGACACGATAGGGGATTCGGCGGCCGGCATCAGTGGCTAGACGGGCATGAGAGGGGGGGTTTATCAGTGACCACCAAACCGTCACTCAGCCAGAGTCAGACACCGAGACCGAGCCCAAGATCTGGCAGATAAGACACTGGGATGAGATGGTACCAGCGGAGAAAAACAGTGAGGCGAGAAAAAGGGTGTAAAGGGAGTGACAAGGCCTGGACACAAGGGGTGGATGGGAGTTTTAAGATTGGAGGAGTTGAACAGGAGGATTTTCAAGGAACTTGACCGCCCGGCAATAACCACAGTCTTATGTAATAGGGAACAGGGGCGTGATTCGCGTGATTGAATGAGATGAATTAGATCATGTGACTTCGTGTGACTCCGCCCGCATCTTTTGGAACTTTTTTAATCTTAGATTGAACCCCACCCCGATAAACTCCTAGCAATGGGCCACCATGAAGTCATTTTCTAGTTCGGCGATCAGTGAGTGCTCTTTCTTACTTTATGAACAGCTCCGAACAGTTATTAACCTGTTTAACCTCTAGATAAATCGGGCAAGAAGTTTGCGCCGAAGGTGCCTGCCCGCCGGGCCGCGCCTGCTGCAGCACCAGCGCGTCGGCCAAGTGCAGCTCAACAGACACAGGCAAAAGCTGTACAGGCCCAGGCGACCCAGGCGACCCAGGCAACTCAGTCAGAGAGGGATGAAGCGGAGGCTACGCCTGTCACCGTACAATCTGCTTCCCCAGCCATACCTGAGCCATCTGCAGTTGAAGAGACACCAGTCCCACCGGCACCAGTTGCACCAGCATCAGTTGCACCAGCAGTCCCAGCTCAGACTCAGGAAACGACAGATATAGCACCAACCTCAACCCCAACCCCAACTACTATACCTACACCCACTACCATACCTATTCCGTTCCCGAAGCGGAAAGCACCCGCCCCAACCCCGACCCCCGAACCAGTCCCGACTCCTCCAGCAACAATCACCCCTACAACCAGAATTGAAGGTTCCGCCTCTCCTCGCACTCTACCTGCTGAACCAAGCATCCTCCCCTCGATTGAACATGATGTGGAACAAATTGTCGCAAGTGAACTCACACTTGAAGCTGTGCAGTCCGCATCGAACCTCAGCTCCATCACTGAGCCTCCTCCAGTCTCGGTTTCGACTTCCGAGGCACCAGAAACACCTCCAGTTCCAATTAACTTGAAGGGGGCCAGAAAGACTTCCGAAATCACAAAGGTCACCAAGCCCAGAGCTAAGCCACGGCCCAAGGGTCCTCTTGCAACTCCCCCAGCCACGCAACCCCGAGCACCTACAGTCGGACGCACCAGTGAGACACCAACAACCTCCGTAGCGCCATCTGTTGCTCTATCCACTCCAGAGGCCAGTCAAGCTTCTACCACTACTACAAGGAAACGAAAGGCATCGAAGGCAGCGGCTTCAGATGCCGACGGAACTCAGAAACCTAAAAAGACCCGTCGCCGCCAACGTGAAGTTACACCTGAAGATGCGGAGACCGTCGAGATTTTGCCCAACGTCATCAAGATGTCCGAGCTCTGTAAAGATCTCAAGACTGGCCGAAAGTCAAAGCGTGAGGTTGAGCTGCGTCGGCTGGATGTGGAGGAGCAGGAGCGAAAGCAGAAAGCGCAAGAAGCAGGAACCCCTGCAGAGACGCCCAAGAAATCTGATGGAGATAAGAACAAATCAGATGAAGATCGCCTGGATGAAGGTGCAGCTCAAGCTGGCCCTGTCATGCGCATCGTTAACGGTGAGATTGTGCTTGATGCGACCTCGCTGGAGGTGGATCGTCACGCGGATGCGCAGCGGGATGTGGGCGACATGATCACTGTGGAGGAGAACCAACTTACCCGACGAGTCAATCAATCTACTTATGGCAAGCGATCTAAGACCGAGACGTGGGACGAGGAGAACTCTGATTTGTTCTATCGTGGTCTTCGCATGTTCGGAACGGACTTCCAGATGATCAGCAAGCTGTTCCCGGGGCGTTCTCGTCGGCAAATCAAGCTCAAGTTCAACAATGAAGAGCGAAAGGATCCGCAGCGCATCACAGCAACCTTGCTAGGTCCTCGCGAGATCATCGATATCGCAACTTACGAGGAGATGACCAATCAAACATACGATGATCCCACTGAGATTCAACGGGAACTCGATGCAGAAAGAGAAGAAATTGAGAAGCAGCATGAGAAGGAGAAAAAGCTGCAAGAAGACATGCTGCGAAATCCCACCGGTGCTGGCACAGATGGGAACGCCGTCGATGATAAGACCAACCTTGCGCCTACCAAGAAAAAGCGTATGACCAAAAAGCAGATGGCCAGCGCTGCTGGTGGCACGGAGGAGGTTATTGGTACCATTGATGATTAGGAGAATTCAACGGAGATTCAAGTTTAATGGTCTTTTTTTTTCCTTTCGTTTTGGCCTTGCAATCCGCTCTCCGGGTAAATGGGTGGCTTTTTTTCCAACGGCGTTTCGATTTCAGCACGATACACAGGCGGGTATGGGAATGGCGTTTGATTGCCATAAAGATTAATGAATTCTGATCTTTTCATAGATGGACCGCCTCTATGGGTATAAGAATTATAAACTAATTCGCGTTCTATTTGATTTTAGACCTGTACAACAGTACTGTAGTATGTATCCACGCATGTTTATAGAATGGATTCCTAGGCAATAATGTTTACAGGTGCTGGAGAGTACTCATGAATGTAGAAGTGGAGTTTCATTTCATCGTAGGTCTGTACTAGTAGCTAACCGCAGGAAATTAGGCAAGGTGTTATAAACTTGAGAATACCCGACCAGGAAGTGTTAAACAGACACCCTCAGTATGTAAGGAAAGAGGCAGGCTAGCAGCTATGTAGGTTCAAATGTTGCACAAGGAAGAAAAAATAGCAATATTGATTAGATAACTTCAAATCTGAAGATCTCGACTGGAATAATGCTAGAAGTTGCAAAAAGCTGTCGTACCGAGGTCGTAAAGAGCCTATCTGCGCTTGGTCGAGCCAAACCCAGTGCTTGTCTTGTTGGAAGATGGAGTCGATCGAGTTGAACTGCCTTCACCTGCATCGTATGAAGAAAATCGCTCAGTCGAAGCTCGCGAGGATCCAGTATTAGCTGAGTATCGTCCCGCACCATATCCTGCTGCTGCACCTCCCATAGCTCCAGACCAGAAACCAGGGGTCCATCCTTGAGATGATGATGGCTTATTCCAGCTTCCATAGGAAGGAGGAGGGCCCCGAGGGTATGGGCCATAAGCTCCACCACCACCACCACCACCACCACCACCAGGACCACCATCATTACCTCCTATTCCTCCTCTTCCTCCTCTTCCTTGTCGTCGATCTCTGTTTGAAAAGCCACCGGTAACAGCAATGAGGATCACAGCAAAGACAGCAAGCATGAAGACACCTAGTAAAATTTTTCCGAAGAATTCCGGTAAACTAGTTTCCTCAGAAGAGTCCTTTTCTATCTTTCCATATCGACGTTCGCCTTGTTCTGTTAACAAAAGACGATATTCGACCCCACAGCTTCCCTTGAGAATCCATTTATCGTTGGAGTTTCGGTACCCTTCGCAAACGACATCTGTTGCTCCGAGCTTGAATTCAGTTGGTAGTGAAGCTTGGCAGGTCCATTGTACAACTTCCTCGTCATATTCGTAGCCCTCATTCTTGCAGCGCATTGTATCGGGTTGGTATAGCTCGCATACCCGCTTTGAGGGACCCACGCACTTTAGTTGAGGAATGGGAGAGACACGCCGGGCAGATGTCATGCGGTCACCGCGAAGGGTCAGAGTATTGACATTTGAGAGCAGAATAGCATCTCTGCCTGGTGGGTTCTGAGACGACCTTGCACATAGTGCTGATGTAGCGAGGAGCAGTGTGGTGATAGCTGACACTAGGCCATGCATGTTTGGAGATTCAAGAGAATGAACCAAGATAGATGATATGTTAAAAGTTTGAGGTTGACAAAGGAAATCTTCAGTTCAGATAAATGACACCTGTAAAGGCCATCTGTTTGTTCTCGTAAGGTGTATAGATCCAAGTTGACTCGTGTCCTTAGAAGGATTAGCTTCGATAAGCGATAAGTGATAGCGGGAGAAAAAGATCCACCGAGGCTGGGAACCTTCAACCTACAGTGGGGATGGGCGCACCACAATTTGGTCTTGTCTACCGCTGACGATGGTGCTCCAACAAGGTATGAAACCCTCACATCGACTCCTACTATAACTCCTATTCTAATTCTTCCCCAGCTGAGCCCGCGCCAGTGGCGCCTCAATCCTCGTACGCCATCCGATCCATAGAAATGATGAGATCTACATCGCTAACGACCCCTGGTCTTCAATAGCTTGTCCTTTACCCAGGGCTTCCTTCTCGGGCAGCTTTCTGTAGTATTGCTCATCGGAGCGTTCATAAAGTTCTTCATCTTCGGCGAGGCTCCTCCGCCCCCCTCTCGTGGCCTATCCAACCGCACATCCCACCGCCGGTACAGCTCGGTCTACCAACCACCTCAAGATGGGCAGAAGACACTCCGAGAGAAGCCATCAACCTCCAATGTTCTTCGTCCAGTTCCCGCCTCCTCCACCAATACCCGCTCCATTCTCCGGAAGACCTACTACAGCGCCATTCCTACCAACCCATCAAAACATGGCCGCCATCGAATGCACCATTCGTCTCACCAGCCGGAGTCGCTGGATTGGTTCAATGTCTTGATTGCGCAGACAATCGCACAATACAGGCAAACGGCCTATGTACTTAAAGACTCGCCAACATCCTCGATCCTGAGCTCCCTAAACGCCGCCATGAACAACCCAGAGAAGAAGCCATCATTCATCGACAAGATCACAGTCACGGACATCTCATTAGGAGAAGAATTCCCTATTTTCAGCAATTGTCGCATTATAGCAGTGGATGATCCTCTTTCCGATGGAGGAAGGCTACAGGCTCTGTTAGATGTGGATCTTAGCGATGACAACCTCTCCATCGCTGTAGAAACCTCCATGATCCTCAACTACCCCAAACCCCGCTCAGCCATTCTCCCAGTCGCTCTATCGGTCTCGGTTGTTCGATTCTCGGGTACACTCTGTATCTCGTTGATTCCAGCATCAACAGACCCACTACATACGCCCGCATCACCGCCTACACCACCTCAAACAGGGTCGGGCAGGAATACAGCCCCCGGATCTCCTGAGGGACCATCATCTCAAGATCAGTCACCACCTAAAGGCAGCCCTAAGAGCAATGTTGCGTTCTCATTTCTGCCGGATTACAGACTGGATCTCTCTGTCCGTTCTCTCATCGGTTCACGCAGCCGTCTTCAGGATGTGCCTAAGGTCGCTCAGCTGGTGGAGGCTCGTGTACATGCGTGGTTCGAAGAGCGCGTTGTTGAGCCTCGTGTACAGGTAGTTGGATTACCAGATCTCTGGCCACGTATGGGCCGAACTGGTGTAAGAACCGGTGAAGATTCTGACGCCGGGTCTACCGCGCCCCCGAGGAGTGCTGGGTCTGCTGAGGCAGGACCAGGGCCATTTTCATTTGATACCCGAGAACCGGAGGGGCTACGATTCCGGGCATCCTTGGATCCTCGGTTGGGTCTTGGAGCGGGCTCTCGAAGTAGCAGCTTCAATGTGGATATGGGGAGTATGCGAAGTCCGAGTATGACTCGACAGGATAGTGCTGGCGGAGCTAGCGAGGGATTCACCATGCCTGGGGGTATGCCTCCGGGTGCTACTCCGAGAGAAATGTAAAGTAGAGTCAAATGTTTCAAAATATGCTGTCAACAAGATCACGGTATTAGTACTACAGGTCCTACCTATCCAACGCTACACCACACTATATCAATAAAGCATCCCTGGATGAAAAGGATTAACTGGAAGTTGAGCTTATACTCGTATAAAACTTGAATGTCTTGTATACAAGTGTCTCAAGGAAATATTATGTCATTATCTACCATCATCAAACTTTCTAGAAAACTTCCATAAACTCAATCTCAGAAGCGATGATAGATACTTCGGGCCATCAAGTCATTAAGCATCAATCCCAGAGAATCAGTCACCTAGGCAGTAGCAGCAGTCTGCAAAACTGTCTCGACATACGTCTTGCGGTGCGGGTTCACATCGACCTCAGCACCCCGGTTCAGCGGTGTCCACTTGGGCTCATCTTGGAAAAGACGCATAGCCTTGACATACTATCAAGCAATTAGTCAATTAGTCAATTGCAAAATCTACCAGAAAATAATATTGAACCTACGTTCTGCTCATTGGTCGTGAACCGATGGTAGATACCGGCAGGCAGGATAATCATATCATCCTTCTTCAAGCAGATTCGAATCCACTCATCTTCCTGACCACGGACATCAAAGTATCCCTCGCCATCCAGAATATAACGAATCTCCTCATCTTCATGCAAATGCTCTGCAAAGAACATCTTCACCTTCTCCTCGTACACGTCGCCCATAGTCTGCGGTGAAACGCAAACCGAGTCCCGGTTCTTGTACCCCCGCTCGAGTGCAATCTTGTCGACATGCTCAATGGTAGGGCAGTGCTTGTAAAGAACGCCAACCTTGGCGAGGGTTTCCTCGGAAACGTCACGACCAGAGTCGTGGGGCTCGCGCTGGTCGCCCTAGTTTTGCGCGGGGAAATTATTTAGTTCGGCCTTCATGCATTGCGGGGTTTCTGGGTCGGAGTGCATAGATTTCAAGCCAGAATTCTGGAGGCAAACTTACCGGGATGTTATCGTACCAGTATGCTCTCATTTTAAAGTGTAAGTTGTGTGAGTTTGAGAAGAAATGAGTAGTGGAAGTGAAAGTTGTCAGCTCTGGCTGAGCATCATGTGCCCCGCAATTGGCTAATGGCCTAATGGCGCAAGTGGATTATGTGATTACGTGAGAATATCTTATCGCAGCGCCGTTCACGTGACAGCCGCATCTTTTTTTTGTCTTATCGCGATCGCGATACAAACTTACACGATTGGACTGTGTTGACTTGATCATCTTGTACGTCGACATGGCATTTCGAGCGAGGCCTGTCGCTTTGATGCGGCTGCGCATTGGGCTGCGATTGCCTATTTACAGGGTTCGTGGACTCGCAACAGTGGCCGAGGGCCCACGGTAAAAACTCCTTTAACTCACGTTGGAAACACTGATCAGTATTGGCTAATCTAATTCTTGATAGACCCTATGATGTCGTTGTCATCGGAGGTGGACATGCCGGATCGGAGGCATGTGCTGCTGCTGCTCGCTCTGGTGCACGTACTGCACTCGTGACCCCCTCGATATCGAATATCGGCGTGTGTTCGTGCAACCCCAGCTTCGGTGGAATTGGAAAAGGCACAATGATTCGTGAGATCGATGCGATGGATGGTGTTGCAGGTCGAATCATTGACAAGGCTGGAATCATGTTCCGAATGTTGAATCGTTCAAAGGGTCCTGCGGTCTGGGGTCCGCGCGCGCAAATCGACCGTACTCTTTATAACAGGTACATGACGGAGGAGTTGGTCGGCACGGAGAATTTGAGTATTGTGGAAGGCAAGGTTGCCGATATTGTGGTTTCCAAGGAAGGGATTGAGAATATTCCAGGCACACAAGGCAAAATTGTGGGTGTTCGACTTGAATCCGGGGAGGTTCTTCCAACCGGCCGCGTGGTCATCACCACGGGAACTTTCTTGGGTGGCGAGATTCACATTGGTCTTGAGGCTTACCCCTCCGGTCGCATGGGCGAGGCTCCTACATACGGGTTGAGCAAGTCTCTCCGTGATGCGGGGTTCTCCCTGGGCCGCCTGAAGACTGGCACTCCACCCCGATTGGACATGAAGTCCATTGATTTCTCGGCTCTGGAAGTCCAACGGGGTGATTCGCCGCCACATCCATTCTCCTACATGAACAAGACTGTTGAGGTGGGTGATGAGGGCCAGCTGACATGCTGGATGACCCACACCAATGAGGAGTCGCATAAGATTATCCGTGCGAATCTGGACAAGTCCATTCATATTCGAGAAACTGTCCGTGGTCCCCGGTATTGTCCATCTTTGGAGTCGAAGATCATGCGCTTCACAGACAAGACACAACATCAAGTATGGCTCGAGCCTGAAGGTTTCGCTCCGAATGAAGTGATCTATCCAAATGGTATCTCCATGACAGTCCCAGCAGATGCGCAGTACGCCATGCTGCGGACTATCCGGGGTCTTGAGAATGTAACCATGCTCCAGCCAGGGTATGGTGTTGAATACGACTACATTGATCCCCGCAATCTCCGACCCTCGCTAGAAACTAAGCTAATTAGCGGTCTCTACCTGGCGGGTCAAATCAACGGTACAACTGGCTACGAGGAGGCAGCTGGCCAGGGTATCATTGCGGGTATGAATGCCGGTCTGGCATCCCAAGAGCGCGCTCCTTTGACCTTGACCCGATCTGACGGATTCATCGGTATCATGATTGATGACCTCATCACGAAGGGCGTGTCTGAGCCATACCGCATGTTTACTAGCCGAAGCGAATACCGAATCTCCACACGATCTGACAACGCTGATCTCCGCTTGACGCGGATGGCTCGCGAAGCCGGGGTTGTGTTGGACAAGCGTTGGCGTCATTTCACCGATACCGAAGCGCAGATCCAAGAACTTCAGTCTCTACTTGCCAATACGAAGCTGTCAGCCACTGCCTGGTCTCGCAAGGGATTCAAGGTGCGTTCTGATACTTCTATCCGTTCTGCGCTTGAAATTCTGTGTCTGGATGGCGCAGACATTAACGCTTTGATTCCTCACATCGAGTCTGCTTATGGAATTTCATATGTTCCCGACTCGTTTGATCCTGAGATCCGAACTCGCGTCGCTATTGAGGGTCGCTACGCGCCGTACCTCAAGCGACAGGAGAAGATGGCCAGACGGTTCCAGCAGGACGAGAACCTTTTATTGCCTGCGGACCTTGACTATAGTACCATTCACGGTATCAGCACTGAGGAGAAGCAAGCGCTCCAGCGTGTCAGACCTGTCAGTGTTGGTATGGCTCGACGAATCGAGGGAGTGACCCCCGATGGTGCGCTGCGACTGCTCCTCCATGTGAGAAAGATCAGTGGTCTCAACAAGAATGTCGTCAACGACGAGGATCCTGCCGTTGCCGAGGTTCTATCATCTTCTCCATGAGTCGATGACCTAACTATTTCTTGATATTGTTTTATATGCCGGTATTAGCGAAGCACACAAGGCGCCTGGGACATCCGCATTGTATAGTAGGTTGGTTTGATTGTGTGCTTTTGGATTGTATTTTTATTCTCTTCTCTTGTTACGGTGTACACAAGAACCATATGCATATGCCCTGTACAACACATTGAATTTACTCAAACTTATATCGGTACGACTTGCAGCGTAGACTGGAACTCGCTAACTCCGAGTCCTGTCATGAGCAATATAAGCTTCAACTTTTAACATGCACAACACTGCCCAGGTGTGCTTGATTAACCCAATGATCCATGTTATAAGCTCACAGTTCAACAAAGATTTGATAACTATTGGCCAGTGCATCCCAGTCACCAATGCTTATCTAGATTAATCTCAACTTGAACTTTCACCTACATATCGGACAAATAGATATGAGCTCAAATGATAACACCAAAAATATCGTCCATTTTGGATATCTGTGGATACCCAAGATAAAGTCCTCAGGCTGATAAATGCATCAGCACTAGTCCAGATGTATACAATAGGACTCAATGGACTCAATGGAATCGAACTATGTCATATGAACCACGATTCTATTACAAATTAAGGGATAGGGCAACAAAAAGCAAAAACAAAACCGTTTTCAAAGGCAAATGCGATGCATTGAAACCTTACACATTCCACGCTCTTCCCCAGAACGCAAAACACGCGAACCAGGCGTGCGAAAGCCCCCCCAAATACCGCCAGACTGGAATCAACGCAAGGGGTGCCGATCGTGACTGCGTAGCACGGACACTGATCATTTGATTCGTGGCGGATTACGTGCAGTCCTTCAGGTCGTGTACATATGACACTTTATATTACCTGTACTATTACTCCTAGTGTCATGCCAGTGGAAGTCTGAGTCCGAGGTATTTGTTTGTGGAAAGATCAGAGGACTCCGCACTTTGTAGTATTGCATTTCCAATACAAACGAGTTTCAAGTTGAAGCTTGAAGGTTATAGGTTGATTGATCTGATCTATACTACTAGTACTCCGTACACTACCAGGTATGTGCCCAGATGTGGAGATGAATTCGGATGGATATATCTCCCGGATGAACCCCGTAACCTGCTGCCAGTGAAAGTGATAGATCATGATTCCAAGTTACTAGCCCTGTTTACATGCCCTACGGGTTCCCTGAAATGGCAAATCAAGGAATTCAATCCCCGCGCTACTCCGTACTTCGCCACCACGGACTTCTGATCATAAGATCAGTGGCAAGACAAGAGAAAGTAATAGCTTGAAAAATACCAGGAACGATGTAAACCACTACAGCACTTGAGTGTATCATACTGGTAATGAACAAGGTTCAATTTACACGTACACCTCTGGGCAGGGATGAGTTATCCCTGCGGTTATCCTCGCCTCCCCAAGATTCGGGTCTATGTACGCACCGGCATATGCTCAACTCCGTACGGAGTACTCGAACGGCATTCAGTTCAGCCACAGGGGCACTGGCAGCTGACGCGATCAAATATGCATAGCGATCGAGAACTGGAATCGCCATTCGTAGACGCTAGATAGCCGCCCACGCAGGTCGAATGGCACAGACGGGTAGGAAAGAGTATGGATCTTCGGGATGGTTGATAAACAGGGATCGAATCGATCTACGTATGCACATGGTGCATATGTGCTGTACATGTAACATGAGTATGGAATCATGGTGGTAGAGTAGAGCCATGGTTGTGGTGCACATGCGCATTTATCTATGCATGTTACTACATACAGACTACAGTGTTCATTCAAATGTTATTATAGGTGCCCGTAATAGGCTAGAGATGAGTGCATTCTCTTCAAATGTTTGCCCAGGTGGTTCTGCGCTAAGAATTCCAAGGTTGATAATGCATAATATGACGGAGTACTTCCGAGGTACACAGAGTAAATGAGAACAAGGATTCGGAGGGTTCTATCCCTCCCAGTCCATACTGGTCACTGTTTGGTCTATAGCTCTTCATGCAACTTCAACCTGCACTCCACAGCTCGAACCAAAATAACATTTTAACCAGGCTTAGCTCATCATACTAACATCTCACTAATAACTCAATCCAAAGAACCTTGCAAAGACCATTCTAGAACCGGATCCAACCTGAAGCTATACTCCATGTAGTATCGTACCGACCGGGCACTAGAACCTGAAATTCCCATCATACTTAAGCACCTCAGCGACGCCATGTCTCGGAGGAAGATCCTTGTAAATATTTGAAGACGTGGATATCAACGGAGGAGTCGATAACACATTGACGTTTCTCCCGATGACAGCATCCGATCTACATTCCTTGTACGACACGAAATTGGGTGTCGGTACGGAGTACCGTGCGCAGATGGTACGTCGTACAAGTGCGTTGGACACGAGTCAAGGTGTTGGCCACATGGTGATAGACTGAAAGAGAAGGTGCATACAGATTTAGTTATAGTGATACCTATGATAAGCACTTGAAGTTGAGTTCAACCTTGAAAGTATTATTGCGGAGTATTAATTAATTATTCCAAGGTTATTCCGTAGTAGGTGTTTGTAGATAGTTTGCTACATGCATAGCTGAATATCCCACTAGCTAACGCCATAAAGTTCTTTATTCGGCTCTAGTGTTAAAGTCTACTAAAGTACCCGAGCGAGTGGTTCGCGTTTTTTTTGTGTAAGTTCAGGTTTTCAATGTTATCACTAAGTTTGTTTAGAAGATCTGCGAAGATTCTGTATGTACAGCACTTGCTTGAAAGACCCGTCAAGTTGAACTCAATGATTGCCGCCGATCTATGAATATACGATGCCGATAAGATTATCCAGGTAATGATAATCCATTAATAAGCGTAACAATCGAGTTGAACGCGCATCAGGTGTTTGGCTCAAGCGCACCGTGACTCCATAATTACCTTTCCCACAATTTCCACTGGTATGTCCACTCAAGTGCTGTTGCCCGTTACTATTCGTACCTAGCTAAGCTTAACTCCAGAAATGGGCCCACAGATCGTATAGCCCTCAAGCACTAAGTCACTAAGAATGGAATAAATAAACGATGTTGATCGATGATATCACAGAACCCCTCCGATCTCCATGGAAATCACTCGGGAGGTTTCCAGAGGTCAATGCAGACTTTGAGTAGGGGGGAAAAATGAAACTCGTATCAGCAGCACTTTAGGATGATCTACCCAGAACCTTGGAATAAAATGCAATTCACCTACTTCGTGTAGATCGACTAGGAGAGTCTTCAAATGTTGGGGACCGAATAATTTCATGCCAGTGTTGGCGTCGCACTGGATTTCCCCTGTTGACTTGGCGTCATTCATATTCACATGCAGCTTTTCGGCCCAGAACTACGGTAATGAGCTATGATGCATGTACCTTAGAAGGAAGGTCGATAATAATAATAAAAAATATTATTATAATAATGATTATATTATAGGGGGGATTCTATTCCAGGTCAAACATTCTAACTCTGTATGGAATAATCCACGTATTCACGGAGCATGTTCCTATTCAATCCAGGCCGAATTCTACACCGATCCTCGTCCCAATTTTGGCCTAATTTCGGGATTAACAGGAACTAGATAACTAGACTTGAGACCAAGAATGATCTCCTTAGTATTTTTATGGAGTACTCCAGATGTTCGTGATAATCCACCCCCCCCAAAAAAAACATGGATCATCATATTGTACGGAAGATGTACGGAGTAGTCTGCAACTCAGAAGTCTCAGACTAGACGATTCCAGATTGGAATTCTCGTACATAAACAGTTAGGTCAATGATGATCATCCTAGACCCTTTGGCCTCTTGCGGGATTTCTAGCGCACTAACCGAATAAGGTGCAGTCAAGTCCGCCACTGAGAAACAGTTTACCCTAGTACTAGTAGTACTTTTAAATCACCTATTTATTGAATTTTATTTATGTCTACATCTATTGAAGAAAGATGACATTTGAATCGATTATAATAATAATAACTAGAAAGAATCCAAAACTATTCCAAGATAACCCACTGTTATCTAGAGGTACGTGCATCCTTGCGTGTCCCCTCTTTGCGCGTTATTCCGGGTTCATAGCCTCGGCCAACCGGGTGGTAGGGGGAATTTAGTGGCGCCAATACGAAGATCGACGGCTTCTGACCCACGAGTTGGAGGCCCAGAAATATTCCTATATGCTCAAGTGCTATTCTAGACTGTATAGACTGTACGGAGTACAGTTACAGACATGTCGGGGAATGAATCCATCCTAAGAATCCTGTGAGAAGACGGTGAAGATGGAACTAATGAACTAATAACTAGGCTTACTGATTCAAGCTAGGTACTTGAACTAGATTTCCCGGTTAGTGTCCACAATGATATAATAGAAGCTCTAGAGCATCTAGATCATTTTCGAAAAATTGGGGACTTCATGTAGAGTCCCTAGGTACTTGGTACATGTACGGCCGACGTACGGAGTACGGAGTACATGGGAAGTGGTACGGCGAAGTCAGAAGTACGGGAGTACACAACTGCATCTCTCCTCTTTGGTGGTTATTCCCCACTCTGTCTCATGTGGCACGAATGCCTGGCCCGAGTATCTGGTACGGTGGTGCGCCGTCCGTGGCTGTGGATTTTTTAGTGTGAGCGAATGAGAGAGGAAGATCGACACCCAGGATGATTTGTACGGAGTACAAGATTAAGATTAAGGTGAAAGTACCCAGATCAGTTCAGTTCAAACATTGGCAAGATTACCTGGACTACCTGGTTATGGTCCAGGTGTAGCCTATAACTGGTAACTGGTAACTGGTACTCAAGGTCCAGGTCCAGTTCAGCTTTGGTACTAAGTACACCAAGTACTTGGCAAAGTTGGCTGTGTACACTCCGGATCCGGATTCTCTTCAGCCACTCGTAGTGCCTCTGGGTAGTGTAAATTTGACCCGGGAATTCGGAGAGTCCTGGTTGGTTATAGTGGCCGTGTGGGGAAACGAGATTGGCGCCAGTTTTCAGGTCGACTTCGTAACCGGGCGGAGCATTGTCGTGGACTCCCCGCTCTGCGCGCTTAGTAGAAAAGTTGTTTGTCGTGTGCCCGGTGAGATAACGGAGGATGAAGGATTCCCGATTGTCAGTACGAAGTAGATAGTGTGTACATATATTGTATTCCTCTATACTACTAGTAGTAACTAGGTAACTGCTTAGAGGAATCACGATTAATGTACTCCGTACTCCGACCCGTACTCCCGTACACTCTCGTACTCTCGGATCGACCAAGGGATCCGTGCAAAGAGAAGATCTGGGTCGGGTCAATCTACCTAATTATTGTACGGAGAAGCGGCAGCTAATCTGGGCCTTGGGCAATAATCCCCACTAGTCCGTGCTGGGCACTATGACGATGAATTCAACTCATTGGTGCCCCTGAGACATTTAAGTTGTACCAAATGAGTATACGAAGTGGTTTGCGGGTAGAGAATATATTGTAGAGGGATATGACTTATATTGACATCTGTCAGGCGTTAATTGAGTTCAACAAGCGGTGCGCCAAAACCGATCGCATTCACCCAGTTCTTTGGAACCTTGATCGAGCGCCTGAAATGCGGACGAGAGTCCTCCGCATTTCGAGTTCCCATGTGCCAGAAGAAGCAAATAGGAATGCCATAATTTTTTCCCTGACTAGTATGACTAGTAATTAACCAATCAAATAGTCAAGAAAGGACCGTTCGAAAAGTAAAGTAAGTTTCCCGCCACGAGTGGAATGTCGATCTTTAATTTACGGAGTGCATCGGAATGGGGCACTCGTTATCGACGAGACGTGGCAATGATTTGCTTCAATTCCGCAACTCCACTTAATCGAAATTAATTGTTAGAGTACACACTTACTCTACTCTCCCCCAGTCCTGGATCTGCTGAGGATCTCCCGCGAAAGTTTTCGCCAGGATCCAATGAGCCCCAGTGCATCAGGTACGGGACCCTCTTACCCCTCTGAAACTTAAAGAGTTGGGGACATCAGGGAAAATAAAATGGGTGAAACTTTGCGACGCGTGGTGACGGTTCTGCACATCCGCTGTTGCTGATTGGGAACACCTCAATGTAGATGAGAATGACGGAGATGAGCCGGGGATTCTCTAGGCTGCGCTCAGTCCTCTTGTAAGTGGACTCTCATCCCTTCCGGAGATGCTGACGAGTCCTATTTCAGAATAGCACCCTTTTTTTTTCTTCTCTGCGGAATTCCGGAATTGGTAGTCAGTAATACGGAGAACATAGCCCAGGTGGTTAAAACACCAAGTTCTAACTCCGCATGGGATGGATGGATGATGATTTCTTCCGTACCATCTCCTCCCGTGTAAAAAAGTCCAAGCGTAATAGGACTCCGTCCCGTTGATCATGATCATGTCCCGCCCCAGGCTTCTCTCTCTTCTTGTGGAGGTCCATTTTCAATAGTTCCGGTGCACTGGCCAGTGGTCCACTTGGGCGTACATCTCCACTTTTAGGATTCCCCTCATCTTTTTTTTTTCTTTTCTTTTTTTTCCCTGGTTTGCGGTGATTCTTTTTTTTCAATATTTGCTTTTTCGGGAATCAGACTGCTGGGATTTTGGACCGTTGGGAAATCGTGCATTTTCTGGGAAAGCTCCGATCGTCGGGCACTGATTGGGGCCTCGATCAGACCCTGCTGACACGACATTTTGGAAGACCTCGGTGAACCATGGTTAAAAGTGGAGAGTACATCAGCACATCAGACTGGGCACTGTAATGTCAGTGTATGGAGAAGAGAAGAAGGAGTGGAGGTCAAGTGATGTTTGGCTGAGTCAGACCGGAGGGTCAGTTCCCTCCGATTTTCAGTCTATGATGATTGCATTTGATAACATTAAAAAAAAGGTACATTATATATTCGGAGGGTTTTGTATTGTATTTCTATTATACCATATGGATATATATAGATCAGAATAAATTATAAATTTGATGTTTATACTCTATTTTATCTGTATTTATGTATTCCTTATATATTCTATTCCCAAGGTTATTCTAAATTGTCTAAATTATCTAAGAACTTGAAGGTAAGTTCTGTCAATTCGCCCCGCAACTTGGAACCATGACGATCCTTCTCTGCAGCCCCCTGATTGCCTTTACCCTATTCTATTAGTCTATCCCTGTGCTTTTTGGGTCTATTTTTCCAGTCAATTTATTTCAGAATAAAATAAAATAAAATATTCAAAAAAGAATAATAATAAAATATTAGAATAATAAAGAATAAAAATAAATAAAATAGAATTAAAAAATTAAATTAAATAAATAAATCTAAACCCCAAATTTACACCATAACTTCTTTCTCCCCCTCCTTATACACACCCCCTTCCCTAGTTCCAGGGTCTAACAACTCTCCTCCTCCTTCTTACTTACTTTCCAGTGGATCCTTATTCACCAGAACCATAAACCATAAACCGAAAAAAAGCTTGGGAATTGCCGCAAGACCCGTGGTACGAGTCCTATTCTTTCTTAACCAGATCCCCATAATCTCCAAAAGATCGGGTGCAACCTACTAGGTCCGTGCTTCTTTCTCTCTTTCTCGATCCCTGAGAAGAAAAAAGGAGGGGTTAACTCAAAAACCACCCTCCACGCCCACTTTCTCCATACCCTGGTCGATCTTTGGCGGTTAACTTCTTCTTTACTTTTTAGGAGGAGAGAGAAGAAGAAGAAACAAAAAAAGGAAGAAAATAATAAGGATTTTATTCTCTTATTGGACTTTCCTTTTTATTTTCTTTACCTTTTTTTTATTTCCTTTTTTTTTTTTTACTTTACTTTTATTTTCTTCTATCAAAGAGAGAGAATATCAACTTTACATTCCCTTTTTCTTACTACTTACTCCTCCTCTCCTCCCCCTCCTTTTTACCCCATCTCCGCCTTCCCTACATCATGGTGAACGGGACCGCGGCGGTGTTAGAGCCAACATTTACCGGCTATGTGGCTACCACTCAAGATGCGCTCATCTTATTCGAGGCTTGTTTGACCGGCGTACTACACCATGTCCCTCGACGACCTCACGATCGAGAACGGAGTCATCTGGTACGAAGTGGGAGTGTCTTCATCTATGAGGAGAACTCATCGGGTATCAAGAGATGGACAGATGGAGTTACTTGGAGTCCTAGTCGCATTCTAGGCAATTTCTTGGTCTATCGCGAGTTGGATAAACCATTCCCACCTGGAGAGAAGAAGCGCGCCATGAAGAAAGCAAATCGTCGACCAGCACCGCCCACCCGACCTGGAGAGCCTTATCCTCGACATGATAGTAACGGGTCAGGGTATTCCCCCACATCACCTTCGGGAGCATTTGGGGACCGACCACATCAATCAGAAGTGGAGCGCGCGTTGGTGGGGTCGCTGGTCGACTCTTATGGCTTCAAGGATTCCGGCTTGGTCAAGAAAACAATGAGTGTGACGGTGTTGGGAATAACGCATCACCTGGTCTCTTACTACAGTGTGGACGACGTCATGCGCGGGGTGTTGAACCCACCTTCTATGGTCGAATCTCTACGTTATATTCGCCCACGCGCCGATTTGACGCAGAAACAAAGCTTCCGCGCCCCTATCGATGATCTGGAGTCCAATGCTATGGAAAGCGCCCATGATCCCTCCCACGCTGCTCTCTACGGTTACCGCCCCCAGATGATGGCTCCACCATCCTACGCGATGCCTACCCCTTCTGCCGATTTCTATATGCACCCCAGTCACTATGCGACCACTCACCCCCCGCAGACAGGTCCAATCGCAGGATACTCCATGGGTGGTACCATGCCCGGTCAACCAGCTCCGAATCCATACCTCCCTTCGCCTGCCGTAGCCGCTGCGATGGCACCTAAGCAAGAGGATTATCATGCATACCGCGCGGGGCCTTACGGAGGTAGTATGGACTCCATGAGCCATAGTCTATCTTCATCCATCTCCGGTGGTCTCAGCTCTACGATCCCTAGTTCTCTGAGTGAGCGCAACCGTTCAACTTCGGATCACAGTCCATCAGCCTACCGCAACTCCTCTATTTCATCTCGCAGCGTCGCAACGGATGCCACGTCACCTATGGATCCTTCAACGCCCGCTACTTATTCCCGAAGCAGTTTCAGTTTGTCTGGCCAGTTGGATCACAATCACCCTAACCACCCACTTGACTCTCGCGGTCTAGGTCCTCTGGATCCGAGTGTCCCTCGTCGGGAATCGAACCCCGTTCATCCCTCTTATTACGCTCAGGCCGACCGTTCTCAGTACTACGTTGGTGCAGCTGCGCCCGTCAATCATCCCCATTACGCGGCATGGACCACAACTGCACCTGCTCAGCCCCAAATTTAAATTTCAATTCACGCGTGTATGGAGTTGGGGGCTGGTGGTTGTGGATTCATTCTTTTTTCCTCTTTTAACTGCTCAGGTGTACGGAACTATTTTTTATCTGTTTTGTTTGTGTTTTTTTATCTCCACCAATTCTCCAGTTACGGATAGGAGCTATGGTGGAGTCGGGTGGTACTCTGATTGCGATAACCTCATGTTAATGTTTTTCCTTCTATTTTACCCATGGGATGGATTCGTGTTCTTTGCTCGGCAATAGACTTCTGGCTTTCGGAGCGGGCGGTTGCAACCATCATGAATCATGAGTTTGCTCAAGTTTTTTTTTTAACCCTCCCATTCCAAGTGTACTTCATGTCTGTCTATATGGCCCTTGAGCCCTCTTTTCCTTTCTGTGTGGCTCTCTGCTTTTCCTCCCCTTTTATGTCCTTCCGGGAACTACCTCCCTGGCGTTTTGTGTGATTCCCTGACGATGTGATGCAAACCCGACAACCCAAAACGTTTTGTTTTTTATTCCATATTATTTTTTTTCTCTTTTGATTTTCCTATTCCCGAATATTCTATATTCTGCCTCTCGCTTAGGTGGTTGCTCTGTTGATCATAGTTTTGTGAACCTCTTACGTAGAGTCTAACAAAACTTGGATCAGGGTTTATTTTGAAATCTGTGATATATCAAGGTTTGAAGTTCTCCACTTGAACTTAAGCGAGATCATGATATGACTAAGGTTCATGTTGGATGTGCTGGTGTTGGAGATTTTGGTGGTGATTTTCGTTCTGTTCCTTGTTACTTTATGGGAGGATATCTGTTTTGAGCTTCAATGAATTATACCTTAGCTGATGATTATTACTGATACATGTACCCCTGTAAACTTGAGAAGTTGAATCTGAGTTAATACTAGTAGTAAGGTCTACTGCCAGTGCTCACTTCATATGCGTTGCCTTATGTTGGACGGTGGCTAACATGTGCACATGGATCAACCCGCGGACTACATCAATCATGATATTGCTAGAAATTAGAAAAGATTCAACTTCAAGTTAAAGGTACTAGTATAAGCTTCTATGTAAGGTACTATATTAAGTATAGCCTTTCAAGGTTATTATCAAATCATGTCATCAAACCCCAACATTTAAACTAAATTTAAGTTTAGACTATACTAGGATTGCCTAATTGGGTATAATGCCATACTTCAATCCAACTTCATAAGAACCTCAAGTACTGAGGTCAAGTTGAACCACTATACAAACATAGATCAAACATCAAATTTCAAATTGAACTTGAAAGCACTTGAGGGTAAGACTGCCAGTGAGTTTACCTGTGCCACTCACTCTATATCATGCTCAAAGTGATTACTGATTTGATAATAGTACACCCAACCAACACATGTGCATATTGACATAAAACAGAGAAGTCATACATTGATCTTGCAACGCATGGTACAATATCCTGATCACTCATTCAGCGTTCATATTCTAACCTTGGAACTCGACAACGTAAAGCAACAAGTTAGAAATCATTCAGAGCTACAATGAAGAGCATAGCCTACGGGATAGGCGTTTGCCTGGAATATGAGTGAGTCATCCAAGCATTCAGTTCTATGTTGACCACTTATGGAAATGAACTAAAAATATTTAGAGTCACAAGCTTCGACGACCAAGCACTGGAAGTAACTCCAGGGCTGCGAGTGAGGTTCAGTTATCCGCCCCAGGTCAAGTCCGAGTCATCAATCCAAACGCAACCTCAAAGCCGAAACACCGGAACATCATTCCGTGAAATACACAAGATATCCAGACACAACAACGATGAGATAAGACTGGCTGATGGTACTGGATTGCCTATCTCCACATCTCAGGTAAGACTTTCCAACGCGTATTTGGGCCAAGTCAATCGCCCTTACACACACTCATTTACTGACTACCATTACAAGGCGCTGATTCGAGAAATCCGGGAGATCATGCAATTACCCTTGCGAAAACTTTTGCAAATTGAACTCCAGACCTCTCGCTATCCACGCAAGTGCAAACCCCGACTAGCGTGATGCCATGGGCGCTATTCAAACATCCCACATCAATCTGGAATCGATATACATTCCGAGAGTCATTTGTGGGACTTTTTGCTCAGAACAGATCTAAGGAAATGAAAACCTGCGAAAATGACAAACTACGACCATTGAAACCATGAAGAGAGCCTTCAATGATTCTGAGCTTTGAAAGCTCTTGCAACTCAGCTCAAGGACAGCACTGAGGTCTATTAGAGTGTCCGGCGCCCTTTTGGATATTGTACTCTTGGTTTATTTCTATTCGTTATTCAGTGAGATGGGTGAAGTTTATACAATGCATCCTTTGGTACAGTCACATGTTTACTACAAGGCGATGTCCAATTGAAGACTCGGAGACAGGTCTTGTTGACAAATTTTTGGGACGAACCTGAAATCGAATTTCTATCTAGTATTGGCCATTTTTCGATATCGTAAATGGAAGATCTGGGTTCAGTCTGGAAGGTGGGCTCTAAAGGAGGAGCATCAGTCTGATTGAAGCGCTGGACTTGATATTGAGAAGAATGGAAATTTGAAGTTTACCGCCTATTGCAATCGTGTTCTCATCGAGACATTCTAAATATTGTTACAATTTACCAGCCTCGTTCTCTTCCTATAATCGAGGACTTGTGTCTTGAAACTAATCTGTTACCTGTACACATGATTTTATTTTGATCCTTGACTCGAACTCGACATTGGGGGTAATATGGAGAGAAGATTTGGTAGTTTTGACATTCTTTAGGGAGCTGAATTAAAAATTCAGTAGCCATGAGTATTCATAACCATTCTTTGTTCTGTGGGGTGAGATTAAGTAGCTCTTGGATACTAGATCTGGTGAGAGTAACGGAAGTGGTAGTAATGGGATCAAGCTCAACTGATATGTCCAAATATTTGAATCTAAAAGGAAAAATACTGAAGTTTGCTTCTTTGAAAAGGATGAAATGAATATATGTTATTATCGAGGGGAAAGTGATTGCAAGACCATCGAATCGAGGGACTTGAGTCCACTCATCACTGGACTTGAAGATAGAACGAGTCATTTACTTCATCCAATATTCCCGAAGTCCATATGCTTCATCTTGTCACGTTTCATCTACCTACTTATGTCTCGTCTACTCATGTTCCATATATATTACTCGCCTGGTCTGGACTCTTGATAAACTTGAGCGGGACAATTTCATCTCATTTCCACTGACTAAACCCTAGCTACAGCTCAGTCATAATTGCCGGACAGACCATTGCTCTGCGTCATCACATCCTGGCGGACACCAAACTGGCTCTGAGGAGGCCGAACCATCGACGATCCTGTCAGGACTGGTCTGTTGCTCAAATTGAGACCTCGACGACGCCGATCTGCCAGGCCTGGTCTATCGCTCAAATCGATTCAAACGAGGCCTGTCTCCCCTTCAGATCTTCTCACTGGGCGAGAAGGGATGGTATCAGGCGAAGGTACGTCCTGCTCTGTTCTCTCAACTCTCATTCCACGACCAGACCAGTTGATACGACGTCGAGGCCGACCCTCCTCTAGCCATTCATGTCTTCTCACTGAGCTAGAGCGGCAACTCAGGGAAGGGGGAGGATTTAATCGCTCCTCTGCCCTCTCAGGCTCAGGCCTTCTGTCCCGATCGGACCGGCTCATACGAGGGCGATATCGTTCTTCCTCTAACACTCCAGATCCTCTCATTGAGTCAGCATGGGTCATGTAAGATGGCGAGATTGAGTTCTCCTCACCCTCAGCTATTCTCTCCTGGTCAGACCACCTCATACGACGTTGAAGACGCGCCTCTGCCCTCTCAAACCTTCTCTCACTAGATCGATTCACACGGGGTCGAGTAGATTCCTCCTCCGCATTCTCAACACTTCTTTCACGATCAGATCGGTTCTCTCGAGGTTGGAGTAGCCCCTCTGGCCTCTCAGACCTTCTGTCACGATTAGACTGGTTCACGCGGGGTCGAGTAAATTCCTCCTCCGCACTCTCAATTCTTTTTTCACGATCAGACCGGTTCAAACTAGGCCGAATTTCCTCTTCTGCCCCCCGAATTGTCACAATGATCCGAGGTTGCTCTGCCATGACCTCCTCGACTTTTCCAAGTTGAATCGCGGGAGTTGCTGGGGAATCCATAGAGGCACTTGGCTGGCCTTGTATCTGTCTGGTAGATTCCGCTTCGAGAGCTGGTTTAGTGGGCCGGGTGGTTGACTGGGTGGTCGGTTGTGCTACCTGACCACCGGCGTCAAGCTGGGTTCCCAGTTGGCGTATCTGAGACTGGAGAAGATTTGCGGTGAAGTTGTCATTGAATGAGAAGCCCTGGTTCTGGAGGGCTTGGACTGGGTTGAGGATGTTGTAGCCGTTATGGTACTGTCCGTTGCCATATGCACCACCGTATTGACCACTGTTATTACCGTATTGGCCTTGATAGCCCTGACCCATATTATTCTGTGGCATCTGGCCTTGGCCCTGATTCAAGTTCTGATTCTGGTTCTCCGGAGGTATCTCGACCTATCAAACACACATATAAGCATGTTTTATCTCAATCCCAGCTTTCAAATCAGGTTTCAATCATCAGGTACATACCGTTCTCGTGAAACTCCGACCAGGCATAGAAATGTAATCATCGAAGGTATTTTCAAGCGCGGCAAAATTAAATCCGCGATCGGGATTATCAATCGGCGCAAACTTTTGTCCAATTTCCTGCTGAAAGTCTACATCGCGACGAACCAAAGGCTGGTAACTCGGCAACGAGAGTACCCAATTGGGATAACTCCCATACCAGGATTGCAGAACAGGGTCAATATCCAGCTGGAACTTGATATCGCTGTTTGCGTGTTGCTTCTGGATAAGCATGACGAATGTGAACTCGCGAGGAAGTCCGGAGCGCTGGAGGGTATTCTCTTCGAGAGACCAAAAGATCTCGCCTGCTTCAACATCGTACCGGGGACCACGGGAACTCTTCAACGTGCGAGATGAGCCTTGGATGCGCATCATTTCATATCGTCGGAATTGCTTGTTCAAACTTCCGGAGGGAATCACACTGGCGCTGACTGGGGCTTCCGAGATACCGAGGGATCCAGCAAGACTGAATGTCCATTGCATAGTCTCTGGAGATACAGCACCGAAGATGAGATGGGGTGCATGCATTAGGAATCGAGGATTGGGAGATGGAGATTTATCGGAGCTGGAAGAGGATGAAGAACGCTGTCTCTCTCCATGAATGGAGACTCGAATTGTGGCAGATTTGAATCGATGAGTCTGAGTGTTAGTGGCATGAAACACGAAGCTAATGGCGAGAAAATCCACATTTTGGGCGTCAACATCTGACATGGTGGTACTGGAGTAGTAGCCATGTTGGAGTCGCTGGATATGAGCTGTGATGTATGCATTTCCGGGGAGCCGGCGCTCATAGATACAAGGCCGGTTAAGAAGAAGACGAGGATTTGACATGTTGGAGTCAAGGAGCTTCTTCTGTTTTTTTCCAGGTTGAGTTTTGTGAGGGGTGGAGGAAGAAGGGGGATTTGAAGGTGAGCCATCTTTTTTGTGTTGTGAAGTAGCCATTTTGGACAGATAACACTGGATGCACTGTTGGGACGACAACGCCGTTGTCCCTACTAGACCGCGGCTTATCCATGAGGAATTCACTTGACTGAAGTTGCTAGAGTTATTCCACATCTACACATTGCACTGGGCTAAAGATCTATGAGGAGTTAAAATACGGGAGGCTGTTCGGGGATGATGCATGTTATCAGGCGGCTTCAGATCTTGTCATGTGTAGATCCCCGTCAGGTGAGGACTGGGGTGTGAACGGCCATAATGACTCAAAGTATTCTTGGCAGACTTCATAATAAAGGGAATCCTGTATTGTATTAGAATAACTAATATTATTGGATTAGAAAAAAGTGAAGTTGGTGAAAGGATGATGTTTAATTCTCAAGAAAGGATCCAGATGTCCATCTGCGCCCCCGGGGCCCTGCCGCCGCAATGACTAAATCAGTCAGTTGTACCTAGGTAACAGCCTAGAGATATATGTCTCAGTGATAGGTGGTCCTATGGAATGCTTTAGGAGATGAGGCTCATTCTTAGTGGCTTTGTACTATGATCAGCTTTGAAGCCACTAAAAGTTAACTAATAAAGAACTTGTGGTGTTACCCATCCAGCCTGAGGTGCCCAGGCGGGTGGCATGATGTGGCGGTCTTTGTATTGACGAATAGCGGTTGTGCCCAACATGGGTCATAAATCCTGGTTAGGAAAATGGATTTGCATTATCACAGATATCACGATCATTTTAGCCCTCATAAGATATAGATCGCGAGATTCGATCAAAATACGAGATTAGATGGAAGGAGGATCGGGGGTCGGAAACGGAATAACTACCCTCCGAGATATCATGGAAATCCCCGTAAACCAACTTCTTCATCAACGGGGACCTCGGTTCGGCGAAAACGTGCATCTCTCATATCTCAGGCTTGCTTGATGAGCTGTGTCTCAATTTAAGGCCTGGACTGAGCTGGTTATATCACAAATCGCCCAAATTGTATTATATCCGGAAGTTTTTTTTCTTGATCGTGTGATCTCATTAGCGGTGTTTGTTGGTTTGTATCATTTGCCTAAAATAGCTCTATCACTTTGCATTGCTTGAAGGTTGTGACCAGCTGTTACTCAATATCTTGGTCTATTGTTTGTTGGTTATTGATTGTTTTTGTGCACGCTCATTTGGTTCGGTCTTTCCTTGCTGTCATCCCCTTTGTATCCTGCTTGATCCACTCTAGTCAGTCTTCTTTGTATTCTTTCTCTTTTTGTCGCAATATGCTTTCTACAAGAGCAGCCTCAAGGCTACCTCTTGCACGAGCCAACTGGACTGCAGGCTCTGTCCGATCATATGGAAATTTGGTCTGCCACAAGGCTATCGTGCGCTCCCAATGCATTTCCCCACAGGCCAGACAGCCTCTGTTGACCCAGTTATCAAGGTATGTCAATACTCTGATCATTTAAAACTACAATCTAACGAATACAAGACCCGCCCACTCCCGAGTGCCTCTGGCCTCGGTTCCTAGGACGTTGATCGCAGGCTCCTTCAGAAGATGGACGTCATCAAAGACACCAGACGGTCCAAATGAAAAAAGGTAGGCCTGAGATTGCAACAACAAATATATACACAATAAGTATGTGATCGCTGACCTAGAAAGCTCCAAAACAACTGCTGCTGCCAAGCGACTACTGTCTAAACTTCCAATCGCCAAGACACATGAGAACATCTACACAGTCCCAAACATTCTCACCTTTACTCGTCTTGTAGCAGCACCGGTGGTTGGATATTTGCTTGTCCATGATTACCACACAGCTGCACTCTCTCTCTTCGCCTATGCCGGTATCACCGATTTGGTCGATGGGTACATTGCGCGCAAGTATAACCTGCAAACAGTCGTGGGAACCATCATTGATCCCATGGCTGATAAGCTGCTTATGACTATTGGTGTGGCCTGTCTGGCAGTCAACGGATCTCTTCCTGGTACGAAATACTACTCATCCCTTGCTTGCATATATCTAATCCTTGTTGTAGTGTGGCTAGCGGTCATCATCCTGGGCCGCGACATTGGTCTGGCCCTGTCGGCCATCTACTATCGATGGATTTCTCTTCCCGCACCAAAGACAATGGCTCGTTACTGGGATTTCTCCCTTCCATCAGCCGAAGTCAAGCCTACTGAGATCTCTAAGATCAACACTGCATTGCAACTTGTGTTGGTAGGTAGTGCGATCGGCCTTCCGGTTCTTCCCGAGGCGTTTATCAGTGCCTGGCATCTGCAGGAGGCAATGACAGGATTCCAGTAAGTTATACCCCGATCATCCCAGCATTGCACTTGTTTTGCATTTCTTTAATTTTGAGGGGATTGGTGGGTATGGCGCTCCTAGGTCAGTAGTGGGAACTTTCCAGTACATACGACCACAGGGTGTGGAGAACAGGGCTTCCCGTCCGCTCAGCCGTACTTAAGCCACACGCCGGTCAGTTAGTAGTATGGTGGGTGACCACATGCGAATCCTGACTGTTGTATGTTTTTGTTTTTGTTTTTGCAGTTTCTTTTTCTTTTTTTTTTGCTTCTCTTTTTTTTTTATATATTTTTTTATATTTCATTTCTGTCGATGCTTTTTTGACTAATCACGATTCCCAGGTATCTCGTCGCTGGCACTACTCTCTGGTCAGGCCTCAGCTACGTCTTCTCGAAGAACGCGGTCAAGATTCTAAGCAACGAAGAGATTCAAAAGCGCATTGCTGCAGCTGCTGCGAAGAAAAAGGACTAAATGATTGTCCGCATATCGCATGCCTCTTATCCACCTGTCTCTGAGAGTTAAGGTGATGTATATTACTTGTTTCTTTTCTAGTTGAATACAAAAATTCATATGCACTTTCTGTCGCAGCAAAATCGTTGTCGGACACTTCGAGACACTCATCGAAGAAGTTTTTACCACGCCTTACATTCCTCGAAAAAGTTCGGGTGTTCGACTTTATGGCTCTGAGGGCCTTGAGAGACCCACACCTGGTAGTAGAGTACATAGATGGTATAGATAGCATCGTCACTTATCACGATATCCAAACGTCCGATTGTTTTCAAGTAATGTGTAAGCGAATGAAAGCAGTGAAACACGAGAATCCACGCTCTATCTCGAAGAAGCGAAATCAATTGAGGAGGGATTTGAAATATGGAAGGAGTTGGAAGAAGGAAGAACTTGGAATAAGCTTAAAATTAGCTTGAATGAAATAAATGAAGTAAATAAAATTATTTTGAACATTTTGAATAACAAAGTACATAGAGACATGCCTTAGCATGTTAATGTCCAATCTAACATAGTATGCTAGACACATGCAACTTGAAGCGCTCCATGTAAATGCAAATTAAAAATTTTTAAGCTTGGAAATCACCAAGAACTTGAACTTAGACTCAAACTCGAACAAGTTACTGCTCACTCTTCTCCTCATTTTTCCCCTTGAACAGTCCCTTCACACCCTGAATCAGCGCACCAGCCAATCCAAACACATATCCAAATCCGAAGCTCCATCCACGAACCCGAACAGTATAAATGAAGAAGTAGACCAGGAACCAGTTGATAATGACAAAGGCCATGAAGATACCAAAGCAGCGCCACTTGTCTCCAATGTGCACATTCAACTCAGCCATATACTCCGTACCATCCTTGTACATACAGTACTGGCACTCGGAAGTACTGGTCTCGTTGACAAGGTACCCAGTGCCTGCGATGTTCTGAACGAAGTTATTCGCATACTCTCCACAGGTCATTCCACTAGGAGGAGTGAACTTGGTGGTCTCACCCTCGGCACAGGTAATTTGTACAGAAGGGAGAGTAGCGGAAAGAACACCACGAAGCCACCAGGTAACAGGGTTGACGTAGTACATCCAATATTTCCAGAAAACAGGGTAATCGGCGTAAGGACGAACGATACCGTTGAACAAGTTAACCATAACGAAGAAGAATGGCAGCACGTTCGAGATGACTGTGAATGAAGGTGCGAAGGCACAGATCCACTGACCCCATGAAGCCTGGAAGAGGAAGAACAGAATCGACATAAGGAAGACGTAGCCGGCGCTGGAGGAATCGGTTGGGAAGCCCACAGGGTAGTACCAGAGTAACCAGTAGACAAGACCGGTCACGATGGCGGCGGGGATCTCGCAAATGACGTTGGCGGTACAGAAAGCGACCCAGCCGTAGATACGAGATGGGTATTCACGGGCTTCCCAGAGAGCGCGGTTGATGTAGAACTTAGGTACAACGGAGTTCATGATGATGGGTGGAATCAGGATAATCACGAAGGTAGAGAACATACGATCTTGCATGCTAGCCACGGTGTCGGGAAGCATCCAGAAGGTGAAACCGTTGAAGATACCGATGATAACACTGACGAAGAGCTTTCCATAGTAGTATGATGAATCGCGCCAGTATTGAATGAAGAGTCGCTTGGTGAGGAGCTCGGCTTGGACCATGGTTGGCGCGGCGAATTCGTGGTTGGTGCTGCCAGATTCTTCAATGGGAAGTTTGCTGCGTTCAGTTTTGATGCGTTCGATTTCGTTGAGAAGCTCGCGATTCTCCTCGGAGTTTCGCCATTCTTCGTTCCAGTCGACTTGCTTGCCGTTGCGTTGGGTGGCTTTGGCGGCGGTTTCCAGGATGAACTCAGCGACGTTCTTCGATGGTGGACAGACGAAGCCGCGATCGGCGAAGTACTTGATCACAGAGGCGCCTTCTTTGCCGACAGGGCCAAAGTAGAATGTGTTACCACCGGGGTTGAGGGCCAAGATCATATCGAATTGCTGGATCAGCATGGAGGAGGGCTGGTGGATGGTGCAGACGATAGCCTGGCCAGCTTGGGACAGCTTCTTCAAGAAACGAACAATGGAGTAAGCAGCTTGGCTGTCAAGACCACTGGTAGGCTCATCTAGGAAAAGAAGGAGACTGGGCTTAGCAGCAAGCTCAACACCAATAGTGACACGCTTCTTCTGCTCGACATTCAAAGAACCGATGATGGCATCTTGAATCTCCTCGAGTTCCAAAAGGTCAATAATGCGGTCGACGTAGGCAATCTTCTCCTCGCGAGGAATCTCACGGTCCTGGCGAAGAATGGCGGAGAATTCGAAAGCCTCACGAATGGTAGAGGTGTTGTCGTGCAGATCCATTTGTTCACAGAAACCAGTTCCACGTTGGAAGTCAGGGCCAAGAGGATGACCATCAACAAGCATGTCACCCTTGACAACGCCCATCTTCTGGCGCTGGGCTAGGGTGTTGAGAAGAGTCGTCTTTCCAGCACCAGAAGCACCCATCAATGCGATCATAACACCGGGCTTAGCGTATCCGTTGACCTTGTTAAGCAGCTTGCGGGTTCCATTGCCGTAGGGGACAGTGTATTCAACATCAGACCAGGTGAAGCAACGCTCGCTGGAGGACAGTCGGTTGAAAGCAGCATCTCCGGAGGAAGAAGAAGAGGCCTCACCACGGGCGACAGCAGCGTCGTCACTAAGCTTGGCAACCTTCTCCTCATCGTTGACTGCACCATTCTGAGCGGCAACCTTCTTGGATCGGTTGGACTTCTTGAAGACCAATGCACCACCGCCACCGCCAACAAAAGACAAGAACTCCGCGGCCCAAACGGTGACCAGGATGTAGAGAACAGTGAAAGCAATAACCACACCAAAGTTACGCCACAGATGGTGACGAGTGAACTGGAAGTTCGCTTCTAAATACTGCGAGCCAGGAACCGATGTCTGATCCAAAGAGGAACCAGTCAATGAACAACCTTGATGACCTGCCACAGCACCTTCGCCACGGGGAACAAGTTCACTCGCAGCACATTCCATAAGTCGGCCAGTGAACTCGTTACTCAAGACTGCCTCATAACTGTATGAGATAGGGTTGACATAGAAGAGCCATCCAAACCAAATTGAGCTTCCAATAAGAGTCTGCTTTGGAATCACGTAACCAACATAGAGAATCAACAGGTTAAGTGCGATACCGGCAAAACGAACAGCGTCATCGATACTTGGTGACAGCGCCGCAAACATGCGGTACATGGAGGTAATGCAGAAGGTGGTAGTATAGACGAAGAGAAAGTAGATGAAGAATTTCGACGCGGTGACATCAAGACCTGCCATGAAGTAGACGATGATGGAGAATGGAACGACCATGCAGAAAATAGCTGGGAAATCCACAACTACACGGGCAATCGAGACAGCAGACGGGCGGTAGAAGGCATAGCCCTTGTGACGAGCGACGATTCCTCTGCCACTCACAGCAGGCATGAGCTCAGTCAATTGCAGCCAGCCCAGGAAAAGGATAGAGAAGAAGAGAGCACCACCTCGGGAGAAGGCACCGCTGGTATCCAGAGATTCACCATAGAACAGAGACGAGACGATGAGACCGTTAGAGACAATGATAAAGTACTTGGTGTAAAGCGATGTCTTGTCACCCCAGAGGAGCCAGAACTCTCGCTTCACGCAAGCGGAGACTTGACGAGACAGAGAGACAGTGTAAGGAGACTTCTTAGAGACAGTCTTACTCTTGGATTGAGCAACACTGCTCTCGAAGCGACGAGTATCCTCTTGCTGTGTATCCTCTAGACGCTTCTCATAACTGGAAACGTCGGACTGGATACGCTTGTAGGTCTCGCTCTTCCTGAACACCTGCTCCAGCTCCTCGGCAGTCTTGGGAGTCGATGCTTCGCGACCGGGCTGGAACTGACGGGCATTGGGGTCACAAAGAGAAGTCAAGAAATCAGCAGTTGTCATTTGTTCAGAGCAGTAGAATCCAAGATCAAGGAAGTACTGGCGTGCCTCAATTGCAGGACCCTGGTAAAGCATGCGGCCTTCATCAATGACCATCACCTTATCCATGAGCTCGTAAATAGATTCACCAGCTTGGTAAAGAGTGACGAGGGTAGTGCGCTTGCTAACATCAGTCATGATGCGAAGCGACTTAGCATAGTCAAGGGCAGTACTAGCATCCAGACCACGAGTGGAGTTATCCCAGCAGACAACAGTCGACTTGGTAGCCAGAGTCTCAGCAATACTGACACGCTTTCTCTCTCCACCAGAGACACCACGAACATACTCGTTACCGACCTGAGTGTTCTTGGTATGGCTGATACCAAACATCTTCAGCAGCGCATCAATAATGATAGGAATGCTAGCCTGGTCATGTTTGCGAGTCTTATTGGTAAGAGAGAACTTCAAAGTTTGCCACACGGTCAGAGAAGGGAAATGCTGATCATCCTCAGGGTTGTAGTTGACCTCTCCACGGAAGTAGCGATTTTGATCCTCAGCAGAGAGACCACCATAGCTAACCTCACCAGTAACACCAGCAAAGCCCTCACGCTCATTGGCAATAGTCTTCAAGAAAGTAGTACAACCAGCGCCAGGACGACCCAGAACAAGCATCATCTCACCCTCTCGCACGGAACCACTGAAATCACTGATCAATTCGCGAACAGGCGGCTTCTTGCCGAGTCGCACCTGTGGCACAAATCGACAGATGACATTATACAGATCCGGTCCAAAGGTGCCGACCACAGCATGAGGCAAAGTACGAACGAACGATGCACCAGTCTGAACACCCATCACCGTAAGGTTCTTGAACACAACACCAACTTTCTTCGCAGGATCGCCGGCAGTAGTGCGACGCTCCAGGTGTCCGCTGACAAGGAACTTGCCCAGATCGAAGCCATCGTCGGCCTCGGTATCGGTGTCGTCCTCCAATCCCTTCTCCTCGTCGACGCGCTGGCTGGCGCGGGACTTTAATCGGTTAACACTCTTGGCGGTTGTCGAACGAGTGCGGTGCAGACTCAGTCGGGTCAATTCGCGACGCATTTCCTCCAAATCCTCCATTGCTCCACGGCGGGAGACTGGCTCGCCGGCCTCCTTCTCGCCCCAGCGACCTTCATCGCTAGCATGGGATGCAGTGGATGAAGCGCTCGATGTGATGGTTTCCGAAATAGGTTCGGCGACTTCAGCGGCTTCGATGGCTTCCTCATTGTTGTTGGACGACTCGGTGTGAGTATGGAATTCCTCATTGTTCGATTCATTTCTGGTGGATTGTTCCGTGGTGCTATAGTTCAAGTTTGATGATTCGAAAGTTTGGAAGTTGTTCTCCTCGGATATACTAGTATGGAAACTAGTAGTCGTTTGGAAAGTCGACTGCATCGATTGCTCCGAGTGGTGACGTTGCGCCTCCTCCGGTCGATGGGCGGGATCCATCTTTGCCGGAGTTGGAAATGGATCTACTTAGCGAACCTCAATTGCGGATATTCAGAGTATATTAGGAGATGAAGAGGTGTATGTACAGGAATTGATCCAAGAAAAAGAAAAGAAAATGGCGGATTGCGATCGTAGGAAAAGGTCCTCAGGATCTGGGGGCTACGGGATTGCCATTCATATATAAAAAGGGTAAAAAGAACGAGAGGGTTGATTATGCAGCAATACTATCCACAAGGGCTTAAGTCCGAACTCCTCTCTTTAGTCAACTTCCAATCACACTGCAGATATATTGAAAGAGAAAAAAAGGAGCTCAAGTGGATCCCATGAATCAGCTTGACTCATGGTCTGGGCGGCATCAACCGAAGAAACATTTTGAATTCTCAGACTTTTCAGACGGAGATAGACCCGGCTTTTAGCCGATGACCAACAATCTTTGATTGCAGGATTGATTATGATTGGTTGTGTGGAGTCATCATCGGAATATAGAATTCCATTCTTATTGAAATGTCGGGCTCCTAACTTGGCATAGTAATCACCACCTGGGAAAATCTACCACTGTCAGTGCGTAGCCTGAAAGCCTGGAGCCTGAAAGGATGGTGGATCCCATGCAGGTCGCATTGGAATATATATTCCGGCACTGTTGAAGATTTCGATGACTTTCTTTGACATGAATAATGTGCTTGACTTATAAATCGCCCCCACTATATCCACCCGTGGCCTCCCTGAATCATGTCCCGCGTTCAAGATTGGTGGGTTTGCCACATGTGCAGAACGATCTGTCCGATTCGGCTTGGATCCCGGCAAAGTCGACAATGCCGATCAGCTTAAATTGCTAATTTCTCGCTAGTCGGTAATCCGAGTCCACATAAATCTTTTCGTTGAGCCCCTTAAGACCAAGGACCCTCAAAACAGATTCTTAAGCCTGCTTATCAATCCAGTTCTCAGGTGGGGACTCGACTGTATACCATCTTCGGTTAGCGAGGTCCAAACGAATGCGGGTTCTGGTGCATTAAAATCTGCCGAATCGTTTCAGGTGGTTATGGAAGATATGGGTTCGACTCGTTTGATCAAAAGCCGCTGCATAATGAGCTAGGATCATCCTAGTAGATCAGGCTCGTTTAAGCACCGTTGGCTCAATACATCACACATGACGCATGCATCTGGATGCACAAGGTATTTTGGAAGGGTATAATCCCCGATTTCCAAACCTTGTCGATTTTTGTTGAGATTTATGAAGAAATCAAATGTTTGTGCTCAGTTGAGAGTCTTGAGACATGGTGAGTTCCAACCTTGGAAGTTGAACTCCAAGTCAAGATAAAGATCACGTGTAGATATATGAGATGATCACTATCTACGAGTCATGATTCAAGTCTTCAAAACAGCAATACATATTAATAGATTATTATCAACCCCTTGGATCCCTTCTCCAACTTTGCTAGTTCTTTCAGTCTTGAATGATCATGAAAGACTAGACTTGGAATCGATTCGACATATCTACCCAGGTGCATGATTATGCCCCACTGCACTGCTTAACCTTGGAAGTCCATGCATTCGATAAGGACAATGGCCACGTAGAGATCTGTCCGTTTATGCACGTTTTGGCGGTCTGACTTGTTGCAGCTCTGGAGCCAGCAGATAATGCTGTGAGACCTGAGAAATCATCCGCTCATTCGCATATGATCCGGCTAAGAACCTCGAGAACAGAACTTGAATCTCGCATATTCACGGGAATCAGATCTTTGGATCTAATGCTGAGTATTACTAACGCGCGCCCTTCGAGGTACCATCCATGGATGGTTGCCTGGTAGGGATGTTCAATGTTTTGAAATATGCCCAATAACATCATTCAAAGGTCCGTGTTGAAGCAATTATTGATCTAATAAACCATAATACCGATATGAGTCTCAGGGAGAACGGGCATTCAGTATAGAATCTGTAGGTAGCGTTATCATAGCCTGAAAGGAGTACACGAATGTACGCTGCTGCGTGCACGTCCCGTCTAGCTTAATTGCAGGGTCCACCATGAGCCATTAAAATATCGATAAACACGTTGAATTGAGGACATATGCACACTCAGACTTGGTCCATACCGTACTGTTCAAGTCCCCATTCTCAATCACGCCAACTTGAACGAAGCACCGAGGAAGCAATGACCGAAAAAACATCAAACGAATACCCATCATGTACTCAATTTTCTATTCTGGTTTAGGAGGTATCCCCCATGAAGAACCATGGCCGGCGGACACCACTTAGTGCAGGCGCAGGAAGCTTCATTGGAATTGGAACAGTATTATGGAAGATCTCTGAAGGGGCATATTCACTCTTTGGTTGTGGAGTCGGTTCGTTGTTGGGAATGGTCGTCCCCTCTGAAAAGACGCTAGCTGCCTCGCTAATTCTGGGGGATGTGCCCACAGGCGTCTTGATCGGGACTAGGACACCACATTCCCAGTTACGACAGACCATCCTGGGTTTATTGGCCGCACGGTCCTTGGTGAGACGGCCCCTTGGTAAAAAAAAAAGAAAGTTAATCATCATCTCGTGAAGTAACGATTATTCAAAAAGAGGCGGGTACGTGTTCACTTACCAGGCACTTTCAGATAAATTCGCGCTTCCAACATAGGCCCATCCCTTGCACTCCATATTATCTGCGAGGGCAATGGGTTCCGAAGGCCAAACGTAAGCAAGCTTATGATTGTCAGCAGATGAACAAGGCGGAAACACATGGTCAGTGACAATGTCATACCTTATTATGCATCATGACAGATTTCTCACTCTGGCAATCCCTCATTACATGCTTAGGAAACTTTGCGCCATCCCACCACTTCGATTGAAAGCAAACAGTGCCGGCAGTATCCTCCGGGCGACGATGTGCCTCACGTGCAGTCTTATCTGATGGGAAATACACGTGGAATGAGTCTTGCCATTCCTTGCTGGCTCCCATCATGAGCTTACGTTCGTCGTCAGGGACAATGGCTGATGACTTCCCATAACGCATAATATAGTCCGAAAGGCCGTCGTCACCTGAAATCAGAATCAGCTTTTATTCGGTGATGTTACATAATTGAATCATGTTTACCTTTGAAGGCAAGGTACATGGCCCGAAGGAAATCTTCATTTAGAGACCCAATGGAAGAGGCCTAGAATAAGGTCAGTATAGGTGCCTATCAGTAATTTGTCGAGGAACATACCACATAATCAACATTGATTAGTGAGGATGATTGCAAACCAAAGTGGCTCACAGCGCGACCTAGACCGCAGTAACCAGTCCGTCTCCACCTCTCGTCGGAGTGCACTCCACTGTTCCCACCACTATCCTCAAGTTAGATCCCGAATCAATTGACATAAAAGGGCTGGACTGCGATTCTTCGAATGGTATACTTACATTGTGTGGACAAACGCATAACGTGCAGTCTCACTGAAATCGAAGGAGTCCAATTTGCGAATCATTCCCTCCTCCAAGGTGCTGGCTTTCAAGAAGTAGACAAGCTCTTCATAGAAGAACGTCTTAGGAGTCTCCACAGAAGGATCCTTTTTCTTTGGTAAATCAATAAGAAAAACAGTCTGGTTTGGACATTAGTCAAGGAGGTTTAGCAGGAGGTGTCGGCGCGCCCATCTTACATTCTCCATCAATTCGTTCTCTCCCCAGTCGGTGAGCGTGAGATTGGCCGTCGGAACAACGATGCGCAAATACTCTGGGTGAAATAGGAGCATCAACTTGGAATGCATTATGTTGACTTGACCTTGCATGGGTGGAAAGCAAAGTCTGAGGTGTTTCATGGTCTTGGTCTCGTCAAGCATTTGATCACGCTGGATGGATCAATCAGCGTCTCGCTATGATAGAAATTTGAGTGAAGGGTTTGGTTTCTCTCACCATTGCCTGTTCCTTGGCGCTCATAATGAGAATGAATTTCGTCCGCCAAATGTCACACTTATTGAAAAGCCATTCCATATCCCACAGGTACGAACTGAGTACCGCGTATGCCAGATCGCTTCGCTGAAGCACTTCTTCAAGAGTGATTTCATTATTTCCACGCCGGGTTTTTATGACATGTGTCTTTCTAACTGTGCCCAAAGGATATTGTATTCCCGGTCTCGCAGTAGGCCTAATTGACGATGATGAGGCGGCTGATGAGGATGGTTGAGTAGGAGACGGGGTAATAGTAGGTCGCTTGCTTGCTGCCGACTCAGACACAATTTTCGGAACTTTGACCGGAGATTGCGTTGGTGGAGTTATGGAGCTCTCTGCCTTACGCTTTTTCAGGCGGGCAAGGCGCTCCTGCTCCATCTCTTTTCGATTTAGACCAAGGATACCGAGAGAAGCAGGAAGAGGAGAAGCTTGCTTAGAGTGAATTGGCAATACCTCCTGTGAGGGTTCTTCGTCGGGCTGCTGGTCTTGCAATGACATTGCGATTGCACGCTTGATATCCTCGTCCTCATCTTCTATGTCATCTTCGGCCTCGTCATCTGTATCAGATCCGACAACAGAGCGAGATTTTGGGAACACTTCCACGATATCTGATTGACCATCGGAATCGTTGGTCAGATCGACCACGTCGTTTGAAGGTGGCTGCTGAGGTGATGATGTGCTCGAGCCATGGTCAACATCTCTCAGAGAGACCCGAATCGCCTCTCTCAGATCTGCATCCTCCATCTCATCGAGATCCATTGTGAAGGGCTCCTCTGAAAGGAAAATTCAACAAATAAAATGGTGCGATGAGGATGCAGCAGTAAGCAGGACGATGAGTGTGACGTTAGTTGACTTCAGATGTTGCTGTTACCTAATAAACTCGATGCAACGTCATCTGAGATCCCTGATGTACTTTTGCGCAATAAATAAGGCGATTTTCTCGAAATAAGAATATGGCGATGTCTTGGGAATCATCCACTGGATTGTTGTTGACTCCAAGGTTGACCAAAGAGATGCGGCCCGATTAAGAAGGTGGGTCTACACGTGATTTTGTCAGCCAGTTCAGTGTCGTGTCTCCACACGGCAGAACTGAGCCAATCATAATCCCACTGGAACAGAGCACGCTGATTGGTCGAACCAGAATGGTCACATGACCAATCACGTGTCTTGAGTCCGGCAGATGTTTATGTGCGATAGTGATAGGATGAGAGAAAATCAGACTTGTATTACATGCCATCTAGACCGCCTACTACGTACAGAAAGAGTCTGTTAGATTTATTAGTGCCTCAGGCTTCAATTGTTGTCGCACGCATCAAGTTGACTAACGATACCTAGGTATGTACCAGTCGTTTTGCTGCTAATGGCAAAAATGACAGTAGTATTACTAGATCCAGCTAGGTACCTATATGAAGGTTTCAAATATAGCAGTACTTACCAGTACGTAGGTTTGAGCATTCATCCAGAGAAGAATATATTTTCATCCAAATTCATACTTCAACACCAATTTGAACTTCAAGTTGTCATAGTGAAACTTGAACCTTCCAAGGTTGATAAGCCACCTAAACTTGAACTTGCATCTTCAAGCCGGAATTGGGAGCTGATTTGAGTGCCAATTATCAACTTACACACTTGGAAGTACCAAAATCCATAGCGTTTACCTGGAAAACTTTTCGATTTGACTTTCGCTCGTGTGAAAAGTATAAATCAGGTCGACACCCTTTACAATAGGCATCATGTGGCCTGCTGGGATAGGCTAAGTGTGATTTCAATAGCATAAGAAATCATGATCATCATCGGAAAAAAGGTCCTGATTTAGAGTTGTTGTGGGCAGAAGGCTCATTTGAAGGGCAGTTGAGGCTCTAAGTGGGGCTCTTCCGGCAATGAGCGATTTGCGCTACTGGTAGTAGAAGTCGCAAGTTGGAACACAGATTGATTATTCTCATGTCAATTGATAAAGAATTGATAATAGAACTGCCCAGGTGTGACAAATTAATATTAGTAATGAATAATTCGGAGGTAACCAGGTGACGCATAGCTTTAAGCTTCCAACCTTAAACAGACAAGTGTTGATGTCATCAGATAAAAGTCAAACCCCACGTTTATGAAATCGCGGGGAAGTATTTTCTTTAATGAACTCCCTGTCAGTAATTGCTCCATCATCATCGAATACACTGGACAGGAATTGCAATGTTGAGCCGACGAGCAGCCACACACTTTCTTCACCAAGCTCGCGGTCCATTCAAGTTACAGATTAGAAGATTGGGATTACTTGAATTCAATTCACACAAACTTCTCAGACATGCAAGCCTTCTATTCATCCCCCACCATAAGGTCTAACTAATATTGGTCAAGTTTGATATTCCCGTGCCGAATGGGCATGTGGTAACCAGCCCAGAGGAAGCACAAACAGTGGTCTCGTCCATTCGTGAGTTCTCACTCGTTTCAGTCTTTCATACCTGAGATCTACACGATGACTTCAATGGAGAGCCTCCGATGTCCTGCATGCTAAGCACCCCATAGATGCACCATCCGTCATCAAAGCCCAAGTCCTTGCGGGTGGACGGGGAAAGGGAAAGTACAGCAGTGATGGAAAAGGTGGAGTTCGCATCGTGGACTCGTAAGTTTATGTTCCGACTTTGTCTACCCTTATTCTAACATTGACCTAGTCCGAGCGAGGCATACGATAGCGCAAGCAAGATGCTGGGCTATTACTTAACAACAAAGCAAACTCCTCCCGAAGGATTGCTGGTGAAGAAGCTTTACATATACAAAGCCGTCGATGTTGCCCAGGAATTCTATGTCGCATTAACCTTCGATCGCGAACGCGAGATGCCCGTCCTGCTTATTTCAGATGCTGGCGGTGTCAATATCGAATCCAACGTGAACAAGCTGCAGCGATTCTGGTTTCACATGCCACACGGTATAGGTCCAGAGATCAGAGCCTACATACAAGCGCAATTTGGATTTTCCGATTCGGAGATGGCGGTTATGTCCCACATTCTTCACCAAATGGTGGAACTTTTCGCGGAAAAAGATGCCACGCTGCTTGAACTGAACCCCCTTGTACGCACACCAGAGGGTGATTTTGTTTGCCTTGATGCGAAATTTACCTTTGATAATTCTGCTCGATTCAGACAGAAAGGCCTTTTTGGTTTGGAAGAGCGCTCACCAGAAGAGGAGTTGGAATTTGAGGCTTCTCAATTAGGCCTTTCTTATATCAAGCTTAATGGGAATATTGGAAATATCGTCAATGGGGCCGGTCTGGCTATGGCAACTAATGATTTGATCAGTCTGTTTGGCGGGGAGTGTGCTAACTTTCTTGATGTTGGTGGAGGAGCTACGAAGGAGACACTTGCAAAGGCATTTGAGATTCTGAATGCTGATACACGAATTAAGGGAATTTTGATTAATATCTACGGAGGTGAGCAAGCTACTACAAGGCAATGCGAGGTAAATGTAACTAATTTCTGTTCGATTAAGGCATTGTTCGATGCGACATGATCGCAGAGTCTATTATTGCCGCAGCGGCCCAAATGGGCGGGTTCAAGGTGCCTGTAGTCGTGCGCTTACAAGGTACTAATTGCGACAAAGGGCTGAAACTGGTGAGTACTAAAAATATTTATGTTTAAATGTTTGAAAGAATTTCACTGATTAATCATCTTGTAGCTCGAAAATTCTGGCGCTGAGAATAATATTACGGTCGAAGCTGATTTCGAGGCCGCGGCGGAAACGATTGTTCGATTGACTAGTCATTCTAAGCAGTGAATTTCATAATTGTGAGCCTCATGAATTTATTTGGTTCTTTGTTGGGAGAATCAGTCGCACACGGTTACTTTGCGCAAGCTTGAGATTTAGCAGCCTGAGAACTGCCCCGAGGTTGGGGACAAATGTCCATAAATACGCAGAATTTGGCATTTATCGATTCGAGTTTTAACCGTCGTCTTCCAATATTCAATATTCTTGCCAGAAATGCGGCTGGTAGAGAGGAATGCGATGTGCTCTGCGGCTGTCTGCAACTAGATGCACGGATTTTTCCGGAAATGCTTTTCTCATTCTGCAAGTGAAAGTTTCTCGACAATATCATGATGCCCTGCATCCGAGGCCAAAGCAGCAATATCCTTTCCATTATTGTCTGGTATATTCGAAGCTCCATTCTCGAGTAAGAATTCCACCACTGCCAAGTGACCGTTGGCTGCAGCTCGACTTAATGGCGTTCTGCCTTGATCACCCTGATGATTGATGGCAGCACCTTTGGAGAGAAGAAGTTGGACTACCTCTTTGTGATCATTCGCTGCTGCCCATATGAGCGATGTTTCTCCATCCTTTCCCTCAAAATTTGGATCGGCTCCATGTTCAAGCAGAACTCGACATGTCTCTGTATGTCCGCGCATAGAAGCCCACATAAGTGGTGTTTTATCGGTATTATTCTGAGTAGTATTGCTGCCATTCACGTCCGTTATGTTAGGATCGACTTTCCGCTCTAACAAGAGTGTGACGACGGATGTTTGGTCATATTCCGCAGCTTGCGAGAGTGCTGTTCGACCCCAACTGGCATTTCGATGAGTTGGATCTGCACCTTCATCTAATAACCGCTCAACATCCTCATAGCGACCCTCTCGTGCCGAATCCACGATGTCACTCTCATTGAGCCAGCTGTCCAATTGCTGTGTGAATCTCGGGACAAGAAAGTGATCTTTTGGTAGGACGCGCTCCTGAATAACCACACATTCATTCAGAAGATTGATGGCCTCGGGTTTCCGCCCTGCATCCTTCCAGAACCGTGCCAGGTTATACATGGTAATCAATGTTTGCGGATGCTCAGGGCCTAGGACTTTCTTTTTCGCCTCGAATGTCTCCAGAAACAAAGACTCCGCCTTCGAAAATTGCTCATGATCTCCATATAATACTGAGAGATTGCCCATAGCCTTCAGGGTGTCATAGTGCTCTAAGCCCATAATCTTCCTTCGTACGAGCATGGTGTTTTCCATGAGGCGGATTGCTTCTTTCCAGTTGTTCAGACGAGAGTGGGAATGTGCTAGATTATCAGTGGTTGTAAGAGTCACAGGATGCTCCGGACCAAGGGTCTTTGTGCTTGTGATCAAGAGTTCATTCAGGAGTGTCTGCGCCTCTGCGTCGCGGCCTTCTGAGCAGTATATGACGCAAAGATTATTCATGGCTGTTATATAGTTAGGATGTTCAACGCCGACTGTTCGTTTGTAAACATCAACAGCGTTCTGGGCTAATTCTTGCGCTTCCGAGAAGCGACCCTCGCTTTGGTATGTCATGACCAATAAAGACATCGCAGCAATGGTGTCTGTGTGCTCTTCACCGAGAATACGTTTTCTCACTTGGAGGACCTCCTCTCCCAGCATCCGAGCTTCTTTCCAGCGCCCCTGGAGCTGATAGACCAGCGCCAAGTTACCCATACTGAGCAGAGTGATAGGATTCTCAACTCCCAGTATCTTTTTCCGAAGCTCGATCACCTTCAACCCTTCAGTCTCCGCCTCTTTTAATCGACCCTGCCACTGGTAGACACAGGCTAGATCATGAATGGCTGATAGTCTCAACGGGTTTTGGGGACCTATTGTGCTTTCACTAGTGTTCAGCACTTCTTGAAACAAAGCCTCTGCCTCAGTATAATGACCAAGCTGGAGATGTGCTGTCCCAGAAAGGAGAGTGACTGCCATGGTATCTTCACTATCAGCGCCATATAATTGCCTCATTGCATTAGTTGCAGTGGTAGTCAAGGAAAGCATAATCCACAAATTCCCTATGGACTGCGCATGCATTGCTCCTAAAGCAAGGAGTTCAGCCCAACGAGAGAGCAGCTCATTGACTGAAGGTCGTTGCGACATGGCTAATTCAACATGCGGAAGAAGAGATTGACACAGCATGCGATGCTGTTTAGTCTCTTCATCATCATCGAGTACCTTGTAAAGACGTCCGATGAATTCTTGGCGCCATTTATCTGTCATCCCATTGGCTTCAAGCCATTTTCGTGTCGCAAGCTGCACCAGGCGATGCATTTCAAAGAGTGTAGGATCCCGACCGACAGATACGAAAGAGTAGTCCCTCAATATTGAGATGTCATGTTGGAAATTATACACTTCTGAGCAAGGCGACTTTGGTTGGGGTTTCTCATTTGGCAGTGTTACAGGATCAACATTGTTTGAGCTAACACTGGTTTGTCGAGGCGTTGACCGAAGTTTATGGAGTCGATTCGACACCTTCTTTTTGAAGCAATGGATGCTGAAACGCTCACTAGAATGCGAGCTCTCAATTTTTGACTCTTTTACGCTCTGCGCAACGATTGCTGGTACTTGAAATTGAGCCTCGGCAGTGATATGAAGCAATGACCCTGGAATTGCATGTCTGTCAAAAAAGCTCATCAGGGAGAGGAGATCCGCTGCTGAGGGATTATTGGCTCTGATTTGGTCAATTGAGAGCTGCCAGGTTATCAGAACTGAGTTGCTTGCTTCCCAGTGTCGACGAGGATGTCCCGCTTCATACTCAAGCAGCTTGAATCTTTGGCTGTCGCTTTTCTCGAATTCCTCTATGTATTGGTTGACTGAGCATAGAGGTGCTTGTCGTTTGATATATGCAGCTGCCTGGACAATAGCGAGTGGCAAGCATTCCAATAGTTCTGCAAGCTTAGCCACATCATCATTGTTATCCGCTTTGACTTGGTCACCCAACTTTGCCTTCAGGAGCCCCTGTGCGTTGGCGTGACTCATGGGGTCGATTTGAATAAGATCCCTGTCCTCTACAAATCTCTGAGCAACCTTTTTGCTCCGAGTTGTCATGATTATTGAGCCGTTGACACTACGAGGTAAGAAATCAAAGAGTGACATTCTTGCTCCTCCTTCATCTTTGTCAAAATATCGTGGCTCATAGAGGAATCCGTTGTCATCAACATTATCAAGAACAAGAATCCATTTTCTTCTTGTATCCTGAAACCAGTTCAGTACTGACTTCAGCAGAACCGTACCAGAACTTTGGCGACCTGGTATCTTCGCTTGATTCGCTATTCGATCATAGCCTTGTTCGAACCGTGCAGCGTTGCTTGAGTGGACCCAGAATACCCATGTTTGGGGTGATTTCTCGCGAGCACGATAGCAGTATTCAACAGCAAGTTGAGATTTCCTTCATAAATTAGCATTCAGCAGATATACTACTTCTTTAGCGGAACTTACCCGACTCCACCCATCCCAACTAGAGCCAACCTGGAATTCTCTACAGAGCATCTCTCATGAATATCATCAAGCAAGTTTCCACGTTCAATAAAATCCCGATCTCGAGAAAATGGGACATTTGAACACGGCTCTGGGGGTGTTTCAGGACGCTCTCCTATACACTCAGGTAAGCCTCCTGATCAGTCTGAGACCATCTGCGGGCGTACCTGTAAACTGGACGGTTATCGGAGCGGAGGTAGTCCCTACTTGCAGTCCGCTATTGGCCTCTGTGAAAGATATAGCAGTTGTCATGATGCCAGTGATCAAGTGAACAGGGGTTTCAACCTCAGGTCATCATCAAGTTTCTTGGGTTGAACCCTGTAAACAACCGTGCGGCTAAGCACTGCCCCGCAAATACGATGACTAATACGCCATTTGAACATTCATCGATATTAAGCGACATGGATGGTCTTCATGATGATAGGTGGCTCCGGGCTAGAAGAATCCTGTTGACTTTAGCACCACGGGGGCAGTTATTGAGGGAAGTCGAGGACGGGGAATGAGTGTGCGGTTCCTTTTCAGGTGAACCGAACAATGACAGGGATACTAAGTACGGGAAAGGGGAAGTAAGGGGGACGATGAGAAAATTCGCAAAATCTGAATTAATTATGAGTTAAGTAGGTTGTAAAAGTCTCCATGCAATCTTCATCTCCTCCACAGTGTTCATGATTCAATATTCCTTCACTTGTTCCTCGGACCATTTCCAGTATTTCTCAGTCAACGCTGGATCCCACAAGTCCTGTCTGATCTTGATGACTCTACCCCAAGGGGCGACTATATTATATTAGAAAGATACTAGCATAAAGGAGACCGAGGTACATACCAAAAGATGCATTGTGCTCTTCACTAATCTCTGCACTCAATCCAGCATAAAGCTCTGTGTACGCGCCGAAAATCGGATCATACAAAAGCAGTCCTGCGACTGCAGCAGCAGTTCTAGACATGTGTCGTTGAAGACCACTTTTCAGGTTTCCAGGGTTCAGTGACTATTGATGATATTGTCAGTTTACCACGTCGTGTGTTTTGGACCCAGTCTCGCATAGTACTTACCAAGCTCAAGATTCCCTCACCCGCAGTTCTTTTCGCATATTCCACAGCGTGTAAGACATTGCCAGCCTTACTACGAGCATACTTAGTCATAGCGCTCTCCTCTTTGGAGTAGGTCATGTTTGCAAAATCAATTGCAGGTTTAGGTGCCATCATCGCCGCGGAAGATGATACCCAAATGACTCGAACGCTGTTCTTTGGGGCTGCGAGAGTTGTCCTTTTCAAAATCTCATGCAAGTATTTGACAAACAGAAAATGACCGAGATTATTCGTTCCAAGCTGGAGTTCGTGTCCCTGTTCGGTCTTGCTTCCTTGGGGTGGGGTCATGACCTGTGAACGATGGTTAGAATGAGATATGCCAAGAAGATAAATTTCAAAACTCACTCCAGCATTGAGCCATAGAACATCAAGACGAGACTCTGCTGCAAGGAACTCTTCAGCTGAAGCTTTGATTGTTGTTAAGTCGGCCAGGTCTAGGTGAAGGAATGCGATTTTGCCAGTTGAGGATGATGTTGTCTCTGCGGTTTTGATCTTCTCTATGGCGAAGTTTGCCTTCTCCTTTGACCTGGCAGCAACATAGACAGTTGCATTGTGTGCATAGAGAATCTCAGCAAGCTCAGCACCGACGCCGGAATTTGCACCCGTCACAATGAAGACCTAATGATAAATATCTTTGTTAGAACTGACCCGACAATGCACATGTGGGATCCGGAAGACATACTTTGCCAGCTTGATCAGGGAGGTTCTTCTCAGTCAGGGTAGGTGCCGGAGGGCACATAGCTCGATAATACTCCATTTCAACTTGAAGTTATGAGAGATCACAAAAATCGAAAGTAACCGAGACTCGGATGAATACAATTGTGTTGTTGAATAATGCTGTAGAAAGACCCGGGTACCAGCATCTTAAATAGATTTTCAAATATTTTCAAATAGTGACCGACGTCCGGAGATAATTGATAGATTTTCACTATAATTCCGATCAAGTGTCATCAACCGTTGTTCAATTGCTCAATTGTTCAGATTTTTGATGCTATACAGTCATAATGATATTGATCGCCACCTTAAATCTCCCAATTAGGTTAGTCTATTGTCATCTCTGAATTTCCCAATTAGGTTAGCTCGAGTCATCATCTAAACAGGCGTTTAACAATTAAGAATGAATTATTTCAATCAGGCAAATAAAATATGTGAATACGGGATGTATTAGACTTCTATTCACATGGTATAGTCTTATAATTTACTCATACATTAAAACTGAACTTATTTCTAAATGATTCAACTACCATAGTGAACTCCGTGCCCTTCACACCAATAAGAGCTTCTGGGTGGATCGAGGGAAATATTAAGTGGGGAGTGTCAGCACCCATGCACCAGCACCAGGCTTGAGCCCAGTCCACTTGCTTATCTTAATTCCCCAGGCCCCCCATTTCATAGAACCGACGATTAAGACCGCCCGGGTTCGCTATGGCTCGTAAGGTCATACGACGAACGCATACGGGGTGCGTGACGTGCAAGTGAGTGCTCCAAACCGATCTAGACCCCCCTCATTCCCCATCTCTGAACCCAATGCCTTTCAGAGCCCGACGAGTGAAATGCGACGAAGCCAAGCCACAATGCCTGAGGTGTACATCGGGTGGATGGAACTGTGAAGGTTACAAGGACTGGCTACCCGTATCCCTGCGACGTATCAGACCATCCATCATCCCGGGCGTCAATACAATGGATCTGAGGAGCTTGGACTACTTTATAAATCAAGTTGCCTCTGTTATTGCGGGGCCTTTACCAATTTGGACTCATATCATTCCTCAAATGGCGCACCAGGAATCTTCAATCAGACATGCAGCTACTGCGATAGGTGCTTTATATGAGGAATTTCGGGATGATGTCGCGACCGCATCATCGAATAGAAAATTCGCCTTATTTCATTACAATACAGCCATCCAGCGCATTATTCACTACCCGCACGAATCTCTTGACACCGTGATCACGGTTTGTGTTCTTTTCATGACTATCGAATTTCTCCGGAGCGAATCCCGATGGAGCGATGCTGCATTACCTGCACGGAAGGAAAATTTTGGATTCATAAAAAGCTCCAGCACATCTTATGGCTATATTCAGCCAACTGAACGTTTTTGTGGTATTCTTCACAAATATCTGTGAAATATCATCAGGGAATGAACCTGGGAGCCCATCTCCGAGGGGCCCCTTTGACAGTCTGGAACACGCGCAAGAGGCACTTGATTGGCTTACATATAGATCCATGAAAGTTTCATTTGCGCTCGACGACGATATACGGAAATTTTATGACGCCGACACGACAAAACATGTTCTATTACAGAAGAAAAGCCTGATCCGAGACTTGGAATCATGGCTGCATGCATCTTCATTGAAACTGGGCCAAGCCACTAAAAAGCAACGGGCCATACATCGAGTCCTGGAGGCACGGTGGCTTACTTGCAAGATATGGATAAATACAGGTCTTGAACGCAGGATAGCAGATGCATCTCATGATGGTACATTCAGGCGAATCACTGATATCGCACTGCAAGTTGCGGGACCGGACTCGGAAGGTTCTGAAATGATCGCTGGTGCAGGATTCCTCCCTGTCCTACATTTCCTGGCTATGAAAAGTCCGATTTTAGAAATTCGGCTGGCCGGGCTTCTTATGTTCAAGAAACATTGTCATTTACTCAATACCATGTGGGATTCCAAGTTACTCTACCTGGGCGCAAAGAGAGCCATCGAGCAAGATCATGGAATTGTGATCAAGTCGGATTGGCCTGAGACAGAAACACTTGAGAACCTGATGGGTGCGACAAAGACTCAGGGCACACCGATCTTCAACCGGGCTTTATTCCTTTGTCCTTGGGTTGAAGTGTGCAGGGAAGTGTGTGAGAAGGTCCAACAGGCGAAGTTGTTGGCCATGGCAAACTTGAATATTGAATGACAATACAAGAAAATAATTATTTGTACAATTCAGCTCGTCGCATCGAACCTATTACTCCGTATCTTTGACAGGATGTATGAGCATCGGAGGCAGACAGAGTCGGCGGTGATTTTTCTCCCACTGTGAATGGTTAGTTGACTGGTTGGTAGGGAAAAATTTTCCAGATCACAACATACCTCAACCGTGTCATCAAGCCCAAGCCAAGCTCGATATAATTTCCCCGGAAAATCAGAAGAAAACATATACGACAACTTCAACATAATATCGTCATGCATCTCCCAGCTCCAAATACTATTCCAACCCGCATTAACACTACCAGGCTCACCAGGATTGGCACGCTGATTAAGCTTCACAGGATCCCATTTCAACTCATGGTATACTGGCATGGGTACTTGAACCGACTTGAGTCCATAGAAGAGAGCCCAGGAGATAGGCGACATCTCCGAAGCCAACCCAAATCCAGCACGAGTCTTATCAGCATGCATGAGTCTAAGCAGACGAGCCGAAACACGAGACATAGCGACCGGGGATGACCGAACAGGCGTACTAGAACCCTGTTTGAAATTGAAAATTCGGTCTCGGAATGGCCACTTCGTGTTTTTAGGATTGAACTGTGGCATCCAGGTGATGACGTCGGCTTCCTCATCGATTCCCCAGGTCCATTGGCTATCCTGTTCATCTGGTTGGGGAACAGCCGGCGCCTTGCTTTTAACGTTAATTCCCTTCGCTGGGTTCGGACCCCAAATATCTTCGCGGTCGCCCATGCTTTGGTCTACTGTGTCCACGAATTTGTCCCAGTCACCGTGCACTGCGGGAATGTAGAAGTAAGAGTTACGTTCCCAGAGATGCTTTCGAGGTTGTTGCTTTGCGAATTCGCCTGCTTGTTCGAGGAAATGGTATAGATGACCCGTATAACGCGAGTCCATCTCGAACTGCCAGACGTAATCGTACTGAGGGTTTAACCGTGAGAAGATCTGTACGGGCTGAAAATATTGCAAGATCGCACTGTTTCGTTATCAGCATCAAGTTCATCGCTGAAGAGAGAATTGAACATACACGTGCACATTGATCTTGGGGTACCAATCCGCAAGCATCTTTTGATTAAAGAACACGGCAATATCTTGAAGTTCCTCTGGGAGGTGGCTTCTTTTAAACTCCTCCATGCCGGATTTATCCTCCGGTTCAGGAAGTTCAACATCCTTGGAGTCGACGAGAAGAACAACCTCGTATTCTCCCCCGGAATGCAATGAGAGCTCCATGACCATGGAGCGAATGAACAAAATGTCATTTGAGGTATATCGTTTATCAATCCAGGAACGTAAGATCACAGCTGTCCGTGGGTGATAGTTGGACTGAGAAGGATCTTGAGAAGCTTCGGAGCTATTTGCATTCACCTGGCGATCATGCGACTGATGAAGTGTGGTTATCCTGTCCACTGGATTGGGGCGTTGGTACCGTCCAGCATTGCGTTCAACACATTCCTGCTGCAAGGTTCCCCAGTTGAGGTCTTCCCAAAATTCATCGTCCTCATTCCCATATCCGTATGCAGCGTATTGTGAGAATCGATCAGTACAAATACTATCATCGAGGTTCCATGCCTTGTATGAACCAAATATCGGAGCTGGGAAGCCTAGCAAATGTGTCAGCTCGCGACACTTTCGACCACATATGCACATCAAACTTACTTGATTGATCCCATTGGTAACCTTTTAACAGGAACTCTTCATTATTCCGACCTAATATCGTCCTGTTCGGTCCCATACATTGTTGATAAGTCCCTTTCCACATGTTCTTCCATTCTGCACTATTATAATCCGGGTAAGGATAATACGGGATAGCGTGCGAATCTTGTGAAGTCTCTAATATATGCGTTCTATATTCTCCAGTTTCTGTCGTCGTACTTGTGTTCACATAGAAGCTCACCGAGGAACTGCGAGATCCATGGATGTTAGTCAACCGAGCAGACCAAATTTCCGAATAACTACGAGAACGATACTCCACTTACCCCGAGTGTGTATATTTTCCATATCGCGACAAGGCTAGCGGGATGATGTGATCTTTTAGCTGGGGGAAGAGCAGAAAAGTGCCGAATATCAAGCAGACAGTCAAAACGATCAAGCCACGCCTTAGATTCTGCAGATGGAACCGTCGGCTAAGCCCCACAAAGCAATCCGAGTCAGTTAGTCTCATGATTCATTCCCAGGCTGAGGCTCATATCTGCCCTACGGTCGGTCTAGGGAAGGAATGGACGCTGATCATGACTTATGATGTGATCGGAGGCCATATCGTACCCCCCCTGGATCCCAAAGGCGGTGGAAAAGTTCCAAGAAATTATTCTTCGCATTCACTAGATACGTCTAGGCTAACGTCACCAAACGATATATGGTGGGGCGCGTACGTACGCGATAAGTAGTGTAGATGCCGATCAGTTGGTTGTTCCTGGGTGGAGTATGGGTTCAAGCGAACCACACGAGCGTTATTTGTGGATACATCTGGATGGTTCTCAAGCCAAGCTATTTCTGAAATCATATCCAAGTGCTCGTTCATTGTCAAGATAGATTGATATTTTACAACAATTGAATAATATTTACTAAGCTTTAAAGCTTTCATAGTTCGAAACCGTGGTTATAATAGTGGCTCCAGCGCCACGAACTCTATATCAATCTGATCCGGAACTCTAAAACTTGATATTGGATGAAAGCCTGGGCAAGATTCAACATAAAATTCTATATCAGATGACTGTGACATCCAAGACCTCTACTATATCTACTGCTAACATTCGAAGATACTTGAATATTCCCCCTCTTTCGTGCACGGGAATTTCTGAGTATCCCGAGAAAATGGATTCATAGGCTCTCGTGACAACATTTAGGAACAAATCGGAGCCTCTCCAAGTATGTCTCAATTGGGATTGATCTGTGAGGAAGTTTTGCAGACTATTATTTTTCAACTTCCAATACCACATGGATATCAACTGCCCGTGGCAACGGTGCACATGTGAATTATGACATCCCGCATCGTACTCCCCGGCCATGTGTGAGCATATTCCCAGCTGAGAAATCGACAATATCTAAAAAAAGACGAAAAAGCGTGGACCGTAGGCTATAGACTATAGGCGAGATGAATTGGCAGAAATTATAGGCATTAGCGATTGGTATGTAGGGACTGGAAGACTCATATGAATGAATTGAAGCTAATCAATAGCTTTTTGATAACTCTTACTCTGCATGAAATGTATGCTCCATCATTGAAGCGGCATCGATAATGAAACTCGTAATGAAGGTGTGTTACACAACAGATTAAGGGTCCACGAAAGGGTCTGAGTCGGGGTCCAGCACGGATCAGAGGAACTCCATTTCGAGCATATCAACCTTATTCGGGTGCTCAGAGTTCAAGTCACCGCCCAAGGAGCTATGTCATGCAGGTACCACAGCCTGAGCCTATAAATGGAGACCTAGGTACTTCAGATTGACGCGCATGTGCATCCAGAATTTTCGAACTAGTATGCATGAGGATACCAAGAACTTGAAATACCCCAAAAGGCAACTGCTAGAAAACCAGGCTATACTATTGTGATTGAGCTCTAAGTCCTGGTAATGGAGTTATGTCAAATTGAAGCTGAAAGTATTCCTTTGATGCCAGCCATGTAGACTTCAATGTGGAGGGCTTATTGGAAGATTCAAGTTCCACCTAGACACATGTACATATCATCTTGCTCGAATTGCTAGTGACTACTTAATTGCATAGATTGTGAGTTATGTTATGACTATATAGTTCCAAGGAATGTATGAAAACGTGAACGCATGCAAGAAAAACAAGAAGCAGAAAGAACCCGGACAAATGGGGACGCTATATGGCTTTACTGTAATGTTGAATATCAGGAGCCGCCAAGTGACTGTTCTCAAGATCACATCCAGGCTTCAACCTGACAAAAATACTTACTTTGAGCCCACAGCATCATGCCCATCATATGGAATACCAAATCGGTTCAGCAGGTTGGACGCAGCGGTTTCACCCGTCTTAAACGCACCATGCACACAACCATTGGCAACCAACGTGCAATGCTCACCCGCAAACTGCAAGGGACTGCCCTTGTGGTTGTTCAGAGCATCGAAAAATAGATCCGGCTCATCGCCGACCTTATCGGCAGAGTAAGATCCGTATCCTGCCAACGGGTCCTGGGTCCAGTGTGTAGTTTCAACACTGATCAGGCGTGGCAGGGCCTTGTAGGGTTCAGTTCTGAGGAGCTTGAAAAGAGGCTCGAAGAACTGGTAGATCTGCTTGGGGTCTTTCATTGCTTCAATGCGTTGGGTCAAGGGCTCGGCGACCTGCACACAGAGCTCCTTGCCACCGGTCATAATCCACAGATTAATGGTGACAGTGGGGTAGTTGAGAATGTTGTCTTTTTCCTTGACAGAGGCCATACTGCTGGTTGATCCGACTGATGACCCGGATCCAGACATGGGATCCATATCTTCCTCTGAAGGGGAAGGATAGAAGATGAATTGATCGTTGTCCTTGGACCAGAAGACGTCGGTGAATTCGAAAAAGACTTTGCCCAGTGCGCCATAGCTCCAGTTGGTCATACCCTCTTGGATATCGCTTGGCAAGGGCGGATTGAAATTAATGAGTTTGTGGTGGTATACCCCAAGTGGGCAAGTCATCACCACAGCGTCTCCCTGAATAGATCCGGTGATGCCAGTTTCCGCATTCTTGTACCGGACGCACATGGGTTCGACGCCATCTTCGTTCCACTCCACGTCTTCGACAAGATGATTCAGACGAATAATTTTGGGATCGTCGCGCAGGGGTTCCGCAGTCCAATCCACGATCCGATCGTATCCGCCCTTCATGTACAGGTTGCGCTCCGTAATGAAGTAGGACAGATGTTTGGAAGAGGCCTCCTCGGTGCTAATTCCAAGCCAGAGTTCTACCTCTCGCATGGCCTGGGGAGCCCAGTTGCGCTCATCCTCGGTAATGAGTTGGTGCTCAAGGACGAATTTCTTAATAAATTCCCCGACAGGACGATCTTCGGCATCAGGATTGGTTTCGAAGTACCACTCGGCGTAATCGGCGAATTCGTCGGCCACTTTCTTGGCTTTAAATTGGGATCCGGCACGACCTTCACGAGTATAATAGAGGGCGGCACCGTCATCGTAGTAATAAGGGATGGCTAATCTCGGGATGAGTTTCACCAGTTCGTTCTGAGAAGTTTCGTGCATCCAAGCAGCACCTTCAAATCGTCAGCGGATTTTTTTTTGGATGTACTTTTTTTAATAGGTTGTAGATAGTTAAAGGGACGGGACCATCATAGTAACTTAACACAAATGAAAAACCTGGCAAGAGTTTTTCTCTCTGGTAAAATCACCGGATTTCACACAATCGCAACCTTGGAATCCATACCAATATCTCGTACATGATCACCATTTCGGCTGGTCAGGATTCTTCCTCCGATGCGATCGCGACCTTCCAACACCACGACTTCACAGCCATGACGTTTCAGTACAGCAGCAGCACGAAGACCTGAGATTCCAGCTCCCACCACAATCACCTTCTTTGGCTCCGACCTTGCTGTGCGTGGTGCCTCATCTGGCGCAGACTCAATAAGAGTCGCGGCATTGAGGCGCACAGCCAGGTCGGAGCCACAATTACTTGGTTTTATGGGACTACTGCCCGGAATAGAAGAGGTGACATGAAAAGCTTGAGCCATTCTGAGTTGACAAGTGGACATTCGTATATAAAACGATCAGAATAAAAAAAGTGATGATCGCCGAAGCGAATAAGCGTTCAGGGTGGCAAAGTGAGAAGAGATGGAAAAGAAAGAAGAATGATTGGGCGTAAGGAGGGGCTAAATAGAGGTAGAGAGAGAGGGGGGGGGGGGTAAGTGACCAGTTGGGGGGATGATAAAACATGATAAATTATTATAAAATAAAATATAAATAATCTCTGTTAAGGAATATTAAAATAAAATAAAATAGAATAAAAAAATTGATAAAAAATGATAAAATTCGGGTAGAAACGTGTCTCCACGAGTCCATTTGCCCCAATCCTAACGTTATAAATGCTTAACCCGGTTTCCCGAGGTTAAAAGCGAGCGAAAAATAACTTGATAATACTTGATAAAATAATATCCACTTTGGAAAAAAAACCCACTATCAAAGACCACTAGAATTTAAATTATTGAGAGAAAATAAAAAAAAGTACCGAAAATTGAAAAATTGAATGCCCAAGGCCCTTATCTCCGCCCCCCCCTAGTTAAAAAAAAATCTCTTCCTAAATTTATTCCCTCTTCACACCCGCATGAGCACGTCCCAATCGTGCTAATCTTCTTTTAAGCAGGTCCTCGCGGAACTGACAGAAGCTTTGGCTTCTGTCTTATCTTTGCTAGGCTCAAAAATCCACCTATTGATTTTCAATATAGCCACCTTATCAGCAATTCAGCATTTCTTGGGAGGTCCGAGTCCCCGTACAAAACTCCGATGAGCGACCCTGTTGAAACAACTTCAACATGGACATCAACGGACATACATGGTCCAGTCCATCCTCCTACTATAATGGAGGAAGAGAAACCGCTAAATGGAACTGAGCGTCTGTTTCCCGTTGAAAACGGGCAGATCACTTTGATTCCCACTCCGACCAACGATCCCGATGATCCACTGAACTGGAGCACGTGGCGCCGTTATTGGCATGCCTTTTTGGTTCTGGTAATTGTTGCATTCACCGCCGCTACTTCCAATGATGCCGGTACTGCTGGCAATGGTATGAATGCTCAATTAGGTATCTCTTGGGAAGCTATCAATGTCGCCGCTGGAGTCTTATTTGTTGGAATCGGGTACTGTACTCTTCTCTTGAGTCCCGCCCCCTTTTTGTACGGACGTCGTGTCTCCTATCTGTTATGTTTACTGTTCTCCATTATTGGCTCCGTATGGTTTGCTCGCATCGAAACCGTCGAGGATAATATTTGGAATCAGTTGTTTGTTGGTGCCTCGGAATCTTGCGCCGAGGCTCTTTGCCCAACTATCTCTATCCGATATCTTCTTCCAACACCGTCGTGGTCTGGTCCTGGGTTTCTACATCTTGGCCACTAGTGTTGGTACTTTTATGGGTCCCTTGGTCTCGGGATTCATTCTGGATAGTTCGATACTGGGATGGAGATGGGTGGGGTGGTTAGCAGCCATCATATCTGGTGGATTACTGGTCTTATTTTATTTCGGATTGGAGGAGACCTCCTTCGACCGAAAGACCGTGTTGGATGGGCTTGGCGTGAACCCTTCTGAGCAGCAGCAGCAGCCACAGGGATCTGGTGTGCTGAGCTCGGATGAGAAGAATGAACGCCCGCCCAACGTTGAGCCTATCTTGGTTAATTCTGTGGATGAAGAGAGCGGACAGAAGAAAGGAAAAACCTACTGGCAGCGTATCGCCTTGATTACCCCATCGCCGACCTTGATCGGAACTGGGTTCAAGCAATACTGCCGTCGCCTCTACCACACGCTTGGAATCATGTTGTTCCCCGCTGTAATCTATAGCGGACTACAATGGGGTGCTCAAGATGCGTGGTTAACCTTCTACCTCACCATCGAAGAAGACAACTACTATGAGGCGCCCTGGTTTTACACCGATGCCGCCGTTGGCATTATGAACGTGCCCACCTTGATCGGTGCCTGCATCGGCTGTATTTACGGTGGTTGGTTTTCCGATTTTTTCGTCACATGGACCGCGAAGCGCAATGGCGGAATCTTCGAAGCCGAGCAACGTCTCTGGCTTCTTTTCCCTGTCGCGTTTATCGGACCTGCTGGTCTCATGCTCTTCGGTATTGGCTCCGACAAAGGCTGGAACTGGCCGTTGCCGTACCTGGGCCTGGGATTCATTGGCTTTGGCTGGGGTTGTGCAGGTGACCTTAGCATGGCCTATCTTCAGGATGCGTACCCGGAAATGGTGCTGGAGGGGATGGTCGGCGTCTCCGTCATCAATAATACCATTGGATGTATTTTCACCTTTTCCGCGCAATACTGGATCGACGCACAGTCCTTGTCTCAGGTTTTCATCGCTATTGGAATTCTGAGCTGGGCTTTCCTCATGACTACGGCTCCCATGATCTATTGGGGTAAGAAATGCCGTCGGATGACTCAGAAGCGATACGAGAATTTCCTCCGTATTCGTGATGGTCACCTGTGAGGATTATTGCATTATTGCATTTGGAGTTCTATCTCCTATCAATCAAGCGAAATATCTCTTTTTATTCCGCATTTTTAATGTCTGTCTTGTGCATACTGTATACCTAATTTGCACTTGTCCCAGATTCCCCTGTTTGATTCTGTTGTACATCATATGGAGGCAGTTCAGTACCCCTCCACTGATTTGTCATACCCCTGTTATTGTACCCTTTTTTGCGTGTTTTTTTTATAATTTAGCATTATTAGCCTCTAGTCTTGTTAGATTGAACATGAACAGCATGGGGAATTTCCCCAAACATTGAAATACCCCCTTTAATCTGTGATCTCATTCTCCGCTTCTAGACCCCTCAGGGGTTAATCAAACTCACCCGCCCCCAATAGATTAGATCTCAGCCTAACACCCCCGGTCAAAAAATCCTGATTAGGCTAGTCATCCGGTAACAGGGAAAAGGTTGGAAGCGATCAATCACGATACAAAGCGAGATTTACGCATGACAAGCTAAGACTAACCATCTTCTCGAAGCTTGACCCTTATCTTTCCCCGCATTCCTCGCTTACACTATACTATTAGGGGTTCCAAGATTCTCCATCTTTTCATTCATCTAATTAGCCGACTAGAGCTTTATCTACGATGTTCCGAGTACGAATAGATCTTATCAAGTCCTCGGTGGATCTCAAATCCATCTTATCCACGATCTACCTATTACCTAATGTAGGGACAAATGTGGCCCCGATATCATGCGTCAGCTACTAGTACTGCCTACATCTAGTCCTAGGTCTTGGTAAATACCTCATTTACAGCTCTATATCAAATAACCTATAACCGCTGGTTACAATATTCTGTTCCAACCTTGGAAGGTTCAAGGAATTACTATAACTGGCCTTGAAAGGATCAGATTCACTTGGCGTCCTTCGGAGAAAAGGATTCGTATACGATGACCCCGCAAAGCTTCCGCTCTTCATGAAACATGCGAGATCCTGCATACGAGCGGGTCGGATAGAGTGGTGCATAGAAGTGCGTTAGTGGCGGACCTCGGGAGTAGACACCGTGACGCGAGGCGAATAAACATGCAGATCGATGCTGATAGCGATAACCTTGGAAACACACTAAGGTTGGACTTACCTTACTTGGAATGAGATTTGCGGCTGAGATATCATTGATGACGCCTAGTCGGAGGTTGCTGCCAGTGGCGGCGTGGGGAAGCCTTATCATCTAGATGCGGTTCGGTATGTTGATTTTTGGGACTTCAAGTTCACGAGAGGGATGTCATCTTTTCCAGATTGGGTAGAGAAGTAAGGCTAATTAGTCTCAGGTTATATATAGTACTGATTTGGGTGACTGTTTGGTCTAATTGTATGTCTCTTACCTCAGAGGTGGCGTTGTCTATCACCCTAACTTTCAAACCTGGAAAGTCTTCTGACAAGAGGAGCGTCACCAACTAGATTTGGGGCGAAAGATACTAGTGTCGTCCACTCAGGCGCTGACCCACTTGGCTATGTACTACCAGTAGCCTAGAATGGTTCAAGTGAAAGAAAACATAGGAGAAATTCGGAGATTGTTCACACGTCAGTGGATGTTAGTCAATCAAGACCAAGAAAAATCTAGTAAACTCGTTTTCTGTGGTATTGAGTCGAAAATCTATGTCGTCGCACTAAAATTAAACAATAAACGATGAACATCATGACAATGGTCGGATTTCACTGGCATTCGCAGCTCCCAGCCACGCTGAATTTGAAAAGTTGCAATATTTTCACTGTGATCCGTGAAGAACGGGTTGAGACTGCCCCTTGTGTCAGGATCATATCTCGCGCTGGTTTCTGAAACTTGAATCACAATCGTTATAGAGCGCTTGGCAAGTTGGAAGCAACGTGCAAGAACAAAATCCAGCTCCTCGATAGTTAAAAACTGCAGTGTCGATATGCAGAATATATGGTCCACCCTCTCAGTTTGCTTTGCGAGGAAAAGTTCCATCCTGTCATTCACGACCTCATCATACCCACTGTTTTCACAGTGCTCTTCCAAAGCTTTCTTCGAGATATCAACACCGACTAAATGTGGGATGTTGTTTCGTGGATCAGCCTTCAAGGCTCGTCCCAGATTCCCTCTCCCGCATCCAAGATCAATCACAGTTCCGTTCCAAGGTCCCAAGGCTGTGATATCTGCAAGTTCGTCCATTGGCCGATCTGAGTTGAAGGGCAGATTATCAAGGATGGTAGCCAGCTCGTGATAACAGCGATCCCGATCACCAGAATGTTTCAGGAAGTAGTTTGTGATGTAAGTGTTAATGACAGCCCTGTACCCGCCAGGAAAGCCATACTTCACATCTGTATCTTCGAGTTGAGATCCAGTTGGATAGAAGAAGACAGGCAGAGGATCCACTTCAATAACATAGGCTCTGCCGTCATTTCCAATCCTCATATCCACATCACACCCCATGAAATTTGTGTACATTTTCCTGGTAGTGAATGCTTCGATTGCAGTCTCCTGGAGATGTTTCCACAGAGCTGGGTCATCACTTTCACTCAAAAGCTCGTAGCCAGACTCAGCGTCGAATTTCAGCTCCAATGTCAGGATCCGCGCCGCATCGCCGACCTGTTTGTATTTCGCGCGTTGCGGTATTAGTGGCACTGGAGTTTCACCCATCGCAATAACCACTACAGAATATTCTTCTCCCGCGATGAATTCCTGAACAACAATGTCTGTACTCTCTCGTCCCTCCTTTTCTCGAGAGTCTGCATACTGGACTGTATCTAAATGACCCAGCGCTTGAGCTCGTTGCAATCGCACCGGGCGCATCGATTTGTTGAGTCTTATGATACAACTTTCCAGCTCGGCTTCATTCTGACATAGAGAGTGTTCATCGATGAACATGCTCCCATAGCTTGAAGCTGGCTTCACAAACAAGGGGTAGGTCTCAGTCCCAGGGATAAGTGGCTTTCCTGCAAGTTTTGCATCTGCGAAAAAGTCCCATTTCGACTGAGCTCTCTCTGAGCTCTGAACTCCTGCAGATGGAAGATTGAGCGACTCGAAATATCGAATCGCATCGACGCCGGCAAGAGAGTCATCATGTGTTCCCCACATGAAATTTAAATAAAAATCATACCCTTCTTGCACAGCTTCATCTATCTGTGCTTTTGCAGTGGCCTTGTGAATCGTCTTGTGAGCCACCATATGCTGTGACGTAAAGACACCAGGGTTCATGCATAGTTCTTGAGCTTCTCCAACAGAAGCTTGAAGCTCCTCGAAGCAAGATTGGAAAACGCAGATTCGCATTGATTCGCAATTTCCTGGTGATATGATTGTATGCAGTTGAGTAAGGGGGACAGAGTACGGAGTATTATGTCGCGTGTTCAACTACCCCCACCAGACCCCGATCTCAGCCCCTCCACAGTGAACGAACACTCGCGAGTCTGCATGATCGAGATAGACGATCCCTGCTGGGTTGGTCCAGATCTTTTTTCAGCTGAATGGATCCCTGAATGGTGTTCTAGCCAGTCAGCTACACCGCTTTCTCCCAAAAGTGGCAAGTGATCAGATGGTGGATACATTCCAAGCCCCTAGGCTAAGGACAAAAGCACTAAAGGAACACTGTCTGATCAGCTCGCCATCTTCATGAATTTGCTCACTCAAATAGATGTCGCTATAATTATGTACTCCAGAAAACAAAACTCACGAACACTCATATACAATTTTACTCGCAAATCAAGTCTATCGCGATCTCCTGAAGCTCAAATACGACCGGGAAAAACAACCGTAGCTGTCGCAAACGCCACAATACCTTCTTCGCGTCCCACAAACCCATTCTTCTCGTTTGTGCCCGCTTTCACGGATATACGACTCCGATCCAATCCGATAATACCAGCCATCGAGTCTCGCATCGCGTCTCGATGGATACTAATCCGTGGCTGTTCACACACGAAACTAACATCACAATGTGTGATAGTTCCTCCAGCCTCGATAACCAGGTTCGCAGCGTGCCGAAGAAATTTATCTGAGGATGCACCTTCCCATCGTGGATCCTTGTCTGAAAAGTGACTGCCGATATCGTTCGCGGCGATGGTGCCCAAAAATGCGTTTGTAAGAGCATGTAGCCCGACGTCAGCATCGGAGTGACCGAGTAGCGTCGCTTTGTGGGGTATTTTTACGCCACACAGGGTGATTTCCTCGCCTGGTACCAGCCGATGTGTGTCATAGCCGTGACCGACGCGGACATCCGGTACTACTGATGTGGATGAGGTTTGGGCTAACAGTAAACGTCGGGCTTCGTGGAAGTCTTCGGTGTAAGTTAATTTGATGTTGTTGGATTCTCCAGGAACGACTCGGACTGGTAGACCGATTTCTTCGAATAGAGAGGCATCATCGGTGTAGCTTAAGCCTGAGGTGGCAGCCCGCTCATGGGCACTTAAAATCGTATGTAGTTCAAAGGCCTGGGGAGTCTGTGCTCGGTGAAGGCTTTCTCTTGGGACAGTTTGAATAATCAAGCCAGTTGAGTCGGTCTTTTTCAGTGTGTCGGCTACTGCGATTGCTGGAATAAAACCAACTGATGGATCTTTCCGTATAGCATTGAAAAGAGTGTTTAGTAAATCGTGAGAGGCGAATGGGCGCGCAGCATCATGGATGAATACATGCGATGGGGTATTTGCAAGTGTAGAAAGAAATCGAAGACCCTCCAGAACCGATGCCCCACGCTCGGCACCACCAGTTGTCGTGTGTATCTTGTCGTCCCGGTCTATAGAAGCTTCAAGTAGCGCTGTATCGTCGGCATGGTGAACAATCACGATTGGACAGGTCGAATTCCATGAGCGAAACAGTTTCACTGTACGATTGATCACAGTATCTCCTTCGATACGACGGTATGCTTTCTGACAACCTTGACCAGCTCGTGTGCCTCGACCAGCGGCAGGAATAACAATCCCAACTGTGGGCTCGTTATCTTGATGCATTGCTAGGATAATGTTTGTGAAGAGGGAAATACGAACAAACTGTGGAGAAATAGCATTGTGTGAGCCGACACGGGACTAATAGCGCGCTCTGCCCCTCTACGATCTGCAAGTTCGCACGATCGGCGTCATTTCTTCATCTACTGTCGTGTGACTACTTTCCTTTTCAATATCCTTCACATTACATTTTCGCTTATATGAACACTTACTGCTTTTTGATCTCCACTTAATTTACCATGACAATCTCACCACTACCCACGATCACCTTGAAAGTCCCAGCGAAAATCAATCCCCAAATTCGTGTTGGGCCACTTCGACAAGATGGATATCACGATATCACATTGGCGTATCAAGCCATCTCACTCTATGACACTTTAACAATTTCACACAACCTTGAGGGTCCTACAATCCACGTCACTGGCATGGACAGTGATCGTGTTCCACACGATGAGCGAAATCTAGTCATCAAAGCAGCAAATTTGCTGGCAGCTCGTGAGGGAGTTGAACCTCGGTTGCATTTTGAACTGGCTAAATGCATCCCTTCGGAGGCTGGGTTGGGAGGTGGAAGTGCGGATGCCGCAGCCGCTTTAGTTGGATGCAATATAATTTGGAAATCGAATCTCACGCCCGGTGAACTCATGGATCTGGGGGCCCATATTGGTGAAGATGTACCATTCTTCATAGAAGGCATGATGGCAATTGGTCTGGGTCACAAAAGGCCATTGATCAGGCTGGAGACAGTAGAGTACAAGTGGACCTGGGTGCTTGGTGTACCCTACCGGGGCTTGTCAACAAAAGCGGTCTTTCAAGAGTATGACAGGATCCTGGAACGGACATCGTCTGGGGAAGAGGATTATCTTATAAGGCGACAAGGGTGCCTTGAGACTTCATGGGGATCTTGTCCTCCAGAGGAGCTGCTGGATGCCCTTGAAAACGATCTTGAGTTGCCTTCCATGCAGTTATTACCGGATATCAGAATTGCCCTTGAAGCTGGGAGGTCTGCAGGTGCGATTGCGAGTTTGATGAGCGGATCTGGATCAACTTGTGCCTTCTTGGCCAAGAGTGAAGGTCATGCCGGGCTTTTAAAGGAGGAAATCCAGAGAAACGAAGTCTTCAGGGAAGTGATGGTAGCTTCGGGCCCTGTGCAAGGGGTCGAGCTCCTAGAGACTGGGACCTAGCAAAACCTGAGAAGACAGCAACCTAACAGGCGTCCAATTCAACAGATCATAGTACCTTTATATAGACTGAAGAAATTTCAAAATTTCCTGGTAGAACCTTGGAAACCTGTCAAGAGCTATTTCTGGTCGTCCACGGCGTGCATAGCATTATTTTGGGTATGTCTCCAAGGTTTGACATTTGGTCGTAAACTTGAAAGTCTGAAACACTGGCATTCAGGACTTTAGGGGTGATATGTTACAAAGATAAAAGAAATTATGTACAAATGTTAGTACGGGTTCGCTCTCTCATGAAATCTAACCTCAAGCCACGAAACTAGTATAAAATCCCAAACATCTGAACCCATCATAACTTGGCAACGCCTCGTGAAGCCAACCAAGAGTGCAGGCCATCTCAATGGAAATGCCTCTGGCAAGCAGTGCATACTCACCCATGCAGCTCTGCAGCATGCTTTGTGTTTACATGCCTTGTACTCGCATCAAGCTCGAATGGGCGTTGATTATCCCTCATTTCGTAGACATTTTCAGGCTGCTGCCATACGCTTCCTTTTGTAGGATCAATCTCCGCGCCATCCAGCAATACAGTTTTCTCCTTTGCTGTTCCTGACTGTTCTTCGGAGAGGACTTGCCCATTCCCCTGCCCCCGTCGCCGTTTCAAAAACCAGAGTAGAAATGCTGCGATGAGTATCAATGCTGCGACGCCGACGCCAGCCCCAATCCCAGCCTTTGCTCCTGTGCTGAGATCCCCGCTGGACTTTCCGCTGGACGGGGAAGCCGTAGCAGAACTTGTAGATGTAGAACTGCTGATCAGGTCTGTTATTGTGGCTGCTGCTGTCGATGTCGATTCTGTCGTCGCTGTTGTTGCTGCCGTGACTGGACCAGTTGGTACACCGACTCCAGCATAGCTCGTGGTTGCCGTACCCGTGAGGCCTATTGTGGTTCCACTGTGGACGTCGGAGGAGATGAGGAAAGTCACGCTATTGACACCGTTCGTATCGTTGCCTGTCTGGAATAAATTGAACCAGCAGTAGTCCGATGACTTGGTGATACTGATATCAACCTCTTTGCTTCCGTCAAATGGTTCAACAAGTCCAATATTTGAGACTACAAAGCCAAGAAAGAGTTGTCAATATTATTTTCTCGACCATTGCCCGATTAGGCAGGATTTCATACTCGTATAGGTATTCCAAGTTGAGTCACTCTCATATCGGCAGTAGAGGATGAGGCTTGCATTGCTTATAGTCGATGTCCAGCTGACATTCATAGTTTCTCCATCATAGAATTGTAGTCCATTCTCGACTGGGTACGTGAATGTGGCGGGCAAATCCGTACATGTCACCTTTGCGAATAAAAAGCAGAGTATGGTAGCAACCGCCAGCAATCCTCTCCCTGATTTCTCCATATCCACCTCGTTTGCCCGACCACTTGGGGCCGAAATCTTCGAGTTTTCCTTCCTTTCCCTGAGTCCACCGTGCAAGTAAATCGAATGGGCAGGAGATATCGATATCGGACTCGGCTTGGATAGTGAGTTTTCTTGCCTCCTATAACATTCAACGAGTGAAAAGTGGATAAAAGGGGAAACAGGGAAAGACAGAAAGAGGTGGAGAGGATCTGTGAAACATTTTTATTTTGACAACCTTTGGTAAGCAAACACAACTACGCGTGTAGATTGAGCCAGATAAATGATCGTTATGTGGTGGCTGATGCAAGGGTCCAAGAACTAGCTTGATTGAGTGGAGATCTGCATACATACACCCATGGATACTACTATAATCTTGTCTCGAATCTCCTTGGCCTATGAAATAACATCCTGAATTTGGACTACTCCCAGTTTAGCCCAAGTGCTTACTATGTGGAGTCATTCACTGAATTTGGACCACTTGAATATGTACAATCGCCGACCCTGAATTGTGTAGGTAAGCACTACGACATGGCCCCTGCATGGCCCCCGGGCCGTGTAGATGGGCCCAGCCGTCAATGCGGCCCTCAAATTACACGAGAGTGTTTCAGCGTGATTTTAACCTTACAATTGGGCAAGAAGCTTTCTCAATTCTTATATTATCATCGCAATCACCTATATAAACGTCTACCACGCTTGTCAAGCACGGAACTTTGACTGAACGAAGCTTGAAGCAGCCTTACTACGGGCGCGTCTAACTATATTATGGCTATATCGTTCTTTCATGAATGGTGGCGATAGTCGATAGTTGTCGGCTTTGGTTATCAGAGCTTTATATCAAAGAGCATCTCGAATTCTTACCTTAACTATGTAATGGTTTCGTTTACACCCATGGTATTTCCACTTGAAGTTGTTATAGTACTAGCCAACTGGTAGATTGGCGGGTAGCTGATGCTTATACACCCTTCCGCGATTTGATTGAATCATCGGGTTCAATCATTCAAAATGTTATTGGTCTTTCAAATGTTCGGCTATGTTGGATAAGTGTATCTGCAAACTTCAAGTTTCCTCTTAATAGTATTCATCCCCTGGAAAATCCACAACAAGACAAGATGGCTACGACCTAATGAGATAGCTCTAATCAATCTAGGAAGCGGACCGCCTCGCGATATAGTACAAGGGGTACAAAATAGAGCAGCCCATGCATGTGGGCTTCCGAGTCTGAACAGACTATGTATGGTCGTAGCTATCTCCAATTTTAACATTTGAAACGATACTACCATTTCAAGGTTGGGTTGAATGCTGCAAAAGACAATGTTAGCTATTTGGACCATTGGATTGTAAGGCCATGTCAACTGGTGGATGCAGCTGGTTTAATGTTTCTGTTCCTCGACTGCAGTTTTTTACCCCTCTCACGTGAATACTCGTAGATTATTTGCTGTATCTAATCACAAGAAACTAGGTACTGTATATCCATAGTTTTGTACAAGATCTGAACCATTCACTCTCATCGTTTCCCATTGTTTTCTCTCAATTCTTTCCTGGTTCATTCAAGTTGCAGGGATCGCTCTCCCATACTATAATCCAAACAGCCATATCCCTCAGCGTCATCATCCTCCTGTTCGAAGCTTCGGAGGAGCATGGTTTTTCCGTCGATTGTTTCAAGTTCCGCTTAGTTGCAGCAGAGGGAAGGCGATTTCCCGCTCAGTTGGTTGTCTGTAGTACCGCGAGTTCCAGGTGTGTCAACGCTGACACAAGAGTAGGTGGTGCCATCAACTGTGACCGAGTCAGAAGAGTAAGTCGAAGCCACGACTGTACAATCGTCACTCGCGGTGTAGGACCAGCCGGTGCTGCTGACATCGGTGAACTGGGCATAGGCATAGCCTGAGCAAACAGTGGCCGAGACGGTGGGAAGGAGGAAGGGAAGAGACAGGATAGCAAAGTTGAGATGCATTGTGATGGAATGGATTATTGATGACAGCACTTGAGTAGTGTCAATAGAGATGAGGTAGATAACTTGGAATTGAAGCTTGAGATGTCTGAATAGGACTCTTTGGCCTGGTCATTGGCACCATTTATATAGTAGTCTGGGATCGGTATGGATTCTTTTGCATAGTTACCCAAGCCAGCACAGCAAAGTAGAAAGCTGAGCCTTTAGGCATCTTCGTGCCGATTGTCTGAGGTATTATACTTAGCTAAGCAAGGATACGCAAGGCTCCGACAGTCTGCAAGGCTATATATTTTCAGCCCACCTCTTGACTTGTGGACCTTTGATTCGAGAAACTCGGTAAGATCAAATCCATAGGAAACATAATGAAGGAGAAGAAGAAGAAGAGGAGTGATAATGGTAATAGGATGCCGATGAGATGAATGGTGTGTGGTTGTGCGTGGTCATGATAAAATCTTGATGATGTCTATAATATGCTGTTACCAAATAAGCTTAATCTTCAGTGGCGTTCTTCTTCTGTCACAGTGTATCATGAAAGTAAGGGAGGAGATAATTAGGAAAGGATGATGATCATCATCATCGTGGAAAAAGCCCATGTACCATCAAAAGAACCCCCATCCTCTGTTATTTAGGCAAGGCTGCAAGTTTTGGCGCTTTAATTCTGGTGAAATGGGGCAAATATTGAGAGGAAATTCACCACTCCGAGACTCATATGTAATACACAATGGAGAAAAATCCCAAATTTGGACCCTTTTGACCACCTTACATGCACTTGAGTAATGCACAGTAGGGCGGGCGGACTCGGAGTCGGAGGCGGCGCCGGCACGATCACAAGGCTCTAGGAGGCTCTGCCCAGATGCTCAGATGGTACTTCCGAGTCGTCATGCTTTAAGTTTCATCAGAGCAATGTAACTAATCCCGTGCCTATATCTTCTTTTGGAGTTCAAGTTGCTATAGTGCAGTTAATTGCATACCAATAGATGTTGTGAGGTCTTGATGGCTTTGGCATTAGAAAGCCACTAATTGCACTATCCAACCAGACTAAATGCCACCGGTGGACATACTACTAGATATATGCAGGGTAGAAATCTCTATTCAAGATGAACTTGGAAGTGACCAACGTATTAAGTATGAAATGGCGCGGCCCAATTAAGGGCGCGTCCATGATGTAATTTATGAAACTAAGAAATCAGACTAGACCTGGAGAACGTGGTTAGGCTGGCGCCTACCACACCCCGAAGACTTAGACCAGCTCCAGCAGAAGGTAAAAATTCCCAGCACACGAACCAAGAAAATTCAATTCCTGACACAGAACTAGATCATAAGTCTGTCTACCTTGAGCTTAAGCTGCTGAATTTGGCCAGCCAGATCACTAGCCTCGTTGGTATTGATGCTGGCAGCGATAATGGGTCGGTTCACACCACATGCACGCCCGAAAGCGATCTTACTCAGAACGAAGACATATGGGATGTTCTTATCTTCGCAAATGAGGGGGAGGTGCATCACGATGGCAAGGGGAGAGGCATCACCGGCTATGATAATCAACTCGGACACACCGTGATTGAGAGCTTTGGTGGCTAAGAAGAAGAATTAGTGATAGGCAGTACATATTTAGTTACCTTCGTTTGCACCCTTTTTGACTTGTTGCGAATGAGTACCTTGCTGGAGGATGTCCAGAAGCTCCTGCGTTAGAGACTCGTCGGCCATCGGCCAGGCTAAGAAGATTGTTAGTTAGTTAATCACATAAAATGCTCTGTTGGAGATTCAATTAGCTTGCCTGCAGATCCAAGGTTCATCGTTTCATAAAATATGGTTCCAAAAAGGCTCACCTGTTGTAAAGGTTCACGGCCAAAAAGAAAGGTGGAGTGTAGTGAGGTTAGGAAGTTGAATACCCCAAGGTTGTCACTCAGTTATTCCCAAAATCTCCTACCGCCTTCGCAAACGGTCAAAATGTGCCCCACTTGATGATACATGATTGGACAACCTTGGAAATCATCGATCTAACCCCTGTGTTTGTTCTGTTTGCACTGGGGTACCCCAGGTATCTCTTACCTCTACATTATCACTCACACTCGCCCTAGAGAAGAATGGAAGGTTTCTTAAGATAGAGATCCCCGCAGGCTCTCTTGATGATTTACCATATTTTTATATGTCCCTTAAGTATGCTTGAACGGACGGGACATTATAATTTCTCCCTGTCTTCCCTCCACTGTGGTCGTATGTGGTAGTAGAGATAATCAATTGATTTGTTAATAGAACATTTAGTCAAACAATATCCTCAACTAGAATGGTAGGTGGATATAGACACATAAAGGACACCTAGTATCAGGTACAACATCCCGGGGTTCAAAGTAGGTGGCGAAAACTACCAAGTACGAACTACCCATAGGTCGTCACAATACTCTCAAGAGTCTCATCCTTGGAAGAGTCAAAGGCCCAGGTGCTAATCAATGGCTTCCAATTATTTTCCCCCTAGTAAACTGTCATATATCATATCAATCTCCCCTCATTACAGCGGCAGCTTGTGTACTAGTATTTATGTTCGAGACGCGCAGATAGTAGTTAGGAAAGTTCATTGGTTAACAGATCCAAGGTTTCCACTTATGTGCATCATTGCCCACCACGGAATACAGAGGGGTTGCCAATCCCCCACTTACCCGCGGATATCTCATGAACCAACTTCGTTTCTCAATGACACACCATGCCCTTCGCGTATTCAACCTAATCTGACATAGCCATTGCCACAAGATGACGTTGCCACCCGCCAGCATTGAGAGACTCACAAGTCGAATCAACAAAGCTTGCGAGCACCCCAATAAAGACCTCCCGGGTGTTACGGTTGCGGTCATTGGTAAAGATGGCAACCTGCTATTTTCACACGCAGCTGGACTGCGCGGCTATGGCAGCTCGGAGCCTTTGAGCACCGACTCCGTGTTTTGGATCGCATCCTGCACAAAAATGATTGTTGGAATTGCTTGCATGCAGCTTGTTGAGCAGGGTCTAATTTCCCTAGATGATTCTGAGGCTGTTGAGCGCTATTGTCCAGAGTTGAAGGAGGTAGGTGTTATTCAGGCCGATGGGAAGTTGGTGCCGAAAAAGCGAGGCCTTACTCTGAGAATGCTCTTAACTCATACCGGTATGTCCGTATGTCAACCGTTGTCAAAGAGGACTATATTAATCGCGGATCATCTGTACAGCTGGGTTCGGATATTCATTCATCAGTCATAAAATTCGGGATTATAGCCGACCGATCGGCTTTGATGAATTCTCTGGAAATTTCGTGGACTTTAAACAGCCATTAGTCCACCAACCCGGCGAAGCTTGGCAGTACGGAGTAAGTATTGACCACTTTCGATATCAAATGCATGTTCTGAGTATTTTTGCAACAGATCAACATCGACTGGGCCGGGAAGGTGCTCGAGAGGGTGACTGGTAAAACACTGAACGAATACATTGATGAAAATGTGTTCAAGCCGCTTGGGCTTGATCAAATCTCGATGACTCCTTCAGACCAAATGAAGGCAAAATTAGCCTACATGCATCAGAGGGATGCTAATGGGAACATTTTTGCTCGGGATCATTTGCTCCGATACCCACTAACGGCTGAGGCTGCGAGCAAGAACTCACTTTTCGCTAGTGGTGGAGCTGGATGCTATTCAACAGCGCCTGAATACTGTCGTAAGTTTCTCTGATCTTATAATGGAATCTTGAAAAGTTTGCTGATGAGCCTATCAAATCTCAGGGATCTTGGCCGTCCTCCTGAACGATGGCACCTGCCTTAGGACCGGAAAACAATTACTGAAGAAGGAAACTGTGCTTGAGATGTTTATTGATCAACTTGCCCACCTTCCGCCACTTGCTCAACACGAGATGACTTCTTCAAAGAGTGATCTCATCACTCCTTCAATGGGCTTGCACCCAACTGTTCCAGGAGATCGCCAGGGTTGGGGACTTACTTTTCTGCTAAGCGGCGGTACTACTGGTCGTTCTATCGGAACGGCACAATGGTCAGGTCTGCCGAATCTACGTTGGTGGTGTGATCGAGAAAAGGGTGTGGCAGGGATCATATGTACTCAGATCCTGCCGTTTGGTGATGATCAGCTGTTCCAATTATCACAGGATGTGGAGAGAGAAGTTTACAATGGGCTATCCTAGAACAATACAATTATTTTTAGTTACAATACTTTTCGGAAGCATAGTAGAGTATTGACAACTTGAAAGTTCGAGTATTGCAATTAGCACATGTGCATGGGCGCAAGATCTTCGGAGCCCTGCACATGGAGGCGCCAGACTATATTTTGACAAATTTTGCCTGGTGTGGCCGACTCGGAGAAGCGCTCACCTGGGCATTTCCCTATCACTTGGGACGAACTCTAGCAGTGTGAATTTTGTATTGTGCCGATGAAGGTCAATTTCATGATTTTTAGGCCTGGATCTCCTACTTTGAAGCCAGCCCTGGAAGCTTCGCCGTCTTTTCTACAAAGAAGCTTGCAAATACATCAAGCAATTGAGCTTTCACATGGGGGGGAGCACTTGAGTAATGAATATGCCTGGCTGTGTTGGGAAATTTATGAACTTACTACATCCGTAATGGCCAAGAACAGAATACCGTCTGGATGATATGCATTCGTTCTAAAAAAAATCACTAGCATACGTTCAAGAATCAATGTAGAGTATCATTCGCAGCTCTCATAAAATCGTCATAATTGAAGCTATGATTCCCGGAATCCTGGAACATCCCAGATTCAATCAAGCAAGGAAAGATGCAAGCTTGGCCTTGTCCAAAATTTCTCCCTCGATCAACTTTCCAGTTGCCGAGATCTCATTGTCAATGCGTTCAAAGCGCACCAATGCTGGAACATTCTGGATGTTCCAGTTTGTGCGATAGATGTTCTTAGCATCTCTCCATCTGATAAGAAAGAAAATGTCAGTCTCGAGGTCACGAAGAGAGAAGGGAACTGTCTTGTTCAGCCTTCACCTGAACAAATAATCGGGGACTCACTCGTGCTTCTGTCCAACGGGAACAATAGCTACTGTGGGCGCAGTTTCGGCAGAGAAGGCGGCATCGATATGTGGCAAGGCAGCACGGACATCGGGACACCATGGCTGCTTGGTAACAGGATCATCTGAAGAGACGAAGGCGATGAAAAACTTCGCGTTGGAGATCTCAGGTAAATCCAGAAGCTGAGCGTTGGCTGGTGGGGTGAAGTCCCTGATGATAGGCATTTTGCAACAGTGCGATCGTGTCTGAGGTTGAGTGTTGAGTATAGTTGATGTGGGAAAGTTCCAGCTGGTGTTGTGTTCCAGATAGATTTAGGAAGCTTGGAAGTTCAAATTGATTTAAGCTGAGGTTTAATCTTTCAAATCCGCCTTGTAAAATGATAGAAATGATATCCCATCGCACCTTCCTCTTTTGCTAATTTGGGGGATTCGTGGCATTTTTCATTTTGAGCCCCACTTTTTATAGCCACTGACCAATCATACATGTCAGATATGATGATATTGGTTTTGATGTTTGCAACATTTGAAATATACTAGGTAGTTACTCTGTATTTCTCAACCTTCCTTAATACCTAGGTATATGATATTCACATATGCATGTTCCTGGCCCTTTCTCGATATATATGTGTATATATATATTATGTATGTCTGCTGCGCTTGTGGAAGTTGAGTCAAGACCGTCAATATGTATATAGCGCCAAGGCTACCAAAATCCCCGCTCTTCAACTTATGTATATCATCATGGATCTATGGTGCTATAAACATTGAATACTAGGTACTAGTACCTAGGTATTGAATGAACACTTGACTGCCACTGCCCAGGTGACAGCTGAGGCCTCAAGTGCTTGAAATGTACTACATTTAATAGTAATGAGGATCAATTCGAAGTTGAAAATATTGAGTTAAACCCGGGCCTCCAGCGCTAAAATTGGACATTTTGAAGGTTCATCCATACTAATACTAGTATTTAAAGTCACTGCCGCTGCCCGCGTCGCAACAACTTGAATAATGTTGCACTGGTTCAAGTTAGTACTACTACATTGCACAACCCTTGAGATGAAAAGATCAAATTCAATCAATACTATACTATCACTGGCAAGAACTCGACTTGAACAGAATTTGAAGTTGGAAGGCCATACTATGTAGTATCAATCAATATAACACGCGTGATCTCAAACATTTGAAAATTAAAACCTCAAACAGAACTTGAAGTGACTCCCGAGCTCCTGAGGCCGAAAAACAGAAAAATTGAAAACGAAGATCGTCACTGGCAAGTACAAAACCAGTCCACCAGCTAGCGACGACTTCGACTATAGAAGTGCCAACAAAATTGCCTGTTGAGAAGACGGCATCTGAGACAACGTGCCGCAGGACCGCCAACTGGTGGTGGTATATTCACTGGACCTGGTATACCCTGTTCACCTGGCGGGCCGCGTGCTCCCTCTTCACCTGGCGGTCCTTCAGCTCCATCTTCGCCCGGCGGGCCTCGTGCTCCCTCTTCACCTGGCGGGCCCTGTGCTCCATCATGGCCTGGCCATCCTCGCACTCCTTCTGGCCCTGGGTATCCTTGCGGCCCGCGCGGTCCATCTAGACCTAACGGACCTTGTGGCCCCGGTGGCCCTTCTATTCCTCTAAGTCCCGGTGGACCTAAATCTCCCATCTCGCCTCGACGTCCTCGGGGTCCGCGGGGTCCTGAAGGACCTGGTTCTCCTCGAGGGCCTCGTAAAGCTTGTCCTCCCTGAGCACCTTGACCTTCAAATGCCTCCGCTTCTGTATCTCCCTCGGGTGCGATGTCTGCAGCTGGTGGACCGGGTATTGGCACTGGTAATCCAACTGGTGCTGGACCTGGCGCTGGACCTGGGGGCCCTGCTTGACCGCCGGCAGGTGATGCAGGTCCCTGTTCCGCTTCTGGGTCTTCATCAGTCAAAGGAAGTGGTGGGTGAGGCTCTACAAGCCTATTATATGGAATTCCAAGATTCCCCATGCGTCTCATCATTGCCATACGAGTGAAGTTTACACCAGCTTCAAGCTGTGTATGCCAGCCCCCTTCTGCAGGAGGTGCGGTTTGTGGTTCCCATCCAATATGTGAGGATGTGGTTGGTCCTCTCCGTGGTCCAAATAACCCATATTCAGCAGTGTACCTTATGGGTGGATGAAGAGAAGGACCCTGCAAAGTCTGGGGGTCGAAAATTGGATTCGCTTCCAACCACATTTTCCCTGTATTACTTGCTTCACTATACACATTGAGCATATGGCGGGGCCATGGCCCACTCAGCCGGGGAAGATATCCTGTATTGTGCCAGATATTACCTTCAATGATTGCACAGGGAACTGGAAGCCACCCAGCATCTAACATTAACGAATCCTCAAACCCCAGTTCAGGAGCGTTTTCCTCATAGAGGGCGGTGTTATCACGCATATTCACAGTCAGCATGATACAAAGTCGAACTGTTAATTGACCGTCAGAATTTCTCAAAACCACGTAGCCCATCACCTGAGGCCAGGGCCAGGTGACATAGCCAAGCCCGTCAACGGACATCATTGAGGCAAGGTCGTCCTGATAGAGGGTCATGATTTGGGACCCTGTATCCCAGAGAAAATCAAAACGGAATCGTGATGGGTGAGCAGCAAATGGAGGGGGGTCCGCATAGTCATCACGCCAGTGAGGTGGTTCCGCTGGGTCTTGTTCTTCCGGTTCATCTGGAGCTTCACCTGGATCATCTTCCATACGCACATCTGGTTCCGGAGGGGGGTCAATTAATGGGCCTGCACTGTCGTCTGGGTTCCAGCTCGCAGACAATACTCGGGGTCGAGGGCGATGTGGCATTGACTGCTCCATCTCCACTGTAGGACCGACGACCTCCCGCTCGTATTCAGTCACACCCCGCCGCATTATTTCAGACAAGCCAAGATCAAGGTACTCTGCAGGTGGACTCTCATCGGCCATCCTTGCTAAAAGCTCAGCGCCATCTGTGCGGTCTGTGTCGTCCTCATCAGCTGCTGAATCCATGGCGGGGAAAAAGCCAGAAGTATAGCCTTCTTCTGCACGAGAGGTTGTTTGAGGCATAGGTGCCAGCGACGGACTGGCTTCCGACGTACTCCAAGGGGCTTCCGACGTACTCCGAAGGCGATTACGCCCTCTTCTTGGAATACTATCGGATCGTGCATCTCTCTGCCTTCTCCGTCTTCTTTCATGTGGACTGCTATCTTGGGATGGGGGGGGTTGACCGGGTGTCCATCCGTGTTTCCGCTATGTCTCTTGGAGTCCAGAACAGCCGAACAATATATTCAACCTAGAAACACGGAAGCATGTAAGTTTCAAGTTTTGCATCATCAAGGAATAGGTGGAAAGAGTTCGAGAGTGCAAAATACCTACATGGTTTCTGAAAGCCCAAATCGGTCCAACATCCGAATAGGAGATGTGTCTCAACTGCTGATCAATAGGTCCAACTTCATGATACTAGAAAAAAAAGAAATCAATTAGAAAAAATGTGCATTTGTGATAACATTTGAACCAAAGCATTCATCAACAGTCATTTGACTTACCCCTTCTACCCAGAAACCCTTGTAACCCTTTAAGGCATAATTCAAGGCTTCAAAGTCTTCAAAGTCAAAGATTTCTGGCTCTTTATTTATTCTTGTTCCATGTGTCCAATAAGTCACCTTTCCGGGTGTCCATTCAAGCGTGTGTTCGCGGTACGCTTTAATGATAGCACGAACATTGCTTAGACTCTGGTATGGATCTTTCTGTTTTACGAGCTCTATTTCGATCAACTTAAGCTCAAACAGTCGAAGTTTGACATGTGTACTGAGAGTAGGATCTGGCTCTTGGTTAAGAATTTGTCTAGAAAAAGATAATCAGTACCAAGCTTAATGAATGAATAACACAAGTGATTGGGTTCTTACTCGTGATCCAACTTGGCCTTTAACAGACCCTTCAATTGTCGCCTGTAAACATCTGGGTATATTCCATCTTTGATCTTTTTTTCGCAAATTTCGATATTGGCATCAAGATCAAATTTGCTAAAGCCCTGCTCTGGCTCAATCAGTTGCCAATCGGACTCTTTCTTGAGCGCCTTTTCAACTTGATCCTGTCTTTTCTTGGTCTCGCTGTCGCTTGGCTTTGGCGACTTGCTACTATCCTTGGAGACCTTGGCATCATCCTCCTTTGGAGACTTTTTGCTCTTCTTCTTTTTATCCTTTTTATTCTTCTTCGAGTGTTTCTTATGCTTCCTCTTATCTTTCTTGTTCTTCTTCTTATGTTTTTTCTTTCTCTTTGAGTCTTCTTTATCCTTTGCGTTCTCTTCAATGGAAGTATTGTCAGTATCCATCTTATTTCTCTCGTCATCTTCACTAGAACTATCATAAATATCCATCTTATCCTCCATAGCTTTGTCTCCATCATGATCTTTTTTTGTTGTCGTTTTTGACTCCTTTTTCGACTTCTTTTTCGTATCCTTTTTAATCAGATAATCATTGACCTTGACCTTGTTTTTTTCCACCTCATCTTGCTCTACTTTAAGATCTCTCGTTCGGACAGACTCGCGAAGATTGGTTCTTTTGTCTCGGTCGGCCTTAGACATGGTTGCTGGAGCCTATTATGGCAGGGTTAATTGATCATGCGAAGAAAAGTGTGGTGTAGCTCCCAAGACTGGGATAAATTCAGTCCTTATATCCATCAATTGGGAGATAGTTTCGAGTCTAATGTCTCTTTGAGCTGTAAAGAAAGGGGATCAATGATTTGGAGAAGCCTATTTTTGATGCGACCCGGTAAGCATTCATCTCCTAAAAATAGGACTCCTTAGATAATTATGTTTTGAAGTTGAAAAATGGTCACTTCAGACCCTTTCTCTTCTCTTTGTAATCCTCTTCGCTGTCCATATATGCCTAGGTGTATGGTGCCCCGAGTACCAAGCAAGTATTCGAAAATCGTGGAAATTTGCCTATCCCACTGATATGATCCAACTAGGTTGAGCTCTTAGCCAGCGGCACATTCTGCGCCATATGGATTATTCATAACTCTCATCGAATACTTGGGCTCAACGATTTCAAGATAAGACTTTTGATGCTTTGGCAGAATCAAAGTCAATGAAAGCAGGTCTGTTTTTTTCTGAAATTCTTTCGCATTTGCATCATCAAAGGGAACGTTCCTCTTAGTCCAGCTCGGGCTATCTGCACCGCATCTGGGATGACTCAAAGAAGCAGAAAACAAGCAGACTAAAATATCTGGGGCGTCAAAGCCGACTCTTGGCAAATTTTCTTTTACCATATCGAGTTTTTTTGGGTCAAATGAGTTATACTGAAAATCACAACATTTGATTAAATGTGAACGGCTCAAGCGAAGTCAATCTTCACAATGAGTTGAATATTTCGATCGACTCAAAGGGGTGAGTTGAGTGGCTATCAGCAGTTCTTTCCAGTGTCCAAACGAGTCCTCGCTAGATGATCAATTTCCTTGTTTTTCTTCCGCAGCCTTTCACAAAGTTTCACGAAGCTGGCGACTAGCGTAAATTCAATGCTCTCAACATTGAAAACAGAAAATTGCCACATTTTAGAGAGATTTTTGTTGCTGGAGTAACGAAATGACTGAAATAGACAGTAGCCCACCGCCTTTGGTTTCCAGGCAGCAGCAGCCAACATCTGCATCTGCACAAGTTAAACTAGAAAGGGTAAAGAAGATGAAAGACAAATAGAATTTCAGGAAACCTCCAGTCTGAAAGCAAGGACTTGAGTCTTTTTTTTCTGGTTTACAAGTTCCTTGATGTGAATCTTATAGCTGCAACAGGCTATCCAACTCCGGGGCTCCCCTCCATTTCGGCTGGACCAACGTTCTATCTAAACAAACTTAGTCCACTCAATCATTTACCTGTACGTTAACTCATATACATGGCAAACCTATCAAGTCAGTCTGAAAGGCTGGAAGTCTAGGTGGGCACATCTTCCTGGTCCACAATCGACAAGCTCGAGAAACGCAACCATTTCTCGTTACTGACACTGTAAGGCATCGCGCCAATGGAAGTGCCATATGTCTTCAATGAAAGAGCCATTAAACCCTTCTGCTTTCCATCGGGCCCGTAGACCATCAAGCTACAGCTGTCACCATTTCGCATCGGGCCCTCTCGTTGTTTATCTCGGAACTCGAACAGAGTCGCCCGACTCTTGGGGCCAGCAGCGAGCAGAGTAACCTCTTCGCCCTTGACATTGATAGTGAAAGCCCGAAGCCAAAGGTCCCTCTTACGGTTGTAGAGGTGGTATCGTTTTCTGAATTCGATCTGCTCGGGTCCATTACATTAGAGGAGAAACTTTGGGTCAATGGGAGAAAAACTTACTGCGGGGGCTTGGTTAAGCAGCGTCTCAACTTCAACATCAAAGACATTGAACAAGCTGCTTTCTTCCAAGGCAACTCCAGGGTATCCGTTGTTGAGGATATTCAGGATATCGTCCGGCAGTACTGGAGTTTTAAATTCGCCTCGTATAATTTGACTGACTTTGCTCAGAACATTGGTAGTACCAGTTGGAGTTTCCTCCGGCTCTTCCAATGCATCTTCCACCTCTCTCTCTTTTGGAGGAAAGACTGTTAGTCTCCTATCCACTGACATGCACGGGGGACAGGGACAGCTTACTAATTTTCCAAGCATGGTGCAGTGACAGATACTCAGGCTTCTCGCGGTCCTGTCTCTGGTAGTCTTGAAGGCTGATACGGAAGCTAATAACCTCCTTCTTCCTTGTGACCTCCGCTATGCGCGCGAATCTATCTGGTATATCCTCATAGCCGGGAATCTGGCCAATGAATTCACCAAGCGGGGTAACATCCTCTTGCTGCGATCTGGTATTAGAACGAGTATACATTTGGTGACGACAAAAAACGAGATATTACCTTGATAACTCTCCAGTTCTGAGGCGGAGCAACGGTTGGGCACCAGGCAGGAGGGCTTGACAAGAATTTTAGCTTAAGTAGATCAGGGGGAAGGCCCAAAAAAGCAACTTACTTGTTACAAAGTAGCGTGTCTCCACCTTGAGCCTGCCATGAAATAGAGTTTTGCATGCTTCGGTTGGAATTGGAGCTCTGAGTTTTGGTTTGGTCTTCTTGACTGTAACTGGCGCTTCCAGAAACGTATTTAGAAGAAAAGGATGCGGCAGCGGCAATCTTCATGGCTGTAGCAGCCTCCTCTTCGGTACTTGAACCAAGGGCGGAGAACTTCTCAGATGAGAAGAGTCTGCCTCCTAGCTCAATCCGAGTGGCAAAAAAGTGGCCTGGCTCTGATTAGCTTTGGGCGCAGAGGGTATCAATTCATTCAGGTCTTACCGTATTTGTGATGGAAAGCGATCAGAGATGCCGCGTCTTTCACCCCCGTCAGGTCATCCGCGCATTCTTTCGACAGGTCAACGCCAAACTGATCCAAGTACAGAACAACACGAGGGAACTAGCCAAATTTTTTCATGAGTTGTTTGATACTGAATGAAAGATGCGGAAAACTTACGTTGTAAGTGATGTTCATGGTGCTGGTGTCAGAAGTGCTTTGAGTACTCAGAGCATTGCTCTCGCTCTGAGAGAAGCCAGCACTGACAGCAGCACTGAAGCCGAATGCTCCGCCTTCCCTATTAAGCAATTAGAGGTTGTCCACCAATACCAAGGCCCGAGAATGACTTACAAGGAGGCTTCAGCCTCAATTGAAGAAAATGAGCTGCGAGCCATGGCGGATGATACAGAAGATTTGGTTTCGAAGGCATCCACATAGGAATTGTCTCCGACAGTGAACCGGGGGATATGGAACGATTGCTGAGGTGATTTTAGCACTGGTCGTAAAAATCATTTCAGGATTGCGGGGACATACCTCCACCTTGACATCTGCGTTGGGGATTTCGTGCAAAGCAAACTTTCTGGGTCTCAAAACAAAGGCTAACAAGCCGTTAGGAGGCTACTTTTGTCACCATATAAGATGTAAGTAACTTACCACAATAGGGAGCACGCTCAATTCTGCGAAACTTCACCTTCTTCGTTCCATCGGTCATTTGCCCCAAGTTTGAAAAGACGAGCCGATGGGCACTCAAAAGGTTGTTGTTGCGGATGACAGCGTTCCATTCCTTCTCGGACATCTCGGATGGGTTCCTGATGTCGTTAGCTTGTCAGCGGTGGGTTACCTCACATATCAACATCTGAATCTCTTACACAGTTGTTTCATTACCCTCAGCAACCCAGTCTGCACGATCGAAGGAGCTCGCTAGCTGTTCGAGCGATGCTTTGAGGAGTTCGGGCTTGTCCTGCATGGTTTGTCAATCCCTGTCATTTTATAACGCGAAGATCTCATAATAATACACTCAACTTCAGGTTCAGCTCTTTTTTGATGAGCTCCTTTGCCTCTGTCTTCCGATCAGTGCTTTTTTTGTCTTTCACCGTTATATAAACGTTGTGAACCGTGACTTTGGAGGATTTTTCTTTCTTCTCTTTTTTCTCTGTTTTCTCTTTTTTGTCCATTTTTCCCTTGTCCTCTTCCATATTCTCCTTTTCTTCCTCAGGTTCCCCCTCCGCATCCTCGGAGAGAATCTCCAAGTAGTCTACAAATAGAGTAGAATCATTGACCTTGGCACCAGTTGCGCTGCAGAATGAAGACCCCGCTCTAGAAAATCATTAGCTCCTGATCATGACTTCTCAGCTAAGAAATCCACACACCTGCTGGCGTCGAGACCACCATTGTCAATGAGGGCCGTTCGTACATCCGAGAGAGTTTTTTTGGAGATGTCGAAGTCTTTCAAGGGGACGCAATTGGTCTTCTTGGTCTTCTCCTCATTGGCATCAAAGAGGTTGACATCTAGCCGGACCGACATGATAGGGTTTTTGAAAGGTGAAAGTCTGAGAGTGAGCAGAACAAGAGGAAGGTGTCGATTCTTTTCAGTCGCGTTGGCGGAAAATTGCTGTTTATGTATAGTCGCCTCTCATCCTAACTCTGCAAGTTTAAGCCCCCTCATCTCGGCTCTGTTGAGCTCGTCACGGCTCCACTTTGTCGGTACTACTTGTCCCATACGAACTACTCCGTGCAAATTGACATCTGGCTGCACTGCAGAGCCGAGAGATCGCAGATCGTACCGATGCAGGGTGACTGTGGGGCGATTCTCGGACCATGTCCCAGACTCCCAAGTGATTGGTGAGAGCTGTGCATTGGCAACGATGATCATCGTCTTTCTCGGCGATGGATCCAGCGCCATCTCACACCGCAAAACCGGGTATATACTCCGTACTCGGTTGACCTGCATCATCTTGGTCTCGATCTCGCAAGAAACATCAATCATTGTTTCTTTTATTCTTATTGGATTATATATCGACCTCCCCTTTTCAATATGGATTTCATATGATGATCTTGGGCCCCGGAGTAAATGAGAAAAAGGTATAAAAACAACACAGCAACCAACTGGAGCACATGAGGCAGTGCTCAGGTGGGACTGATAGATCTACAAGGCAATTTCCGGATAGGGGAGAGGCTTGCAGATTCTGCTACGTGGCCAGCTACCCAGGTGGTATGAAGTAAAGCAAAATTAAATCTTTACCTCGGATATTCAAGAAAATAACTTCTCCCCCGGCCAAAAGAGATTCAAAAATGACAAAAAACATACAACAGCATGTCCAAGGTGGTGGTCACCGAGCGCCCACGAATCCAGCGTGGGCGGCTCGCCGTCCGATTCACCTTCTTCAGGGCCCCGGGGTAACTTTGGAATCCGGGTAGATATTCACCTACCTAGATATCATTCACCTTGACTGGCAGCCCATATATCGAAATGCACATTTTCGCAATTCAAATTTTCGACTGCGCGAGTGACCCCGATTCTACTTCCTCTTTTTGTCCACTATATCCTCTCAATATTTGAAAGTGCCATTACCAATACAGCAAGATATGTACCTACATTCTGGTTCAAAAGTCTGTGGACACTTCTCCTGCCCCCACCAATTTTCCGACTTGGCAACTTCAAAAATTTGCAACTCGGTCAATATGGACGCATTTGGCACGGTAATTAGTGCAAATCGTTCGAAAAATGCAGAATTATCAGATGTTGAGCGCAGTTTGATTATTACAGCTTATAAATTAGGTGATAAACCTACTCAAATTGCCCGCTATTTTCAAGTTGCGCGTTCAACTATTTACAGCACAATCAAGCGATTTAATACACGCAAAGATATGCAATCAAAGCCCCGTTCAGGTCGCCCGCGCAAAATTGGTACTAATCCACGTATGGGCTGGGGTGCTCTAGTTGCGGAGGTTACAACTGGAGAGATTAGTATCTCAAAATCCACTATTTATCGCGTGTTACGACGATATAAATTACGCAAGTGGAAATCTCGACGCCGAATTCCATTGACTAAGGATGATGCTCTACACCGACGTCAATTCTGTCGAAAATGGCGGAATTTTAAGGAGACAGAGCGGTTAATCTTCTCAGATGAATACTCCGTGCATCAACAATCAAATTCGAGTAATGAATGGGTTTTTCGACTATCATCTGAAGCGTATCACCAAGATTTAGTCAATTTAATAAATTCAGGGCATGATATCGCACAAATGGTCTAGGCAGCTATTTGGATTGGTGGTAGATCTGATTTGATTATTATGGAATGTGATCCAGAGTCCCCAAGAGGTGGTTTTTCAAAATTCCTATCAAGACGCCCTATAAGAAGGCCTGTTAGACCATTATAACGCAGATATGATATTTTAGCAAGATAACGCACCGATTCATATAGCTAAGAGCTCTCAGGAGTTCATAATGCAACATAGAATTCATACAATGGATTGGCCTCCGCATTCCCCTGACCTCAGCCCAATTGAACCATGTTGGCGCTTACTTAAACTCGAGCTTCTAAAATTGAAGCCTAATTTTCGACAAAGCGGTCGCAGTTTAGCTGCATGGGACAAATTCCATACAATTTTACGACAAGCGTGGTGGATAATACCACAGCATACAATAGACAGCCTTATTCGATCGTTTCCGCGCAGAGTTGAAGCTGTACGCCGAGTGCGGGGATATTACACCAAATATTAGTGTAATTAATCATTATGAATTAATTTATTCAATTTGTCAAAAAATTCCATGGAATTTGGAGCAAAATTCGATTTATTATGGATTTTTCAAATTGGTGGAATGCGGGCTGGAATATGGAGTGTCCACAGACTTTTGAACTACTAGTGTAGGTACTAAGCATGACCCAACACTTATGTGCCTGGATCATATTGTGGGCTTTAAACCTTGGAAGAGTATGATAATAATGAAATCCAACGAAAGGTTCTGCTGAAACTGACTAAAGGTACAGGACAAAGCAGTCCTTTTTGCCCTGTAAGGAAGGCTGCTTCTTATGTGCTGCGGAAAACGATTAAATGATTGAAAAGGTTACTTAAGTTTCTCGTTACATCCAAAGGCTATCGGCCCTCCAGATATCCAGACATACTGCGCCTGTATAGAGTGAATGGGGCGAGGACAATATGGCTGCCAGTGGATTGAAGCAAGGCCCGAGATCGAAATAATGCTTGGGTGTTTCAGATAATTTGCTACTGGTCTGAAGAGGAAAAGGAGCATCAAACTCCTATTTCCTACTAGAATATATAACATATCCTCCCTAGACATATCAAATTCACTATATACATGTACTGTACCCGTGGACCTTCTTCTATCTCTTCATAAGTATTGTTGTATTGAAAAAAATCCTAATACCAGGTATTCAACTGGTGTATTAAGGGATAGTAATCAGGGCTTAGGCGCGAAAGTCCTTTTGTGAGGGATGGTATCAGATTAGGGTGGGTCCTTATGAGTAGGGTATCGGCAGGATATCGGAGAAGAGTGACTTGACAATCACACAAATACTATCTCTTAAAATCGAGACTAATTCTTGAAGAACTTGGAACTTGGCCCACAGAGGTCCTCCTAAATAGTACGGACCCCGCTCTTGTGGCCTCAGGCGTTCAAACAAGAATTACATAACACGAAGACGAATAACTCGTTAGTTAACTAGTTACCTTGACACCTTTTGATTGAAAGTATCTATCCACCCGTTGCATATCGCACTCATTGATTTTCAGGGGGTTGGATTGATTAATTTTAAAGTTATGCAAGAAAATCTTGGCTCTTCCTCTATAGAAGTCCTGTAACTGAAACATTAATATATTCAATAGAAATAAATCTCAAAGGTAATAATAGAGATTTTGAAGTGGGAATTGTGAAGGGCTCTATAAAGACTGAAGCAGAACGATATAGGCCGGCATGCAGTTTACATTCATACTTAAGGAAGAGGAAGCTATGTACACGATTGGGGAGTTATAAGTCCTCTTGTGGGTCACGTGTGGGGCCGTACGGGGCTTTGGGCTTGTCGGGCACTGATTAGCCCTCATCGGGTTCAACCCGTTACAGGAATAGCACCTAATATAAGCCTTTTGAAAATGTAAGTAGCCTAATATTCTAGCAATAGGAATATTCTTAAGGGTAAATTTCAGTATTTATTATTATTTAGAAGATTGGAAATTTTTAACAAATAAAAATTAAAATGCAAAAAATGTTAAAGAATGCTAATATTTAGATCTCCCAAAAGTTACACGCCGACTGTGTTAGGGGAGCGGACATAAGACCTACGCATGCTGCTAATGCGAAAAAGCGCTTCGTGAAGAAGTTACGTAGGGGCTCTCTACGAAAATATTTAAACCCCAAAATTATTTCGAATTTCTAAGACATCATTATTTCAAAATTCTACTATAGGCTTGCTTTGAAAACGGCCCAATACTCTGGAGTCTCTACAATCTTATTCATAGTATGCAAGAATATGGCAAATAGATATTAAGGACGTCCTAATCGACGGGCATATCAACAACCCCGCCAACACCAGCACTGGTCATTAAGACAGTGAGTGAGTAAGTCTGCTAACCAGAGAGCTGTAAATGATTGGGAAGGGGACGAGGGAAAAGCGGGTAATCAGGCTTCGTGGTTGGTACGATCCTGAAACTGGCCCTCCAACAAACATGGCTTATCATTGGTGCATGACTTAGACACGGCTCGGGGCGCCCGGGACCTTGGCCAAATATGTCGGTAACATTAGCCTTAAATTCTGCGAATGACGTGTACTTCTAACGAAAGTCGACTTTTACTTCCCCCCGGGCGCGTCCTTTTCACATTCATTAGCTTCTTGTTTTTTTACTAATCTTTGCTTGCTATGTGACGCATTTATGAGGCCGCATTAACCGTACAACTTTTCTTCATAATCGCTTATCGGGTTTCGGATCCGGATTTCATACTGCTAGATACACCTACGCCAATTGGTATTATATGATTGGAAATGGAACGCAAGAAATCCGCATGTAAGACCAACTCCAAATAGATTTCCTGTGCTCTATGGTCTGATCAAACCCGTTTCATAGCTACACCGGACAATTACATCCGCGCCATCATCTCTCTGTCTAGGAGAAATTCGAGTACGTCTTCTTTCCCCGGAAACAATTATGTCGACATCGCAGAATGGCTGCTACAAGACCGCCATATTCTCAATTCGAAAATCGTGGAAGAAGATTACAACCTCTTTTCTTCCAAGTCTGAACATCCTCATGACTTAGTCGTGGTATATGACTGCCGAGAGAGGAAGTGGGGCGTGAAACATTACTATCAAGACCAACATGAAGTTTTTTCAGCTGCAGCCTCCATTCTCTCTGAGAACTCAGGGCAACTGGTCTTCATCCATGGCTTCATATCACCGTCTTGGGTGTCGGTCCTTGGAAGTAAATATAATATCAATCCCGAATTCTTCAGGCGACACATGGATTTCTTATCTATCAATGACGGTAGACACTGTTATAGTTTCCCATCGCTTACTAGCTCCTCCAACAACATGTTTCGGCTCTGTGTGAGCACTCTTCTTCATTAGGATGATATTGGGGGCAAGCACCTGCAATCTGAGCGCTCAGCACAACTCACTGAGCTCTCAAAATACAAGATGTACCAACTTGCATCTAACAAAGTCTGCTGTTGGGGACTCATTGGTACGCGAATACAGTACAGTGTGCGCGTCCTTATCAGTGATTGAACAGTGGATATCAATTTATATCGCAAGAACAAATGGGCGTTGGACTGGTAGGATGTTGATATGTTTCCCTTTATGATAATATTTGCTGACTTCTATATTCAGTCATTGCCTGGATGGACCACGGAAGATCCTTGGAAGAATCGCCCCCAGGACCGTGGACTAGTCACATCGAGGCCAAGGCAAGACCACTACCGGTCATCCAACATCATCCTAAAATGGCGTTTAGAACGACCACCAATCGCCTAAAGACAGAGGCGAATACCACGGCAGAGTCTCTACAAAGCACAACCTTGCTTCCTCTGCAGTACGATTCTTTAATGGCGCTTGTTGATCTGGCTCCTCGCGCGCCCCAGGATCCACTGACCATGTGTATCCCGTTATTTGCCCACGCAGCATTCTCTGAAGTGCAATTTCTGAATCTTATGGAATCCAGAATCCATATTCAACTAGACCTGATCGTTGCAGATCATCTAGCTGATGCATTAGGAAAATTGCAAGACTTTACCAACATCCTGAATCGACATACCCAGCACCTGAAAGATAGTGCCCATGCACTTCGCAAATTAGTTGAACAAAGCAGGCAGGGGTCAAGTTTTGCCGACTCTGATACTCTAAGCACGAAACTTGACGTTCCCTCATGTCATAGTCCATGGCTACCCCCAGATATGGATAGACTTGGGGAATTTTCTCTGCCTATATTTGACGGTACCTTTACCCCGATGGGAATTATGGAAGATTATGATAAACTTTGCATACGTTGTACTGAATTATCCGGAATGTGCACGCAAGGCATAAGTCTAGCCATGAATAAAGCCACAATTGAGGAGTCACGAAAAGCCATCGAGCAGTCTGGCCGGCTCAAAAGGTTAACTCTACTTGCTACCCTCTTCATTCCTGTTAGTTTCAGCTCTAGCTTAATGGGTATGAATATTGATCTTCTTGGGCAAAATACAGTGAAGTTTTGGTGGTTTTTTGTCTTATGTGTTCCAATAACTCTTATGGCTTATGGCTTCTATCTTTGGGACTTTCAGTTCCTTAAGTGTTGCTGGGAGAGTTTCTGGAAAGGATATGAAGGTACCACGCGAAATTTGAAATTTGGGAGATACAAGAAAAATTCTGAATGTATTGCATGATTGAATCCTGTTTTTCTGAACATCTAGTTGTACCAATTTCAATAGCAAATAAGGTAACTTCCAAGAAGGACATTCAAATTGAAGGGTCTTCCGAGACAGAATACTATAGCACTTAACTGATTTATCCGCCTAGCAAAAGGGAATAAGGATGTGTTAATTTTGGATATAACCGCCTAGCCTTTCGTACCTAGTTTGAATTTTATTACTCTCTAGTAACTTAAGGCCTCTTATAGGGTCTAAAATCACACTACTGTGGGGCACACTCTATAATAAACAGCATTCATCGGTGTCTAGGAGGATAAAGTTTGCACATTTTTGTTATATTCACAAATACAGGAAGAGAGGAGGAGAGACTAAAAATCATGTTTATGTGATAAATAACTCTTTAAATATTTACTCCAGGAGTAAGCCGTTGACAGCTATGCGACATTTCCAGCAAGGAGCAAGGCCCCAATTTAGCTCAGTTACAAATAATCATCACGTGAGTCAATCTGAATGGGACCATTCCATACCAAGAAGAGGGGTTTTATGGGGCCAGTATGGGCGAAGTTAACGTTCACAAATAAGCTGTGATTATCTTCGACTTCACCTTATGTTACTCCTGGTGACTTACTAAAGTCTTTGGTTTTTTCCAGTCCCTCATGGCGCGCCCCGAAGTAGCGTAAGTTGTCGACACAATGGTCAGCTTTCTAATATTAAATCTAATAAGCTTTTCTGCCAGCCTTCCGGCAATCCGTGCCTGCATTTTTGATCTAGATGGGCTTCTCATCAATTCTGAAGACATGATTACTCTGGCCACAAACCAACTCCTTGAAAAGTACGGAAGGCCAGCTTTCACTCCGTCAATTCGAGCCCAGCTTATGGGTGTTCCGGACTCCACAAACAGCGACATATTCCATAACTGGGCGAAATTGCCCATTCCCCGTGAGCAATTTGCCCGTGAATTGAAGGACCTGATGGGAAGAAATTTCCAAAACTGTACACCACTACCTGGTGCGGAGGCTATTTTGTTGAACCTTAGTCGTGGAAGTAATCCTTCTGGGGACAGGATTCAGCTGGCGCTGGCATCCAGCACCAAAAGCCAAAGCTACAAGATGAAAATGTCAAGATCAGAAACAAAACAGCTATTAAGCTTCTTTCAACCTGATAGACGGATCCTAGGTGATGACTCACGGGTCCGACAGGGTCGAGGCAAGCCGGAGCCTGACATTTATTTAATCGCACTACAGTCACTGAATTCATACTCAGATGACGATCTCATTTTGCCAAGCGAATGCTTGGTATTCGAGGATAGCGTGGCTGGAGTAGTGGCTGGAAGACGGGCTGGGATGAGGGTTGTTTGGGTACCCCATCCAGATATGGTAGCCGAGTATCGGGCTAGTCAGAAGGATGTCTTAGCCGGAAAGACCGGAAAGTTTGAAAGAGGAGATGACTGGCAAGTAGGAGAGGTTGATGACGGCTGGGCTGAAGCCATATCAAGTCTGGAAGATTTCAGCTATGAGAAGTACGGTATCGATGTGCAACCTTGAATGACACTACGAACTACGAACCAGGCCTAGTCAACATTGGGCGTTGTCAACTTTAAGTTCTTACAGCTCCATGAGCCTACCTGAGGTATTTTAGGCTCGGCAATAAATCAGGTTTCAATTCTCCACATGCAAATTTATATACTCTGTTCCATAAACCGACTGTATTCCTGTCGATTCGACTTCCGAAGACACAAATACGTATAAACCACACTATCCCGAAATAGTAACTCTGAGCAGATATCATTCAGTTCTAAAATTTTTCAACTTGAAGCCAGTCAAATGCCTTCCAGGCTGGATTCAAAAGCATTGGCAAAGATGGAAAATGCAAATTGCACTTATCATCTCCTTTAGTTCGGAAATATATTCACTTAGTCCTACGTAGTACTGCAAGCGGTGTTAGCAAGCATGGGCACTCCATACAACCCCAATGGATCATTTGTCAACCAAGTGAATTTTATGTTACAAGTTTTTGTCCACTTACGCAGAATCGTCAATATCATGTGAATGACCATATCTGTGACGAATGTAGCCGATCGAATGCCATAAGGACGACGCAGGGAACTGGCAAGTGCGATTTTTGCCCGAAAAGAGGTTTATTGGGAGGTCCTAGACAAAGGTATGGTGTAAAGGATTACCCCACCACGCAATAGTCTCTTCAACCCTCCCTCCTATAGACTCAATGCCTTCTTCAGATAGCACCGAATGCAAGCTTCAATCTTAATTTCGGTTGGCACATACCACCATCTCAATTTCCAGTCCTCCATATCCCCACTGGTCTAACCCAGAAAACATACGAGCGGATTAGAAATAAAAATTTTCCTCGAATCAAGATGACAATAAAATTGATTAAAACCTAGGCATTGAGGAAGATAATTGCGATGTCGGCACAGGAATAAAAAAAGTCCCATTACCGGGCCCAAAAAGCAACAATTTCGTCAAAGTCTTGCATCGTCAAGCAGTTCGCATCTCGATCCTCCTTAGTAATTTGCTTTCTCAAGCGACAGGCAACTTTAAAAGCAATAGAAGCTTTTTGAGTTTTGCCAGTGACTTCAAATAATTTTCCCTTAAGGAAAGTAGAGCGGGCGATTTCGTTGTTATGTGCACTCGGATCAACTGACCAGATATCCAGAGCCACATTTATCATTCCCCTAGTAGATGTCAGAGAAGACTTGATCCACTCCATAGGAGCACACACTTACATTGCATTGTCATGCTGGCCTAGTCATATAAGATGCTCGGCGACCTTGTGTGCTACATTTGCGGTATAGAAATCTTTCTCACCCACTGTTGTGAGCATATGGTGCCATGCTCGCTGGTGATATTCAAAACTATCATCCCATTGTTTTTGGGCCGCACGAAGGTTTCCAAGCGCATAAAGGATTAGTCCGGTTCGGACAGAATCCCTGTCATTCTTCCCGAAGGCCATTTCCCTACCAGCCAAACTATCAAGAAGAAGCTTGTTGCACTCCTCAAACTTGCCTTGTGCAAGAAGGGCTCAACTCAAGTTTGCCTCTCCAGACCGGGGTATATAATTGCCCAGCGCTTTGCGAATGCGCAACGCCTCTTTGAGATCCGCTTCACCTTCTTTATATCTTCTGTCCTGTATGCGAGAGATACCTCGCTCTGCGTAAGCGAGGTACAATCTCTCGTCCTCAGTGCCCAGGCTTTTGCATATTTTGGAAACTAGATCCATGGAATTCTCTTTGTAAATTCGGCTGGTTTCAAAATCACTCGCATCCATGGCGATAGAGCCTAAGCAAAAGTAGATGTCCGCAAGCAGTGAATCCCGGTCTCCATGTGTTGTAGACTCACAGATACTGCGAGCAGTATCGAAAAAACCATCGAAATGCTTTGTTCGCCCACGTTCTTTTTGGTACCTTATACTATGAGACCACATGATTCAAAAAAATGTCGGGAGATTGTTTACGTACCACGCAGCCTCAGTCAATAACTTTGCAAAAAGCAATTTAGTGGCTTCAGTGAGATTTGGAATAACTGGCCATATCTGGTGTATTTTCAAAACGTGAGGATAGATTGCCGCACAATCAGGCCACCTTCCAACAGATAGCCTGCCGCCGGTTGATTTTGGTGGAGGTAATTCTGGCTCTTTTGAGGGTTTGGGCATTGCCGAAGGCCAACCTGCCCAAAGAGTACGTATGGCATGATCAATAGTTACTTGTTTCTTGCCGTCATTCATCGTAGCGAAGACGATGTCTTGAATGATCCGGTGGACAGATACTTGCTGCTTTCGTTTATCTCTTTTTATCAGGGATGACTGCAAAAGATCAGTACGAGCGTCGATGTAATTACTCTTTTTGAATTCTGTTCCCTCGATCTGAAGGAATTCTGAAGCCACTTTCATCAACAAGTCTTCACCAATGACATCTGGGTCGACAAATGACATCACCTCCAATAGTTGTCGAGATTGGAACTTCAGCTTCTCAAATGCCCAAACGGTGGAGAGGCTAAAATCGTACGTGACTAAAGTAGTATCGAACTTCGTATTGTAGAGATTGCATGTTCTTGACGATCCATGTATAGCTCGAAAAATTCCGACAAGCTGAGGTCTTGTCGTCGGATGATACCAGCCATCTGTGAGATGGCTAGGGGAACACCGCCAAGAACATCAGAAATTTGCTTGGTGAGATCATCCGATTCGTTTGAGCTAGCTGAGAGGTTATTGAAAAGGGAATTGCTGTCCTGTCGTGTCAATGGACCGAGATCCAAGCCAGAAGGTCTTCTCGTAAACATGGTTTTCGCCAAGGGATCGCGACTTGTGATGAGGATTGACCCACTTCCTTGAGGCCAGTAATCAGCTAGAATCATAGGATCATCTGCATTGTCAAAGACTAGCAGCCATGTCGTTTCAGAGCTAGAGTCAACCGGTTGTGCAAAATCGTCCGAGCCCGACAAATATTTCCGGGGATTGGAGAGCCATCCTCTCACAATTTCCCTGGTAACAACCTGGCTTTTGGATTCCGCCAAATCTTCAAGTCCCAAGGCCAACGATATTTCCTGATAATGGTGATCAAGCTTTGCAATCTCATCTGCTATTACCCAGAAAACAGCATCGAAGGATCCTTTGTGACGTCGGGAGAACTCACGAGTTATTTCTGTCTTTCCAATTCCCCCAAAGCCGCAGAGTGCAAATTGTCTGAGACTGTCGCTAGAATTTGTCACTGTGGATTTCGAAGGCAGAAGCTCTACGGCAAGGCGTTCCAAGATATCCTCGCGGCCGCAAAATTCCTCATTGACTGAATGTGCGTTCAGAAGAATGCAGGGAAGATGAAGTGGCTTTCTTATTTCCGAATTTTTTGGGGTTGGATATAGAATATCAACGCACGAAACAGATGTTCCTTCTGTTGCATTGTTTGATACCCGTTCTATTTCAGTTTTGGATATCCTATTCGCAGGAGCCTGCTGACCAACTACCCTATGTTAGAGGTTGAGATCGAAAAAAATGTTCATACAGGGCTCACCATTCTGCGTTAATCCGCTCAACGAAGGTGAATAAGCGCTCATGGTCGCGTATTGGTACTCGTCTACGGTCATTAGCATATTTCGGTACCTCTTCGGTAGCTTCATAACCTACAATCCTCGCATCGCATTGCAACAAGATTTCCGGCGCTCTGCAATGTCTCATAGATAAACTTTTTGAGCTCTGGTAGGCCTTCTCCATCAACACTTTTTGTAAAGAGGCATGTTTCAAAATGGTCGAGGTTGAGACCAATTACTGATTCCATTGGCGCAAAGGTCGAAGAGGCTTCACGATTGACCAACTGGATGAAAAATTAGTTTTAGAAGCAGGACCAATAGCTCGCTACCTACTTGTTGATATCTCTGTCGGAATTTTATCGAACTGTTCCTTGATTCTCTCATTTCGTAGACGGACAGTATAGGAGTGCGGAAAGAGATCCCTTCGAATCTATCTGCAAGGCCCAGTAAAATAGTGCCCTCTTGCTCAATGTTCTCATTTGGTATCTTGAAAGCCCTTTTGGTCGTTGCTTCCAGAACTTCCCGAAATCGCATAAGATTTGTTGTTTTGTCACCATAACGATGTGGAGTGCTTAGGAAGACGACGCCCGCGATGGCGTTGACAGTGGATCCATACCGAGTGAACTGGTTGTTGGCAACGCACAGCGCTTGTTTGACTATAAGGCTACCTAAGCTGTGACAAACGATCAATATCGGCTTTTTGGCAATCTAGAGAGCGAATGTAAGTAAAATTGCTGGCCGCTAGAAGGAAATTTGTCATGCCAATGCCACTGACCTGATTTAGATCAGAGTCGGATCGCATGTCGGATAAACTTTGGAGAAGGTCGTAGCCTAGCATCAAAAGTGATTCCCACGACGGTTTGCTACCCGTGAATGGGGATACTCGTAGGCAAGCACGCATGCCGCAGCACCGGATCCAGGCAGAGTAGTAGGCCACTCTGGGTTAGCAAATGGCCACGTCGCTGGTGATTGAGTCCCAATGCCTGGAATAAGAATGATACTAGATCTATGGATAAGAGAGTGATTTTCACGTGGTACGGGATATTTTCTTACTCAACACCATCCTGGGCAGTATCCGCTTGATCTCGTACTAAACGAAGGCGGCCTTTGGTCACCGCAAAGTTCCTGATTGTAGCCATGACAATGGTACGCAAAGTTTACTACGCTTCTAGTAAATGAACTCTAATATCTGTCGTAGGAGAGGAATAAGATGGTTAGCAAGAGAAGTTTTCCTACAATTCTCTCGTCAGGTGCGGGGTCACAGGTGCATATCACATGATCTGCAAGTGTGCACCCATATCAACGAGAAGCCCAGATAGGTATTCTTCGCATTTGTACGGCTTTGGTATTGGAGATTTCCAAACTGCGCAAAGATAAATTGTGCAAAAACCCGGTAGAATGTATTGTTATAGGTGCAATCAGAGAAGAAGACGCAAGATAATCTGCCCTGACTCTATATGAGCTCTCCATGAGCTGCTTTGTAACTAAATAACAGAGTGGATTGTACATAGGGCAATCTTGACGGCGCATCAGCCGACGGGAAAAATGCAGACATTCACTGCCCACCAAATGGAGTAATTCCATTATTTTTTTTTAAGTTGGTTAGAATCCAGCGATGTACCGTGGTTGGGTGTCGAGCTAGGGGCGGGCCGGAGAATAGCATAACGCAATCAAACCACCAAAGCTAGCTAACTGACCATTATCCGAAATAGCGTAAGCGTCTAATTTCCCCGACCGACGATCTGTCGACTATTGGGAGGGCTCTCCAATGATATTTATTTCCATGGGAGCGAGCCATTGGTTTCTGCACCTCTTCTTTGGTCAGACTATTCACTGCGTCCTTGGAGATAACCAAGAACAGACTAGATGGTTGTAATAGCCACGTTGAATCTATTTTCCGTAATCAGCTCCGATTAATTCACGCCACCAAAAAAGATATGGGACTCGGACGCGGGTGGGAAAGGAGGGAAAGCTTAGCGAAAGGGCCACATCAGCGTTTCAGGGGTGTTTAGGGCGATCGGGTAAAGAATATAGGGCGTTCAGGGCATTCAGTTGAAGGAGCCTGAACTGGCTGAAGAGTAGGGCGGCAAGGGGAGCCTGCCTAACGATTCAAGAAATAAAAAAATAAAAACATACAACAGTCAGGATTCGCATGTGGTCACCCACCATACTACTAACTGACCGGCGTGTGGCTTAAGTACGGCTGAGCGGACGGGAAGCCCTGTTCTCCACACCCTGTGGTCGTATGTATTTGATTGAGCAGAAAAGTAAGTTATATCGTGTAGGTACATTTAAAGATTTGGCATAATTGTTGTTGTGGAGTCGCGCGGCCAGAGAAGGGGGAATGCACGAATTACAATAGACTGAGAGCGAGCGAGAATCACCTGCACATGTGTGGTTGCGCGCCGTACTGCATTGACAGAACTACATGGGAGCCGGAACCAGCCTCCAGGGCTTCCAAGGTTAGAATAGTAATGAATTGGGGAACGCGAAATTCATACTCGAGTGCTTGGAGCCATGATTTGGCAACTTGAAGTAGATCTTCCGCACATGCAGTTCCTTTTTCTCTGGTCGCCACCGGAGCATCCGAGTCTTCGACATCAAACTGACAAACAAAAGATTTTCTTCTATTTCAGGGGTTTTATGTTTACTTTCAAGTCCTACAGGTGGCTGAATGAGATTAGAAAGCTTGCATTGGCCTAACTCATAATCAATAAGACGACCTTAACGGCTGCTGTTATGTAGTAGCAAACATCATTATCATTAAAATCGTGATACCGTCAACTTTGATTTCCTCGCTCTAGAAAATCTTCTGGCACGTGTGAAAATATAACCTTGAAATCTGACGAGCCAAAATGGTGTAATCATTGATTGTTGCAACTTAATACGCCCGCAATCCTGGAACGCCCGTTGCTTGGAACCGAAGAACGACATGGATTTCCAACACATAATAGCAAATTCCTCCGCAAAATATCTTTCAAAGCAGTGAGGCATCCTAGGATAGCATCCGACTTGTAGTAAGCCACGTTATAGCTGATGCTAACATGCAGACTATCCTTCCAAGACCAAATATGGAGGCAGACAGCTGGAGTAAGCGTTTGGCATAGAATGCCGACATTCTCAACCGAGAAAGGGCCATATTCATGTTTGATATAGTCGTCAAAATTACCCATACTACTGATGAATGGCTGACTTGAAGGGGGTGGCGCCAGGTTGGGCTGCGCTGCGGCTTTTTTGAGCACATCCGTACTAGCCTTCCTGTTAAATGGATCACAAACAAACATTCTATCACTTTCTTTCACACCCCAAGAGGTTTTGTTGATTTTATTTGTAGTTCTCGAGATTTCGGACCAAACCATCCTTCACAACAATGGGTGTTTTGCCTAGTCGTATAGATGGCGCATGTTCTGCACCATTGAATGATGGCGGGAGAAACTTGCGCAGGTCAAATAAGGCCCAGGCGACAAATTTCTTGGGCTGAGAATCACGATCGTTCATATCAGCCAGTTCCATGATTGCTGTAGTTTGAACTGAAGTTGTTATTGTAATATTCTGTTTACGCGTAGCCTCGCGTAGAGATTTCGATTCCTCGGGAGAGCAGCTATCTCAAGTCGTTTCATTTCAGCAGGTAGCTCTTTGGCCTTGGGATCGCCAGGAGGTGATAGCCCGATTGTTGGTTGGGAATCAATATATTGTTGGATCAATTCATCGGCACTTCTCTCTCATTCAGGCTTGGACTTATCCGGCATTCCAATAACTGTATCGAGCGAAGGGACAAGGTTCTTGGCCTCGGTCCCATCAAATATTTTAGCTATGATAGGATTCTCAAGGGTAGATAGAAATGCATGTGTCATGAGCATAGCACCTCGACCATCCCACAGAATATGAGATGAAACCCAAGCGAATTCGCTTGTAGCGGGGATCCAGTGAATGGTCGCGTTGGCATGGGGGGCTGAACGGCGATGCTTAGTGAAGAAATTGTCCGCAGAGGAGCATTCGGTCTCCACTTGGAACGTTTTATTGCACCAATTCTCTGGCGACTGATCGTCGTAAATCGCATATCATCGCTTTTCGCCGTTGTGAACCTATAAAGCAATATCAGGATGGCGAAATCTCAATGCTTTCCATGCGTTACGAAGCCGATGGACAATATCTTTGATTTTTGTTGAGAAGCCAATTTTTGTCGTTATCATGAACATCCAATGCTCACGATTGATTGGTTCTCCTTGGCTGCGGATGAAATGAAGCATTTCATCGTCCCAGTCGAATGGTCGACTCCAGTAACTATCTTTTTGAGTCCACGACATGTCTTTATCACGGGTGTTTTGATGAAAATTCACCAAACGATGGCTGACACTGGACAACGAATAACTGGAAGGATTCCAAGGTTGTGTCAAAAGAATGGGTAGGATGTGCGCTTATCATCTCATTCATATGTCCGATCGTTGTACCCGACCGAGAGCCTTTATACAAGGCCCGTCCCCAGATGTGTTCTTGGAACCTGGAAAGTACCTAGGTTGCGTAAAATTCCCCGCTGGGGCCAAACCCGAGCTTTATGTGTATGATGATATTAAAGTGGAGGAAATATAGATTCTGCTTCTTAGTTTTTACCATGACATAGAGCGCTTTGACCGGCATAGATTTATTTGATCAATGTAGAGCTAGATCAGTGAAACATTCCAGATAGCCCCAGTGCCTATTTACTGACCAGCGGTTCCGTTGTGGCCCAGTCGGGCTCATAGTGGGGGAATTTCACTCGGCTAGGTATTAAGCACAGATTCTATTCTCACTCCATTTTAGAAGCTACCGAGAGCCCGCGAAGCACCTCCAGTCTCAAAGGGAAGAAAGGCGGGAAACTACTGCCTTAGTGAGCTATGTTGATTTGATAACTTCATCCATTTTAGCTCAATATTCTCTCGGCGCCGTTTACTCCGTATAGATTAGTTAACTCGGGGCTACGCGATTTCGCCCCTGGGGGATCTACTAAGATATTTACTCACCTTGGAAATATCCGCGAGCGTACTGCAGGTGAGTTGGGGGCGAATACTAGATATGGTACCCTACGTCATTCGAACTAAAGGATCCTTTTGTTTTGTTACATATGACAACCTTCCCATGGTCTATTTTTCTGGAATTGAATATTTTATTATTTCTCATCTACTACTTGCCTTTTGCTACACTTGCAACTACTAATAACCCCTTCAGTTCGATACTTCCAAACAGCTTGATTTCAAGGTTCAAATTAAAGCGGTCATGGCTTCAAGTTCTTCTAAAGATTACGTCTTCACTAGAGACTATCTAGACAACAACCGGTATTCTATCCAATCCATAGTATAACCTTATAAGTACTAAAAATAAATACACAGCATCAATTTACAACACTCTCTCTCTGTGCAGCTTTTTGGATATCATATCCACCAATCTATTCCAACTCCAACAGGAAATTCGAGCATTGCAGACGTCGGAACGGGTACAGGGTAAAGTGGTTCAATTTTCAGTCGCCAACCTTCAATGTTGGAAGTTTTTCGCTCATGGGTGTAGAATATGGCTGACGGATGTAGCTAGCAAGCTTCCAAGCTCAGCCCGCTTGGATGGATTGGACATCTTTTTGGATGCTGCACCACTGCCAGAGTTGCTTCCACAGAATGTTAATTTACGTCTGTGGAATATCAAAGATGATGTTCCAGAGGACTTAGTTGGTGTCTACGATGTGGTTCATGTCCGATTTTTCGCATTTGTCTTGCAGCAGCCGGACCTCGAAAATGTTATTGATAATTTGGCTAAACTTCTCAGTATGTTTATTCCAAATTTCTCAAGTGCTTCAAATCAACCCTCTATCCCTCTTATATACTTAGCCCTTCAAATTTTGGAACTAATCCTATTATGTATATAGAGCCAGGCGGCTATCTTCAATGGACGGATATGGACGTGTCCTCAATTCGACTTGAGAAGATTAAGCCTGATATCGAAGCTGACGCGCAGCTCACGTTGATGAAATTATTTCAGGGGAATGAAGATCGACTTCAACCAGCTTGGGTTCCTGAACTGCCAGAATTACTGACGAGAAAAGGATTTGCCGACGTTGAAAGTGACGCCAAAGAGTGTCAGCCATACCTGGCCTTGGCCTTTCACGAATGTGGGCTACTAGCTACTGAGGTCCTTGCGAGAAACAAGGAGGGTGAAAAAGATGGAGTAGGTCTGCTCAAGCAAGTGCTAGATCAGGCTGCGAAGGAGACTCGTCATGGATCGAACTTGGCCTTCACCAGATATACTTTCATTGGTCGGAAACAGTGATAGCTGGAGATGCTAGATAGTAAATACTGAATTGAGCCTGAATCAAACATTACTAAGATCCATCATGTGAAATACTCAAGTTGGTCCTTCCATCCCAATGTTCAAACAGGATTTCAACGCCGTCCGTTTCCAGTTCTCTCTCTTTCTGCTCCCGATTACCTACCCCTTATCTCACCCTTTTCTCATCTCTATCACCCCGGTTTGCAAAATTATCACCTAAATCACCCACACTCCCCTAGAGAAGGCTTTCTTACCGTTTCAGGCTGATAAGGGGTCTGTTAACTATTCACCATACAAATATATCACGTGCAGGGGGTTAAGGAAACTTCAGAAATCGGTAATTGTGAACTTCATCTCACCACCTACATCACTTCCCATCGAAGACTTCCTGCTCAAATACTGTCATTTCTTCAATCACCATGAGTTTATAAGTTTGCTTATTATGAAAAACCAAGTCTCTTTTGCAGACAAGGGACAAAGTTTACACGAGATATTTCATGCAACACTTCCCTTGCGTCGAACACAACCATAATGCCGTCGGGTCAAGAAGGGCATCTCTCCTCGCTATCCGCTGCTTCGTTGAGCACATCTAAAACAGTCAACAACACTGTCTTGTATCGGTGTCTGACACTTCTAGCGATCCGAATCCTTAGGTGTATTCGACCTCGAGAAGGGAATGTTCTCATGTTGACGGACAGACTATGCGTCAAGTACGGACGCCACGTCCATTTGTCTGAAGCATCAACAATGCAGTTTATATCACAACATACATCTATCCCGGTACCAAAGGTTTTTTGTGCATTTACTCGTTCCGGGTGGACATACATTTTGATGGAGAGGATCAAGGGAGACATAATTGGCAGTGGCTGGGTAAGACGAAGCGAGGACTCAGAGGCGAAACTTCTTTTGCAATTAGCAGTCAATGTTCGCGGGATGCGGGGCCTTAAACCCTTGGAAGGCACAAGGATTGCTTCTGTTGATGGTGGATAACTTTTTGACTGTCGTATTCCCGTTCCTTCCTTGCGCTTCGGTCCTTTCGACACCCTCCAGGACTTCCATCGGCATCTACGTATGGGCATGGAATTTGATTCAAGGCTTGACCCTGACATTCAGGAGCTTATCGAAGGACAAAACAAGTCTTGGCCTTTGATATTTACCCATGGCGACCTTAGCAGCCTCAACATTCTTGTGCGTGGAGATGATATCGTCGGTATCATTGATTGGGAAACTGCTGGTTGGTATCCATCGTATTGGGAATACACGTCTGCCCACCAAGTCAACCCACAAAACTCTTTTTGGGTGCATGAGATTGAAAAATTCTTACAACCAATGCCTGAAGAGCTAGCGATGGAACGGATCCGTCAAATACGCTTTGGAGATGTTTAAATAATCCTGGCTTGTAACTCATACAATTATCTTCTTCCGCCCTATCAAGTCAGAATTCCCGCCTCGGACATCGACCATGACACAGGCTATCTCTTAGTTTACATGAGATCAATCTGTCATGATGCCGCGAGTATGTTGATCTGGAGGGAAAGGGTATACTTCAAGTGTACCTAAAAATATTGAATCCTTGTATATCCTTGAGAAAGAAAGACCCTTTTCTTCTAAGCGCCATGCAGATCAATCAAATTTCCAATTTTTCACCTGATCTCAGATTAAATTTCATCCAAGTTTCTAGTTGCTACAGAGACTGACCTGGAAATAATTGAAATTGTGTTATTTGTGGGGATGTTGAAGGTAGTCAGTGAGAGCATACTAATATGCCCAGGTGGGATGATGATTTTCCATTACAGCTGTCGAGAAATATTAAAGACGTAGATGAGACGACTGATAGAAGGTCAGGCGTTGTCACGGTATCTCTGTTGCCTCGTTCCTTTTTGTCTTCGCGTAGATCTAAGACGCGTGCCTATTTCACGTCCTCCCCCACGAACTGTCGTTCTTTCCTCACCACTTACCACCCTCTCAAACATCATTGACAAGCTTTGGACTTACTATCCAATTCTCATACCAGCCATGTTGTCTCGTCTCAATAAAGCATATGCCTCCAAGCTCAGGCCTTTGCACAGAAGTTTCACAACCTCCCAAATGAGACGCTATGAAGGCTCCGTTTACTCTCCTTTTCACCAGTACCCGACACTTAATCCCAATATCCGATGGGACGAGGACTCTCTCAGCTATTACTCTGGTTTCTGGAGCCCCTTCGTAAGTGATGACCGCATCTGCCATTACGGACCGTGGCTTACGCTTATCTCAACCGTCGACATCTTGGTATGTCTTTCCTTTCCGCTCCACCTGGCCCAACTCGAATAAGTCTGTTTCCTGCACCAATATTTGCTTCGTCATGGATCATCACCAGTGAAACTTCGAAGTAAAGGTGCCCGTGCAACATGCAACATGCAGTGTGGCAGATATGTTCCCTTTGCTTGATTTAATTTAATGGCTTTTCACACCGATACCACGACCAATCATGTGGAACTGGACAGAGGCTCTGAGGAGCTTGTCTGGTATCTGCGGACTTAATCTCTCAATGAAACCCCGAATATTTTCACCGTGATTGCCATGTCGTATGGAGTCGCCATTTACCCGCACCGTCTTTCCCCTTCTATGATGAAATCTCGTTCGAAAACGCGTTTACTTCTGGCGTCGACAGACCAGGATTTTGGATTCTGAATGAGCTTTGCGACAAGCCACGCCGCCGTCCTCATCTTCAACAATCTAGTCATATTTTGTCGCGTGCCATTCCTTTTTGCTTTTGCTGGATGTGCGTGCAACTTGTGTCCATGACACTTGCTGTTATCCTGTCTTCCCCTTTCTATCTCTCTATCCTCTTTAATAACATGATCCCAATTAAAAAAATTCTTTAATTTTTGACCAGTCAGAAAGTGACCTACTCCAATTCTAGATGAAAGAGGTTGGATTACAAACCAGCGGGGACATGGTGTAAGCACTTTAGTTATTGCGGGGCCCCAAGAGCTGCGTTAGTGGCGGATTTTGTTGTTTTTGATTTGTTCGCTGTATTGCGGCCTATCTCCGAGAGCGGTAATCTCGGGCAGAATACATATACACGTCCGTATTTCCGGGATCCGCTCCCTAGTTTTTAGCATCACGCTCCAACCTCGTTACGAGCGAATTTTCCGAGCTATCACGATTCACGACCCGGTTCATAAATCTGGGTTATTTTTTGAAAATTCGCACATTGATGTCGAAAAATTGCTACACAATCGGTATGATGAGGGCTGGCTTCGAAGGTTCGAAGGCCAAGTTTACCACTTCAAGTTGCACAGGTAGGTATACGCGAAGATTGTACTCTGTGTCAGCAAGCTATTGAACGACCCGTGGATGAGCCTACCTACATTGTATTGCTTTGTCAGGCTTACACATCACTACTGTTCACCTAACATAGGTATCTGCGGTGGTTTCCGTTGATCGCGGATTACAAGCGATCCATAATCCAAGGTTGTCGGCTTTATGCGATCCGCTTAGAAACCATCCCGGCGATTACAACTGCCGTACTGCCGCGTGCAAAATTTTCCTTGTTGATGTGATTGGCCCATCATGGAGTATGACCTGGCTTGGTGGGGATATCTAACGCAATTCGCAAGTGTTATTGGTAACCCATCCTAAAATGTGGGCTGGTAACTCAGCTTAGAAATGTCGATTGGTAACACATCTTGGAAATGTGGGTTTGCACCGAACATAATGCAGGGGTATTGAGGAATTGCACAAATTTTGAAGAACCATGCCTGTTTGACATTATTTGATATGCATGATAGGTCCCACATGGAGCTTATTATATTTAGCCTCCCTGACCCTGAATCTCGACTCTTCCTTCCTTCCTTTTCTTAACCTCAATTCACTTTTCCCTGAATATTGAACACTAGTATCACAATGGGCTCCACTGCGGTTGAATTCAAGAACTCGGCTACTGCCACTCTCCTCGAGTTGGTCAAGAGCCGTCGCACATACTACGGACTCAAGGCCGAGAGTCCTATCTCCGATGATACCATCGAGCAGATTGTCCAGGACTCAGTCCTCCACGTTCCCAGCTCTTTCAACACACAGACATCTCGCGTTGTTCTGCTCTTGAAGGAGGAGCACCAGAAGGTGTGGGATATTGCCATTAACGCCATGGAGGGTCTCGTTGCTGCTGGTGTCCTTCCTAAGGAGGCCTTCGAGAACTCCACAAAGCCTAAGCTCAACGCTTTCCGTGCTGCCTACGGAACTGTATGCATCACGCCAAATCACCCTTGCTTGAGAAGTTACTGACCAGGAAAAAGGTTCTGTTCTTCGTTGATTACGAATCCCTCGCCGATATCAAGGAGAAGTTTGCTATCTATGCCGACAAATTCAACCCCTTCGCCCTCGAGTCTAATGCTATGTCTCAGTACCTTGGTAAGATCCTGCTTTCCTCAAGTCTGGCTGCAGAGTACACATTCGATCAATATACTGACCTTTACTAGTCTGGCTTGCTCTCGAGTCCGAAGGCTTCGGTGCCAACCTTCAACACTACAGTCCTCTGATCGACGAGGCGATTGCTAAGACTTGGGATCTTCCTAGCTCTTGGAAGTTAGATGCTCAACTGGTCTTTGGTACTCCTACTTCCGAGCCTGGCGAGAAGACCTTTGAGCCTCTTGAGAACCGATTCAAGGTTTTCGGCAAATAATTAAGTGCAAACATAGCACATTATGAATAGAACGACAATAAAATTCCCTTTTTGACTCCCATACAACATGCACCACAACACTCCTAGTACTTATAAAAATACTGAAAGCTTTCTTCGATCGCATTCATCATTTTAGTTGGCTGTACACTTCCAAATTCCAGTACTGACACTCAAAGGTCTTCCACCATCCATAACCAGCACTTGTTGATGCCATAGAGTTCAGGCCTCTAAGTTGAACAGACTAACCTGAAAAGGCATACCCCAGCACTCGGACTCGGACTTCGGAGCGGGAGTATCTACCAGCCTCACAGGAATGAGATAAAAACATCTCAGAATACTCCGCTATTGCTACTATTGCTATCAGGCTTTCCAAGATAACCTAATTGATCCAAATTTTACACATTCTGGCAGAGTCTGATGGCTGAGAAGTCATTTCATCTCTTCCCTAGGCTGCCGACAGAGCTGCGACTTGAGATATGGCGCTTATGCCTCCCATGTCGCGTATGGGACACGGATTGGCCGACCGATGAAGGCATCTATTTTGAGGGACCTAATGACGATGGGTCCTATCCCTGTCTAGTCACTCCCACGGCAAAACTGAATGGGCTTCCACCCGTCATCACCCGTGTTTGCCAGGAGTCACGCAACGTTGCCAAAGAATCAGGGGGTAGCCTTACAAGAGACCACTATAAGGATTTGCCAAAAGATGCTGGTTTTATCTCTACCACGAGTCATGACATTGACGATAATTTCTGGGTAGATACCAAGCGAGATTCTGCCCATCTTAATTGGACCCCTTGTTACGAAGGAATTTACCAAAAGAGCTTCGGGAGTGCATTGGCCTCTATTGCGTGGAAAAGTCGCCTGGTAGTCGGTCGTCCCTCGATTATGATCGACTGGGTTAACATGATGATCAACCAGAAAGAAGAGAGGTTTGATGTGCTCGAACAGATACCCAGCTGGTGGGTTATTATGCGTATTGTTATTATACATGCTAGCTTCCGAGAAGCCGCACAAACTGGTTTCTTCGGGCTGCTAGGCGACGCATCTGTGCAAATTGTCTCCCTATCTGAAGAGGGAAAAGCCAATGCGCTGTACGGCTTTGCCGATAAATGCGATCGCAAGGCTTCTTTTGTTGAGAGGATTCAAAGGGACTCCTCGGAATCATTGAAGCAGGAGCTGAAAGACGACTTTGTGACGAACAGGATATCTGAAAAGCTATCGTCGAAAATGCATCCAGCCATCATGTTTCGCCTTTGCACAGCGAAGTGTAATAGCTCCAATGAGAGTTTATCATCTCAATAATACCGTTCACATTAGTCTATGCCTGATGCAGCGGGCATCCCAATGATCATACGCGCATGAAGACCCATTTCGGGGGCTTTGAATTCCGCTGGGTTCAGAGTTGCGGATATCAATCTGATTGAAACTTCGTTCGTCTGCGGCTTGTGGGGCGTAGAGGCATTTGGACCGAGTTGGATATTGTTTTTCAAGCCATCGGTGGTTTGGCTGTAGCGTCAGGCTTTCACTATGATGGGAATGGAGAAAGACATGCTAAACTTCAAATCACTAAGTCCACGGTAAGTCCCTGGTCAAAAATTCAGATAGTGAGGATTTGACCGAGAAAAGATCGAGTCAGACAGAAAAATAATACAACTTTGCCGATCGGAGTATGAACTGGCGCGTATTCTTCAGATTTACTAGAACCCCATCGGTCCTCGGTAAATTCCAGAATGAGAAATTTCCGACGGGGTTGACAGAACACGGGTGCAGAACTAGCCCAATTGGGTTAGTTCAAACCACTATTGAATGGAGAGCTCTGATTGGTCGAACCAGAATGGATCACATGACCGATCAGGTGATCTCCAGGCAGAATTTATGTGCGTAATTATCAGAATGAGAAAACCAGACCTGTTGATACATCCCATTGGCGACCGCCTACTGCATTAGACATTGTAGTCTGTCAGGGGTACTGCCGCCTTTTATTTCAGGCCAGGGAAAGGTAGAAGAAGGCAGAACATCCAAAGCTCCGAACATCACCTCTTGAATCTCTGATGTGGATCTGGGGAATTTGTGAATTCCTGCTAAATTACAATGGGGTTTCGATGTCCATTTTGTGACGAATTCATTGCTCGCAAGGAACACCTGGATCGACACAAGCAGCGCCATACCGGCTCAAAACCGTTCAAGTGCCAATCCTGTACAAAGTCTTTCTCTCGGAGGTATATATTTCCCCGCGTGCTTTGATACTTATATGTTAAATGTTGATGAAAATCCATAAAGAGCCACACTTTTACGCCACAATGAGCTGCATGAGCGTAGCTGGGAGAAGAATGCTCAATCACCAGCGAGTGGATTGGACCGAAAACTCCCTGCTTGTGTACTGCGCAAGCGAGCTAAGTTACATTGCTCCGGTACCATGCCTTGCGATTGTTGTGAAGCGAAAGGCCGGCATTGCAGATATCTGTCACCAAAGCCTGAGAGTGTCTCAAACGAGCTCCCTTCAAATTCATACAATCCAGCGTCAAGCGACCGATCTCTCCAGAGTATATTGAGGCAAGAAAGTGCAGGCACTTCAGCACTACAAAGTGCTGAGTCGACATTGGTCCCGCAGACCAGTGCAGCTGAAGCAATACTTCCCTCAAACCCCCCCTGGGCATGTCTTTGAGGGCCAGGTGTCCCTGGATTCCTTGCGGAATCAAGATGACATTGAAACAACCATTCCTCATGGTCAAGACCCTAGCAATTATGAAAGGACTACGGATCTATTCATCGAACATTTCTTCTGGGAATAATTTATCGATATGGAAATGAACTTCGATCCTGTAACCTATTACTTGAACCTTGCTTCAATAGGTAGAACGAAAGCCACTTACTGATGGCACCATGGGGCTGCACTCCCATTCGAAGATCCTTCAACAATCACAACAATCCCATATCCCTGCAAACTCAACTCAAATAGATTCCGAATATATGGGTGAGCACGATGAAGAAATTCTTCAAGCAGAAGACTTTTGTCATGTTGAAGAAATTGACTATGCTTCTTATCAATCCATCAAGAAATTTCACCACGAGTACCCATACAGTAGGCCCTCAACTTTGTCCCCCTTTCAAAATTATCTATACATTTGTACAGCTGTATTTCGAATATTTTGATCCGCACTATCCATTCGTTCATCCGCAACTGATGAATAATGACCGAACCTCATGGATCCTCCGTCTGGCCGTTGCTACTGTTGGGTGTCAATATTCTGCCATCGAATCTTCAGAGCAATACGGAGCTGACTTACAGAGGCTCTTATTCCATGCTATATCTGATAATGTGAGGGAAATCGTTTCAGTGCCTTTATCCGATAGCGGTGAATACTGATTCTTTGGGTATACAGCCTCCGGCTGATCTTGAACGCCCTACTCTGTCTCTCATTCAGAGTGTCCTTCTGATGAATACATGTCTGATATTCGGCGGCTCGAATGCATATCATAACAAGCTTCCACGCAACAAAAGTCTAATTCTGACTCTATTCGACTCGCTCCGTCCTAATCCACCGACGTCACAAAGAGAAGGGGCTCCTGAGGGTGTAAATTCTGAAGAGAGATGGAGAGACTGGCTAATTCAGGAGGCATATGATCGTTTGGGACTTTGCATCATGTGTGCGTCACCTGTTTTATCTGAGACTGTTCTTTTTCACATTTTTTACTAATATTACTTTACAGGTTTCGAACACTATCAACTTCTGTTCTTTGATATGCCAATTTTGCCTCAGTCTAAAAGACTCCTCAATAGACTTCCATGCGATGAAGTTCTCTGGCGTTGCCACAATGCGGTAGAATGGCACGATCAATGGGTGCTAAGTCGAGATTCTAAGCTCACTCTCGCCAGTGTGATGAGATCCAACGACAAAGTCCACACCTTTGACTCCTTGCACGGGCCAATGATTGACGTCTTCATGCCATCTTTGTACACCGAGGAGAGGATTATGACAGAACAATTTGCCTTCTCCCCGCTTTTGCATGGTAAATCATTGGGTAAATACCTTCCTTTTGAACTCCCTGGATATTGGCGGCCAGCTTAACAACTCTTAATCCAGAAGCTACACCTCTTTCCAATAGAATGACAACAAATCTGGATCGAATTTTCGATAACTTGACGCGTCATTGCCTCTCTCCGATGTCCCGATCCCTCCTGAGAGTGATATGGTCATATTTCATGCTACTTATATCCTCCGCAAAGTCAATCTTCGAAAGCTAACTGCGCATACCGGGTGGCAAGCGACCACAAGAGAAACTGAAGCAGCGAAAGTGGATCTGGAACAATGGATGAAGACGAATCAACCATCAGCTCGACGCTGTCTTTGGCATGCAGCGTGTATCTATCGGCATCTGCACGAAAAGTCCAAACTTGAGTGTCACGAACCACTCAGTCTTGTCATCGCCTCGCTTTATATCTGGGCATTCGATACTATAAGTGCGATATCGTATCAAAATGACTCGCCAGAAATAGTGGATGGAACTGACGGGATCACGACGGGGCGAAAGGGCCCTGTGCGTATAGACCGTATAGATGACGAACATCAATTGAATGCATGGGTGGAAAGGCCCGGAAATGATCGTATTCACCTTTCAGAAGTTGGGATCTTTACGGGCGAAAGAAGCGCCAATCGACTCATGGTTGAGATACGCAAGATCTTATCTTCGCCTCAACCGTGGTCCCGCCTTTGTCACGGTTTGGCGTATATGCTCGGACTTACGGTGAAAGAACGCCAAGTTCAATCAGTGGAGTGGAAACGAAACGACCGCATACCGCCAGAGAAAGATAAACTTCATTCCTAATGAGCGTTGACGCGAGTGGGGAGACACACTTTTGATAGTTAAACCATACATGTTATTTTGACCCTCCGCCACAACAGTCATTCCGGGAGAGAGGATTATTCCATTGTAAAACCTTCGTCATAGGATGCAAGATCTCGCATCAATTAGACGCACTTTCTCATCTGATCGCGGAGTCAACATGACTGGCATACTAGTACCGGCTATACCAGGCAATTCGCCAGGGAATTGGCTATTGTCTACCGGTAAAGTTGTACCAGGTTTCGGTGTAATATCAAAAGCCCACAAGATCCGCATGATTGCCACCGAGAAAGATCTCTCGGCGATCGAAATTCCTGCACACATTCGCCTGCCGGATCCGAAAGCGAAGTGGTCTCTTTTGGATGAGTCCGCCTGGTTTGCGCTCTGCAGACTGCTCGTGTCATCGTCATCGTACCTCTCAGGTCTGAACTCTTCAGGGTTCTCATGGCGCTCATGGTCATGGCCTATTGCCCAGGTATTGAGGTGTAATCTGGCACCCTCCATAATGGGATATCCATTATACTCCACATCCTGAGTCGTTACATGGGCGTGTCCCAGTCCCACTGGTGGCCCCAGCGCCATGTCTCTTTCATTAATGATCGTACATAAGGAATGCGATGAAAATGTTCCCAAGTGGGAATACAATCTCCCACGGCTTCATCGATCTTCTGCTGTGCTTTGCGTTGTACATTTGGAAAAGTCATCATGGCCTCGAGGAATGACCATGTTAACATTTGACTTGTGTCTGCGGCGGCACCAATGAGTTGGACCGAAGAGATGGAGGCTTCATCCCGGCTTTCAAACCCGAGCATCTTATTGTCCATCAGAGATTGGGTGAGTAGGCTGACAGGCTGGCGATCTGTGCCCATCAATTTCTGAACACGATCTGTGGGCTTCCTGGCCCATTGGATGTCATCTGCATGAATCTTCCGTGCCCAACGCTGCCAAGGCTTCAGGAATAGGGGAGGAGGTTCCAACCATGGAAAGACTTCAACCAAGTTGGCCAATGGAAAAGTCGCTAATATCTGCAACAATCCTGAGTAATGCATATATCTCATTGATTCATGATCTGGCCTTGGCCAGGGCAAGCCGACCATCTGTTGAGCGAAGGTACGTACTGTACGTGTACCGCTGTAGGCCTGCCCACACGTTCTGCTTATCGCTTCCATGGTCTGGGTCATGACAGACCTCATGCATCCATTGCAAAGTCTCTTGATGAAGGGCAGGTAACATGGCATCGGCTTTCTGGTGGCTGGCCAGGTGGGTGGCGATAATCTTTCTATGAACTTTCCATCTTGGATGATCGGCACTGAGAAACAGGACGCTCCATTGTTCGCTAAAAGTTCCCCTGCCACGATACGGGGCCTGGCGGAAGAAAATGATGAATTCCTATCCATGAGATGCTTCACGGCTCTATCCGAGTTCAGCATGTATTGCTCGACTGGACCGATGCGCACCCGGTACACCTCGCCGTACTTCTTTGCCCAGTCTTGCATCAATAGATACAGCTTCTTTGCTGACCCAGCCTTGATGAGATCAGGGATATTGCCAAGTAGTGGCCATCCCGGTGGCGCTGGAACGAGAGTTCTTCGAGTAGTTGACTTTAGTCTCCAAAAGACAAAAGCGAGTAGCAAGCATATGGCTGTGAGACCGCCATGTATAGAATTTGGTGCAGATCAGTTCACAAATAAGTCAATTTGCAGCATTCTTTCAGTGAGACACGCGAGTAACGAGATTGGATGATGATTTCAAGCATTCCTTGGTTGATTGATGTCTGTCGAGGTGGCTTCATATTTAAGCAAATACCCCGCAATATAATCGGCTGTCTCTCTCCACTTCCCCAAATGCTCCTGGATGTGTTCATCGCGACCCCGGATTTGCCGACCAGGGTTTTTACCCCGTCGGCCTTCCACGCACCTTACTCCGTCGGCGTGTTTTACATCCTCGGTGGGACTGTGAAAATATTTGAAGAATCTTAATTTACATCACACACTTCGAGTATATGAAAGACTGAATGTTAAGCCATCATATATCTATCGGAAATTCCTTAACCAACAACCAAACCAAATTTCCCCTTTCCCTCAGTGACATTAAATCGCCACTGGACACCCTCAAACTCTCCTCTCGCGGTAAATGTAACCGGGAATTCCTCAGCCAGAGGCCCCATTGAGGACGCAATCGCATGTGCATTCAACATGGATTCTTTCCAATAACCGCAGACAGGCAAGATGTCATACCGCAGGAACATCATGGCCACAACGGCCAATCTCTCCACTAGCAAAGTTTCTCCCGGGACAGATATTCGGGGACATGTACCCTGGGGACCGTTGTTTGGCCTTACCCATAAATCGACTAGGGTTGAATTCCCTTGCATAGGTACCCCAGTTTGACTTTTCCTGGTTCAGGCATTGAGCCGGTATCTGCAGCATAGCGCCTCTTTGAAATAAGTATTTGTTCGCGAGAAGGACATCGTCATGCAAGAAGCGTGTTGGGGCAGCGCTAGACCGTACCCGGAGCATTTCCTGGAATGTCGATACCAATAAGATACAGTGATCACGGATAGCAGCTAGGTCGATGGTATATGTCTTTTTCTGGTGGTCAACGCGAATGGCATGTTGACGGACTTCCTCCCTAATAGACTGCAAAAGATCTGGACGGCAGTAGACATCGAACGGCATCCAAAAGGCCGAAGGAACGGTATTGGACAGAATACCGATGCCATTGGCTACTTCCAGCTTTGCGATGTTCTCGACGGTGGAACCGTAGTGATGATGAGTTGTGATGGCCGTCAGCTTCTTAATAACGTATGAATTCAACCATTATCTTTTCTCGGGCCGTCCTGGCTTTTTTCGCTGTGACTGATGGCATAATATTCATCAAAGATGGACACCAGGACGCAGCCAGCATTGACCTTCTCTTGTGTTATAGTTCGAGTCCAACTCTATACGATTCAACTGATGTTCAAATTTTATGGACGAAGCCACAAAATGATAAATGTGGGTTTACAGTGTCTGGCCTGCATAGGTTGGCCGACCCACTGGGAGTGCTATCGTTTTGTGGTATCTTATACAAAGATAGAACACCACAATTTGTATGTGATAAACCACATCTATCACCTTGATGATTTTCTCCTGGAATCAGGATACCTTACAGCTAGGCTCTAGTCAATTAGCACGAGAAGTGGGTCGGCCAAATTCTGCATGCCAGACAGTGTACAAACCGTGGTGTCACACTTTGTATTCCTCCCAAGCCGTAAAGTAGATCGTTTAGATTTTCACTGACAGAGATTCCACAGGTAAAATTCGTAAAGATGAATTAAAGCGTTCAGAACTGTCGGTCACTGACACAAAAATAGCAAACTAGCCCCCAAAAGAGGGGGAGGTGACGACCAACTATGAATATCATTTAAACCAATTTTGGAAGTGTCGGGATGATCCACTTTCTCACTGCGCATGGGCTTGACACACGGAATGTTTCAATTCCCTCATTGACCTGTGATAGTTTCGAGTTGCCGTCTGCTTTCAAAAATTCCGGGACTTTCCGTCATCATGCGTCCGCGGGTAAACATTACGTGGCTTGAGGCGCTCTGTTACAGAGGTCACGATGGAAGGCCCTGGGGCCATAACATTTATAAAAATCTGGAAGAATTTGAAACTGTAAACCCAGGACCTGTGAATTACTCGATGTGGTTAGTTTTGCCATTTTTGGTTTAGTGCCCCGATACGCCGTTCTGTAAGCTTCGCCTTCTGTTGCGCCGGCATAAAAGCTCGCCGCGCCCGCTCGACCTCCTCTGCCCTCTCTTTCTCCTTCCATTGCCTCTCTATCCTGCACTCATCGCTCACCCCCTTTTTTCATTCTCGCCCCCACCACACGGTCCGCTGCGCCCTTCGCTTTGATGCACTGCCCCATTAATTTCATCAGAGATGCCGCTTGATCCGACGCTGAGCTTGCAAGGACTCTTCGGAACAGAATTCTACGGTGGGGATTTTGCAGCTCTGTATCTCTGACTTTTTTCCAGATTGGGTGTACCACACTGCAAAGCAGTCTATTTGTTTTTTTCACTTGTGCGCCTTGTTCTCCGCTGATGTCCATCTGTCCCCTCCCTCCAGACAAGAGAACGGTGTAGCTTAGATTCTCGATCTCTCACTCCGATCGAGCCTTGTGAGGCTGCCCCGACGCTATCCCTTGGCGCTCCGTTGTTGTCATTGATAGTCTGACTCCTCCACACTAATCTATCCATCGAAGTGGCACAGGCCAATAGCGAAAATGCCGCATACGCCATAGGCCTCAGCTGATGACAGCTATCACTTAAAGCGTAACTCGACGAAATTAATATCAAACTTTTGCCCATTGGGCAATACGGGGCATACGTACATCATTTAAAATGAGCTGTTTGGAATCCGTGGGTGTCGTCATCGAGTAAAGGAACTACGTCGGACTTGTGGAAAGAATCTCTTCGCGAAGCCCAAGTATATGCTGTTCCCGCCATATTATGCGTGATTGATTCGGCAAAATCCTATTCGCGGAGCTTTGTTAGGTGTAGTGACTTCCAGCTTGGATATTTCAAGGCATACGAAGCATAGTAGGAACGCCGCTGGCATCTTGTCCTCCATTAAGTCTCATGTCTTTAAGAAACCCAGCGTATTGCCACTGAAACCTCTTGTTCCATTTCAGGAATGATCTAGTTTGCCAAGCGCGCGTCCTTAGTCACTTCAAAGGCCTTTACCGAACATTTTCCTGAAGCTTTCCGGGTCCAAATCGCCATTGAATAAGACACTATTGCTTTCACAGGTGCTTTCTAGCATCTGGTCCATTTCTCTCTTCGTTGGCAACTAGAAAACCAAGTTCACTAGAGTCCTAATTCTCACAGCTTTAGTATTACTTAGATTATTCAGCCTATGTACCTGGCAGTACAGAGCAAAAATGCCAGGCAGATCTTGAGCAGCATTCAACACTACGTGGTTTGGCGTTAAAACCAACCGCGGCATAAGACGAGATACGAAAATTAATTCAGCTAACAAGCTTTAACGATTCTGAAACCACTTGCATACAGTGATTTTATATTAAAGTAACTTTGCTGTCATTCTTCTCTGCCGTCCCTGTCACTTCGGGTAATTTGCGATTGCGCCTACCCCGCCTCTCTTTTATATTGATCATATTGTCAAAATGTGTCTAAGTTTCCTCCAGTCAAGCTGGAAATCCTCCGGTTGAAGCGTCGAAAAAATAACAAAATCAAAGACAGCGAGCTGGCGGATTGTTTGAATAAGGTTTTAGTGCTGCTACGGGGATGCTGCGGAATATATTCGGGAGCGCCTTAGGTAACGTTTCACGTGCTGGCTCGACTCCGGTGGTGTTCTGCCCGACCCCGCCTCTTGGCCGATGGCAGAAACAAAGTGACACCTCCATTATTTTGACGAAGCAATCTAGTTAAGCAACACGCTGCATGCGAACTCGATAGCAGTGCTAGTGGACTCCAACGAAAAGATTCATGGCATACCTCCGACCCACTACGAAAAACCCCGATTCTCACTCTTGTGACAACCTGAGGAAATGGTTGCCAAATGCTGAGTTTTCACCTAAGGATGATGCGCCACACATGAGATTGTGTCGTAATGTTCCGTTAGATCTACTCCAACCCTTTCAAAAGGAGGTGTGAAATTTACTTTGGACTTCGTTCACTCTACACGAGCTGACGTTGAGCTAGAATATGAGAACCAGTTTGATACAATTTGCAAACGGCGCATCCCCACGAGAACCCTACGGCACCCTTACAGCGATCTTCTTAAACGAATCAAATTTGAGCGTGTCTCTTGTCAACCATGACGCGCAAATACCACTAGAAAATGGGAACTCGATAGAATGGAGTGGATTGATAGAAATATTAAACTCCTGCATTTGCGTGGTGACATGGAGCAGGGAAACAATATGACTTTCAGGGACCGTTATTTTGTCATTATTCAGGAGAGGGAATTCCCGTTATCTGAGAAAATGACGGTATGCAATAGCCCAGTGACGTTGAGGGAAGCGGCGACGCTTCTTGGGAGGTCAGAAAGCCAGAGTGCGGCAATGAAGGGATTTCAGATATTGCATTGAAGGAAGGAATGGAGTATGAAAGCGTTTCTTCATGTGTAGCATTTGGAGACCCCATTGAATCTAGAGGAAATTGAACTGAATGCATTTAGCCGTTGTTTCACTGATCTGCAATCTGTTCAAGACTTACTCGGATCATGCTGCATTCGAATCAAAGAAGATCCTGTCTGTTGCCCATTAAAGGGGTGTGAGTCTGTATTAATAGGTAAGGATTGCTGCTCTTGAACCAGTTGCTGTGGAATGTTCTCGAGGGTTGTTTCTGCGCATGGTACAGAGACTCCTGCGCCAATCGTAAACGACTGAGGTAACTGATAGGTGGAATGATGGAGCATGTCGTGATGTGTACTGGGCGTCTTTGAACATCCAGAATTTAACTCATTTGTGGAGTACACATTCCTGCCAACCGTATTGTCAGGGCCTTCTTCGCCAAGTTGTGGTAGGTTTGTGGACCTTGATATATCGGGCTGGCGGGCCTTCGCCTTTTTCAAGGGTGGTTCGTTCGCTAATTCTGTGCAATAGCCACGTTCGCGCGTAGGCGTGATGAGTTGACGAGGAACGCTGTAGTCCGCTTTGAAAATTGATACCTGCAAATTGAACCGGTTGGTGATGACGTCCATTATGCTGGCGGCAGCAGATTTCGTGGAATGCTCTTGTTGGAAACCAGTTGATTCATAATGGGAGAGAACAGTGACCACATCTTCGCTTTTGTTCAAAAGTTTCTCGTATCTCATCAGGGCTTAGTTTGAGAGCAAGAGTTGATTCAAGGGTAGTGAGTGCTTACAAATTCGACGGCAAGACGAAAAGATAGAAAATGATCCCACTGCCTCCTTTCTGTGCGTAAGAATCGTATACACTGCCGACCTTATAATCGGACTTTAGTTCCTCAACAATGTCGTCTTTGCTGTGAAGTCTTTCAGTATCGGAGTCTTTCAGGATCATCTCAGCGCAGAATGACGCTATATTTATCGTGAAAGACTTGGAACTGTGAAGTTTCATGATGCGTTGAATGACACGGTAGAGAGCCACACAATAGAAAGCTCGGCGAACGCTGTTAGCGGTAGTCCCCCGTTTATTTGAGAAGTATAAATCAGTAAGCACATTGCGGAAAGTCTGCTTTGCGGGGCTCCAAATTCCACCGGTCCAAAATAAATCTCCTCTATCTTCATAGAGGGGAATAATGTCACTGAGATAATCCGGAGTCTTGATGTCTTGCCGTCTAATACCTCGTACGCGTTTGAGAGCATCTTGTCGGTTGCGCAACGGGACTGATCTCTGTGAAGGGCGATTCCCGAATGCTTCACGCAAAGAACGTATAATAGACTCAGGTAATTGATCCTTGTTACGAATAATAAAGTCGACAAGCTTTCCAGACAGTCAAATTTTGCTCGACACCCACGCGTAGAGTTTCTTACCTTAAGAAGGTATTCTGAATTGTTCGCTTCGCCCTGGTGAGGGGCAGAGGACGGGTTTGGCATACGCATCATTTTCATTGTTCTTTCGACTTTCTCTCAACCCATAGGGGTTTCAAGATTTAATTTCTAAGAGATGAGAGAAAGACGGTGAGGTAAGCACGGAGGACGTATTTCCCCGCACGGAACGCTGACTCAAAACGAGAGAAAGTAAACCTGACAGGGACAATTTGTCACGTTTCGAGTTTAGCGTTAAATGGCCCTGTCACTTGCTTTGCCTGCATCAACATGCATCTGCGAGTCTTCTCTATTCAGGCCTTGTAAGTACGAGGTTGTTACACTACTTCCCAGTTTCCTGCGCGATGTTTTACGTACGACCGTCAGATCGATACTAGCAGGAACGCTATAATATTGACTGCTCTATTATTGGCTTTCTGATACTGCCTGGACCATTGCAATTTTTCACTCGACATGTAAGTTGGTCCGACTCTTCTCTTACTGCCTTAGCTTCTCAATATCTCTTTATTAACACCATCTACTTTTTACCCACTTCCAATTCACTCGATTCTCTCGCATGGAGTCGACAAAGATACGAAAACTCCTGGAAGGAGACGAGGAAGTCGCACAATTCCTTTAATGGGCCGCCTGATGAATCAAAATGCCAAGGCTGAGAATTTTCACCAGACTCTTTGTAGTGATAGATAGAGTTGTCTCGTCTATAGTCCTACCAAGGTCCTGAATTTGTTTAAGGTATCGATACGCTTGTAAAACCAGTACAGCATCTAGACTGAGCGTATCCTAGGATAAAGCTGCCCGCTGGGGCGCGGAGGCCAATCGCGAACTATACAATAATTTTAAAGCTAACTCGGAATGGGTAAGAAGAAAATTGATATGAATGGCCTTTTATAAATTAGACTCAAAATCTGCTAAAGGTAAATATCTTACCAAATTCGAAAGTTCATTGGAAACTGCTTGGTATCCCCACCTGAAGGGGTTAAAGGTTTTTATATATATGACTGCCTTCACTCTGAGCATAGCCAGCTGGTCCATAATTCCCCATGCCTTGTCTACCCATCTCGCTTTTTCCACAGTTCGTGCATTCTTTTTTTCCCTTTGGCGGTGCCGATGATGATGATGAGCTTTCTTCGTGGGATTTATCAGAGTATTCAGGCCTAGCCAATGATCCAGGTCAAACTTCCCCCAGTCCTGCCGCTCTATACAGATTGTTTGACATCTTAAGATCTGGATTGGCTACCTTTCGATCCTTATTCCCAGCTTCGAATGACGATGTGATCGATAGAAATCATTGTGAGCCTAATATAATATCCCTAGGTTGTCCTTTACCTTACGAAGTTATTCAACTAACAAACTATTACCAGCCATCATCCCTTCAAGAGCCGAAACAGAAAACGAGGTTCTTGTACTACCTCAAATACCTCCACAGATTCGCATGTCTACAGTCAAGGGTGAGGTTGTTGACTTAGAAGAGAGGAGTATATCTTCTAAATATGGTAAAATATTCTTCTGAAATACCAAAGCACTCTTCCGACATACTGCAAATATGTCAAACAAAGAAGCCACTGGTCAGTTTCATCCAAGTCACAATCTCCATTCAAGAACTGCGAGCTGATCATTTCCCCACTAGCCCAAGTATTTAGATATCACGACATTAGCATCAGTAAAAGAGTTCAAAGAATTCTTGGGTATGATGTATGATCACAACACCATCGACTGCCCAGAACTGCTATTTTCCGTCCAATATTATGGCGGATCTTATGGAATTCTTCGTTGTGGATCTTTTGTTCAAGGAAGACCGAAGTGCGTGCGAGATCTTTTTTTGTTGCATATGAAAATTTGTGAAGCGAAGGATTTGGTGCCGTGGGAAATGCTTAAGACGAGGAATATCAATAAGGGGAACATACTTTGTATTAAGTGGGGAACAGTACTTAATCATGGCACTGGTGTATAAAATGGCTTGTCTACCACATCTCTATATTAAGAAATAAAGAATAACAAGTCTTATTTTTATTTTGATAAGATTTGTGCGGCCGCATAGGAGGATTTGCAAGACCTAGGAATTAGTGCTTTGAGATTCGCTTGGGAATCAAGAGAAATTTAATAAAGAAAGTATGTATTGCATTTCTATGTATAAATAAAGCTTAGCTGTTTGATGTAACTCCCTTTTAACGTTTATATGGGATAGCGTATGATTATCATTGTATAGCGCAAGGTGCCCAGGTCTACCCAGTATGAATTCTACACCCGTTGCTCAAAATGATAACCGAGTTATAATGCTCCTATCATATGCTTGGCTTGAAATGTCCAGGCCTGTTTATCACTTGCCTTAGACTTTAAAATCATATCTCATTTTATGGATATGATCTGTCTTACACTCCCAAAAGTACTTCTGTAGATTCACCTCAGTATGACGCCCTTCGTATTACACTAAAAGCCGACACTTGTTCCTTCATTGATTTAGTAAGTCAGACAGATATAGATAGCCTTTTATTTTTTTTGTCAAATACGCGGACCGAGCGTAAGTCTGGACTTCATAGGCTTAGGTTCTTTCAACTCTCCGAGTTTTTATCGTACTTTTTTCACTTCTTTGACAACTTCATATCTAGCAAATTAGTACATGCCTAGGCCGTCGAATCTCTACCTTGTAGAATCAAGGAGAAACTCTTCTATAGTTAGTATGTTAATATAGATGGGCAATCTTATTCGTGTCTGTTGGATTCGTGTGTTCTTGTATTCAGAATGTGGGACTTTTTATGTCAGGGATTGGGGACCTGAGGGTACTCTGATCCTTTTAGGAGAATCCCAAGAAATATTTTTGTCCATATTTTCTAGGAATAATGGCAATATGGGGCTATTTTTGGTTCAAAAGCTACTCCAAGGTGATACCCTCAACCGTGACAGGTCATCGAACTCGGCTATAATAGATCTACTACAAGGAGGAACAGCCATATAAAAGCAAGCCCACTCCTACAAGTACATAGCTCATATTTGAACATACTAAACCTTCAAAAATTTACTCTCTGACAACCGTGACAGCCGTGACAAGATGTCGGAACAGCTGAAAAAAGCCTGGTATCCTCTTACAGTTGAATCCAACGAAAGCGCATACGATGGTAGCTTCGAAACGAGTCCTTTATCAGTTCTTAGTCAAACCCCAACTCTAGAGGACAACAACGCGGATGATGACAATATTATCGAAGAACGGACTGAAAGGGACGGGAGCGCAGGGGGACGCGAAGGGAGGGATTCGTTGCTCGAAAATAGTCCTGACCTTCTCCAATTTGAAGAGTTCGCCGGATTTTTACCACGCAAGGGATATATGGACAAGCTAATAGACCGATATTTTAAGTCGGTCTCTCCGGTAATGTGTGGTTAAACCCTGATTATTCCATCGACTAACATGGATACAGGTTTTTTACTGTCTCTTACCGACGCAATTTCAAAAGGAATATATGATATTTTGCCAAAGTCCGGAAAGGGTACCTCTCTCATGGCTATCATTACTATTTGCGATTTTGGCATTAGCGTGTCGCGCGGACGACACATCGGATGACCTCACTTGGGCCGGTTTTGACAAACTGGCGAAAATTTACGAATTGAAAGCTTTAAGTCTTTCCCTCAATGTGGAGCCGTCGACGAATGCGTTGAAGGCGTTGGTGCTGATTATTTATGGGCGTATCCATCGAAGAGAGAATGTATCCGAGGAGCTTCAACTGGCGTGCAATATGGCGAATTTAGTAGCCTGCGTTGAATGTGCTGCCCAAACTTCATTTTGTGATGAGCATTATATACTTTTCATATGTTTAAGTATATTGCTGTTCATGGACAAGCAATTATCTAATGATGGTGGGGGAAATTTCTCGAAAAGCATACAATTTTTAAAGATGATGGACAAGAGGAGGAATGATGGGATATACAGCTTTGCAATGGATCTGGAAACAGGCGATTTGACAGAGAGAAAGTCTACAATGCTACAATTTCACGTTCTCGAAATTTCAGGCAGGCTCGGTCTGGCTGCACAGCGGGACACAGAGAAGCATTGTGTTGAGGTTTATAATCGTTTGAAATCTTCAGAATTGGGATCTTGGCAGAGGTGTGGTCCTCATACTTGGGACTACACCATGAACTTTACTCTTCTATGTGTTTATTTACCCTACCTTCAACATGACATTGATGAAAGCACCGCGCTCTCTACCAAGTCAGCTACCATGAAGTGCGTTGATTACGCGAGAGATTTGATATCAAGATTGTTTAGTCAGCAATCCGGTGCTTTTGATTGGTATGGTCGAGGATTTGGACAATACTATGCTGACCTGTCAAAGAAGACACTCACCGGAGTATACACAGAGCAGGATCTAATTCTTTTCATGAGTGCTTTGAGCTTGTCTTAAGGCAAAGTCAACCCCATACACAAGAGGGTGCAATTTTATTGGTTGGCGGATGTTGCTGTAAAATGTTAAGGTGAAATTGAATGGGCTGAAGGATATGATAATAAAACTATACATCTGATTGCTCTTTTGGAGGAGTAGCGCTTAAACTATTCAAGTTCATTGTGAATTTATAGTCAGAAATAGTAGTATTCACAAGTTTTATATACTTATATATCAATATTTATAAAGTTGATAGTATTGTGAAAAAATCTCCTGTAACTCGGTTATTATCTCTTTTATCTCCGTAAACAGTCTGCTAACTAGGTATTGTAGTATTCAAAATCACGTAAGTGACTCTTAGAAAATATAGGAGAACATTATTACTTTGGCTTCCTATTTATACAGCAAGGTAGCGGGGTAATAAGGATTAAAGAGAGGTAGTTAGCCTTGACCTTGACTATTAATATAGAGAGTACTGAGTACTTGTTTATAGTAAACTAGTAGGAGAGGGGCCAAGGAGGTATGTCTGGTATGTGCATAGAATAAGCGCGTAGCGCGTTTTCATGGTAAATATCAGGGGTCCGACCATGGGCATTGATCGGATGCCCAGACTCTACCATTCACCTGTCATTCGCAAGTACAAAAGGTACGATAGCCCCCTGAAGTGACCAAAATAAGGAGCCGCTTTTCATCGCTCACACCTTTCCGGAAACACCAATTCACTTATGTATGATGAAGGGTGCTTGCAAAGAGTTCGCAGTAAAAATTAAAGCCCTTGTATATAAGATATCTAAGCTGGTCTATCTAAAGGTATCCACAAATATTAATTGACACTGGGCATCGCTGATAATTGACAAAGAAAATAGGCGATCCGGAGACAGAAGTAAAGGGGGAACAGATCCACATAACCGACACAACACGCTCTTCAAGCGGCAAGTGCCTCACAGATACAACGACGCCTACAAAGAAAGCAAGCAACTTGTAGATTCGAACCTAAGTTAAGCTTAAATTCCTCTCCTCTTGAAACTATCCATCTACCTTCGTAAGAGACATTTGATAAAAGCTGGATAGTCACTTATAGTGCCTAATTGAGCGCAGTGTGGGAATGTTTTTGTTGTGTCGGAGGTACTATATCACGCAGTATGACCATATTATTGGTTGCCTTCTGTACAGCTTGATATTTGAGAGTAAAGCCTTGGGAAGCTGTAATTAGGGCTTTCCTTCTAGCCAGTTCATCCAGATTAGTTGATATCTTGCGGATAAGAAGAAAAAGAAGAAAGTAGCGGTGTAGTCACTATATCATGGCCCAGCATAAAACTTGCTTATTAATAACACTCCTAACCTTCTAAGGTTAGGTAGAAGGTATTTATGTAGGCTATACTACATAGCAATATTAATATCTAGATGCACCTGGATCATAGAGGACTGAGGCATTAAAAAGAAAAAAGCGTATATAAACTAAATGTAGATAGAGCTATAGATAGTAGCTGAGAACAATTTAAATCTACTTGAAATCAAACCAACAGAATCAACAGAATCAACAGAATCAACAGAATCAACAGAATCAACAGAATCAACAGAATCAACAGAATCAACAGAATCAACAGAATCAACAGAATCAACAGAATCAACAGAATCAACAGAATCAACAGAATCAACAGAATCAACAGAATCATTCGCTTTCAATTTAGTGATCCTATTTACGCTTGCCATTTGCTTTCTTCGACCTTTCAACTTGACCCTGTGACTTTTGGGTCTTTCGGGTCCTTCGGGTATGCGGACTCTTGGATTTAGATTTAGATTTGGATCTGTTTTTCTCAGACAATCTGAGCTTCTCAAGTTCCTTCTCCAGATCAGAGATTCTTTTCTTTCGGTCTGCCGATAGGCTTGAATGGTGCCGACTAGAGTATCTCGTCTTTACCCTTGAACCCCTTCGCCTTGGAGGTATCTGGTCGCTCTCTGAATCGCTGTAATCTTGGGAGTCGCTCTCGCTCACATGATCACTTTCAGTGTCGCTATCGGAGTCGCTCATGTCGGTTTCTGAGTCCTCTGGTATCCCATGTCGCTGCCAATATGCATTCTCCATTTCGCTTGCGAGCTGGTAGATCCCATGATCCTTGGTCAGCAGTATTCTGCGAGCAAAGCTTCTGTCCTCAAGTGTAGTTGTGTTATCACGCCATAATATTATTAGACGTGTCTGTGGGTAGGACTCTCCCGCATAGCCTGGCTTAATGGCGAGCTTTGAATTAATTCCGTACTCCTTGTCGTCTTCAATTTTGAATCCAACCCCTAGTATAGATCGAACCTGGTCCTTGCGGTATCTCCAAGCTTCTGTCTTAGTACCGTCTTCTGCGGTAGCAATAAACTTTGCATTGCCTCGAGATTGTGACGATAAGACTTGGTCGGTAACACGTTTGTCGTAAAGCTGATAAGACCCTGCGCGTATACGGAATATGGGACAGGAATCATCTCCATGTTGAACAAGAACCTGAGTGCCAGTTCCAACACGCCACCAATAGATAACCTCTCCAAAGTTCAATGGTCTTTTCTTCACCGCCCTTGCATCTATATTGTCAAGCTCGGTGCGTACCGAACGTGAGAAGAGCCTTTCATCTGAGTCGTCAATTTTGGATTCGGCTTCTGGCTCCACTTCAGCTTGAGGCTCATTTTCATTGTCGTCTTCAGGAGCTAAATCGTACATTTCATCTCCCCGGGGATCGTCAGTGCCTATCTTCTCGTGAGCTTTGTGTCTATCAATATTCCATTTCTTTGGAAGATGATGTCTTTCGTTGAAAGCCTTTAATATATCGTAGGTGGTGTGGAATGCTCGCCATCCTGCATCTGCGTCTTTCTCTTCTTTTGCTTTGCGCATCATTGCGATATAGCTTGAGCAAAACGCACTATACGATTGTGCCGGGATTGTTCCATCGTCAATACTTAACACATTGTGTTCCTGATTTGCGCCCCTTATTGTCTGGTTTAAAGGAGTAAATAAAGTGTCGCATTTTTCGTACGCTTTAGGCATACCCGAAAGATCGTCTAGAAATGCAGAGCTGAAGAAGTCTTCTACTTGATGATAATTCGCACACTTTTCCTTGATAATTCTTTCAACCCATGGATAGATAGGTGTCGGGGGGGTCCTCTTCAATAGGCTCGCCAACACTTTGATCACCGTCACTTTGATCACTATCACTTTGATCTGCGTCGACATCGATATCTGCGTCATGGGAATCATCCACTGAAGTCGAGTTATTTGTATTAATTGGCGTCGAGGCAGAGACAGATGTTTCCACATGCGCAGGGTTCAATATTGGTTGCGCATTCGTGCCCTCGCTAGCGCCTTGCTTCTGTTGATGTTCAGGTTCGAGCGGTGCTTTGCGCTTTCTGTCATTGGGAGCAGTCGTTTGGGACTCAGGAGTGGCAGCATTTCGCTGTGGCTGAGGAGTGGCATTTCCCTGCGGCTGAGGCGTGGCAGCATTTCCCTGTGGCTGAGGAGTGGCCTCGGGAGTTTGAATATTCCGCGCGTTGGGCTTTGGTGCACCCTTCGATTTGTCTTGAGGGTGAGGTTTGGCCATTTCAAAAAAGTTGTATGAATTAAAAAGCTTTTGCACTCAATGATCCTGAGCGGGGTTTTCTTATAGTCGTTAGGCAGCTTAGCTCATGCATAGTTTCCCTGGAGTGGTTTCTTTGGGGATCTGTTTTACTCTGGGTCTGTTTTACTCCGAGGATCTGTTTTGCTCTGGTCTGTTTCACTCTGGTCTGTTTCACTCTGGTCTGTTTTACTCTGGTCTGTTTTACTCTGGTCTGTTTCATTGCCAGGTGTGGGTCCTTCTTGGCTCCACTGCGGGGCACTGACTTGGTTTCTGGTCTTACGGACTCTTACCCATCCAAGCATGGAGGTCTGTAAGTTACGACCGCTGTTGTTTCTTCTTCTTTTATTTTAATATTTTTTTCTTACGCAAATATTATTAGATTAACAGCAGTATTTTGTACAGAGACCTAGCTAACATTGAAACTATTTTGTCAAAACGTCCCATCCCGAGTAGACAGTAACAAGTCGTAGCCCTGCGATCCGCGCGGTGCTTTTAGGCCGCATCCCGGGTAGTAAAAGAGAGCTAAAGAGGTCTACATATCTAGACGTGTATCATAGTAATTCCGGAAATCGCCAGTTGTATTATAATTTTCCATCTAGTACAGCAGAAAAAATCCCCATATCAGGCTAATTAACTAGATTAATCGCATCGATCTGTTGCAATGATGCCACCATTTGATTGAAGGCCATTGAATACTGAAGGCATTGAGTATGATATACTTCAGATAGCTCCACCCAGTATTGAATATCCTGCTGCTGTTGGCAAATTGCAGTCTGAAATTCATACAGCAGTGCTTTGTGAGAATTAATTTCTGCTTCGCTAGCGGCTTTATCTCCTTCATAGTAGCGTATTTGATTGCGAGCCTCATCTAATTGGGAGGAAAGCTCAGCTAGCCGTCCCTGCAAGGGTGAGGGTACTCCTGCGTGACATCTCACAGCTCGAAATGTAATGCCGAGGGCATTGCAGAGCTTCATATACACGCCGACTGAGTGCTTGCTTAGATGCTTTTCAAACAAGGGCAAGAGTTTTGGATCGTCTATCTCCCATTTATATGGGGTTTCTCCATCTATTGGCTTTAGACGTATATCTGCAGGCTTGATTTCAATTTGTAGGGTATGAACTATGCAGTGTTAAATAGGGTTATAAATATGAACTTCTACCAGTGTTCTGTTCCCAAAAGGCATTACTCACAAATAGACTTCTCCAAAACCCAATTTGGGTCCAAGGGTTGGACCCAAGACCCAACCCACCTGGGTCTTGGGTCCAGCACCTAAAAACCCAACCCAACCCAAGACCCAAGCTGGGTACCCATTGGGTACCCAGGAAAACCCAATTTTGCATAAAAAAGAGGTCTTGGCATGTATAACTCTGCTCAGTCATCAATTTAAAATACTGTTTTTTACATGTGTTTTGCATTCGTTTTAGTTTATATGTTAGAGTCTCTATGAGTCTATACCCTTGCATGTAGCTACTATACCTTTACATGTAGCAGCATTACATCTTAGAAATAGATGTTAGAGAGTAAGTTGATTACTAGTAATAATAATAGATTTCTTATTTGAAAATAATATTAACATTCAGAAGGAAAAATTATTATAAAATATTATATTATATGGATGGAGGATGTAGGGTGTAGAAATTGATATTTAGTAAATGTTGTAGGAAATATATATTTACATGCTGCAGAGGTAGTGCATCTTTTACATGTATGCCCTACAAAAGTGTTACTTTTTATTTTTAAGCTAATTTAGTATTTCTTAATATTAAATTGAATCTTTAGTTCTATAGTATTTTAACTTAATATTTACTAAATTGAAGAAGATAGTATTCATAAAATAAACGGGTAAAGTAGGGATTCTAAGGAAGCAGCTGGAAGCCTGGGTAAAATTTTTTAGAAGACTTTTAGTAGACTTGGGTTGGGATTGGGTACTTCTTGGGTTTTCATGGGTAATTCTTGGGTTTTCATGGGTTTTCGTGGGTCTTTCGTGGGTTTTCGTGGGTTTTCATGGGTTTTCATGGGTTTTCATGGGTTTTTTATGGGTTTTCTTGGGCTCTTCTTGGGCTCTTCTTGGGCTCTTCTTGGGCTCTTCTTGGGTTTTTGTGGGTTTTTATGGGTTTAAAATTAAAGATATGTGTTATTAGGTATTTATTTATTTCTAATCTTTAATCTTCTATATTTCCTACCTTCTCCTTTATACCCTCATCCTTACACTTATCATTCTTTTATGATTTACCTACCCTTGATACTTACTTACTATTCTTCTTCTACATTTCCCACCCTACCCTTACACTTATTATTCTTTCATGATTTTCATTTAACCTCATGTCCCAAAGCCAAAATTCCAGTTTCCAATCACCTCTCTACCTATCATCATCATTAGGTTATGATGAAGAAGAGTTAGAGACTACTATTCTCCCTTTTTTTTAGACTATCTCAAGCCCACCTAACTCTCTTACTATTTAACTACCTAGTACCCAGACCATACTCCCAAGCTTTGATAGGCATACATTCCTCCGGCCAGATACACCTCCTCCTCCTCCTCTACCGTTTATCCGCGTTGGACCCGACCGAAGAAAATCCTATTTCCTCTACAATATGGTAGAGCATACTGAGTGGGTTGACTGGTGGCTACAAACTGACTATGGGAGGAAAAGTAAGATCCACTGGGAAGCAGCCCGCCAGGCCCCAATTTGGAATAACTTCCATCAGGTTGCCCAAATCACAGATGGTGCACCAAAGGTTATGTGTAAGCGGTGTAGCAAGGTTCTTGAACATGCTCACTCTGCCTGTCAAAATGGCTACCAAGGCACATCAACCATGGCTAAACACCTAAAAACTGCAAAATGCCAAAACTCTATGAGGCGGAAGGAGAATATTACTGGTTTCCTTATAAGCAAGGTACGTTTTAATGGTGGTGAGATACACAGAGTTGGTGTTTTGGGCGCAAAAAAAAAACTCTAGCTGAGATAGCATTTTGTGCACAAAAGAGAAGCTTAATCAGTAGGAAACTAGCTTAACTACTAAGACAGTAACTAACTATTTAATTAATTTTATTTCACTAGGAAGATGAGCCATCTACTACTCCTGCTCTTGCTCCTTTCTCACAGCTAGGCTGGGAGGAAGAAATCTTACAATTTCTTACTATCAACCGGCTTCCATTCCACCTTATTGAGCATCCAACCTTTCATAGTCTGATTCATAAGGCTCGCTCTTCACCATTACCTCCAACCATCCCGTCTGCAAATACAATTCGTCGGCGACTACAAGATCTAGTTGCAGACCGCCAGAGATCCATTCTTAACCTCCTACCGCCCAGCTCAAAAGTTTCAATTGCGCTGGACTGCTGGACTTCTCCGTTTTCGCAAGCATTTATGGCCGTTACTGGCTATTTTATTGATGCAGATTGGACCTATCGGGAGGTGCTTCTTGGTTTTAAACCACTCTCTGGGTCACACTCTGGTATAAGTCTTAGTAGTGTTCTTCTCAACATACTCCAAGAGCATCAGATTACAGACAGAGTTCTTGGAGTTACAACTGATAATGCATCAAATAATAAGGTACCCTCCATCTCCATCTCCATCTCCATCTCCATCTCCATCTCCATCTCCATCTCCATCTCCATCTCCATCTCCATCTCTATCTCCATCTCTATCTCCATCTCTATCCTTAAGGCTACTACTAATAATATACTATATAATTAGACCATGATTGATGCAATTCAACAAGCCCTACCTGAGAATCTTAGCATTACCCGGATACCTTGCCTTGCCCATGTTATTCAGCTTAGCCTTAACCAGCTTCTGGATCGCCTAAAGGCAGCCCCTTTAAATGAGACTACCCAAACTAAATAGACTGAGAAACAATCAACCCTTGCTAAGGATAATTTAAAGCGCCAGAAGTGTGAGATCTCTGTTACCTTGAATAAGGTACGCTACCTTGCAATCTACATTCATGCAAGCCCCCAACGCCGTGAAACATTCATCAATCTTCAAACAGAGGAACCAAAGGTTATTCCAATACAAGATGTACGGACTCGGTGGAATTCAACCTTCCTAATGCTTCGCCGAGCTAAGAGGCTTCGTGATTTTTTCCTCCCATTTTGCCTGGAATATGACTGTAAAGAAATGCTTTTAACTCCAGAGGAGTGGCGCCAAATCGATTACCTGCTCTATCTCACTGAGCCCTTCTTTGAATATACGACTGAGCTATCGAAGACACGAGATGTAACCATACATCTTATATTCAAGCTTTATAATGCATTATTTTTGCATCTTGAAAAGTCCATGGCGCAGCTTAGGCAGAAGCGGGTTCCATGGAAAAGGCACATACTTCAGTGCCTTGAAGCTAGCCGATTAAAGCTTGATGAGTACTACACACAGACAGATAGTATTCCAGGGCACATATATGCAGTTGGTACAATGCTAGCTCCTGACAGCCGGTTCCAGTTTTTCCAATCAGATGACTGGGATGGGTCCTGGCGACTTAAGTACCGGAGTGCATTCCAGACAGCTCTTACTCCCTACCAAGAGCACCAAGAGCATCTTTCTCATACGTCAGACACAGGAAGCTCCCTACCTACACCAAAGCTAAGCTTAAAGCTTAATAAGATATTAAACAAAAGCAAACCGAAGACAAGGCTAGCTAAAGATGAAATGACACAATATCTTGATGGTGGTATGTTTGAATTATCAGTATTCTAATATCATACTACCTATATCTATACATACTAACTACCCCTACCTTAGACACTGTTGAGACTGAGCCTCTTCAATTCTGGAGAGAGCACCAAGGACGTTTCCCTATAATCTCTGCACTTGCACGGGATGTTCTCTCAATCCCAGCAACAGGTGCTGGTGTAGAGCGGCTATTCAACACTGCCCGGGATATCTGCCATTATCGCCGTGGTCGTATGAAGTCTGAAACAATTGAGGAGCTGATGCTGTTTCTCTGTGCTTCAAGGTTTGACCTTGAAGGGCAGCAGAGGAAAGAACTTCAGCTATTCTTTTCCTTAGATGAGATTGAAGCAGAAAGGGAGTAATGTGACGAGAGGCTAGATGAGCTTGATGGAGGTGGTATAAGTGATCGTGAGGAGGCTGAGGAGGAGGCTGAGGAGGAGGCTGAGGAGGAGGAGGTACTACAGCTACCAGAGATGAGTACTCAGCTACGAACATCGGGAAGGAAGCGAAAGAACAGGGAGGATGATGGATATGAGCATTACTAAGTTTAAAAAACAACCATGAGGATGAGGATATATATCATCATGAGGATGAAACCAACATGTAAGTTTACATCTACAAGCCACCTACAAGCTATCTTTGTGCACAAAACCTCACCTCTCCATCTGAGCCTCACCTCCCTCCCCCCCCCTATGCCTAAAAGCAGCTACCTACGATATGGTAGAGCTATCTTTGTGCACAAAACCTCACCTCTCCATCTGAGCCTCAGCTCCCCCCCCCCTATGCCTAAAAGCAGCTACCTACGATATGGTAGAGATATGTTTTTGTGCACAAAGCTAACTTAGAAGTACATTCAATCATCTTTCATTTGATCTTTTTTAATTAATGTTTCATCTATTTCATCTATTCCATCTATTTAATCCGCTTGCTAACTACTCTACTAGCTAGCCTTTTTACAAAGACTACTTTCTTTGTCTACTTTCTTTGTTATTTCCTAGTCTCTTCTCCCCCTCACCCCTCATCCCTTCTTTTTCTTTTCATCCTCCTTAACTACTCAGTTTCCATCACTTATCATTCAACATTTATCATATTAATCGTGTCTGCTGTGTCTATCATAATGGACACCCTAGCTGAGGGAACTGGGACCCTCCAAGTCTCATTCAAGAGCACACTTGATCTTTGTGGACAGCCAGTAAGGTCTATGGAAGAAGCTCTTGAGGTAATGAAGACGCTTGCCCCAGAAGAGGTCTATCCAGCTGCGCTTAGAATCCAGGACCACGCCCACTCATTCCTTAGCGAAGCAGTTAAGTCTCTAGAGAAGCTGCACGATTTCATCGAACAAGGCGAGTTTTGGAGAGAGCATGAAGAGAATGTGGAGGCATTCCACGACTCATGGAAAATCACGCGTGACGCGGTTAGAAGCCAGCAGGGTGTGGCCCGATTCAACGACAACCTCCTGCTACGTGCGAAGACACAGTGGGGTGAGGGCCAGGCGAATGCTCTTTTTCTCCGCATCAAAGGTGACACAATGAAGCGAAAAATCAGCAAATTCCTCACAAGCGGCATATCCTATGAGCATACACGAGCATCCATCAACAATGCATATGTGGCACGGAGGTCTACTCGCAAACGTGGAATTCGGCAAGAAAGCCGAATCATGCAGGCTGATCTAACCAATGCCTTCTTAAGCCAAGACACTACGCCCTTAGACCATAGTGTCTTACAAGGCTTGGAGCTAGGAATTGACATAGATGGGTTTGTGTGTCCAAGTATAGGTATGTATTCTTACCTATGAGCCTAGTCTAAAAGATGTGGTTTTAACCTTTAACCTTTAATCTTTACTAGGCTTGGTCTCTGAGGCGCCTACTACCCAGCCACCTACTCCTAAGAAACAACAAAAGAATAGCTGCCAAGAAGAAGATGATGATGATGATGATGAAGAAGAAGAAGGCCATTCTAGCAGCCAGGCTAAGGATAAGGAAGATCACAACAACAGCAGCAGTGGCAACAGCAATGATGAAAATGGCGACAGCGACAGCAATAGCAATAGTGATAGCAATAGCAATAGTGATAGCAACAGCGATGGTGATAGTGAAGGTAGTGGTGATGCCGATGATGATTTTCAACCTCACCCACGGAAACGAGCTAAGCACACAACACCACCTATGTCTACATGTGGCTGTCCTCTCACAAAGGCTGCTCTCCAGCGTTTAATACCAGCTAAGAAAAATGTTGTACTTCCCACAGATACATTGAAGAAACAGGCTCTCAGAAAAATTGGCCGAGAAACTAGCAGCCCTAACGAATCCCACACCTTACGCTTATGCCCCGAACACACACATGCTCTCTGCAGGCAGCTAGGTATCTACCATCGTTTTGCTATTACTCAGGCTCATAGACGGCTTCTCTACCTTTACAAGAAGCTAGATTCATGGGACTCCGTGAGGCAGCAGCACCCTTCTTGGTTCAAAGGCAGCATTGGAAATCTTCAGTCTGGCTGGCGCTTTGAGGCCACTGCCCTACCACTAAGGCCAAAGGTTTCCAAACCAACCCAGATGTCATCCTTTACCTTTATGAAGCTATATAAACGATGCTTTGGCAAGGCCCCGCCCCCTGAAGCTATACATATGGACCAGCAAATGAAGAAGGATGGTAGTGTGGTAGTCACTGGGCTCTTTAGTTGGCTAACAGAAGACCTTGACGGCCAGCATCCTGGTGGTATCCTGCCTATGATCTTACAGGAGTTTGATATGTATGACTGGCATTACCGTGCCCGTCCTGGAAAACCTCGAATTGGCTGGGCCCGGAACATGTGGTTTAGCTTGGTCCAGCAGCTTGTCCGGCAAGACCCTGCTTATTATGCATTCTATGTGTTCTTTCGGCCAGACCATGCTTGGCGACTAATCTCCTTTCCTTATTACACCAAGAGCACCTATCCTGGGGAATCTACGTTTTTTCGTCATATTGATGTGAATATCGCTGATTTCGTACGTACTGGACGTGGTCAGAATGCTTTACAAGGTAGTCTTGCACTATCTGTGGAGGATGACAACAACTGTACAGAGATGCTCCTTGGTATGCATCGGGATATCAGAGAATGGAATGACCGCCTTCGTCTCCGAGGCTATACAAAAGATGGCTATGTACAACAGATTCAGCCTACAATGTGGACTAAAGATGATGAGGACCACTTTGGCTACACGTGGTCTAAACAGAAGTGTACTATTGGAGATGTGCGCCTTAGCCTACCTGGCCTGCCACACGGCTCTACTGGCCCTGCTACTTCACGTCGCCTCAATATCCTACCTTGGTTTGTGGGTATTGGAGAAGACCACCAGACATTAGATGTGGCTGAGTCAGGAACTTGGGGTGACCTATCTCACTGCCACCGCAGTTTTTACTCTGGCACTAAGACCCCTTCAGGCTTGCCCAATAGCACTTTTGGAGGGCGTATGGACCAGATTTTCCCAGCAACTGTACGCCTTGGGCGGCTGGGGTGCAATTTCAGATGCACTAGTTGGGCAGGTGCGCTGGGACGAGGTGGATGTACGAGAAGAGCTTGACATTTTATTTGGAGATGACGATGTGGCTGCTTGGGGTTTTATACAGAGGTGGCGGAAACACGCTCAGCAGCTATACATTGCTGCCTTTGAGAAGCTAGTTCTAACAGAACGTGCTGCGTTTGGGGCTAACTCCTTCTTCGAGCGTACCCAGCTTGGCCTTGATGTTACCCCTGTGTTTATTAAGGGTGGTTTTTACTGGTCTAGGTTTCAGGATGAGCACGAGCACGAGCACGAGCATGAGCATGAAGAATGAGGAATGAGGATGAGGGTCAGATGCTACAGAGGTAAATTTTGTGCACAAAAGCCTGTTAGTTTTTAATAGGAGCCTAGGAGACAGCTAGTATTGGCAGCCCACAAACTATTTTTTGTGCACAAAACCCTATGCTTCAGACGAATCCTACCTTACTTTGTAGGAGGTAGAAGAGAAAGGACAGACCAGGCAGGACGAGAAAATGGATAGAATGGTAGATTAAGGAGATTGAGTTAAGAATTGATTGAGCTAGTTAAAAAACGCTTTTCTTTGCTAGTTTCTAAAAAGCTGTAGCCGCAGTACCCAAAGGTCTGTAAGGGGAATACCCAAAAATACAACGCCAAGATGCATAATTTATGCTACAGCAAAATCTTGGCATGTTTGCTATGTTTGGGACCCAATTGGGTACCTATGGGTTGGGTTGGGTCCAAGGAAAAAACCCAAAACCCAGGCTTGGGTCTAAGTTTTGGAGCCAAACCCAACCCAATGTTGGGTTGGGTTGGGTTGGGTCTTGGGTCCATTGGGTTTTGGAGAAGTCTACTCACAAATGTGTTCAGCTAATTTCTCTCGGAATTTGGTTCTCCATGTCGCTCTCTTTGCGTTTCCTCGGTCCATATCTAGATGGTTTTTTAGTCTGATTGAAAATCACTATTATCGGACTACTTGGGGGCTGCGCTTTATATATACCTAGACCAAGGTAAGCTTATATAAGTAAACTATATTTGGTATAGTTAGCTATATACTAGTAGTGTAGATGGCTTTACAAGTATACTAATCCTAGAACCATTGAATACATTAACACTAACCGTTTTAGGTCCGAGTCATACATAGAATTAGTGCAAGGGTGCTGGATAGATACCTAGCTCCCCTACTAGTCGTGACATCTTCAATGTTGATCTTTCAAGTTGTACCTCATCCCAGATTTAGAGACCAGTATCAAATACATATTCAAATTTGATAGAATAGTATAGATGACTTGAAAATTTGAAGTACTTAAGTTCTTCTGATATTGCTATGTAGGTACAGTGCGTTCCGAAACCGGTGCAACAAAAACACTCTTAGACACTCTTTGTGGCCCTGCTGCCAAGATATTAGCGCGTAGTATTTATTGAGGTTACCACCACACCAAATTAGAATCTAATGCAATAGCCCATCACCGAGTATAGTAACGGCCATTGAAAAGTGAAGATCTATTTGAACAAGGGGAAGATACTTTGCCATAAATTGATTTTTACGGGCCACATGCGAATCAAGCCCGATTCATGCGATGTGTCGCTCCTCAAGGGTCAGCCAATTGTCGCACGCGCTGATCTGCCACTGCTGACCGCTTAGATCTCGTTCGAAGATGCTTGGGCTGGCTGGTGTCGACTGAGCTACGGACTAAATTACCTCTTTGAACCCCTTACAGGCTTTTCTTCCCCTCACGACCATGTTTGCAATCTCAGCTCTCTCATTTTTCCTATACTTTCTCCGACCTGGCGACTCCCTCGCTGGTGCTAGCCATTGCGAGTTTACAGTCAAAAATCCAGAATACATCGCCGAGTTGCGCTGTAGCACTTTTCTTTTCAGTCGAATCGAGAGTCTACCCATTGAGCTTATACAAATAATCATTCGGAGTGCCATCTTTTCCGAACCATTAGGCTCGCATAGCGGCCTTCATACCATTCGTGAAATGAGCCAGGAGGATCGGTATCCCAAACTCAAAAAAACTATCGGCACCGTGCTTGGTGCCAAATTTACTCAGGAGCTTATTCATCAGAATTGGGGCGTACATTCTGATTTTACTCATGCTATAGCATGCAAACACCATCCCGAGCAACCCAGCCATGGCATAGACCAATATCTCCCATCACGAGTCATGAGACACTGTCACCCATGCTTCCAGTTCCTTCTTACTTCCGGAGCTATTCTCGCCTCCAGTTTCAACTCGCAACAAGATAGTTTACTGTTCCGTGCTCTCCAGATGCATAACTTTGAGGCCGGAACTACCATAATATCTCTTATGAGCTATGAAGAGCTTTTTCATCCTGTGTCTGGGATTGGTAAATGGAAAGAGATCACAGTACTTCAGGAATCCACGGGAGTTTTGGAATGGTTCAAAGTATGCTGGCCCCGGGTTAAGTTAGACTCAAGAATCAGTCTATCTTATTTTGGCCGTGATGGAGTTAGAAGAATCTGTTCTTTGGGAGATGTTGATATAGCAGAAGATCTATTGCAATGCGGCTTAGATCTGGGAGCCTCTTTTGGAGAGCGCGAATCGCCTGCTTGGGGGACAGTGCTAGTTGCAGATAATCTATCTGGACATGAGAAGGTGAAGTTTTGGGATTGGCTTGCCAAACGTCATCAGCCCCCTGCTTGGCTTCTTGAAGGTGCCGTCCAGGAAACGAATATCCATGCTGTACGCTGGTTGATGAATCGCGCAGAAGCTAGGCAGGCTTGGCAGGCTGCTGCACGAAGCGCAGCTGAGCGGATGAAACAGGGGGATGCGGAGGTCTTTGAAGCCATTATCCGGCATTCATCCGTGATTGAAGCTATCAATGCGGCTTTCCTGAGTAATCTCTTAGAAATAATCGTTCAAGAGGTCCGCGAAACAAGTGCCCAATGGGATGCCCGTCTTTCTAACCAGACAACTCCGGCCATCCAACGTATTCTGATATCCCAACGTATGTTGACCCTGGAGCCGATCGCTGTGCGAAAAATCAACACTATCAGGAGTTTCAATGTACTATTGGATTTTTCAGGTCTCCAAGTTCAAACAAAAGAGGCTGGATTATACAAAATCACCGAAGCCCTGGAGAATGGGTGGCAATGTAACTTGTTATCCCGTGGGTCCATAAATGACCTCTTGGTTCGAATTCGGACACAATCATGGTCCTTATCAGGGTGGTGGGTTAGCAGAGGGTTTATGTTGGTAGCGTTTGCTACAACCGCCACATGCATTTTGCGATGGATATACCGTGGGCGAGTTTCTCACAGGGCTTTGAATTCCTCCTGGAGGTTCTGCTTTTGCTTAATGAGGATATGATTTCTGGTAAATTCCAAGGTTTGACATATACAGGTTGGCGCTGAATCATGCTCTTTAGCTTGTCAATAAGTTTTTAAACTTCCCCGATGGTTATCTGGTTATGTAGAATATTTATCGAGATTGCTCCCATACTAAATTAAAATTCGCTACATATAACTTAGTAACCATAACCTTACCTAATATGGAAACATTAAGATCTGGATCTAAACAGGGGAAGATATCATTATGTTGGAACTACACTATTACCTTCGCCTCTCGTACACATCACACAGTATTACAGTGCCGACCGCTATCGCCTTCCATGTTCTGAACACAGAGAGACTTTTTCAAACCCTAATCATGTGATAGGCTAATACAGATATGGGTAGCTGTAATTAATCCGTTTTGTAGCGGACCAGGTAAACAATAGCAGAATCTTAAAATACGAGTACGGAAAATACAGCTTTCTACTCTTAACTTACAGACTGGAAGGTTCCATGCAAACCCTGCAAACATAATGGCCTTGGAATGGGTAATCTGTCAACAGGCCCTGTGTCGAGCGGTTTCATGACTCCAGAGAGCCTGCCTGATGCTCTGGGTGTCTGTCTGGAATCACATTGATAGCTAGTACGCTAGAAACAGGGCTTAAGATTCGATGTAAAACAAGCAAACATGAAGATCTTCAACCAACTAACATGTTGATCCCTCCCATACCCACTATTGAAAACGATTGGTAGAGATATGCTGTGCGTCAGCCTCACTTCCAAACCCCGCTTCCCTCCAAGGTCCATTTCCTCCCAGAACTTTACTCCATGATGAATCGATTGCAGAAATCGACGACAGTCACCTCGACACGGCTTTTAGTCTCAAAGCGGAAGATAATCATATAATCCAGCATGGTTGCCGGGGCCACCCTATCTCACGACCATTACACGGTCGGGTGGATATGCGCCTTACCGCTCGAGATGGCGGCTGCGAAGCTGATGATGGACTCAATACACCCAAGCCTGCCGAGTCCATCGACTGATCAAAACACATATATTCTGGGAAATATTGGGGAACATAACATTGTCATTGCCTGTCTACCAGGCGGCGCATATGGCAACGTGTCAGCCGCAACGGTAGCGATGCAGTTGCTTTCAACCTTCCACTCTATTCGGTTCGGGCTAATGGTCGGTATCGGTGGAGGCATACCGAGCAGCAACGCAGACATCCGACTAGGCGACATCGTGGTGAGCCAGCCAAGGGATACGTTTGGAGGCGTGATCCAATACGATCTTGGGAAAGTGTTACACGACGGTCAATTCCAGCGGACCGGGATGTTAAACCGGCCCCCAAAGGTTCTGCTAACCGCCATTGCTACACTACAAGCTCATCACCTTACAGAAGATAGTCAACTTATCGAGTTCATTTCCAACATCCATCTCAAAATCACATCTCGTAAAGCTACAACCTTTACTCGTCCCGTCCAAGAGGATTGCCTATATCAAGCAGAATATGAGCATGGGGCAGCTGATACATGTACGGATTGTGACCGATCGAAACTGACTCAACGATCTTCTAGAGAACACGATGAACCAGTGATTCACTATGGACTGATTGCATCCGCAAATCAGGTGGTGAAAGATGGTAGACGGCGAGACCAACTAGCGCAGGACTTGGGGGTGTACTGTATTGAGATGGAAGCGGCGGGGCTCATAAATGACTTCCCCTGTGTGGTCATTCGAGGCATCTGTGATTATGCTGACTCGCATAAGAACAAAGAATGGCAAGGATTTGCGGCAGCAGTGGCGGCGGCGTACGCTAAAGAGCTACTTTTGGTGGTTCCAGTCAGTGAGGTTGATAAGACCCCTATAGCACAAGACTCTCTTAAAAATTCTGGTAAGATGCTCTGAATATTCATCTTTAGGCTATGTTTTTTTGTCTGAATATAATACTAAATAGACCTTTCTGTATTCAGTGGATCGCTTTATGATCCCATTGGATCTCACTGCTGTGCCTGTGATTGAAAGCTTTGTGGGACGACAATCTGATCTAGACCGCCTTTGGCAATATTTTGAGCCAACAAATGCCCAGTCACGTAAAGTCGCGATCCTCCATGGGCTTGGGGGCATAGGAAAAACACAACTCGCGATTCGGTTTGCACGAGACCGCAAAAATGAATTCACTGCTATATTCTGGTTGAATGGCAAGGATCGAAGCACACTTTTGCAATCCCTTAGTTCGGTCCTGCCACGATTACCTGGACACTCCCAGGGAAACGGCGCAATCAATAACGAGGAGCTGGAGCAACAAGCGAATTATGTGTTGGACTGGCTGGCGAAAGATGGCAACTCACGCTGGCTACTGATTTTTGATAATATCGATCAATACTCTCCCATCACGAGTGGCATTGGTGATGAATATGACATTGGAGCATTCTTCCCTTCAGCAGACCACGGGTCTATTCTTATTACCTCCCGGTTACCAGGCTTAAGTGAGCTGGGGAAGTCCTTTCCGGTCCATCGGCTTAAAGTAATGGACGCAATTTATCTACTATTCCAGAATAGTGGCCTACCACCAGATGCCATTAAGAGCCTTCGGGATAAACCAGGTATAATGATCTTAATATATAGATCTTCTAAGTGATAGTACTGATAATACTTATATATTTAGATACGATTACCCTTATTAATCACCTTGATGGACTGCCATTGGCGGTTGTGATCGCAGCAGCATTTATGCGTCAAACCGGAACCAGTATCACCGAATATCTACACTATTACCAGCAATCCTGGTCTCACTTACAATCACAATCAGGTCCTGGACGTCAGTACCAGCAGGGCAACATATTACAAACGTGGATTATCTCATATCAAGAAATACAAAAGCGGGACCCCAGCGCTGCAAAACTTCTACTGCTACTTGCTTGCTTTGATAACCGAGATATTTGGTATGAGCTGGTAAAAGGTGCTTCTCATAGCAGTGAAATCCCTAGTTGGCTTGAAGGGATAATATCAAGCGGACTCTCATTCAAAGCTCACCTGAAACATCTCATCGGATTTTCTCTTCTTGAGACTAAACAAGAAGAGGGAAGCTATTCGATGCACCCAGTACTTCAGAACTGGTGCCATCATATTGCTCGCACAGAAAGTATCGCAAATCTGAGCCAGCTTCGTGAGCTAGCATTAATATCGGTTGGATGGACTGTCCCTCGTGCAAACGAACGGAATTATTCAGAGATTCAGCAACGGCTAATTCCACACGCGAATCATGTACGGCTTGAGAGACTCTATGGTAATAACATTACAGTATGCGGGGCATTTCATGGATTAGGTATTCTCTTCTCTAACCGGGGAAAGCTGAATGAGGCCGAGGAGATGTACCAGCGAGCTCTAGTTGGCAAGGAGAAGGCCCTTGGTCCAGATCATATATCTACTCTTTATACTGTGAACAACCTTGGTCTTCTCTATCTTGACCAGGGAAAGCTGAAGACAGCCGAGAAGATGTACCAGCGAGCTCTGACTGGCTATGAGAAGGCCCTTGGTCCAGATCATACATCTACCCTTGATACTGTGAATAATCTTGGTATTCTCTATAAAGAGCAGGGAAAGCTGAAGGAGGCCGAGGAGATGTATCAGCGAGCTCTAGCTGGCAAGGAGAAGGCCCTTGGTCCAGATCACACATCCACTCTTGATACTGTGAATAACCTTGGTCTTCTCTACTCTCACCAGGGAAAGCTGAAGACAGCCGAGGAGATGTACCAGCGAGCTCTGACTGGCTATGAGAAGGCCCTTGGTCCAGATCATGAAAATCATTATTTTACTCTCAATACTGTGAACAACCTTGGTATTCTCTATAAAGAGCAGGGAAAGCTGAAGGAGGCCGAGGAGATGTACCAGCGAGCTCTAGCTGGCAAGGAGAAGGCCCTCGGTCCAGATCATACATCTACCCTTGATACTATGAACAACCTTGGCATTCTCTATAGAGACCAGGGAAAGCCAAAGGAGGCCGAGGAGATGTACCAGCGAGCTCTGGCTGGCAAGGAGAAGGCCCTCGGTCCAGATCATACATCCACTCTTGGTACTATGAACGACCTTGGCATTCTCTATAGAGACCAGGGAAAGCTAAAGGAGGCCGAGGAGATGTACCAGCGAGCTCTGGCTGGCTATGTGAAGGTCCTCGGTCCATATCATACATCCACTCTTGGTACTATGAAAAACCTTGTTCTTCTCTACTCTGACCAAGGAAAGCTGAAGGAGGCCGAGGATATATCCTAGGTAGAAATGTCAGATATTCAGGAGGTTAAAAATCCCAATGCTAACAAGGGACAGCGGGTAATACAAAAAAATTAAAGATAGCTCAAATAATAAGGGGGAAACAACTGTATACCTACAATGCGCTTGTAAACAATGGCCATGCAGCTAAAATATATCCTCTTTATGAGCTTACCATGCTAATCATAATTGTATGCCATCACCGTAGAGCAGGCCGCCGCGAAATGCTGGCTACGAGGTAGGCTTCAATAAATGTACAGTATCTCTGGGAAAGGAACACACAAAAGACGCATGCGGAAAAAAACATTCACAAGTTTTGTCACTTAGTTGACGATACTATCATCAAATGTCCTCTAGCCACGTCACTTCCCCTTGATCAAATCATAAGGTCACATGGCGAAGTATGGAATCAGCGGCGGGTCTGTATTTTGGGGATACGTGTCTCAGATTAAACGTTCTTGATGGTGGGGCCTGCTATGTTTAGATCTGTCAGAGTACATGTACTAATACCCCAAGTTGGTATTTTACTTGTTCCGAGTAATACAATTCACACTTAGAACACATCCTGAAACTAAAGACTAACCATATATGGATTGGCGTGTCATGTGGTTAGGGTTTGAAATAGCTTCTATGTGTTGTTCGACCTGGAAGGCGATAGCGGTCGGCACTGTATCATCCCCTCCATGTCCTCTGACATATTGTAGATTTATAGATTATTGACTCAGCGTGGTAACTTAAATAAATAATCAGCGCTAAGGCCTTGGCAGCGGGGCCAGAAAGAATTCTGAGAGTGTTTTTATTGCACCGGTTTCGCAACGTACTGTACATACTAGAGTACCTATCATCCACATATTTATATACTACCTATATACATATTGTATATAGTCATTCGCGGATTATTGCTATCTCTATATCCCTAGACAGTGAAATCTGTTTCAAGCCACGTAATAATGCTTCGCAACATCGAGAGCAGCCATGAACCCCCCCATATATGCTCATGGGGCATACAAATGTCTCTTAGATAAAGCTCTTTGATGAAGCTAGCATTCTCTATGAATCTGATCAAGTCAGAGCCATCAATCCAACACTTTGCTAGCTCTAACTTTTGAAGCGTTGGAAAGTGAATTCCCGAGATAGATTCGAGAAGGCTCGAACTATCAATCAGATGAATTTCCCTCACACACTCAAACGCACTGGCCGATATCTTCTTGAAGAATCTATCAGAATTCGACAGGCGTGCGTAAAATCCCTCAATCTCCAGCGCTTGTAGTGATCTACCACCTTTGCGGATAGCAATCAGTGCATAAAAAATGCTCTCCAGATGCAGTGGGAATGAATCCTCCCAGTTGACGAAAATGCGACTTGAGAACCATAAGATTTTATGATCTCTTAGAGCCGTGAACGATATCTTAATCGATATGAGATGCTCGAAACGGGGAATAGCTTTAGCTATTCTTTGCCGGTCACACCTCCCTTCCAGAAGAGAATGCTGTTCCTTGCTAAGGCCACTGAAATAAGATTGAATGCTAGCATATGATGACTCCCCACACCGGCCTAACTGCAGTTCTCTCTGGTCACGAATATATTCATGCGCTGTATATATACAGGTAGTAAAATATTCCCAGCTTTGTATCACTACAAGAGATAAGGCCGGTTAGACAATTCTGAACTTCCAGTATTTATGGCACTTCGGGCCATAGGTCGCTTATTTATTCACTCACAAGGGTCGATTAACTCAGCAGCCTCATAATGTAAGAATTTCACATACTGTGCTACTCTTGAGTCTGCTATGCTTTCTAGGCATTGAAGTCCCTGGATTGAGAAGGTAAACTTCACAGAGTGGAAAATGTAGGGTAGGCTGATTTCACGACATCTTTTGTTGACGAGAGAAAATACTCTCAGAGCCGTTGGGGAAAGATCACATATGATCAACTGAACCAACTCAACAGGTAGAGCCTCAAGCATTCTCTTTTCCATCAGAAAAATATACCTATAAGCTATAGAGAAAAAGTCAAAGAAAAAGGATGTATAGCCTGGAACACCTAAACATTATATTGAGAGATAATAGTATATAACAAGACTAGCCAGACTATGACAACTAGCCAGACTACAAGGACTGGCCAGACTACAAGGACTGGCCAGACTACAAGGACTGGCCAGACTACAAGGACTAGCCAGACTATGACGATCGGCCAGACTTCAAGGACCGGCCAGACTACAAGGATCGGCCAGACTACAAGGACCGGCCAGACTACAAGGACTAGCCAGACTACAAGGACTAGCCAGACTACAAGGACTAGCCAGACTATGACGACTGGCCAGACTACAAGGACCGGCCAGACTACAAGGATCGGCCAGACTACAAGGACTAGCCAGACTACAAGGACTGGCCAGACTACAAGGACTAGCCAGACTACAAGGATCGGCCAGACTACAAGGACTAGCCAGACTATGACGACTAGCCAGACCACCTGGCCCCTTGAAAGGATCGTTTTTGAAACATACCCTCTTGTGTTTGAGTCCTAGGTGACAATCAGATGATGTAAGATAGATTTAGCATCCATTTCTTCTACTTTTTGCTTTCTCCTTTCTTGTAAACCCGTATCCCATCTAGAATAGCTTCATCCTATCCAAATCGACAATATCCAGGCAGATAAAAATGGACTTTCCAGAAAATGAGTTTGGAAAGCAGGCAAATCAGGCAGCAGTTCATAGAAGTCAGTATTACAAGGGGAGTGCAGTAATCCCTATTCGGCACATTATCTTCGATACAGAGGATATAGTTGGTCAAAGAGAATTTGACGAAAAGAATCTTGATCGGCTTCAACAAATCTTCGAGGTTGAGGGGTGTTGGAATCTTTACCCAGAGTACCGCATTGCTGTTACTATTGACCAGTCGGATCTTGACTGGTCACTCGTGCATAGCAATGTTTCACTTGAGGTATTAATGGATCCTAGAGAGCGGCCTCTGTTAGAATTTCGCAATGGCACCAAGTTGAGGTGTATTTACGGGAAACATCGAATCAAGGCGTCATCTATGTATGGCGAAACTACATGGCTTGTTGACCTTTACACTGGAAGTAAGTATAAGAATATATCTATTTCTCTCTTCAAAGCTAAGGTTATCTAGCAATACCATATGAGGCACTTCTATCTCTGCAAGTAGATGCAAAGAGCCAAGTACTCTCTGATGGTGAGGTTTATCGTTGTCTGAGGGAATGCCAACTCTCGAAACATGGAAGAGAAGAGGCTACTTGGTGGGCAAGGCTGGGAAATCAAGGCAAACAGAAAGACATTCGCCGACTCCAACGCAACAAACCATTATTGCGGGCTTTTGATTATCTCATACCATGGAGAGGCCTTTGGAAGCCCTTAAAATGTTCCCAAATTGAACGGATACTTGCACTGAAATCTCCAGAGGTATATACATAGCACCATTTCTCTATGAATATTTTAATAACAGTAGATGTTGGCAGATTATATCTAACTATCTTAATCGGATTAAGCTTCAGTGGTCTGGAGTTCTAACAGGTGGGAGTCTATTGGATTCCAGGTCCGTCAGTCTGATGGAAGGTCTCATTCCACAGCTAGCAGCAGATCGCGATCGTATTTCAGCCTTGATTGAAAATGGAGAACTTTTCCCGCTTGTTCCAGACAGTGAGAGGGGCCAACTACTTAACCGAATATTCAGTTTACGTGGAAGAATTCTCTCCCTACATACACTTATCAAAGATACACTTTTTCTTGAGAAGCCCGCTAAGGCACTTCATCTACTCTGTCCTCCAAGGTTCAAGGGGAGTCTGAGAAAAGAACTCTTACGTCACTGGCACCTTCTTGGAAGTGGGAAACCTGTTAAGATACAAGTCTCCGAACACAAATTCGAAGAAACACCATTCTCGGACGACTCCTTTTCAATATGTCTCATGCAACTGTGGTTATTTAGCTTACGACACTTTATACAAAAGCAAAATGAGTTCCGCCGAGTTAAGAAAGATTTTGGTTGGAGCTCAGAAGGCGTGAGCTTGTTGATGCTAGGAGATTTAGCATATAGACTTGGTTTCTCTTCTCAGGAGATCCGTCAGCTTCGTGCGCCTCAGAAAGATATTTCTGATATGTTAGCTAAAGGCTTTATTAGCTCCTTATACAAGGGGAATTCCAACTCCCCGGAAGGGGAAACAATTGATTCCTTGTCGGGTCAAATTGGAAGAGCTTTTCAAAACTTTGCTGATTCCGATCACTCAGAAAAGGACCATCTGAATGCTACCACACATAAAAGGAGTAAAAGTACAGCACGAAGATTCAATGCGCCGTCACTCCCTGACTTGGAGGAACAGTCCAGTTATCTGTTCCTTCAGAATATCCTTCTAGAAGATCAGACGCTAGGACCATATCCAACATCCTGGGGTATAACAAAAGACATTCTTATTTGCTTTTTCCCTGACCTGACTTCTATCCATCTTTCGACGCAAAAAGACAACAGCTATCCTATCGACCCAGAGCCTTTGGCAAATAGGAACTACCCTGAACATAATACTGAAGGGGGCCCAACACCTGAGCCAAATCAAGATCCCCTGGAAAATGAAAACGGCCAAGATTCAAGACAGGGTGATGACAGCTCACCCAGTAAAGGCCCTGATTAAACCAATGATGTAAACGTGTACAGCCCATCTATATATACAGACAATGGTCATGAGAAACGTGACGATCAAGATCAGTTATTTCAAGGAGAAGGAGCTATACCTACTCAAGTTAATGAAGGCTCTGTTAGTACACCAACTAATGAGTCTACATATAATGAGCCTATTCATCTTGTTCCTGGGTTTGAGGATGATTATCCAGTAGGACCTCTTAAAACGGAGCTTCAAATCCCAACACTCAGAACAATACCTGAAATTCTGCAAACCTGGTATGAAGCTCCAGGTCATGATCTGATAGTTCTCTGTCTCTTTGAATCTCGGAACTACTATAAATTCGGACTTGATGACGGAGACGCCCTGAAGATTACCCTGAAAATGCTTGCGGAGACGTACAATTTTTTTAATATAGACCCTGAATTCGGGTTTGTCACTCTGGCTGTCAATGAGGTTTTGGATTCGGCGCTAGATCGACGGATCCTGCTGGTTGGAAAGATAAATAACCCAAAAATGACGGTTGACAAAGATGGCATGAACATGTCCGTGGAGACATTGAAGGCCTATGTACAGAAGAATCACCTTCACAAGAAAAGGAAGTACAAGGATATTGACGAAATTCATATCCGAGAGAAGGAACAACCGAGACCGAGCATGAAGAGGAAAACTACGGGACATAGAGACGGTATGTATGTATTCCGTGGTGAGTCAAGGTTGAGTTAAGCCACCAGGGCTTTGGTTTGGCCCATGGACCTTGGAGACAGCCCTGGAGAAGTACTAGTACACTAGTACCTAGGTAGTATGGGTGAATATGAGATATCTCACCGAAATACCTCTATGGATAACCTTAGATTAAAAAAAACAGTCCAGCATTTCATAGATACAGCCCTGGAGTGCTATTAAGATGGCATTAAAATGTATTTAAGCAAACAAAATAATCCTCCGCGTTTCCAAGGTGCCTAGTCCATTTTCACAGCAAGAGCTAGGGCGGTGTTTCCTTTTTCATCACAGCATTCAGGATTTGCCCCTTTCTCCAGTAGAGATTTAACAACCTCAAAATATCCCACTCCCTTTGGTAGGATTTGATACTTCTTATAACGAGGACGAAGTGCATCAAAGAGTGCTGTCTGTTTCAAACGGGGATTGATCCAGTTTACATCCATTCCTTGGTCAAGGAGGAGTAATGTAGTTTTTGGAAGCCCATATTCCGCAGCCTTTGACAAAAAAGCCCGTTCCAGTCCGAATGAATCCGAGAAGGCTTTCATATATGTATGGGAATTTGGGGGTCTGAATTTCATCGCGTACGCCGCTGTATCGTCGCACCGGTTGTACTGAGCCCATGTGAAAGCCAGAAGGTAATAGGTCTTCCAAAGATGTTCAATCAAAGCTTCTTTGGAGTATCGGCTGCGTTTTATCAGGTTGAGTAAATCCGGTGCCGTTAGAAGGGTTGTGATCATGAACAAAATCTCGAGAGGCAGCGACAGTAGACTCGGAGGGAGAACCATTAGAATTATCCTAGCTCTCATATTATTAGTTACAATTATCAATTGGTTTCAGTCTTAAGATACCTACCTAGTTGACTAGGCCCGCGGTAGTTACAAGAATGAATTTGGATAAAGTCCAGCTAGAAATTGATAAAATTTCCAGTTTGTGGCATTTCGCCTTTTCAGGTTATTTGAGCTCAGACTATGAGCTACGTAGATAATCCGCTGGGTAACTGCCAGGTCTTGGAATTGAGACTATTACGCTTTTGATTAGGTTAAGATTGGGCCAATGGAATTCGATATCAAATTGCCGCAGTGCTGCCACTAATCACATTATCTCTCTAGACCTCTCATCACCACAGTCTGACTACAGAAGGCTAGAAATATTTTGATTGACTTTACTCCTTCCAGTAGGGGGCATGCTTTTTGTTTACCTGTATAACTTCAAGTTCTCAGAGTCCATATAACTTAAACTTATAGTTCCGGGCGTTGTGGGGATGATTCATCCATAGTAAATTGGACAAATATCCAAACACAAGTGGGGAAAATTTGAAGACCCAATCTAGGAAAAGGGATGTCACTTATGGAAGCAATGGGATAGTACAAATCGAAATATCAGGAAAAACATGTGTACGCGCAAGAAAGGACGAAAAGTCAACAGGAGTCTGGTAATTCAAAATTTCATGACCCAACCATGCTGAGACCAAATAACTTCTCATGTATCTCAGTCAGTATACGGGCATCAGCTCGAAGGGTTGGGGAGATTTCCTCGCTACATAAGAGGAACTTGATTGTACGACAGAGGAGGTGATGAAGAGTAGCCCGTGGGACAAGCTCAGAAAGAAACGATGTATAAATTGCTGAAAGGCTGAGCGCATTACCAAATTGCCTAAATATTAAGTTAGCTCAAGTGCTTCTCATTTTCACTTCTTTCACGCAGAATTCTTACGCGTGGGAAGTACTGAACATATCAGTGAGAATGAGCCGGTGCTCAACTCCGTCAAAAACCTGTATACCCAGGATTGCCGAATCAACATAGAGCTTGCAAGCACGGTGCAGCTCTGGAGGAACACCCAAGTTCACCTGACTCAAGTGCAAAGTGTGATACAGGAGAGGTCGATAAACGAGGCACCGAGCTCTGTAGTATTTATTTCTCATGCTAGCGGCATTAATCTCATTAGAATGAGGACCCTGGTCTTCCCACCTGATGCTATCAGGAAGACACTTGCGCCAAGCTTCAAGGCTCTCACTCAGGATCCCTGAAAGTCTGATCAACTGCCGGGTCTTATCTCTAAACTGCCTTGGAGATTCTTTGTGATATAATCAGTCAAAGGGATTGCCATCTACTCAACAAAAGATATACTTACTCTCAACTTCGTATAGATCAGTGTAAATATAATGAAGCAGCTTGTAAAGGTGGATTTGCGCATAGTGGATTGACATCATCTTAGTGTTGGGTGCATTTGCATCAGAAGAGAGTTGTATGGTAAAGCTCCCCGTAGGTGGTGGTATCCTACTGTCAGATCGTGAGATACCACTAGCTGGAAGATCAAACTCCGCCAGAAGATCACTATAGAAAAATCAATATAAAAAATCTATAGTAGAATTAGATAAAGACTAACCTCTCAAGCTGCAGAGCCGTCCATAATGCGAAACTATACAGATCCCTTGTTCGATTATCTTCAAGCCTTTCGTATTGTGGCCTGGATGTGAGAGTATGGCTTAGCTAGCTTCAAGTTAAAAAGGAAAAGTACCAAAATAGGGCATACCATCGCATCAGGATTTGACATCCCCTAGATGCCTCAGAGATCCAACCATAGCTCTGGAATGAATGGGCCAATTGACCAGTATAGAGCCCTGCAAGTAAACACGCTTGAATACGATCTAGAGCAGGCCCTCCTTGACAGGAGCCTAGAATTTCTGCAGCATATGCATATAAATGCAAACCAGGGAAATTTTTATATTTCGCTCGATTGTTGGCTTTCGACTTGGGAGGTTGTGTGGAGGATGTAGATGTCAGCTCGGATATAGTCGGGATGTATTGTTGCCGGTAATCAGATTTCCCTCTTGCATCTAAAGAAGTCGATCGTGACTCTGTTCCACAAATTGCCCCAAGAGCAAGTACTAGGAGTATACGAGCGTGCTCCGTAGTCCTGCAGACATGCGATGGCTGGTTTTCTTGATAGAAAGTATGTGAGAGCTCCAATCTAAAAGGCTGCCTGCAGTAAGATTGTATGAAAGAATCAAGTTGGACCGAAACCTCATGCTCATCCAGAAAAGGATGTAAGTTGTGTATCCGACAAAGGTAGGTCTTGAAGTATCTCCGAACCGTCTCTTCGTCGAGATTTAAAAGGCCAGAGTCAGTAATTTGGTTATCTGGAGACCTGATTTCTGAGGGTGGTTTCTCGTTATCCTCCAGAATGCAAATCACGCCTCTTTCTTCTTCCAGCATCATCACATAGTCGTCAGTATAGGTGTGGGGACTAATCAGCCCCTTAACTGTAGGCCATTGTAAGAGCTTATGTGATGCCGCCATATGATTTTCTGGAATAGAAAGCTCCCCTTCCCCGTTGCTACTATCCATTCTCATCATATCCACCCCTTCCTGTACCAAACTTTGAATATAAACCAATGAGCGACCCAAATCCGCTATCTGTGGAGATAATGACAGCATCAACGTATTGTTCGTTTCTTTGCTCAAGGCAATCAGCTTTTCAAGTCGGAATAAATTTTCCGTTTGATGGGCATCAATAGCGTCAATCAAGTCCTGGTATACGCTAGTGATATTGGAAGTTAATGACCTAGGATATTCAAACATCAAATGGGGGACAAACCTTGGTTTTAGAGGTATTCTATAATCACATTGCAGATTTTCCATAGCACAGCTCGTGCATCTTGGTCTCCCTTCATCACATCTTCGTTTCCTTTGTCGACATTCCTCACATGCCTTAAAGGATATCCACAAGTCAAAATGGGTTAGAAGAGATGAGTCCTGTCGAGAAAATACTAACAATATTTGCTCGATTGGCCTGGCCGCGATACACACAGCTGAGATTCCAACTCACGCAATGGTTGCAGCTTGGTTTCGCTTCATTACATTTCAGTAACCGTTTCCGACATTCGCCGCACGCCTTAATCAGTTTTCATAGGTCAGTATAAGGGTAGAGGCTTTAAGCTCTGATCAAGACTCACATTTGACCCATTTTTCTTTTCGATTCGAAGAGCGCTGGGAGCTTGGATACTTGCTGTCGATTGGGGATGTATATTTCGTGTGGGTTCTGTTGAGGAATATTGGTAGGCTGGACCATGTTGTGCTGGGGGATATTGGTAGGTCGCCGGACCATGTTCTGCTGAGGGATGTTGGTAGTAGGTCGCTAGACCTGACAGAAGAGCAGCAATTGGAAGTTTGGGCGGAATATTTGGATCCATTGGGGATCATGAACATGAAGGGATGTGGAAAAGAAGAATAAGAAGGAAGAGGGGTTTTAGACAGTGGAATAATATAGAGCTAATTTCAGGATCAGTCTGAAATCTGTATCCGAAATCTCCCACAATCGCAAAATATGCCACTGTATTATTGGGAGAATTGGGCGAAATAGTGGGAATAGATTGGGTACCCAAATTCCAAAAAGAACTATAAAGCAAGACCTTGTTCCGAAAAGGACTATGACAGATAATGATTCTATTTGATACAAATGGAAGTAGGAGTAACTCATATTGATTTCAGAGCACAGGCGCAACACGGCCTGGTCGCAAGGCCCGTGCAATGTGATAGTGTGAATGCAACATGCTTAGCTAGGGACAGATTTGTTTTCTAAACTGGGATCCTTTCGTCAGAACGTCAGTCTGCTTGGCGTTCCTAAAGCACTTTGAAACAAAATAACTTGGTTCCACAAATAAGTTCGAAAATTGCATTCAAAGGGATCGAGATCTAACCAAGATGAATCGCAGACAGTTCTTCACGGGCTTCAAACATAGTAAGTATATCCTCCCCTCTCCTCAATAGCTCTGATAATAACAAGACAGTTGTCACACTATTTGATGATCAAGGTCTTTGGATGAAGCCATACCCCTTCAACAAGCTTGCCTGAAGAAATATCACTTTTAATCACCTCATCTCCCCACACCGTCATAATACTTATACGTCATATCGATGGAATAGTCGGTATACTATGCAAAATACAGCCTACTTGGGAAGTGCTATCTAAGCATGTTGTGCCAACATGCGGAAACAGCGCGGTTTGAATTTCTTGATTTCAACAAGATCGCACTCTCTCTACAGGAAGAGGTTCTAGTACGGTGCGATCTCTCACTCGTACCGAAATGGCAATATGTACAGAAAAGCCGCCATGCAGCTGTTTGACCTAATGCATCGCAAAGCCCAATGTACGCGCCTCTAATCATCCATCTCTCTTAACAGCCACCTTCCCAAAACCTCAGGGGTAGCTGTGTAAGGAAACTGTCCCTTAAAACCCATCCCAGTAACATACACAGTCCAAGCTCCAGATATCTGAACAGGGTAGTTATCCCTTGCAGGCTGTACGCTAGAGATATACCCCTCATAGGTCTCCTTAACAAGAGGGGGATATCCTGGTGCCATTTGTGGGGACCCTGAGGGCAGTGGGAAATTCGTCACCTGCCAAAACATATCGATCAAGAGGATCAAGATATTCTCAGACGGAGCACTCTCAACATGATGCAAGCTTTCCATCATTAGGCTCCGAGCCCTCTTCCCGTAATCAGTTTCAAGGGCATCTTTTGTCGACAACATCACCATTGCACCAAAAATTTGGAAAGGGGCATAGGTGGCTCCGAGTCCGTACAGTCTGTCACAGTACTCAACCAACGCTTTCTCGACAGGCAGAATACTCAAAGGTCTACCGTCCTCCCATTGGACTTATATGAATGGTTGACCTAGTAGATAAATCAGAAATACTGCTAGAAGAGAGATGGTGGGGACCAATCCCGAAACTTCATACCCTTTTTCACTCGAGCAGGGTCACCGAAACGACTCTCAGGGTAGAAACCTTCCTGCAACATCATTGTAACCGGCGGCTCCCCGGATGGATCTTCCTGCACGAAAGTAAAGGATGAGGTGGACATTTTGAATTTCAGACTTTGAATTGGAATGTCTTGACAGGCAAAAGTTTATTCTCCTTATTGAGGAAGTTTTCGATATTCAGGTAGGTCTGGTTATTAGAAATAATAAAAAGTGCTTTGGGTGGTTGTGAGGGATGCCTTAAACTTATATTAGTAGATTTTGGGCCCTAGGTCGCAAGCTACTGCGGTATTTGAATATTTATAATCCTCTGAGCCTAGTTAGGTTATACCTATATACACCAAGTGAATATTAAATAAATAGGCTATTCTAGATTGATAATTATATCCTAACCGTAGATCCTTGCCAGGGCTGATTGATCACATCCTGAAACATCAATCTTATAGTAAGAACGGTTGCGCATTTCCAAAAAGTACAAGCTTAAGGTTCTCAAGTCTTATAATAGCTTATTCTTGTGTATCTTCAAATTCAGCCAGATCCTGCCTCTACAAAGCCGGATACATCAGATCCAAATCACTAGCCAAAATTATAGATAATTTCGACGAAAGTACAAATGTGATATCTTTAACAAGTGAAGGTAAAAGCTTGAAATGGTGCAGATTTTAGCCTTTACCTATATCGTGAAAACAAACTTAAAATAGCGTTTGCATTGACGGCCTACTTTTTCTTAGTCTTTGTGGACTATAATGTCGACCAGCTAATATCCAAAGAGGGTATTAGAAGAGTTTTATTCGAATGAAACACACACAGATAGTAATATAAACCCAAGCAAACTTCTAGTTACTCTCGCATTTGAGATTTAAAGCACCCTGCAAAGAGAGCCTGATTTTAAGATTGATATAATTTCAGCCTTGTGTTGAGTGAACAAACGCTTACTTGTGGTTATATCGATATTGAATTTTGGAAAATGAAAATCAAACATGGTACTAGGTAGAAGCCTCACTCCGAATGGCGCTCAAGAGCATAGTAATCCCCTCAATTTCCTCCTTGAGCCATTGCATAACAAACTTATACTGCTTCGTCTGGGCTGGGGCTTCTTCAACATGCGCTTTGGTATTTTCATAAATAGTCAAGATAGTCTCTACTACCCTTCCCACAGTATGTAAACGGGACTCCCCTGGATAGCCAAGGAAGAGAGGGTCTTCATTGATAAGTCGAAAATGGGTGTAATCCTGAAGATTTTGGCCAATTACGGATTGATTGCAAGGCCATATTGCTAGATCAAACTGATTCTGGCCAAGAGGAATATAGTAAAGAATAGCACTTTGCAGATTGGATGATTCGATAATAGCAGGCAAATTCTCGCTCTCGACACGCATTGTCTATGTAAGTTCCTCTTGGTTAGTAATGAGACTGAACAAGAAGTTATTGTAGTACTGAGCTTACTTCAATAGTTCGATTATTTCCGAGGTACTGATTAAATAGTAGAGGATCCATTTCGAATTGCTGCACATGTGAAAATTTGAATATTTCGGCAACTAGTTTAAGTTGACTCGCAAAGCCTTCCCGAGTTGAAGTGAAAGGTCATCCAGATGGAATACCTGGGAATCATTATAACACTTATACCCAGGAGGAGGGATAACTACTAGTATATTCCTAGCCCTATTTTAAGCTATTTATTATATATTTCCTAAGCCTGAGAGTGAATTGATAGCCAATTATCTATAATGGTCGCTATGTATTAGTCTATATTTGGATCAATGCTCCTAGGAATAAAATCTTTAATACTTATGCTCAACAAAAAGCGCAACTTATCGTCTTTAAACACAAAATGCCTGAGGAAACTAGTGAGTATGGGAAGAAGAGAAAGAGGACGCTAGCCTAGATGATCCAGTAATTAGTGATTACAATAGTCTGGTCTTCCATAAAAACATCTTTATCCTCTATCAATTAAAATCTATGTAGCAGGTCCGAAGCCAAGGATTATTAAGATTTGCTTTAGTGGAATTGAGAAAGAAAACTTAGACTGAAGATTGTATCAAACACACTCCCATCAACTTGCATACAACTTGAAAATCTCTCGCTATATACATTGCTCCGTAGGGGTTCCTCTATCGCTGGTCATTAGCGTCCACCACGCTTCTCCCAGGGTTTGATTTTGAAGTGCTTGTTTGTTTGACATCATATCGAATTCTTCAGCAAGATCACAAGATACCAAATAGGCCGACAGCTCGTCCATCCCGCTATACAGTTTAGCGTTTACCAGTCGGGGAAAATTTGCATATTTTAAATAGACACAATGAATGCATTTTCCACATACATCCAACTGCCATAAAGTCCGAAGGCGCCATTTCGAACATCCTTCCTTTTGACAATCCCAGAATTGATATGCCTTGACAAACACTCCGTTATCATCACAACAGGAAGGATAAACATCGGTGGTGAGGATACACATCTTGTACCTTTTTCTTTTCAGTAAAATGACCATCAGAGAGCACGGTATTACTTACGAGATATGATAAGATAAACTCACACGTTTTTGAACTTGGAAGTGGAGTAGTAGTGCTTGGATAGAACTCTTGGGAGGATGAGAGGTCTCATATTGACCGGTCTTGCTACTTATACTATTCCTTTAACATAGTAAAACTTCCCAAAGTGGGATAATATTGAACACCCAACTCACACTAATAATTAGAACACTAAATATATGCTATATTATGCTGTTTTCCTTGTAGCATGACGCAGATACACTATTTGAAGTCAAGCTGATATTGAGTTTAAGCTTAATATATAGAGCAGCGAACTCCCTAGGCTTAGGATCACAAACTCTTACTATTATACAAAGGGTTAATCATTGCTACTTCTGGATTCATAACGGCTACTTAGAGAACCCCCAAAACACAAATAGAGAAAAGAAAAAGAAGTGGTGGGTCACAATGGAAGCCTCTGTGGCTCTAGACTCAATAGACTGTTTCAGACGCATGAAATTGCTTTTTCGCACATTAAATACATCCCAATATATTGCACTAAGCCTATTTGGGCTCCCCTCAATGAGGGGAGCCCAAATAGGCTTAGTGCAAGATTCCGGACGATAGCACCTATGATGAAAGTGCTGCCTGAGAGAAAGTCGATTCAGCGGTACCTGTCTGGAGTCTTCAGCTTCACAGCAACACGGGAAGGAGACAACTGTGTTGCATGGATCCTGACCAGCTCAAAAGGGCGGTGGATCATCTGTCGTTCGACTGAGATTAGCCCCGTGTCTTTATGTAATCCTTGTGACTTGAAGATTGAGACTATGTCAGAGAGCGCCAAGTAGAGCGCAGAAGACAGTCTTATGAGAAAAAGGCAACCAGCATTAGCGCGGACACGGTGCTCCTATTCAATCATGGGGGTGTGATGAACTTGCATATCGTCAACTTAGCTCAGCCACTCGAGCCTGTTGGGCCTCTCCAGTCTTCTCATTGGTAGAGTACCCTCCCCAATCCACATATGCACTTTTCGTCTTATTGCTGCTGAGAAGGGGTCAGACATCCCCTGGATATCTCTGTCGCTTTTATTTTTCAAACATGGCTCGACCTCGTCAATACGACTTTGATGGCGACGATGCATCTTACATCATATTTCTTGAAAGTCGAGTTGCTCAGCTCGAAGATGCGAGTTCCTCTGAAGCTCGGCAAAGTTCTCCCGATGAAGGGAATCGATCATGTTCAACAACAGACAATCGGAGGATTCATGACCGAGGCGATCGTGACGGCCAAGAGGGATGTGAATTGCAAATTATTGAGTACCAGCCAGATATCCACGATTCATCCTCAAAAGACCCGAATAAATCACCCCCTACTACGGGCGGCGATGAGGGCGGTGGTAAAAGCAAATCTCAGCTACGAGTGGAGGGCGAAATGGATCAACTCTTTTCCAAAATTCCAGCGTGGGATAAATGGCACAACCATATTGACGAAAAAATACGCTTGGATTTCCTGATTAACTTATTACCGGACGGAAACCTTGAGCAAAGTCCTATTTCACCCCAAAGTGCACCTAGCGACATTAAGTCTGTCGTGGAAGATTATGAGCAAGGCACCAAAGCACAGGTAACCTTGAACAAGCAAATTCTACATCTTCGAGAGCTTGTCTTAGTGTCGCTATGCGTTGTAGCATTAAGACTCGGCCATGAGGAGTTGGCATATCGAACCATACGATCCTATTTTGGAGAAAAAAACGACAAGCAGATCGACAAGCTCTTTTCTGGTGCCAAGTGGGCAAATAGTCTGATTTCTAACTTATTGTCCACGACCCGTTGGGGTTTGAAGTCCTGGGATATATTCCTTATGAGTAGGTAATCCAGACAGCTTAAATTTGAACCTGGATGTCATCGTAAACGTGATTGCTGATTATAACCTTGGGAAGCCGGGACATCCATCCACAACTTCGCACGAATGGCCGAGTTCTCTAGTAGTTTGGATTACCTCTTGCAGAAACTTATATCCCTTCCTGTGGATTCCAATATGGTTATGAGAGATACGTGGTTACCGCTGGCAATTCCCATTGTTGTGAAGAAACTTCTTGCTGAAAGTACTTCGTGCGTGCTTCTCCCAACCCTGCCCCCCTAAATCTCCATCACGGGTACCGATCAAAATCTAATTGACTTGCTTTACAGATTACAAGACGTGTGTAAAATCCTCGAGTACGATATCGACCTCGTGGGACGGTATGACACTTTACTGAACCATGCGCTGGATCATAATCGAAAGAGGAAGAGAGACTCCATGGCAGAATCCTCATCAAAGCGGCCGCGGTGCCAACATGGCCACTCATTGGCGAATAGAGAAGTGTTTCAAGCCAATAGCGGGACCACAGCCCCGTGTCTTGATGGCTTTTCTGGCTTTGGCTACAAGGATATTGACTTGGAGAACGGCAACGAAGAAAGAGGGGGTAGCTTACGCATTTCACGACCGTCAGACGTCAATAATTCCCACATTTACCATCCAAACAGTAGTTGCCCCGCGTCACTTAACACAATTACCCCCAAATACATCAACGTGATTCAACAAAGCCAACGAAATGAACGACCCAAACATTGGGTACATAAAAAAGGGACATCTGGCAACTCGACAAGGAGACAGCGTGGGAATTCGATTGTCTCTCTGGAAGGTAATGTACAAAATTTGAATACGCTTCTTTACCCCCGCCTACATTTCCGTGTTGACAATCATAGATGGTTGTGTCCAAACTCCAACTCCCCCATCTAGCACTTGTCTATCAACCTCTGGATCACCTCCAAGTTCTGATCTAGAGGGTCAAATTGCAGAACACGAAACCAGTACATTGGTGGCAAGCGCACACAGCAGTGATACAATCAATTCAATTGGCATGACAATGGATGCTAGTGCAATCGATTCAAATTCTTACCCCCAAATCGAAAATTCCTTTGCGCCTCAAAGAATAATCACTCATAATAACTGGGCGGGTCCCTCTATTATACCAGACAATGAAGGATTGTTTCCAGACGACATCCCCCAACCCAACTCTACCAACTCCTACGCCAATCAGATTCCTCCCAGTGTGTTCGGCTCAGGCATAAATGACAGCTGGGCAGGTTCTCCCCCCTGCTAGGCAATGAAGTCTTACAGCGATTTTTTCCAGACGACATCCCCCAACCCAACTCTACCAACTCCTACGCCAATCAGATTCCTCCCGATGTGTTCGGCTCAGGCATAAATGACAGCTGGGCAGGTTCTTCCCCCCTGCTAGGCAATGAAGTCTTACAGCGATTTTTTCCAGACGACATCCCCCAACCCAACTCTACCAACTCCTACGCCAATCAGATTCCTCCCGATGTGTTCGGCTCAGGCATAAATGACAGCTGGGCAGGTTCTTCCCCCCTGCTAGGCAATGAAGTCTTACAGCGATTTTTTCCAGACGACATCCCACAACCCAACTCTACCAACTCCTACGCCAATCAGATTCCTCCCAGTGTGTTTGACTCAGGCATAAATGACAGCTGGGCAGGTTCTTCCCCACTACCAGGCAATGAAGTCTTATAGCCATTTTTTCCAGACGACATCCCCTAACCTGACTCCACCAATTCACATACACATCATGTTTCTTCTTCTCTAAATTTTTAACCCTAGTCCCTGGGGGTCATACTAGAAATCCAGTACCTTCTATTTAGGTAGATACCTTTATAAGATGAGGAGGATAGTCTTTGATAATGATTGTCAGTTATTCTTAGGATGTAGATGTATAAGGACTAGATCATTCAATAGCAATAGTAATATCTCAAGTATTGAAAAGTATGAAAAGAGATATTCCCCCACTCCCCTCTGTTAGCTCTATTGGCTTATCATGCGGCATAATAATAAACTCTCCCGGTGATAGAAACGCTTTGTTCAGTTTAGGGAAGCCATTACTTTGGGTGATAAAGTCTAGACCAACTATGACTAAATGATTCTTGGGAAAGGGCGGGTCCAATATTCCTGCTCTGTTTGTCCAGACAATAGGATAGAAATCGGCTATAGTGCTCCATGGGTCGTCGCCGAAAACTACCCCAATTTCATTTGATATTGCTTGTAAATTCAATGCGTCCTAATATATGTTAGTAACTTTTCGATGAAGCTTTCTTGGACTTGCTACCTTCAACAAGCATTCCACAACTGGGCGAACGACTTCTTTGCTACTTGGGGATATCAAGAGCCAAGGGTAGCGATCATGTGACATCCGTAAAACATGTGGCCTAATCTTTGCTGCCGCAGCAGCTGCGGTTGTTTCAAGCGGGGAGGTATACGGCATCAGTAACGGAATGCGAAGGGCGATTTAGCTGGCGTTTGTATCAGACTCTACCTCTCCTTTATAGATTAGATAATATGTTAGAATTATATAGAGAAAAGGTAATCTTACATTGTTAGGTACTCAATATAATAAAGAAGCTGCATTTAGCAATATCTTGGAGCATGAAGTAAATGGTTGTTGGTGCTGGAAGAAGGATTAATGGAAGACGAAATCTTGTGGCGGGGCAAAAGGGATGGACAGATAGGTCACATGATTACGTTAATGAAGAAGCCGCGGAGTTCACTACCCTTCAACGCCAGTGACCCACGCCGAACCCTGAGCCCTTGTATGGAGCAATCAAGGAGAGCACAGCTAAATTTGGAAATAGATTTAGATGGAGTTGGGCACTGAGTCACATGGCAGCTGCCATTTCATTGATACAGTTTGTTAACGTTCTCAAAAAAAAAAAGACCTGGGAATCCTGCCCAACCTCCTGATCATGGAATAACTAATATCCGACCTCAGGATGGAGTGACTTTCTGATATGTACTAGTACTTTGAATATATTTTTGACTCGGAGATACCACGTAAGAAATACATATCTGATTGGTGTGCACAGTCAGGCTACAGATTCGCAAGCCAACCCCTCAAGGAAGCCTACTAGAGTAGAGACGACTCTCTCAAATAGAAAAAGGAGTAATATGTATCGGATTGATTATACAATAGGGTAATAGACTTACTAATAGCCCATATTCATTCTCTGATATTCTACTATTGTGCACGGAAGGTACTGATCCATCCACCTGAGCATCCATCCTAACATGTGCTGAGTCATTCCACACCGCTTTAATCCGATGCCCGGGACTCTCTGGGCCAATTCGGATCATAAAAGTCGAGGTCGAGAAAGAGGCTTATACGTTCTTGACATGATCGATCCCTCATTTTTGCAGCGAAGTTGCACAATCGGCAGAACCTACACCGCCTATCTCGATGACTTATCTGTCCCCGTCCCATTGATACCTACTACCCCCTTCGATGATGCGATGATACGATTATGCAATGGACGACAACAGTTCTCCCGATTACAAAAGTCTCTATTTACAAGAGAAGGAGAGACGTACGCAAGAGGAGGAGAGACGAGAACAAGCCGAAGCGCGACAGAAACAAGCCGAAGCGCGACAGAAACAAGCCGAAGATGAAGCTGGGAAGGAGAAAGAGCGTAACCGATCGTTAACCTTCATGGAACTAATACGCCATGGCCATAACCTACTCTCAAGACCGCTTAAAGTCAGAACACCTTCTCGCTCGACTACAGGGACAATACCCCCTCCTACCGGAAAGTACTGCCCGGTGCGACTAGAACCATGGACACATTGCCCATGTCAACAGCAAGAAATTTACGATGCTGTATGCAAATACCTCCAGCCAGCCGAGGAAGCCCCATCCCAGTTACCTACGTCCTTAATCGCCCTTCAAGCCGATGCTAGACGATTTTGCCTTGACCCAATGCACAGTGAACAGAGTGTTGAGAGCTACGAGCGAATCGCAGTAGAAGGCCATGTCCGTGATATAGTCGCGGAACTGTGCAAAATCGATGCTGCCCGCGAGGAGTTTAGCCTTGGTGATGGAATCTGGTTCGACAATCACAAGAACTCTCTCGATCGTGATGAAACAGAAGCGAATATACATCAACAGTCAAGCGTGCACAATCCAAAGCCTGATCAGTTCTGTATCCATCGGGTTGATGGGAATACCACTACCCTCCTTACGACAGTTGAATACAAGCCACATCACAAGCTTCCCACTAAAGCCTTTCGTATAGGGCTTCGACCAATGGAATTATGGAGGGAACTGGTTAATTCAAACAAAGTACCCCATGAAGAAGCAAGCAAAATGAAGTACAACATTGAAAAACTTGTCTGCTTCGCTCTTGTCCAGGAGTATCATGCGATGATCCAGGAAGGACTTCAGTATTCTTGGGTAACAAATGGGATTTCCCGTGTCCTTCTTCATATTCCTTACGACAAACCTGGTACATTACAATACTTTTTCTGTGACCCAAACCAAGAACTAGAGGGCGAAATTCAACAAAATCTTCAAGAGCCGAAAACATCAATCGCACGTATCCTTTGTCTATGCCTAATGGCATTTCGTGCACCTCTACGTGACCATGAATGGAGAAATAACGCACGCTCTCAGATCCCTCTCTGGACAAGCAGTTTTGACCATATTCGCCCTCAGATTCCTCAACTAGAACTACAGCAAAACTCTGATAGCTCTGATTATGCCAGCCCGGAATCAACTGTGGATCCAAGTCTTGATTATCAAGCATCTTCTTCTCCCATAGAATCTCCAACAACACAAGGTCGCCGAGCCACAAGATCTCAAGCTGGCTGTGCACTCCCAACTATACAGCACCGCTCACAATCACCAGGCTCTTCAGACTCTGAGTCAAATCAAGCCCCTAGGCGTAAACGGGGCTTTAGTGAAGTTAGATCTTCGCCATCTACTCAACCAACGGCACGCAAATATAACCAGGGAAGCCAGAACCAGGGATACCAGTCCCAATACCGTGACGCCCAATATTGCACACAGAGATGTTTACTTGGGCTACAGAATGGTAACATTCTAGACGAGTCTTGTCCAAATGTGATACTTCATCGCCAGGGTACACATAACCTCAAACATCATATCACAGCAGACAGATTAATACGTTCATTGAAAGCACAACTGGATGAGAATATTGATCGTTGTATATCGCTTGGAACTTGCGGCCAGTCTGGAGCGCCATTCAAACTGACCTGCGCCATATATGGCTACACCGTCATTGGGAAGGGAACCACGTCGTGCCTATGGAGGGAAGTCTCCCGCGAAGCACAGGCTTACCGAATCTTGCAGAAGGCTCAAGCATCTGCTGTACCTGTCTTCCTCGGTACAATCGATCTAGCGAAAATTTACTTTCTTCATGGGGCTGGAGACATTCGCCACATGCTTGTTATGGCCTGGGGAGGCGAAAGTTTAGCAACGATGGGACTGAAGCCATGGCTTCTTAAAGAGATTCGTAAATCGGAGAATGAGATCAAAGCTTTGGGGATTATCCATGAGGACCTCTGGTGTGACACTGATAAGGGCCTTCGGTCTGGCAATGTTCTCTGGAACGAAGAACTTGGGCGGGCGCTGATCATTGACTTTCATCACTGTACATTAAAACGTCAGCCAACTCAAAAAAGAGTACAGCTGGCGAAGAGGCGGCTTTATCAGACAGGGTTGGGATATTCCAAGCGTTTACGGGCTTTGTGAGTGGCATTGTTGATAAATAATATCTTATATCAACAGAATGTTATATCCTAAAAATTCAATTAGCGTGTTTTAAGTTTCGGGGCCAAAAAATAGGATAAAGAGTCTACAAACCCGGTAGACCATGCATTGATTAGAGCCAGGATATGAGCTTGATTCAACAATAGCACCTGCTCGAGAACCATTACTCACATTGTAAACATCCCGTTTAACCTTTTCATCAGGCAATTACGATGAACCCCACTCCCAACATGAAGCTAGGGTCCAAAAGATATCACATGCTGTTGTCCTGCATGGAAGTTCCTTCCCGCGATGTGATATAATGCTCAGCAAAACTTTTGAGTTGCTGAGCTGTTGGATCGGCTTTATGTATTTTGCAGTTTGGAAAAGTCATATGTTGGCTCACTGCGTGAAAGCCTCCATCTGATGATCATTAGTTGACGTTAATCAAATCTTGTCGATGGAGATGACTAAAACGATATTTCTCAGATTCAGAAACAGGCCTAGGCTTCAATATGTAGAGACTGTGGACAAAACAGGGGTCTCAATTTAAAGTAGGATCCATGTACAAAAACACTGTCGCAGGCTTTGCTGATTTAGTCCCCATCGCCTGAGACTGACAGTTTCCCTGCCCCAGAATTTAAATCCAAAACCGACACCTGGAATGGCACGCTTAAATGATCAAGTGGAATTAGTTAGTTATATTTAAAGATAATTGGCTGATACCTGCGCTAGTTGCGCCCAGGGCGGTGGTCAAAACAGATATCTCTTATCTCACCCTCGACTCACCCAGTACAATTTTTTTTGCTGGCTTAAAACAACGATCAAAGCAATTCATTTTACTCATTAGCCTTACGTCATTTTTCAAAAGTATACTCCTAAAAGACTACGAGTCAAACCGTTTCGTTTCAAAACCATGGCTTTCAAAGGAAAATCGTGGCCCTAATAAAAAATAAAAGGAGTATTTATCACTTTTCACATCCGTAAACTAAGGATCTCCTAAAATCTTTTCTTTATCCCCCTGGAGTCTTCAACTATTCATCCGCTCAACCCTTTCAATCTATGCACAGTGTCATAATGCCTCAAAACCCCTCAGCCGTGGAAAAGAAGTCACTGCGACAGAAAAGAGATCGACGCCGATCAAGTCTAGAGAAAAAGACGCACGAGTACAGCAAATTGTGCGGGGCAGATGTCTGCTTAGGAATTCGAATTCGAGAATCAGGAAAGGTATTCATTTTCTCAGCAGACACATCGGGATTTTGGTCCTTTCTTGGACCTCAACTAGTATGTTCAATTAGAAGCCTCAGTTACGCGAACAAAGAACTAAACTTAATTAAATTAGAGCACCTATTTTCCAACGCCAGTCAACAGGACCGAAAAGAACCTCTAGGTAGCCAAGGACTTGAGCTTACGCGGACATCACCGTGATGGTCTTTGATCAACTGTATTGTTGCGAGAGATATATCTTCTAGGAGTGATAGAATTGAGAGATTGTATGTTAATTTGACAAATCCTTCAAGGAATTACAAATCTATATTTTTTTTCTAGCTTGTAGTTGGGGCGATTTTGCTCCTCAGGACACGTCCAGAGGGGCTTTAAATGAAAGGCATACTCGTACATCGCCATAAATCCTGTCAACACCGAAGAGCTTTAAGATTATGGTACAGTGCTGACCGTTATCGCCTTCCATGTTCTAAACACAGAGAGACTGTTTCAAATGTCAGACCTGGTGGATCACGTAAGGAGCTTATGTAAGCTGCTATTGTACTTACGGGTACCGGTAAGGGGAGCACACTTTTTTACTAGACGGAGCACAAAACGCTTATGTAATAACACTTATTATATAATCAACTTTTTCTCAGCCGAAAAGAAGGTCACTGTAGCAACTAATAATAAGTTAAATTATAAACAATTATTCTACTAAAATTTCTTCTTCTATTCACCTGAGTTTATCAAATTTCTTTAATCTTTCATCCAATATGGAGGCCCTTATGAACCAATCGTTTGATACTAGTGATCAGCTAGTCCAGGCTATTAAAACACAGGCCTTACAGGATGGATTTGTTGCTGTTATTACTAGTAATAATAAAGATCGAAATATGAGGCTAATGTGTGATCAATCTCGCAGATATGACGATCAGATTGAAGCAAAAGATGGGGCTAAACGTCGAAAAACAAGTACTAGACGTGTAGATTGTTGTTTTTTTCTCTACGCTTGTAGATCTACACGTAAAACATCTGATGGAAAGTGGCATATCACTAAGTTTAACCTTACCCATACAGGACATCAGGTCAATATTGCTAATTTAATTATTCATCCAGGGGCCCGGCAGCTTACAGATAGCCAAAAACAGCAAATTTTCACCTATTTCAATCAAAATATCACACCAAGTTCAATATTAGAACTAATCCAGACAGATTTTCCTAATATTCTAATACAGATTCAAGATATCTACAATCTACGGAAGACTTATTGGAATGAAAAGCTTCAAGATCAGTCAAAGGTTCAATATTTAATCACACAGTTAGGATTAAAACAGTGGAAACATCAGGTTAAAACAAGCCCTGAGGGGCATATTGAATTTCTTATGTTTGCACATCCAAAGATGATCGACTTTGCTAATAAATTTAATAGGGTTATATGTCTTGATTGCACCTATAAGACAAATATTTACAATATGCCACTTTTACATATTGTTGGGGTTTCATCTAGTAATCATTCTTTTTCAATTGCTTTTGGTCTGATGATGAATGAGAAGCAAGCAGCTTATGAGTGGGCACTAGATACCCTATTTTCTTGGCTTGGGCAGGCCCCCCAGGCCCCCGAGGCCACTCCCAAGGCAGCTACACAGGTAGCTACACAGGCAGCTATACAGGCAGCTACGCAGGCTGCCACACAGGCTGTTAAAGTAGCTGTTGAAGTGGCTGTTGAAGAGGCTATTGAACAGGCGGCTACAGAGGCTGCTATACAAGCTATTAAACAGGCTATTGAACAGGCTGATACACAGGCTATTGAACAGACTAAGCTTACCCCCCAGCCCATAGGCCCCCCTACACCCTACACCTGTTTTAGTTACTGATCGAGACCTTGCCCTACTAGCTGCAATCCGGACAAAATATTCTATATTTCCACATCTTCTATGTCTCTGGCATATAAATCAAGCTTTTCTAGCTAAGTGCAAGCCTGTTATAACAGAGAAAGACTCACACGCCCACCGAACACTTGAAAAAACATCAGACCAAACAGTGAAAATATCAGATGAAAAGGAAAAGAAATGGGATGAATTCTATTCTGATTGGATGGAAATAGTAAATTCTATATCCTTATATGAATATGAATCAAATTTGATTAAATTCAAAGAAAAATATCAGGCCAAGTACCCCTCTTTAATCTATTATATTGAATCGATTTGGTTGGTTCATAAAGAAAAATTTATTAAATATTGGACTAATCAATATCTTCACCTAGGAAATTCAACAACGTCACGCGTTGAGGGGGCCCATGCTGTTCTTAAGAAACATATTAAAACATCAAGATGTGATATTTTAACCCTTTGGTCCCGAATTTCTGCTGCACTACCAGAGCAAATTAGGGCTATTGAGAATGATCTTTTAAATGATCAGACTAAAGCCCTAATTTCCACCCAAGGAGAGTATCTTTTTCAACATTTAGTTCGAAAGATTACTAGATTCTCGATGAATTTAGTGATTGATCAGGCTAATATTGCTAAAAGATGTACAGCTCAGGCCCCGTTAAAAGCCTGTACAGGTGGTTTTATCCGAACTATGGGCTTACCGTGTGCACATCAGATTAAAGGATGGATTGATAGTAAACAATTTATTCCGATATCTGCGATACACCCATTTTGGAGGCTATATTCTTCTGAATCATTAGCCTGGACCTTACAGGAGCCTAGGGTCCTAGGGGGGGCCTAGGGGGGGTGCCTAGCCCTAATGAAATTCATACACCTGCATCAGTCTCAACAGCAGCTCTGAATGTTCTAAAAGCACCAAAAAAAGCACCAAAATGTTCGAAATGTGGGGTGATAGGGCATACGATCCGATCATGTAAATAATTAGTCTAAAATTTGATTTATTTTATCTTATTTTAATTATATGCAGTGATATTATATGCAGTGACCTTCTTTTCGGCTGAGAAAAAGTTGATTATATAATAAGTGTTATTACATAAGCGTTTTGTGCTCCGTCTAGTAAAAAAGTGTGCTCCCCTTACCGGTACCCTGTACTTACACGTCAGATGATAGCAGAATTCAAAACATACACACATATGAAGCCTCGTTCCCATTGGGTGCTATTACTGCTGAAGAATCCCATATTTGACATCAAAGCCTAATCATGTGATATACTAATCCAGATATGAGTAGCTGTAATTAATCCGTTTTGTACATAGCGGACCAGGTACTAAATACCAGAATCTTAAAATACTCATATGGAAAATACAACTTTTTACTCTTAACTTACAGCCTGGTATGGGTGTCTGTCTGGAATCACATTGATGGGTAAGGCGCAAAGTGAGGCTTCGTAATTCCCCCGCCACATCATCATGCCACCCCGTTGGTTTTTATTGGACGTCAGAGATTGATGATTTGCTAATCCCTTCTGGTTCAACCTGCTTCGGCTCACTTCCTCCACTTGAAACGATGGCCAATAGCATATGTATTGACGATGCTTATCATCCCCAAACAGGACATACATGGGACGAAGATTCATAATATGCCCCTACTCCTGGTTACTTTGGTTATACTACAGCCGTATTTTCTCCTAGCCCTACGCCGTTTTGTCCCACCGATCCAGTGTAAGTAGACTAGCTTGGGTTTTCCCCACTTACAGAATGGGATAAAAATATCAACTACGTATAACATTATCCGCTATACGATTACATCGAAGCTTATGCTTAACCGCAAGAAGGTAGCAACCAAGACAGGGTTAATTTAAGTAATATAGTCATAAATTTACAAGGAAAGATTAGATGTCGAGGTCTAGTGGAAACATTTATGAAATATGAAATGATGTATAGATGGCGGAAACTCAATAAGACCTATTGACTTGTGAGCCAAAGCTCATTCTGTAATAAATGAGCAGGCTTTCGTTTTTTTGGATCAATCATCATCATAGATCGAAGCAGAAATAGGAATCGCTCTTTCTCCTCTCCGTTAAGACACTTAATCCAGTTGCCGAGCTCTGCCAGCGGACGCTTAGTGGGGTCTCTAATTTGCAAGTTTGTATTGAATAAATTCCATACGATCGCTTGATTTCCTTCCTTCAATAAGTGAGAAGGGAAGGGACCGAAAAGTGCGTCCATTTCCTCAATATGGTGTTTGATCAGATAATGACCACCAGTCACGCTAGCTCGGCCAGAAAACATTTGCACCGCATCAAGAAGCTCGGGAAGCAAAGCGCCTAGGTTCCAAATATCAACTTCCCTGCTCCACGGTGCCTGCAATAAGACCTCGGGGGCTCGAAGGAGTCTTGGTTGTATGAATTCTGTAAGATGGAGTGATTCCCAACTTGCCGTCCCCCAGTCACCAAGGATGACTTGGACTTGAGCAAAGTCGGAGCGATCATGAAAATTCAGCTCTCCAAGACTATTCTCTGGGACGAGAACATGTTTTTCAATAATAGACTTATCCCTGATTTTTATCATGATATTGTCTTGCTTTATATCTGGGGTAATAAAAGGCATTAGTAACATCCGTATATATTCTTGAATTTTCTCACCGGTGTGGATAATTCCCAAGGAATGGGCGTATTCTAACGCATAAAGAAGCTGTTTCGTGATCGGTTTCAATATAGAAGGAGGAATTTTAGCATCCTCAAAGAAGAGGCAAAAATCCTTCAAGTTTTCCGCCATAGGCTCCAGCACGAGACACAAATTCCGGCCGTGAATAAAGTGATCAAGAAGACGAGAAATATGCTGGTAGCCATTATGGTTTGGATTGCCTTCGCTGAGGCATTTTAAGATATCTAGCTCGAAGGTACCACTTTTGCCACTATCGCAATCTTCACGAAGAACTTTAATCGCGCTGTAGGATCCGTGTCTAACAGAGAGAAGATCAGAGAAGAACTGCGATAATCATTTTGCCAACTTACATTTGGTCCTTGGCTAGCCAAACAATTGAGTACTTCCCATCTCCGAGTTCCTTGATGATTTCATATCTATCATTCAAAACCTGTCCGACCGAAACAGGGTGAAGGCTGTCCATTGTGGTTCAAAGTTGGATGTGAAAAGTAGAGCCCCTTGTCTGCTCTTTGAGCTCCCGCTATTATGTTTGTCCTGTTTGCTTGTTTTACATATCAGCAGAAACCAACGGCCACCGCCTTCGCTTCAACCTAGACTGAGGTACGGAGACTTGAATTTTAAGACCCGATCGATGGATGCTAGAAGCTATACAGTCCACGCGTTCCAGAATACCCATTCGTATAAGGCCCAAGCTACGTTAATAATAAGATAAATCGGGCGCTTCAAACTAATTATCGGTCGTTAATAAGGTGCAAAAATCCGGCGTTATAAGCCACACCTAGAAAGTACGAGGCCAAAGCGCCCCGCCAGAGGGGAACATAAAAAGCTCGTGCAGTCCCAATACCTGTAGGTGTCCATGCCAACATTTCTTGCTTACAGAAATTTTTTTTGTGTACAAATTCCATCACCATGCCTATTAAAAAGATCACATATGCCAAAGGCCACCAGAAAAGCGATTCCGCAGACAAAGCAGCTGAGCAGCATGGTGAGGGATTGGAGAAGAGGGGAGCGTATGAAGCATACATTCGATCAGCGCCCACGTAAGGCAAATGGCGACGTTATCATATCTCAGCAGACTCTAACGAAGTTAGGGGAACATGGCATTCGAATGATACAGACCTCAAAGAGCATTTGACAGTTGACTATAAGAAAGAGGATGGGACACATATCACTACACACCATGTGTATAGGCCCGAAAGTAACAAGTAAAGCCTGAAAATGTTGGAATTGTTGAAGGAGGGCACGCTCTACATAACGGTCTCTTTTTGTATCTCAATGATTTTTGCTTTTTATTCAAGGCACACTCTATACTCTATCCTGAATGCTAGTCTGCCCAAGTGGTAGACCGACCTTGCTAGCTAAAGCAAGTTCGGTGGCTACTTGGTCAAATTCTTTTATATACAGGCAGCTCTCTTAGTCTACTTCATTTAGCCTGTTCAGCCATTTCACTGGTAAATATGACAAATGCTTTACTCTCTCCTAAGCATGACTATCGCGGGTGTGGACTAGTTTCGACTACGCTTGATGTGGAGGGGCTTAGGGTTAATAGCACTGCGTAAGGGCTGCCACAATAGCCTGGTGTGGAAAATTTACGAAAGATACTGGGAATCTACTCTGAGTCCCGTGGGCAGATAAGACCTATTACATCCATGAAAATTCTTTATATCCGACCTAACACCGAAGCCATTTAAAATTATAGCTTAACGTTATACCTACCATAATTTTATGTATCCTGGAAATTTTCTGCTCATTAAATTTAAAGTTCCTCAAATATTATTGATTGTTGATTTTTCTGCTTGACTATTGGGACCGCAATCGCTTTGATCGACGTGGCAGAGGCTTTTTGGCAGAGACATCCGAATTTCCTGATCTTTCAACCTCTGGCTCAACTCGGTTCAGCTGTCTGTCTGCATTACTGTACTCCGGGGATGAGCACATCTCACGCTTGGACTGATACCCCGCTGTGATGGGAGTCAGATCTGCCAACTTCGCCCTAATCCTCGTCGATCGTCGAATTGGAACCTCTTCTGAAATAGGGTGAGAATCTGACATGGTGGATTCAACAGAAGAGGCGGAGACCTCAGTCTCAGCCACGACCCTCAATGGCTTAGCGGCAGTGAGAGGACGGGGCTCCAATAGACGTGGGTCAATATTTGACATCTCCAAATCGACAGAGGAAGCAGGGGTATCCGTTCTTTGCCGATTTTCCGATTCTGAAGATACCCCTGTGGATGAAATGTCGTTGCAGTTAATCTGTGATACTTGGGAGAGATGGCACAATTTGATATTGATGTCATAAGAGTGTGCAGTAGAAGCATGGGCCAAAAATTTGGTGATATCCGCAAATCTGGGGACGTTGCGACAGGCTTCCCAATTGCAGCTGATTCCGTCGCGCACGTGGGCTAGATGCAGGTCAATCAAGTGGCGACGAAGGGAATCCTGTCTCTTCGCAGGGAATCTGCGCGGAGCGGGGTTTGATGCTGATTGACGAGATGTACCACAGCAAATTATGCAGATGTCTGTTGGGCACCTCAATTTGTTATCAGGTGGAGAAGGGGATTTCTCTGGCTGCTCAAGCAAATCATCTTCTTCGTCGATATTCCAATTAACTCGGTTGCCTCGTCTGCTTGGTTCGCAAAGTCGCAAAAGTGCAACCATGTCCTTGGTTACCTGGATGCGTCGAGCAAGTAGCTTATCCTCGTCAAAATTCTCAGCATTGGATCCGTAGAAGTTTTCCACTAGGCGTGCCCGTTCAGGAAATATATGATTTGGTATAGGGAGTTCTCAGCTTTCATCACCGGAATTCTCCTCATCAGAGACGTCATTAGATTCACCAAGAAGTTGCTTTATTTGTCTGTCAACTTCTAATACAGGAGCATTTTGGAAATGATCCTTTCGGGCGGCCTCTCGCGTGTCGGTCGCTAACTTCTTTCGAAGTTTAGCTATCTCTTTTTTGACATTGTTGTGCCTTTGATAGAGATGTGGATATGGCGTTTGAGCCTTCTTAATACCGCCAGCCAGGGATCGCATCTCCGCCCCAAGCTCTCTCTTCTCCTGTCTAAGCTGTAGAATATCCGGATGTTGACAAATAGCTCGCTTGTGTGTATCGGTAAGCTCGGACAGGGCGTTGGGGTCTCTTTTTCTGAGCATACTCCCAGCAAAACGTACAAGGCCGTCCTGCGGTGGTCGTAGAAGAACGATATGCTGAAGATCGCGTCCAATGAACTGGGATTGGTAGTGTTTTTCAAAAACCGCGTCGCCAGACTGACCAAGCACCCTCTGCCGCTCTTGGCTAGTGAAACTCTCTGTTCGCTGTTGATTAGTCTCGATGAATCAAAAAGAATTTGCTTGAATGATTGATAATCCTCAAGAATTCGATGCGTGGATCACTTACTGTTGACTTCATTTGCCGTCCAGCGGCGGTAGTTGTAATGCCCGATATCGTCTTCAAATCTAGCGTCTCGGCCTAACTCTTTAAGTGCCTGCCGACTTGATTCATAAGTCATTGGTAAAGACTTATGAAGTTCATAGCCATATGGAGTACGCTCAAGTCGCCGAAGGAGGGGTGTATTGAAAACTTCAGGCCGCCACCTGAGGGGAAGGGATGAATTGTGTTTGGGAACTCGTAGCCGCCATATGAGCTCTGGGGTAAGGTCCGTATTGACAAAAGCGCCATCGCGGAAAGCGTACGAGATTATCTGAGCGATCGGGCAATATGCCAATTGATAATCACCATGCATGAAAAATTTTGTTCTAGCAGGAAGCATAAGCACCACGTCAATTATATAACAGCTAGGGGGGCCTAGAAGCATCCTTACCCATCAGCGCCTTCTGGTCGACCTTTAAGATTGCGAAACTCGATGATGGCACAGAGGACATCACGTTTACTTTGGGGGTCTTTCAGGTAAAAGAGTTCAATATCGCGATAGCAGACCGAGTCCGGAAGTTCCTTCAACGATATGTGTTTCGGAAGATCACTCTCAAACGTGTGAGGCCGTTTGCGATTGCCTAGGATCGAGTGGTCCGGTAATGTGGTGACTTGTGGAACCAAGACACCAGGGCGAGTCCCGGTAATGGCAGACCATAGTTGTACTGTAGCAAATTGGACAATCATACTTCCATGACAAAAAAACCTCGAATGGACCCAATGATGCCGGTAGAGTACACAGAAGACATCTACGTCCAGAGTGTTCTTGTCTTTCGTTCGTCGAGGTATCTTACGCTCAGCTGGAAAACGACCCTCTAGGTACTATTTTATTATTAGCCTGGCTTCTCTAAGCGTAGAGAGAATGTTCGTACTCGTCGTATCTGCTTATGGGCATCCTCATTAACACGGCGATGGGCAAATAGCTCGAAATACTGACAAAGGCGGCGCCAGTACTCATCATAGGACTGCAGTACTTTCTTGCGGGAAGTTCTATACATCCAGTCGAAGAAGTTCATGTAGATCGCGTGGTCCTCCAGAAGAAGGTAGTCCACGTAGTCCTCCTCTAACTGAATGCAAAACCTAGACTCAGGAGTTATTCCCCGCTCGTAATGCCTGGACCTAAAATATTTCGACTCACTTTCGCCAATAGCGTTCGACAACGGCAATACCTAGCAAAGTCCTCGGCTTGAAGTTTGGAGGCAGCCATCCAAGACTACGGAAGTGTTCCAGTCTGGCGCGAGTTTCCTCGCAAAGAACAGGGTCGGTCCAGAATTGGTACTCATTGTCCTGAGATGGCTGAACGGGTACAGTTGCCATAGAGAAAAGCCAGGCTAGATGGCCAAGGTTGGAATCTTGAAGGACGGGCAACAAGAGGGACTTGAGAAGCGGGGGTTGTAGATGAGGAGAGAATGGGGAGAATGTGAGGATGGCGAGAGAGGGAAGGGGAGAAGCATCTTATAGGCGCCCGGCTAGGAAAGGTGAAAAGAGAGGGCTCCTGGGAGGGACTGCAAAGGAGAGCCATTTTCGGCGTCGTTTGGTCTCAGGTAGAATTGGAGGGAATGGTTTGAGAACGAGCGCTAACGTTACCAGGGCGGGAGGATGATGACTAACGGCGCTCGGTGGGTGCAAAATAGTGATGGGTGCTGGAGGGCGGGCGGTGAAGAGCCGGCTCCCTTGGAAAAGTTACGGGTGGAAAGGCGGCCGTTTTTGGCGTCAAAGGCTGTCATTTTCGGCCTCACTTTCACAGGTCCCCATATTCTATATGTAAAAACGTCCGCTCAAGGTTTAGCGGGCCAAACTTGGGGCCATACGTCGCCATAATATTCAAGATCACATAGTGCATTAGAGTCGAAGAAGGCGTGAGCCCTCCAAATGTCGTAAGCAAATGGATTTATCTCAGATTCCTTTCACGATAGCAGGGCTCGGCTGCGAAATGATATCGATTCCCTCTGTCATCCAATTGGATTCCAAGTCCACATTAGTGGCAAAGACTGAGATAGAACTGCCCATACAGCTTTCATCTCTTGTAAAGGAAT